CTAAACCCTAAACCCTAAACCCTAAACCCTAAACCCTAAACCCTAAACCCTAAACCCTAAACCCTAAACCCTAAACCCTAAACCCTAAACCCTAAACCCTAAACCCTAAACCCTAAACCCTAAACCCTAAACCGAAACCCTAAACCCTACGCATGAGGGAGGGAGGCGCTTCGGGAGAAGTGCCGTAACCGACCGACTAGCTAATACTTATTACACCCAACCCTATAAACCCTAAACCCTAAACCCTAAACCGAAACCCTAAACCCTACGCATGAGGGAGGGAGGCGCTTCGGGAGAAGTGCCGTAACCGACCGACTAGCTAATACTTATTACACCCAACCCTAGGTTCTCTGGATCGTACTAAACCCTAAAAAGTCACTAGCATTCGCATCCTTCCTGTGCACCTTCACGACACCCTACGGCCAGCACTCGTCGACCAGCACGGCACCGCAGACTTCCCCCTCGACGCTCCGGACGTCTCCGGACTCTTGCGTCAAAGTTCCTTCTTCAGTGTTCGTGTTGGACGACAAACGACCAGTCGTAGTTTGTCCTCTGTGAAAATAATGGAACCCTAAACCCTTCTATTTCTAGCGAGCAATCGTTCATTTTCGGTCCCCGTGTGGTTCACACATGTGTATCTTCACGCGCGCTCGCTCGAGAATGACGCGGGGGCGACGACGGCGACGTGCGAGTAGCGCGAACACTCGTTACGTTCGTTTATCGTTTTCTTTGCAAATGTGCAAATCAATTTCTAAGTTTCTACGCTTTCGCTCAAGAAGTCGTTCGGTGCTTTCACCATTGACGCTCGTGCGGTGCGACGATTCAACCATTCTAGGTTTCTATGCTGGATGTCTACGTGCACTTCGCGAGCTGCCGCCGCACGCCTAACATGGTGATCCAGAAAGCGTCGCCGAAAATACTACCACGATTGTGGTATTGAAAAAATGAATGAACTTTCACGAGCTCTCTGCGCAAAGAATCATAATCAGCGCGGTCGAGAATGCTTGGCAAAGTCGCTACGTCGTCTTCGAGCACTCTCACGCTGAATTTCGACCAATCGAAGAGCCAACTGAACGGTAGATCATAGCCGTCCGCGACGATCACGGGCACGCACCCAAATGTGATGATGTCGTACAACCGCGCGGTGTGCGCGCGATCGCCGTAGACGTACAGGCAATATTTGCTCTTGGACAGCATCGTCATGTAGTCTCGCGGCTTGTCTTGTCCGCTCGTACTCAAGTCCCACCCCCGTCCCGCCTCCGCTTGCTTTAAAGTTGGAAACACGACTCGTCGCACGCCACCCCGATGCATGGATCCTCGGAACGAAACTTCAATGGTTCTTACGTTCGTCGATTTGAGCGCGCCCATGCGCACGACTTCGCGAGGTAGATGACTCGAAATTCCGAACCAGATAGCGACGTGGCGAGCCGGATCAAAACCAGCTTGCACTGCGTTCGCTCTTCTCGCTCTCGCCTCGTCGTCTTTGGCGTCTTCTGAATTTTGTATCGGCAATTCAGAGTTGCCAGTTATCACCACAGCACCGTGTCGGACTTCGTCATCGGAGGAATCGAACGCCGAGAGTCCGATATCTATATTCGTCATGACGACGCGCGCGCACTTTTGTTTGGACGTCCACGCCTCGGCGTTGATCGCTTTCACGCGCTCAATGTCGCGAGATAGTCTATCGCGAATCGCTTGACGAATCGCACCGTTGTTGTTCGACCCTTTAGCCGGGCCTGCCATGACGTACGCTTCAGCCGTGAGCAGTCGCTGGAGGTACGGTCTGACGGGGATGAAGATCGCCGTCGCGTCCTTGAACGACCGCGTCGCGAATGGACCTCGTTCAATCTCTCGAGCTAGGTAAGTCTCGACGCCGTAACCGCGATTAAACGTTGGTATTTTTTCTGCGAAGGCGTACTTCAAGCGCGTGACGCGCGGCGTTTTCAACGTGTACAACCGCAAAGTACCAGGCAAATCGTTGAGCGCTTCGCAAAGCGCGCGCGAATCCGAAAATCCAGATGAGTTCACGTTCAAAGGCCAATACGTGGCGCTGAGCGAGCCTACCGCGATTTCATCGCACATACTTTGCACTCGCCTCAAACCAAACTCATCGGGAAACTTCGCCGCGTGCGCGCCGACGCCGTTCCACGCGCTCACGCGTTCTTCGATGGCCCAACGCACGGTGCCGCGACCGGCATCAACCACCTTGTAAACTTCTGGCTTCCTCATGTTCGCGTATAGGTCATTCTTCACGCACGCGAACGTCACCAACGCCGTCGTCAACGCAAAAGTAATCCGTCGAAGGAATGTCGTCCTCGCCGGTGGACGTGCTTTTTTACTCGACACGCGGCGTTCGACGACAGCTTCGATATCATCACCGTCTTCGGCGCGTCTTCGGCGATTCATGACCTGCGCCGCGCGCCCGCGGCGACGGAGGAGCGGACGCGCGTTCTGGCGTTCTCTCAAGGTTCTTGGTCTCGCTTTCTCGCTACAGTACATACGCGCAAGCGCCGCACAACGCGTCGTGACCTGCGCGTGCGTAGTCAGTCATACGTTCGCCTCGAGCGAAAGAAATCGATAAAGGTTGATTCGTGTGCGACAACGCGACCGCGATCGCGCGCGTCGCCTTCCGTCGCGTCCGTTCGCGCGTGCATGGGGAAGAAGCATTCGGGAGCCGCCTTTCAATCGCGGCTGAATCAACAGCGACAGCGACAGCCAGCGTCTTCGAATAACGGTGTGAAAGGCTTCGTCGGCGGTACAACAGCGGTGAAAGAACGGCGCGTGCGCTTCGTTCGAGCCAGAAGACCCGATCGCCCGCTTGTTGACGTCGACTTGCTGCGAAACGTCATCGTTCTGAACGGCGACGTCGCCGCGTTTGAAGACGCCGGAGCGACCATGATCGCAGAAACGCATGAGCATCGACGTGGGATGAGCACGAGAGGTAACGACAGAGGTGACGACTTGTACGCGTTGTGCGATGTGCGTATGAAATGGGCCGGCGCGCGACGAGCGGGCGCGGGGCTGGCCAACCTCGGAAACACGTGCTTTCTGAATTCGGTCCTCCAGTGCTTAACACATACACCGGCGTTGGCGAACTTCGCGCTGCGCGGAGAGCACAAGAAATATAAAACGGGCGGTTCATTCAACGCTTTGTATGAAATCGGTGAGCACGTGGCTCGGGCGTTGAACTCGAGTGGGAGAACGATTGCGCCGACGGCGTTGGTGAAGAATTTAAGAGCGCTTTCAAAGACCTTTCGTAAAGGTCGACAGGAAGATGCTCACGAGTTGGCGCGTTGTTTGTTAGATGCGATGCATAAGAAGTGTGTCGAAGTAGTTAAGCCAAAGATATCGCCGAATTCGGCGCGTGCGGAGACGAGCTTTGTTTGGAAGGTTTTTGGAGGTCGGCTGCGCTCACAGGTGAATTGTAAGACGTGCGGTCGCAACTCGGAGACGTTCGATCCATTTCTTGACTTATCCTTGGAAGTTGGCCGGGCGAAAAGTGTATTAGGTGCTTTCAAGATGTTCACGCACACTGAAGTGCTCGACGGTGACAACAAGTATAGGTGCGAAGGCAAAAGCGCGAATTCAAAGAGTCACTTGACGAAGGCTTCGAAGCAGTTCACGGTGAATCAGGCACCAAACGTGCTCGCGTTACAGTTGAAGAGGTTTGCATACGTGCCTTTCGGGAGAGGAAAGCTGAATCATTTCGTTGAGTACCCTCTGGAGCTCGATATCACGCCATACACTTCAGACGAAGGTCTTACGTCGAGAGGAAAGGCAGTTTACGATTTGTACGGCGTGCTCGTGCACGCGGGTAACAGCTCAAATAGCGGTCATTATTACTGTTTTGTCAAGGTGGCAACGGGAACTTGGTGCTTGATGGATGACGATGAAATTACCTCAGTGAGTGAAAAAGTGGTGCTCAAGCAGCAAGCGTATTTACTCTTTTATGCTCGCCGCGACGCGCCTGGAACGTTTGAGGAAGAATCAACGACGGCGATTCATCAAAATATTCCAGACTTAACGAAGAAAGCTGCGGCGGCGCAAAAGGAACAAAAGGCGAAGCAGAAGATGAAAAAGAAGTCCATCGAAGCCGAAGTTGTGCCGAAGCGAAAGGTTGAGCCGAAGCGAAAGGTTGAGCCTCCGCCACTGCCTCGTCAATCGGAAGTGCGAAAACTACACGAAAAGGGTAGAGAAAAGAAGAGGCTGCGCGCATCTGCGTCACCGATCGGAAAATCTATTCGAGCGGGGCGCAGTAAGTCGCCTTCGGTGCGCAGTGCGTTCGATTCAGCCAAGCGCGCGTTATTGCATCGTCGATTGAAACGATTGAGCGTCGGCGTTACCCTCGAAGATATTCCGAGCGTATCGCTCGATTCTCCCGTGAGAACTCGGAACGCGAAGAAGTATGTGAGTGGCGGTTTCAAAGTGAAGGAGTGGATCGAAAATATGCCTTCTACGAAATGGGAAGATTGCGACGACGACGATGACGAGCGCGAGAGTGATCAAGGTGGCTTCAAGAAGGCGGCGACGGCGAAACGCTTGCGTCGCGAATACGATCAGTTCGACGAGGAATACGACCGCGGTAAGCTACCCAAACACAAACGTAGAAAAGCTAAAGGCGTAAAAGCGCCGCCTATGCCTCGAAAATCGAATCCATTTCAGCGTCGCTCAAAGTCTAGGTAGTTGTGTAGTCGGTGCTGTTTTGCTGTTTTCGCGCTTTGCTACAACTCAACTCGCCGTGTCATCTACTTCGGCCTCGTTTCGGGCCTCATTCGCGCCAGATTCGGCGCTCGAAGTGTCGAAATCTTTTCTAGGCAAGCGCTCGAGCGGCTCGGTCGCGTCGTCGCGCGCGAACGCGCGCACGCGCGCGTCAAATAGGCGATTCGCGAACGCCCACAATTCGTAATCGAGAAAATTCAACTCGTCGACGCGAGCGATGACGCGCTGAGAAATTCTCTTCCGTCCGCTTGAACTGAAAGTCTCGTACGTACCGTCGATGCGATCAGTGATGTGTTTGAGAGCGTTTTTACGCAGTCGCTTGTACTTGGCGAACTGATTCGCCTCGCACACGCGATACTGCTCGCCGACGTTTCGTCGCACGTTCTTCGATCGTTTCACCGTCGTCCCGGAATCGGGTTTGCAGTCGATAAACACCCCGAAAGCACTGACCTCGAACGATCCGTAGGTCTCATCCGTATTAACGTTTGGTGCGATGAGCGTCTCGAAGGCTTTATGACGTTCCAGGACTGCGAACAACGCTCGAGCGGATTCTGGTACGTCGTCGTAAGACGCCTCTGCAGAATCCTCCCCACCTTGACTATCTACGCGTCGCGTGAACGCGACGGTCATGATGTGAAACCCTTCAAAATTCTTTGTCCAGTCGTCATCGCTATCCATGGGCCAAATCTGCACGTTTGACTTGTCCACGCCACATCTCATGGACACTCCTTCTTCGAGCACCGACGCGTAGCGCTCCCGAAACGACGCTTCTTTCAGCGCTTCACTTTTGAGCTTGCTAAATCTAAATGAAAACCCCACCACATCCACGCAATCGCTCGCGTCATCGCTTTTGAACGAGGTCCCAACCTTGGAAATTCGACTTTTAACGTTTTGAGCGTCGATTTGAGTCGGATCGGCAAAGTTTGCGTTTGCGCTGAGCGGCAAATCGAGCTGTCGCGCGGCTAATTCTATGGACTCGTCAAGTCGCTCGTGCAGAGCCAGTACGTCCACCTCGTGCTCTAGACGTTCTTTCGCGTAATCCATCATCATTTTGGATGCTTTTGTACCTCGCCAAAGCGCGCACTCCCGCAATTCAGCCGCTCGAGGTTCCACCGCGTCGTCGGTGTTATTCGTCAACCCGAGCAATTGGAAGAACTGTCCATTGTGAATGTCGTCGTGAACCATCTTCATTTCCGCCCAATCTTCGAACGGCGTATACAATGCATTATCGTATACGTTTGAAATCGAGAGTTCGTTTCGCCCATCCGCATTCACGGCGTCGTCGTAAGATCGCAGCTCGTCGTCCATGAAGCGCGTCAACACGCTCCAAGGCCAAACATCTCGCGTCTGCACACGCGTCGTGTTCACTGGCTCTTTCCCGAAACTTCTCGCCGCGACTTCGATCGAAAATTCGTACGACGATAGCGCGCGTGCTGACGGCTTCCGTAGCATGGTCACGACGCGCGGTTGTTCCGTAAACCGTTCAATCAAGCTGTAGTCATCGTGCGTCGCTAAAAACTCGCACGTTGGCTCGCGGGGATCGATTCTGAGTCCTGTGTACTGATTTCCGCAGAGTTCGTGATCCTTAAAAGACGGTTTCAAGAAGCACCAATGAAAGCTCCGTCCCGCCGTCCTCGGAATGTGAAGAAAGTATAAAAATCGTCGTTGCGCGTCGTCGTCGCGAGCTCGCACTCTGCGCTCGTGCGCACCCCTCTGCTCATCGATCCATGACGTAGCGAGCTTGTCGCACTCATGCATTTTGCGTCCGCGCATCTTACGAGGTGTGAACGAAGGCTTCGCCCCGACCTCGAGACTGGCGTCGTCGAGACGCCGCCAGCGCCGCCTCGAGAATATCACCAGCAAGATGCACGCGACGATCGTGCGCGCGAGCGTGAGCCATCTCGATCCTCGATCGCCGCGAGACAGTGTCGTCTTCGCCCTTCGATCGCTCCGTCGAAAACGATGCGCGTCGCCCGCGGGGTGTCGACGTTGAAGAGGAAACATTCGCGAGGTGGAACCGAACCGAAGTCAACCGGTCGCTTCGACGCGATCGATCGATCGAACGACGGCCGTCGCGCGATCGCAGTTTGTTCGGCGCGTCGTTATCGTCGCGTTCGCCGTCGATCGAGCGTCGCGTTCACGACCGCTATCGAGTATTTCGCTCTCGTCGTCATCGGCATCGCGCCATCTCGCGCGCGCATCTGACGCCGCGGTCACACCGCCGCTCACCGCCGCGCGCGGCGACGTCATCGCCGTGCGAGAGTATGGACGGCGAAAGCGGCGTGTCGACGCGCCAGGAAGACGTCCGCGGCGCGGCGTCGACTCGAAACGGAGGGGATCGCGCGAGCATGGCTGGTGCGCACTCGGCCGACGTGGTCGCGCGCGCGTTGGCGCTCGCGGCTGAAGCGCGCGGTGATGGCGAGCGAAAACGAACGAACGCGTTGTTGGAAGGCGCGCTGAAGCAGTACGTGAGCGAACTGGACGAGTTTAGAGCGGTGTGCGAACGACTGAAGGAACGCGAGACGGCTGGCGGCGGCGCGGCGACGACGAATTGAATTCGAAGACACGTCGCGCGTCGCGAGCGTGGCTCTACAGCGGCGATACCGTGTAATAACAATAAAGTTAGACGACGCCCGCGTGCTCCGTTCGCGCCGTCGCCGTCCCTGGCGATGGCGAACTCGGCACGGATCGACGAACTGCTATCTGTCGGCCGAAATATGGCTTACAAATTGGCGACATCGCGCATGATGTCATCTAAAGATTTTTTTAGCGAGCGACGCGCGTCGAGACATTCAGCGACGCGAGACGCTTCTGCGCGCGCGGCGGCTTCCCACGGAGCGCAAATCGCAGCGATGCTTTGAGTCACTTGACCCACTTCCTTTGTGCACTCGGTCTCCATCGACCCCTCCAGCTCGTTCAGGAACGTTTCAGCGGTGCGGCGAATTTTCGCCTTGGTCTCGCCTCGCTTGAGCGGAAGTGACAAGACGGATATGTATGCGCCAGCGAGCGCGAGCGCGTACACCAACACGTCTTCCGAGAAAGAGTTCATGTACCCGGTGGCGAAGAACGCGACAACGAAAGCCGCTCCAGCAGAGCCAATCGTTGAATTCACCGCACCTCGAATCGATTCGTCGAGCATTCTCGCCGCAGAATCGTGATCGAAACTCGTCACCACGTCCATGCTTGCCTTGCTAGATGCGGCGATATTTTCGCCGGCGTCGTCAGCGTCCCATTGCGCGGAGAGACGGGCGAGGGAAGTGTCGAACCCGCGCGCCTCGACGGCATCAGCGTACGCTTTGAGTTGCGTCTCATTGTTTCGTTTCAACCACGCCGAAAACTCTCGAACTGAGGCGCTGAGCTTTTCCTCGGAATCGCCCAACACGGTGGACTTGTATCGCGACTCGACCGAGCTCGGGCCCGAACCTAAGATGTACGTGCTGAACAGAGATGCGGCGTTGGACAATCGAAGAGACTCGTCTACGATCTTCTCTGCGCGCTTTGCCGCCGCTTGCACGACCTCGCGCGCGGCCGCTCGCTGCGCCGCCGCGTCGGTAATCATTTCTTGTCGGTAGCTCTCCATTTGTGACGTGACCCCCGTCGCCATCGCGACTTCAGACTTTGCTTCCTCGTCTTCTCCTTCTAGAATTTGTTCAGCGGCATTGAGCAAGAGCTCGCTCACGTTGAGTGGCGTCGAGAGTTTAAGCCGCAGTGCTTCCCCAGCACGCTCGCCCGATCCCCCCAAGAATGACATAACGTAATCTTCAAACTTTCCGAAGCCGCTTTCGACGAACGCGCGCGAGTTGGCGTAGTTTGACGAATCCGCCTTCTTCGCCTTGAGAGCGTTTCTCGAGCTCACGGGAAGCACCGCGGGATCGCTCACACTGAGCAACCGCGTCGCGTTCTCTTTGACAAACGCCACCACTTCGTCCACGTCTCCAAGATCGGAGAGTAAATCCGTCTTGTTCACCACGAAGACGACCTTTTTCCCCCACTTGCGAATATACGTCAAAAACTTGACCTCGCTCTCTGTCATGGGTCGATCGGCGGACAAGACGAAGAGCACTAAATCGGCGCGCGGCACAAATTCTTCCGTCAAGCGCTGCTGGCGTTGCAGAATCACATTCGTGCCGGGCGTGTCCACGATTCTCATCTGCTGTAAGAGCTCGGCGGGAATGCCGACGTTGAAGAAGCCGTCTTCGGTTTGCTCTCGCGACTTTTTCGAAGAGTATCGCAACACCGCGATTTCGTTTGTCGTCGGAAGAATGCCTTCCGCGACGAATTTGTCGCCGAGCATAGCGTTGATGACAGAAGACTTACCCGCGTTGAATTCGCCGCAAATGACGACGAGAAACAAGTCTTCCAAACCTTTGCGCGCTTCGGCGAGCAACTTGATCTCGTCCAAATCCGTGCAGTTTTCGCGCAAAAATTTCAAGATTTCCTCCACCAATTGTCGTTCGCGTTCGATCATTTCTTCGCCGTCCGCACTAACGAGACTGAACTTTTTCGGCGTGACTTGCGGCGCTGACCCGTTCGCGCCCTTCGAATCGCCCAACGCCTCGTAACTTTGTTCCAACGCGTTCGCCACCGCGCGCACGGCGGACTGTAGTAAAGCCTCATCACCGCTCGCTGGATCTTTAGTGAGATTGCGTATCGTGACCCCATTCGCACCTTTTGCCGCGAGATCTTGCAGTGTGGACGAATTCTCGCTCGCCAGGGCGCCGAGACCGTCCGCGGCGTCCACGAAAATCGGCACGCTCACCGACTGGCGAATCGCCTCCAACATCGCGACGTCGCGCACGAGGAGCAAGTCGGCGCCTTCTTTGCTCGCCTTCTCCGCTTCTTCGGCGCTTTCGCTCTCGTGCGCCACGACAGCTGTTTCAGGGAGCGCTTTTCTGGCCACGACCGTCGGCACGCCGTCATCCGTGAGCACGACGCCGTCCAACTCGGCGCTCGCGGCGATATCCGTTCTGTCCACAATCAACACGCACGCTCGTCCACGCACGAGCGTCTTGAGCGTCGTCGCGGCTTCGTACAATTTCTTCCCGGAATTTCCTCCGCCCGTACCGTCGACGCCGTACTCTCGCAGCGCCACGCACGTCGCTCCCGCGTGTAAAACCGCGTCGACGACCTCCGCGCCTCGCGTCGACGTCGCCTCGTCCACGTCCACGTACGCCAAGAATCCCGGAATCCGCACCTCGGCCCGTTTCGTCTGCGCGAACAGATCGCGCTGTTGCTTATCACCCGTCGCCGTCGCGTTCCCGCTCAGGCGGTCCAAGAACGCCCTCGGCGCCGTCGACGATCGCGCGCGCGTCGATGGATGATAAAGATGCGCGCGTCGTGGACGACGTCGCGTCTGCGTCGCGTGCGCGCGCGCGCGCGCGTCGATCGAAGGCACCGCGCGCGTCATCACGGATCGCATCGTTCTTCGTCCTCGTCCACTCGACGACCGCGCCGTCGTCGTCGTCGTCGTCGTCGTCGTCGTCGTCGGGGACGACCGAAGCGCCATCGCCGTCGCCCCGGCCATCGCGCGCGCGGCCGCGGTCTGGCGACGGCGCGACGCGGGCGAGGCCGTGTCGACGTGATAAATACTCAGATGGCACTCTGAGATACCACGATGCGGCGTGAAATCGTAGCTCTAGACCCTAATCCGCCCCGCGCGCGACGCCCGAATTCGTCCAAGTTCGCCCCCCGCAGGCGACGCCCGACGCGCCCGTCTCGGAGGCTGACGTGGATGCGGACTCGCGACACTCGACGACGACGACGACGACGACGACGATCGATCGATCGCGCCTCTCCGACGACGACGCGAGTGGAGCGCGAACGCGCGTGACGGTAGCGCGGAATGCGCCGTCTGGCGCGAATCAAGACGATCGAACGCGCGCGCGCGCGCTCGCGCGATTTGGCGTTTCGGGTGCCGCCGTGGACGGTTGGCCTTCTCGGAACGGCGTCGGCGTTCGCGCGCGACGCGACGACGGCGACGACGACGACGACGACGAATGTATCGGCGTTGGTGAAGGATGAATCGACGACGCGTGGGTCGCCGTGCCTGTGCCGCGACATCTTGGCGGCGGCGGCAAAGCGATGCAAATCGACGCAACACTTTGAGGCTAATCACTTCTGCACGTACGGGGCGCCCGTCATCGGCGACGTACTGAACGCGACGTCGGATAAACACAAGGCGTTTGGGAAATCGCACTGGATCGATGGCGACGCGCGCGTGTCCGAAGCCGTGCGTCAGATGCATCTCACCGACCTGTCCGCGCTCGTCGTCATGGATACTCGCGCGCTCGACGTGGACCGTTCGGGCACGATTACTCAAGAGGAATTGGAACTTTCCGCGAGCAACAACGCCATCATCGGCATCTTGACCGAGCGCGATTACCTCAACGCGGTCGCGCGAGGTTTCATCTCCGCGTCGACGAAAGTGAGCGAGGTGATGACATCTTTTCGCGACGCTTCAAAGAAAATCGCAAAGCTCGTGTCGGTGTCGCCCGAAGATTCTGTTCTGGCGGCGATGGAGAGCATGACGAACAATCGCCTGCGTCACATCCCCGTCATCGCGTCTAAAGGCGTGAATCCAAAAGATCAATCGCCGATCGAACCGCGCGTTCTGGGCGTGGTCAGCATCGGCGAAGTTTTGAAAGCTTTGCTGGCCGAGTCTCGGTCGGAGATTTCCCACCTCGAGTCGTACATTTTGGGCCTCGAGTGAGCGCGCACGACGACGAAGACGAAGACGCATGTCCAAAACACGTAAAGGTATGTAAGCACCATCGACGCCAAAGAGAGCACGCTGTAAGTTTTGTAAGATACGGATAAAAATTCATCACAACGCGAGCGACGTCGAGACGTCGCGTGTTTAATCTTTAATCAACATGATGACGGTGTGGCACGCGATGCTACGGTTCTCCCCCAAAGAATCCACCTTTTCGTGCGTCTTCGCCTTGACGTTCACCACCGCCTCGTGCACGCCCAAAACCTTCGCCACATTGGCTCGAATATTATCCTTGTGCGGCGAAATCTTCGGTCGCTGCGCGATGAGCGTGCAGTCCAAGTTGCCTATGGAGTACCCTTCCAGTTTCATCAACCGCACCGCTTCCTTGACGAACACGTCGCTCGTTTGCCCTTTCCATTTCGGGTCGGTGTCGGGGAACAGCTGTCCGATATCCGGCAATCCGAGCGCACCCGTGATGGCGTCCACGACGCAGTGCATCAACACGTCGCCGTCGCTGTGCGCCACGCACCCGCGGTCGTGCGGAATCTCTATCCCACCGATGATCAGTTTCAGCTCCGGGAACTCCGCCGTGGATTCGAGACGATGTAAATCGAACCCGTGCCCGACGCGGAACGGCAGCACCGGCGCCGCGCCGTCCACCGTCGCCTCGGCGCGCGCGCGCATCGCGCGTCGCGTCCCGATCGGTCTCGACGCCGACGTCGTCGTCGTCGTCCCCGCGCGCGCCGACCGCGCCGCGCGCGTCGTCGTCGTCGTCGTCATCATCGCCATCGTCGCCATCGTCGTCGTAGGTTCGGCGCCGTCGCGGTGCGCCGGCGCGTCGGGGTCGGCGCGGCGCGGCGTCGTTTATCCGAACGCGTCGCGCGTCTTCGGTTTTTTTTTTTCAACGCCAGAGTCGTATTCGCCGCGATCGACGCGCCACCTTTTTCACGCGCGCGCGCATCATCTCGACCCTCGGGGCGCGGGTGCCGCGGATGGCGCGCCATCCGCACGACGACGCGATTCGTTCGCGACGACGACGACGACGAGCGACGAGCGACGAGCGACGAGCGACCGAGAGAATAGATGGCGATGCGGTGCCTGAGGTGCGCGACGACGGGCAGTGGACGAATCGAATCGAATCGAATCGAATCGATCGCCGCGCGTCGAGTCGATCGAGCGATCGAAACGACGATGAGACGACCCTCGCGAGACGACGCGACGGCGACGGTCGCGCGCGTGGACGCGCGACGGGCCGCGATCGATGGATGAAGACGCGGACGCGAGGACTGACCCGGAAACCGCCGCGTTCGCGCGCGCAGCTCCAAGACGACGACGCCGACGACGGCGTTCGCGGCGCGACGCCGACAAACGACGGCGAAACGACAACTCCGCGTGCGCGCGGGTGAGGGCGAGACGGACGGTAACGTCAAGTTTGCCAATAATAAACCCGAGTTTGAAGCCGTGAGCGCCGCGGCTGGGAGCGGGTTGGTGGCGGTGCAAATCTCCACGAAGACGTGCGGGCCGTGCAAGATGATTTACCCAACCTTCGTCGGGCTTTCGCAAGAGTTACCAAAGGTGACGTTCGTGAAGATCATGGGCGACACTGATTTGGAGTCGCGGGCTTTGATGAAGGAGTGGGGCGTGCGTGTGGTGCCGCTGTTCCTGCTCTTCCGCAACGGCGAGCGCGTGGGCGAGTGGAGCGGCGCGAAGGCGGACATTTTGAAAGAAAATGTCCGCGCCGCGTGCAACGCGGACGAAAAGTAATCAATCGTATGTAGTATGACCCCTTTATTACGAGTAGTACGTTGTAATGATCGATTACACGGTATAATTACTATTAAATGACCTCAACAAAGAATCTACGCGCGCGTCGGCAACCCGTTCGAAGTCATGTGCGCCTTGACTTCGCTCACCAAGACCTCTTCGCGATGAAATATACCGGCTGCGAGCGCGGCCGAACACTTGGTGACGTTGAAAACGTTGGTGAAGTGTTCGGGGCATCCCGCACCGGACGAGGCGATGACGGGAATGCCCACCGCGTCCGACACCAGGTTTACGAGCTCGTGATCGAAGCCGTTTCCTTGGCCGTCCTCGTCGATGCAGTTCAAAAGAATCTCTCCCGCACCGAGAGCCTCCATGGCGATGGCGAGCTCATACGCACCGATATCGCGACCTTCGCGTCCACCCTTCACGGTGCACTGGAACCACACATACTTTTCTCCGTTCGGGCCCGGGCGAGACGTTTCCACGCACTTGTTCTTCGTCATCGATGGATCGGCGACGTATTGCCGGCGCGGGTCAATCGAAATCACCACCGCTTGCACACCGTAACGCTCGGAGATTTGTTCTACGCTCGTCTTGCCCGTGTTCACCTTGCCAGATGCGTACCAATCTTCGGCGACGTACACGGCATCGCTTCCGATCGACACCTTGTCGGCGCCGCTCGCAAAGTACGCGCTCGCCACCTCGAGCGCGGTGTACGACTTGCCGTTGCTATCGGTGAAGTCACGAATGCCCCCACCAACCGTGAGCGGCACGAATACGGTTTCACTCGAGCGACGAAGGACCTCTAGCATGGGTGCATCCGTGAGTGGCAAGTCTCTGTAGCCCGTGATGTTAAGGAACGCGACTTCGTCCGCGCCTTGCTTGAAATATTTGCCCGCTAATTCAACCGGCTTGCCTAAGTTTCTCACGTCACCACCTTCATCCTTCTCGCGTACGTCGTACGAGTCACCCTTCGTCACTACCAAGTCTCCGCTATCGTTCGAGCGTACGTCTAGGCACGCGATAACGCGCCTCGCTAAACCGTTTGTCACGCTCGGCGCCGTGCCGAATTGCCCCGTCGGCTTGGCGTCCTCCAGAAAGCGCTGAAACACCCCCAAACCAGTGGCGCCAGACTTTTCCGGGTGAAACTGACACGCCATGACGTTTCCCTTCTGCACGCTCGCGATGAATTCTCCGCCGTAATCGCACGTCGCGAGCACCCAATCCTTGTTTGCCTCCGTCGGCGTCGCCCTGTACGAGTGCACAAAGTACACGCGCTCGCTCTCCATGCCGTCCATCAACCCGCTCGACTTTTTCGTGTTCGTGAGGTTCCACCCGATGTGAGGCACAATCAGCCCCTCACCGCGAAATTTATCGACGCTCCCCGGAATCAGTCCCAAGCCCTCGACCCCCCCGCTCTCTTCGCTTCCGTCGAATAAAAGTTGCAAACCGAGGCACACGCCCAAGAATGGCTTATCCGCTCTCACGTACTCGCGCAACGGCTCGATCAACCCGCGCTCGCGCAAGATATCCATCGCACTTCCATACGCCCCCACGCCCGGGAAGATCAACTTCTTCGCTTCGCTCAAATCTTTCGGCGTCTTGACGTCTCGCACCTCAAACCCGAGCGCCGTCACCGCGTTTCTCACCGATCGCACGTTCCCGGCGCCGTAATCGAGCAAGTACACCGGTTCTTTCGCCGCATTCGTCGCGTGCGTCGCATTCGCGCGTCCTCGTCCCCGTCGCACCGGCGATCGCGTCACCGCACGACGCGTCACCGCGCATCCATCGCCGCGCGCGCGCGCCGCAAGTCGAAGACCTCGCGCGCGCGCGGTGCGCGCGGGCGACGCCACCGGCGCGGCGCGCATGACGACGGGGCTCTTCGGACGTGAAAGAGCGCGAGGTCTTCGCGCCGCCGTCGCGTCCTCGCGCGCGCCGTTCGAGCGCGCGTCGGTGCGGGCGACGGGAAACGACGGGAAATGACGCCACCGCGCGAGGGCTACGGAGTCGTGTTTTCATGACACGCGCGAGACTACGGGCGTCGGCGATTCAGGCGCCGCCTCGCTTTGATTGCGCGGCGAGGCGAGCGTCGCGCTCGAGCTCGTACTCGCGGTAGTCTGCCTGCTGTAAGAAGTCCTGGTGCTCGCGGTACGTGCGACCGCCGCGCTGATGGTGCTGTAAATCTTCCTGAAGCTCGACGTCCACGTCCTTGACGCCGCGCCAGTCGGCTTTGGTCTTGTCCAACACGTTTAACTTTTTAGGCTCCATGAGTTCGGCTAAGACGGCGTCGAGGCCGCCCTTCGCGAGCATTTCGACGCGCTTCGAGCGCGCCTTGGCCTCTTTGCTCCCCTCCACGATCTCGGTCTCGACCTCCACCATCTTACCCGCGAAATTTCTCGTCTCGGTGAATCTGGCGTTTTGCTCGGCGCGCAAACGCGTGGCTTCGCTCGCGAGCTTCAGCGCCTCTTTCGCCGCCTCGCGCAGGCGCACCGATCGCTCGTCCGTTTTAACCTTCCCCACGCCCCCGCTCGCTTTCTTCCCCGTCGTCGACTTTGCCCGTTTCCCTCCTCGTTTCGTCGCTCGCGTCTCCTCCGCCTCGTCGTCGCTCGCGCTCGTCGTCGCCCTCCGCGTCCACGGGTCCATCCTCGCTTCGCGTCTTCGCGCGATCTCTGCTTCGCACGGCATCACCGCGAGCGCCTTGAGCACCGTCACCGCGTCCCTCGCGCGCGCCGTCGTCCCCGTCCCCGTCCCCGTCCCGCGCGCGCCGTCGTCCCCGTCGCGCGCGCCCATCGCTCGCCAAAGTTTCATCACTCGCGCGTTCTCGCTCGCCGGACGCAGCGGGCGCGCGTCGTACGTCGCGCACGGCTCCTCCCCGGGCCGCGCCACGACCTCGTTCGCGAGCTTGCGCGCGTACATGGCGCGCGTCGGCGAGTGCGAGCGCGCGCGACCGCACTCGTCCACGCATGGCGACGCGCGCGAAGCGAAGGAAACCGACGAGCGACGCGCGCGCGCTGCGCGCGGGACGCGCGATGGACGAACGCTCGCCACGTCGCGCGCGGCGAGCCGACGACGCCGGCGACGATGGCGACGGCGACGGCGCCGACGACGCGCGGGACGACGCGCGCGCGCGCGCGCGGGACGACGCGGCGACGCGCGCGGCGACGACGCGAGATGGCGCGCGCGTCGGGAACGCCCTCGACGCCGTGATCGAACGAAACGATTTGTTCGCGCACCCACCGTCGATCACGCGCGATTATCGCGTGGACGAGGCGTTGAAGTTGAGGTACTGCGCGCCGTACGACTTTGACTTTGTGTGCGGCGTCAAGGCGCGGTGGGCGGGACGGAGGCTGTGCGATTTATTCGCGAGTGAGTTTCCGATGCGACCGAAAGAGTATTACGTGAAAGCACACGCGATGGGACGGTTGTGCGTGGAGGCGAACGGGTGCGCGCGGACGAACGGGGAGGAGACGACGACGAAGACGACGAACGAGGCGCGAGAACACGAAGACGGGCCGATGCTCGCCGGAGGAAACCGCGTGCGACACTTCATACACAGGCATGAACCTCCCGTGATGGCGGATGAAGTGCGCGTGTTGACTGTCAATGATGACGTCGTATCGGTGTGGAAACCGGCGACGGTGCCCGTACACCCCACGGGGCAATACAGGCGAAACACGGTGCTCGCTTTGCTGGCGGCGTCGCGTAGGGATTTGGGACGGTTATTTCCCATTCACAGGCTCGATAAGAACGTGTCGGGGTTACTCTTGCTTGCACGTTCGTCAGAAGCCGCGAATGAGATGCGAGTGAAGATGGAGGCGCGAGAGATGCGGAAGGAGTACGTCGCGCGCGTGCGAGGAGCGTTCAACGACGGTGACGCGACGCCGGTGTCAAACGTAGAGAGTTTAGGATTCGATAGCAAAGGCCGTGTGGCGATTTGGCGCGGAAAAAAAGGTGTCACCGATCTCGACGAGCGGACTTTGAAGTCATTCAAGGATGCGTCTACGAAATTTACGTGTATTAAGACGCTCGTTGACGGGACTTCGCTCGTGCGATGCGAACCCTTCACCGGACGCTCGCATCAAATACGAGCGCACTTAGCCATGCTCGGGTATCCAATCGCAAATGATGTCGCGTATGGGGGTGCATTGGTCGAAGTTGAGCGCGCTCGAGCGATTCAGCACGCGTGCGACGTCACCGTGCTGAACGAAGCGGGCGAATTAGTCAAAGACGAGTCGCTCGCCATCGATTACTCCGCTCCCCGCAAGAGCCGGGAGCAGAGCTCCGATTTGTGTCCACACTGCCCGAGAATCGTGCACGCTGGAGACCAGGCAATCGACCTAGAGGCGATATGGTTACACTGCGTGCGATATAGCGGCGAAGGGTGGGAGTTTGAGTGTCCGATGCCAGACTGGGCTTTGTAGTATTATTGTGCTTTTAGCTAACATTTGCGCGCTGACCACGGCTCGATGCCGAGCTGCTTCAACACCGAGTTCGGCAACGCAAACACAGGATCAATAGGTTCCACTACAGCGGGATGTCCCATCAAGCTCAAACCGGCGATGCCGAAAAAAGTGTGATAGACGTCTGGCTCGTCGTCTGGCCTGTCGGAAATCCCTCCCGAAGTTTCGTCTTGGCATCGCAAAATGAAACGTGCCAACGCCCCACGATCAATCCAGTGAGTCTTACCCAGTATGCTCAACGCACTTAGCACCCACCACGAGTAACAAACGTCCGGGAGCTTCTCTGGGCGCCCGTTCAGCCCACCAACCTTCACTTGTCGCTCCGCGAGCCACCAGCCCAGCAAATCGCCGTCGACGTAGTCTAATCTATTCCCAATCGCCAGCGCCCCTACGCACGTGAACACCTGACCGGCGTGTGACTCGCCTCCCGGCGTAGCACCGAAACCACCGTCGAAATTCTTACACTTGTTGATGTACGCGCACGCGGCTTCGACGTCCACCTCGTGCAGACGGTCGAGCAAACGCAAAGTGCTCAACGCGCAATACGTAAATCTCGTGTCCACCTCCCCCCACTCGTCCCCTTGAAACGAGCCATCCGCCAACTGCAGTCCCTTGACGTAATTCACCACCGAATCGCGATCGATTCGATCCATCGCGTCGAACAACGCGTAAATTTGGACCGCGCTGAGTGTGTACAACACGTGCCCGTCGTGCCCAGCACCTCCGCTATACGCCCCCGATTCGCATCGACAGCTCGCGACGTAACTTAAAATCTCTTCCCGTTTGTCCGCATCCATCGTTTTGCGCAGATTTCCCATCGTCGCCAACGCACAGACGCCCCAATAGATGCCCGACAATCGCAAGTGTTCGGTGAAGGCGTGTTCGAGCGTGTCCTCGCTCGCGCTCGCGTTGACGATGAACGATGCGTGCGCGTCCACGGCGAGCGATTCGAAGGCGATCGTCGTAACCTCATCGGCGAGGGATGACATCGTTCCGTAGGCGGAATTTCGTGTGCGTCGCCGAGATGTGTGGATGCAAAGTTAGAGGACGCAAAGAGTGTGCGTTGGAGGTTGCAAAGAAACAAGTTACAAACGCCCTTCTCACGTCGGACTCCACGAACAATACGTGCCTTCGCAGACGTACTCTAACGCGCTATCGACGTAGTTCAAATGATATGGCAAGGATGCCACGGACCCGTCTTGTTGAAGCGGCGGCGCCTCACCCGTGAGGCTTCGTCGCTCAATTTCGTCAAAGTTGACGCGAGGGAAATTTTGGATGACTATGTAATCGCTGCTTTCATGCGTCGGCACGACTCTGGGTACTTGAATGCCGAACGCTATGGCAGTTTCTTCAGGACTCCACAAATTAATACCTCCGGATAAGTTGTCCATCTTCTCGGAACACTCCGACCGGAACGTTTGCGACGGGATGAATCGAGACCCGAACGATAAAACGCCGTGACACTCCCCCGCCGGGACGCGGTGCAGCGCTTTCTCAGAATCGTCGGACATCACAGGGGGTGGATCCCAACAAATCCACTGATGCACAGTATAATATTCACCGGCCTGCACCGGCTCTTCGTACGCGAGGTGAACCGCCATAAGGATCAGCAGGCGCTCGCCGCTCGGGCTCCACTGAATCACCTCGATGGTGTAACGCAAGACCTCATTCACCACAGATAACACGGGAACTTGGCGCGAACCGTTCCAGGAAGCATAGTTTCGCACGCTAACTTCATCGTATGATTTGTTCCATCTGTTCGCACCGTTCAAGATGCTCGTGAAATCGATCACCTGCATCATCGGACCCAGAGTGGGAGGACCCATCCAGTCGCCCTCGGCGTCGAGATTAAAGTCTACACAGCGCACGAAGAGGCCGTCTACGGTCGACCAAACGACTTGGCGACCTCCCGCCCTTCCAGCATAAAGAAACCGAGCGACTATGTTGGGCTCCGCGTACGCTGGTGCGGGCGAGATTTCAGTTATCACGCACTCACTAATATTTTGAAACAGTTCGTCGTCGTCCCCGCTGATGAAGGGCTTTATCTTTCGTTCCTTGATCGCTTTTTCCGACGGCACCGGAACCATGACGAGGAAGGCGTAGTACGCAGTATCATGATCATCATCATAACGCTCCGGGATAGACGACGGTAAAAGCCAAAACCCACGCCCATTAACGTCGCCTCGCTTGGAAGGAACCCATTCGATGCGCTTTGCCGTTTCGTCAGTGTACAGTCGCGCGAGCGGTTGTTTGGCGTGTTCCTTCACCAAGATATCCGTCAACTTACGAAAGTTGGGGATGTTTGACCACCACGTGCCCGCCTTGAGACAACTCCAATCACTGCGATCAATACTATTTGCAGAGTCTTTTATACGTTTAAGCGCGCCATGCTCCGAATCTTCATCGCGTTTTGCCGAAGTCGAGGGTTTTTCGTTGCCCCGCGCGCCCAAAGTAGCAGACTTTACGCCGGCGAGAATGTTACGACTGAGCTGTTGCCACCAAGTCATCTTGGGCGTTGACACCACTTCTTGACAATCGCGTGTCGCTCGCTCGTGAATGTCGTCCTGAAAGGCGGATTCGAGCGGCTCAGACGCTGTGTCGCACGCTGGGTGCGCCGCGTTTGAGTTTGCCGATGTGAGAGAATGATTGAGAGATCTCGGAACATCGACCGCATCCGGGGGCATTTCGTATTCGCGCTCAAAACCATCTGATGCGTACAGACTGTCGTCGTCTGACGAAACCTCGTCAAACGCTCGAGTTCCCGGCCAACGATCAGACAGCGGGATCGCGCCCCCGCGTATTCCTTGTTTCCTCAGCAACATGATTTCTCGTTGATCGCCGAACATCAGCAAGGAATTGTTATCGATGGGAGAGATGGCGAATCGGATGCTATCCGTACCGCTCGCAACCCTCGTGACGTGCTCTGACGGTGGCGGCACGGGCGAAGTGCCACTCTTGCCGTTACTGGGACCGTACAAGGACGTAATGCTGATTGCACAATCGAGCGTATATAGCGACGACTCCATGCGGTCTTTGTGCAAGATATTCAACATCGTCCCACAAGGCGCAAATGCCATGTGTGCGCACTGTAACCCATGCGGTAACGCTATGATATTATTCATGGGCGGAGCTTCGTATGGATGTCGCCCGTGTCGCGGCGTCGACACCTCTGCATTTGTGTTTGTAAGCGCGTCGCCCCGGGCAAACTTCAGTTGCCCTGTGAGTACTGCCTTCGGCGCAGACAGTATAATCTTGCTATGACACGTTTTGGACTCCGCGCCGTTCACGAGGAAAGCACACGCCAGTAATTCCGACCTCGGCGACCACAGGAGCGTATGCGGAACAAACGAGTTCATCCCGCTGTCGTATACGTTGTAAATGAGTCCCCCCTTCGGTCGTGGATCGCACGTGAACAATTGTTCTTGATTTATCACGGCCAGTCTACCGAGGTGACCAATCTTCGACCGCAATTCGCTCGAGCTCGGTCCGGAAGCGTCCGCGCTCAACGCGCGCGTGGCGTCGCCCCGCGCCGCCATCTCGGCGTACGCCTTCGTGTTCATCATCGCGCACCCTTTCAGCGTGTGAAGACGCCACATGAACAACTCCTTGTAGCTGAACGCACGAAACTTCCCACTGCCGTTTTGCATCAAATCCTCTCGCATCAGCGCGCGCGGTTCGAGTTTAATCAACAACTCGAGCCACAGTTCGTCGTTTTCCCTCCCCGTCGCTTCAAAATCCTTACACGCGCACGTCGCCATCGCCAGCGAGTAACCATCAAGTTCTTTCATTATCTTCACCACCAGCTCCGTCGGCAGCGTCGCAAATCCTCCGAACGTCGTCCGCGCGTCCCGCCTTCCCGCGTCGTCGCGTTTGCGTCGCGCGCGCTTCTTCCCTCTCGACTGCGTCTCCGCGTCGTCGCCCTCGCGCTCCGCACCGCGCGTTCGCGCGTCGCGCGCGAGCGTCATTGTTCTCGCGCGCGCCGCCTCCTCCTCCTCGTCGTCGCCGTCGCCGTCGCGCGCTTCGTCGCGCGCGTCGACGTCGTTCATCTTCCCGCGCCGTCGCGTCGTCGTCGTCGCGCGCGCGTCGCGCGTCGCTCGCGGGCGCGACGGCGATGAAATCGTCGACGCCGTCTTCGTCGCGCGCGCGTCGGCGCGTCGGCGCGTCGGCGCGTCGGCGCGCGTCGCGTTCTTCGGATGAAAGGGCCGGAGACGGCGCCGGAGCGGTGCCGCGGTCGGTCGGTCGGTCGGACCGCGAACGCCGGCGCGCGACGACCGCTTTACGTTTCGCTTCGTTTGGTTGCGTCGAATCACACGCCTCGCTTGGCGAGTCTAGGGGTCAGGTCTAAGGTGCGACCGCGGTCGGGCGCGGCGCCGATCTCGCGACGGACGGCGTCGACGAGCGCGCGCGCGGGTTTGGTCGAACGCAAATGCGGCTTGCCGGCGGCGGCGGCGGCGGCGAGGACGCGGATGTACTCGTTGACGATGGCGTCGATGCGATCGGGAGAATGACTGGGTAAGATGGAGTGACGGAAGATGTGCGTCAGAGCGGTGGTCAAGGCGTCGGATTGCCGGGCGTGGACGACGGCGAGGATGGCGAAGGATTCGTTGAGCGCGCCGACGGAGACGGCGTCGGAGAGGTCTAAATCACCGCGTATAGGCGGTAAGATGCAGCACTCCACGCACACGCGTTCGACAACGAATCGCGTAAAGCCTGGTACGCGTTCATCTCTCGGTCCTTTGGCAGGCGCTGACGACGTCGGCGCACCTTCGAGCGAAGGTGGTTCGTCGGGCGATGTGTCCAACGTCCATTCTTCAACGAAGCTCTTGAGCGCGGTCAGGGCGACTTTGCGCGCGCTCACCATGCCGTGCGACTGCGCAGCTTGGACAAGATGCGACAACAGCTGCTCTCTGAGCGGCGCGGTACGCTTGGTGTTGGGATATCCCGTGAATGTGGGCGCAATGAGCGCGTTGGCGCCGAGGGCCGCCGTCGTAGTAAGCCACATACGTTCGAGCTCGTCGGCTTCGCGCACAACTTCCGTGTTCGTGGCAATACTCCCCCCCACGGACTCAACCGATGCCTGTGCGTACGCGCTGGAGATCGTGTTGAAGATTTGAGCGGCAAGACCTGGTAATACTTCAACAACAAATGGCGCGAGCTCGGCGGCGTACGTCGACGCGAGTTGATTGAAAAGCACCAACGTCTCGCGAAGCTCCACGGCGTCGGCATCGCGACGGAGCTTATGGACCGTCGGAGCCAAGTACGGTGTCACAGTCGGTCCGAGCAAATCAATCATTCTGTGCAAGAAACCAGTGGCACGATTGCGCACGCTCGCGTCTCGCGGCCACACGTCGAGACATCGAAGCGACATCTCCAAACACGATCTAAACACTTCTCCAGTGCGAGGTCTACTCGTCAAACATGTTCGCTGCGAAAATCCTTTGGATATATTCCCGAACGCCACGATGGCGCGCGTTGCCAATGCGATGCGAATTGGCGCGTCCTCGCCCGACTGTCCTCCCGCCGCGACTTCCTCGATTTGACGACAAAGCCCAGCGGCGATTTGCGATAAATACCTATACTGTTCCTCTTCTTTCACCTCATCCGCGCCTAGCATCGTGCCGAAGGCTTCGAACAGGTACAACCGATCGTCGTTTCCGCTCTCAGCCATCGCTCGAGACTGAATACCAGCCGCGCTCACAGATACAAACGCAGCGTTCTGCGTCGCCGGTTCCGGCAACGATCTCGCGAATTCCGTGAGATAGGCCGGGAGTACGCACATGATGTTTTCCACCTTATCCGAAAGCTTGCAGCGAAGCGGTCGGGACAGACGCGAAATCAAGTAACATGCACGCGACCGCACGGCGAGATCGACGTGACCTATACCTCGCTCGTCTAAGAACGCAGTCAAGGCGGCGACTAGAGCGGCGTCATCGCGCTCCAAAACGGCGTGATATCTGACGCAAATCTCCAAAAACGTCGGCGCTACGAGGCGATGGTACGCCGCGCGACCAACACTCGTGCCCCATTCGCGTATAAGCGATACCACTAGCGCTCCGAGGGGGGTGTCTGTGACCTCACCGGTGCCGTTCGTCGCCTTGGCTCGATCCGCGATGGACATGGGTTTCACCGCGGCGTCGTCGGCGCCTTCTCCCAGGGTGAACAGCGCCGAAATCGCGACCTCGACGTTTTGCCAGCAAAGCTGGTTTCCTTCGCCACTACCCACGACGGCGCTCATCAAGACTTGACGAACGACTTCGCGCGCCAAGTGTGGTGCGAGCCGCGCTATGTTCTTCAGCTGCACGTTTAGTTCAGCGCGAAGACTGAAGACGTCCGCTTCAAATTCTTGCGTGAGGGCGTTGGAGCCGTCGTTCCAATCCAAGCCGTCTATGTGTTCTGTAGGGAACGCCCCACGCGCTATGAGCGCCTGACACGCCGACGTAAGCGCCGGCTGCGCCGCATTCAACAACGCCGGCTGTGATTTCATGTACCCAATGTACGCCGTGAGGAATGGTAGCGCCACGAGCACGGCGCGCTCGTGCTTAAAACTGATGCTCGACAAAACCAACGGAGTCACCTGATGCAAGGACGAACTGACCTCAGCGGACAGTTCAACACCGAGAGCCGTTATATTCTCGACTTTGTTGGCGTTCAAAAGCTCCGCGGCGACCGCGGCGGCGAGATTGGTCACCTGAGTTACGAATTCTTCGTCGAAATCATCCTGGGTAGCCGCGCAAATCACCTGCAACCGAGCGCACACTTCTACGATCTTCGTGCTGATGATCAGGCGCACTTTTGCACTCGTTTCCATGCCTTTCGTTATGACGGCGTGCAAATACCCTACCGCCGCGGCGCGCAAACTTTCATCCGCCGCGCCGCTCAAATCGTCGAGCATCAAACACTCCTTGGCGCCCTTCACGTACTCTTCGCTCGCGACAAGACCGACGTCCACCCACTCGACGTATCGCCGCGCGACAGACCATACCCGCGTCGCCACGCGTGGATCGACGCGCGCATAATGTTCCAAACACTGCCTCCAAGCATCGAAAACTAAGCGCAAGCTCCCATCCGCTCGCATCGCTTCCTTGATGCGCATCGAACGCGCGAAGTCCTCCTTCCCTGCTCTTCCCGCGTCCACGGTCGCGATCAGCTCCTCGTCGATCGCCTCGAGCACACGCGTGAACATATCCACGCCTTGCGTCCCTCGGCTCAATAGATTCGCCAAATCCGCGAAGAACGAGGGCCATCGTTCTGGGTACTCCAGCGCCACGGCGTACGCGCACGCCTGCGCGAGCTTATTTTTCACGAACGCCGGCGTCGACGTCGACGAGGCCGCCGTCGCCGCCGAACTCCGTCGATCATCTCCACCGTCTCCTCCCGTCGCGCTCTCGCCCGTCGCTTCGCTCACGCACGCCCCGAGCGCTCGTCGCAGCGTCTCGGCGTCTTCGTCCGACATCGTCGTCCCGCCTCCTCTCGCCTCCTTCGCCAGCGCCTCCGTCAGCGTCTGCAGGCACCAAAACTTCGTCTCGCTCGACGTCGTGCGCGAGTACGCGCGCAGGCACACCGCCCACGCCCGCGCGTCGCGTTTCAGCGCGTCCAGCGCGCGCGACGCGTCCGCCGCCTTCGCCGTCGCGCGCGCGTCGTTCGTCCGCGCGAACGCGTCGCGCACGACCGCATCGAGCGCATCGACGTCGTCCAGCGTCGTCATCCGCTCGATCGCGCGCGTCGCGCGCGGCGCGCGCCGTCGTCCCGTCGCGCGTCGTAACCGACGCGCGTCGCGGCGGGGCACTGCTCCACACACGGACCGTCGATCGACCATCAGACGCACGTCACACACGGATACCACCCAAAACGACACCGCACTGTTCGCCCACACGAGTCGATCGCGCGGGTTCGGACGCGCGGATAACGCGACGCCGCGGCGACGGCGCTTCGCGACGCGAGGCGCGCGCGCGGTGCGTGCGCGCGCGACGCGACGCGCGCGACGACGCGATCGACTCGACGCGCGCGCGACTCGATATCACGCGATCGACGCGAAAATCGCGACGATCGCGACGATCGCGCGCGAACGCGCGACGGATTCGACGCAAGATGAACGCCGCGCGGCCGGATGCGTCGTACCCCCGACGACGACGAACGGGGCGACGGCGCGACGGCCGATGGCGCGACGGCCGATGGCGGCGACGACGCGACGATCGATGCGAGACTGACCGATGACGACGGCGACGCGACGAACCGCAGGAAAACCACCGACGCGAACCTCGGGAAGCGGCGTAGATCTCGCGCGAAATGTCCGTCGACGCGGCGAGCGCGAGCGCGGGCGCGGGCGTCTTCGGCGCCGTCGGTCGGGTGAAGGAGTCGGCGCAACACGTCTGGGCGCAACAGAAACCGATGAGTGAAATATTGGATGCGTCGGCGTACGCGCGTCCGGTGAGTTTCGGCGACGCGACGTCGAGGATGCAGAAAAACTTAAACTACTTCAGAATCAACTACTTGGTCTTCGCGAGCGCCGTGCTCTCGCTCTTTGTGTTGTTTCATCCGAGCTCGTTGGCGATTTTTGGCTCCGTCGCCGCGGCGTGGGTGTACGTGTTTTCCGTTCGCAGCGAACCGCTTAAGATTGGAGATAGAGAGTTGAGTCATCGCGAGACGTTGATGGGAATGTCCGCGCTGAGCGCGTTCGTAATCTTCATGCTCACGAGCGCGGGCACGGTTTTGTTTAGCGGCCTCGGCGTGGCGTTGCTCGGCGTCGGCGCGCACGCCGCGGCGCGCGTTCCGGACGATTTGTTCGTCGAGGACGCGAACGACAATAAAGGATTCTTCTCGTTCTTAGAGCCTCCTTCGCGTAACGGTCAGGTTTCGTCGGGCACCGTGTAATTACATAAACTCTCAACGCCCCGCCTCGAGCCCGCGGTCGTCCACGCGCGAATCGACGCGCGGCGGATCGATCCCTCGTTCGGTCGGTCGGTCGCGTCATTGACCGTCGCGCCGCGCGCGAGTCGCTCGCGAGTCGGAACCGTCGACGATCGCCGCGCGCCGACGCGTTCGTCGCCGTCATGCACGCCCTCGCGCCGCGCGCCGACGCGAGGCCGTCGTCGTCGGGACGTCGCCATCGTCGACACCGCGCGCGAAATCAAAATCAGCGGACCGCGACGACGTGCGCGTCGACGACGAGCGCGCGAGTGACGCGCGCGGTGAAAGCGCGATCGCGCGCGTCGATCGCGCGAACGTGCGAAACGCGCGCGGTCGGATCGCCGAACGACGAGGCGCTGACGTGGGACGAGATTGAAAACATCGTCAATCGCGACGTGGTGCGAAGCGTCATGACGTCGCGAGTGCTGACGGTGCGACCGGATGAGAGCGTGTTTGAGGCGATGAAATTGTTAGTCGATAATCGAATCAGCGCCGTGCCGGTGGTGAACGCGAGTGGTGAGGTTTTGGGCGTGGTGAGCGAGTACGACCTCATGGCGCGCGTGGGGAAGAAGGAGACGACGAAGAGCGTGGCGGATGACGGGATGTTTCCGCGCGTTGGACGATGCGATGAGTTTAATGGGAACGTGAAAGAAATGTGGAGTCAGTTTCACAACTTGCAAGAGCGCATGTATAAAGCCAGCGGGTCGAAGGTATCGACGGCGATGCACGAGGCGACGACGTGCACGCCGGACATGCCCCTCGTGGAGGCGACGGAATTGATGCTCAACGGTAATCTCGCGCGCATGCCCGTCGTGGACGATCGCGGCGCGTTAGTCGGGATTTTATCTCGCGGCGACATCATGCGCAGGACTTTTCAAGCGTTTCTGTTGGCGCAACAAACGTCGGACAAGGAGTCGTTCGCCAAGGAGGTGATGCGTCTCGATGCGAGCGACCCGAAAATCGTCTCCGAGATCAACGACTCCCCGGGCGTCGTGGAATTCTGCGAGGCGCAGCCGGACGATGATGAGTGTCGCATCTACGAAGATTAAGTCGTACTTTTGTAAATCACCGTTATCCACGCGATTCTTCCGGCTTTGGCTTTGGCTTTTGCTGCCTGGCTTTGGCTGCGGCGCGCCGCGGCGCCGTCGACCGCACAACTCGACGATCGGCGACGCTCGGCGATCGCGATCTCGACGCGAGCGTCCGACGCGAAGCGACATGCCCCGCGCCGAGTCTAAGGCTGGCGGTGGCGCTAAAGCGCGTCGCGCGGCGAAACGCACGAATAAATTCAATCCGAGCGCCGCCGCCGCCGCGCCCGCGCTCGTGAACGTCGGCGACGCGTCGCAGTACGACGATGAGCGCGCGATCGAGCTCGAGCGGAGGAAGAAATCAAACGTTAAGCAAGGGAAGAAGCTTGGCAAGCGAAAGAAGGGAGCGACGAGCGACAAGGAGACTGGTTCGAGCGAGGACGCGGCGCCGAAGAAGAAGCGAAGCGACGCCGCGGCAAACGCGGAGAAGGTGGATTTTAGTAAATTGAGTCGCAAAGAAGCCAAGGCGAAGAGCGATGAGATGAAGGCGCTGAGAAAACCAAACTTTGCGCTGGTGCAGGAGTTGGCGCAGATTTGGGAACGGATGCGAGGCAAAAAGGTGTCCAAGACGGATCGAAGCGCGATGTGCGACGAAATTTACAAAAAGTGCGTGGGGAAGGTTCCCGAGTTGGCAAACAATCACAAAGGTTCGCGCGTGGTGCAGGCGGTGTTGAAATACGGCACTACCGAGCAGTGCGCTAAGATCATGAGCGAAGTGACGCCGCAGATGGCGTTGCTGTCAAAGTCGCTGTACGGGAATTTCCTGGTTCGCAAACTCATAGACGCCGCGGACAAGAAGGAGATACCGGCGCTGGTTGGGAACTTGCGCGGGCAAATCGCGCGATTGGCGCGACATCCCGTGGGGTCACAAATCGTTGAGGCTTTGTTTCACGCGGCTTCGGCGAAAGAAAAGAAGGCGATGACTTTTGAGTTTTACGGTCCAGAATTCGTGCACTTCGGCGCAGCGGACGACGTCAAGTCGCTTCGCGAAGCTTTGCTCCTCAAGCCCGTGGCGCAGCGCCAAGGCATGCTTCGTCACATCAACGTGACGATGATTCCAGTGTTGGAAAAGGGCTTGGTATCTTCATCAGTGATCCATCGGGTATTGGCGGAGTATCTCAGCGTCGGCGGTCCGAGCACAAAAGCCGAGGCGGCGGGATCGATAGCCGCCGCCGGCTTGCTTCGCATGATGCACACGAAGGACGGCGCGCACGCGGTGAATATGATACTTGCACACTCTGGCGCCAAGCAGCGCAAGGGGGTGATCAAGGCGTTGAAAGGTCAAGTTTCGAGGGTATCGCAGGATGATTACGCCCACGTCGTCATCGCCTCGCTCTTCGATTGCGTGGACGACACGCAGTTGTTGGGCAAGGGCGTCGTGAGTGAGCTCAAGGCAGAGAGTTTGGCAGAAGTGGCGTCGCACAAAAACGCTCGGCGTGTGCTGTTGCACATCCTCAATCCTCGATCCACAAGATACTTCCCATCGCACCTGCTCGAGTGCATGCCGGATCCTCAAAAAGTTCGCGAGGACGCCGAAGAAACCGTTGTGGCGATGAAGCGCGGCGGTCAAGCCCAAAAAGATGCGAATAAAGCTGTGGGCAAAGACCTTTCAGATGATGAAGACGATGATGACGATATGGGTACCGTAGATGATGAGTTCGGCGGCGAAGACGAAGAAGAAGCGCCAGAGGGCGACGACGACGACGACGACGACGACGGTTTAGAAGAGGCGCCGGCGGATGGTCCTGATTTTGGCATCGCCAAGAAACCTGCGAGCACGCGCCGCGCCGAACTGTTTCATCAAGGATTGGGAGACTCCCTCGTTGCAGCATGCAGCGTGAACGCGGCGTCGATGTTGCGAAGCAACCTCGCGTCCGACGTGTTGTTCGAAGTCGCTGCGGGCGGGTGTGACGACATCTTTTACAAAACTGTCGGCGACAAAAAGATGACCGACCTATTTGAAGCCATTTCGGAAGCGGTCGCGACATCCATGACATCCGAACAAATCGACGCGGAATTGGGGGAAAAGCTCGAGCCGTTGCACGCAAACTTTTTCTCCACGCGAACGCTTCGTCGCATGGCTTTAGAAGTCAAGCACGCCCAGTTCGTTCCCATTTTCTGGAAAAGTGCGCTGAAGGCGAACTTGAAAACCTGGATCGACGGCCACGGCGCTAAAGTCGTCGCTGCCGTCGTTCGCACGAAAACGGATGCAAAAACGCGCAAAGAAATCCACGCAGCCGTGGGAAAACTGGTCGACAGCGGCGACGCCGCGGCGTGGTCGGAGGGATTTTTCCGCGTCAAGGATGGAGACAAGCCACGAAATTCAGCTGGGAAAGACGAGCAACCGACGTCAAAGAAGGCGAAGAAGGCGAAGAAGGCGTCAAAGTAGACTTTGCGATTGAAATATGATCTAAGAAGTACATTCATTAAACGCACTACAAACGCACTCCCGCCATGTAATATTTTTGTAACAACAGTTCGGACGCTCCGATGTACCGCGCAGCTCAATCGAACCCGACAAGCATGGGCGTGCATTTTTCGTACAAAGCGCGCGGCAATTTCGCCTTGAGCGCGGCGCGCACCTCCTCCGCCTTGTACCGCGCGCTGAAATGAATCAATAAAATAGCTTCGTTCTGGAACTTATCCGCGCGTGCGACGATATCGTCGATGTGCGTGTGCCCGAATCGCTCCGCGTCGTGCTTGCTCACCGCGTCGTCGATGAACGTGCACTCCATGATGAGAAGTTTCGCCCGGAGCGCGTCCGCGTTCGCGGGGTCGTCGATCCAGTCCCCGGTCGTGTCTCCAGTGAACGCCACCTCTGGGACTTCGACTTTATCCGTCACTTGTTCGCCGTCGTCGCGCAACCGCTTAATTTCCGGTCCGCTCAACCCCGCGTACGCGGGCTTCAACTTTTGCTTCGTGCCGTACACGACGTACCCTTGACTCGGCACCGGATGCCTCGTTCTAAAAGCTGCGATTTCAAACAACTTATTCATCGCGTACCGCTCCCCCGGGTCGATCCCGATCGCGCGATGATTCAACTCGCTATCGTCCAACGCTCGCAGCGATTCTATAAACGTCCCGAACGCCTCTCTCCGCGCGCTCGGCAGCAGCACCGTCGGCGGCGTCAGGCTCAACAACCCGCGCGTCGCGATGTACATCCCACACCCTCCGACGTGATCCATGTGCGTGTGACTCAGGCACATCACGTCCGCGTACACGCACCGCTGCGGGCATCGCCCCGAATCGAACGCCACCCCCAGCGCCGGCAGCACCACCGACGTCTCGCGTCCGCCCACGGAGACGCCCTCGATCTTATACCCCGCCAGCTCGTGCACCGCGTGTCGATCGCGATTCTTCGTCCTCTTCTGCGCGGCGTCGTCGCCGTCGCCGTCGCCTTCGCCGTCGCCTTCGCGTCCCGCCGGTCGGTCGCGCGCCGTCGCCATCGCGCGCGTCGTCGTCGTCCGTCGCGTCGCGTCGCGTCGCGCCGTCGCCGTCGCCGTCGCCGTCGCCGTCGACGTCGACGTCGCGCTCGCGCAGGTCGCGCGCGTCGCGACGCGCATGCGACGCGCCGCGCTCCGCGGTCGACCGCGCGCGCGACGGCGACGTCGACCGCGGTCGGTCGCCAAACCCCGAGCGGATGATTGACGACGACGGCAGAGCGCGACGATCGATCGCGCGTCGAGGGCGACGCGAAGCGCGCGCGAGGCAAAACGCGCGAGGCGACGCGCGGCAGACGAAGGCGTCGCGCGAATCGATTCGACGAAGAATCGAGTCTTCGCGCGATTTGATTTTGATTTGATTTTGATTTGATTGATTCGACGCGACGCGACGCCGGGGATGGAACGAGGCGCGCGAACGCGCGCGAATGATGCGCGATGGACGCGAGGGACGATCGGGGCGAGAGGTGCGCGCGAACGGCGCGTCGTCGCGGTGAGAGTGACGACGCGGAGGGTAGGAGGCGACGCGAGCGTCGGCGCGGGAACGTCGAGGACGCGAACGTCGGTGGGGAAAACGCGCGCCGTGAACGGAGAGCGCGATGGTGAAGGCGGCGCGAACGATGAGGGAGACGCGGTGAGGGAGTACGGGACGTTTGGTTCGAGCGCGTCGTTCGCTCGAGACGCGGCGCCGGGGGAGGCGGCGGCGAGCGTGGCGGTGTACGTCGCGCGCGCGGTCGCGCTCGTCGTCGTCTCCGATATCGCGGCGTGGACGGTGACGCTGTATGGAGGGGGGATACCGGCCGCGATGCGCTCGCTGGTGATTTTTGGCGGCATGTCCGTGGTGTACTACGGCGCGTACGTCGCGCGATGGAATCGGTCGATGTTTGATTTGGCGACGCGCTTGGTCGCCGCGGCGGCGATTGGTTCGAGCTCGGTGATCTTTGGTACCGCTTTGGCGCTGAAAGTGATTCCGAGGCCGATGATGCAAGTGTTGGCCATCTTGCTCGCGTCGACGGTGGCGCCGCTGTTGGGCGTATACGTCGAAGAGTTGCGTTTGCACCGTACGTCGACGAGGCGTACGAGACTGATGATATTGTCGGACTGCTCGCTTTACGGTTCGTGGGACGCCGTCGCCGGCACTGTGGCGTGGGCATGCGCCTTCAACCAGTCCGCTGACGCCTTCGGCCCCGCGCTAGCGCAGAGTTCATTTGTCGCGTTTATCGTCGCCGCCGCGTGTCGTTGGATGCGAGCCATGTACGTATTGTACGTTATCGATCACTGGATCATTCAGACGGTCGCCGCGATGTCGCAAGAGTTCACAGAGACGGTGTCGCGAGCGACCGTTGTCGTTATGGAAGAAGTTTCGCGAGCGCCGATCGTCGTTAAGGAAACAGTTTCGCGAGTTTCTGTCGCGATTGCGGAAACGGTGACCCAAACGCCCGACGTGGTTTCGCACAATGACGAATCTCCGCAACCAGTCGCAGAGCCGAAGATGCACGAACGCTCGGACAATAACGAAGCCGCCGTCGCGAGCGTAAAAATGCGGGTTGCGAGAGAACCTCAGCCAGTTGTCATGGAGTCGGCGCCTTCATCCGACGCCGCGCCTGTAGCAGGCGAAAGCGTGAGTGTCACTCAGCAGCCCGATGAACGGCGTATTGAGTACGCGCCTCCGTATACCGCGGTAATTCGTGAGCAGGATCCTCGTCCAGAACCGCCGCGTGTCGTATACGCGCCCGCGTTTGTCGTGGTGGAAGAGGCATCGACGTCGTCTTCTACGGAATCCGACGTCACTCAACCGCTCGAGTCAAAGCGTCGCCGTCGACAGCGGAAGCGACAGTATCGCCGCCGTGAGTCGCTGGCGAAGAATACTATAGACATGAGCGAGATTGTGTCGAAAGAAGTTAACATAGCGCTGAACATGGGCGTTTCGATTGAGGCGGAGCTTCAGCGCATGTTGGATCGACGTCAATCGACGCTGAACGACATGAAAAACCAGCAAGCGAATCCAATTTCTATCGCGCAAGTGGAAGCGGATATTGCCGCGCTGCGTGCTGAGCTGAGACGAGCCACGACATCACGCGAACAATTTCAACGAGCTCAAACGTCGTATGAGAGCGATCTAGAGATGTGGATGGAATCGATACGCGCGGCGGCGGCGGTCTCGCGATTGGACTACGCAATCGATTCACTAAAAAACGCATCGGTCGCCGACGACCCGCAGGTCAAGGAACTCATTGATCAAAGGGCTGTTTGGGGGTTGCGTTTGGTCAGCTCTCAAATATTTACGATTGTTGAATTGCAGGATTCACTTGACTCTGGGGAAGCACGTTCTTCCGCGCGCATAGCAGAATTACGAGGAGCTATAGAAAGTTTGGAGCTCAAATTGACTCGTTTGCAAGAAGAAAAGACGCAGAGCGTCGATAACCGTATTCTTTTGGAGGATCGTCTGCAGAAATTGAATCTTGAAATCGATTCTGTTCGGGAAAGAGAGCGCGTTGCGCAAGAAGACTGGCAAAGAGAGCGCCTGCGCCTGGAAGTTGAGCTCGAAGCTTCAGTCAAGGAACTTCAAACTGCCACGAGAACCGTCGACGACGCTCTCAAGGCGAAGTTAGAACTCCTTGCTAAGCTGCAGACCGCTCAAGATCAGAGCGACACTGATGCAGAGGCGATTCGGCGTCTCGAACATGAAACTGAAACTCTGCAAACGAAGCTCAAGTCCCTCACCGAGCAGCTATCTGTCGCAAATGCTAGTGTTGAACAAATCAATTCGCGTCGATTTGACTTAGAATCGCAACTGCGAGCAAAGGCAACTGAGTTAGACTTGGCAAACGCCAATCGTGCCGATACTTCATTAGTTGAAGAGCTGAGGCGTCAAGTGAAGAATCTATCTACGGAGATCTGTTGGCTCAGAGATCAAAAATCGAGAGAAGGAAGCGAAGCAGAAGCAGTACTTCAAAAGCAACTCGCAGAGGCTCGTACGCAACTCGAAATCCAGCGAAATGAATTAGAAATCGAAGCCAAGGCTGAAATTTCCGAATTGAAGCGATCCATGGATGTTATCCGCGAGGAGATGGAACGTCTAACGTCGGAGATGTCAGAGAAGACTGAAAAGAGTTTAGAGTATCAACGAATAGTTCAAGAGCGTCAAAAAGAGATTGAAAGTCTTACGAAAAACAAAGAGTTGGCCGCTCGCGCAATCGATGAGTCAAAGAAAAACTTGGCTCAGGCTCAGGAAGCGCTGGAGACGAAGCAAAAAGCACTAGATGACCGTGTTTCTCAGGTTGCAAGCTTATCTTTGGATCTTGCAGCGAGTGAGGAGAAAACGCTCACTCTTGAGCGCGAACTCTCAGCATCATGTCAACGCTCACAAGAGCTCGAAGAACTCATCTCCAGTCTTCGCTCGTACTCAGAATCACGCGATGCCTTGCTTGCTGACATAGATTTACTTCTCGGCAACGAAAACGACGAGCGCGAAGCGATGTTACGAGGCAGTAAGAACGCATCTGACCTCGTTGAGCGCATACAGAAACGTCTTCGAAGAGAAGTTGTCCTCGAGAAGAAGCTTGACCAAGCTCAGCTGCTCGAACAGGTAGGTCTCACAGTCGAAGAATTGAAAACACGTGAAGCCGCATCACTTTGGTGGAAGGATCTAGTTCAAATTGGTTCTAAGGCTCTGGAAACGATTCAGAGCACCGCAGTGGATCTATCTAAGGGGACAGTCACGGCTTCATTGTTAGAGCGATCGATCAGTCTACGAGCGAAAGAGCTGCAGAATATCACCAGCGAACCGCAATACCAGAGATTGCAAAAAAGCTTCAATGATCTGAAGCGTCTTTCCGAAGCCGCAGAGCGAAAGTTGCAAGAAAAAGAGCGAAAGATAAAATCATTGAAGGCCGATAGCAAAGAGTCAGCTGCGGAATTGAAGGCGCTTACCTCAGAATTGGCCTCCGTGAAAGAAGATCTTAAATACATCAGAGATATTGCAAAAGAAGAGCGTGATGAACAGATTCAGCGCATAGAATCTCTCATGTTAGAGGTTGATTCATTCGAAAACGCCAAATTTGATGGTGAAGAGGCAGTACGCTTTAGAAACGAAGCAGCGAAGCTTCGAGGGATGAAAATTCGGTTGGAAGCTGAGCTCAAGTTGAGTCAAGATCTCGCAGAGACAGCGAGCAGCGAACTGGCTCGAGCTCGCGAAGAGCACGATGTCGTCATCACGCAGTTGAGTGAAGAAATAGCAGCTCTTGAACTCGACATCACAGTTAAATCTGAAGCGATCGAAAAGTTGGAGTCAAAGACGAATAATATTGAGGTCAAGTTGGGCTCCGATCTTGAGAGCGCGTTAGCAAAACTGAACACCACGCTCGAAGAACTCGATAAAAAGTCCACGGATTTTGCATCTCTTGAAAGCGCATCGGTTGAACAAAAGCGAAACTTTGAGAAGCACGTGGACGAGCTTGAAAAGCGCCTGGGTGCTTCCGAGGCTGAAGTGCAAAGATTGATACAAGATAGAGATCTGGCTATTGAGGCCAAAGACAACGAAATGGTTTCGAAAATTCTTTCGCAGTCCGCTATCGTGTCCGATCTCGAGTCTGAGCGCGACGCGCTGCGTTCGCAGCTCGCCGACCTTTCGTCCGCTCGCGACTCTGAGCTGGCGTCTGTGCGCGCGGATCTTGAGTCCCAGCTTCGCGAGCGCGAGGAGGACATCGAGCGCGTGCGTTCTGAGCTCGACGAGTCCAAGGCGGCACTTGAGTCTGAGCGCGACGCGCTGCAGTCGGAGCTCGAGCGCGTGCTTTCTCAGGTGCCCGAGGTTGACGCGTCGCAGTCCGCTATCGTGTCCGATCTCGAGTCTGAGCGCGACGCGCTGCGTTCGCAGCTCGCCGACCTTTCGTCCGCTCGCGACTCTGAGTTGGCGTCTGTGCGCGCGGATCTTGAGTCCCAGCTTCGCGAGCGCGAGGAGGACATCGAGCGCGTGCGTTCTGAGCTCGACGAGTCCAAGGCGGCACTTGAGTCTGAGCGCGACGCGCTGCAGTCGGAGCTCGAGCGCGTGCTTTCTCAGGTGCCCGAGGTTGACGCGTCGCAGTCCGCTGCCGTGTCCGATCTCGAGTCTGAGCGCGACGCGCTGCGTTCGCAGCTCGCCGACCTTTCGTCCGCTCGCGACTCTGAGTTGGCGTCTGTGCGCGCGGATCTTGAGTCCCAGCTTCGCGAGCGCGAGGAGGACATCGAGCGCGTGCGTTCTGAGCTCGACGAGTCCAAGGCGGCACTTGAGTCTGAGCGCGACGCGCTGCAGTCGGAGCTCGAGCGCGTGCTTTCTCAGGTGCCCGAGGTTGACGCGTCGCAGTCCGCTATCGTGTCCGATCTCGAGTCTGAGCGCGACGCGCTGCGTTCGCAGCTCGCCGACCTTTCGTCCGCTCGCGACTCTGAGTTGGCGTCTGTGCGCGCGGATCTTGAGTCCCAGCTTCGCGAGCGCGAGGAGGACATCGAGCGCGTGCGTTCTGAGCTCGACGAGTCCAAGGCGGCACTTGAGTCTGAGCGCGACGCGCTGCAGTCGGAGCTCGAGCGCGTGCTTTCTCAGGTGCCCGAGGTTGACGCGTCGCAGTCCGCTGCCGTGTCCGATCTCGAGTCTGAGCGCGACGCGCTGCGTTCGCAGCTCGCCGACCTTTCGTCCGCTCGCGACTCTGAGTTGGCGTCTGTGCGCGCGGATCTTGAGTCCCAGCTTCGCGAGCGCGAGGAGGACATCGAGCGCGTGCGTTCTGAGCTCGACGAGTCCAAGGCGGCACTTGAGTCTGAGCGCGACGCGCTGCAGTCGGAGCTCGAGCGCGTGCTTTCTCAGGTGCCCGAGGTTGACGCGTCGCAGTCCGCTATCGTGTCCGATCTCGAGTCTGAGCGCGACGCGCTGCGTTCGCAGCTCGCCGACCTTTCGTCCGCTCGCGACTCTGAGTTGGCGTCTGTGCGCGCGGATCTTGAGTCCCAGCTTCGCGAGCGCGAGGAGGACATCGAGCGCGTGCGTTCTGAGCTCGACGAGTCCAAGGCGGCACTTGAGTCTGAGCGCGACGCGCTGCAGTCGGAGCTCGAGCGCGTGCTTTCTCAGGTGCCCGAGGTTGACGCGTCGCAGTCCGCTGCCGTGTCCGATCTCGAGTCTGAGCGCGACGCGCTGCGTTCGCAGCTCGCCGACCTTTCGTCCGCTCGCGACTCTGAGTTGGCGTCTGTGCGCGCGGATCTTGAGTCCCAGCTTCGCGAGCGCGAGGAGGACATCGAGCGCGTGCGTTCTGAGCTCGACGAGTCCAAGGCGGCACTTGAGTCTGAGCGCGACGCGCTGCAGTCGGAGCTCGAGCGCGTGCTTTCTCAGGTGCCCGAGGTTGACGCGTCGCAGTCCGCTGCCGTGTCCGATCTCGAGTCTGAGCGCGACGCGCTGCGTTCGCAGCTCGCCGACCTTTCGTCCGCTCGCGACTCTGAGTTGGCGTCTGTGCGCGCGGATCTTGAGTCCCAGCTTCGCGAGCGCGAGGAGGACATCGAGCGCGTGCGTTCTGAGCTCGACGAGTCCAAGGCGGCACTTGAGTCTGAGCGCGACGCGCTGCAGTCGGAGCTCGAGCGCGTGCTTTCTCAGGTGCCCGAGGTTGACGCGTCGCAGTCCGCTGCCGTGTCCGATCTCGAGTCTGAGCGCGACGCGCTGCGTTCGCAGCTCGCCGACCTTTCGTCCGCTCGCGACTCTGAGTTGGCGTCTGTGCGCGCGGATCTTGAGTCCCAGCTTCGCGAGCGCGAGGAGGACATCGAGCGCGTGCGTTCTGAGCTCGACGAGTCCAAGGCGGCACTTGAGTCTGAGCGCGACGCGCTGCAGTCGGAGCTCGAGCGCGTGCTTTCTCAGGTGCCCGAGGTTGACGCGTCGCAGTCCGCTGCCATGTCCGATCTCGAGTCTGAGCGCGACGCGCTGCGTTCGCAGCTCTCTGAGCTTCGTCAAATGTCCTCCGAATCCATCGCAGGACTCCAGCAGCAATTAGTCGCATTTTCGGCGGAGGCGGACTCTGCGGCTTCCTTGAGAAAAACAGTTAAAGAGTTGAAGGCAACTATCAGACAGCGCGAAAATTTGCTTTCTGAAACGGTGTTCGATCCGATGTTGAATGATGACTTGGACCGTATGAACGATGAGCTTGCATCGAAGAGTGCGGAACTAGATTCTGCACGGACGAAGTTGCAGTCGACTCTTAATAAGTTAAAAGAACGCGAGGAGCAGGCTGAATCTTCGCAAGCTGTTGCAAGTGCTGTCATAGATGAGATCCGCGCCGAGCTTTTGAATGCAAACGAAAAGTTGGCTGCTCGTGAGTCATACGCCAACGCTGTTGAGTTGGCGCTGCGGTCAGAACTCACAGAAAGAGAGAAAGAAATTGCGCTTTTGCGTGTCAAGGTAGCTAAAATTCTCGATGACAGCACGAACAAGCAGACAAGTCTCACCACTGCGCTCGATTCTGCGCAGTCTGAGATTGAGCGCCTCACTCGCGAGCTCGAGGATGTTGAGCAGAGCAAGCAAGTGGCCATGAAGGAGTCATTTGAGCGCAACGAATCGCAGATTGCGTCTCTGAACGCCGCGCACCGCGAGTTGGATCAGCGCCTGCGAGACGAGCTCGACGCGGCGCTCAAAGCGAAGGCAAGTCTTGAGAAGGAGCTCAGCGACCGCGCGGAATCCACCGCTGCTACCGAAACAGCGAAGCGCAACGCCGAAGCACTGAGCGAAAGCTTGCAATCGCAGCTTGATGCACTGTCCACGCAGCGTGCTGAGCTCGAGCAGCGGCTGGTCAAGCGCGAGGAGGAGCTCGTCGCTGAGCTTGACGCAGCCAAGCATGAAGCCACAGCGCAGGCCGCACGTTTTGCACAACTTGGCGAGGCGGCCTCAGATCACGCACACGACGAGGTTGATAAACTTAAGTCCGAAGTGGAACGACTCGAGTTTGAGCTCGGCGCTGTGAAAAACGAGCTGACAAGCGCGACGTCGACTGCGAAAGCGGACATTGCGAGGCTTACGGATGAACTTGCAAGCGCCAGCGCCGCGCGAGACGCCGTGGCTGAAACCGCTCATCCAGAAGAAGACGGGTCATCGGAGTCCGCATCGGCGTTCGAAGCCATGAGACGCGACATGACTCGTCTCGAGTCGGAGCTTGCCGCCGCTCTCGCGGAGCTTGCGGAGCTCGAATCGCCTCGCGAGTCAGAGTCCTCAGATACTGAAGCTATTCGCGAGTTCACCACTGCGCTCGATTCTGCGCAGTCTGAGATTGAGCGCCTCACTCGCGAGCTCGAGGATGTTGAGCAGAGCAAGCAAGTGGCCATGAAGGAGTCATTTGAGCGCAACGAATCGCAGATTGCGTCTCTGAACGCCGCGCACCGCGAGTTGGATCAGCGCCTGCGAGACGAGCTCGACGCGGCGCTCAAAGCGAAGGCAAGTCTTGAGGAGCGCAGCGACCGCGCGGAATCCACCGCTGCTACCGAAACAGCGAAGCGCAACGCCGAAGCACTGAGCGAAAGCTTGCAATCGCAGCTTGATGCACTGTCCACGCAGCGTGCTGAGCTCGAGCAGCGGCTAGTCAAGCGCGAGGAGGAGCTCGTCGCTGAGCTTGACGCAGCCAAGCATGAAGCCACAGCGCAGGCCGCACGTTTTGCACAACTTGGCGAGGCGGCCTCAGATCACGCACACGACGAGGTTGATAAACTTAAGTCCGAAGTGGAACGACTCGAGTTTGAGCTCGGCGCTGTGAAAAACGAGCTGACAAGCGCGACGTCGACTGCGAAAGCGGACATTGCGAGGCTTACGGATGAACTTGCAAGCGCCAGCGCCGCGCGAGACGCCGTGGCTGAAACCGCTCATCCAGAAGAAGACGGGTCATCGGAGTCCGCATCGGCGTTCGAAGCCATGAGACGCGACATGACTCGTCTCGAGTCGGAGCTTGCCGCCGCTCTCGCGGAGCTTGCGGAGCTCGAATCGCCTCGCGAGTCAGAGTCCTCAGATACTGAAGCTATTCGCGAGTTCACCACTGCGCTCGATTCTGCGCAGTCTGAGATTGAGCGCCTCACTCGCGAGCTCGAGGATGTTGAGCAGAGCAAGCAAGTGGCCATGAAGGAGTCATTTGAGCGCAACGAATCGCAGATTGCGTCTCTGAACGCCGCGCACCGCGAGTTGGATCAGCGCCTGCGAGACGAGCTCGACGCGGCGCTCAAAGCGAAGGCAAGTCTTGAGAAGGAGCGCAGCGACCGCGCGGAATCCACCGCTGCTACCGAAACAGCGAAGCGCAACGCCGAAGCACTGAGCGAAAGCTTGCAATCGCAGCTTGATGCACTGTCCACGCAGCGTGCTGAGCTCGAGCAGCGGCTAGTCAAGCGCGAGGAGGAGCTCGTCGCTGAGCTTGACGCAGCCAAGCATGAAGCCACAGCGCAGGCCGCACGTTTTGCACAACTTGGCGAGGCGGCCTCAGATCACGCACACGACGAGGTTGATAAACTTAAGTCCGAAGTGGAACGACTCGAGTTTGAGCTCGGCGCTGTGAAAAACGAGCTGACAAGCGCGACGTCGACTGCGAAAGCGGACATTGCGAGGCTTACGGATGAACTTGCAAGCGCCAGCGCCGCGCGAGACGCCGTGGCTGAAACCGCTCATCCAGAAGAAGACGGGTCATCGGAGTCTGCATCGGCGTTCGAAGCCATGAGACGCGACATGACTCGTCTCGAGTCGGAGCTTGCCGCCGCTCTCGCGGAGCTTGCGGAGCTCGAATCGCCTCGCGAGTCAGAGTCCTCAGATACTGAAGCTATTCGCGAGTTCACCACTGCGCTCGATTCTGCGCAGTCTGAGATTGAGCGCCTCACTCGCGAGCTCGAGGATGTTGAGCAGAGCAAGCAAGTGGCCATGAAGGAGTCATTTGAGCGCAACGAATCGCAGATTGCGTCTCTGAACGCCGCGCACCGCGAGTTGGATCAGCGCCTGCGAGACGAGCTCGACGCGGCGCTCAAAGCGAAGGCAAGTCTTGAGAAGGAGCTCAGCGACCGCGCGGAATCCACCGCTGCTACCGAAATAGCGAAGCGCAACGCCGAAGCACTGAGCGAAAGCTTGCAATCGCAGCTTGATGCTTCTCGCGCTGAAGAGGCGAAGCTCCGTGATGAGCTCAATCATTTTCAGGAGCTTGCACGAGAGGAGATTTCAGCACTCCATAATGAAATTACCGAAATAAAATTCACGTCGCAAGAAAGTCAAGCGTCGCTTGGAGAATCACCGTGGCCGAGTATCACAATTTCCACCCTTGCGGGTCTTAACGAGATGATGTCTCGGGGATCTGAATTCGGGAGTGAAGGCTTAGATTGGCTTGAGCACGCCGCACACGAAGTACAAGCGCTTGAAAAGTCCGTGTTGGATGCGACGGCTGAGCTCGAGTTACGAGAGAATGAATATGAACAAACTATTGCACAGTTGCAAGATAGTGTTCGTGACGCGGAAACTGACCTCAACTCGCAGAAGAGTCTGGCTAGCGCAGCTTTGAGCGACGTCGAGCATCTGAATGATAAATTGGCCGAACGCGATGAGGAGCTGGCATCACTCCGGCTCGAACTCGCGAACTTGGTTTCAGATGACGTCACACGCGAGCTTGAATTAACGATCAGTAATTTGAGGATACAGCTGACCGCAAAAGATAACGAGTTGAATGGAGCTGTCGCGTCGTTGAATGATTTGGAAAACGACAAGAGAGCTATAGAAGAAGCAATGTCCGAACTACAAGCTGCAGCTGACATGCAAGCAGCTCGAGTGCAAACATCGATTGAGCAAATATCAAGTTTGAATGTTGAGCTGGCCAAGCGCTCTGCAGCTCTTGATGCTAGTTGGGATAATCTTTCTCACGCTGAATCACGCGCACGTTTTGCCGAGCAAGAGCGAGACGACGTTCGCCGGCTTTTTGAGGAGCGACTTGCTGTGAAAGAGCGAGCACTACGCGAGACACAAGGAGATGTTGAACATCTTCGTCAGACGGTGCGTAATCTTCAGGATAAATTGAAAGCACATAGATATGCACGTTCTGAGACCGAAGCTGGTCATCCAGAAGAAGACGGGTCATCGGAGTCTGCATCGGCGTTCGAAGCCATGAGACGCGACATGACTCGTCTCGAGTCGGAGCTTGCCGCCGCTCTCGCGGAGCTTGCGGAGCTCGAATCGCCTCGCGAGTCAGAGTCCTCAGATACTGAAGCTATTCGCGAGTTCACCACTGCGCTCGATTCTGCGCAGTCTGAGATTGAGCGCCTCACTCGCGAGCTCGAGGATGTTGAGCAGAGCAAGCAAGTGGCCATGAAGGAGTCATTTGAGCGCAACGAATCGCAGATTGCGTCTCTGAACGCCGCGCACCGCGAGTTGGATCAGCGCCTGCGAGACGAGCTCGACGCGGCGCTCAAAGCGAAGGCAAGTCTTGAGAAGGAGCTCAGCGACCGCGCGGAATCCACCGCTGCTACCGAAACAGCGAAGCGCAACGCCGAAGCACTGAGCGAAAGCTTGCAATCGCAGCTTGATGGAAAAACTTGAGTCATTGCGCCGTGAGCACGAAACAAAACTGAACGACATGCGTGAGTCTGCAACACAACAACGCGCGGATCTTGAGTCCCAGCTTCGCGAGCGCGAGGAGGACATCGAGCGCGTGCGTTCTGAGCTCGACGAGTCCAAGGCGGCACTTGAGTCTGAGCGCGACGCGCTGCAGTCGGAGCTCGAGCGCGTGCTTTCTCAGGTGTCTGAGTCTGAGTCTCTGCAGTCCGCTGCCGTGTCCGATCTCGAGTCTGAGCGCGACGCGCTGCGTTCGCAGCTCGCCGACCTTTCGTCCGCTCGCGACTCTGAGTTGGCGTCTGTGCGCGCGGATCTTGAGTCCCAGCTTCGCGAGCGCGAGGAGGACATCGAGCGCGTGCGTTCTGAGCTCGACGAGTCCAAGGCGGCACTTGAGTCTGAGCGCGACGCGCTGCAGTCGGAGCTCGAGCGCGTGCTTTCTCAGGTGTCTGAGTCTGAGTCTCTGCAGTCCGCTGCCGTGTCCGATCTCGAGTCTGAGCGCGACGCGCTGCGTTCGCAGCTCGCCGACCTTTCGTCCGCTCGCGACTCTGAGTTGGCGTCTGTGCGCGCGGATCTTGAGTCCCAGCTTCGCGAGCGCGAGGAGGACATCGAGCGCGTGCGTTCTGAGCTCGACGAGTCCAAGGCGGCACTTGAGTCTGAGCGCGACGCGCTGCAGTCGGAGCTCGAGCGCGTGCTTTCTCAGGTGTCTGAGTCTGAGTCTCTGCAGTCCGCTGCCGTGTCCGATCTCGAGTCTGAGCGCGACGCGCTGCGTTCGCAGCTCGCCGACCTTTCGTCCGCTCGCGACTCTGAGTTGGCGTCTGTGCGCGCGGATCTTGAGTCCCAGCTTCGCGAGCGCGAGGAGGACATCGAGCGCGTGCGTTCTGAGCTCGACGAGTCCAAGGCGGCACTTGAGTCTGAGCGCGACGCGCTGCAGTCGGAGCTCGAGCGCGTGCTTTCTCAGGTGTCTGAGTCTGAGTCTCTGCAGTCCGCTGCCGTGTCCGATCTCGAGTCTGAGCGCGACGCGCTGCGTTCGCAGCTCGCCGACCTTTCGTCCGCTCGCGACTCTGAGTTGGCGTCTGTGCGCGCGGATCTTGAGTCCCAGCTTCGCGAGCGCGAGGACGACATCGAGCGCGTGCGTTCTGAGCTCGACGAGTCCAAGGCGGCACTTGAGTCTGAGCGCGACGCGCTGCAGTCGGAGCTCGAGCGCGTGCTTTCTCAGGTGCCCGAGGTTGACGCGTCGCAGTCCGCTGCCGTGTCCGATCTCGAGTCTGAGCGCGACGCGCTGCGTTCGCAGCTCGCCGACCTTTCGTCCGCTCGCGACTCTGAGTTGGCGTCTGTGCGCGCGGATCTTGAGTCCCAGCTTCGCGAGCGCGAGGAGGACATCGAGCGCGTGCGTTCTGAGCTCGACGAGTCCAAGGCGGCACTTGAGTCTGAGCGCGACGCGCTGCAGTCGGAGCTCGAGCGCGTGCTTTCTCAGGTGCCCGAGGTTGACGCGTCGCAGTCCGCTGCCGTGTCCGATCTCGAGTCTGAGCGCGACGCGCTGCGTTCGCAGCTCGCCGACCTTTCGTCCGCTCGCGACTCTGAGTTGGCGTCTGTGCGCGCGGATCTTGAGTCCCAGCTTCGCGAGCGCGAGGAGGACATCGAGCGCGTGCGTTCTGAGCTCGACGAGTCCAAGGCGGCACTTGAGTCTGAGCGCGACGCGCTGCAGTCGGAGCTCGAGCGCGTGCTTTCTCAGGTGCCCGAGGTTGACGCGTCGCAGTCCGCTGCCGTGTCCGATCTCGAGTCTGAGCGCGACGCGCTGCGTTCGCAGCTCGCCGACCTTTCGTCCGCTCGCGACTCTGAGTTGGCGTCTGTGCGCGCGGATCTTGAGTCCCAGCTTCGCGAGCGCGAGGAGGACATCGAGCGCGTGCGTTCTGAGCTCGACGAGTCCAAGGCGGCACTTGAGTCTGAGCGCGACGCGCTGCAGTCGGAGCTCGAGCGCGTGCTTTCTCAGGTGCCCGAGGTTGACGCGTCGCAGTCCGCTGCCGTGTCCGATCTCGAGTCTGAGCGCGACGCGCTGCGTTCGCAGCTCGCCGACCTTTCGTCCGCTCGCGACTCTGAGTTGGCGTCTGTGCGCGCGGATCTTGAGTCCCAGCTTCGCGAGCGCGAGGAGGACATCGAGCGCGTGCGTTCTGAGCTCGACGAGTCCAAGGCGGCACTTGAGTCTGAGCGCGACGCGCTGCAGTCGGAGCTCGAGCGCGTGCTGGGAGAGTTGAGTCAGTCGACTTCGGCGCTTCGGCGCGTTGAGGAGGATCTCAATGCCGCTTTAAGCGACCGCGATGAGTTCGAAGAAGAGAGTGATCGTTTGCGTCGGCGTCTACCACGACTTGAACGAGAGCATAACGAGTTGGAGGATGCAATGCGCTTGGAAATGGACGAATTGGCTTCAAAGCTTGCAGCGATGTCAAAAGCGCGCGATGATCTCGAGAAGGACATGATTGAGCAGAGTGATGGTCTGTACAAGGCACTTGGCAGTAGCCGCGAGGATCTGCAGCGAGAACTAAACGAGGGCAAGAAGTTACTTGCTCAACGTGAGGCCGAGCTAAAGCGTTTAACTGCCGATTTTTCGTTGAAAGAGCACGCAATTGAGTCTGAGCGAGAAGCACTTGCGACCGAATTGGATCGACTGATACACAAGGTGCCAGCCTTGGAGTTGACTACGGCTGAACTAGAGGCTGAACGCGCGGAGTTGCGCGAAAAGCTTGATGATTTGATAGCAAATCGTGATCAGCTGGCGGCCAATCTGCGAACCGAGAACGATTCGATGTCAGCAGAACTGTCCATGACTCGAGAAGCTCTTGATGAACAATTCAATGCCGTTACAACACAGCTCCTTGAAACCGATGAGATCATCGACAAGATGCGCAAGGATAACGAAGCTGCAAAGGAAGCAGCAGAGAACGACCGCTTAGCGCTACAAGGTGAGCTTGAGCGCGTGGTGTCGGAATCAAATAAGCTGCGGGCAGCTCAAGCCACGGCCGAGTCTCTTCTACGCGCAGAGCGTGATGATCTCGAAGACAAGGTCGAAAAACTTGAGTCATTGCGCCGTGAGCACGAAACAAAACTGAACGACATGCGTGAGTCTGCAACACAACAACGCGCGGATCTTGAGTCCCAGCTTCGCGAGCGCGAGGAGGACATCGAGCGCGTGCGTTCTGAGCTCGACGAGTCCAAGGCGGCACTTGAGTCTGAGCGCGACGCGCTGCAGTCGGAGCTCGAGCGCGTGCTTTCTCAGGTGTCTGAGTCTGAGTCTCTGCAGTCCGCTGCCGTGTCCGATCTCGAGTCTGAGCGCGACGCGCTGCGTTCGCAGCTCGCCGACCTTTCGTCCGCTCGCGACTCTGAGTTGGCGTCTGTGCGCGCGGATCTTGAGTCCCAGCTTCGCGAGCGCGAGGAGGACATCGAGCGCGTGCGTTCTGAGCTCGACGAGTCCAAGGCGGCACTTGAGTCTGAGCGCGACGCGCTGCAGTCGGAGCTCGAGCGCGTGCTTTCTCAGGTGCCCGAGGTTGACGCGTCGCAGTCCGCTGCCGTGTCCGATCTCGAGTCTGAGCGCGACGCGCTGCGTTCGCAGCTCGCCGACCTTTCGTCCGCTCGCGACTCTGAGTTGGCGTCTGTGCGCGCGGATCTTGAGTCCCAGCTTCGCGAGCGCGAGGAGGACATCGAGCGCGTGCGTTCTGAGCTCGACGAGTCCAAGGCGGCACTTGAGTCTGAGCGCGACGCGCTGCAGTCGGAGCTCGAGCGCGTGCTGGGAGAGTTGAGTCAGTCGACTTCGGCGCTTCGGCGCGTTGAGGAGGATCTCAATGCCGCTTTAAGCGACCGCGATGAGTTCGAAGAAGAGAGTGATCGTTTGCGTCGGCGTCTACCACGACTTGAACGAGAGCATAACGAGTTGGAGGATGCAATGCGCTTGGAAATGGACGAATTGGCTTCAAAGCTTGCAGCGATGTCAAAAGCGCGCGATGATCTCGAGAAGGACATGATTGAGCAGAGTGATGGTCTGTACAAGGCACTTGGCAGTAGCCGCGAGGATCTGCAGCGAGAACTAAACGAGGGCAAGAAGTTACTTGCTCAACGTGAGGCCGAGCTAAAGCGTTTAACTGCCGATTTTTCGTTGAAAGAGCACGCACTTGAGTCTGAGCGAGAAGCACTTGCGACCGAATTGGATCGACTGATACACAAGGTGCCAGCCTTGGAGTTGACTGCGGCTGAACTAGAGGCTGAACGCGCGGAGTTGCGCGAAAAGCTTGATGATTTGATAGCAAATCGTGATCAGCTGGCGGCCAATCTGCGAACCGAGAACGATTCGATGTCAGCAGAACTGTCCATGACTCGAGAAGCTCTTGATGAACAATTCAATGCCGTTACAACACAGCTCCTTGAAACCGATGAGATCATCGACAAGATGCGCAAGGATAACGAAGCTGCAAAGGAAGCAGCAGAGAACGACCGCTTAGCGCTACAAGGTGAGCTTGAGCGCGTGGTGTCGGAATCAAATAAGCTGCGGGCAGCTCAAGCCACGGCCGAGTCTCTTCTACGCGCAGAGCGTGATGATCTCGAAGACAAGGTCGAAAAACTTGAGTCATTGCGCCGTGAGCACGAAACAAAACTGAACGACGTGCGTGAGTCTGCAACACAACAACGCGCGGATCTTGAGTCCCAGCTTCGCGAGCGCGAGGAGGACATCGAGCGCGTGCGTTCTGAGCTCGACGAGTCCAAGGCGGCACTTGAGTCTGAGCGCGACGCGCTGCAGTCGGAGCTCGAGCGCGTGCTTTCTCAGGTGTCTGAGTCTGAGTCTCTGCAGTCCGCTGCCGTGTCCGATCTCGAGTCTGAGCGCGACGCGCTGCGTTCGCAGCTCGCCGACCTTTCGTCCGCTCGCGACTCTGAGTTGGCGTCTGTGCGCGCGGATCTTGAGTCCCAGCTTCGCGAGCGCGAGGAGGACATCGAGCGCGTGCGTTCTGAGCTCGACGAGTCCAAGGCGGCACTTGAGTCTGAGCGCGACGCGCTGCAGTCGGAGCTCGAGCGCGTGCTTTCTCAGGTGTCTGAGTCTGAGTCTCTGCAGTCCGCTGCCGTGTCCGATCTCGAGTCTGAGCGCGACGCGCTGCGTTCGCAGCTCGCCGACCTTTCGTCCGCTCGCGACTCTGAGTTGGCGTCTGTGCGCGCGGATCTTGAGTCCCAGCTTCGCGAGCGCGAGGAGGACATCGAGCGCGTGCGTTCTGAGCTCGACGAGTCCAAGGCGGCACTTGAGTCTGAGCGCGACGCGCTGCAGTCGGAGCTCGAGCGCGTCATGGACGACGTTCTGAACGCAGAAGCGCTTGCGGAGCAAGCTGAGCTTATACGCTCGCAGATGCAGGCGGACATGGAGCAACTTGTTGAAGCGCGACAAAGTGTTGAGCAGCGTTTGCAGGATGTGGACAGTGCTCTTCAGATTTCTTTGAACAAGGTTGCCACGCTTGAGATTGAGCAAGAAAGATTGCGACTCGAACTCTCCGCTTCCGAGAAAGCCTTAGCCGAAAGTGAACGTGCTAGGTCAGAATCAGACGCAGAAATTCTGGCGCTTAGCGACGAGCTGTCGGACGCTTTGAATGCACGGTTACTTATTGAGCAACGACTTCGTGCGCGCGACGAGGAACTGGAGACCGCGCGCATCAAACAATCTGAATTAATTACGGAGAATTCAAAGCTCCGAGCTGAACTCATGGATGCCAAAGCAATGGCAGACGATTACACTCGGCAGTTGTCTTCAGGGCTATTCGGCGATGAAAAGCGTGTCGAGGCTGGAATTCAACGATTTGACTCTTTCGAGGCGTCGGACACTGGTATATTTGCCACAGACGAAGCAGACGAAGCTTTCGTGACCGCCTGCAATATGGTGCAACGAATTGAAATCTTAGTTCGTCGACAAAAGCAAACGGGCGAAGAATTAAAGCGACTAGATGACACTGGCGCGGCTGAATCAGACGATGCGCGCTTATTGCGCTCCGAGCTCGCCGCTATGGGTTCTCAACTCGACTCGTGCAGAGAAACTCTCGCTGCGTGCTCGCACGGTCTCAGCGTGCTTGAATCGCGCATGGCCGAAGAATTCGCGGCGATGGGCAAGTCGCCAATGTTCGCAGAAGGCATGGACACTACTCGCAGTCGCGTACGCGATCTAGAAAAGTCACTCGCGGCGGCGAATGCCCAGTCCGACGTCACCTTCAAGAATCTGCAAATCGCGCTCGACGCATCGACGATGGATGTCGGAAGGGATATTCCTGTCGAGTTTAAAATCCCGTTTCAATCAATCCCAGGACAACGTATTTTAGTCGTTGGTACTTGGTGCGATTGGATCACTCAAAACGGCTTGCAGTTGACGTGGACCGAGGGGAACATATGGAAAGGCACGATGACACTGCACACAGGCTCAAATTACGAGTACAAGTACGTCGTTGTGGAGGAAGTCCTCGGCGGAGTGCCTGGGGAAGCACCGCCGTACTTTCCGCCCTGGGGCACAACCGAGCCAAAGATTGAGCAGATGTTCGACGGACGGGCGTACATGCTCGTCTGGCAGCCAGGAAACAACAAGGCGATGGCGCTCGACAACATTCACACGGATGGCGTCGCGCAAATTAAAGTTTCAGACGACTGGATCGCCAATCCCAAGAAATCACCGATCACACTCTTCGCCGCGGATGGAGAAGTGCTTGAGATCGTCGGCTCGACGGCACTGCTCGGTGAAACGGTCGATCGCGCCGATCACGCCCTCGCCGAGGCTCGAAAGCAAGTCCAAATGATGGCCGACTTGGCGAGCGCCGCGTTGGCTGAAGTCGATACCCAGCTCGCGAGACGAATCGCCACGCAACTGGACGATATTCGTCACAAAGGAACTTTGTCTACCGACAGCGACGGTAAGCATCACCGTGGAACAAAGGCGCTTCCCTCGAGCGTTGAGGCCGGCTCGCCAAGGTCTAATCTTAACTGGATGAATATTGGATTCGGGTTGGAAGCCCAAGACGATGGCGAAGATTCAACATCGGCTTCGACTGACGCGGAAGACGCCGGCGATGGCATCGACTACGCGTAAGGAATGCATGCGATCACGGCAAACGATCGCCATAGCGCGCACCATAGCATTTAGATGTACACGATGAATGTGTCTAGAAATCAAATCGCGCCCGATTCGCCGACGTGAAATTTCTTCGCCCCCAACTCCCTCGCCGCCACGCGCTGTTCCACGGCTCGCGCGTCACTGACGGGCGGTACCGCGCGCGCGTAATGTCGCATCGCGCGTCCAATATCACGCTCCTCTTCTTCCGCGTCGTCCCCCACCCCATAAAAACCCACGAGCTCTAACAAACGATCCGGCTGCTTCGCCACCGCGTCTCTCGCCTCCGCCGCGCCGAGCGTCTCCTCCAACCCGCGCATCGCTTCTTCCAGCGCTCGCCCATCGCACAGCAGCAGTCCCGGTGCGAGCGTTATCTGCCGCCCTGAGATCCCCGCCACGCATCGTTTCACCATCAACACGCGCTTTACGAATTCGTCCTCGCGCAGCGCCAACAGCCTCGGCTCTCGCGCCGCGGACGCCGGCACGTCCAACCCGTGCGAGCCGCAATTTCCGTCGCCATCCACCGGGAACACGCGCAACAGCGCGCGCACTTTCGATTCCAATCGCGCTGGATCGCGATACAGCGATTCGCGCGATGATTTCGTGACGATTTGTCGGCAGTGCGCGGCGCCCGTCCAATTTCTCCAAAACTTTTCAACCGCGCGGTCGTTCGCGTCGGTGAACGCGCACTCGCCGTCGCCCGCGCTGCGCGCGCGCGCCGCGCGACTCGCCGCGCCCGAAGTCGACGTCGACGGCCCGCGCGACGGCGCGCGCGTGAAGTTTGCGCGCATCTGAATGACGGCGTAACGTCTTCGCGATGGCGCCGGTCGCGGTCGCCGCGAACGTTGAAATCGCGGCGCCGCTCGCGGTGGAAGACACGGCCACGCTTTGCGACCTCGTGCGCGGCGCGCTGTGCTTCTGGCGGTGCGAGAGGGATTATTTCTTCGCGGAAGGGTCGAAGTGCGCGAGGGCGCGAGACGCGTGCGCGGCGGCGTGTCGCCTGCCGCCGGAATGGGTCACGCGAGCGCTCGGCACGACGCGAGAACGAGAAATCGCGAAGCACACGGACCCTTTGGAACGGAAAGAATATTTGGGGACGCTCACGGAGGAGGAGGCGCGGACGTTGAGGCGGAGACGGGCGGAGGCGGCGCGCTTCGTGAGACGAAGAGCGATGGCCGCGGCGCCGGAGAGACAGAGCATGACGAAGCGGGCGGGGGAACGACGGAGACGGGAGCGAGCGTGGACCTCGTCAAAGTTGAGAAAGGATGGGGACGACGCGTCGGTGAGCGCGAGCGATGAGTTCGGGAAGGCGGAGGCGCTCGAGGCCGAGCTAGCGGAGGCGAACGCTCGGCGGTATCGCCGCGCCTACGACGGCGCCGATGAATCGGGGTATTCGTCGCGATCGTCGTCGTATTACTCGGACGAATCGTCGTATTCGTCGTACACCGGGTCGTCGTATTCGTCGTACACCGGGTCGTCGTATTCGTCGTACGCCTCGGACGCAGACGCCGAGCGGGAGCGTCGGCGCGCGTTGGCGCTCGACGCAATGAAGCCCCCGAACGACGCCACGGCGATGACCGTCTCGCGCAAGGATGCGCTCGGCAAACCATTAATCGTCGGCAAGCACTTGGCGTTCGCCACCGAAGGTTTACTCCCCGAAGGCTTGACGCGCTGGGAGGCGTACATCGCCGAAGCCGAACGCGCCGGCGAGCTTCGCGACGCCAAAATGCGTCGCCGCGCCGAGCGTCGCGATCGATCCCTCCACCGCGAGCTCGATGCTCTGAAACTCTACGCCGACAGGGTCAAGCTCAGCGAGCAAGACGTGCAAATCCGTCGTCAAGCGTTGATCGACGCGCACGACGCGCGCGTTCGCGAATCCGTCGAGCGCGAAGTCAAAATAGCCGCCCGCGCGCGTCGCAAGCGCAACGTCCTGCTCAATCTCGACCACGACGCGCGCTCTAGATTATTAAAGCGCTGGGCTCTCCGCCCCAGCGCTCAGAAATAGCACCGATTCAGAGTCGTGCCGCGCGTCCGGCGCGCTCGTTCGCGCGCCGTCGCCGCCTCGCCAGTCTCACACCGCGCCGCGCCGCTTCGCGTCGCCGCCGCCGCGCGCGCGTCATGTCTCGCGCCGGACTCACGCCCGCCGCGCGCCGCGCGATGGACCGCGCGCTCGACGGCGCGCCCGACGCCGTCGAGCGCGTCGCGCAGAAACCGCCCGCGCCCGCGACGCGCCGCCGCGCGCGCGGTCGCTCGCTCGCGCGCGCCGTCCCGCTCGTCGCGTTCCTCGACGACCGACCGCGATTGAAACACTTCTCGCTCGGCTTCCTCGCGGGCGCGTGCGCGATGGCGGCGATCGCGATGGAGGAGGTGAAGAGGATGGTGGCGGCGCGCGACGACGAGCGGCGGCGCGAGCGAGACGCGAGACGACGCGCGAGGATTGAGAAAAAGGCGGTGAATAAATTGAACTCGGTGCCGATAATCGTGGAGATGAGCGATGAAGAGGCGGGCGACGGGATCGGGGGGGACGTCGGGACGAGGGACGAAGAGCACAAGATGGCGCTGCTGGTGCGAGAGGACGTGGCGATGGGGGCGGGGAAGTTGGCGGCGCAGGCGGGACACGCGGCGGTTGGCGCGGCGATGGCGACGCGGGATCGATCGCCGATGCTGATGGGAAGATGGGAGTGCGATGGGCAAAAGAAGGTGACGCTGGGGGTGAAGAATCTGAGGGTGATGAATGAACTGTTGGGAGAGGCGAAGACGGCGCGGTTGACGACGTTTGTCGTGGAGGACGCCGGCCGCACGGAGGTGGAACCGGGCACGGTGACGGTCGCCGCCATCGGACCGGCGGCGGCGTCCGACATTGATAAAATCACGGGACACCTGCGTTTGTACTAGCGTTTCGTCGATCGTTCCGGGACTAGATTATCATCAATGAGAAATTCAATTATTGTTTTACAAATCTTTCGTCGTCGGACGGTCTTGTAAGTCTCGATCAAGAAAAGACGTCTTCCCGATCCATCGGTGCCGTTTCTTCCGGTTTCTCCGCCTCGAGCGCGGCGAACTCGAGGAAGTGCGTCGGTCTGTGTCGCTCGTGGTAAAATTCGAGCGGATTCCCGAGCTTGAGTGCGTACTTCATGCCCGCCGAGTGCTTGACGCCTTGGAAAGAATAGTTCCACGACCCGCCGTCGGGAACCATGTAGTAACCCAAGAAACGATCGGAGAGTAACATTTGAACCTTTTCGAAATGTCCGGGTCCATATCCTTGCGGATTTGTGCTCGTCATGTCCTTGTTCGCGCGGCCCCATTCGTACCCTGCGGGCGTGATCTTGTACGCCGTCAACGAGCACGAACCCGGGGTGAACGAGCACGTCAAGATGATGCTCTTTTCTCCATCCCAGGACGAATTTTGCTCGAGAATCTTGGCGTGCTGCGTGCAATCCTGCGGTTGCAATTGAGAGCTCTCGTTCGGTTGCGTGTGAATCCACCCCAACGGCTCGAGATCGCTCAAGTAGTCGTGCTCCGGGAGCGTCGACGGTAAATTCACCGAGCTGTGGTTGCCCCACTGAGGCGGCATCACGACGCAACGGATCTCCTTCACTTGAGGGTTGTCCGGCGGCGAAACGCCGTACATGTAACCCGCAATCTGCGTACGCAAATCGGCGATAGTGATGAACTTTTTCAACACGTTCTTGGGCATGATGTATGTGTATCCAGTCTCCTTCAAGTCGTCGCTGTTGACGTAAATGTGGTTCACGCGCAAATGTAAATTTGTCGCGCTGATGGCTCGAATACGCCAATCGGTCTTACTACCGAACGTTGATTGTTCGTACGGACTCGTAGTGGTGACGATGAGCTCGTCTCCGTGCACATTCGTAGTCTTGGTCGTGACGGCAATCTGCTGGTTGGCATCTTGCCCACGTTTTTCGATTTCGGCAATCTCTTGTCGCTGCACAGACGGCGGCGTGATTTCAGCGCCAAGAATGATGTCGCGAACCTCGCTTTGCGTCAACGCCGAGACGTTGACGTTGTTCTTCGCAGAATAATCCGCCAAGATCAAGTCTTTCAAAGCGATTTCAACCTTGATCCATTGCTCATCGGTGAGATCTGGCCACACGTGATGCGGTAGCGTCACGACACTCTTGTCAGGACGCAACATCATCTTTGCCTTTTCGTTGTTGACGTGCAACGCTCGTAAAATCAAAATCAAACGACTAAAGGCTGTGTAACTCGAAATTGTCTTCAACCAATCGTCGTAGATGTTGAACAACACCATTTGCGGCTCAGTGGCTTTCAAGATGAGATCGCCAAACTTTTCGATCTTCATGCACGCTTGGAACGGCAGTTGCAACTCGCTTCCCTTGATGACGATGTTCGGGTAATCGAGCATGTGCGTCTCCAACGGGTCGAGCATACCCTTTCTCGTCACGATGATTTGTTTGGGTTGCTCTTCGATCGGGAGAGAGCGAATCAAGGCCGCGACTTCTTCTGCTGTCTTCCACTTGGCCAACTGCGCGAGACGCTTCTGCCCAGCCCACACGCTCGTGTGAATGATCTTCAAAAAGAGTTGACCAGTGCGCGGGTTGAAGATGAAAATAGCACCGTTGATTGGTTTTGTCACCAAGTTACCCTCGAACGTTTTGTGAATCGTCACGCGGTACACATTCGTATCGTCCACGAACCAAATTGTTTGGTTGCTGAACAACTCGCCGTAGTTTTGAGAGTTGAGATACGGTTCGGTGGGCTCAGAGGAGTACAACTGCAAACCCTTACGAATGCGCTCGCGCAATACGTAAAGCGCCGGGTTAGCTTTCATGATCTTCGCCATCGCTTGTTGCACCAAAGGTTTGCACCCAGGGAACCAGTTACCGTAGGCTGAGTGCAAGTTGTACGCCAAGTCGATGCCTATCATCACCCCAGTCGGCGACGGGTAAATGGACATGTTGTCCGTGGTGTAATCCAAAAACTTTGCGCGCGTGTAACGCTCAATGTCATGAGAATCAAAGTCACCCCAGCGAAGCTGCACGTCGACCCAGAACTTGTTCGAACTCTTTTGATCGAAAGAATCGTTTGTCTCGCCCATGAGCGACGGCTTGCAAATCGACCACTTGTACGCGGCGAAGAGCAAAATGTCGGCGCAAGAGCTGTTCATCTTGTACGACTTTCTCGGGTGAATCGTTTCCTTTTGAACCGTTTCAATCTCTAGCGCGTCGAGTTCTTGGTCGAAAACGTTGCACATATCCATGACGACGGACTCGTGGATCTTTTGCCACAAGTGCGCTCGGAAGATTTGAATCAACGAAATCTTCAGCGTAGGAATTTTACCGTGCATGAAGATGCCTGTCAAGTCAAGTTGGACTTGGAATCCGACGTAGACATTAGCGCGGTTGATCGTAGGCGACCACCAGAGCGTGAATCGACGATTCGGAATTTGGTTTAAGCCACTGCGCTGCGCGTTCGTCAATTTCTTGTACTGCATCGATTGCTCGAATCCACTTGCTTTCTCCCAGAACAAACCTTCCCAAGTGGGAAAGTACGTTCCCTTGAAGAGCGTGTGCTCGAGGATACCCTCGACGCCACCGAGCGCCTGAATGACGTCGGTGCGGTAGTTGTTCAAGTTCCAGAGTTTGCCGTCGTGTCGCTGATGCGTCCACCAGAACGGATTTTGTCTGGTGAGATTGTACTCTTTGAAAGTCAATCGCACGCGCCAACCCTTATCGTACGCGAGCGTGTGTCGATCCTTTTGGAACAAGGTGTTGATGCGCGGAATACCGCGATCCCACGAGTCTTCCAAGTCCTCCAATGTGAGACGACGATTCTGCGCCTGCGCTTCTTGACGCTTCAACGCGTACTCAGCCCACACGCGTTGGGAATCGTTAAATTCAGCCTCCCAAGGTTGGATGTAGCGGAACAGGTTCGGAATGAGTTGATCTTCTTCGTGCGTCATTCCCGAGCGGAAGTGCGTGATGCCAGAGTCGGTCTGCACGCTGTACCGCAAGTCGCTCTGGGGGATGAGAATGTGACCCATCGAGAGCATACCCAAACCACCGATTTCTTTCGGTGCGGCGAACACGCACGGCGGGAAACGGCTCGGCATCTTCGAATTCAAACCAATTTTCACGCGAGTCTGAATCTTATTCTCACACTTCACCAACAAATCAAGCAACTCCGAGGTGTGAATTGTTGCCTCTCGGTAGTACGTCATCAAGCCGATGAGTGCCGTGTTCCACTTGTTGACAATCTTGGAAAACGTCGTCGCACCGGATGACATGAGCACTTGCCGGATACGGTTTTCGAATGACTTAAGCGCTTCATCATCGACACGCAAGAATGCCTGCGCCGTTCGCTCCTTGGTTTGCTCGTTGTGCAAGTTCCAGACGCCGTCCTTGTTGGCAAAGTACTCAGTCGCCATGCGAATCTTTGGCAAAATACGCACTTCAAAGCCGCTCATGGCAAAGAGCAAGTTGGGGTTGTCGCGAGAGTACACGCTGACGAAACCATTATCCCATTCCAACGTCGTTAACGAGCGCGGAAGACGGTTTTTGATATCCCAGAATACTGCGCGACCCAAGTTGACGTCGTGCTTCATCAAGCGCATGCGCGCATCGCGAGGCCAGCACTTCTTGTTGTTGTAACCAACCATGTTTTCGTTGTTTGGATCGGGATGCTCGGTGAGATAACGCTGAATCAAGTCTTTTGACTCATCAGCGGTGAATCTGAACAGAACGTGCACTCGATCGATGTAACGAGAGTACAAACGAATCGGGTGTCGCGTCTCTGTCTCCACGTCTCGATATGAAATGAATTCATTCGGCATGTTCGCCGGACCAGCAATCTCTGAGGCGCGAGTTAAGCCGAGCAGCAACAAATCTAAAACTAAACCGTAGTACTGCGTCATGAACGATGCGAATTGCAAGCCACGGATCATACCGTAGCTGTTCGTGTGACTCATGTCCTTGTATGAAATCACCACGTTGTTCTTTGCCGTGCAATAATCAGCGATGTTGTGATCGACAATCAAACGCATCAAACGGTTGAGCAGGGTGAGGTCAACCTTTTCAAACATTTTCTCGAAGCGCGTTTGCAACATTACCACACATTCGCCCTCGTTCGTGTCCCAAACATCCGTCAAGTTGTTGATGCCTTGGCACCACTTGTACACCAAGAGCGGCGCCGGCTCGGTGTCTGAAGGCTTGATCCAGTTGGGGAACAGTTGGCGTTTGTCCGCTTCGTACCAGATGTACTGATCGAGATACGCGTCAGAAATCTTTTCCAAAGGTTCGATTTCGTACACCGGTATCAAGTGAGAGTACAAATCCATGAACTCGATGTTCACCTCCTTGAACGCGCGTTGAGTTAGCAAGTGACGCTTGATTCGGCTGAGCGCCTCGTGCGGGTTGTCGAAGGCTTGCTCAATTAAGCCGAGCTCTTCACGCTGATTTTGATTCAAGCGAGCGTTCACTGAGTAGTTCTCTTTCAAACGCTCGAGCGCCAAGATGAGCAGCTTGCGATCGTGCTTGTACGACAACGGCGGGAAAGGAATCGGCGAGAATCTGCGAGATTCAAGCCAGTGCACCGTGGTGGTGTAAATGGCGACTGCTTCTTCTGGAGTGACGTAAGGACCGTCTTTCAGGTAGTTGTGCTGTCGCTCTTGTTCCGCTTTCAAGTATAAACGCGTCAAACGGCCGAGATTCTTGCGGCACACCGTCTTGTCCACTGTCGCGCCGCGGCGAATGCGCTCGCGGTTGTAGTGCGCGACGTTGGTCCACCAATCAGCTTTGCTCTTGACGTATCTCAAGATCATGTTTTCTATAGGTGTCGGCATGCCCGGAACCTTCCACGGGATGTTCGCCTTGAAGCATCTCCACGCCTCTGAAAGATGCGCGAGAATCGTGCGAGCTTTGTTTTGCTTGACGCCCTCTGGCATGGAATCTAAGATGTCGTGCATCACGGCTGCGCGTAATTCAAGATCAAAGTGCGACTCGATGCGTTGCTTCGTCACAGTCTTGGCGATGCCCTTGTTGTTACGACCTTCAAATTGACGCGCGAGCAAGTTGCCGAGCCATCGTTCGAGTAAAGGCACAATGCCGCGCAAGAAGAAGAGCCACACGCGCCACATGGGGGCCCAGAAGCCCACGCCCGGCCCTTTACCCACCGGACCCGTATTGAAACGATAGTAAATCAGGTGCTTGAGATCCTTGCACATTCTAATCTGACGCATGAGCTTGTATTTGTATCTGTACATCCCAGTCAATTGACCGACGTGCGAGAACACGTATTGCAATCCATCGGCGAGTTGATACGCGTCGATGTTACCGAGACGGAACTGCACGTTGGAATCCACCACGAGCTTGGTGAGACGCAAGACTTCGCGGCAGAGGTGGAACGCGTTCCCAAATCGACTCTTCTTACGCTCCTTTGTCGTCAGCGTTTTCACGGGCTTCAAGTTGAAGTTGTAGTCCAAGTGCAAGTAGTTCAAGTTCTTTCGATGAATCAAGAGATTGAGCATGTTGTAACCTTGCCTACACACTTGCAAACCGACTTCGACCCAGTCGAGCTCGGTGCACTGGAAGAATTTCGTCTTCTTCAGCGCGACGAACAAGTTTCGGCGCTTCATCGGCTTCGGCGGGCGCTTATGCAATTGGTTCAACACGAAACCTTTCAACAGCTTTTGATACGACACGCGAACCTTGACCGGGTAGCCCGACGGGCAGTGCTCGTGAAACCAGTTGTTCACCAAGGGCACGTCCATCGCGCGACGCGTCTTCCCGCTCCTCAGGTTGAACGGTCGAGGTGCATAGAGAAGTGCGATCCCACCCGCAGTGTTGTCCGTGTAAAGCGGGGTGTCTTCTAAAAACGGCTCGATACCATCCGGCAACTGAAAGTCGTCCTCGCCGTCGTCTTCTTCTCGCGGCGTCGTCTTCTGCTTGTTTGACCTATAAAACGCAATCGGATGAATCAATGGGTCGTAGTAATACGCCGGTAAATCGGGATCTTCCGTCTTGATGAACATCACCATGGGCGTGTGATACACCGCGAGCGACACTTTGCGCGGCCGGTTGTTGTACAAGTACGGAAACGCCACCTTGTACTCGGTGCGCAGCGCGCTGCGAATGATGAGCTTGTTGATGTCGTTGAACTCATTCCAATCCTCGTCCGCGCGATCCATGTCTCGAAATAACGGCTCAAACTTTGGTCCACCCGGGATGCACATGCCCAAAGCCTTGGCGGTGAAGAAAGATTTGTGATCAAAGAGGTAAAAGTAATTTTTATCCGTCAAGTCGCTCAGGAGCTGCGACGACAGTCTGTGCAGGTTCGCCATCACCGGTAGCGGCAACTGCCACTTGCGGTAACTCGGTCCGTTGACGAATTTCGTCCACTTCAGCGGGTTATGATCGTAGAACCACTCCGCCACCGCGCCGTCTTCCTCTTCGTCTAACTCCAGCGCGATCGCCTCCAGCGGGTCCACGTCGAGCAAGTTGTCGGCGTAATCCAACGGCGGTTCTTCGTCGTCAAACGGTGGAAACCGCATGCGCTTAAAATGTTTCCTATCCCTCTTCTCCCGTCGCATCATGATCCACATCGTCCCCCACTGCGCGATGAACACCGGCTCGATCACCCTCGGCGTCTCGTTCACAAACGTAATCGCCCCCGTGATGTGGTAAATCACCTCGCAGTGCCGCACCTGTTCCCACGGCATCGGCATGTTCTCCAACAGTTTATACACCGCGTGCGGCACGAATTTCAACGCTCCCAAGTACACCCTCTTATCGTGTCGAAACTTTCGGCTCGACATGTCGCCGTGATCCTTGATAATCTTCCGCACGTGCTCCGGCGGCATCTCCTCCTTCGGCGGTTCCTGGTACCCAAACTTGCGCCGCGCGCCGTACCGCTTCGCGTTCAGCGCTCGCCACTTCCGCGCCTTCTCCATCACTTCCTCCGACACACCGACGTCCATATCATCCCGCGCCGTCGTTTCCTCGTCCATCGTCTCCGCGTCGTCGTCGCGTCGTCCCGCGCGCGTCGTCGTCGTCGCGATCGTCCCGCCGCCGCCCTCGCCGGTCGTCGTCTCGCGCGTCGCGTCTCGCGCGCGTCGCGCGCGCGCGTCCGGTCGACGGTTCGCGTCTCACGCGCGTCGCGCGCGCGTCGCTCGCGTCGCGTCGTCCCGCGCGCGCGCGTCGACGACCGCGCGTCGCGGATTGCGGCGCGGGACGGGACGGAATGCGACGTGGCGCCCGACAAAGTGGTGCCTCACTGAATGCCCATACGAAGCATCGATGCACTCGTCGACGCGACGACGACGACGCGCGAGACGACATGGGCGATCTCGAGGGACGAAAAGAACGCGAACGACGCGCGGGACGTCGCGGGCGGGCGCGGGGGGGGTCGGCGCGCGCGGTTCGGGTCGTCGCGGCGTGGAGCCTCGTCGCGGCGGCGCGCGCGGCGACGACGACGACGACGACGACGACGACGACGACGACGACGTGTCGAGAATGCCTGGCGGAGGGCGGCGAACGGGTGGGGAGAGTTTGGTGCGCGAGCACGCAGACGTGCGAGTCGTTGGAGTTCGCGGGAGGGTGCGACGCGGCGGCGCGAGACGCGAGCGCGTGCGCGACGACGCGAGAACGACTGGCGCGCGCCGCGGCGCTGGGAGTGCCGAAGATTCGGGTTTTATACGACGCGTACGGGAGAATGAGACGAATTTTGGACGATGCGCTGGCGTTCATGGCGCGGCGACGCGAGGCGAGGCGCGCGAAGAGGGACGAGATGCGTTAGGGCGTCTTCGCGTCGCGTCGGAACTCTCGGCGACGACGTCGCGATTCCTTGTACGCGGCGGCGCAAGTACAGATTGTGTGTATATTCAAAGTACGTGTACGGGTGAGTAACTAAGATGCTTAATGCCGCGGGCCGATCGTGTTCGCGTCAACTGAAGGTGAGCTGACTTCGAGACGAATTTTATGAGAGCGCGCGCGCGCCAGGTGGAATCGTCAACGGGTGGCCGGTCGCATCGCTCACTTTCTTTCCGGAACAGTGCACGGCTTAATGCCCCAAATCTCCTTCGCGTACTGGTCGATGGTACGATCGGAGTTGAACTTACCGCTGAACGCGGTGGAGATGATGGAGGACTCGGTCCAGCCCATGGAATCGGCGTACGCCACGTCGACGCGCTCTTGCGCTTCGAGGTAAGACGCGAAATCCTTACCGACGAGGAAGTAGTCACCGCGACCGAAGCCCTCGTTGCCTTCGAGAGAGCCCAACAACTCCTCGAACTTGTCGCCGAAGACGCCAGATCGAACGTATTCCAACGTTTCCGTGAAGCGCGCATCCGGAACAAACTTACCCGCGGCGCGCTCGGCTCTCGCCGGTTCGACTTCGGGATCGGTGATACCGAACAAGAAGAAGTTGTCGTCGCCGACGCACTCACGAATTTCGACGTTAGCACCATCGAGAGTACCGATGATCAAGCAACCATTCATTTGGAACTTCATGTTGGAAGTACCAGACGCCTCGGTACCGGCGGTGGAGATGTGCTGAGACAACTCGGACGCCGGGATCAAGGTTTCAGCCAAAGAAACGTTGTAATCCGGAACGAAGACGACCTTGAGCAGATCACCGATCTCCGGATCGTTGTTCACGACGCTACCGACGTTGTTGATGAGACGAACGATGCGCTTGGCTTGCGTGTAGGTCGCGTACGCCTTGCCGCCAAAGATGCACACGCGCGGCACGCACTTGGCGCGCTCCTCCGGAGTCATCGCCTTCATCTGCTTGTATCGGTAAATAATGCCTAAGATGTTCAAGAACTGACGCTTGTACTCGTGGATGCGCTTGACTTGGATGTCAAACATGGAATCGATGGGAACGTCGATGTCCGTAACCTTCTTGATGTAGTCCTTGCAAATTTTCTTGCGAGCCAACTTCGCCGCTTTCCATTCGGCTTGGAGCTCCGGGTTAGTGGCGTGTTCGGCCAGCTTGCGGAGCTCGTCGGTATCCGTGACCCACTTGTCGTTACCCACCCATTTGGTGATCACCGCAGAGAGTTGCGGGTTGCAGAACGCCAACCAACGGCGCGGCGTGACGCCGTTCGTCTTGTTTTGGAACTTCTCCGGGAAGAGCTTGTAAAAGTCGTTGAAGGTGAAATCCTTGACGATTTCAGAGTGAATGGCGGCGACGCCGTTGATGGCCATGCCAGAGATGCAGCATAAGTTGGCCATGCGAACCATCGCGGGCTTTTCTTCTTCCGACTCCTTCTTCTTCTTGTCATCCTTCTTCTTGTCATCCTTCTTGGCCGCCTTGGCCGCCTTGGCCTTGGCCGCCTTTTCTTCCGGAGACACGTAGTTTTCGAGGATGCTCATCACGCCGATGGAGCGCTCGAGCTCGGCCGCCGGCATGTCGGCGTACTTGGCTCGAACAGACGCGATGAATTCTTCGTCGATGCGCTTGATGATTTCCATGTGGCGCGGGAGGAGCTCCTCGACCAAATCGAGCGGCCACTTTTCGAGCGCCTCCGGCATGACGGTGTGGTTCGTGTACGCCACGGTCTTCTTCGTGACGGCCCACGCGTCGTCCCAGCTCAAGCCTTCGTCATCCATCAAGATGCGCATGAGTTCCGGCGCGGCAAGCGTCGGGTGCGTGTCGTTCATTTGAATCGCAACCTTTTCGTGGAGCTTGCTCCAGTCAGAGTTGCCACGCTCCTTCCAGCGCGCCAAAATGTCTTGCACGGACGCGGAGCAGAGCATGTATTGTTGGCTCAAGCGCAACGCCTTACCTTCGCGCGTGCCATCACCCGGGTAAAGCACGGCGCACAACATGGATGCCAAGTTCGTCGGCCCCATGGAGGTTTCGTAGTCGCTCGCGTTGAACGCGGCCAAATCGAATTCCACGGCGGACGGTTGAGCGTCCCACATGCGAAGAGAGATGCAGTTGCGCGTCTTGTAACCCGGAATCGGGGAATCGTACGCGACCGCGCGCACTTGCTTGCCCGGCGCCCACTTGCCGTTGACAACCTTACCGTAGAAAGAAATCGGGTAGCTCACTTGCGGGCGAGCGACTTCCCACGGGTTGCCGACTTCGAGCCAGTCATCAGCGTACTCGAGCTGCTCCCCGGTCGCCTTGTCGACACCTTGCTTGAACAAACCGTACTTGTAACGCAAACCGTAGCCCCAAGCCGGAAGGTCGAGGGTGGCGATGGAGTCCAAAAAACACGACGCCAAGCGACCCAAACCGCCGTTGCCGAGACCGGCATTGCGTTCGACGCTCATGACGTCTTCCAACGTGTAACCGAGCGAGCGAAGCGCCTCAGAGTACTCGCCGGTGAGACCCATGTTACCGATGGCGTTCGTCAACGCGCGCCCTTGCAAGTACTCCATGGAAAGGTAGTACGCCTGCTTCGGGTTCTCCTTGTGGAAGTGCGCGTACGTGTCGTTCCATCGCTCCACCAACCCTTCGCGAACGCTTTGAGCGGTGGCTTGGTACATTTCCGGCACGCCAAACTCAATCGGAAGCGCGCTCGTGGACTTCGCCGCGTGGTACTGCACGTTCTCCTTGACCGACTCGGACGTCTTACCGACGTCGGCGGCGACGGCGCGAATCGTCGGCTTGTTCGCCGAAGCTATTAGAGCGTTCAAAATCAACAGTCTCGTCAGTCTCGCGTTCGTCGCGTTCGAAACCCAAACCTCCGCGTCGGCGGCCGCCGCCAGATCGTCGATCGCCCGCCGTCCACGCCGTCGCGTCGCGTCCCTCGAGCGCCGAGCCTCGCCCAACGCCGTCGCGCCGTCCCGCCGTCGCCTCCGCCGTCGCGTCCGTCGCGCTCGCGTCGTCCTCGTCGCTCGATCGTCAAAAAGATGTCCGCCTCGACCGCCAGGCCATGCGGACGGTTGCCCATCGGACGATGACGACGGCGACGTCGCGTCGTCGCGCGGTCGCGCGCACCGTTCGTTCGCGCGCATCGCGCGTTCGCGCGTCGCGCCGTCGCTCCCGCGGGCGCTCGCGCGCGCATCGTCACCACGCGCGTCGTGCGCGCGGACATGGTCGATCGGTCGGCGCGTTCTGCGGGCGCGCGGCGGCGTCGCGCGCAACGAGTGGCGCGCGCTCGCGCGTCGCTCGATGGGGTTCGACGTGTGCGGAATACGACGTTTGTGAAATGTTTGGTTTTTTATGCGCAACGCGATATTTTTGAAACGCGACGCCGCGGCGGCGGCGGCGGAGGCGACGATCACTTGACCACGGCCTCGAAAGCGTCGCCCGCGATCGCGTCGTCGTCGGAGGAGACGTTGATGACTTCGTAACGCCAGACGACGGCGGGACCGTAGGCGGCGAAGACGTGGCGGCAGTGATCGACGACGGCGGCGGCGTGCACGACGCCAACGACGCGGAGGGGCTGGAGTTCGACGATGTTTTCGCCTGTGCGGGCGTCGTAGACGTAGACGACGCCAGAATCCGTGCCGTCACCGCACGCGAGGAACTTGCCGTCGCTGGAGACGCCGAATCGGCACGCGGGACCGGTGTACTTGTGGTCGCGATACTTTTCGTTCGGCAGCGTCCAACTGGCGATGGATTCGTTTCGCTTCAAATCGCACGTCTCGATTCGCCCGTCTCGCGTTTTGGCGAACAACACGTCGTCGACGATGCGCACGCATTCCACGGCGAAACGCGGCTTGAACGTGGCCAGCGGTAACGCCTTGGACTTTTGCGAGACGGCGCCCGAGAGATTCCACCTTCGCGCGACGCCGTCGGCGTGACCGGTGACGGCGAACGCGCCGTTCGCGTCGCACGCCACCGAACGCGCGTTCGTACCGACGTCAAACGTCCCTACGCACTCTCCCTCGCCGTCGGGCCCACCGAAAACGTCCCAAGCCTTTAAAAATCCATCCTCGCCCACGGAGACGACGAATCCGTCTCGCGCGCACGCGCCGTCCGCGTCGACGACGCGCGATCCTGGATGCGCGTTCAATCGCCCCACCACGCGATTTTCCGCCACGCTAATCACACTTATCCACCCATGTTCATCTCCCGCGGTCACGATCGCGTCCCCGAACTCGTGCCCCCCCCCCCTCGTCGTCGCCGTCTCGTTTTCCTTCTCGTCGTCCTCGCCCCGCGCGAAGCACACGCACGTAATCTCCCCCCCCGTCTGATGCGCCGTCGTCTCGTGCGCGTACTGCGCCACGATCGCCGTGTGATCGCCGAAGTGCGCGTCATCGTACACCGTCACCGCGCTCCCGCCGCACGTCGCGTACAGATTCGACGTCCTCGCGCTTCCGCGCGCGAACTCCACGCGCGTCGTCCGCGCCGCGCCGTGGTTTTCGCGAATCACCGTCTTGAGTCGCAGCGCCCGGAGCGCGTCTCGCTTCGCGGCGTCGCGCGCGGCCTCGGTGAGGTCGTCGCCCTCGAGCGCCGCGCGCCGCTTCTTCAGCGAGTGCATCGCGGGCGTCGCGCGTCGCCGTGCGCGGCGTCGCGACAGCTCGGCGATTTGAATCGATCGGCGGGGCGAAGACCCGGTCGGTGCCGTCGAGTCATGACTCGTGACGTATGCGTAAACAGTGCGGTGTATGAAAAGGGACCGAATCGCGCGGCGCGCCGCGCCGTTCGACGGCCGACGCGCCGGCGCGCGACTCGGAGACGCGCGCGCGAAGGGCCGTCGCGCGTGAATCCCGATCGCGCGCGGGCGTCGTCGAGACGCGACGCCGGGCGTCGCGAGACGAACGCGGCGACGCTCGGAAAAGGATTCGCGAAGGCGGCGATCGGCATGGGCGACGGCGGCGGCGACGACGACGACGCGCGGGGACGGAAGCGCGCGCGAAAGTCGCGATGGGACACGACGGAGAGCGATGGTGGCGCGGACGCGGCGAACGCGAGCGCGAGGTTCGGGACGGGGAGCGGGGTGGTGCTGCCGGACGCGGCGGCGATTCACGCGCACCTGGCGTCCAAGGGCGTGGTGACGGCGAACGCGTTTCGAGCGCTGGAGACGGATGATCCGGAGACGGCGCGGAGGTACGCGAAATATCAAGACGTGCAGCAAAGGCTGACGATGCGGGATTTCGTGGATGAACGGCCGGAGAGCGATCGGAGTCCGTCGCCGCCGCCGAAGTATAACCGGTTCGGCGTCAAGGTGAACACGCGCGAGGCGCGGATGAAGGATAAGTTGTATCGCGAGCGCGACGAGCTCATCGAGTGGTTGATGGCGAACACGAAACCCGGGCAGTTTCAACCGCCGCACGATTGGCGGCCGAGGAAAAAGGAGAGAAAGTTGTACGTGCCAGAGGACGAGTATCCGGGGTATAACTTTATCGGGCTGATTTTGGGGCCGCGCGGGAACACGCAAAAGCGCATGGAACGAGAGACGAACACGCGCATCATGTTGCGAGGGAAAGGAAGCGTTAAACCGGGCGCGCATCGCGACCATAAGACGGATTATAAAGAGGATGAACCCCTGCACGTGGTGATTTTAGGCGAGACGTGGGAAGGCGTGGACGCCGCGGCGGAGATGGTCGGACACATCTTGCGTCCGATCGACGAAGAGGCAAACGTGCACAAGCGCATGCAGCTTCGAGAATTGGCTTCGATCAACGGTACTTTCGTTGAGACGTTCGGGGCATGCAGATTCTGCGGCGTGCAAGGGCACGTGCAAGCGAACTGCCCCGAGTACGAAAAAGCCGTTTCCGAGGGCTATCGCGCGCCCGTGGAGCTCGTGACGTGTAAGATATGCGGTAACGGCGGGCACCCGACGCGAGATTGCCCGCTCGCCGGAAATACCGAGGCCGTGGGCGCGGCGAAGCAGGAAATGAATGAGGAGTACTCCGCATTTTTGAATGAAATTGGCGTGAGCAAGGACGACCTTCGCCAAGGCGGCGGCGCCGCGGGCGCTCCACCGATGCAACACCAGGGCGTTGGCGCACCGCAACGTGGAAACTACAACGCGCGACCGGGTGATTGGACGTGTGAACCGTGTGGATACTCAAACTACGCATCGAGACAGTTTTGCAAACGGTGCAACGAGACGCGACCAGGCGTCGGCGGAGGCGGAGCGCCGCCGCTGCACGGGGGCGGGCATCACGGTCAACAAAACTACGGCGGCGCGCCGCCGCAATTCGGAGGTGGGTATCAACAACAAGCACCGCCGCCGCGCCGCGCGCCGCCGCCCCCGCCTCCGATCCCGGCCGGCATGCAGGTGCAAGGTGGATACGTGGTGCCCGCGGATGTGCCGCCTCCGCCTCCGGAGGACGGCTCCGCGGGCATGCCTCCGCCTCCGCCACCCGAGGATGGCTCCGCGGGCGTACCACCGCCCGCGATGGTGATGCAAGTGCCGCCACCGCCGGTGCAAAACGTCGCGGCGGTACCGGCACCTCGAGCGGTCGCCGTTCCGCGGCCGCACGCCCCGATCGAAGAACCAGAGGAGGGCGAAGTCGGCGAGGTGCCTCCGCCGCCGCCATGAACAACCTTTAGTTTCGCCTAGTTAAGTTTGTCATTGGATTGTTTAGCGTCATGCTTGTTACATCACCCGTTCTCACACGTCTATGAGCTACATCTAAAGTGCCTAGGCCTATCTATCTATCTTATCTCCCTCGCCGCATCTCGGCGTATTCGTCTTCGCTCGCGCGAAGCAGCGTTAGCATTCTCTTCGCGTTTTCGCCGCCGTCGTTGTTGACGTGCGGGAAAATGAACTTTGGGTTCATGAAGCGCACAAACTCGCGTAACTCGTTCAGGCTCGAGTGTTCGGAGTACGGCAAACCGTATTGAATCAGCCTCCCGCGCTGCCTTCGCGACGTTGCTCTCGCCGTTTTCTTCTGCGCGCTAAACGTCCAACCCGTCGGACGAAACGCGATAACGGTGTCGAATCGACTTTTATAATACTTCAAAATGGACGCCATCTTCATGAAACTCGTCGAGCCCATCGGAACGACGTGCAAGTTTGTTTTCGAGTCGTCGTGCGTCATGGCGCTTCTCTCCTCGGGATCGAGCGCTATGGCGTCCATGACGCTTCGCTTCGCCTTTCCGATGTACACCTTGCGATTCAACACCTTTGCAGCTTCTAAAAACACTTTCTCTTTTCCGATCGTGTACGTCCCGAACAAGAACAACTTGCGCGTCGAGAGCAAGTCCTCGTGCACCACGGCGTCGCGAACGGCTTTCAACACGCGCTCTTGCGTCGGAAAATCGTCGTGTTCGAGCGAACAATACGTCGTGTCGAGGATCAATATCGGCCTCGGCGCCGAAGGATCGCTCGTGATCCGCAAAAGCGTCGGATCGTTCCGCATGCCGTCGTGAAATCTAAAATCTCCCGTGTGCAACACCGGCGACGCGTCGCGCCGATGCGGAAACTCGAAACAAATCATCGCCGCTCCCGGGCAATGATTCGCGCGCAAGAACGTCACGTCCACGCCATCCACGCGCACGACGACGCCGAACTCAACCACGCGCAACCGTTCGCGCGGCACCCCGATCTTCGTTCGCACCAACTCCGTCGTCGTCCGCGTTCCGTACACGACGCCGCGATCGAACGTTCGCGTCAACCCGCGGTGATGATCCGCGTGAAAGTGCGTCAGAAACCAGTGTTCGCACCGCGCTTCGCTCGACGCCGCGTACTCGAACCCATCGACGATGAACATCGTTCCCGGCGGCCGTATCCACGCCGGCGGTTTCGCCTTCGCCTTCGCCTTCGCCGGCGGTTTCGGTTTCGGTTTCGGTTTCGGTTTCGCCTTCGTCGTCGTCGTCGTCGTCGTCGTCGTCGTCGTCGTCGCGCCCGTCTCGCGCGCCGTCCCCGACGCGAACACCGGCGCGACGCGCGTCGCCTCGTCTCGCGCCTCCGATCGCGCCTCGCGCGCGATCCGAACCCGCGCGCCGAGCGTCTTCCCCCAACCGATCGCGCCCAGCGTCGTCGTCGCGTCCTTCGCGCGCAGCGCGTCCATCGTCGCTCGCGCGTCGCGCAGTCGCCCTCGAACGAGCTCGGTCGCGCCGCGCGCGCGCGCGAACGCGACGCACCGCGCGACGTCGTCGTCCATCACGGCGCGCGCGTCGACGCGATCATCGACGATTCGGCGTCGCGGAGTGCCACACGCCGACGCGCCGTTTGAAAGCGCCCGCGCGCGCTCGGCCCGCCGCGCGACGCGAAAAAACGGTCGACGAACCGACGCGATCGAGCGCGAGGGCATGACGCCGCGCCGCGACGACGCGGCGTCGCCGAAGCGCGCGAAACGCGCGGTGGAGTGGGACGAGGCGAACCTGGCGAAAAACTTTGCCGAGCGGAGCGCGACGATGAAGATCGAGGAGATCGAGACGCCGTGGCACAGCCCGCCGAGGGAACTGTTTCATGACCTGCGCGCGGAGGACGAGGGGGAGGTGGCGCGGCGGGAGCGGGCGCACGAGGAGGTGATGCGGCGACTCGAGGCGTTGATTCGAGCGGACGCGCGAGGCGAGACGTCGACGCCGCCGACGACGAAGGATGCGGACGCGACGATGGGGGACGAGGGAAGCGAGGATGGGACGTCGAGGGTGGCGTTTCACGATCCGGACGCGAGGGACGAGGATTTCGAGGACGACGCGGAGGAGGTGGTGAAGAAGAGACTGTTCGACGCGAAGCGAAAGGCGTTTCAGTGCAAGGGACGGGCGACGGCGAGGTTTCTCGCGGACGAGGCGGGCGATTGATCGCGCGGGGCGCGAGCGTTGTAATGATGAAAATTTTACTGCTAGTAATTCTTAGGCGGAGGCGCGCGCGGCGAGGTCGACGAGATCGGCGTCGTCGCCGGCGCTGACGACGACGCCCGAGCCGAAGTCGGATTTGACAACCTTGTCAACGACGTCGAATAAGTGCGCGGTCGCGCTGTCGGCTTGACTCGTGAGTAATACCGTACGCTTAGGGAGCGCGCGGAGGAGGGATGTGACTCGCGCGATGCCCTCGGCGTCGAGGTGCTGGAGAACTTCGTCGAGGACGAGGGCGTCGCACGCGACGCCGCATCGCTCCGAGGCGAGATCGGCGTACGCCAAAGCGAGCGCCAAAGCGGCGCGTCGGCGTTCTCCGCCAGATAATTGTCGAAGCGAACGGGCGATCAAACTGCCGTCGGGGCGACGGGCGTGGATCACGCGCTCGATGCGTTCGGCGGCGCTCGCGCTCGCGGGCGCCTTGGCCGATTTGCTCTTCGTCTTTCTCGTCGCCGTCTCGTCCGCGTCGACGTCGCTCTGCACGACGTCGTTATCGTCCCCGGTGAACGCCGCTCCCGCGGGACGAAGCTCGAGCGTCAAGGCACCGCCGGTGAGGGCGTCCATGTATTGACCCACGCGCGCGCTCAAATCTCCGAGCGCGCCTTCAAACAGATAACTCTGAATGCCCTTCGTGCTAAACGCTGTGTCTGCGGCTTGAGCGACGCCAAGGAGCTCTTTTGCGCCATTCAAGGATTCGATTCTCGCGCCGAGAGATTCGCTTTCACCCGCGAGTTGCGCGTCGAGCTCTTCGAGCGCGCTCGTGTGTGGATTTGAACGCGCCGAACGCGAGAACTCATTCAGCTCTTGCAAGCGTCGTGCCGCGTCACGCCCGGCGCGTTCGCCATCCATGATGGCGTCTTCTGCACCTTTGACCAACTGTCGAACGAAATCCGCGTCGGCGACGTTCATTTGTTCGTCGCGAAGGAGCTGGATTTGCGGAGAGGCGTTCGACAAAGACGCAGACGACATCGATCCTCGCGTCAAGTCGGGATCGAGGCCCGCAAGCACGTTCGAGGACGCGCCGGATATACTGATCGTCGACTCGCTCATCGCAAATGCATCATCGATTGACATTGTCAGCGCTTCGTGGACGACGTCCTCGGGCGCTGAGTTTAACAACATTTCCGCCCTCGCCACCGCATTGCCGATGAGGCTCAACGACCTCTGAGAATGTCGCAACTGATCTGTCGCGTTTGCGGAAGCTGTCGCGGTGGTTTCCGCGCGCATGCGTTCGGCTTTGCGTGCAAGCGCGGCTGCTTCGGTGAGATTGCGTCTATCATCCATTGCCTTGTTCAGAGCCGCCGTGGCGCGCTTGAGTTGCTCGATGGCGTTCCCGTGCTCAATCGCCGTCTTTCGCGCTTCATCCTTCAATTTTATGAGCGTTTCTTTGTGATGCGTCGGGTCGATGGCTTGTAAGCAACGATCGCACGTACCGACACCATCTGGATGCGAGTGTGTGCCTCCAGCGCCCGCGAACATACCGACTGCGGCGTGACTTTGACGTCCGATGGCGCCCGCGCTCGCCTCCTTGGATTGCCACTCGCGTACGACACCGTTAAGTCGTTCGATTTCGCCTTCGATGACGGACGTTTTGTGCTCGAACTCGGATTCTTTCACTTCAAAGCGACGTGCCGCATCATCAGAGTCATTTCGTGACGAGTCTAGCACGCGTTCGGCGTGACTCGACGTCACTTCAAGTGCCTCGCTCGCGCGACTCAATCGTTGGAGGAAATGATTTGTCCTCGCTAAATACTTCGTGAAGGTTGTTGAAACCGCGCTCGAGCTCGTCTCAAGCTCGCTCACGCGGCGCCTGTACTCGAATTCCCACTTCTCACTCTCCACGTGCGCTTGATCGCGTCGAAGGCGCGTTCGAGCGATGTACTCTTCCCGCGCCTTGACTTCGGCGGCGATGGCGTTGACGTTTCCTCTCGCCTCGGTAACTCGCTTGCGAGAAATGTCCTTCGCCTTCGTCCACGTGTCCGCCTCGACGAGTTTACCCAGCGCCGCTTTCAACGAAGCGTCGTTCGCGTCGAGCAAAGCTCCTACAGTGTGCTGACCGTGAAACGTCGTGTTCGCGATGACGTCGGCGCCGAGATCATCGTTCAAGCCTTGCTGCGTCAGTTTTGACTCAGCCATCGTCTTTTCTTCGCCATCAATGGCGTACTTTAAGCTCACTAATTTCGTTCTGTTCACTTTACGTTCCACCCAAAACGGCGTGCCACCGTTCAAGAACCCTTCTAAGCGAACGCGGCCGAATTTCGACGAATCGTTGACGACGTCCGACTTTGTGAGCGACTTGCCCGATCCCGCGCCGTCGATTCGCAAATCACTCTGTCCCGTAAGCGCCCACATCGGGGACATCACTAACGTCGTCTTCCCCGCACCATTAGAATCCGAACACGTGTCGGATTTGTTCTCTCCCACGACCACGCACACTCCTCTGGCGCCGAGCGGGTAACGCGTCGCCGACTGAAACGTTCCAAATCCCTCTACTTCCACCGTCTCAAAAGAAACGCTCACACCTTTCGATTGTCGGCGCGTTTCGGGCGCATCATCAGACGCGGCGACTTCTTGTAAAACTTTGCGCCCGAAAGCGCTGACGCTCGGTGCCATCTCGCTGGCGACGGCGTATGCATCGAACAGTCCCGCGGGCCCGAGCTCCTCCGCCTTTGGTATGCGCGCCGTGAGATCCTTGGTGACGTAGCACACCTCTACGATGAACCCCTGGTCCCGAGCTTTCTGCACCACTGACGGTACGGCGTCGGAAACCGCATCCATGGCTTCGATCGGAAGCGTCCAGCGGATGATGTCTCCCGGACGCGCCGTCGGCGGCGCGCTCGCATCGACGCCCTCGACGGCGAAATGTTTCGGCCCGATGTCCAAACTCACGCGCGCATTCGCGCCTTCGACCCACGTCTGCGAGTCAAGAACGATGAACTCTTTCTTTTGTCCAGCTTCAGACCGCGAGACTTCGTATGGCGACCCGACGTACGTAATGTTTGTGTTCGGAACGACGTGCGGTTTGTGATAGTGTCCCGTGTACGTGTTCGCGCCGCCGAAGAGCGCGGGGTCTAATCCATCTCGCGCTTGGAACGTCTCGTTCATGCTAGCTCCGACGACATCGGCGTGACAAAATATCGCGTTGAACTCGCCTCGCGTGTCCTCGATCGCGCGCTTGAGTTCATCCGAGTTTCGGCGATACGGCAACCACAACGCGCCGCCGTAAAGCGTCGGCCCGTCAAAGACGACGATGTTCGGATTAGCCTTCGCCAGCGGCGTGAGCGCGTGAGATAACCCTCCGGCGGTGACTTGATCGTGGTTCCCCGGAATCATGATCGTCGGCGCCGTCCACTTCGCGCTCGACATCAACGCCAGCGCCTCGTTGAGCGGTTCGACTGGAATCGCTCCGCGCGCGTGCCAAAAGTCTCCCAAAAATACCACTCCCGCCTCGCGTTTCAGCGCCTCTGCGTGCACGCGCTCGAGCACCCGTCGACACGTTTCCATGGTGCGTTTACTGACGTGCAAGTCACTGAACACGATCCATCGCTCGACGCTCGAGTGCGCCGGCGACAGCTCGCTCGCGCGAATCGTCGCGCCCCCACCCTCGCCGCCGACGTCCGCCACCGCGCGCGCAGGCGCCGCCCGCACGACGCGCGGATCGATCACACGCCCGCGTCCGCCTCGCGCGGGCGTCGTCAACGCGCGCGCGCGCGCCGCACGCGCGATGGCAGTTTTCCCGCCAGAATGATTGTTAGCGATCGATGACGACAGTTTCCTCGCGCCCTGCGTCGTCGTCATCGATGCCGCCCACGCGCGCGCGCCGAGCGTCACGAAACGCGTGTACGTATCACTCGACGACGCGGTCGTGGACGCGAGGCGCAGCGCGTGCGTCACGCCGCGTCGCATTCTGATGTTGTCTTGACTTTTAAGCGTGCGGACGCGCCATCTTGCGCCGCGACGCGGCGCGGCGCGCGTCGTCGCGACCGCGCGCGCTGCCATGGCGTCGATGCGACCGCTAGAAGCGCGCTCGCCGGACGTCGATCGCGCGAACGCGGCGCTGGAGCGGGAAATCGCGGCGCTGCAAAGACAGTCCGCGACGGCGACGACGCCGTCGTCGAAAGCGACGCCGTCGAACGACGCCGTCGTCGAGCGATCGCGCGCGAGGGTGCGCGCGCTCGAACGCGAGCTCGCGCTGGCGAACGAAGAGCGCGAGCGCGAGCGGGAGATGTGGATTTCGAGGTGCGAACGGCAGGCGACGGAGCTTCGAGCGCTCGCGGCGAGCGCGGAGTCGCGAGCGCGAATCGCGAGCGAGGACGCCGAGGCGGCGATGCTCGAGCGAGATGAGATTTTGAGAGAATTGAAAGCGTTGCGCGCGGAGGCGGCGAGACGGGCGATGCAGGACGCGGAGATTGAGCTGGAACGAGCGGCGTTCGCGAACGCGAAACGTTTCGCGGACGCGCGAACGATGAGACGCGCGCTCGTTCGGTGGATCGAAGGGTGCGTGTTCAACATCGCGGCTCGGCATGTGATTCAAAAGATGGACGTGAGACGAAAGCGAGATACGCTGATGGAGTGGCGCGATGCGGCGGCGTTTGAGCGACGCCTCCGCGAGACGCGTGCGCGCGGCGACCTTCGTCTCGCCGCGCGCGTGTTTCGACATTGGAGTTTGTTCGTGGAGGTCAGTGGAATGTGTGAGCGCTCTCGTCTCGCGCGCGCGCTAGCGCGGTGGAAATCATACGACGCGACGGATGAGGGTACATTAGATGACGTCGAGATACCGTCGATGCGAGAAAAGTATCTCGCGCTAGTCAATCGCGTCCGGCGGAGAGAAATCATGCGCGGCGCCTTCACCGCGTGGATAGTCGTGTTAGCGAACGCGAAGAGCGCGCGCGCACTGGCGATGGAAATTCTGCGCGATCGTGAGCGCGGCGAGGTGCGGTCGTCGCTCGCGAAATTAAAGGCGCGTCGCGTGGGCGCGATAGAATAGCCGATTAGTCGCGACGGAACTGCTTGTCGTTTATTTAACATAAGAATTGTTGCTCTACTGCGCAGCTTTCACGTGCGGCACCTCACGCGCGCGAGAAACCGCCGGCCGTTTCAATGAGACGCTTGGGTCTGTTCAACGTGCACTTCGTGCCGCAGGCGGAGCACTTGTGTTCAAACGTCTCCGCGGGCGACTCGCCGCCAAAGAATTGCTTGATCGGCATCTCGCAGCACGGGCATGCCCCGATCAAGATTTCAGCGTTTTGCAGGTTGGTGTAGTTGACTAACTTGTACGTCAAGCCCGCGCAAAGCGTCGCCGCGAACCCGAGCGAAAGGCCCGAGGGAACGTGCACGCCGAAAAAGCCGAGCAAGATGCTCGGAGACAATCCGAGCAACAACGGGACCGTGGCGAGCGCGGCGTACATGGTAAAGACCCCACTCGTGTCGGAGATGAGTTCCGTGCTCGTCTGCGACAACGTGCACGTCGCACCCTTCATGCCCACCTCGATTCCTAACTTTTTCATCTCCGCTCCCAAGAGTTCAAACTCCGCCTCGTCGAGGAGTTCCTTCCCCTTGGTGTAGAGCAACAGCGCAGTCACGTCCGTGCGCTTGCCTTCCGCCTTCACTCGTCGCTTCAACTCTTCGTACTTGTCGTCGTCCACGACCGATTCCCCTCGCGAGTAAGAAATCGCCGCTTGCACGAATTCAATCTCATACCTTCGCAGCGTCGGGAACCCGCTCCCTTGCCAATTCAACTCCTCTCTCAATCGATCGTAATCCTCGTCGCTCAGCGTGAACTTACCACCGTTATAGTAATTCCACAGCGCGTCGACGTACATGAGCTCGAGATCGGCCAGCGAGCACGAGCTCGGGTCGTCGATCGAGCACGAGACGCCGATGTCGGGGTTCACGTTGCTCCCTTCGCTCTTCATCACGATCTTTTGCGCCCGCGCACCGCCTTCGCGTCCGCCTCTGCGCATCACCACCGCGACGCGCGTTTCACGCATAGTCGCGCCGCGTCGCAAGCGCGTTTGACGCGCTGAAGCGCGCGTCAGCGTCGGCATCTTGCTCGACGTCGTCATCATGGCGTCGGATCTCGTCGCGCGACTTTTCGTCGTTCGCGTCGCTCGCGCGCGTCGATTCGCGCGTCGGTTCGCGGCGTCGAGGCGTTCGGGCGCGTGCGCGTTCGATCGCGCGCGTCGTGCGTGCGCGCGCGCGTCGCGTCGGCGTGTGCGGGACAGATCGCGACGGCCGGATAAACAAGCCCCCACGTGCCCGTAGGGTTTGGGCGCGCGAAGGCGGACGGCGTGAAGCGCGACGAGCGCGTCGCGTTACAACTGGAAACTAAACGTGATTGGGAGCGAAACGCTCGATGGAACGAATGCGGATCATGCGACGACGACGACGTCGCGCGAGGGCGGGCGAACGGGCGGAGACGGGGGACGAGCGGCGGCGAGGAGGTCACGCGCCGCCGTCGGCGGGATCGGCCGGCGGCGGCGCCGGCGGCGGCGCGCCCAGGACGTTTGGAAACCCCGGAACGCCCGGAAATCCCGGGAACACGGGAGGCATGGCGATCGCGGCGCCGAGCGCGGGCATATGATCCGCGTCGCCGCCGTCGCCGGGCTCTCGCGGGACTATGTCGACGAGAAAGTCGAAAATATCTGTCTTCGTGATCGCCGCCGCGACGTCGCTGCGTTGTAAAGTCCGCCGCTTATTCTCCTGCGCGTGCGCCCACGCGCGAGTGGTGAGCTCTAGAACGAACATCTCGCACGCCTTGGCGAAGAGCACGGGCGCCTCGCTCGAAATCATCCGCACGTCCTCGTCGCTCTTCATAATCTTTTTAATCCTCGCCAGCGGTAACAAATGATTCTTAAAATCGTTCGTCTGTTGAATCTCGATCATCATTTCCCTCCAGAACTGTCTCAACGCCACCTGTTGCGCCGCGTACGCGGGATTCGCCGCCGCCTGTGCCGCGTTCATCGCCACCGCGTGCGCGATTTGCGCTTGATGTTGCCGCAACTGCGCGCCGTACTGCTCTTGAAACTGTTCCGGCGTCAGCACCGGCGCCCCCGGCGGCGGTGCGAACGGCAGCGCCACGCCAGGGATTCCATGATACGTCGGCACGTTCGGGTGTTCGTTCGATCCGGGCGCGCCGCTCATCTGCGTCGTCGTTTCGCCCGCGTTCGCGTCGTCGTCAGTCTCGCGCCTAACCGCCGCGGTCGATCATCATCTCCGCGTCCCTCACGCGCCCGTCCGAGCGCCGCTCGCGCCGCCGCTTCCCTCACCGCGCGCGCGCGAAACCTTACGCCTTCGCCTTTCGCGCGCGCGCGCCTCGCGCGCGTCGAATCGCGCGTCGAATCGCGTCACTCTCCCTCGCGCGCGACGATTCTCGTTCGAACGCGCGACGACCGCGTTCGTCTCGTCGCGCGTCGTCGCGCGTCGCGCGCGCGCGACCGCGCGACGCACCTCGCGGACCGTCGCTCGCGCGCGTCGCTCGCGTGCGCGAGGCGATCGTTCGCGCGCCCGCGACGCGCGTCGTCGAGTGCGGCGCGGCGCGGTCGACCGAGGGCGACGACGCGGCGCGCGCGTCGAGACGAACGCGCTCGCGACGCGCGCGATGCGGTGGACGATTTTATTCGTCGCGATCGCGGCGCGCGCGATCGGCGCGGGCGCGAGCGCGGACGGACGGTTCGAGGCGGCGCTCGCGCTCGCGCGGCGGTTGGCGCGAAGCGTCGGCGGCGGCGACGACGAGAGGATCGCGCCGGTGAACGGACGCCTGTACGACGTGTTCGGCGTCGTCGCGGTGCCGAAGTGCTTTCCGAGATGCGCGGCGGCGGACGCGCCGAGGCCGGAGGTTCGAGAGACGTGGGCGGCGACGCGCGACGATTTGCTCGCGTCGGCGCCGAACGAAATCGAGGCGGCCGTCGAACGATTTTTGTCGCGCTTCGAGACGGCGAAGGAACCGACGGGCGCGCACGGGGACGCGCTGTTGGTGAACGACGAGCGCGTGCGCGCGTTTTTTGCCGACGCGGTGGACGTTGAGAGTGTCTAGAGGGTGCGAATTAAATTTCTCCGTTTCGCGCGTCCTTGGGCGCGCGCCTCGAGCGATTTTTTCTGCCGCCGGAGCCCGACGCGCGCGAGGCGTGCCGCTGAACGCGCGGGTGTCCACCGCCGGCGACGGGAGCGTTCGCGACCGACGACAAGTCTTCGGTGGAGCCGAATTCGGCGCCTAGACTGGATGGTAAATCTCCCAAGCGTTCCGCCAGGTGCGAGACGTCCGCCGCCGCGCCGTACGTACCCGTGGCGTTTATGTCAAACGGCGCGTTCGCGGGAACGGTGACCGGCGCTTGATACGGATACGATGCGGCCGCGGACGCCGACGCGTCGGAGGCGGCCGACGCGGCTTCTTGCGTCCACGTCGCCGACGGCGGCGCGCTCGCGTAGCCGTAGTATCCGCTGTAACCGGCGGGATACCCCGCCGCGAACGTCGGGAACAATCCCGAGCCGTCGGCGAACGCCATTCCATACGCCGGCACGGCGCCTTCGACCGACGCGCCGTAGCCTCCGCCGTACTGTGAGCCGACCCAGTCGTTGTAGTTTGCCGCGGGCGGCGGCGCGTTTTTCATCCGCGACGCCGCCGTTTTATCCGAATCATTTTTCGACGATCGCAGCACCCGGCGCTCTTCGCGCTCGCGAACGCGACGCCCACCGCGCTTTTTCCGCGCCTTATCTTCGCTCTCGGTCTCGTCCATTCGCTCGTCCGACTCCGCGTCCTCGACCGGCGGCGGCGGTTTCCTGCGCAACACCATCGGCGCGGTGGCGCCGCGCGATTGCAACCAATCGCTCCCCGGCGTGTCGACCACGCGCGCGTCCTTCTCGCTCACGCTCTCATCCGGGGCGTTTCTCGCGGCGAGCAACGCCGACGATGGCAAAATCTTCGGCGGCGCGCGAGGATCGAATTTCTCGCGTCTCGCCGACGCCGTCGGCGGCGCCGCTTTCGCCCCCCCGCGCGTCTCGCGCACCGTTTCGCCGCGCGATCGCGCCCTTTCCGCCATCACGCGCGCGATTTCATCCTCGTACGCCGCGCGCGCTTCCGCGCTCGCGTCGTCGTCGTCTTCGTCTTCGCCGTCGTCCGCGCCCGCGCCTTCGTCTCGCCGCGGCGTCATCCCCGGAATCGTCCCATCGCTCCCGATCCCTCCCTCGCGCGGCCGCGCGAGCACGCGCGGCGCGTACCCCTCTGCTCCTTTCCTCTGCCCTCGCCGCGCCGTCCCCGCCGCGCCTCCGAGCCCTCGTCCGCGTTCGTCCTCCGCCGGCGACGGCCCGACGTACCGCTCGTCCTCATCCTCCCGCGTCGTCCCCGCGCGTCGCCGCGCGCTCGCGTCGCCGTCCACGTACCGTCGCACCGCGCCCACGACCTCTCGCGCCACCCCTCGCGCGTCGTCGTCGTCGTCGTCTCGCGCTCGCGTCGTCCGTCCCCACGTCGCGCCCGCCGCGCGCAGCGTCTCCCGTTCGCCGTCGCTCTCCCGCGCCTCGCGCGCGTCGTCGCCCCACGTCCGCGCGCTCGCGAACGTCGTCGTCGTCGTCGTCGCGCTCGCGCCGGTCTCCTTGCGCACGCTCGGCAGCGCGACGGGCGCGAACACGGCGACGCGCTGCCGATGATGATTCGTCGTCGTCGCGCGCGCGCCCGCGCCGCGCGCGCCGCGCCCGCGCGCGCCCGCGACGCCGGCGCCGCGCCCGCGCGCGCTCGTTCGCGCGCGATCGTCGCGCTCGCGCGACATGACGCGACGAAGCGCGCGACGACGACGCGACGACGCGATGTGCCGCACATCGCGATGCGCGACGACGACGACGACGACGCGTGGAGCGACGACGACGCGCATCGCGCGACGCTCGACGACGGCGACGACGGGTGGGGACGCGCGGGCGCGCGCGCGTCGACGCGCGATTCGTGGGACGACGACGACGACGACGACGACGAAGACGACGGGACGACGACGACGACGACGCGGGACGCGGCGCGGTGCTCGAGCGAGGACGACGACGACGACGACGACGACGAATTGATGGACGACGATGCGTTGGCGCGACCGGCGGTGTTCGTGGAGGCGGAGCGACGGGCGAGCGCGGAGGCGGAGCGACGCGCGCGCGAGGCGCGCGCTCGACGAGAAGAAGCAGAAGCGGAAGAAGAAGCAGAAGCAGAAGACGACGACGAGATAGATTCAGACGCGACGGACGACGAGGAAGCGTTCGATTGGCGCGCGGTGCGCGCGAACGGGGACGGGAACGACGGGACGACGGCGCGCGAGGTCGAGGCGGACGCGGAGGCGAGCGCGCGGCGGTCGGCGACGCTCCCGACGCGAAACCTCGCGAAGACGCAGCCGTGGCGCGCGCGGTTGCCGAATTTCACGCCCGTGCGCGAGCTTCCGCCGCAGAGTTTTCACGACGGCGAGCTCGTGTTCGTGGATTACGAGGCCCAGTTCGGCGGGCCGCGGAGCGCGGCGTCGAAGGCGTTCGCGAGGCGCGAGGCGAGGGCGTTCGGCGGCGTCGGCGCGCGAGACCGCGCGGCGGCGTCGACCGCGCCGACCGCCGCCGTCCCGCGCTGGTTCACGGACGAGCGCGGTCGCAAAACCTTCGTCGACGCGCGCGGGAAATCGCTCGTGGGCAAAGCCGCGTACGCGGCGTCGCAAAGGCTTCGCGCGTGACGCCGCGAGCCGAGCGTTCGACCGATCGACGCGCGCCGTCGTCGCGCGAGCGCAAACCTCCGCGCGCGCGTTCTCGTCTCGTCTCGTCTCGTCTCGTCTCTCATTCATTCATTCAATATTCACACGCAAAAGTATTCCTACTAAAAACCCGCGCGTCGACCGCGCCGCGCTCGCCCCGCGCCCTAACGCGTCTCTTCGGTCTCTCGGTCGCCCGACGACTTCCGGCCCTCACGCGTCGTCCACGCGCTCGAGCGTGTTATACCTCAGCAATTTCTCGATCAGATCGACGTGACACATCACCATTCGTCGACAGCAGTACCGATTCAGCCCGAGCGCGTCCAGCGCGTCGCGCTCGCTGTAGTCCGCCTGCAGCAGGTCGAGGTACGTGTCCCACTTGTTCCCGATCACCTTCCCGCACGTGAAGCATCGCACGGGAATGATCATCGCGCGTCGTCGCGGCGCGACGGACGGCGACCGCGCGCGCGACGACGCGTCGCGAAGTGCGATCGAGCGCGAGGCGGCGCGAATCGTCGACGACGCGATTCGCCCGCGCGTCGCCTCGCCGATGCGGGACGAGCGCGGGACGACGCGCGGGACCGAGCCCGCGCGCGTCGCGCGACCGGCGACGCGCTTGAGCGCGCGCGCGCGACCGCTGACGAAGGTTTTGAGGATCGAATTGATCAAGAGGCTCGATCGGTCGACGCGCGCGGTCGACGACGCGTTCGCGCGGTACGCGCGAAAGCTCGGGCGGTTGTTCGACGCGCCGGCGAACGGGAAGTGAGCGGACCGCGGCTCGACGACGTGCGATGGAGGCGGACGACGCGGCGGCGGCGCGACGGCGAGGCGACGACGACGAAGCCGCGCGGCTGTACGCGGCGCGGCTGGGAGACGCGCGCGCGTCGTCGACGACGCACGTGCGGTACGCGCTCGCGGCGAAGGCGTGCGGACGCGCGGCGAGCGACGCGGCGGCGTTCGAGGCGACGCTTCGTCAGGGACTCGAGCGAGCGATGCGCGAGGCGGCGGAGGACGGCGTCGAAGACGTCGGCCGGGACGCGCGCGCGCGCGCGATCGGAGGGCAGTTGGCGCTGAGTCTGTGTCAACGAGGGGCGAACGAAGACGCGAGCGATCTGTTGGAGTTTTTGGGGTACTCGCGAAGGCTTTCCGAGGAGGTGTTGAGGTACGCGGAGGAGGGCGCGCGCGAGCGAGCGCCGGAGGACGTCGCGCGCGTCTACGACGACGCGCTGGACGCGCGCGCGCTGCGGTTTCTCGGCGACGCGTTCGCGAGACGCGGCGCGTCGACGTTTTGGATCGAGCACGATTACTACGCGCCGGAGACTGGATTCTTTTCGTACGTGCACGACGTGCCGTCGCGGAGAGAGAATAAGATGGACGCCGTCGTGGACATGGTCAAAGACGTCGCGTCGCGCGCGTTTCCGGGCGTGAAACGCGCGAGGTACGCCGAGTGGTGGGCGCACTCGCGTCCGCACACCGACGGGCACCAACTCCACTTCGATTCGCACGACGAAGGGCTGGGCGAGGTGAGGCATCCGATTTGTTCCGCCGTCGTCTTCGTCGACGGATGTTGCGGCGGGCCGACGCTCGTGACGAATCAAAAGGACACGAGCGCCGAGCTCGCGAGCCGCGCGTGGCTCGTGTACCCCAAAACCGGGAGAGTCGCCGTTTTTAACGGCGACTATCTTCACGGCGTGGTTCCGGGACGCGTCGCGGACGACGGGTTCGATCCCGAGTTCGCGTCGCGCCGGCGAATCACGCTCATGATTTCGTTTTGGGAAGACACGGACGTGCACCACTCTTGGACGCCCGCGGGAAGCGCGCGACCGTTCCCTCCGCGAGACGCCCCGGGCGTCTCGTGGCGTTCGCGTTTCGATTTCGCCGCCGACGACGACTTCGCCGCCGAAGCCGCCGTCGGCGTGGAGGTCCTCCCCGTCGTCGTCGAGCGCCCGTGGGATCGCGTGCGCCGCGACGACGGCGACGACGACGACGACGCGTCCGCGCTCCCCGCCTACGACGACTGTTTTCAAGGCTTTTGATTCGCTCGCGTTGTAACAAAAATCAAACCAGCGCGCGAGCCGCCGCTCGACGTCACATCGCCCCGCGAGCGTCGACATGCCGGACGACGACGGCGACGGCGACGACGACGGCGACGTGATAATAGTGCGCTCGAAATATTTCGCCTCCACCGCGTCGGCGTCCCCGCGCGAGCGCACCGACGCGAAAACAGTCGCGATTACCGGAACAGACGATGACTACAAACTGTCGACGCGACACGCGACGCTGCTCGACGCCGTGGACGCGGCGTCGGTCGCGTTGGAATCCTTCTTCGCGACCGCAAAGGTGAAGAACGCGCACGAGGCGCACGAGCGCGCGGCGCACGAGGTGTTGCGGCATTTCAGAGGGACGCTCGGGACGCTCGGGACGCCGCGAGAAGAGACGACGGACGCTTTCGATGATCCACCGGAGAAACGAACGAAGACGGAGGACGGAGAGGCGGGGAAAAAGAAAAAGGACGAAGAGATGGACGCGGAGGCGCGCGAGGACGCGATCGGACGGGCGGGAGATGTGTTGCAAAACATGTTGCGAGAGACGCATCGTTTGCACGTCAACGCGAGCTGTCGGGTGAACACGCGAGCGCCCGAGGTGAAGCGCGCGCGGGATAATTTGACGCGCATACGACGAGAGGCGAGGGAATTGTATAAGAAGATTGATCCGCGAGGGTACGAGCGCGATCGCGAACGAGTGCGGATGATGGCTGAGGAGACGCAGGCGGCGCTGGATTTTAAAATTACGCGATTCGAGACGCCGCCGAAGGATTTGGCCGAGCTTCGCGCGAAATGCCCGGTAATGTCCAGCACCGGATCACCGCATCACTTGTGCGCACACTTGTGCTATTACCGCGAGTACGAGCCCGCGCGGCAGATGTACGTGTTGCGATGCCGCGCCGCCGAGGCAAACGGCAACGCCGCGGCGCTAGACGGTTGGCGCGCCGAGCTCGCGGTGCGGCCCGCGGAAGATATTCCCGCCTTCAATCGCTCTCGCGCAGACACGCGCGGCACGGCGTCGGGAGCTTGCTCGCTCAAACACTTACCGTGGATGGTGGAGTTCATAGGCCCGGGCGGCGAGCGGTTCAAGGATGGCATGGACGTGTTGAACTTTGTCGCCGTCGAGTGCGACAAGCTTTCGTGGCCACGGGCCAGTCACGGTGGTAACGGCGTTCGTGAGGCAAGAGTGAGCGAAGACGGGTTGAACGACCAGACCGAGCTCCTACGCGCGGCGTTGTGGGACGAAGACACCGACGGTACGGCCGGAACGACGCCCGTGCGTCGAAGCTTCACGCGCATCGCGCGATGCGTCGATGAGACGCGCACGCCGTTGCGTCTCGCTCCCGATCCGCTCGCGAACGAAAACGACGAGAACGATGACGGCGAGAAAATAAATGAGTCCGTCGTTCTTGCGGCGGCAAACGCGTTCGACGACGAAACGCCGGGGCAAACGCCGACGAAAACGCCGCTCAAAGACCAACAAGGCGGCGACGCCGCCGCGTCGCCGCCCGGAAGCGGCCCCGAACCCGTCCGTCATTGGTGGGCGCCGCCATTATCGCCATTCGGTTTACTAGAAGAAATTCTCTGGCAGGACGAGTGGAAACTTCTCGTGTCGTGCATGATGCTCAACTGTACGACGCGTTTGCAAGTCGATCGCGTGCTTTGGCGTCTCTTCCTCCTGGCGCCCACGGCGGCGGCCGCCGTCGAGCTCGGCGACACGCACGAAGGACTCGAAGCCCTCGAGCGCATCATCGCCCCGCTCGGATTACACCGCAAACGCACGAATGCGTTCGTCAAGCTCTCGCGAGACGTCGAGGCACAGCGCGCAAAGTACGGAGGTCGCATTAAAAACGTCTCCGCGTGTCACGGCGTCGGCGTCTACGCCGCCGACGCCCACGCCCTCTTCGTCGACGGCGTCCTCGCCGGTCCACCGCGCGACCACGCGCTGCGTTGGTATCACGCCTGGGCGCACGAACGTCGCGAGAACGCGGCGAAAAGCGCCCCAAAGCGCACTTAGCACCGTTAGTCGATAGAAATGTAGAACGCGCGCCGCGCGCCGAATGTCGGCGCGAGCGACGAAGCCGAACCACTCAACGCGTCCCAATAATCCACCTCACACGACGACTCGCGCGCGCCGCGCCCGCCGCGCGACGCGCCGAGCGCTCGACGCGAAGCGAACGCACCGCGCGATCGACAGCGGTAGCTCTCTCTCCCGCGCGCGACCGCGTCGACGTTCCGCGGCGCGTGAAAGTCGCGCCAAAAATAGTTGCGCGCGACACAGAAGACGCGCTCGCGGCGCGCGCCGACGCGCGCTCGGCTCGAGATCGCGAACAGACGCTCGTGATGGACGCCTCGACGCGGGCGTACGCGCCGGGAGACGACGCGATCGCGGCGGCGAGCGCGCTGAGCGAACGGTTTCAGTTGGACTCGAGGACGAGCGGCGGGCGGGGAGGATTCTTCTCGCGCGTCGCGTCGAACGTGAAACGATCGCCGGGAGGGACGTCGAGTGGGGCGTCGAGTCCCGCGAGCTCGCCCGCGGGTGGATCAGGGCGAGGGATGACGATGGCGGACGCGCTATCGGTGGACGGCGCGCTGACGACGTCGCTGTTACGTTTGACGTCGGATCAAACGAATAAAAGCGTCAAGCTGCACGCGCTGCTCGTGGTGCTCGTGAGCGATACGGATGATGTGACTGGGGAGACGTTCGCAGCGGGGGTGCAAAAGATTGCGAAGGAGGTGATCAAACGAGAGGAGTTGGCGGACGAGATGTACTTGCAGATTATTCGGGCGACGCGCTCGGCTGCTTCGGATCGCGGGCGTCGAAAGGCGTGGGAACTCGTGCGCGTGATCGCGGCATTGTTTGCGCCGTCGCGTGATTTCATTGGCTTCGTGTCAGAGTACATAAACGAAGTCGCCGCGCGTGGTTCGAGTGACATTCAGCCCCTCGCGCGGAGCGCCTTGCAAACGATGAAGCGAACGAGCAAGAGCGCAATGCGCCGTCACGAACCAACGGCTGAGGAAATCATCGCGTTTGCGCGTGGTGAAAAGCTCAGAGTGGTGATAACTTTCCTCGACGGCACGTTCGAAGATTTACCGTACGACATGTCGACCACGGCGAAGGAAGCTGTCGTTGCGCTCGCCACGTCGATCAATCTGCAAAACTACAGCACATTTTCGTTGTTCACGGTGCGCAAGTTCTTCGGTAAAGTCGCCCCGCTCATCAAGGAAGGATTACTTTCGGAAGAACACCATGAACTAGGCGATGTCTCGTTTCTCAGCGACGCCCTCGGCGATATTCGGGCGATGAAAACGGAGTCGACGCCGAGCAAGGCGACGTCGATGCAAACTGGATTGTTGTTCAAAAAGCGTATGTTCAGAGATGCAGATGAAACCATCGACGAGACGACCTTCGTGCTTTTGTCGTACGTACAGGCGAAGCACGATTTTATGATGGGTAATTACCCAATCTCGCGTGACGACGCGGCGTTGCTCGCGGCATTGCAAGTGCAGGCGGAGGAGGGCCCGAGACTCGGTGAAGATCAAGCCGCGCTTGGCCTTGTGTTGGCGAAGTATCTGCCGCGCACAATGTGTAATACGCGCCCCACAAAGGAGTGGACCGAACACATCGCTGGGCAACACGCCTCGATACGCGGGTTGAGTGGCGACGAAGCGCGTCAGGCGTTGTTGCGCATGATTCGATCGCTTCCATACGGCAACTCCGCGTTTTTCCGCGCCAAACGCGTCGACGATCCAATCGGTTTGCTTCCTGGCAAGCTCATGATTGGAGTCAATAAGCGAGGCGTGCACTTTTTCCGCGAGACGCCGATGGAGTACTTATACACTGCAGATTTACGGGACATCATGCAGTTTGGTTCGGCACCGCACGCCATCTTTTTTAAGATGCGCGTCTCGGGTGCGCTCCACGTCTTTCAATTCGAAACGAGCGACGGGGAGAATATTTGCATGGCGCTTCAAACGCACATCAACGATGTGATGATGAAGAAAATGGCGGATAAGAAGGCGGCGATGATGGCGGTGGAAGCGGTGACGCCGAGCAAAAAACCCGTGAGTTCGTCGTCTGACGCAGAGCTCGCAAACGCTTCAAACAAAGCCTTTGCGAACCAGACGAAACGCGGCGACATAGATGCCTCCGACGCGCAGAAAGAAATCAAAACGCTGAATGAAAAGTTGGCCAATATGAGGAACGAGCGTGCGGAATTGCGCGCGCAACTGGACCAAGCAAACGAGGCGTTTCACGAAGCGAACGATCGATTGGAAAGCGAAAGAGCGAGTAAAGCCGACATCGTGGATACCATTCAGATGCTCGAGCGACAGCTCAAGGAGTCGAAAGAAGCAGCAATCGCGAGCGACAACGCGACGACAGACAAGCTCGACGACTTGACCGCGATTCAGTTGCAAGAGCTACGAGACGAGTTGGTGATTGAAACAGAACGCGCGAGATCGACAGAGGCACAGACGCACGAGTTGCAGCAGCAAGTGGTGGTTTTGGAGCAAAAACTCAAACGCGCGGAAGCGGCGCACGCGGAAGAGTTGAAAGAAACGGCGGAGCAAAATGGTGCCGACATTAGCGAATGGCAAAACAAATTGCACGAAGCGGACTCAAGAGCTGGCGAGCTTGAGGCGGAAATTAGGGCGCTTCGGCTTGAGTACGAAGAGCAAAAGGCGATGGTGACGAAGGAGATGCTCGACGAGCTCGAGCAATTGCGCGAGATGAAAAACACGTTTGAGGGACAGCAAGCAACAGCTCGCGAACTCATGGCGGGCCAGACGCAAAAGATCAAAGAGTTGGAAGAAAAGTACACTTCCGAGGTGACGCTGCGTCGACGCTACTTCAACATGCTGGAGGATCTGAAGGGTAAGATTCGAGTCTACGCCAGAACGCGTCCGCTGACGGAAATCGAAACGAGTCAAAATCAACAAGCTATACTCGCGACTCCGGATGAGTTCACGTGTTCGCATCCTTGGCGAGGAGAAAAGAAGGATCGCTCGTACGAATTTGATGAAGTTTTTCCGGCAAACTCGACGCAAGAACAAGTCTTCGAAGACACCAAGTATCTCGTTCAAAGCGCCATGGACGGATATAACGTGTGTATTTTCGCATACGGACAAACGGGGAGTGGGAAAACGTTCACGATTTACGGCGACGATGCGAACCCGGGATTGACGCCGCGCGCTATCGCCGAAGTGATGCGGTGCGTGCATCGCGACTCAAACAAGTCCTCGGTGAAGATGGAGTGTTACATGCTCGAATTGTACAGGGACGATTTGATTGATTTACTCCTGCCGGTCGGAACGTCTGATGCGCCTCGCCTGGACATCAAAAAGGACAAGAAAGGGTGGGTAACGGTGCCTAACGCTACTATCGTGCCGGTGACGTCTGAAGATGAGATCATCGAGGTCATTCACACGGGTTTGAAGGTTCGCAAAACCGCCGGGACGAAGATGAATGTCGAATCGAGTCGATCGCACTTGATCTTCTCGCTCGTCATGGAGACGACAGATTTGCAAACTGGGGCTTTGACGAAAGGAAAACTATCTTTCGTGGATTTAGCCGGAAGTGAGCGCGTGAAAAAGTCGGGTGCGGAAGGCGATACGCTCAAGGAGGCGCAAGCAATCAACAAATCGCTTTCCGCGCTCGGCGACGTCATTTCCGCCTTGGCGTCCGAACAACAGCACATTCCGTACAGAAATCACAAGCTGACGATGCTCATGAGCGATTCCCTGGGTGGTAACGCAAAGACGCTGATGTTTGTGAACGTCTCCCCGACGGACGGTAACGTTGAAGAAACACAAAACTCCTTGACGTACGCCACACGTGTTCGCACCATTAAGAACGACAACGGTAAGAGCGTGGAGAGTAAGGAAGTACAACATCTGAAGCAGCAAGTCGCGCATTGGCGTCAAAAAGCGGGCGAGGTAGAAGAATCGCACGTTGACATTGAAGATGAGCGCGTGGGCTTGGACCAGTTGAGCCTCAACCAGTGATCGTCTTTGTGTTTTATAGCCCGTTCCTTGGGGAGCGTTGCAATCTAATCAAACGTGAGCACGCGCGTATTATAGCTTCTACAGTGCGCGCACGCGTGGTATACAAAATGAAACTTTGCATCCGAATCCTTCGCACAGTCGTTGCACGACACCTTTTGCGTCTTTCCCCGCAGCGCCTCTGGAACGCTGTCGTCGCTCTCATCCGCTAGGATGGCGTCGAGCATTCTAAAGTACATGGAAAAGTCGCCGAGCGATTTCCGACACAAAGGACACGTGTAGTAGTGCCGCGTATACGTGGTAAAGCACGTGGCGTGCATGATATGCCCGCACGGAAGCTCCTTAACCGGTGTCTCCGACTCGGCAAGAAATTCTTTGCACACTGGACATTCGCTATCCATGCCTCGTTCTGAGCACTCATGCTTGCCGTGCTGTAAGCTCACGCACGCGTTACACTTCATGCAATGGAAGAAGTCAACGCCCAGACCTTTACCGCGTCGACAGACGTTGCAAAACGGGCAATGATAGATGGCTTCGCTCGAGTCGTCAAACAAGTTGCACACGTTGCAGTGATACTTTGCCATCGACGTCGAGCACCCCACGCATACCTCGTTCACGGGTTGACGCTTCTTGCACTCGTTACACACCATTTCTTTCACCGCGTAGCGATTCACGGTGTGATCACTCGCGTCGTCGTGACAAAATCTGCACGTGAAAGCTTGGTCGCAGCACGGCGCGACGATTTTGCACCGACGCTTGTAATGCTTGCAACCGTCTTTGCCGTTCTCCTCGTCTTCGTCGACGGGCTGGCACAGAATCGCAGGCGCACCCGATTTTTGTGCGCTACCCACGCTTGACAGCTCCGTCGTCTTATCTTTTTGCGCTTGCAATTGATTTCCCACGATCCATCGCGACGCGAGCAAGTTTTGAATCAAGTATGCCTTCTTCGTCGGCGCGAGCGTGTCGTCGCGATTCACCGTGCGCACGGCGTCTTCGAGCTGGATCTGATTCATGCGAAAAATATCTTCCCAACCGGGCTTGAATGTTTCCTTATCCACATCGCCAGATCGACGGCTGAGGTACGCGTGTACCTGTCGCATGCCGTCTTGGGACGAAACCGCGGCGGTATCGGCGGCGTTCGTCTTCGTCGTCGTCGCGGACGCGTCGTCGTCGTCCATCGCCGTAGACTTCACCCAATCGTCTCCGATCGTCTGTAAGTCTTCCACCTTTCCGCTGTACCACGTGTTCATCCACTGCGCGAACCTCGTGTTTTGCGTGGCGTGTCGCATCGATGAAATCATCCCCTCGCGCTCGTCTTCGTTGAGCGCGTTTCGCACCCAAATCAACATCGACCGTAAAACTTCCGCCCCCGTGCGTCCGATGATTTGTCCGACAATCTTTTCTTGCTCTTCAAAACTAAAGTGTTTCTCGAACAAAGGCCAAAGCTCAGCTTCTTCTTTCGCGACGTGCGTCTCCATGGACACGCGCATCGCCACGCACGCCTGCTGAATATCGTTGACTAAACCTTCGCGAAACCCGGAATGCGCCTTCTTGTTGTTACCACCCTTTTCCTTCCCTTGACCTTCTCCCGCCGTGGAGACGGACGAACGCATCTCCGCGATGAGCTCGACGACGTATTTCATCAGCTCCGCCTCTTGCTTGTGATCGAGCGTGTAAGAGTGCGACACGTTGTGCAACGCGCTCTTCGCCTCGAGCGCGGGAAATACGATGTCGTCTTCCGACATCGAGTGCGCCTCGTACACGCCTCGCAAGAAGACGAACCGACCGTCAATCATGCGCACCAAGCGTGCGTCCTCTTCGTCCGTTCCCGTGCTCGAAATGGCCAAGATATCGTGCTCCAACCGACGAAGCTCGTGGCGCAGCGCGTTGTGAAACTGAAAAATGTGATCGATGGGTAACTTTTGTTGCGTCGTCGTCGTCGACGTCCCCGCGCCTCCGTTCGCAGCTTGTCGTCGTCGCTTCCGCGCGGGCTCCGAATCGTTTCGTCGCGCGTTTGACGTCGTCGCGAGTTCGCCGTCATCGTCGTCGTCGTCGCCGCCGCCCGCGCCGTCGACGAAGAGCGCTCGCAAAATCGGCGTCGATTCCGCGCGTTTCCGATGCGCCCCCCTCAGCGACCGACGCAGCGCGATCGCGGCTTCAGAATCCACCGCGCTCGCCGCCATCGCGCGTTCGAGGTCATCGTTCACGCTCGCATCGCTGCACGTCGCCGCCCAGGCGAGCATATCGCACGCCTCCTCCGCCGACAGCGCGCCCACGAATCGCCACACCAACTCCCGCTGTTCGTCCGCGCCGACCCGCGCCTCCAACATCGGCAGCACGTGTTCGCTCTCCTTCGCCAGGTGCGCCTTCAGCGTCGTCCGCGTCGCGTGCACGATCCTCGCCGCCTTCGCCGCCGCCCCAGATTCCCCGTCTCCCGCCGCCAGCGTCTCCAGGCATCCCGTCACCTCCTCGAACAACCACTCCTCCGCCTCGTGCTCGAATTCGTACGCGTACGCCACGTTCTCGATCCTCGACGCGACGAACGGAAACAGCACCTCGTCCTCCGCGCGCGTGTGCGCCGCGTACCGCTTCGCGAACGCGCGCCACGTCCCGCACAGCGCCATCGCGTCGCCGTCCTCCGCGCGCGCGCTCGCGCCGCCGCCCTCCGCCGCGTCGTCGCGTCGCCGCGCCAACCTCGCGCACGCGTTCGCGATCGCGTCGATCGATCCCTCGAACGCGCGTCGAAACACGGTGTGAAACTTGGACGCCGCCCCCGTCGCCGGCGCGACGTCGTCCGTCGCGCGCGCGCGCGCGCGCGTCGTCGGCACCCTTCGATCGCGCGGTTTCGTCATCGATTCGATTCGTTTCGTTTCGGCTTTTTCGCGAGTCCCGCGCGCGATCGAGCGCTGGGCGCGATGAACGCGATGGACGCGTCGTCGTCGAGCGCGCGCCGGACGCGATGGACGCGCGCGCCGATCGGCGTCGCGCTCTGACACCGCGACCGCGTCGATGAGTGAATGATTTCGCGTCACGATTTCGCGCCGCCGACGACACACCGCGCCGCGTCGCGCGCCGCGCCGTCGCTCGCATGTCCGCGACGCGTTCGGTCGTCGCGTCCGCGACGCCGCGCCGTCGCGCGTCGCGTCCTCGAGCGACGAATCGTCGTCGACGGCTTCGCGCGCGCGCTTCATCCATCGCGACGCGCGACGACGACGACGACGACGACGCGCGATCGAGGACGCGACGCCGACGACGAGGCGACGGCGCCGGACACCAGAGCGACCGCGAGGCGTCCGCGCGTCCCGACCGCGCGGACGCGTCGGCGCGATGGCGAAGGCTCGAGCGGGACGCGACGACGACGCTCGGGACGCGCGACGCGCTGAGCAAAAGGACGCTGGGCGCGGACGACGGAGGGTACGAGTGGCTCAGACGCGCGTGCGATGACGTGGCGGAGGACGTCGTGCGAGGGGTGATCGAAGGCGGCGGCGAATGGTCGAGGGAGGACGGGATGGTGGGGTTCGATTTGACGGCGGCGACGACGGCGGCGGCGAGGCGCGGCGGCGAGGCGCCGAACGCGACGTGCGGCGCGGCGATAGCGCATCGAGCGACGACGAATCCGATGTTTTTGCGAGCGGCGTTCGAGCGGTTGGTGAGAGATGGGTTCGACGGGGACGAGGCGCGGGCGAAGGAGAGCGCGGCGTGGGGGTGGATTCGAGGGGCGATTGCGAAGCGGTCGAGCGGCGGCGATCGCGCGGACGCGGCGCGGGCGAAGAGGATGGCGAAGACGGAGGACGATGGGACCGCGGACGTCGCCGAGCGCGCGCGGGAGGCGACGCGTGTGCGTGTGTCGACGTTCGTCGAGCGCGGACGGGAGTTGTTGGCGATAGAGCGCGCGAGGGAGATGGAGATGGCGGCGGAGACGGCGGTGGATCGCGAAGACGTCGAAGACGTCGACGACGAATCGTCTGGATTCGTTTCCGAAGAGTCGAGCGAGTTCGGCGCCGCGGTTTCTGGTTTGCGCTTAGTCGGCGCTACGCGCGGGTCGGACGGCAAAGCGCTGGTGGTGTTGCGCGCCGCGGACGGCGAGGCCATCGCGGTGAACTCGCTCACCGTGGGCGATCGAGTGACGATTTCGGCGTACGGCGACGAATTCGCGAGCGCGGACGAGTCCGCGGATGGGAGCGCGGCGACGTTTTCGAGCGAGGCCACGGTTCGGTTTATGGGTGACGCTCTGAATGCGACGGCGAAAGGGCGTTACGGAGACGCGTCGTCGATTTCATTAGAGTACGCCGACGACGAGCAGGCGCTCGTGCGCGCGCTCTCGGGTCTCGAGATTTGTCTCTCGCGGGCGCCGGACGAGACGACGTACGAACGTCAGGCACGCGCCCTGGACATTCTCGAATCTATTCCAGCGGTGAAACGTTCAAAACCGGCGTGTCTGCGCGTCGTGAAGACGATTTTCAGTGAAGACCGGCCAGCGATGTGGCGCGACGCGCGCGATTTTTACGGAGGCGACGGCGCCGGTTTCGCCGCCGTGCCGACGAAGTCGCTCAAACGCGTCGACGCTCAATCGCTCGCGACGAAGACGTCGTTCGACGAATCTCAGGTTCTCGCGCTGCGCGCGGCGGCTTCGACAAACTACCCCGTGGTGTGCATTCAAGGCCCACCGGGGACTGGTAAAACGAGCGTGGTGGTGGAAATCATCGCCCAAGCCGCGGCGAGGGGCGAGCGCGTACTCGCGTGCGCGCCGAGCAATTTAGCGGTGGATAACCTGGTCGAGCGCCTGGACGGCGTCACCGACGTTCGAGCGGTACGTTTCGGCGCACCCGAACGCATCAGCGCCGCCGCGCTCTCGTGCTCGCTCGACGCCAAAGTTTCCGAGGCGACCGAGTTGTTTTTCCAAACGCAACGCGTGGAATCGAGCGAGACGTCTACGAAACTTCGCGCGTTGATGGACCGCTATCAAAAGGCGACCAACGTGCCGAAAAAGCAAAGGGAAAAGCTTCAGAGCGAAATAGAGGCGCTGAAAAAGAAGCTCAAAACCACGGTGAGCGCTGGTACGAAGCATCGTAAGGCGTCGCAGGCAAAGATTTTGCGAGAAGCCAACGTGGTGTTGGCGACGAACGCGGGCGCGGGAATGGACACGGTGCAACAGCTGCCGCCCTTTGATCTCGTCGTCGTAGACGAGGCGGCGCAAGCGAGCGAACCTTTGAGTTGGATTCCACTCGTGCGCGGCAGACGCGCTGTTTTGATCGGTGATCCGTGCCAGTTGGCGCCCGTCGTGCGCTCGCTCGAAGCCGTCGAGGCGGGATTGGCTCGCTCGCTCATGTCGAGATTGATGCCCGCACCAGAAAATTTAGACGACGAAGACGACGGATGGAACGCGCGTGCATATGCCTCATCGGGCGTGCTCACCCTGACGCTCTCGACGCAGTACCGCTCACACGAAACCATTAGCTCGTGGTCGAGTCGTGAGGCGTACGGGGGACGCCTGCGCGCCGCCGAAAGCGTTCGCGGCGCCTTGCTTCGCGACTTGCCCGGAGTGCAAGATACGCAAATCACGCGCATACCCATGCTCATGATTACTGCTCGTTCGCCTTACGGGCGCATTCCAGCAGAGTGTAACGAACGTCGCGTTGGTGGCTCCTACATCAACGAAGGCGAGGCGACGACGGCGGCGGCGCACGTACTGATGATGCTCAAGGCGGGCGTGCGCGCGTCAGACATTGCGGTGATTTCTCCCTACGCCGCCCAAGTTCGCTTGCTTCGAAGCGTTCTCGCGGTCGCGCTCGAGGACGTTGAAGGCGCTGATGCTGTGGAGATTTCCTCGATCGATTCGTTTCAAGGGCGCGAGGCGGAGTGCGTCATCATCAGCACGGTGCGCTCGAATGCTCGCCGCGGCGTCGGTTTCTTGTCCGATAACCGACGCATGAACGTAGCGGTGACGCGCGGAAAACGACACGTGACAATCATAGGAGACGACAAGACAATCATGGGAGATGCGTTTTTGCGACGACTCGTCGAGCACATCGAAGCCACCGCCGCCGCCGTAATTCCTCGCGTCGATCTATTCGCGCCGGTTGCCGCGACGTAGCACCGCAATATTATTAGCATGACTAGCTCACACGATGCACGCAACTTAGTGAAAGATTCACTCATCGTAGCTCATTACATGGTGCGCTAATCGTGAATCGCTCTTAAAACTTTCGCGAGAATTCCTGCTCGGCGATTTTCGCTCGCGCGATGACGTCGCCCGTGACGCGCGAAATGGCCACGCGCGCTTCGCGTTGCGTCGTCACCAACTTTTCGCGTAAATCCTCGTTTTCGCGCCGCAACTCTCGAAGTGCCTTGCGCATGGCTTCCATGTCACTTCCATGGATCGCAGCGTCGACATCCACACTCGACGCGCTCAGCGGCGAGTCAAACTTGAGCTGCGTGCCGCCCATGCGCGGCGAGTTGGAATCAATCGCCGCCAAATTTGCCATCTTTGAAGGCGCTGGGGACATGGACAGACGCCTGATCGCCTGCTGCACCTTTAAAATCGAATTCGTCACGCTCTCAGCCGTGTCTTCGCTCTTCGTGGGCTCGGGAGATTTCTCTGGCGCGCGCTTCGTTCCAGGAGGCGGCATGACGTCCCCAGATTTTCGCTTAGCCTTGCTCTTTGCCGCCACGACCGCGGGCGGCGCCGGTGCCGGCGCCGCGGCCGCCATACCGGGGAGGTTGGCAAACAAGTATCCACCGCCACCGCCGCCGAATCCGTTCAACGCAGCGCCGGACATCGTGGCGAGCGACGCTTGCTGCTTCGCCGCCTCGTCGAGCTTGGCCTTGTTCGCCGCCGCCGCCGCGTCGTTGGCACCTTGGTGTAATCGCTGCATGTGCGGCGGTCGTTGATTCGGTCGCGCGGGCGACGGTGACGCCATCTGCGCCATCAATCGCGCGTAGTATCCTTTCCCTTGCCACGACTCTTGCAGTTGCTCGCGCAAGCTCTTGGCGTGCAGCGATTTCGCCGGCGACGGCGCGTAGTCGGGCAACATTTCATCCGCCGCCTTCATGAGTTCCGCCACGCGACTGTGCACGTCGCTCACCGTGTCTTCGACCGCATGTCCGTTCGCCTTACGCTCGGCGAGCTCTTCTTCGTACCGAGCCTTGGCGTACGCCTCGAGGTACGCCTGGCGTTGCCTGGGATTCCCGACAAACGCCGGCGACGGCGGCACTTCATCCGCCGCCACGGATTCCCAGCTCTGAAACTCCCCGAACCGCGTCACGCCTTTGTGCGTCCTCCGGGATGATCTACGCTTGTTATTATTTCCTCCATCCACCCCCTCCTCGCTCGAATTCGTCATGTGCGAGCTCGTGCTATCGTTAAACGACGCGTCCGCGCGATTTCCCGGCGGCGTGCGTCCGCTCGACGAAGACCCCGCGCTCAGCTTTCTCCCCACCATCGACGCCGGCGTCGGCTCCAATCCGGGCGGTGAGTTCGACGCCCCCGAAAATGACGCATTCTTGCTCACATCCGGTATCGAGCTAAACGACAGATCCGCCGCGTCTCCCGACGCGCGTCCGCTCGACCGCCGTCTCGGCGCGTCGTCCCCCTTTTGCGTCACGTCCGAGTTCCGTTTCGCGTTCCCGCGCGTCGCGCGCCCGCTCGACGTCGACGATTTTCCCTGCGCGCGCGCGCGTCAGTCACCGCGTCGCGCGCGCGCGTCGAGGTTCGAAAACGTTCGTCGCGGGGGAACGTCATCGCGATGCGTCGTCGCGCGCGCATCGTCGCGCGCGCGCGATCCAGCCGTCCGCGCGCGCCGGCGCGCCGCGCCGCGATCGCGCGCGCACGTTCGCGTCGATCGCGACGCACCTTATTCGTCGCGTCGTTGAGCGCGGGCATGACGCGTCGTGTTTTGGCGATTTCGTGGAAGTGACGTTTTGCTTCCCCGTTGTTCCCCCGCGCGCGAGGCGCGAGACGTCGAGACGTCGAGACGTCTCGCCGAGCGATGCGCGCGGGCGCGAGCGGCGACGCGCGGGCGATGCGATGGATTACAACAGTGATGTACACGTACGGCGATGTACAGTCGATGCGCGGTATTGATGCGCGATACAGGTTCGAATCAGTCGGCGGTCGGCCCTTCCCAAAAGCCGTCGACCATCCACTCGCTCGCGTCGTCGGCGAAGAAATCATCCCGCTCGCGATCCGCCGCCTCGCGCTCGTCCCACATTCGCTCGTAATCTTCCAAGCGGGTGTCGTCCTCGGACGCGCTGTCGAGGAGCATGTTTTGAATGCTGATGGGCAAGCTCTCGACGTAGTCGTACGAGTGGATGCGATATATAAGTTCTGGGAATTCGTCGACGACGGCGCGCGCGTCGCAATTCGGTTCCAAACTCGCCAGTTTTGCCACCGCGCGCTCAATGTGGGCGTGAATGTCATCCACCAGTAATAATTGCGGATGACGCTCGATCAATCCGGTGACATCGCGACACATATCGCTCGAGCACAAAACGTCTTGCAACTCGAGCACGCGTTTACTCGCGGCGACGAATTCAATTTTCAAAACCCCTGGGTCGCGTTCGAACACCGCGCACACGTCGATGTCCGGCAGAAGTCTTCGCAGGCGATCGCCCGCGATCGCGATCTGCGCTGGATCGCGCATTTCACGGTGCGTTTCGCCGACGTCGACGAGCGCGCGCACGACGCGATCTCTCGCGCCCGCGTACTCGCGCCAAAACGTCACCAGTTCCACCGCCCACGGTTCGGTGTAGCCGAGGTTGTCCACGTCGACCGCCGCATCGAGCGCGTTTTGAGCCTTGGCTTCGTCGCGGCGACGCGCGGACGCGCGGCACGCGCTGGGACGACGGACCGAGCGCGCCGAGTGCCTCGGCTGCGCGTTCAAAAGCGCGCCGGAAGACGCGCGCGCGCGGCGCGCTGAGTGAATCGAAGCGGGCGCGGGGGTGCGGACGCGCGCGCGCACGCCAGCGGCGATGACGCGAGGCATGGCGCCGACGCTCGCGCGGTCACCGCGCGCGGCGGTGTGACGAGGCGCGTCGCGGCGCGCGCGGGACGCGGCGGTTCGCGGCGGTTGGCGGTCGTTCGTATTATTCTATTCTCAATCTCGAACGGTGGGCGTTCGCGCGCTATGGTTCGACGTCGATGTAATCGCGGGTCGTCGACGCCGTTCACTTGTGTTTGAGTTTGGAGACGAAATCGTCGACGCTGAATTCTTCGGCGTATTGCGCCTCGTCCCACATTTCTTCGAGTCCGTTGACGATGTTGGAGAGACCGCCAGAAGCGGCGCCCGCGGCGGCGGCGGCCGCGCCCTTGGCGACGGGTGCACCGTCTTTGCCGAGTTTGACACCCTTCTCCGCGGTGAAGAGCTCGAGCATTTGACCGGTGTCCATGGCGCTCATGGACGCGTTGTCGGCGTTCACCACGGCGTTGGCGACGTCGAGCTTGAAGCGCTGCAGAGACATGATTTTCTCTTCGAGCGTGCCGCGAGTGAGGATGCGGTAGACGTTCACGGTCTTGCGTTGACCGAGTCGGTGTGCGCGATCCATGGCTTGCAAATCCTTCTGCGGGTTCCAGTCGTGCTCGAGGAAGACGACGGTGTCGGCGGATGTCAAGTTTAATCCCAAACCGCCGACGTGCGTCGTGAGCAAGAGCACGTCGATTGACGGGTCTGCGTTAAACTTGCGCACAACATCGAATCGCTGCGATGGTGGAATACTCCCATCGAGTCGTAACCAGCTTACGTCGCGCATTTGCGTCGTGAAAAGTTCGTTTTCTACCAAGTCGAGCAAGCTCTTGAGCTGGGAAAACACCAAGACGCGATGACCGGCGCCCGACGCCGGATTCGGCTTCCCCTCGTCCCCGTTGGACTTTTCTTCTTCTAAGTCTACTCCAATGCCACAATCAATCAATATTTGCTTCAACGCATCGAATTTCGGCGAGCGCATCTCAGGATTGAACTTTTTGCTCGCGCCGTCAGACACGACGAGTTTCGGATGCGAGCACAGCTTGCGCAAGTATTGCAGCGTCGTGAAGACGTGTTGCGCCGCGCCTTCGGCGCCTCCACCGCCTTCAATCGCGCTCACGGCTTGATCCTTTGCTTCGCTTGATTCGAACGCATCGTACATCTTGCGCTGCGCGTCCGTGAGTTCGACGTAGACGTCTTGAATAATCTTGGGCGGCAAATCCTTGAGCACTTCGTCCTTTGTGCGGCGCATGACGAAGGGCATGACTTGCTTGTGCAGTGCACCCGTGGCGAGCGCGCCTTGCTCGCTCAGTCCACCGCCTTTCTTCGCAGCCGCCGATCTCGCCGCGGCGATGCCGTAAGTCTTCTTGAACTCGCGCTCGGTGCCTAAAAATCCAGGCATGAGAAAGTCGAACAAACTCCAAAGTTCCACGACGTCGTTTTGAATCGGCGTGCCGGAGAGCAACAATCGGTGCTCCGCGCGCACGCTCTTCACCGCTTGCGTCACGCGACTTTTTGGGTTGCGGATGGCGTGACCTTCGTCCAAGACGCAGTAACACCAGTCGAATTTGTCCAACGAATCGAAATCGGCGCGAACAGATTCATACGACATGATGACGACGTCGTACTTGCCAAAGTCCTTCTGTAACGCGCGACGGTCGGGTGGACTGCCGTGGTACTCAAGCGGGCGCAACACATCCGGTTCGACGTAAAGCCCGATCTCGTACGCCCAGTGACTGACGAGGGTGCTCGGGCAGATCACCAAGTGCGGGAGTGTTTTCAATCCAGCTTCCTTGCGCTCCACCGTCGTCGCGGCGAGAATGCACGTCGATTGAAGCGTCTTTCCAAGACCCATGTCGTCCGCGAGCGCACCGTGCAACTTGAAGCGACGCAAGAACGCGAGCCAATTCACACCATCTTGCTGATACGGGCGCAGCGTGCGCGCACACTTGAACGGGAGTTTGAAGTCTTCAATCTTGCTGTTGTCCAAGAGCGCCTCGAGGAATTCGCCATCCTTCTTTGAGCGTTCTTTTTGCTTGGTCGTCAGATCGTTCGGCGGTTCTTTACCGACAGCGAGCGGAAGCAACGGTACCAGCTTTGCGAACGCACGGGTGGCGTTTCCACGAATTTTCAGATCCGGATCACTCATTCGACCCATCAGAGGAACGAGAAGTAAGACGCAATACGGCGCGAGCACGGCGCCGAGTGTGTCGACAAGTTCGCTCGCGAGGCCGACGGCACCAGCACGCTTCGCCGTCTGCGAGGCCGCCTCTCCTTCTTCTAACTTCGGCACGATGAAGTCTAACAACGACGAAATGATTCGCTCGGGATGCTTCGAAGCGATGCTCGCTATGGTCTTTGCCGCAGTTTTCCGCACCGCGACGTCGGTGTACAACGCTGCGGCGAACGCCGTCTTGGTCGTTTCGATAACTTTCTCCTCCAAAGCTTCGTGCACCACGGGGCCTAAAATCTTGAACAACTGCAACGCATCGACGAGTGACTGCAGCGTTGCGGTGGGAGCATTTTCAGGCGGGGCTTGCGTGATCGGCTTCATCATGAGCGCGTCCAACGCGCCAAGTTGGTTGAAAACGTCCGCTCCGAAGAGCGAAGCCGCCGAACGAATCACCGCCTCGCCACCGCGTCTCGCGATTGTCGCGTCACTGATAACTTCTTCATCGACGATGCCCGCGACGGACTTCTTCTTCTTCCCATCATCTTCCTCTTCTTCTACTTCTTCCGTCAATCCAGCTTTGGGCGTCTCGGCTTCGTCGCCGCAAATCATCGACGTGATGTTCTTGAGAAGCTTATCGTTAGGCGACGGCGAGCGCGAAGTGCACAGCTTCATCATAGCCGCCACCGAAGCCGCGGCATGTGCTTGCAAATCTGCATCGCGTTCGCGACGCACAGACGACATCAACGGTTGAATGAATGGATTCAGTTTCGGAGGCAACGCGCCGAAACCGACAGCGGCACCCGCGGCGGCGGCGAGCACGGCGCCGTGAAGCTTCGCTTCGGTATCTCGCAAACGTTGCGCGGATGCATGAAGAGAACCTCGCGCCGTTTCCACGGCAGCTATCTCGGACTGCGATGGAAAGAGTCGATCGTGGTTGGTCAGTCTCGTACGAGTTCGGTGGCGCAATGGGGGATGTTCGAGGACTTATACTTCTCTTCGGGCAATGCTAGCTCTGAGGAAACCTGTGAGCCTCGTTTTTATGTAGGAGCTGGACACGACGCAAGCGTTCGTCCGATGCCCGTGATACTAAACCCATGTGGTGAAACCGCATGAAATACCACGCGCAGAGTGCGCGCGGCGCCGATCGTACGTGTAGACGTCGCCGCCGCCGCGCGCGAACTCCGAAGCGAGAAAAAATCGAACACGTGAAACGTACCTGTGGCACAGCCGCCGAGAGCGTCGCAGCCGAATCCGCACCAAAACCATCTGCCTCGGGACTAGGAACTTCACCCGTGACGACGACGCCATTCGTCGCCGCCACACGCAAAAATGCCATCGATTCGCTTTTCACGTACTTGACCATTTGCGCCACCTCGCCGTACGGTGTCGGCGACGGTGCGCTGGGATATGCCGGATTCGTATTTGCTAAAATTGCCCCCAGTTGCGCACCAGGCGCTTGCAACGTCGGACGTTGCGGACCAGGCGGAACCACTCGAAGCCAAGAGGTGAGCAAGTGCGCGCCGGCGAGACGCGCGGTGGCGAGCTCGCCCGTGAGCATGCCCACGATGTGCTGCTCCATACGAGCGACCGAACTCGAGCGTTCGTGCGCGCCGAACGCCGCGGCTAGACGCGCGAGGCACTCGAGTCCACGCATACGACCAGCGGTGGTGGCCGGCCAATCTTTCGCGACGGCGCGAATCTCACCCTTAACGCTCGGCGGCGTGGAGACGAAAATTAATTTGCCCTCGCCACGAGCGTTCGCCACCGTTGTCGCGAGTTCGCACCACTTCGCGCCGTGTACCGTGAACGTAGCCTCGATGATGGCGATCGGGACCGTGCGCAAAAGCGCCACCCACGCCTCGCTCGCCGCATCGGCGCTCGCCGCGTCGACGTCGAGCAGCGCGCCTTGAAATGCGTGACGCATCGCCGGCGCGCACGCCTCTTGCACCCACAACTGCGTCGACGCGTTCGGCTCGACGGCTAACAGTCGAGCAAGCGTCTGCCACACGGCCAGTCGTACGGCTGGGATCGGGTGCGCGGCGAACGGCCAAAGACGTGGGACGACTTCAGCGAGCGCGGCGGTGGACTTTGCGCGCGTCGATTCCAACGCGTACAGTTCGGCGATGAGCTTCATCACCGGTACCGCACTCGGTGACAAGTCGTCGAGCTCGTTGAGGAGCCCCCACAACGACGAAAGTAATTCGTTGAATTGCGGATGACTCGGCAAGTGCTCGACGGCAGGTAATAAGGATTCCGCCGCGGCGCCTCGCACGTCGTCGTCGGCGTCCACGAGCGCCTTGGTCGCCGCGGGTAGCGCTGCGGGCAAAAGCTCGACTGCCAACTCTGACTTTGCGGCGAGAATATACTTCAACCCGAGCAACGCGGAGTGCCGCACTTCCCACTCGGGGCGCGACAGTAGTGTGAGCGTGCACGACACCACGGCGTCGACGGCTTGCGGCGACAACGGCAAAAGCGCCGCGCCGAGCGCCTGCGCGGACGTCTCACGGACGGGCGCCACCGCGCCGTCGCCCGCGAAATCACCGAAACGGTCAAGCGCTAGTATGCACAGTAAGCGCACGCACATGTCCTCGAGCCAAGCGGCGTTGGACTCGCGAGCGATCTCCACCGTTCCCGGTTCTGGTTTCACTCCGGGCGGCGGCGCCCAAATAGCCGCGCTCGCCGCCTGATGACGTAGCACCTCACGCAACGCCGCGGCGGCGCCGTGACGCTCTTCCCACCCCTCCGAAAACATCATGTACGCCAACGTCTCGCAGGTGCGCGCGAGCGGCCATCCGCCCGCGGCGACTTCCGCCTGTTCCTCGTCGTCCTCCTCCGCTTCCGCCTTCTCCTGTTCCAAACGCGCCGCTTCCTCGTCCTGCTTCGACCGCTTCGCGTCCAGCGGATTCGCGCCTTCGCGCAACATCCGTTTCGCCTTACGCTTCAACTTGTTCAGCTCTCGCGCGCTCAAATGACTGTAATCGACGTCGCCGGTCAACCCGTCCACCGCCTCCGCCGCGCTATCGCCAACCGCAACCTTCTCCTGCACGGTCACCTTCCCATCGTCCAGCAAATCCTCATCCTTCACCAAATCACTCATCTTCATGTTCTCGTCCATCATCGCTCCCGCCTCGGGGCCGAGCTCCATGCCTAACCTTCGCTTCAACGACGCCTTGGCTTGCGCCAACCGTTCCGCCTTCGTCCCCGGTCCGTTTTCCAGCCGCCACCCGATCCCGCTCGAACTCAACAGTATCCCCGCCTTTTCCAGCACGCGCTCGACGTCGAACTTCGCGAACGTGAGATCGAGCGCGTCCGAGCCCGCGTTCGCGTCCCGTCCCGTCTTCGCCTCGCTCGCGTCCCGTCCCGCGTCTCGTTCCGCCCCATCGCTCTCCATCGCGATCAGCGCGTCCACGCTCGGGTGTCGCAACCGCGACGCGATTTCACTCATCGTCGCGCTCGCCGCGACGCGGGTCTCCCATTTTTTGCTCCGCAGGTGCGCGCGAACGCGACGGAGGAGATTGGGCAACTGCGTCGAGTGCGACGCGGCGAGTTCGCCAATCTGACGCGCGGCCTCGCGCCTCGCGGCGGCGGTGGAGCCGGTGTCGAGGAGTTTGATCAGGCGGTCCAGGCGCGAGCCGCCGGATTCCGCCATGGCGCGCGGTGACGGCGGCGCGATCTGACGCGAGAATGCGTCGACGCCGCGAGGAGGCGTCGACTTCGGCGCGACGCGTCAGCGAATCGAATGCGTCGGGTTCGTTACAGTTCGAGTCGAAGATTTGAGATTGAAGCGCTAATCCACGTCGTTCGCCGCGCCGCCGGGCGCGGCGCCGGCGCCCGGGAAGCCGCCCGGGAAGCCGCCCGGGAAGCCGCCGGGCGCGCCGCCCGGCATCGCGCCGCCCATCGAAGCCATCAATTTTTGCAACACCGGTCCGACTTCGGGGTCGCTCATGTACTGCATCGCCGCCATCGGGTTCTTCATCATCGTTTGAAGCGCTTGCATGACCTTGGGGTTCTGCATCGCGGCGATGAGATCGGGGTCGCTCATCAGCTTTTGCGCCATCTCGGGCGAAACGCCGGGCGGCAAGTCGCCGGCGCCGCCCGGGAATCCGGCGCCCGGTTGGCCGAACCCAGGCCCGCCGGCGTCTTTCGCCGCGGCTTCTTTGCGCGCCGCCTCCGCGGCGGCTCGGCGTTTTTCGAGCTCTTCTCTTTCCTTGGCCTCCTTCGCGGCGCGCGCCTTGCCCTCGCGCACGTGAAGCTCGTGCACGACGCTCAAGACTTTTTTATGCATCTCCCCGTACGTCTCGTCGAAGTCCTGAGACAATCCCGCGCTCAGATCCGCGTTGGCCTCGTTCCAGTGTCCCAAGTACCTGTGCGCCGCGCCTCGAACCTTCAACGCCTTGGCCGAATCCGGATTCAACTTCAACGCCGCCGTCCCGTCTCGAATCGCCGACAGCGGCTTTCGCAACTTGATGAAACATTCCGCCCGTTTCGCGTACGTCAGCGCCGACGGCGCGATCATCAGCGCCTCCGTGTACCTCTCGATCGCCTCCTCCCACGCCTCGCGCGCGAACGCCTCGCTCGCCAGTCGCTTCGCCTCGCTCGCCTTCGCCTCCTCCGCCTCCCCGAGCGTCTCCGGCGCCGTCTCCGCCCCCATCGCGATCGCGCTCAGATCATCGCTCTCGGCCGCCATCGCCTCGTCGTCCTCGATCTCGATCGCGTCCGTCCCCGTCCCCGTCGTCGTCGTCGTCCGCGGCGCCGGAATCGTCGCCCCCAAATCCTCCTCGAGCCATCGTCGGAAGAATTCGAGCGCCGGCGCGTCCAGGATCGCGCTGTCTTCCTTCGCCGCGCGCACGAGGTGTCGCAGCGCCTCCAGCGTCGCCGTCGTCGGCGCGCGTTCGCGCGTCATCGCGCCCGGTCGTCGCGTCGTCGAGTGCCGCCGATGAATGAATCTTCGCGAACGACGATTCGATCGACGCGCCCGTAAGTTTGCCGACATCACCCATCGCGGCCGCGCGGCGTCGCGCGCGCGCCGACGGGAATCGCTCGACGTCGAGCAACTCTCGAATTCGCGATTTTTTTTAACTCGCGCGCGATCGCGTCGAATCTTCGTCGCGACCGGTCGCCGCGTCGTCGCCCCCCCCGAGGTGGTTACGCCGCGCGTCCTTCGCGCGCGGCACTCGGCGACGCGTCGTCGACGGCGCGCGTCGCGCGCGACGTCGCGACCTCGCGGATGCGTCGCGCGACGCTCGATCGCGCGCGTCGCGCGCTCGCGTCGCGCGCGCCGATGGAAACGGCGCTCGAGGATGCGAAATCGATGATCGAGTACGCGCGCGCGCGATGGCGCGTCGGCGCGCGAGGCGACGCGCGGGGGGTGCTGGAACACGCGAGCGTGGCGCTGAGGCGACGAGGCGAGGAACCGGCGACGTCGAGCGCGATCGCGCGCGCGCGCACGGCGTGGGCGCACCTGGCGCGGGAGCGAGGCGAGCGCGGGACGGCGCGAGACGCGGCGCGAGACGCGCGAGACGCGGCGCGCGAGAGCGGAGCGCCGGAGGACGGCGCTTCGGCGGACGCGATGTGGACGCTCCTGGAGGCGCGGGAGGAAGCGAAGGAGGCGACGTGGGCGGACGTGGTCGAGGGCGCGCGGCGCGGCGCGGGAGGGGGAGCGGGAGGGCGGTGCGCGGCGGCGGGCGCGGAGACGCTGGCGGCGCTGACGCGAAGACGCGCGAGGGACGCGTTGGAGGCGGCGGAGACGTGCGAGATCGCGCTCAGGGGGATGTCGTCGGAGGAGTTGCGAGAGGCGAAGGACGCACCGCACGGGTGGGCGATCGCGAGCGCGATGAAGGCGCTGGGACACGTCGAGAGGTTGACGCCGAGCGGGTCGAGCGAACGCGCGTTGGAACTGTACGAACGCGCCGCCGAGTACGCCAAGGACGTGGCGCTGAGCGAGCACCCGGGGGCGATGGCGTCGAGGATGATCGCTGAGGATTTGCAAGCGGATTGCGCGTTGGCGCGCGCGCAGGCGTACGCGGCGCTCGGGGACGTGGAGAACGCCGAGACGTTCGCCGCGCGAGCGGTGAGCGCCGCGGAGGCGTTGGGCGACGAAAAGCATCCGCGCGTCGGAGCGGCGATCGCGGTGAGCGGGGACGTGTACGTGGCCAAAGCGCTCAGATCGATGTCGAACGATGAGAAGACGTCTTTGGGCGACGGCGCGGGCGTGATGTTTGCCGAGGGGTTGTACAAGAGCGCCATAAAATTGATGCATTACCCGCACGTCGTCGAGGATGGGAAAATCGTCCTCGATTACGAGGCGAGGCACTTGTGCGCGCTGTTGCACGCGCGCTACTCGAGCATTTTGCGCGCGTCTGGCGGTCAGCGCGAGCGTGAAGCCAACGCGTGGCTCGAAAGCGCAAAGATTTTGTGGCCAGATGAGCGCGGCGACGATGAAGGCGTCGACGGCGTCGACATCGTGACCAAGGCGGCGACGAAGCTCGGCGTGAAGCACGGACCGTCGGTGTTGATCGATTTACAGCAAATGGCGCCTCTCACCATGGGCGCGTGAGCGTTGGTGCGTGCGCCGTGTACTTTTACTCCTTCCTACGCTACGGTTTCGCGCACGCCTTTAGTTTAGACGATTCGTTAGACGAAGAAACATCACGTTTTTCGCTCACTCGCCGCCTCCTCCGTCTCGACGTGCAACGAGTGATGTCGCCGCTCTGCCTTCGTGAACCCGAGCTCGCGATAGTTCACGCGCGCTTCCGCACTCGTCGTACCCACCGGCGAGTTTGCGGTTTTCGACGAAGGACCGCTGAGGATGGCGGTTAGATCGCCTCCAGCCTCCGCCGCGCGCATCGCGGCTTCGAGTTTGGCTTCGAAATCGAGCGCACTCGTCGACGGCGTCGGTTTCGCCGCGGGTTCGTACTTTTCCGGTGACTTGACTTCTAATTTCGGCTTGAACTCGCGCTTCGGCACCGCGCGATCGAGCGGTTGCTTCTCGATCGGCGTCGACGCGCCGCGCGTTTCCTTGAGCGCGGCGGATAACATGCGCTCAAACGCATCGTCCTCGGCGGCGCTCGCCGGCGGCGACGCCTCCACCGCGGGACTGTTCACGGGACTGTTCACGAACTCCACAGGCGCGTCGACGTCCATCGCGACGTCGTCTCGTGCGCTCAAATCGTCCTCAACCTTCGCCTCGCCGTCGCCTTCCGAATTCGCCTCCGCGTCGTCGTCGCCTCCGCTCGCCTTTGGCGGCGAATTCGCCAAACCGCCCTTGGCCGCGAGCATCCGCCCGACGTCCACTCCCGCCGCCTCCGCCGCCATCGCGCGCCGCAGCTGCGCCTCGAATAACGCGTTTCTATCCTCTTCGTAAATCACGCCGTCGATCGCCCCACCGTCGTCGTCGTCGTCGTCGTTCGCCCGCGTCGCCGTCACCGTCGGCACCGTCGTCCGCGCGCGTCCCGCGTCCTGACTCTTCACCACCGCCGCCGCCTTCACCGGCGCTCTCGCGACGCGCGCGTCGTCGTCCTTCGCGCGTCGACCGCGCGTCGGCGCGAACACCGCCGCCGTCGGGCTCGCGTCGAACGGAAACGTTTCGTCTTCCACCGGGGGAACGACTTTTCCCGTCGCGCTCGACGCCGCGCGGAGCCACGACGCACGCGAGACGCATATCGGCGAGACGTTGGACAGGTCGAACAGCGCGAGAAGTCTGCTCGCGTCGGCGGCGCGCGCGGGCGTCGAGGCGTCGGTCGTTCGCTCGCGCGCCATGGCGAGCGCGAGCGGCGAAGTGTCGCTCGCGAGCGGGACGCGAAGCGTCTCGGCGCGCGGGACTAATGGGCGGGGTAGCAATACAAAGAGGCGAATCGAGCCTCGCTAAAACACACAAATACGCAAACGCAACGCGGTGACGGTCGACGCGTCGATCGATCGGCGCGTCGATCAGTCGTCCTTGGAGTACAGACGCTCGAGCGACGCGTTGATGAAATACCGCTCAGCCTTTTGCACGTCCAATCGACTGCCGTCCTTGCGATATCGCCCGCGCACGAGATTATACATCGTCGTCACGCGATTGACGATGAACCATCCGTTGGCGCTCTCGTCGCCGTCCGCGTTCGTGGGCACTTCGATCGTCTCGCCGCACGCGATGTTCTTCGGCAGCTTGTGCAGTCCTAAATCCACCGGAGGGGGGGTGGCGACGCGCACGTTGTACGGCACGAGCTTTGGGCTCGATTCGCGCGCGCCCTGAGATTTGACGTCGTCGTTGGCGTCGCGTTCCGCGCCGTCATCGCTCGATGCGCGCGCTCCGACGGCGATCTTTGCGCGATGACGTGGAGGGAGGTGTCGATTTTTGAGTCTTTCGGCGACGCTCGCGCGCGATGCGGGCGCGGATGGCGCGCGCGCGCATCGCGATGCGATTGACATGGTGTTCGCGCGTCGAGTGCGCGCGCGTGGCGGGGTGCGCTCGGTCACCGCGCGCTGCGATGTGACGCGGCGTTTCGGAGGGCGCGTTCGACGGGCTATCCTCGCGAAGCGAATAGAATTTCTATGAAAGTACACGCGTCAGGACGCGACGACGCTAGACTAATCGGTAAACTGCGTTTTAGCCGCGACGTCGAGCTCGGCTAACGCGCGAAGGGCGGAACCGAGGGTCATGCCGTTCGAAGCGGCGCGGGATTTGTCGTCGCCGCCGACGGATTTATCGAGCTCGGCGCTCTGGTTCACGATGGAATCCGTAGAATCTTCCAACGCGGCGTCAAGGGGCAGCGGTCCGTCGAGACTTCGTCGACGGAGCGTGCACGGGTTTTCGAGCAAGCTCAGCAGGTCCGCAGGGGTGTGTTCGACGTACGTCGCCGTCGCCGTCGCGTCGGCGTCGTCGATGGCAAACGGGAACTCGTCTTGGTTGTCGATGGACTCGTCCGCGGCGTGCGGCGTCAAAGGCGACCCTGGTGCGGCGTCATCGCTCGCGCCGCTCATGCGTCGCGCGAAGTTGGAGACGCCACCGGGCGAGTGCGGGTATACGCCGATGACGTCGCGAATCGACGTGCCGAGGCTTGAGCTCGGCGACCAAGAGGAACGTGGAACGCTCCGAGGGTGCGCAAACGCCGCGCCTCCCGGGCTCGGAATTGGAGATTCAGGACACACGAAACCACCCCAAGGCGAAGGCGAACCGTGCGGCGCGGGGCCCGAGCGGCCGTCTTTCGGCGCTCGGACTCGCGGCGAGCACGCGATGGGCGCCGCCGTCGTGGGCGAGAAACCGATCGTCGTCATCGGCGAAGCCGGCGCTGGCGGTGGCGGTGGTTGCGCCACCGCGATCGAGGGGCTCGGCGCCCCGATGTCGTTCGCTCCTGGCGGTTTGGCGACGAAATCGTCTTTGTCGATGGATGTGCCGACGTCGATTTTCAAACACGACGCCATCGTCGAGCGTCTCGGCGGCGGACGCGGAGGTTCCACCAACGGCGACTCGATCGCGCTTTGCAGCGCATGTTTCGCGCCGACAGGCGCGGCGTTGAATCCGTATATCGGTGCCGGCCCGTTATTCGGCGCAGAACTCGGAGCGTTGTCGAATCGTTGATAATTCGGGCTCGTGTAATCCGCCAACGGCACGACGGATGGGCTCACGGGAGGTTTCGCTTGTTGCTGAAGCGACCCCGACGATAACGACGCCGTCATTCCACCGCGAATCGGTGGCCGCGCGTTCGGCGACGGCGATGGCGAGGCTTCGTCGAAGAGTATCCCGCGCGACATCGGACTCGAATCCTCCTCGCGACGCGCGCGTTGAAGCGACTCGGGTGCGTCTGATTTCCCAGTCGGCGATGGCGAGAGCGACATTTCGCCGCCCGCGAGCGCGACGACGTCGGGACCGACGCTCGCGTCCAGGCGTTCGCACGGCGTCGGCGCCGTTTCGACGACGGCGACGCACTCGTCCTCCAACGCGCTCATCGCTACTTGGTCTAAAAAGTACACGCACGCGCTCAGTTTCCCGATGGACGTCGGCACGTCCGTGAACGCGTACGTGCGGTACCCCTCCGCTTTCCCCGGGTGCGCGCTCGCGATCGTCCCTCCGCGATCGACGTTCTTGATCTCAAAACTAAACCCGCCTCCTCCGCCGCCGTCTCGCGCGCCTCGTCGACGCATCGCTCGCAAGCGCGCGCCGTGCGCGGGAAGCGTCCGCAACATCGCCACCACCGTGCGCACCATGATCACCGCTCGCTTATACACCACCGCCGTGTCCAAATCCTTGTTAAAATGATTGTTCCCACCGACTCGTTCTCCATCCGCGCCCGCGTGAAACGCCCATCGCTCGACGAGCGCGCGTTCGCCGCTCGTCGACGCGTCCCCCCCCCGTTCGAAATACACATCCACCGTCACCGCGCCCTCGACGAACGCGTCCACAGAATCGCCCTCCAGTTCTTTCACCGCGCGCGTCCCGCCGTCGCGCGCCGCTTCGTCGCGTTCCATCGCCCTCGTCGTCTCGCGTCGTCTCGCGCACGCGCAGTTGAACCACCTGTTCGCCTTCATCCCCCCATCCCTCGCGTCGCGCGGCGTCGCCGCGCGCGCGCGCGCGTCCAGCACGACGTCCGCGCACTTCATCACCCACTCGCGCGCGATCTGTCGCGTGCGATCGCCCATGACGGTCGCGCGGCGCGTCGTCGCCGCGCGCGCGAATCTCGAGCTGTCGCGATGTGAGCGCGCGCCGCGCCTTCACGCTCGCGCGCGCGCGCGTCGCGCGCCGCGCGCGGCGCGCGCGCGATCGTCGTCGGTCGGTGTCGCGGTCGCGCGCGTCGTTCGCCGCGCGCTCGCGCGTGCGGCGCGCCGTCCGTCGTCGCGCGATTCAAACGCGCCGTGTTTCAGCGCTTCAATACGGACGCGGTTCATTATATATAGTATGACACTGTATGCACACACGCGACCGACCGCACGCGCGCGAGGGTCGCGCCGCGCGCGCGATTCCGCGCCGCAGCGCGCGCGCCGACGCGCGGGGGCTCGACATCGGCGCCGAAACGCGTCGCGGTTCCGACGCTCGCCTCGATGTCCGTGCGCGCGGCGCCGCGACGCGCCGCGACGCGCGCGACGACGCGAAAGATGCGCGCGGGGACGCGCGCGCGACGTCACGCGATGCGATCGCGCGAACGGGCGACGCGCGAGAAGCGCTGGACGCGGACGCGCGCGACGATGGACGACGCGGACGCGTCGCGCGCGAAAGAGGACGAGGACGTGTGGCCGGACGCGGATTTCGCGACGGGCGAGGGCGACGCGAGGACGTCGGGCGAGGGCGCGAGCGCGAGCGAGACGTTCAAGACGTCGCTCACGGATGATCCGGCGTTCGCGATGGCGCTGCGCGCGGAGGAAGACGAGAGCGTGGAGATGGTGCCGCTGGCGAGCGCGGCGGTGACGACGGTGAAGGAGAAACGGACGTTCGTGGAGGCGCCGCCGGAGGACGTGCAGCGGGAACAGGTTCGGAGTTTTCTGTACCCGGGAGAGGATGAGCTCCCGGACGACGTGTCGATGACGATATGGGAACACTTGGAGGAGCTTCGAGAGCGCGCGCTGATCTCCGCCGCGGCGGTGGGGGCGTTGATTTTGGTGTGTTTCTGCTTCGCGAAGGATTTGACGATTTTCTTGGAGGAACCCGTCAAGTCGCAGGGCGTGCGGTTTTTACAGCTCGGTCCCGGGGAGTACTTCTTCACCACGGTCAAGGTGGCGGGGTACACTGGATTGCTCGCGGGCGCGCCCGTGGTGCTTTACGAGGCGATCGCGTACGTGTTGCCGGGGTTGACGCTGAACGAACGCAAGACGCTCGGCCCCATCGTAATCGGGTCCTCGGTGCTGTTTTACGGCGGCATCGCGTTCGCCTACTACGTGCTCGTCCCCGCGGCTTTGAAGTTCTTCGTCGGCTACGCCGACGGCGCCGTGGAGTCGCTGTGGTCGATCGACCAGTACTTTGAGTTCGTCCTCGTGTTGCTCTTCTCCACGGGTTTGTCCTTCCAAGTCCCCGTGATTCAGCTCTTGCTCGGACAATCCGGGATCGTGTCTTCCAAGCAAATGCTCAGCGTTTGGAAGTACGTCGTCGTCGGTTCCGTCGTCGCCGCCGCGGTGTTGACGCCGTCGACGGATCCGTTCACGCAAATGCTCCTCGCGGTGCCGCTGATGAGCCTGTACCTCGGCGGCGCCGCGCTCGTCGGCGTCTTCGAAAAAGACCGCGAGGGCGAGACCGCGTAAGCATAGCACGCACAACATTTAGCGCACCATTCATCAACGCTCCAAAGCATCGCTTCGCTTCAACAACGAACGATAATAATACAACAAACGAGCTACGTCGACTAAGCGGACGCGTCCAAAGAACGAGCTGCGTCGACTAAGCGGACGCGTCCATGCGTTCGACGACGCTGTCCGTCGCCGCGGCGTCTCTCCGACGTTTACACATCGCCAACATCGCGTGCACGTTCGTCGTCATCGCCGCCCTCGCCGCCTTTTCCGTCATCCCGAAAAATGTCGCCAAGTTCACCACGTCGTACATCGATCGCAACTCGATCGCGCGCTCCGCGCCGCTCGACAAGATGAACAGTTCGCGTCCGCCGCGCGTCGCCCGCGCGAGCGCGCTCGCGTTCGCGAAGAACCACATCCTCGAGTTCGAATCCCTCAGCGCCTCCCCGTAGCACAGCTCAAACGATATCCGATTCCCCGTCGCCGCCCTCACCGCGCTCGCCGTAAACTTGTACCTCAACCGCCGCCCCGCGCCGACGCTCACCACGTCCGCGTGTTTATTCGCGCACGCGCTCGCGAACGCCCGCTCGCTCGTCGGTTCCAGCGCCAGCACGTCAAACTTCTCCAGATCCTCTCCCAGCGCGAGCATCGCGCGCCGCAGCTCTCCCGGCTCCCCGAACGCGATCGTGCACCGCGCCAGCGTCCCCGCGCCGTCCCGTCCCTCGCTTTCCCTCACCGCGCGCGTCCGCGCCTCGAGCGCCGCGCGCGCCGTCGCGCGCTGTCGCTTTGCGTCGTCGCTCCCGTCCACGCGCGCGTCGATCGCGCACGTCCGGTACCCTGCGCGCGTCGTCGCTCGCGTCAGTCGCTTTTTCGCCCATCCATCCGCGCCTCCCCATCGCGCGTTCGCGTCGCGTGCGCGACGCACCGAGCGCGCGCGCGCGGTCGAGCGCGCGCGCCGTCGTCGCCGCGATCGTCGCCGCGTCTCCCGCCGGCGCGCGCACCCGCGCGTCGCACGGCGCGCGCATGCGCGCGTCGCGCGATGCCGAGGGCACGCGTCGCGCCGCCGCCGCCGCACACGACGACGCGCGCGACTCGACATGCCGCTCGCGCTCGCGCGCGGCGCGCCCGCGCTCGGCGCGACGCGCGTCGCGCTCGAGCGACGCGAACGCGCGCGACGCGGCGGCGCGACGCGACGCGACGCGACGCCGCGCGCGATGGGGGCGATGGGCGCGACGCGCGCGGGCGATCGCGCGATGACGCGCTCGAGCGCGACGCGCGGGTCGGGCGACGATTACGACCTCGACGCGGGCATCGCGGGCGCGACGCCGGGCGATGGATGGACGCCGACGTCGTACGACGGACGCGGGAGCACGGGGGACGTGTACCAAGGGCCGGCGCGGCTGGCGGAGGGATTGCGAAGACACACCGTGCTGGTGTACGTCGCGGACGAGACCGGGATGATCAATCGCGTCGCGGGGGTGTTCGCGCGACGAGGGTACAACATCGAATCGCTCGCGGTGGGGCTGAACATCGACAAGGCGATTTTTACGATCTCGGTGATTTGCAGCGACGGCGACGTGGGGAAGCTGATCAAGCAGGTGAATAAATTGGCCAAGGTGCGAAAGGTGGAGAACGTCACGGATAAGGAGTGCGTGGAACGAGGGTTGATGCTGCTGAAGGTGAAGTGCGAGCCCGAACAGCGGTCGCAGGTGCTGGAGATTAATCGGATTTTCCGAGCGAGCGTGGTGGACGTGGCGGAGCGGTCGCTGACGATGTCGGTGGTGGGGGATCCCGGGAAGAATCGAGCGTTTCAGAGCGCGCTGATGAAGTTCGGGGTGATTCAAGTCGCGCGAACGGGGAAGTTGGCGCTGAAGAGAGAGCCCGTGTACAGCGAGGCTCGGTCTCGTCGAGTGAAACTCATGGAGGCGATGCGAAAGGCGAAGGACGCGGTGAGCGGATTAAACATCAAGGAGAAGAGCGCCAAGTACGAGAGCATCTTGGCGTCACGAATCGTTCGCGCGGTCGCGGGGATGGAACACGACGATGACGGCGACTTGCACGTCGGCGACGTGTACACGTCGCTCGAGAACGACGAAATCGGAGTGTGGGACGTCCCCGTGCTCAGCTCTTCCTTCTCGGGACTGGGGCACGGTAGCGACAAAGTCGACATCGACAAGATGGACGAAAACGCCAAGTACACGCCGCACACTATCTCTATTTTGGTCGATAACCGCCCGGGCGTGTTGGATTCCATCACCGGCGTGTTCGCTCGTCGCGGGTACAACATTCAGTCCCTCGGCGTCGGCCCGGAAAGAACTTTCGACATCTCTCGCATTTCCACCGTCGTTCCGGGCAGTACCGAAGACATCGCGATGCTGCTCAAGCAAATCTTAAAGGTGCCTTACGTCATCTCCGCCGAAGATATCACGATGACGCCGTTCACGGAGCGCGAACTCATGCTCATCAAGGTCGTCAGCTCTCGCGCGCAACGAGCAGAAATTATCGATTTGTGCGGCATGTTCCGAGCCAAGGTGTGCGACATCTCCGAAGACACCGTCACCATCGAAGTCAGCGGGCGCCAGCGTAAGATTAACGCCATTCAAGCGCTTCTCGAGCCGTACGGGATTCTGGAAGTTGCGCGCAGCGGTCGCGTCGCGCTCCCGCGCGATTCGGGCGTCGATTCCAAGCTCATGATGGCGATCGAGTCCGAAAGCGATCTCGACAAGTGGTAACGCGAAATTTATCAATCGAATACAACAACACAGATCCTACGCCTCGCCGAGCGCCCCAGGAAACAGGCGTAAAAAGTTATCGCCTCTAATATTCGCGAGGAGCGCGGGATCGTCGTCGCCTATTTGCCGCTCGAGCACTCGAACCGCGTCGGCGTAGCCTCCCTCCTCGGCGGTGACGAAAGGGTAGTCCGACCCCCAGATCAATCGATGTGGACCGAACACCTTGACGAGCTCGCGCAATTGCGTCGCGGTCGAGTCGCCTCCGTCGCTCGTTTCTATGCGCACGCGGAAATGCGCCGAAACCTTCACGCTCACTTGTGGGAAGTCTCGCCCGAGCGCCTGTAACAACTCAAAGTTCGGATCATCCACGCCCTTGGTGAATCCGAAGTGATCGATCAGCACCGGCACCGTCGGTTCCGCTTTGAGAAGAGCGCGAATTTCGTCCACGTGCAAATCAAGTCCGTTGAAGCACATGAAACCCACCACCGCGGGCGGCGTTCGCGCCGCGCACGCGCGCATCATTTTTCTCCCTATTTCGCCATCCATACCCTTGCCATTCGGCCATAGCCCTGGATTGAATCGGACGCCGCGAAAACGTCCCGCGAGGAGCTTCTCCAACGCCTCGACGCCGGCGTCTCCCGCGCTCGGGTTCGCCAGACACATCCCCACGAAGCGATTGGCGTGCGTCTCCAACGCACGCTCTACGTACGTGTGATCGAACCCTAGGTTTATCGGTTGCACGATCATCGCCGCGCGCACGCCGTTGGCGTCCATCGCGGCGATGAGCTCATTCGCCGCCCCGGGAACTGGAGGCGCTTTGCCGTCTTCGTACGCGAAATCCTCCGCGCTCGGCCACACGTGCACGTGCGCGTCGATTATGGACGCGCGCATCGCGATGCGCCGGCTCGAAACGCGCGTTGAGACGGTGACGCTCGGTCGAACTCGCCTCGCCGCGGCCGCGAGCATGGTTATGCGGCTGCGCAGCTGCGGCGTCGAGAGGAACGCACTTCTCACGAGAGCGGTGAAACAGTTTTAAGCCTCTTCGATGAGCGCTAACACTTCCAGCGCGGTGCCTCGACACAGCGTCACGCCCGCGCCGCCGTGACCGTAGGCGTGGATGAGCGTCGCGTCCGCCGGGTCTCGTTCGCATCGAACTACGGTTCGCGAGGGGCGCAGACCGACGTTTGTGCCGATGACTTTCGTTTCATCGAGCTCAGGCCACAGCCGTTTACACTTCGCGATGATATCTCGCTCATCTGCGTCGTCTGGCTCGAGTGAATCGTTGTCGACTTGCGCCGTTCCGCCGAGAACCGTGCAGTCGGCTCGCGGGATCAAATACGCGAGAGCGTTGGGATCGTCGTCGAATAATCCGTAGCCGCAATCTTGCTTCAGGTACACGACTTGTCCTCGCACCGGCTTGACGAGATCGTCGTTCACCAGGCGCCTCGCGCCGAGACCCGTGCAATTGACCACGAACGCTCGCTCGCTATTCGACGCGAACGCTCTCGCCTCCCGCACGTCTGCGAGCGTCCGCGTCTCAAATTTCACCCCCAGCGCTTCGCATCGCGTCCTGAGCCAAGGCAAGAATTTAGGCATCGCGATCACGGGCACGTCGAACTCGTATCCACCCGCGTATTTCTCGTCGTGCTCTCCCCGTTCGAGCGCGCGGTAGTGCTCCACCGCGTTCGCCCATCCCGCCGCCGGCGCCGGCGCCTTTAAAAATTCTCGACATCGTCGCATCTCCACCCCGCACGCCCCGTCCTCGCGCGCGAGCTCGCGATACCACTCGTACGATTTAATCGCCCACGCGTCGCTCAGCGCCGCGGGTTCCGTGCGCACGATGAACGGGAACCAAAACGCCGCCGCGACGCTCGACGTCGTCCGCTCGAACGACGCCGCGACGACGCGCACGTCCATCCCGCGCTCCGCCAGCGTCAGCGCGACCGTCAGTCCGATGACGCCGCCGCCGACGACGACCGCGGACGCGTCGCCGTCCGTCGCGTCGGCCCTCGCGCCGGCGCGCGCGCGCGCGCGACGCGCGACGGTTCTGGTCGCGCCGCGCCTCGCGACGTCCGCCGTCGCGCGCCGCGGCGCGCGCGCGTCGCGGCGCGACGACGCGCGAGGCGCGCCGCGCGCGCGCATGTCGCTCGACGCGCGCCGCGCGACGCGCGACGCGCGCGACGCCGCGCGGTGATTTGTACGGCGTCGATCCAACGGCCGACGGCGGTCGACGACGCCGCACACGACGACGCGACGCACGGTCGAGCCGAGGCGACGCGCGCGCGAAGGACGCGCCGAGGACGCGCCCGTCGCGCGCGAACGCCGCGAATCGACGCGCGCGCGAGGGAGATCGACGACGCGAGGGCGTTGAATTTGAAGGATTGGATTCGTCGAGATGAATTCTGAATTCACGCCGGAAAACACGCGCTCGAACGCGCTGTTCGCGTCGGACGCGGCGCTGGACGCGGTGTCGACGCCGGGCGGCGACGCGCCGCGCGATGGGTTCGAATTCGAGGCGCTGAAAGACCCGAGGATCGATTGGGGGGCGATCGCGCGGTGCGACTCGAGAGACGCGCGGCGACGACGCGATATCGACGCGCTGGAGAGCGTGCTCGAGGCGTGCGTGCGAGCGGACGTGGACAGCGTGACGAATCAAGACATGTGCGAACCGAAACGGGGGCGGGAGCTGACGAAATTGCTGCAGATGTTGGTGGAATATTTGTTGCACGTGCAGGAGGCGCTGAGCGAGGGCAAGGCGAAGGCGGAGCGAGACGCGGAGGGGTGGAAGGATCGGGCGAGGACGGAGCGAGATGAGGCGAGAAAATCCGCGAGGGAGTTAAGGCTGGCGATGGAGGCGCACGAGGCGGAGTTGATCGCGGTTGCGGCGGAATACGCGAAGAAGAGGAATAATCCGGATAACGCCGAGCTCGAGGACGCGCGCAGGCGAGGGGAGTCGATGGCGGCTGAACGCGCGGCGAAAGACTTGGAAAAGCGATTGCGCGAACAAAGAGAGCTTTTCGATAGTGCCGTCGATCGCATGCGCGCGGCGCACGCGGAGGCGCAGGCGGAGGCCGCGCGCGAGTTGTCGGCTCGAAAGGCGGAGCTCGCGTCGGCGCGCGCGCAGTACGTGGCGTCATCGACGGAGTCCACGAAGGAGGCGAATAGGATGGTCGCTGACGCACAAGCGCTCATTCGTGAGGCACGCGAGAAGGCGGAGTTGGAAAAGTCCAACGTCGCGCGCGTGCGCTCCGAGCTCAACGCTGCGGTGGAGGCGACTCAAAGGCACAAGCGTTCGTTGGTCGACGTCAAGTCGGAGCTCACGCGACTCAAGGAAGATTTCAAATTCGAACACGAGTCGAACGCCGAGTTACGAAAAGCACTAGAGCGCCGCGACGAAGAGCGCAAGTTGATGCGCGAACAAATTGAGCGTCTCCACGGCAAGCAGAAATCGTCGATGACGGAGGAAATGGCCGAGTTGACGAACATGCGAGAACTGGCAAAGAACAACTACGCCGAAATCGAACGCCTGAAGCGCGAAAACGAAGTGCTTCGCGAGGATAAGAATGCACAATCCACTTGGGTCGCGGAGGAAAAGAAGCGTTGGGTGTCGGCGAATGAGCAAATCTTACAAGCCGAGTTGACAGAGAAGGACAACGCCATCGCTCAGTTGCGCGAAGAGATTTCGCAATTGAGAAACGACATCGCCACGGAGCGTTCGCGCAAGATGATCACGATTAAACCAATCATCGCAGAGTACGAGGCTCGAGCGCAAGCTGCGCCGCCCGTGGCCCCCAAACCCGCGGTGAAGGCAGCGAAAGCGCGCAAGACGCTCGAGCCCCCGCCGAGCGACGTCCAAGACATGGATGGGGCGCTCCACGCCGCCATGCTTGATCTCGACGTCGACTTGGACGCGGTCGCCGAGGCTGGTTTGGACGACGCCACGTTCCAGGAAGCTATGGCGAAGTTCGAAGCGGTTCAAATGCAAGACGTACCGAAGGAGTTGCGCGCAAAGTATGCGTTGTCGCGCGCTAAGATTCAAAAGGAACTCGACGGCGTCGCGGTTCGTTGAAATATGTATTAAAGTCTCATATCAATCTCGTCTAAAGCTCGCAAAATTCACCCGTCTCCTCGGCAATCGACTGCTCCGTGCGACGGACGATTTCAATCAAATCTTCTCCGCCGATCGCGCCGTAACGGAGGCAGTGCGTCTCGACCATGACGTTCGTCGCGTCGACGACTTCGCGCGAATCCTTACCGAACGTTCGCCGCGCGTTGTTCGCCAACATTGTGCTCTGTTTGCACGCCGCGAATCCACCGGCATCCACCGCGCTCAAATCCTCTATGATCGTCTTAACGAGCGCGTGCTTCATCTCGCCCGCTCCTGTGACCGAAAGCGCGAGCGAAAGAGATTCGTACATCGAGTAGCACGACATGCGCGCCATGGCGAGCTGCGCGCGACTGAGATTGAGCGCCGCGAGGCGACTCTCGTACCACCCTCGAAGCTCGATCAACGGGTTCACGTTCGGCACCGTCTTGCCCTTCGTTTTCTTCATCTCCGCCAACTCTTCCTTGAAATCCTTGAGCACGGGCTTGAGCTTGCGCTTGAGCTCGTTGACCGCGCACGTAATCGGCCCGGCGCCCTCATCGTTTTCTTCCGCCTCGTCGGCTTTCTTTTCCTCGCTCACGTCGCCCGTGGATTCGAAAGCGCATCGCGCGCAGTTGCACATGTACCCGCGTCGACTGGCGAACGCGTCGCGGTCTTTCTTCGGCATGAGCGTGTCGTAGTACTTCATCGTAATCTCCGCCCCCGCCGGGAGATTTTGCGAGGCGAAGACGAGCATGATTTGCCCGACGTTGATGCGATGGCAATTCGGCGCGCACGAGTGGTTGATGAAGCTCGGCAGCGGCCAGACGCCGCACAGACGGCGCCCAGAGATGGCGCAGTTGGCGACGACTTTCGGGATGAACGCCAGTTCTTCCGGGCTCTCGGGCGCGGGTGCGTTTTCCTTATTCGCCGCGCTGATGTGCTTGCGAAACACGCTCATCTCCGGCGCGTCTTTTTGTTCATCCTCGCTCGACGCCGGCAGAGCCTTGAGAATCGCCCAATCGGCCGGGTGCGCGCGCGCAGCCTCGTAAAGACCGCGGACGAGGTTTTGTTCCACCGTCTTGCCGAACGACGCCGAGCTCAGCGGGCTCTGCACCATGAGCAAATCTCCCGCCGCGACGGCGCTCGTCGTCACCAAGCCGCGACGACCGTCGGAGAGCTTGGACACTCGAACCACACCGATGTAATCCGCACAACGGCGGAAACTCGCACCCATGCGGTTCAAATACAACGCTCCGAGATCGTACGCCCCCGTGAACGCTTGCGCCGTGAGCATATCGCATTCGAGCTTGACTTTTTCCAGCGTCGCCCGAACCGCCGCGTCCTCCGGCGCGTCGGCGAGACGCGATCCCTCATCTGCCGTCTTCGCCGCATCCACGTATCGCGCCATCCCGTTCAACGCCATGCTCTTCTTATAAATCGCCTTCAGTTCCATCGCCTTATCCCCCTTCGAGCACTCCAACGCCTTCGTCGCGCACTCCAACGCCTTCTCGAACACTCGCGCTCGCAAGTAGCACTCCGCCTTGTTCGCGTACGCGCTCGCGTCCGACCCATTCAACTTCAGCGCCGCGTCATACGCCGCGATCGCGCCGAGATAATCCCCCTTCGCAAACTTTTCGTTTCCTTCCACTCGAATCGCGTCCGCTTCGTCCACTTTCTGCGCCTTCTTCGACTTCGGCAGCGCCGCGCCCATGCCGCCCAGTCCGAACGGCATCGCTCTCGCGCGCGCGCGTCGACGCCCTCGCCTCGAGTCTCGCTCGCGTCTGCGTCGCGCGTTCGATCGCGCGTCAGTCATCGCGCCGCTTCGTCGCGCGCACCGTTCGCCGTTCCGCGTCGCGTCGCCGTCGCCGTCGCCGTCGCGCGCGATATCTCGCGCGCTGTATTCGTTATCCACAACGTCGCGCGCGTTCGAGCCTCGCGCGTCGCGCGTCGCGCGCCTCGCGCGTCGCTCGCGCGCGCACCCGCTCGATGATTCGCTCGCGCTCGCGCTCGACCTCGCGTTCGCGCTCGTCGCGCGCCGCGCGTCGTCGTCGTGTGCCGTCGCGCGCGTCGTCGACTGTCGCGAAAGATCGTCTCGATTCGTATGGGTAAACAGTGAGACACCCAGCACACGTCCGCACATGTCCGCGCCCGTCGACGTCGCGCGCGCCGCCGCCGCGCGCGTTCGCGCGGACGCGTCCAGCACCTCGCGCGCGGGCTCCGGCGTCGTCGTGCGCCACCGCGGCGTCGCGTGCGTGCTCACCGCCGCGCACGTCGCGTCGTTCGCGGGCGCGAAGAATGCGCTTCGCGTCGAGCTCGCGAGCGGCGCCGCGCGGCGCGGGCGCGTCGTCGGCGTGCACGACGCGCTCGACCTCGCCGTCGTGTACCTCGACGGCGACCTCGACGGCGCGGCGACGATGGAGCCGGGCGAGGCGCGCGTCGGCGACGAGGCGCGCGCGCTGGGGACGGCGCAGCGGTACGCGGCGGCGACGGCGGCGTGCGCGGACGCGATCCGAGGACGACGCGAGACCGGACGCGTGTTGAAGATACACCGCGATGACCGCGGTGACGACACGCACGCGATGCACGACGCGCGCGTGCTGGCGGGACAGTCGGGCGGGGCGCTCGTGCGCGAGACGGATGGGAAACTGTTGGGCGTGCACAGTTTCGGCGACGCGTTTTGGGGCGGGAGCAGGGACGTGTGCGTGCTGGTGAACGCGGCGACGCTGGACGCGATCGAGATCGCGCGCGATGGCGTCGATCCCGAGGTGTACGCGACGGCGCGGGTGAACGCGATGATTTTTCGTTCGAGCGACGAGGCGCTGAAGCGCATGGCGCCCGAGTTGTCGGCGAAGCAGCGCGCGTCGTGGATCTTTTGATCGGTCGCGTCGATCGGTGATGTAATACTAGTGATTGTTGTTTGTTGATTGCGCTAAACGATGCGGCGAGGTGCCGCGCTAGGAGGTCACGCGTCTTCGTCTCGCGCGCCGTACGCGGGACGCACGGCGTAATTTTCTAGATACGCGACGTCGGCCAAATATAACCCGTGCGCGGGCGCCATTTGCGGCGCGCGCGCGACGTCTTTCGCTTCGAGAAGCTCCTGAACGTCTTTCACGGTGAGGTCGTTCGCGCCGACGGCTTTGAGCGCGCCGGCGAGGAGACGGACTTGATGGTAAAGAAAACTGGGCGCGGCGACGGCGATGGAAATCTTTTGCTTCGTACCGCGCGCCTCCGCGGCGGGCCACTCCGTGAGCTCTTCCTTGACGTCGATGGACGTCAGCGTGCGCACGGGCGAGCTCGCTTGACACCCGTTCGCGCGAAAAGAACTGAAATCGTGCGTGCCCGTCAGCGCCGCCGCCGCGTCTCGCATCGCGTCCACGTTTAAACGCCCGTCGCACGTCTGATATCGACGCACCGACTTCACCTTATCCCCGCGCTCGCTATTATTCACCGCGCGCACGTACCACGCGCGCTCGGCGTCGAACAAGCTCCCCCCGTCGTCGCGTTCGCCGACCAATATATCGTATCTATACCGCCTCGCCACCGCGTCGTGCCGCGCGTGAAATTTTGGATTCATCTCATCCACCCTGACGCACTCCGTCACCCGCACCGCCGCGCCGAGCTTTCTCAAGTGATAATTCACCCCTCTTCGCACGCTCGCGCCGTCGTGCGGTTCGACCGTCGTCCCATCCTTCGTCGTTCTCGCGAAGTCGAAGTGCGCCGAGTTTCGCAGCGCGTGCACGCCGACGTCCGTCCTCGAGCTACCGACGCACTCGATCGCTCCGCGCGCGCCCGTGAAAGCCGTGAGCGCTTCATCCAGCGCGCCTTGCACCGTCGCCGCGACGCCGCACTGCCTCTGGAAGCCGCGGAAGCGCGCGCCGTCGTACTCCAAAAAGGCGAGGTAGCGCGGGACAGCGGCGGCGATTCGCTTCGACGCCACCATCTCCGCGCTCTGCGCGCTCACGGGACGCTTGCGAGACGCGTCGGGGTCGTTCGAGCGGCTCGGGCGTCGACGAGCGACGGTTGCGCTCTCGGGCATCGAGGTGTGAAGCGCGAGTCGACGCGCGGGACAAATGCGGGACGCGACGGACGAGGGACTTTGACATCTGTGTATCGTGAATGTCATCGAAAACGCGATGTTTCGCGCGTGTTTACTATTCGTACGCGCTGTCGGATGCACCGCACACGGCGACGCGGACGACGGCGGAATGTTCGCCGTTACTTATGGCGTCGAATTCGTCGCAAATGCGACGGCGTTCGTCTTCGCTCAATCTCGAACGCAAACCCACGGAGAGCATGTCTAGCTCCGGAGCGTCTGGCGTGAAAGGGAACGTGTTGAATAAGTCAACGAGCTTGTTGAGCTCGAGCATGGTGGCGACGCTGTCGTTACTTCGAAGTCCCGCTCCGGCTTGAACGACGGCGCCGCGCACGCGAACGGCGACGTCCGCCATGACGATGGAGACGCACTTGTGCGCATCTAGGCTCAGATCATCCGAAAGACCGACTAAAAATGGTCCAACAGGAGTGTTAAATGCGCTCGTCGCGCCCGCTTGGCCGCGCATGGCGTCCGTGACGGCGAAATCAGCGGCGGCTCGAAAGATGGCGACTCGCGCGCTCTCCGGTCCGACCGACTTTACCGCGCACCCTCGCTCGCCCGCCGCCGCGCACGCGGCGCGAAAATCGGCGATATCATCCGCACTGAATCCCGCGCCGCTGACTCGCTTCGCCGCGAGCGTTGCTCCTTGCGCTTTCGCGACTTGAATCAGCGCCTCCTTGCGTCCCGGCGGCACGTACTGCGGCGACGGCGGCGTCCACCACGCCGGCAACGCCTTCGCCGCGCCGCTCGTTTTCTTCTCGTTTCCCCGCGCCTTCGTCGCGGATCCCGGCTTTACGTTCGCGTCTTCGGGAACGTCGTCCAAAGCCCCCTCTAAACGTTTGCGTTCGTCCCGAAACCGATCCGCCGTCGCCGGCACCCAAACCTGCCGCCCGCCGAGACTGCGGTCGCCGACCCACCGCCCCGGTCCCGTCGCCCCCGGCGGCGGCGCCCGACGACCCACGCCCTTGAACGCGCTCCCGATCGCTCGAAGCGGGTTCTCGCGATTGATGACCTTGAGCGCGATCCACGCGCACGCGAACAGCGTCCCCCACGCCGCCGCCGCCCGCCCGTACGCCGACGCCGGGTTCGGTCGCTGCGGCCTGTACACCGTCGCGTACGTCCCGGGCGCGCCGACGCGCGCCGGAACGTCCGCGCGCGGCCTGAACGCGCCCGCGTCGCGCGGCAGCAGCGCGTCGACGGCTTTTTGCGACGCCTTTTTCACTTTTCGCTGCACTTTTCGGATAAATCGTTGCGCGTCGCTCCGTCGCTCCGGACGCGCGCGCGCGGCGTCGAGCGCGCGCGTCGCCGGCGCGACGTGCTTTTCGACGTAATCGTCCATCTCGCGCTCGTAATCGCGCGCGCTGGACGATCGTTTCTTGGCTTCTTTCTCGCGAAGGCGATTCTTGGGGCCGGCGCGCGGGACGACGTCGACGCGACCGGGACGGGCGCGGCGTCGCGCGAGCGTCGCGCGCGCGCTCGCGACGCGCGCGCCGAAGCGTGGATTCGTCGCGCGAAGCGACATCTCGGTCGCTCGCGCGAGACGCGCGCGATGCAGTGAAGGGCGCGCGAGTCGGTTTCGTCTTTGATGCTACAAGCCGCGGCGCGCGCGCTTAAATTTCCAATTTGGACGTCGTGCGCTCGAACGAGGCGTCGCTCAGCGGCGTTCCACCGTCGCCCGCGCTCGAAAACGCCGCTATCGGCGACACCGTCGCGCCGTCGAACCTCCCGCCGCCGTCAAACTTCCCCGGCGTCTCGTCCACGCTTTGGTCGAGCAGCCAATCGCTCCCGTTCAACGACGCCTCCAATTTCGCCTCCATCGCCGCGATGTCGCTCATGACGCCCATCGACGCCACCTCATTCTTAATCATTATCTCCACATCGCTCACCCCGAGATCGGCGGCGATGTTCTCCGTCTTGACCGTCAATTCCATCGCTCGAACGCGCGTCTCCGCGTCGTCGTCGCCGAGCGCCGCGCGCTTCGCCCTCGCCAGGACGCCTCGCAGCCCGCGCTCTGGGGACGGCGTCCCCAGTTCGCGCATGTACGGCTGCTTCAGCAACGCCGCGACCGTGTCCAGGTCTCCCTTTCGAGTCTCGGGTCGCCGCGCGCGTCGTCCGAGGAGAAACGCGCCGACGAGCGACGCGCCGACGAGGATGAATTGCGTCGCGCTGATGTCGTCGATTTCGTCGCGGATTTCTTTCGTTTTCTCGCGCACGCGCGCGCGGGCGTCGTCGGCGACGCTTCGCGCGGGTTTCTTTCGCGTCGGCGCGCGCGCGCGGTCGAAGACGCCCATCGCCGCGCGATCTCAGCGTCGGCGAATGACGACGACGATTGGCTGGTCGGTCGAGACTTTTTACGACGCCGCCGAGCGAACGCGACGCGGAAACGGGACGAAGGACTCGTGATCGGACTTGTCCTTGCCGGGCAGCGGCGGCGACGAGGGAATCCCAAAGTCGCGAGATCGAAACGCGCGGAATTCGCGCTTGATGGCGGCGTACGGTTTGTTCTCCATCGCCCGACGCGCGCGGGGCGGGAGACGGGATAAAACGTCGGCGTCGAAGGAGGCGCACAGCTCTCGCGCGCACAGGGCGGAGGACGCCGCGCCGGAGGCGCGACACTTTTTGCCGTAGCCGTGGAGGAAACCGATGGCGCCGAGAAGGCGCTCGACGCGGCCGGATGCGATGTCGACGGCGCCGACGGCGTCGTTGAACTCAAACGTCGATCGCGACGGCGCGACGTACGTCACGCACGTCGGCGACGCGACGCGATCGCCGTCGACGACGGCGCGATAGGACGAGAGATCGTCGCTCGGTGCGTCGACGGCGACGCATCGTGGTTCGACCCGGTCGTCGGATTGTGAGTCGTCCAATCGCGCTCGTTTGACGATCGCGCGTTTCAACGCGAGAGCGACGACGCGTTTCGTCTCTTCGGCGCGCTCTTCGCGAACGTTTGGAATGGACACGCAGATCGACCGTGGCTTGATCGCTTCGCGCGCGACGAGGCGCATGAGCGTGCCCTGTAAACCATGCATCTGCCAGCGACACATTTTATCCGAACAGCTCAAACAAAACGATGGCGCGCCTCTGCCCGGCTTCCATCGCACGGCGCCGACTTCTTGCGTCGGGCGATCGCGTTCGGGATCCGCGCCGCCGCCGCCACCGCCGCCACCGTTCATGTCCGTCAATATTTTCGCACCCGTCACCCCCGCACCTCCGCCCGCACCCCCCGTCGTCTTCGCTCGCTTCACCGTCGCCGTCGAAGCCTCCGCGCCGCCGTCGCTCCGCCTCGCCTCGCTCGGCAACTCGAACACGCTCGCGTCGCCGCACGGCGACTGACTGCAATACGCGTGCACCTCCACCCCCGCGCGCATTCGCACCCGATTCCCAGCGCCTAATATCTCATCCCACGCCGTCTCTTCGTCGCACCCAGCGCCGCGTTCGCGCGTCACCTCGAACACGCTCGCTCGTCCGTCCCTCGCCTCGGCGTACTCGCGCTGCAACCACCGCGTCAACGCGCGTCTCGCCAACACCTCCGCGTGACAGTCCCCGATCGCGCCCCCGTCGCGCGCGCGGTTCGCCATCGGCACGCACTTCGTCCCCGTCGCGAACGCCGCGACGTAGCACGTCCCTCGCGCGCTCGCCGCGTCGTTTCGCTCGACGATGCAAAAAGCGCACAGCGTCGTGTACGCATCCTTCGACGTTTTCTCGCGTCCGCGCGCGTCGTACGTCGCCAGCGCGCACGCGCGCACGACTGCGGCGACGCGTTCGACGTCGTCGACGTCGTCGACGGCGTGCGCGCGCATGCGCGCGCGCGAGACTGCCGATTCGCGCGCGCGTCTCGTCGCGCGCGTCGCCGCGCGCGTCGAGCGTCGCGCGCGGCTCGGACGCGAAGTCGAGCGCGTTCGAGCGCCCTCACTGTTCGCGTATACGCCATGTGTCCGAACATCGCGCGCGCTTTTCGCGTTTCGCGCCGCGCGCGTCGTATTGCGCGACGACGCGTCCCATCGATCGCGACGCGCGATCGCTAAGCGCGATCGCGACGCGCGCGACCGACCGACCGACCGCCGTTACATGCGCCAACACCATAAATGAGGTTGCGCATCGCATCTTTCGCCAGATCGCGACGCGCGTCGCCCGCGACGCCGCGAACGAGGACGGCGAACGACCGGCGATGACGCGCGTCGAGCGCGTCGCGCTGCTCGGACGCGCGCGCGACGTCGAGGACGGCACGCTCGGCGCGGGAGGCGCGTTCTTCGGGACGAACACCGCGCGCGACGGCGACGGCGACGACGACGGCGCGCGAGAGCGCGCGCGCGAGCGCGGCGGCGCGCGGCGAGGACGGGGGACGATCGCGGTGGGAGCGATGTGCGTCGCGATCGGGGTCGCGATCGGATCGGTGACGACGTCGACGCGGGAGGGAGGACGGACGACGGGCGACGTCGCGAGCGTCGGCGCGAACGCGCCGAGCGGAGCGACGAGTCGCGCGGCGCGGGGCGCGGAAGAGGCGAATTTGGGCGACGCGACGTCGTTGGCGATCGCGAGCGTTCCCGCGGATTCGTGGATGTCGTTCTCGACGGGGAAAGTGCGAAAGCGAAAGTATCCGGATTCGTTTTATTACGTCGTCGCGCCGGAGGCGGACGAGGAGGTCGGGTATTTGGGCGCGCCGAGCGACTGGCCGACCGGGGATCGGGTGACGGTGGATCTGCACACCGGGTGCTCGCCGATCGACGCTCTGCCGTTCCAGCGTCCCGGGTTTGATTTCGACACCGTTCAGGCCCGCTTTGTGAGCAAGAAGCTCAGCATGGAGTTCATGTTTGAGGACTCGCAGCCGATGACCAAAGTCGGGTGCGGACATTTCCGGGCCACGGTAGAGCTCTCGAAAGGATGGGAGTTTGGGTTCTATCTTCATGCGAATGGCGACGACAGCGACGAGAACACGATGCTCGACATCGGGTGCGAAACCGCGGTGCCGGGCGCCAACAACACCAAGTGTCCGGATTTCGCTTCACCGGCGATGCTCGCGACTTCGGAGTGCACGGACAAATTCGTGTGTAATCATGGTCTGTACACGTTCTGGAATCGAAGATACGATGGCGAACAAACGTCGTTCCTGTGGGGGGCTTGCGGAAGCGAGTGTCCGCACCAGGACTGCGGCCACATGTACTGCGCGGCGAACGAGCGCGTGCAGAACCAAGCGTGCGCGTCGTGTCCGCCTGGGACGACGAACGATGCGGGCGATAAGAACGTCGGCGCCGATACGCAGTGTGATCCGGTCATCTGCGGAGCGCACATGCGCGTGCAAGATCACAACTGCGTGCAGTGCGTCGCCGGTAAGGAGAACGAAGCCGGCGACGACGCCTCACAAAGTAACACCGAGTGCGACGCCGTCATTTGCGAGCCGAATCATCACGTGGCGGGCAATGTGTGCACGGCGTGTCCCGCCGGTCACGCGCACGCCGGCGGCGACGTGCAGCACGGCCCTGATACGTCGTGCGACGAAGTGCTTTGCCACACGAACGAGCGCGTTCTCGGCCACCAGTGCGTGGCGTGTCCTCCGGGCTCGACGAACGCCGCCGGCGACGGCGCGGCGAGCGGCGATACGCAGTGCGACCACACTATTTGTCCGGCGAACATGCACGTCGTTGGTCACGTGTGCACGCCGTGTCCACCGGGTATGAACCACCCAGGTGGCGACGACGCTTTTTTCGGCGACACGTCGTGCAGCGCCATTCTCTGCCAGTCGAATCAGCGCGTGCTGGGTCACGCGTGCGTCAGCTGTCCGCCCGGGACGACGAACGATGCGGACGACGACGCCTCGGGTGGCGACACGCAGTGCGATCCGGTCATCTGCGGAGCGCACATGCGCGTGCAAGATCACAACTGCGTGCAGTGCGTCGCCGGTAAGGAGAACGAAGCCGGCGACGACGCCTCACAAAGTAACACCGAGTGCGACGCCGTCATTTGCGAGCCGAATCATCACGTGGCGGGCAATGTGTGCACGGCGTGTCCCGCCGGTCACGCGCACGCCGGCGGCGACGTGCAGCACGGCCCTGATACGTCGTGCGACGAAGTGCTTTGCCACACGAACGAGCGCGTTCTCGGCCACCAGTGCGTGGCGTGTCCTCCGGGCTCGACGAACGCCGCCGGCGACGGCGCGGCGAGCGGCGATACGCAGTGCGACCACACTATTTGTCCGGCGAACACGCACGTCGTTGGTCACGTGTGCACGCCGTGTCCACCGGGTATGAACCACCCAGGTGGCGACGACGCTTTTTTCGGCGACACGTCGTGCAGCGCCATTCTCTGCCAGTCGAATCAGCGCGTGCTGGGTCACGCGTGCGTCAGCTGTCCGCCCGGGACGACGAACGATGCGGACGACGACGCCTCGGGTGGCGACACGCAGTGTGATCCGGTCATCTGCGGAGCGCACATGCGCGTGCAAGATCACAACTGCGTGCAGTGCGTCGCCGGTAAGGAGAACGAAGCCGGTGACGACGCCTCACAAAGTAACACCGAGTGCGACGCCGTCATTTGCGAGCCGAATCATCACGTGGCGGGCAATGTGTGCACGGCGTGTCCCGCCGGTCACGCGCACGCCGGCGGCGACGTGCAGCACGGCCCTGATACGTCGTGCGACGAAGTGCTTTGCCACACGAACGAGCGCGTTCTCGGCCACCAGTGCGTGGCGTGTCCTCCGGGCTCGACGAACGCCGCCGGCGACGGCGCGGCGAGCGGCGATACACAGTGCGACCACACTATTTGTCCGGCGAACACGCACGTCGTTGGTCACGTGTGCACGCCGTGCGCGCCGGGTCGTGACCACCCAGGTGGCGACGATGCGACTCTCGGCGACACGTCGTGCAGTGCCATCATGTGCGGGCCCAACCAGCACGTCGTGAGCCACGCTTGCACGGTGTGTCCAGCAGGAATGGTTAACGATGCGAACGACGACGCTTCGGGTGGCGACACGCATTGCGATCCGATACTGTGTCCATCGAATCAACGCGTGCAGGGTCATACGTGTGTGCAATGTGCGCCCGGGAAGACCAACGCACCCAATGATGATGCCTCTAGGGGCGACACTGAGTGCGATATTACGTACTGCGCCGCAAATCAGCGCGTACAGGGCCATCAATGTGTCGCGTGTGCGCCCGGCACGACGAACGATGCCGGCGATGACGCCTCGCAAGTCGACACGCAGTGCGCTCCGATCATTTGTGGCGCACACATGCGAGTTCAAAGTCACGCGTGCGTACAGTGCGTCCCGGGTCGCGAGAACCTGGCGGGTGACGACGCCTCCGGCCAAGATACACCCTGCGATGAAATCGTGTGCGAAGAGAACCACAAGGTCGTGAGCCACCAGTGCGTGGCGTGCCCCGCGGGGAAGATACACACGGCTGGCGATGTTGCTTCGGGGCCAGACACGTCTTGCGACGCGGTGACGTGTAGCACGAACGAGCGCGTTCAAGGCCACCAGTGCGTGGCGTGTCCGGCCGGCACGACAAACGACGGCGGCGACGACGCGTCGGGTGGCGACACGCAGTGCGATCCGGTCATTTGTCCAGCACAAACGCACGTACAAAACCACGTGTGTGAGGTGTGTCCTCCCGGTCATGCGCACCCAGGTGGTGACGACGCGTCTCAAGGCGACACGCAGTGCGACGCAGTGATGTGTGGGGCAAATTATCACGTGCAAGATCATCATTGCGTGCCATGTCCAACGGGTAAAGACAATCAAGCGAACGACAATGCCGCGGGCGCAGATACAGAGTGCGACATCATCTATTGTGCTGCCAATCAACGCGTACAAAACAACGTCTGTACCGCGTGTCCGCCCGGCACAATTAATGCAGGCGGTGATAACGCGTTTGACCATGATACCACTTGCGATACCGTTTATTGCGGCGTGAATCAACACGTCTTTGAAAATGAATGCGTCCCTTGTCCGGCAGGGATGGTAAACCCGTCGGGAGACGACGCCACCGGGCCCCGCACGTTTTGCGAGCCAATCATCTGCGGCGCGCACATGCACGTACAGAATCATCAGTGCGTGCAATGTGCTCCAGGTGATGAAAATTTGGCTGGCGATAGTGCCGCGCAACACGATACCACCTGCGACGAGGTCACTTGTTCTGCGAACGAGCACGTGGTGAGCCACCAATGCACGGCGTGTCCCGCCGGTCACGCGCACGCTGGCGGCGACGTGCAGCACGGCCCTGATACGTCGTGCGACGAAGTGCTTTGCCACACGAACGAGCGCGTTCAAGGCCACCAGTGCGTGGCGTGTCCTCCGGGCTCGACGAACGCCGCCGGCGACGGCGCGGCAAGCGGCGATACGCAGTGCGACCACACTATTTGTCCGGCGAACACGCACGTCGTCGGTCACGTGTGCACGCCGTGCGCGCCAGGCTACGAACGACTTGCCGGCGACGACGCCACCGGTGGTGATACGCAATGCAGTGCTGTCTTGTGCGGCGCAAACATGCACGTGCAGAATAATTTGTGCGCGGCGTGCCCCGCTGGCACGACGAACGCCGCCGGCGACGACGCCTCGCGAGGAAACTCGGAATGCGATCACACTATCTGCGAAGCGCACATGCGAGTGCAGAGTCATCAGTGCGTCGCGTGCATGGATGGCAAGGAAAATCTGGCGGGAGACGATGCCGCTGGGGGGGACACACAATGCGATGAAGTCATCTGCGCTGCCGATCATCATGTATTAAACCATCAGTGTGTATCGTGCCCTTACGGTCACGCGCACGCCGGCGGCGACGTGCAGCACGGCCCTGATACGTCGTGCGACGAAGTGCTTTGCCACACGAACGAGCGCGTTCTCGGCCACCAGTGCGTGGCGTGTCCTCCGGGCTCAACGAACGCCGCCGGCGACGGCGCGGCGAGCGGCGATACGCAGTGCGACCACACTATTTGTCCGGCGAACACGCACGTCGTTGGTCACGTGTGCACGCCGTGCGCGCCGGGTCGTGAACACCCAGCCGGCGACGACGCCACCGGTGGTGATACGCAATGCAGCGCCGTGATGTGCGGATCCAACATGCACGTCCAAAACCACGTGTGCACGGCGTGCCCGGCCGGGACGACGAACGCCGCCGGCGACGACGCTTCCGGAGCGAATACGCAGTGCGACCCAATCTTGTGTGGCGCGAACCAACACGTCTTGAATCATCAGTGCATGCAGTGCCCGCCCGGCACGCTCAATGACGCCAGCGATAGCGCTGCCGGTGGTAATACGCAGTGCGACGCCGTGCAGTGCGGCTGCAACCAACGCGTGCAGGGCCATCAATGTGTCACGTGTGCGCCCGGGACGACGAACGACGCCGGCGATGACGCCTCACAAGGCGATACGCAGTGCGATCCGACCATCTGCGGCGCGCACATGCGAGTGCAAGATCACGCGTGCGTAGCGTGTGTGGACGGTCGAGAGAACCTGGCGGGTGACGACGCCTCACAAGGCAACACGCAGTGCGACGAAATCGTGTGCGAAGAGAACCACAAGGTCGTGAGCCACCAGTGCGTGGCGTGCCCCGCGGGGAAGATACACACGGCTGGCGATATTGCTTCGGGCCCAGACACGTCTTGCGACGCGGTGACGTGTAGCACGAACGAGCGCGTTCAAGGCCACCAGTGCGTGGCGTGTCCGGCTGGCACGACAAACGACGGCGGCGACGACGCGTCGGGTGGCGACACGCAGTGCGATATTACCCGGTGCACGGCGCACATGCACGTACAAAACCATGTGTGCGTGCAGTGCCCGGCCGGTAAAGAGAACGTCGCGGGTGATGACGCCTCTGGAGGTAACACGGAATGCGACGTCGTGCGATGCGGTGCCAACCAGCACGTCGTCGACCACGTGTGCACGGCGTGTCCGGCCGGGACGACGAACGATGAAGGCGACGACGCTTCGGGAGCGAACACGCAGTGCGATCCCGTCATCTGTGAATTGCACATGCGAGTGCAGAATCATCAGTGCGTCGCGTGTGCGCCTGGCAAGGAGAATCTGGCGGGCGACGACGCCTCGCAAGGTAACACCGAGTGCGACGCCGTCATTTGTTCTGCGAACGAGCACGTGGTGAGCCACCAATGCACGGCGTGTCCCGCCGGTCACGCGCACGCCGGCGGCGACGTGCAGCACGGCCCTGATACGTCGTGCGACGAAGTGCTTTGCCACACGAACGAGCGCGTTCTCGGCCACCAGTGCGTGGCGTGTCCTCCGGGCTCAACGAACGCCGCCGGCGACGGCGCGGCGAGCGGCGATACGCAGTGCGACCACACTATTTGCCCTGCGAACACGCACGTCGTCGGTCACGCGTGCACGCCGTGTCCGCCAGGTCATGAACACCCGGCCGGCGACGACGCCACCGGTGGTGATACGCAATGCAGCGCCGTGTCGTGTGGGCCCAACATGCACGTCCAAAACCACGCGTGCACGGCGTGCCCGGCCGGGACGACGAACGCCGCCGGCGACGACGCTTCTGGAGCGAATACGCAGTGCGATGCGACAATTTGCGCACACAACAAGCATGTTGTCAACCACGAGTGTGTTCCGTGTCCAGATGGCCATGAACACCCAGGCGTCGCTGATGCTTCTGGCTCCGATACTTCGTGTGATGTCACGCTGTGTGGCGCGAACCAACACGTCGTGAATCATCAGTGCATGCAGTGCCCCCCCGGCACGCTCAATGACGCCAGCGATAGCGCTGCCGGTGGTAATACGCAGTGCGACACCGTGCAGTGCGGCGTCAACCAACGCGTGCAGGGCCATCAATGTGTCACGTGTGCGCCCGGGACGACGAACGACGCCGGCGATGACGCCTCACAAGGCGATACGCAGTGCGATCCGACCATCTGCGGCGCGCACATGCGAGTGCAAGATCACGCGTGCGTAGCGTGTGTGGACGGTCGAGAGAACCTGGCGGGTGACGACGCCTCACAAGGCAACACGCAGTGCGACGAAATCGTGTGCGAAGAGAACCACAAGGTCGTGAGCCACCAGTGCGTGGCGTGCCCCGCGGGGAAGATACACACGGCTGGCGATATTGCTTCGGGCCCAGACACGTCTTGCGACGCGGTGACGTGTAGCACGAACGAGCGCGTTCAAGGCCACCAGTGCGTGGCGTGTCCGGCTGGCACGACAAACGACGGCGGCGACGACGCGTCGGGTGGCGACACGCAGTGCGATATTACCCGGTGCACGGCGCACATGCACGTACAAAACCATGTGTGCGTGCAGTGCCCGGCCGGTAAAGAGAACGTCGCGGGTGATGACGCCTCTGGAGGTAACACGGAATGCGACGTCGTGCGATGCGGTGCCAACCAGCACGTCGTCGACCACGTGTGCACGGCGTGTCCGGCCGGGACGACGAACGATGAAGGCGACGACGCTTCGGGAGCGAACACGCAGTGCGATCCCGTCATCTGTGAATTGCACATGCGAGTGCAGAATCATCAGTGCGTCGCGTGTGCGCCTGGCAAGGAGAACGAAGCCGGCGACGACGCCTCGCAAGGTAACACCGAGTGCGACGCCGTCATTTGTTCTGCGAACGAGCACGTGGTGAGCCACCAATGCACGGCGTGTCCCGCCGGTCACGCGCACGCCGGCGGCGACGTGCAGCACGGCCCTGATACGTCGTGCGACGAAGTGCTTTGCCACACGAACGAGCGCGTTCTCGGCCACCAGTGCGTGGCGTGTCCTCCGGGCTCAACGAACGCCGCCGGTGACGGCGCGGCGAGCGGCGATACGCAGTGCGACCACACTATTTGCCCTGCGAACACGCACGTCGTCGGTCACGCGTGCACGCCGTGTCCGCCAGGTCATGAACACCCGGCCGGCGACGACGCCACCGGTGGTGATACGCAATGCAGCGCCGTGATGTGCGGATCCAACATGCACGTCCAAAACCACGTGTGCACGGCGTGCCCGGCCGGGACGACGAACGCCGCCGGCGACGACGCTTCTGGAGCGAATACGCAGTGTGATGTCACGCTGTGCGGCGCGAACCAACACGTCGTGAATCATCAGTGCATGCAGTGCCCGCCCGGCACGCTCAATGACGCCAGCGATAGCGCTGCCGGTGGTAATACGCAGTGCGACGCCGTGCAGTGCGGCTGCAACCAACGCGTGCAGGGCCATCAATGTGTCACGTGTGCGCCCGGGACGACGAACGACGCCGGCGATGACGCCTCACAAGGCGATACGCAGTGCGATCCGACCATCTGCGGCGCGCACATGCGAGTGCAAGATCACGCGTGCGTAGCGTGTGTGGACGGTCGAGAGAACCTGGCGGGTGACGACGCCTCACAAGGCAACACGCAGTGCGACGAAATCGTGTGCGAAGAGAACCACAAGGTCGTGAGCCACCAGTGCGTGGCGTGCCCCGCGGGGAAGATACACACGGCTGGCGATATTGCTTCGGGCCCAGACACGTCTTGCGACGCGGTGACGTGTAGCACGAACGAGCGCGTTCAAGGCCACCAGTGCGTGGCGTGTCCGGCTGGCACGACAAACGACGGCGGCGACGACGCGTCGGGTGGCGACACGCAGTGCGATATTACCCGGTGCACGGCGCACATGCACGTACAAAACCATGTGTGCGTGCAGTGCCCGGCCGGTAAAGAGAACGTCGCGGGTGATGACGCCTCTGGAGGTAACACGGAATGCGACGTCGTGCGATGCGGTGCCAACCAGCACGTCGTCGACCACGTGTGCACGGCGTGTCCGGCCGGGACGACGAACGATGAAGGCGACGACGCTTCGGGAGCGAACACGCAGTGCGATCCCGTCATCTGTGAATTGCACATGCGAGTGCAGAATCATCAGTGCGTCGCGTGTGCGCCTGGCAAGGAGAACGAAGCCGGCGACGACGCCTCGCAAGGTAACACCGAGTGCGACGCCGTCATTTGTTCTGCGAACGAGCACGTGGTGAGCCACCAATGCACGGCGTGTCCCGCCGGTCACGCGCACGCTGGCGGCGACGTGCAGCACGGCCCTGATACGTCGTGCGACGAAGTGCTGTGCCACACGAACGAGCGCGTTCTCGGCCACCAGTGCGTGGCGTGTCCTCCGGGCTCAACGAACGCCGCCGGCGACGGCGCGGCGAGCGGCGATACGCAGTGCGACCACACCATTTGCCCTGCGAACACGCACGTCGTCGGTCACGCGTGCACGCCGTGTCCGCCAGGTCATGAACACCCGGCCGGCGACGACGCCACCGGTGGTGATACGCAATGCAGCGCCGTGTCGTGCGGGCCCAACATGCACGTCCAAAACCACGTGTGCACGGCGTGCCCGGCCGGGACGTGGAACGATGAAGGCGATGACGCTTCCGGTGCGAACACGCAGTGCGATCCGGTCATCTGTGAAGTGCACATGCGAGTGCACGATCACGCGTGCGTTGCGTGTGCGCCTGGCAAGGAGAACGAAGCCGGCGACGACGCCTCGCAAGGTAACACCGAGTGCGACGCCGTCATTTGCGAGCCGAATCATCACGTGGCGGGCAATGTGTGCACGGCGTGTCCCGCCGGTCACGCGCACGCCGGCGGCGACGTGCAGCACGGCCCTGATACGTCGTGCGACGAAGTGCTTTGCCACACGAACGAGCGCGTTCAAGACCACCAGTGCGTGGCGTGTCCTCCGGGCTCGACGAACGCCGCCGGCGACGGCGTGGCAAGCGGCAATACGCAGTGCGACAGCACTATTTGCGGGGCGAACAGGTACGTATCAAACCATGTGTGCGTGCTTTGCCCTTACCAACACTATCGCGCCGCCGGCGACGACGCCACCGGTCCCGACACGGCATGTATACGATATTACGGTCTCGGATAGATGTTTAATTTTTAATAATACGTCCTAATAATCGACAAACGAACGCGCGGCGCGCGACGCGAGCGCCGCCGCGACGCGCGCACAGCGCCGCGCTGGCGCGCATCAAAACGCGACGCTCGAGTCGACGCGATGCGCGCGTCCGCGCGCGTCGCGAGCGCGCGCGCGGTCGTGAAGCGCGAGCGCGACGCGCGATCGACGCGCGCGCGCGCGTTCGTGCCGCCCATCGTCCCGAATCCGCGCCAGGGCGACGACGACGCGAATGCTGACGCGGCACCGACGCTGCCGAACATCGAACGCGCGCTGGCGCCGCACGGATGGGCGATCGGCGCCGAGCGAGGGTACGACGACACGCCGCACGCGTTCAAGATATTCAAAGTGCGCGATGGGCATCACACGCTGGAACAGCTGCAAGAGGCGCTGTACGTGAGCGACGAACGAGGGTGTCGGATACGACGCGAGACGCAGTCGTTGTTTTACATGTGCTGCGATGGCGTGCGGTGTCGGTTGAACGAGGGGAAGAAAGAGATCGTGGTGGAGATGCCGTGTGATTTGGACAGCGTGGGAGCGTACGTGGCGAAGGCCAAGGTGATTGAGGACATCATTAAGAGTTCTCAAAAGAAGAGGGCTTCGTGAGCGGGCGGCGAGGTTGTAAAACATTCAACATTTTTCTAAAATATGCGTGGTGGCTAATCGATCGTTCGTTCTTTCGTTCTTTCGTTCGTTTTCTCGTTCGTCCGTCCGTTTTTGTTACTAGGTGATCAACGACTCGCGCTTCCTCGGCTAGAACGCCGCGGCGTTCGGCGGGGCGTCGGGGTTGGCACGACGACGGGCGCTTTGCTCGCGCTTCGCGTGAGACGAACGGCCTCGTCGGCGAGCGATTGCGCGTTCTCATCGTTCCAATCGTCGTCCATGCTCAATCTGGGCGGATCGTATTGCGACGCGGGTTCTTGCGAAGCGTGAACCTCGTCCCATGGCATCTCGTCCACCAAAGACTCGGCGTTTTCGGGCACGCCCGTGAGTGCTCTCGCGCGCGACTTCAACGACGCGATGATCGAGCGCGATCGATCGTCTCGCGAGCCACAAAATCGCTCCAAATCGCGCGACGCAACCGAAATGCGATGGATGCCTGGCGTTTGCGCCGCTAACGTCACCGAAACATTTTCGATCGGCACGCGCGCGACGTAGACGCCGTTGTCCGCGTCGTAATGTTGGAACTCCAAATTTCGCAAAACGAGCGGCGGTCCACACTCGTGCCGCGCTTCGGTGAATAACTTCGTGGATGGCATCCAATCATCCGCCTTGACAAAGCTGTCATCGTCGTATCCAGTAATCTCTACCGCCAAAAGGTGCGGACGCGCCGCGTTCGGAGTCGTCGAATCGAGGACGGATGAATCAAAGCAAAATATCCATTGCGACAGTCGACCGCGTTGTGTCGATCGTGGAGGCCCGCAGTGTAAAGTACACGCCACGGCGTCGAATTCTTTGCGCACTAGACCCGATCGCGACAAGTCAGCCAAATCCACGGCTGCGCGCACGCTCAAGCAGCGCCATTCATGCTCGCTGTGCTCGAGTTTTTGCGCGGCAATATCTTCCTGCGGGATCGGGGTCCAACGCGTGTAGCGCGTGGTGGATAAACTTAACTCGCCCTCGATAAACGCGTTCGCGCGTGGTTTGATTGCCGTCACCGCAAACGACTGTCCTGGCTGCGCCGCATCGACGAGTGCTTCGTCCGCGTCCCAAATCGTAAGAATCGCACTCGTCGATCCGCGGGTGATCGGCCCTCGATATGATTCGTGCTTTGACGACGGCATGAAGCCGACAACGTTCAGACGAAGAACCGCGCTCGTACGACGATCGTATAGATTCTTCTCTTGAAGCGCCTCGCGAATCGCTCGCTCTTGATCGACTTCGCTGCCCCAACCTCCGATGCGATTGTGCATTGCGTCTTGCAACTCGTGCAAGACGCTGTCACGAGCGCGCTGCCATTCAGCATGCGCTCGACGCTCAGCGATTTCGCAACGCAATACGTTCTTGTCTGCATCCCTACGTTCTTGATGCATCATGGGATACGCGTGTCGGACATGAATCAACATACGCGGCACGACGCCGCCGTCGGGCACCACTGAACGCAGGGGTATCGTGAGATTGTACGTGACGCGTCCCAAAGCCGCATCCCACGGCGCGAGCCGCGCGCCGTTCACGTGCAGGCATACGTACGCCATCTCTGCATCGTCCGACAGTGGTGACACCGCATCCGTGACACCTCGTAGCTCGGCACCGACAACAAATATTTTGTACCCGACGCGCAAGCGTCCTTCGCGCACCGCTCGCGTAAGCTTCGCGTCCAGCCGCGCGCGAACGCTATACCATCCATCCGAAATTTCGATTTCTGACATCGTAGGTACATTACCGATACCGGAAGCGGTCGTCATCGATCGAATCGCGCTCACGACGTACACTGCCGGCGCGCCTGGGTTTTCATCCTTTTCTAAAATCCTCCTCACGTGCGGTCGCTCCGCGCGGTTAATTTCGCGTTCATACTTGTACAACATGCGCTGCAGCACGGCGGATTCGCTCAAGACGCCGAAAGCATACTTTTCTGGAAACGCTCGCGCCATGCATGCTTGTGTCCACACGATCCACTTGTACGCATTCGCCACCCACTCGTTCGTCAGAGACGCGTCGCTCGCGCCGGCTTTAATCATCAACTCGCGCATCTCTCGCCAACCAACCAGGCCGCGTTCGACGCTTGGCAAGCGCAATGACTTCGCGGTATCGGCGTTGAGCGTCGCGACGCACGTGTCGACGAACGCTGGGCGAACTTGAAACGGGAGCAAATTATTGAAGAATGTGCAGAGCGGCGCTCTCATGCCCATGCGAACGCGCGCGGCGAATAAGTCGTGCACGGCAACACCCACGGACGCACCAGTGCCATCGTGGCGCGATCTCTTCGCTTGTCGCGGTGCACTCGCCGCCGTTCGCGCGCCGAGTATTGACATCGGCGGCGTGAAAGCCGTCGTGCTCTTCATCGGCGGCGTGAACCCGGGCGCCTTCGATGGCGCCTTGCGAACCGCCGGGAGCGACTTCGGCGTCTTGAACGACGGCTGCGGGAACGCCGCACGCACTGGCGTGTTTTCATTCCCGACTTCCGCGAGAAAAGCGCGCGACTTCTTCAACGCCGCCTCGCTCAGCTCTAAAGTCGCGCCCGCGGCGGTCTGGAACACCAAACCTCCGCCGCCGCTCGCCGCGGGCGGCGTTGCGGCGGCGGCGCTCGGTCGCTCTCGACCAGACGACGACGGGTCGTTTTCATCAACGTCCGCAAACATCGCGCGCGCGCGTCGTTTTACGTCTTCAGACACCGCGATGCTCGCACCACCGCCGGTTTGAAAGACCAAGCCCTTGGGCGCCGCCGACGTAAACACGCCCCCGCTCTCCGCTCTCGTCGTCGCCGGCGTCTCGATCGCGGCTCGAAACGTGAACGCGTCTTCGTACGCCTCGTCGTCGTCATCAAATCTAGGTTGCTCGTCGGTTCGAATCGCGCCGTTCGCGCGCGCGATGACGCTCTTCCCACTCGCCGTCGTGAGCGTCACCGAATCCGGCGCCGGCGCGTCTAAATTCGCGTACGGCGTCGCCGATCCCGCCATGTGTCGTTGCATGATCACGAACGGGCTCTGCGCCATCGCCGTCGCTCGCGCGCTCGGTCCCGGCGCCGACGCCGGCGCCCGTCGCCGACTCACCGGCGTCACCGCGTCCGCGTCGTCGTCCTCGTCTCTCAAATACATGAACCCCTTCCCTCTCGCGCGCCGCGCCGCCGCCGCCGTCTCCGGCGTCGTCCGCTGCGTCTTCGGCCACGCCGGCGTGTGCGCGAACGGGTTCCCGCACCTCGCGAGCGCGCCCACGCTCACTCCCGGCGACGGCGCCGGCATCGCCCCGAGCCCACTGATCGACGGACTCTCCCTCGCGCCTCGCGCTTCGTCCGCGTCGTCCGCGTCGTCCGCGTCGTCCGCCGTCCTCACCGCCTCGTCGTCCCGCACCTCCGTCTCCGGCACCACTCGCCCCGACCGTTCCATCGAGTCTTTCGCGCCCCTTCTCGCGTCGCCGTCGCCCTTTTCGCGCGTCTTTTCCGCCTCGGCGTCTCGCGCGCGTTCGAACGCGTCGACAGCTCCCGCGCCGTTTGAATCTCTCCTCGAGTTCGTCGTCGCCGTCGTCGCCGCTCGCGCCCGCGCGACGTACGCCGCGCACGCGGGCTCATCGCCGTCGTCGAGCGCGCCGAGCGCGTCGCACAGCGGCGTCGCGCGCGTCGCGCGCGTCGCCGCATCGTCGTTCGGTCGCGCGTCGTTCGGTCGCGGCGCGCGCTCGACGTCCCAGCGCGCTTCGCTCGCGCGCGCGCGGCGCCGCGCGACGAGGCTCGGCATCGCGCGTCGGCGGCCGCGCGCGCGCGCGGCGCGAGGCGCGCGCGACGGTGTGCGGCGTCACAGCGCGGTGCGCGCGGATTCGATGCGCGCGACGCTCGCGCGAAGCCTCGTCGCGCGCGCGGCGCGCCGCGCGCCCGGACGCGCGCGGTCGCGACGCGCGATGTCGCGCGCGCGATCCGCGAGCGACGCGGGCGCGGAGGCGCTCGCGGAGGCGCTCGCGAGGCACGAATCGCGCGCGGCGCGATTGTCGTTCGCGGAGGAAGCGCGCGTGATTCTCGACACCAACGGCTGCGGCGCGCTGTCGACGCTGGGAAACCAACGCGCGGGCGTCTTGGCGGGGTTCCCGTGCGGGAGCGTCGCGGCGTACGCGAGCGATGAGGACGGGCTGCCGATCTTCGCGCTGAGCGCGCTGTCGCAGCACGCGCGAGACGCGAGGGAAAACGGAAAGGCGACGCTCACGGTGACGCGCGCGGAGTTCGAGGACGTGAGCGACGGGAGAGTGTCGATGAGTGGAATCCTGACCGAGGTCGACGCGGGCGAGGCGACGGCGCGGGCGCGAGCGCGGTACCTGGCGCGGCACCCGGGGGCGTTTTGGGTCGATTTCGGCGACTTCGCGTGGTACAAGATGACCGAGGTCGTGGCGATTCGCATCGTCGGAGGGTTCGCGCGCGCGGGGAGCGTGACGGTGGAAGAGTACGCGAATGCGCGACCGGATCCGGTGGCGGCGTTTTCGGCGCCGGTGTGCGGACACATGAACGCCGACCACGGGGACTCGCTTCGCGACGTGGTGAAGCACTACGTCGGCGTGGACGTGGATTCGGTCGAGATGCGCTCGATCGACGCGCTCGGGATGAACTGTCGCGTCGTCAAGGATGGCGAAAAGTACGCGTGTCGCCTACCGTTCGAAAGCGCGGCGACTGGGCGCAAAGAAGTGAAGGATCAAATCGTATTGATGACGCGAAACGCCGCGGCGGCGGCGAACGCGCAGTAAAATCGACGTCCTCCGGCGGCGACGTCGAGCCTCGCGATCGACATCGACGCTCCATCACCGAAGCGACGCGCGTCACCACCTAATCTTTATGTTTATCGCGACACCGCGACGATTCGTTTCCATCCGCGCGCGCCTTCGCGCGTTCGCCCCGCGTCGCGTCGCCTCACACCGCGCCCTCCGCCGCGCCCTCGCGGTGCATGCCCGTGTCGTTCGTGTATCAAAAGTCGTCTCGATCCAAACCTCGCGCGGGCGCCGACGTCTGCGAGATCAAGTGCAAGAAGCTCAGCTGCGCGATACAAAAGTGCATCTCCAGACTGCCCGCCACGCGGTCGCGCACGAGCGCGTCCACGGTGAACTTTGACGCGTGCGCGCCGGCGATCGAGCGCTACGACGCGTGCTGCGCCGCGGCGAGGGCGGCGGAGGCGCGAGGACGCGATGACGACGACGCGAAGCGTCGCGAGTGAAGCCCGGAGGCTGGGTTCGAGTCGGACGCGCGCGGCGCGGCGGCGAAGCGTCGCGAACGCGCGATGCGCGACGCGAGGTTCGAGCGGGCGGCGCGCGGTGCGGTCGCGATGGAAGGCGACGCGCGCGGCGGGCGACGCGAGCGACGAAGACGACTCGGGAAGGTTTATCAACGACGACGCGTTTTCGGCGCTCGGCGGGTTGAAGAAGACGAAGGATCCGTTCGCGGCGAACGCGGCGCGGGAAAGACCGGCGGCGAGCAAGGCGCGCGGTGTCGGTGGATTCTCGAAAGCGGGCGCGGAGACGGCGAGTTTGCCGACGACGCGCGACGCGGATGTGATTTTGAAGCGTTTCGACGAGACGCAGCGGCGCGAGGGAGCGGAGGCGGCGACGACGGCGTGTGAGCGACCCGCGATGGAACGAGCGACGAGAGCGCTCGCGTCGCGCGCGTCGCGCGTTATGCTGGGCATATGCGCCGCGAGCGCGGAGGAGGGATTGGCGGCGCTCAAGACGTGGACGGCGGAGTTGGGACTGCCGAAGGGAAAATTACACGGCATGGATAAGGATGGTATCCCAGTGGATCCGCCGAAAGGGGCGGTGTTCATCAAGTACAACTCACTTTCGGGAGATGCGTACATTTCTGGCTACGGTGGGACTTTTCGTGGGGTTTTGTTCACCCCCGAGCTCGACGACGGGGCGTTTCGCCAATACGGATATTTACCGCTCGACGTGTTGCTCTGATCTTGTAGATCTTGTAGACAAATCTCTAGTACGGCTAAGCTAAATCGCAGTCACGATAGATTGTTACCAGAATGTTTCGCGGTAATCCTTGAGGAACTTGCCGAACACAGGCGGCCACGCTTGCGGCGGTTCGCTGAAACCTTCAAACACCGGCGCGAGAACGCGCGCCGCGGCGTCTTCCTCATCGATGGGCGTCTGGAAACCCTTCTCTTTCGCCAATCTCGCCGCTTTTTCCAGTGGATTCTCGTCGTTAATCCAACCGGTATCGATTGAGTTCATATAGATGCCATCTTCCGCGAAGTCTTTCCCCGACGTCGCGCTCATCATGTTCAACGCCGCCTTCGCCATGTTGGTGTGCGAGTGCGTACTCAGTTTCGCCCGAGCGAATTGGCCTTCCATAGCGGAAACATTGATGATAAACGCCGCGGCGTACTCGACCCCAGCCTCTTTATCGACAGCGACGGTCTTGGCCATCAATGGACGAAGCTTGCCGTTCAGCACGAAAGGTGCGGCGGCGTTCACCGCGAGCACTTCGAGCAACTCTGGAGTCTCAATTTCGCCAAGCTTCATCGTCCACGAGTTTTTCGTCCTTAAATCCACCTGCTGCCCGTTGACATCGAGCGCGCCTTCAGGGAAGTGTTCGTTGGACTCATCGGCGTCGGAAGCGATCAGTTGGAGCTGCGACATTGCGGCTGAGGGCGCCATCCATCCAGCTTCTTTAAACTTATCGCCCTGTCGCCAATCGCTCAGCGCCGTGGGCGACGGCGCCTCGGCGTCGGCGCTCGGTAAAAAGTCGCACCGAGCGTTCGCGCCAGCGAGCGAGCGAGTAAACCCCGAGCGCGCTTCGGCTTGGAGAAGGTGCTTGTAATACGCTGGAGGTCGCCGCACGGTCTGACACGCGTTGTTCACGAGGACGTCCAATCGAGGCAGCGTCGCGAGCAAATGCGCGCAGAGCTTTTCCAAAGCGGGCAAGTCGCGCAAATCCATGGCGAGTATCTGCAGTCGACCGATCCATTGTCCCGCGTCATCTTCTCCTTCGAAGCGCTTCAGCGCGTCCACGGGAAAACGCGTCGTCGCGATCACGTTCGCGCCCGCGCGAAGAAGTTTCAACGCGATGCGATACCCAATCTTCACGCGCGCGCCCGTCACCACGCAAAACTTCCCTCGCATGTCCGCCGTCTGCGACCGCTTTTCCCAATTCAACTCGGCACACTCCGGACACAACGCTGCGTAAAAGTGATGCATCTTTCGAAATCGCGACTTGCACACGTAGCACGACCGCAATAAATTGAACTCCTCCGCCTCGCCGTTTTCGCTCGCCGCGATCGACGTCGCCGAAGCGCTCGCGACGCCGTCGGGAATCATCCTCTCCCCCACCCCATCCCCGTTCGCCTCTTGCAACGCGCTCAATCGTTTCAACCTTTCGTTCCGCAGCGTCGTTTGATCCATCTTCGCTCGATCCGCCGCGCGTTCCGCCATCTTTTTCCTATTCCGCTCGCGTTTCGGCAGCTTCGCCGCGACGTACTCCGCGCGAGACATCCCGTGGAACATTTTCCCGTGCATTCGCTCCAACAGCGGCAGCAGCGCTCTGCGCAGCGCTTTATGTTTCGGGTGCTCCAGCACCGCGTTCGCGCGCGCGCGCGCGTCGTCGTCGTCGCCGTCGCCGCCGTCGCGCGCGCTCGGTGCGCTTTTCGTCCCGCTCGCGCCGCCGCCGACATCGCCGCCGCACGCCGCGATCACGCGCAGCGCGCGCGCGAGATCGTCGCTCGTGAACCCCCGCCACGCGTCGAGCGCGTCGCCGTCGAGCGCGCGCGCGTCGTCGTCGAGCGTCGTCGTCATTCGTCCGCGCGACCGCGAGTGCGGCTCGCCGATGGGGCGCCGCGCGTGACGACGCGCGCGATGTCGTACGCGAAATCGACGCGCCCGACGCGGTTCTTAAGGGTGTGCCCGCTTCGCGCGCGCGACGAGGCGCGCGCGCTCGCCGAAGGCGCGGCGCGCGAGGCGGTGGAAGTCGACGCGCGGGACATCGACGCGAAACGCGCGGTGACGTTCGAGTTCGCGCGCGTGGAAGACGCGACGGCGGCGCTCGAGCGCCTGCGCGGAGGACGCACGCGCGCGTCTGTGTTCGGCGCGGGCGTCGCGGACGGCGAGACGGCGCTCGCGTGTGGGTACAGCGCGCGGGCGAGCGACTCGCGAGCGCCGGAGCGCGAGCGAACGAAGGCGTCGCGACGGTCGTCTGTCGAGGGACTGACGCTGATCGAGAATTTCGTCACGGTGGACGAGGAAAGAGCGTTGGCGACGCTCGCGGCGACGTCGGGGGACGAGACGCGGTTGGCGCGGCGCCGGGTGAAACATTTTGGGTACGCGTTCGATTACGGCACGCGAGACGCGAACTTGAAGGTTGTCGACGAGATTCCTGAGCTGGCGATGGAAGTGTTGCGGAGGCTTCCGCGCGAGACGCCTGGGTATGAAGGCGCGATGCGGTGCGACCAGGTGACGGTGAATGAGTATCCTCGAGGCGTCGGCTTGGCTCCGCACGTGGACACGCACTCGGCGTTTGGCGACACAATTTTATCGCTCTCTTTGCTCGGGGGGACGGTGATGGAATTTAGGACGAGCGGGGAAGCGCATCGGGCGATTTATCTTCCGCCTCGGTCATTGCTAGTCATGCATGGTGAATCGCGGTACCGATGGCAGCATTATATACCGCATCGGAAGTTTGACACTCTCGAGGGCGAAGCCGCGCCGACGCCTCGAGACGATGTGCGGCTCTCGTACACTTTTCGCGAGCGGAGAAGTGGACCATGCGAGTGCGCATTCCCGTTGCAGTGCGATTCGAGGGATGGCGCGCAGTCAAAGTGTAGCAAACGTAAGACGGGTAAGACCCAGGCGTTCGCAGAGCTCGTGGGAGAGTCGGGAGATAGCTTTTAGTTTTGTGTAGTTTACAGATGTCCTAGTTGAAATCTCGCGCGAGACTAAAGTGAAAACGCGCATTTCCTTGATCATTTTTCGCGTAATCGAAGCGAATTGGTAACCCGCCGGTCTCGAACATACCTGCAACGCCATAACTGTATCCGCTTCCAGGCTTGCCGCGCGTGCCCGCGGGATCGCCGAGCACCGAACCGCCGCTGTGCAAATCGCTTCCGTAATCGAAAAACGCCGCGCCGGTAATCGTGGGGGTGACCGGCACGCGCATCTCGGCGCTACCGACGACGTACTTGCGCCCCGTACCGATGGCACCGTCGTTATATCCACGAACGCTCGACGTCCCACCGATAGCGAAGGCTTCGTAAGGAGGCAAATCGCCGACGACAGATCCGCCTTTGGAACTCAAAACGAGCTGCACCGGCCCGGGCAGGCTACCCACCGACAGCAAGTTGAAGGATCGCTTGGCTTTGGCAACCATGCGTGTGTAGTTGAGCCACTGCGGCTGTACAGGGAGCGCCTGCTCGGCGCTTAACATGAGCTGCGCCGCGTTTGGTCCGCCGTAAGTGAAACGCATTTGCGCCGCCAACGCGGTGTCGCATTTCGTACCGCTAAACGTCACCGGGGCACCGTAAGCGTCGAAAAGAGAGTGATTCCCGTCGTTATCTAACACCCCGGTTCGTTTGAAATCCACGGAAAACATCCCATTCCATCCATTCAGCAGCGGTCGCGAGTGTTCGACCGACGTCTGAAGCCTTTGTAACGACATTTCGCTCAAGCCCGGGGACGTGATGTCGGGTTGGTCGCCGTCGACGTTTGTCGAGTTGACACCGTGTGTAGATCGCATACTACTGCTCTCACTACGCACTGACATCGCTCTGGACGTGCGCGTCGGTCCGAACCCTACCCAAGGGTCTTGGTACTGCAAATTCACTTGTGGACGCACGACGGTGAGACCTCGACCTCCTTTTCGCGGCGTCGCCTCGACGCCGAGGTTGAGCATCTTGCCTTGACCGAACAAGTTCGTGTGAAAGGCGCTAAAATGCCCGGCGATGCCACTAAATATGCCCTCAGATAAGCCCCTGGCGGACATGCCGCCCCCGCACGTGACACCCTTCATCGACTTTTCTTTAAGCGACACCAACAGCGTGCGCTTGCCGAGCGGTCCAGGTTTCGGTAACATGTTGATTTGTGGCTCGCCGAATCGCGGATTTTGCGCGCGAAATCGGTCGATGGTCTCGCGCACGCGCATACCATTCAAAACTTTGGTAGTCTTGATGTTTTCAAAGTACGGCATGACGCTGTCAACCTTACTCAACACCTTGTTTTCCTTCCCCGTCTTGGCGTCGATGGACGGATCGATCTCCACCTTGACGTCATTGATGTCCACATCGACGAAACCGAGACGCAAAACCCCATCGCTCGGTTCTTCCAGCAAAGAAATCCCTTCGATCGAGTCGATTCCTCGCTTACTTTCCGCGTAAGCCTTGAAGTACTCCACCGCGCCAGAGACGTGATTCGAGTTAATCGGCTTCCCCATCATCGGCCGAAACGTCTCCTCCACCACCTTTGCCGGCACCGCCTCCAAACCTTGCAACTCGACTCCGCGCAATATTTCGAACGGCACGACCTCAAATGTCACGCGCATTCCATCTCGAGTGTCCTTCGCGAGCGCACGAACGCTCTTAAAGATCCCCAACTCGCTCTTAATCACGTGGCTCTCCCCGGCGACTTCGCGCGCGCGATAGGAATAATTCGGCTTGAGCGTCATGACCTCCCGTATCGCCGCCTCTTGCGCGGGCGTCGCCCCGACGATATCAAATGCACATATTAACAGCGCTTTATCCACGTCAAACGTCGTCACGTCGACGCCGTGTTCGCTCTTCGCGCTCGAGCGCGGCGCCGGCGCCGCGGCGCCGTTCGCGTCCGCCGAGTCTTTACGCCCACGCGCGATTTCTGCAATCTTACGCCCCGGTGCGACGTTCGAGCGACGCGTAGTGGTGTTCTCCGTCGTCGCGCGCGACGACGCGCTCGCGAGGGCGCCTCGAGAGCGCGCGACGACGCGACGAAGCGTCGATCGCATCGCATCCAGGCTGGGCGTCCGCGCGTTCGCGCGCGGTCCGCGCGGCGCTTCGGCGCTTCGGCGGGCGTCGGACATGGTCGTCGACGATCCCGCTCGCAAAGTGCGTCGTTCGGTGCGCGAGCGGCCGCGCGCGAGTCGCGCGCCGAGTTTTGGCGGTTGGGCGCGCGCATCTTGCGCGCCTGGGCGCGCGCGGCGGTTGAGTCGCGGCAATGACTTCGATTCAGAATAGACGTATTTTACAGGTTCTCGAAAACTAAAGCTTAAAGAGGCGCTCAGTCAGCTGCACCACCGCGCGCGCGCGCGATGGAACTTGAATGTGGCTCGAATGACTCGGTTGTATTGGTCGAGATTCGAGAGAGGCACCGACGTCCGTCGGTCGCCAGACTAGGAGAAATCAACGTGAAGTCGCGCTTGCGCGCGATAATAACAGGGCTTAATTGTCGCCGACTGCTTAGTCTTCGTCGACATTGCGCAAATCGAACATACGCTCGAGTGCGTGCATATTGACGAGGGTCAAAGCGACGGCGGTGGGGTCGGAGCCATCCGAGCGAAGCGCCGCCATCGGGCCGTGCAAAATCTTGTTGATGATGCCCCGGGAGAGTTCCTCGACGGCCTTCTTTTGCTTGTTCGTCAACCCATCGCCGAGCTTGGTCATAGCCTTATCCAATTCCGCGCTACGGATATTTTCAGCCTTTTGACGCAAGCGCTTGATCGTCGGGACGGTTTCCAAGCTATCTCTCCACGCCTCGAAGTTGCGTTGCTCCTCTAATAAAAGCGCTTCAGCCTCGAGACCCGCGGCTTCGCGCTTCGCCTTGTTGATCTCAGCGAGTTCCTTCAGGTCGTCAACGTTGTAAACCAGCGTGTTGGGGTCTTCGCAGCAGTTAGCGTCCACGTTACGCGGCACGGCAATGTCCACCAAGCGACGCTTGCCGCCGACGGCGTCGCCGCACACCGACATCTTGGCCAAGTCGTCCTTGCAAATGATCGGATCGACCGCGCTGGAGGCTGTGAAAATCACGTCATGCTCGCCCGCGAGCGTCAGGAACTGATCCATGAGTTCGATACGCATATTAACCTCCGGGAACTCTTCTGCGAGCGCCTCGGCGCGCGGCTTGGTACGGTTCACGATGGTCATCTCCGTGCAGCGCTTGGACGCCAAGTGCTTGACCAAGAGCTTGGACATCGTCCCCGCACCGACGATGAGCACCCTGACGCCTTCGAACGATTGCGAAGGAAGCTTCATCTGCACCAGCTCAGCCGCGGCGGAAGACACAGACACGGCGCCAGAGGCGATGGAAGTCTCGCTGCGCACGCGCTTCCCGGCGGTGATGGCCGCCTTGAACAACCCAGTCAAGTGGCGACCAAACGCCTTTTCACTTTCACCCATCGCGAATACGCTCTTCACCTGCGCCAAGATTTGTCCTTCACCCATCACAACCGAATCCAACCCACCCGAAACCTTCAACAAATGTCCCGTGGACTCGCGATCCTTGAGCACAAACAAGTGCTCGCGAAGCGACTCCACATCCACGCCCGAGTGCTTCACCATCCACTCCTCGACCTCCTTCAACCCACGCTCGTAGCTCAGCGCCACGACGTAAATCTCCATGCGATTACACGTCGACAGGATCCCAGCCTCCTCGATGTGTGGATACGCGCAAAGCTCCGCCACCGCATCGTTCCAAGCCTCCGGCGGCACCGCCATCTTTTCCCGAATCTCCACCGGGCAGTTGTGAATGCTCAATCCCACCGTCACGATGGACGACTTGCGTTCGCTCTCGTACGCTGCGTTCGACAAAATCACCACCAACCGTCAGTCTCGCGTTCCTTTTCACATTTCGCGCGCGCTTCCTCGCCGTGCATCGCGTCTCACGATCTCCAAACGCCCTCGGCCTCGCTCGGTCGCCCGCGCGTCGGGCAAATCACTGGATAAGCCCGTCGCCGTATCTTCCCCGATCGCGTCTCCGCGCGCGTCCACCGCCGCGCGTCGAGTTTGAGCGCTTCTACGAGACGAACGAAACGAACGAAAACTACACGTACGATTTCCTCCGAGCGCGGCGAGCGCCTCGAGCGCCTTGCTCGAATCCACCACCGCGTCGCTCACCCCCGCCGGACGCAGCGTCACCGCATCGCGTGTCGGGCGTTGCACCTGCATCGGCTTCGTTTGGTCTCCCTGCGGCGTCTCGCTGTCCACGACCGCGCGCAACGCGTGACGAAAGTTTTTCTTCGTCGGTTTTCGCGTCGCGCGGGCGCCGACGGCGATCGCGCGCGGTGCGAGCGCGGCGGACATGGCGACGGTGGCGATGCGATGCGTCGGTCGCGGGATTCGCTCTGCGACGGCGTCACGCGCGCGCGATGCCGATCGGCGCTCGGTCGCGGGCGCTCGGTGCGAGGCGAACGGACGTGCGCCGGCGTCGGCGCGAACTGTCGCGGGTCGCGCCGGCGTCGCGCGGGGACGTGTGCGGATGCGCGCAAGCCAGGGTTGGCGCCCGCGTCGTTCCCGTCGGACTAGCTGGATTCATCGCGCATTCGGACATTCGGAACGTGTTTTAGGTGTATTTATGTCTGTATGTAATTATGTACATCTTCGTGATTTTGGTCGTAATCAAACGTGTGCGGGTGCTTTGTGGAATGTCTCTGAAAATATCCTGCGGCGATCGGCGAGATCTCATCTCGAGATCTCGGCTCGCTCGAGCCCGCGAGGGCGTCGACGACGCGGCGCGGCTTCGATGTTCGATGCGGTGCGGTCACAAAACTGAATGCGGATTAAAACTGAATATTGGCGATCTCGCTCGCGGTGGAAGAGACGTCCACGGGACCTGGGAGTAAGACGAGGAAGGCGACGGCGATGAGCGCGAAGGCGAGCGTGGCGCGGCCGTCGTCCACCTCGGTGACGTCGTCCTTGGGCGCGAATTCAGGCGTGCGTTGCGTGAGGACGATGTAAATGGCCCACGGTAACGCTAATGAACTGGCTATGATGCCGAAACTGAGCCCGATGTACGTACCGAGGGAGGTGGCACCCAAGACGCGACGGCCGAACGCCGTTTGCGTCATGCGACCGCCGTCGATGGAACCGACGGGGAGCAAGTTTAGGGCTTGCGTCGTCAGCGCGCACCAGCCTGCGATGAAGTACGGATGCACCATCACACCCTTGGCGCCTGCGTGTAAGAAGAGTTGCGAGATGCCGCCGAGTAAGAGACTAGAGTTGAACAACGCGTTGGGAATGGGAATCAAATCCGGGCTGTCGCCGCCCATGGAGAGCGTCAAGCCGTACACGAACAAGTTCAGGGCAACCATACCTCCCGCAACGGGACCCGCAGCGGCGACGTCGAAGAGATCAGCGCGAGTTTCCGGCGTGCTCTTGATTTGCGTCAGCGTCCCGAACGTGCCGAGCTGGGAGTTCGGGATGAGAAAGGGAATGCCGATTTTAATCTTGCGCATGAAAGCCGCGATTTGATGTCCGACTTCGTGACCGACGCTCGCCGCCATGACGCCGATCGTCACGGGAAGCGCCGATTCGACGTACGCGACGGAGTCAAAGTTCTCCAACCCGGGTGGTAGAGCACCCTCGGGCAGTTCGACGTCGCCGGCTTGTTGCAACCAAGACATCGTCTCCGGCGGGAGCTTGGACACCTCTGCCACCAAGCCGAGCTGCACGGCGGACCCGACGGTGAGACCCATGAGCGCCAATGCGAGAAGATACTGCCATCCCGCCGTGCCCGGACTCGGGCCCGCGCGATCGCTCGGGACGATGAGAAAACTCACGCGCGGACCGTACTTCGAGTCGATGGCGACGTCTCCGCTCGGACCATCCTCTCCCGGCGGTTCTTCAAGCATGAACGCCGTGTACTCGCCGTTGAACATGCGTTCAAGATCGGCTTGCACGGTTTCCCACACCTTGGCGCGCTCGGTGCGCAAGTTACCTTTGAATAATACCCCAGCTCCGTTCATCTCCGCCCCCAAGTTCTCCACGGCGGTGACGTAAAATGTTTGCATGCCAAAAATTTCCTTCTTGATCCGCTCCACATCCTTCGGCGCGATCGCCGCCTCCTCGGGAGACTCCAAGATGTTCACTAACTTACTGAACGACGCCTGGAGCTCGGGGTCTTCATCCGCTTTCTTCCCCGACGCCTTATTCTTGCTCGCCCTGGCGCTCAAGTCGTTCAGAACCTTTTCCAACTCCTCGCCTTTGTCTTTCCCCAATCCCTGCCTCTGCGTCTCCGCATTCTTCAGCGCCTCCAGCGCTTGCGGGCTTATCGACGTGCCACTCACTCCCTCGTCCGAGCTCCCATCGTCCACCGAAGACGCCGCGTCCTCGTCCGTGGACGGCTGTCGCAGCGTCGCTCGAAACGCCGCCTCTTCCTCCTCCTTCGCCTTCGCCTCCGCCTCGCTGTCGATCCCGAGCAACGCGTCCAAATCGCTCAGCGTCGTCTTCATGTCCACCGGCTCCAAATCCGACGACCCACTCACGTTCGGCGTCCAATCACCGCTCGCGTTCGCGTTCGCGTTCGCGTTCGCGTCTTCGGGTTTCCCCGTCGCCGCGCCGTCGTCGTCCCCGTCCGGCTTTTCGTCCTCCTCCCGCGCCTCGCCCTCGTCCCGGCTGAAGAACTTTTTCAAAAACCGCGCGCGCGTCGCGTCGCCGCGCCTTCGCGCGCCGCCGTCGCGCCGCGCCGCCGTCGCCATCGCCGACGTGGTCGATCGAGCGTCGTCATCTCTCTCGCGCGCCCTCGCGAGTCCATCGATCGCGCGTCGCGGTCGCGCCGCGCGCGTCGCGCACCGTCGCGTCGTCGCGCGACCGCGCGGCGCGGCGAGCGCGCGCATCGGCGCGCGCGCGGTCGTCATCGCCATTCCGCGTCGCCGTCTGACGATGCTGCGGTGCGCGCGCGCGCCGACGCCGCCGACGCCGACGCCGACGCCGACGCCGACGCGCGGCGCGCGCGCGCGCGTCCGCCGCGCGTCGACGCGCGCGCGCGCGCTCGACGACGACGACGCGCGACGCGATTCGAGATTCGCGAGCGAGGACGAGCGCCGACGCGCCGTCGAGCGGCTCGCGCCGCCGAAGCGCGACGGCGATCGCGCCAAGCCGCGCCTGCGCGAGCTCGGAAAGAAGCGCGCGATGGGATTTACGAGCGGCGCGGCGTCGAGCGGGGAGGCGCGAGAGGCGGCGCGAAGGGCGAGGCTGGAGAGGCGAGACGCGCGAGCGACGCGCGAGTCGAGAGAAATCATGTCGGCGATGCGCGACGCGCTGGACGCGTGGGAGAGCGAGATCGATGGGATGACGGATTTCGCGCGCGCGAGCGTCTTGGAACAGGCGTCGACGGCGACGGAGATGTTCGAGAGGCTTCGAGACGAAGGGTTCGGCGCGGTCGAGAGCGCCTTCGCGGTGATGAGCTGGATGGACGACGCGATCGAGGACGCCGCGGCGCGCGCGGACGAGGACGCGGCGACGTCGACGTCGACGTCGAAGGAACGGGTCGAGGACGCGTCGAAGGCGTCGAAGTCGAAAACGGCGCCGGACGGCGTCGTCGGCGCGCTCTCCGACGCGCTGAGACAATGGTTCGCGATAGACATCACAGAGTTGGAGGATGGTCGCAAATCGATCGTCGTCAACGCGAGCGCGGAGTTTTTAGCGGTTTTCATTCTGCTTCTCGTCGCGTCGGCGCACTTTGGCGGTGAGTTAGTGAGCGACTTCTTGGCGCCCGACCCGCTGCTGCGGTGAGCTCGGAACGAGTTCGGGAACGAGTCGCGGACGATGAATGAGTTGGGAATAGCGTGCGTTTAGAATCGCGCGAGTTTAGCATCGACGATAGCAGCGGTCGACCCGACGCGGTTGTAACGCACGACGACGACGACGACGACGCGCCCGCGGCGCCAGCAGCGCCGCACATCGCGACGTCGAGATGTCTCGTCGCGCGGTCGACGCCGCGCGCGACGACCGAGTCGTGTCGTGCGATGACGACGTCGACTCGCGTTCGCTCGCGTCCGATCCGTCGCGCGCGTCCACGTCGCACGCGGCGACGACGGATTTCGCCGTGCTCTTGCACCCGACCGCGCACTTCATCCTCGTCGCCGCGGCCACTATTGGCTCGCTCGCGCTGTACGGCGTCTTGCAAGAGCGCGTGATGACGATTCCGTACGCGCGCGAGCGCGGTGAGAGCGTGGCGCTGGGCCGTGGCGATGGCGGCGACGGCGGCGCGTTGGCTCGGGCGTTGCGAGGGGCGTTCACGCGCCGCGGCGAGACGAGCGCGGCCGAGGACGCGCCATCGAAGGAGGACGTATTCACGTGCAGCATGTTTCTAGTTTTCATGAATCGCTGGGTCGCGCTCGCGTCCTCGGGGGCGTTGGCGATGGTGACGGGATGGGGCGGAGGCGCGACGCGCGGCGGCGCCAAGGATTACGCCGCGGTGTCCTTTAGTAATCTCGTCGCCACGGTGTGTCAGTACGAGGTGCTGAAGTACTTGACGTACAGCGTGAGCACGCTCGCTAAGACGATGAAGGTGGTGCCGGTGATGATTTGGGGACAGTTTTTAGGAGAGAAGAAATTTACGTCGCGAGAATACTTTGACGCGGCGGTGATGACGTTCGGATGTTTCGTCTTCGTCGCCAATCGTGGTTGGCGCAGCGCGGTGCAGAAGCGATACGAGGGTGAGTACGACGAATCGTCCTTGGAATGGGCCGCCAACGCCGGTTTTCTGATATTGGCTGTGTACTTTGTCTTCGACGGCTTCACGTCGACGTTTCAACAAAAGATGTACCGCCGAGATGGCGTCACGGTTACGGCACAAGTATTCTTCACGTCATTTTTCACAACCGTATTCGGGTTCGCTTGGCTCGTCATCACCGACCAGCTTTCGCCCTCGATTCGGTTCGTGCACGACCACCCAGCGATCGTTGGCGACATTTTATTATTGAGCTGCGCGTCCACCGTCGCGCAATTCAGCATCGCGTACACCATCAAGAGCTACTCCGCCGTCATCTTAGCCTCCATCATGACGTTCCGCCAATTCCTCAGCGTCCTCATCAGCTGCTACGTGTTCAGTTCGCCGCTCAACGTCGTGCAGTGGCTCGGCATCTTGCTCATACTCGCCCCCTTGACGTTCAAGCACGTCGCCTTCGCGAATTGGGCCGAATCCGCGCACCCGTCGTCGTCCAAATCCGACGACGATCGCTTGAACGCCCTGTAATCCACGCTCTCTCGCGCCCGCGTTCGCCTCGAATCGCGCGCGCGCCGTCGCCATCGCTCTCATCCGTCGTCGTCCGGCGTCGTCGTTCGAGATTCGTCGTTCGAGTCGCGTCCCTCGGCGCGGCGTCTTTGAATCCCCGTTCGAGCTGTCGGTGCGACATCGATCGTCATCATCGGACGCGTCGCGTCGCGCGCGGCGCGCATGTCCATAGCTGCGTGGTCCACCGCGCGCGACGCCGCGACCGCGTTCGCCGCGCGCGACGCCCTCGTCCCGATCGACGACGCCGCGCGCGCCGCGTTCGCCGAACTGCGGTCGCAGCGCTGCGAAGACTTGCTCGAGCGCGCGTTTCTCCGCGCGTTCGAGCGCGCGCTGCGCGACGACGCGCTCCCGCGATGGCGCGAAGCGTGCGCGATGCCGTCGTCGATCGACGCGGGCGCGCTGGAGCGGACGAACGCGGAGGAGAGGGACGAAGAGGAGGAGGAGACGCGCGCGCGCGCCGAGGGGTGGACGCGAGCGGAGGCGGCGCCGGCGACGACGGCGTTCGCGGAGTGGATCGAAAGAGGGCGCGAACGCGCGCGAGCGTTCAGCGCGGGCGTGCGGGGGGTGAGTGAGGACGATGACGCGGTGCGGACGTTCGAACGGGCGTTCGATGCGATGGTGGGAGGAACGTGCGCGGCGCGGGGACCGCCGCGGTTGTCGGCGATTTTGAGCGCGTGGTACAGAGCGAGAGCGCGGGAGTTTGATCACGCCGTGCGTAAGAGGTGGGGGGAGACGAGCGATGATGACGAGAACGATAGGATGGAGACGAGCGTACTCGAGCGGCAGAGCTCGATCGGGGCGGATATAGCGAGTTGTGGCGAGGTCATGGGGAGGGCGTGGGCGGCGGAGACGAGCGCGATGGGCGAAACGTTGGCGCGATGTCACGCGTCGTTGGGACGAGTGGCGGAAAATGCGGCGGCTCGGGCGTTAGGAGAGTGTGTGAAGCGACATGTCATTCGTCGCTGTCGCGGTGCGTTCGATGCGCCGAAGCTGTGGCCGACGTTACGATGGGTTCGAGCGGTGCCGCTCGAGTTTTTCAAGACGGCACTGCGATTAAAGCGCGTCGACGGCGCGGCAATCGAGTCTTGGCGCGGGCGATTAGAATACACCGTGCACGAACACCTCGGCGCGCTGCGCATTCACGAGCTGTTCGACATTATTGTCGACTATCCTGACTCTTTGCCCGCGATTACGGATTTGCGCACGTGTTTACAAAACACGACGCTACACGCGGCGCTCGTGGACTCGTTCGTCGACGCGATGCGGTCACGTTTACTCCACGCCGGCGCTTCGACGGTAGACATCGTGCAGCAGTACATCGGTACGATCAAAACTCTGCTCGAGCTTGACCCTTCGGGCGTCGTCCTCGAACTCGTGAGCGGGCCCGTGAAGGAATACTTGCGCGAGCGCAAAGATACCATTCGCTGTGTTGTGACGATGCTCACTGATGACGGCGGTGAAGACGGCGGCGAAGGCGGCGAAGGCGCACTTTACGTTGAGCTCGGTCGTCTCGCACGAGGAGAAAGCATAGAAATCGCCGAGTCGAGCGTGCCAGCGCCGAATCCAAACGCCACTGTGAGCGGAACAGACAACTTGGACCGAATGGACAGCATCACGGCTGAGATGGTCGCCATCGCCGCCGGAGCGAACGATGACGATCTAGCCGACGGTGTGCAGTCAACACAGCAAGTTCTGTCGGGCTGGGACGCATGGGAGCCCGAGCCCGTGGAGACGGAGGCCGCGGCGAGTCGCGGACGTCGACGCAAAGCGGGAGACATCATCGGTCTTCTGGTCGGCATTTACGGCTCAAAGGAACTCTTCATCAACGAGTATCGTACCATGCTCGCGGAAAAACTATTGAGCAAGTCGAATTACGATACTGAGCGTGAAATGCACGCGTTGGAGTTGTTGAAGCTTCGATTCGGTGAGACGAGCTTGCACAACTGCGAAGTCATGCTCAAAGATTTCGCCGACAGTAAGCGCGCCAACGCCAACATCAAGACGCGTCCGACGACGGGTACTCCGTCCGCGAAGGACAGACGCACGAGTGATATTTTGATACAGACGCCCGTTGAGGCGACGATCGTGTCATCGTTGTTCTGGCCCGCGTTCTCGACCGATTTGACCGATTTCAAACTCCCCACAGAGATTCAAGAACACATGGATGCGTACGCGAGACGATATCATCAAATCAAGGCGCCGCGTAAAATGGAATGGAAGGCTTCTCTTGGTACGGTGGTCATGGACGTCACGCACAACGATCGAACGTTCGAGGCGAGCGTGAATCCCCTGCAGGCGGCGATTTTGCATTACTTCCAACGAGAGAAAGTTTGGCGAGCGAATGATTTAGCGAACGCCTTGGGCGTGAGCGTGGACGCTCTGCGCAAACGTATAGTCATTTGGATGAACAACGGCGTGCTCGTCGAGCGAAAGGAAGGGCATGTCATATCATACGCGCTCGCGGAACCTTCGGATGAAGTCGACGCCATGGATGGCGTACACGACGACGATGAGCACGTCAGCGGCGTCGCGACGGCGGAGGAAACCGCCGCGGCGGGAATGATGGTGTACGAGCAATACATCATGGGTATGCTGACCAATTTCCCGAGCCTACCGCTCGATCGCATCCATAATATGCTGAAAATGTTCGTCGTCGAACCTGTGTACGATAAAACCGTGGCAGAGCTCGAGGGTTTCTTGTTAGAACTCGTCGCGCAGGATAAACTCGCGATGGATGGTTCGGCGTTCGCGAAGAAAAAGTAAATAGTGATCACGACGGATCCGCGTTATAGATAATACAACAGATTAGCAACATATACGATGCGTCGCAGCGGGCGGGCGTGTGTGCGTGGTCGTTTCATGATTTTCTTGTTTGTTGCTTCTCGAGGCTCGCTCTTCGGCTTGCTCGCCTACTTGTCGTCCAACACCGGGAAACCCTTCATCTCCTTTATTTGCCTCAACTGGTCTTCGTTCAAGTTCTCTTTGATTTGACGCCCGATTTGCGTCTGTTCGAGCGCTAAATCCAAGCTCCATTCGCTCGGCGACGGCTTTTCGTTTTGACTCGGCGGCAAGCGGCTCAGCATGACCTCGTAAAGCATCTTCCCATCCATGATGATCGGAAAGAAGTGCGGCTGTCCATCGCTCTTTGTCTGCGTCTCCTTAAAGTACACCAAGCACGGAAATCCCGGCCACCAGAACTCCCAATTCGTGATGGTGTCGTACGCCCAGCGATTCTCCCCGCCGCCCTGCAGTTTATTATCGCCGCTCGACGCCACGTCCGTCGCCAGCGCCGCCGAGTCATCCGCCCCCGGTTCGATGAACACCACCTCCAGATCCGTTCGCGTGAACCGAAATCGCACGCGCGACGCCTGAAACGCGAGAAATCCGCCCAGGACCCCGTGCACCAAGAACTGCGTCCAGAGGTGCAGCGCCGGTCCCGTGAGCAGCGCGACGCCGAGCAGCACGCCGCCGACGCGATAGTCCCCCGGCACGACCACGACGTCGTCATCGAGCGACGACGCGCGCGTCGCGACGCTCGCGCGCGCGCGCGCCGCCGTCCTCGGTCGGATCGATTCGATTTCGATCGTTCGCCGAACGCCAACCGTCGCGCGTTTGAGCGCCAACGCGTCGCGCGCGCGCGCGCCGCGCCCCGTTCGACGCGCGCACGCGTTCAAGGGCGCGCTCGCGCGCGCGAGTGCGGACGCGCAGCGCATGGTTCGCTCGCGGACGCGCGATGCGCGGCGAGATGTGCGGCGCGGTCGGTCGGTCGCCGTCAGTCCGCGACGCGCGACATGGCGTCGCGCGGCGCGGCGATGGCGCGCGCGGCGCTCGGCGTCGTCGACGCGAACGCGAACGCGCGCGCGCGCGCGCGGGACGACGGCGCGGGCGATCGAGCGGCGAAGAGGGCGGCGGGACGGGACGACGGCGGCGCGGGGTGTTTGAATTCAAACTCGAGCGCGACGAAACGACGGCGGAGCGACGCGGGAAGGCGCGCGGACGACGCGCGGGACGCGAGGGAGGAGGACAAACGTAGCGCGCGAGCGTCCGGGGCGAACGAGGTCGCGCGGGCGACGACGGGGGAGGCGGTGGCGGCGAATGAACGACAGAGGCTGCCGAAAAAGTTTGAAACGCTGCGAGCGACGAGCGAGGCGGCGTTGGTCGTCGCGCGATTCATGCGCGCGCGAGGGCAGAGGGCGACCGCGGATGCGATGTGTGCGAATATTGAGCGATCGACGGGGCGGCGGTGCTCGTTGGAGACGTTGCGGATGGTGGCGGCGTGCGCGCCGGCGGGGACGATTACGTTTCGAGCGAAGACGAGTCGGGCGGATGATTTGAAGAACATTCACGTGGATGTGGATTTAGGCATCGAGGAGGGATCGAGTGGGAACGATAAGGCTGGGATGGTCGCCATGCGGGCGAAAATGGCGGCGATACGGGCGAAGATGGTTATGATTGTGGCGAACACGCACGAAGGCGACGCGTACGACGCCTCGGCGGCGCCGCCAGAGTCGTGGCGCGAGGATTTCGATCTCGAAAGCGTCCCTCTGCCCGAACCGGTGAAAATCGCGTTCATGGAAGATTCATCGAGAGACGGTCCGCGACTGTTATCGTCCACGAGCGCGCCGTTGCTCGGCGAAGCGTCGACCTCGGCGCTCGGTCGCGGCGGCGTGAGCGAAGGAGAGCTCACGCGCGCCATGTCAGATTTGGGTCCGGACGGTAAAGGCATCTCCGCGCGCGCCGTTCAAGCCGTGCTTGAGCGACAAGCCATCGTCGAGGCGTTCAATGATCCCAGCGCCGTGGCTGATCGCGAGCGGCGTCGTCTGCACGGTCGACTTCCGCACGTCTTCGACGCCGTGCGCACCGCCTTCGCCGCGCGCAAGCGAAGCGTCATGGAACTCGACCCACTTCTGGACGAGCTGATGCACACGAACGCTCGCGCCGAGATCAGCGCGCACGAACTCGCCGACGGTGTTCGCATCCTCGCTCGGATGTGCCCCGAGTGGTGCACCATCGTTCACGCGCGGCACGGGGACGAAGAACTCTTTCGAATCGTCTCTCGCGACCCGGCGACGGCTCGCGTCGCGCGCGCCAAACTCGCCAAGCTCTGCCGTGACGCCGCGTGAGCGTCGCGACGCAATATAGATTTTCACGCGTACAAATATTTCAGATATAGAATTTTTCATCGACGTCCACTTTCCACGCGCTGCCCGTCGCCGTCGTCTCCCGCCCGCGAGCCGTCGGCGCGCCGCCCTAATTCAATCAACTTCACTTCACCGCGCACGGACGCGAGTGCGGTCGCGGGTCTAACTCGCTCCAGAGGTTGAAACGCGCGCGCACCGCGTCCTCGATCGCACGTCGCGCGCTATAACGCCTCACGCGCCGCGAACATGGACCCTTTGCGTTTGATTAGAGATCATACCATCGCCGGTATAATCGCCGAGTGCGTCCTCGACGCGCCGCCGCTCACGCGCTCACGCGCCGCGCGCCGCGCGGAAACGGTTCGAACGCGCGCGACTGACGATGGGCGCTCGAAACGGGACGTAGGTCGACGCACGACGATGAAAGGATTCACCTGAAGGATGTCGACGTCGAGCTCCGGCGGACGACGGAGACGAATTACAGATCCAAGGCTGGGAACAAGCTGCTGAAGGTGGAGGCGATATGGTATTTCATCAAGTATCACGTTGCGAACCCCGACGCGGCGCACACGGCTTACATGAAGGCGGCGATCGCGGCGGGGTTCTCGACGCTGTCTATGTTGGATCGGAAAGATTTGATCGCGTACTTGACGGGGGAGCGAGCTACGAGCGATCGAATCGATATCACCGTGCCGGTGATCGTGGATGAGGAGGGTGTGTCGACGGTTGACGCGAAACGCGCGCGCGAGGAAGACGAGGCGGAAGGCGTGCCGCGAGAGCGCGTGTTAAGAGATAGGAACTCAGTGCTTCGCGCGCCGAAGGATATGACGAGCGTGTTGGATTTCTTCGCGGCGCCGGAGGAGGAGAAGGAACGTTTAGAAGAGGAGAAGCAGCAGGCGGCTGATTTAGCCAAGGGGATTAAAAACCAGAGATATCGCGACGTGAAGGAGCAGGTGTTTTGGAGAGAGCACGTCGGGAGCGACTTTGATATGATGAATTTGGACACCAATGCGTCCTTCTTGAGTGGGCCCAAGCCACCCGTAGACGACGGCACCGACATGTTGATGACGGACGCACGCGCGATGGAAAAACAGCCGACCGCACCGAGCGGTCCGTCGACTGCGAGTCGTGGAGGACCCGCTGCGGCCGCCAAGGCTCCGCGCAAGACATCAGGCAAACCGGGCGGCGTCCCGATCATCATCGTCCCCGCCGGGTTCAATCAAAAGGTCGTTCTCAACATGTTCAACGCCAAGGAGTTCTTGCAGGACGGCAAGTTTACGCAGTGGGATGTGGTGCAAAAAGGCGGCGCTAAAAAGTCAAGCTCCGTGTACATTTCGCGCACGTACAAGCGCGACGGCGCCAAGGTCAAGTACGAAGTCACCGAAAAAGCCCCTCACAAACGTTCCGAAGACTGGGCCCGCGTCGCCGCGGTCTTCGTCCTCGGTGCTAAGTGGCAATTCAAAGACTGGCCCTTCCGCGGCGTCGAAGACGGTGATCTCGTCGAAACCTTCACCAAGATTCGCGGCTTTCACGCCCGCTTTGACGGCGATCCCGAAGTCGACGTCGTCAAGACCTGGAACGTCAAGCCCATCACCATCAGTCGCACCAAGCGTCACGGCGATCGCGCCGCGTTCGAGTTCTTCTGGGACGAGCTCGATCGTCACCTCGCCCTTCGTAGCAGCGCCTTGAAGTATTAATCGCCGCGTCCGCGGACGCGGACGCTTCCAAACGAAAACCCATCCCAAGTCGCTCACCTCGCGTCGCCGCGCGCGCGTGGTGACGTCGCGCCCCCGACGTCGACATCGCGCACACCGCGTCGCGCGCGACCGTCCGTCGCGCGTCGTCCGCTCGCAAACCGACGCGAGTTTTTCTCACCGTCCACCGCTCGCGCGCCCGCGCGCGAACGACGCGCGCGCGCCCGCACGGACGCGCGAACGCGACGCGCGCGCCGGGCGGCGACGAGGGCATCGCGTGACGACGCGCATCGCGACGGTTTTCGCGCGACACGCGCGCGTCGAGCGCGTGCGAAGGCGCGAACGCGCGCGAGCAGGCGCGCGCGAAGGAACCGCGAGAGTCGGCGCGCGCGGAGAGGCGAGAACCGGCGCGCGCGGGCGAGGAAGGCGCGGTGAAGACGCGGTGAAGGTTGATCGAATCAAAAAGCGCTCGAACGGGACGCGCGATGGCGACGAAACCGGGCGCGTTGTATGACTTCCCGTGGGCGGAGTGGGGATCGATGAAGTATGCGGTGTTTTTGCCGTTCGTGGCGACGGTAGCGCTCGGAAAAGACGATGGGGATTCGTTTTGTTGGCACTTGTTGGCGATCGCGGCGCTGCGGTACGCGAGCGCGCAACTTTGGATAAGCTTGTCGCGAGTGCACGCGTGGACGAGGAAAACGCGGATACAAGCCAGAGGGATCGACTTTAAACAGGTCGATAGGGAGGATAATTGGGATGATTACATATTGCTCCAAACGCTGGTGATCGCGCTCGTGCATTGGATGCCGGGATTGGGGTTTAATAATTTCCCGGCGACGAATGAAAAGACGGCGGTGCAGCTGTTGTTGTTGCACGCGGGGCCGACTGAGTTCATTTATTATTGGCTGCATCGCGCGTTGCATCATCACAAATTGTACAGTGCGTATCACTCGCATCATCACGCGAGCTTTGTCACCGAACCGATCACCGGGAGCGTGCATCCGTTCATGGAGCACTTGATGTACACCGCGAACTTCGCCATTCCGCTCATCGGGACGTGGGCGCTCGGCGGCGGCTCCATCGCGATGTTTTACATGTACTTGCTCGGCTTTGACATGCTCAACGCCATCGGGCACTGTAACTTTGAGTTCATCCCGCGTTGGTTCATGAGACTGCCGCTGATGAAGTACTTGATTTACACGCCGAGCTATCATTCGTTGCACCACTCGCGCGTGCACACAAATTTTTGCTTGTTCATGCCGCTGTACGACCACGTGTACGGCACAGCGGATGTAACGAGCGACGAGTTGTACGAGAAGGCGATCAATGGGCGGGCGGTACCGGTCACGGCGCCTGATGTGGTGTTTATGGCCCACGGAACTGAGTTATTGAGCGTGTTCCACTTGCCTTTCATGTTGCGCAGCTTTTCGTCTCGCCCGTTTGTCTCGCAGTGGTGGCTGAAACCGTTTTGGCCGCTGTGCGTGCCTTTTGTGCTTGTGTTGCGAATGTTCGGCAAATCTTTCGTAGCCGATCGACACCGGCTCAAGACGTTGAACTGTGAGACGTGGGTGACGCCCGCGTGGGGGTTTCAATTCTTCATCAAGAGTGAATTTAATCACATCAACAGGAAGATTGAGGAGGCGATTTTGGACGCCGATCGCGCCGGAGTGAAAGTCGTCGGCTTGGGAGCGCTGAATAAGAACGAGGCGCTAAACGGGGGAGGCGCACTGTTCGTCAACAAGCATGGGAAGTCTCTGAAGACGAGAGTCGTGCACGGGAACACGCTCACGGCGGCGGCGATTTTACAGAAAATCCCGAGCGAGTGCAAGGAAATTTTCCTCACGGGGGCGACGTCCAAACTTGGACGAGCGATCGCTCTTTATTGCGTGGAGAGAGGCATGCGTGTGGTGATGTACACAACGAGCGAAGAGAGGTTCGAAAAGATCAGAAATGAAGCGGCGAAGAAGGATCAGCATCTCCTCGTGCAATCTACGTCCCTGAGCGACGGGGCAAAGATAAAGGACTGGGTCATCGGCAAGCACTGCCCGGAGAAGGATCAAAATATGGCGCCGAGGGGCGCGATATTCCACCAGTTTGTCGTGCCGCCAATCCCCGAAACGCGAAAGGATTGCGTGTACACCGACCTGCCCGCGTTCAAGCTTCCTAAAGAGGCAAAAGACTTCCGGTCATGCGAGATGACGATGAAGCGTGGTCACATTCACGCGTGCCACGCGGGCGCCCTCGTGCACTCGCTAGAAGGCTGGGATCACCACGAAGTCGGTGCCATCGACCACACGCGCATAGATACTACTTGGGAAGCGGCGCTGAAGCACGGATTCGCCTTGGCTTAAGCTTTCACGCTCTTGCATAATTTTTAGGATGACTTCGCCGAGGCTCTCGACATTACAGAGCCGATTCGGGGTTGTCCAGTCGCTCGCTTCACGCGATTTTGTAGCCATAGGGGCCTGCCCCGCAACTCATTGAAATTTCAACGCTAATGTTAATTCGCGAACGAACGAACGAACGACGGACGGGTCGAAATGCGCGTTTGCGCGACGCGCCCGCTACGTCGAAAACCTCAGGCGAGGGCTTTACTTTACTGGCCTGCGTTTGTGACTGAATGAATGATTTTATTTAAACAAAGTCCAAAGAGCTATACTTTACTTTATCTCAAGCTACTAGAGGCGGCAAAGCTAGTTGGCGAGCACTTCGCCCGTTTTCTTCAACACGCGAACCTTCTTGCCTCCCTCTTCCTTCGTGCCGATGCGCGACCGGACGGACTTCGCCTCGCTGTAGTGCATCACGTTGGAGTGATGAATCGGGAACTCACGCTGAATAATTTGTCCCGTCTCGCCTTCGCCGCGCGGCTTGACGTGCTTCGTCTTCACGTTAACATCCTTGCAGAGCACCTCCCCGGTCTTGGTGAAGACTTCCACCACGTTCGTCACCTTGCCTTTATCCGCCCCCGCGATGACGACGACCTTGTCGTTCGTCTTCACGTGCATCGGGATGCGCACCGGAAGTCCACGCGGCGTGAGCGCTTGCTTTTCCCACTTCTTCTTCGCCACGATTTCCATGCCGCTTCGGCGCGCCGCGGGCACCGGGCTCGAGACCTACGTCGTTCGCGTCGTGCGCGTCTGTCAGTCGTCGCTCGGGGGTGCTGATTCTAGCCTCAATCGCTTTTCCACCCTTCTCACGTCTCGCACGCGTCCCGCGCGCCACCGCACTGGACGCGTCGACGCGATTAATACGCATCCACCGCGTACTCGTCACGGCGTCATCATAGCGCGTCGCGCGTCGTCGTCGTCGTCGCTGACGCTTCGCGCGCGCGTAAACCTAGGGCTTCGCGGTCGTCGCGATGCGTCGGCTCTATCGTCGCGCGCGACGCGCGCGGCAGCTCATCGACGACGCACCTTGTTAGAAGAAATAGCATTCGCGTTGAACGCGGCGTGGCGCGCCGAGAGGGCGTGAGAAGCCAACATGTCGACGCGGTGTTCAATGCGGCGTGACGTGGCGACGGCGGAGGGGTGTCGAAGGGCTGTAATCCGTGTTTTAAGTGGGATGCGCGCGAGACTGGACGCGTCGACGACGCGCAGACGACGCGGGCGCGGTTCGAGGGCTAGATTGCTATGAAAGACAATGTTTCTAGGACGTCGCGTCGCTCAGGTGACGCGAACGATGAAATCGCACAGCGGGGCGAGTTGATTTTTCATCGCGCTGACGCGGTCGCACACGACGCCCGGGCGTCTCGAGGCTTTGGTAAAGGCGTCGAACGTGAACGTTTCCCCGGGTCTTTGACAGAGCGTACGGTACTTGTCGCGCTTTTTCTTTGCCACGGCGTTCGCGCGGCGCTGAGCGGCGGTGATTGCCATTTCGGGGAGGGAGCCGGCGTCGGCGGCGCGCGCCGCGTCGATTTCTCGTTCCAGACGTTTTCGAATGAAATCCGGTGGGTGCGCCGTGAGCTTCTCGCACTTGTTGCACGCGATCATGAGTGGGATCTTGCGCGTTTGAAACGATTCGTCGCTCAGGATGTCGAACAGGAACTTGGCGACTTCCTTGCGTTCGCTCGCGAAGGACACGCTGTCCACGACGAAGACGACGGCGCGCGCCCGCGCCAACTCTCGCAGCGCTTCCTTGCGCAGCTTGGCGTGTCCTGGAACGTCCACGACGCGCACGTGCGACTTTGTCACCTCTCGCCCTCGGCTATTCTTCCCGACGACGACCGCGTCGCCGCACTCGTTCGCCTCGACGCTCGTCGTCGTCCTGAAACGCTGCTCTCCGTACTTCAACCCCTGCCACAGCGCCGTCTTCCCGCAACCTTTACCGCCGAGCAGCAACACCGCGGGTTTATACGTCTTCGAACGCGAGCCCGGACCGCTCGCGAGGGCGGCGAAGGCGCCACCGACGCCGAAAACGACGCGGAAAGCGACGACGATGGCCAGGAGCGTGACGATCGCGACGAGCGCGTGCGCGGCGTTGGCGTCGTCGACGGCCAAACGGTGCGAGAGGACATCTCGCGCAAACGTGTGTGAGGTGTTGTACGCGTCGACGGCGCGCGCGGTGAGGGCGGCGACGTCCATGGGGCGTTGTGCGGGACGAAGCGCGAGACGACTGGCGACGGGCGAAACCGAACCGGCGAGCTAGCGGTGGGTACTAATACAACGCGCTCAGGACGCGTTCAGGATGGACTGTCGAAGTTGCGAAATCACCTGCGCGGGATTGGCGGCGCCGAAGACGGCGCTGCCGGCGACGAGGACGTTGGCGCCGGCGCGCGCGCAGAGCTCGGCGGTGCTCGGATTGACGCCGCCGTCCATTTGAATGTCCAAGTCTGGATACCTCGCGCGGAGGGCGGAGACTTTGTCACACACCGCGGGGTTGAACTTTTGACCACCGAACCCGGGTTCGACGGACAAGCACAGGACCATGTCGACGAGACCGGCGTCGACGAGCTCGTACACGCCGCCGTCTTCGTCGCACGGCGTGGACGGTTTGCACGCCACGGCGGCGCGCATGCCGAGCGATCGAATGGTTTTGCAGAGCTCCTCTGCGGCGGTACCGCTGACAACTTCGATATGGAACGTCACGCTCGACGCACCGGCGGCGGCGAGCGCGGGAACGAGCGTCGCAGGATTGCTCACGCTCAAGTGACAATCGAAGAACGCGTCGCGCGGGCCGACGCGTTTCGCCAAATCCGCCACCACGGGAGGACCGATGGTCAAATTAGGGACGAAATGTCCGTCCATGATGTCGACGTGCAACCAATCAGCGCCTTCGTCGAGCATGCGGTTGACTTCGGAGGCTAAAGCGCCTTGGTCGGCCGCCAACAGTGACGGGCAAACGATGGCGCGTTTGGTCGTCGAAACCGCGGGCGCTCGGCGCGCGCCCCACGTCTCGCGGAATGACGGATATAGTCGTAGGTACGCGGCGTACACGTCGGCATACGCTGCGTGTGCCTCTGGGTTCGGACTGATGACGCGCGATTTGCGAACCATCGCCGCGACGGCTTCGCGCACGCTTCCAAACAACCCCGCGCCGAAGGCGGCGAGTATTGCGCAACCGAGCGCGGGGGCGTCCGAACACTCGGTGACGACATGCGGCACTCCCGTGACGTCGGCGTGAATCTGTAACCAAAGTTCGCTTCGCGTCGCCCCGCCGGCGATGACGACTTCCTTCGGTTCGTACCCTCCGCGGGTCATGGTTTCAAAAATCAATCGCGTACCGCAACACACGCCCTCCAAAATCGCACGGAACACGTGCGCTTTCGAGTGCTTGAGCGTGAGACCGGAGATCACTCCGCGGCTGAGTGCGTCCACGTGCGGGGTTCGGTTGCCTTGAAAGTGGTCGAGCGCGACGACGCCTTCGCATCCAGGCGGGATCGCGCTCGCTTCGCGGTTCATGTCGTCGTAAAACGAATCGCCGCCGCCGCATAAATTCTTAAACCAATTCACCACGGACCCCGTGCTCGTCTGACCACCCTCGACGACGAACGGCGCGCTCTCCACGAGCGCGTTTCTATACGTCCCGAAGATACCCTTCGCGTGAAATTCCTCCTCCGCGACGCCCAAGTGCAGGTGCGACGAGCCCGTGATCAGCGCTAACTGCCCCGGTTCGATGACTCCCAGCCCGACCATTCCCACGAACGCGTCCGCGCCTCCCTGAATCACCTTCGTGCCCTCGAGCAACCCGCACGCCGCCGCCGCTCGTGCCGTCATCCCGCCCACCGCCGCGCCCATCGGTAATATCTCCTTCGGCCACTTTTCCACCAACTCCGCGCACCCAAGCTTTTCTAACATCGTCATCGGCGGTCTCCCGTCGCCGTCGAAGTGCCACCGCACGCCGACGTTGTTCATCGACCCGCAGTACCGTCCCGTGAGCCACAGGTTTACGTAATCCTGATACTCGCAAATCATCGTCGCTCTGTCGTACCGCTCCCGGTCGTTTCGCTTCAGCCACAGCGCCTTGGGCACCATCCACTCCGCGCTCACCGGTCCCGCGCCCGCGCAGTTGACGCGAAGCGCGTCGTCTTCCGTCTCGACGCACGCCGTCGCCTCGTCGCTCGCGCGGACGTCCATCCACAGCACGCTGTTCCCGATCGCGTCGCCGCGCGCGTCGAGCGCGACGACCGAGCAGCACGTCGTGTCGACGCACACGGCCGCGACGTCGCGCGCGTCGACGCCGCACAGGCGCCGCGCCTCGGCGATGGCGGTCGCGAGCCCGTCGAGCCACGACGCGGGGACTTGCTCGGCGCGACCGGGCGCGGGGTGCGAGGTGGCGTACGGGACGTCGGCGAACGCGAGCGGGACGCCGGTGAGGGTGAAGACACCGGCGCGGATGCCGGTGGTGCCGCCGTCGACGCCGACGACGACGGGAGGCATGACGAGGGGGAGGCGCGCGAGGCGCGTTGAGCGGCGAGCGGCGAACGGCGACGACGCCGCGAAGTTACAAATCGTCGTCGGAATCGATCCAAGGCGGACGCGGGACGACGAGGGGATTGGGTTCGGGCGCGGCGTTCGGTTTGGCGGTGACGTGGACGTATCGGGAGAGTAAAGCGCCGCGGAGGATGTCGTCGTCGGCGACGGCGGCGGCGGCGGCGGCGCTCGGCGGTTCGGGGGCGTCGGCGAGGTCTGCGCGCGACGTCGGGTCGAACGAGCGTTCGGAGTCCGTCATCGCGATGATACTCGGCGGTATGGGAGCGTTTGTGAGGTCCTCGCTCGAGGCGGCGGCGGCGGCGGCGAGCCGACGCGCGCGAAGCGTCGCGGAGCCCAAGCGTCGATGGGACCTTTCCGACGCGGTTTCGCTCGTCGTGTCGCTCGTCGTCTTGAACTTTCGCCTAGGTTTCACGGACACGGCCTCAGAGGCTTCGGAATCGGAGTCGCCGCGCGTTGGTGACGGTGGATTCTTCGCGCGCGGCGCGGAAGCGCGAAGTCGCGGATTCTCGTTCGCCCGTCGCCACGCGTCTTCGAGTTCTTTTTGTTTGTCAGCCAGATCCATCAAGTCCAGGTTCAGCGTTCGGCTGATCTCTCGGATCTCCGTCGAGAGCGTATCCATGCGCTTCAGCAGGTCGTCGTCTGCGCCACTCGTCGTCGCGATGATGGATGCAATTTCTCTTCTCACCGCCTCTCTCGTCGCCGCCTCTTTCGTCGCCGCGTGCTCGATGTCTTCCTCCCATTTTTGCTCACGAACGTCGATAGCGAACTGGAGCTTGGCGAACTGTGCGTTCACTGACGCCATCTCACCTTTCGCTGCATCTAAGAGCTGCTGCGCCTCCTCGCACGTGATGGCGGTGTCGAGTTTTGCAAGGTGCGCGTCCGCGTCTACGGCGGCGGCGCGGTCGGCTTTCAGCTGTTCAATTTCTTTCTCGAGCGCGACGACGTGCGCATCGTACGCACGCTTACTCGACTCCATGTGCTCGTTCAATCGATCCATCTCTTCGATCGCCTTCGACTCTACGAACCGCACGCGCTCCGACGCCTTAGTGGCGAGCGACGCGTACTCTTCGCCGAATTTGTTCAACGCCTGTTCCATGCGCTCGATGACTTTACTCTTTTTTCGCCCGCTCGAACGTTCGGCTTCGAGCGCTTTTACGACTAACCGTAAATGTCTCGGCGCAGCATCGCGCTCGTGCGCGCGTAGCTCCGTCTCCGCGCCGACTTCTAGACAGCCGAATGCGGCGAACGCGCACGGCTTGCTCGCCCCGACGCAAAAGAATTCTTGGTGGGCGTCAAACGCTCTCGTACGCACCATGGCGCGGCATCGAGGACAAGGCCGTCTAGACTCTTCACACTTCACCGCGTGTATCGATGCGTGCATTGCGTTAACCACGGCATCGCAGCTCGGACAGTGCCACGGGCGAAAGTCGCAATCTGTCCTGTGTGAGTCGATGGCGTCACGCTCGCATCCGTACAAGCAGCCGTTGCCGTCCTCGTGCTGCAAGTTAATAAATCCACACTTGATGTACTCCCGAGGGCAGATCTCACGGTGTTCGGCGAGCTCACGTCGTTTACCATCCCACTCGCACTCGTTCGGGCATTTCACGAGCGCGCTCGGGCACGTCAACGCGTGCTGCGTCATCTTACAAAACGGCACAACGTCTTCGCAACCCTTGACGTCGCACTTCACCGACCGCCACGCGCATTCACTCACGTGACTCACGTAGGCAATCTTCGTCACGATCGCGCCGCAGTAATCCCTCCCCTTTCGCGCCTCGTTCGCCTCGCACTCCACGCGCGAGTCGTACGGATACCAACATCGTCTCGGCACGAAGGCGCACTCGCGATCGTGCACGTCTCGTAAACGCAACCGAATACCGCTCTCACCGCACCCATCCGCCTTCCAGCACCACTCACTCGCGCCCTGCGCGTTTCGCTTCAACACCATCGCGCGTCTGCACAGCACGGGCAACGACTGAATCGCATCCTCGACCTCGGCGTCCTCCGCGAGCGCGTCCTCCGCGTCCTCCCTCGGCGCGCACTTCGCGCAATACGTCGTCCCGTTCTCCGCCACCACGGGCGACAGCATCACGTCTCGACACTGCGGACACACCAAGCTCGCGTGCGGAAACCCCACGAAAACCGTCGGCGCGTGTTCGAGCGCGTCGTCCTCCGCGGCTTCCTCCGCGTCGTCGCCGCGCGTCGCCGCCGTCGAATCCTCGCCCGCGGTCTCCATCCTCCCCGACGTCATCGCCGCCCCTCCGCGCGCGTCGACGCCATCCAGCGTCGCGCCCGCGTCGCGCCGCGCCCGTCCGAGCGCGCCGCGCGCCGTCCACGGCGTCGCGCGGTTCGTTGACATCCAAAAATCCGTTCCATTGCCTCGCGCGTCCCGAAGCCTCACGAGCCCGCCCATGGCGCGCGCGCCGCGTCGCGCGTCGCGCTCGCGCGCGCTCGCGCGGTCCGTCGCGACGTCGCGGTTCGCGCGACGCCCGCGCGACGCGCGCGCGTCTGACGGTCGCGCGCCGGCGCACCGGCCTCGAGTCCCCCCGTTCTCGAATCAAGACTCGTCAAATGATGGGCGTTTCGAGTTTGATGGGCGTTTCGAGCGCGCAATACGTGGAGCGAGGCGCGCGCGCGCGGACGGCGCGAAGTCTCGCCTCAGTGCGCGTCGCGACGCCATCGCGCCGCCGACACGCCGCCGCGCGACGCGTCGATTTCCACGCCACCGCGAGACGGCGCCGCGCGACCGCGAACGCCCTCGAGCGACGCGCATTCGAACGAATTCTCGAACCCTATTGATCCCCGCGATCGACCGCGCATTCCGTGGAATCGCATTCGCGACGCGTTCACCGACGAAACGCGCGATTCGGCGTCATGTCGCTCACGAGCGATGAGATGAATTATTTGGTGTATCGATATTTGCTCGAAAGTGGGTTCACGCACGCGGCGTTCGCGCTCGGGAACGAGAGCTACGTCGATGGGCGAAAGTTGACCGACGGCCAACGCGAGGTTCCCCCGGGGGCGTTGATCTCGTTCGTGCAGAAGGGGTTGCAGTACTGCGAGCTCGAGGCGAATCTGAATGAGGTGCGTGAAGTGATGACGCGCGCGCGCGACGCGGGAGGCGGGCGGAACGGGGCGCGCGGGACGACGCGGGCGCGCGACGCGTCGACGCGCGCGAGCGAGGAAATGTTAAAAATTAAACGCGGACGAACGCGCGGCGACGGTGCGCGGATGACTGACGGTGTCGGTGACGGTTTTATTTCGTTATGTAGGATGGTACGGATGTTGACGCCGATTTTAGCGTGCTGAGCGCTAAGGATTTGCTGTCGCTGAGCGTGGACGAGTTGAAGGAACTCGTCTCCGCGCGGAGAAATATGACAGAGGAGGAGCGCAAGGCATTGAGGGAGGAGGAAGAGAAGGAGGCGCGCGCCAAGGCGGAGGCGAATGGGATCAAGATCGAGAGTGATATTGAGCGAGAGATCAAGTCGGAGGAAGTGACGGTGTTGGATGGACACACGAGCGAGGTTTTCATATGCGCGTGGAACCCGACGAAGCAAATGCTGGCGAGCGGTAGCGGAGACAGCACGGCGCGGGTGTGGACCGTGCCGGCTGGGCCGTCCGGGCGCGAGGCACAGACGAAGTTGGCGAAGCCGAAGGTGCTGGATCACAAAGCGAGCGGTGATGGCGTCGAGGCGATGGATACAGACGAGAAGAGCGCGGCGCCCGACGGCAAGTCGATGCAAGGCGACGTCACCACGCTCGACTGGAACGCGGACGGTACTCTGCTCGCGACTGGCTCGTACGATGGCCAGGCACGCATTTGGGATACGAATGGCAAGCTAAAAATGAGCTTGAAGCATCACAAGGGCCCGATTTTCTCCCTCAAGTGGAACAAGACGGGCGACTGCTTGCTCAGCGGTTCCGTGGACAAGACGGCTATCGTGTGGGACGCGAAGACGGGCGACATGAAGCAGCAGTTCGCGTTCCACTCCGCGCCCACACTTGATGTGGACTGGCGAAGCCCCACGGAGTTCGCCACGTCTTCCATGGATCACTCCATCTACGTGTGCAAACTTGGGGACGACAAGCCCATCAAGGCGTTCAACGGGCACACTGACGAGGTGAACGCCATCAAGTGGGATCCGAGCGGAACGCTCCTCGCGTCTTGCTCGGACGACTTCACGGCAAAAGTGTGGAGCTTGAAGAAGGATACGTGCGTGCACGACTTCAACGAGCACGAGAAGGAAATATATACCATCAAATGGAGCCCCACGGGCCCCGGCACGGAGAATCCCGACCTCCCGCTCCTTCTCGCCACCGCGTCGTACGACGCCACCATCAAGCTTTGGGACGTGGAGTCCGGTAAGTGTTTGCACACGTTGGAAGGTCACACTGACCCGGTGTACTCCGTCGCCTTTAGTCCCGACGGCAAGTACCTCGCGAGCGGTTCTTTCGATAAGCACTTGCACATTTGGAACGTAAAGGATGGGAGCTTGATGCGAACGTATCAAGGAGAGGGTGGTATTTTCGAGGTTTGCTGGAACAAGGAAGGGACCAAAGTCGCCGCTTGCTTTTCGAATAATAGGGTGTCTGTCCTGGATTTCGAGAATTAGCGCGAGTTAGCGGAGAGAGAAGTTTTTTTAATTCGAATGGTCGATTCCAGAAAATTTCATTCCATTATTCATCGCATCACGGCCGAGGCGTCGAATACACGTCCCACAGCGCGTGCGCGTCGTCGAGCGATTCCTGCGGTACCGCGCACACGTCCTTGATGAACGCTATCTTTCCATCATCGCATTTCCACTCCTCGAAACGCTCACGCAAGATGTGCCCCGTCATTTTCGTCCGCCGCGTGTCGTCTCTCAAGTGTTGCGAGACGAAGACGGCCCACTCGCACCGTCCTCGCTCAGGCATACCAAGAAGCTGCGTCGCGAAGGCGACGGTGATTTCGTCCGCCAACGCGTCCATGCCCTCGCCCTCTAGCACACCGATCGCGTTTAAGACGCCGAATAGGTGCCAAGCAAGCGACGCGTTCAAGACGTCATCCGAGTACGTGAGCGGGTGAAACGCCACGCGCACCTCCGCCGTGCTCGGCGACCCGCCTTCGTCCTCGGTGGACGCGGCGAGGGCGAGAATGTTGAACGCCACGTCGCGCAAGTGTGTCGCTTGGTTCGCGTCGAGTGCTTCGTAAGTCGCAACCGGCGGCAGCGGGTTCGCCGCGCGCTGTTGCGCGACGGCGTCGAGGTAGTTCTTCACCACGTCGCGCAGCGGCGACGTCGGTCCGGCGGCGAGCCACATGTGTAAGCCTAAGTTTTGATACCAACCCATCCCGTCATCGTCGCGCTCGACCTCACCGGCGAGAAGCTTGAATGCTTGCTCGCTGAACTCGTCGATGTACTTGCCCACCGACCCCGCGCGCCAGCGCGTGAGCTGTTGCTTGGCGTAGAACGCCACGTTTTTGCCGGCGCCGATTTGCGCCAAACACGTCGCCAAACGCGGATCTCCGTGCGCTGCCGCAGCGCGTGCAGCGCTCACGGTTCGACCACCGGCGACGTGCGTTAACGCCGCACGTCTACCGAACAGCTCTTCCTCGCAAGGCGCAGCGCGCGCGACTTGTTCTCGCAACCAAGCGCTCACGCCGGCGCGTCTTCGGTGCACCTCCGCCGCGGTGCCTCGAGACGCCCCGAGCTTGTCCTCGGCGAACAACTCACTCACGAGCGCCCACGCGCTGACTTCCGCCGCCGCGCGATCGCGCGCGACGACGTCGTCGCCATTACTATTCGCTAACGCCTCAACCACGGCCTCCAACTGTCGCAAGCACGTCGCGGCGATGCCATACGGTTTCGATTCCGTCGACTCGCGCGAGCACGCCTGACGCAATCCCCCACTCGCGCGTCGCACCGACTGATCCAGGGCCACCTCCAGCGCACCCACGACGCCCGCAAACGTCATCTTCGTCCGAACCGCGCACGCGACGACGCCGTCGTCTCCGATCGCCGGCGTCGCCAACGCGCCGCGCGCGCCGAACGCGGCGCCGCGAGACCCCGCGAGCGCGCCGTACGCGTCCACCCCTCCCACCGACGCCTCCCGCGTCGCCGGCGCCGCGCGCGTCGACGCATACCGCATCGACGCCGTCGCTCGCATCGCGTGTCCGAGCGCTCTCGCCATGGGCGGCGGCCGAGGCCTCGCGACCGCGTCGCCGCGCGCTTCGTTTGAATCCGTCTCCAACGCGCGCGCCTCATTTTCACCGTCATCCACGGATAAGAACGCCCCGAACGCGTCCGCGGTGGAGGTCTGACGCGCGCGCAACGCTTCGAGCGCGTCCTCGTGCGCGCGCAGCGCTTCCGCGGTGGCGCGCGAGTCGTAAAGGTCTACGATCGCATCGTCGCGCGCGTCTTCATCCATGAAATCGTCGCCGTCGACGCGCTTCGCGAGACGACGCGCGCCGACGACGCCGAGCGGGACGTCGTCATCGTCCGAGACGTCGCTGTCGGCGTCGAGGAGACCGACGCGCGTGGCCATGGCGCGACGGCGTCTGCGGGGGACGACGCGCGACGCGGCGGTTCGGTCGCGGTTTCAAACGGTGGCGTCGCGCGGCGCGTGCGGTGCGTGTTTCCGCGGTGTCTGCGTTTGCTTGAATGAAATCACATCACGGAGCGATGGTGTCTAAAGCCATGTAGGTATCGCACCAGGCGGTGTGCAGGGCGCTCGGTTCCGTCGCGTCGCGAATCGGCGGTACGCCGCGGCCGCGATACGCCGCGCGCGTGAGCTTTTCCACTTCCTCCGGCGGTCGTTCGTTCGCTAAGTTATCCCAATCGATGTCGCAGAGCAGCGCGGATCGCTTGACTAATGTGGCGTCGTGCATGCGGTCTTTTGGGTTGACCACGAGAAGCGCGCGAGCCAAGGCGACGGCTTTGGGATCGGCGTCGCCGCGGAAGATCGTGGATAAATCGCACCGACAAATTGACTCGTACGTCTTGTGCGTGACTTTCATCCCGAACGGTGGCGTCCCGTTGAGTAAGTGCACGATGAACGTCCCGAGCGAAAACCAGTCCGCGCGTTCGTCGTGGCCGACGCCGCGAACGACTTCGGGCGCCATGTACGCCGCGGCGCCGCACGCCGTAAACGTCTTTCCGGGCGTGTCGTCCGTCACCGCGAGATGTTTAGCGAAGCGGAAGTCAGTCAACCGCAGCGCGCCGTGCTGATCGATCGTCATCGTCTCCGGGTCCATTCCTCGGAATACGATGTCCATGGCGTGGACGTACTCGAACACGAGCGTAAACGCGGCGACGTAGTACTTGACGACTTCGGGCTTGGAGCCGCCGCCGCACGCGATGACAGCTTCGAGCGCACATCTCGGCGCGAATGGGTACGGAATGGAGATGAAACTCGAGTCTTTCGATGGGATGGCGGGTATGGGAATGAATGCCGGCGGCTTGGCTGAGCCCGCCGTGAGCATTGTGATGATGGCGCGCTCGCGCAACACGCCCTCGACTCGCGCGAGCGATTCTGTTCTCGCGAGCGAGATCTGCACCGTCGCCTCCTTAGACGCCCCCTTCGTTTCGCGCAAGTGACCGAGCAACGTCATGTACAGCGCCTCACGCGAGGCTCGCTCGTCGTCCCCGAAACTTAATCGCCGCTCGTGCGGATCTAAAGCGCGCTGGGGCGATCGGATGCGTTCCATCGACGACGATCGCTCGAGAGTGGCGCTCGACGTCCGCACGATCGCCTCGGTTCCGGTGACGTTTGTTATATCGGTCAGCTTAACGCGCCATACCTCAACGTCGTCGCTGATGGCTTGAATATTAGTCGCACACGGCGCGCCACTTCTCGAGAGAAGCGCGCGTTCACCAAAATATTGCCCACTCGTCAACTTGAGCACCACCCTCGGCGTCTCGCTCTCGTCGCGCGCATTCGCACGCACGGTGCACGACACATCCCCCCTACTGATGATGTACATAGCATTTATCTGCTGTCCCTGACGCGCGATGAGCTCGCTTGTTTGAGCCTTTACGAGAGATTTCCCGCGCTTATCGACGATGTTCGTGGCGATTCGGCGCAAGTCGCTGATGCTCACGGCTTTCAGCGCGTCCACGCCGCGCAGCGCGCTCGTGAGCGTGTTTACGCTCGGCTCGTCGTCCTCGCGCATGAGACGCGTGTAAGTGGCGAAGTCAAGCACCCAGAGGACCACGTCACTGTTCGCGGTGACGGTCTCGTGCGGATTTTGGGCGTGCGCCATGCACTGTTCGTTGAAGCACATTCTGTCGCCGCCTTTGCCATACGTTCGCACCTTGACGGCTTCCTTCTTCTCCGCATTCTCGTCTCCCTCGTTCTCGACCCACGCGACGTTGTCGCGCCCCGTGAGAGTGCCACTCTGTACGGCATAAAGCGCACGCAGCGAATACTTGTCGTTTTGCGTCACGACGACATCGCCGTCGTACACTCTTTTCCTGTACATCGCCTCCGCGACTTCGTTCAAAATCGCATCCGAGACGCCGATAAATAAGAATGATTGCTTGAGAATCGATAATAACGCCGATTTGTCCTCCGCGGTGGCGATGGACAGATCTCCCATCTGCTCTTCCAGTGAACCTCTCGTGTTGAACGAGATATCGGACGGTAAACCGTAAGGGTGCACCACGCGATAACTGCGGCGCGTTTGCATGGTGAACGACGGCACGACGCGACGTCGAGGTCTCGCCGACGTTGGGAACGGCGACGAGAGCTGGTTCGCGCGATCGGGAAAGTTGAACAGCGCACTGACGCTCACGGACTTTCTCGGCGTGACGGGATCGGGATCGGGATGGGTTTCGTCCGGGAAGTCTTCAATCAAGATGACGATGACGGTGATGTCGTCCGTGCGCGTCTCGTATTGAAGCCAGAGCTTGTACGATTCCACCACGAGCGCGATTGCGCTCTGCTGTGGATCGCTCGTCGCCATCGCGGCTTTGATCACGCTTGTGGACGGAATGAATTCGAAAACTCCATCTGAAGCGATCACGATCGCCTTCGTGTCTTTGTTCAAGCGCACGCGCTCGATTTCCGGCGTCGCGACGACGCCGATGCGCTCGGCGACGGCGTCGCCTATGGAACGAGTAAACGCCGTGCCAGGATACATCCCATTCTTCGCCCACAGTCGCGGGGGATCGCCATCGTCGTCTTGCTCCGTCCCCCAACACTGCACGGTGGGATCTTTGAACCCCTCGAGCTGATCGAGCGTCATCACGCGCGCGCCCGCCTTCTTCACCCGCTCGCACTCATCCGCGCGAAACGGCGTCTGATCCGAACTCAAATCCACCGTCTCCACCACAACCTCTCCCTTATCGTCCGCCTTCTCTATCCCCATCGTCGCCCGCGAGTCCCCCACGTTTATCACGTACAAATCCCTCCCCTTCACGTGCGCGATGATCCCCGTCGTCCCGCTCAACGAATCGTCCACCTCGCTCCTTCGCAGCGCCTCGTTCGTCGTTCGAAACGCCTCCTCGTACCCTTTCGCGTCCCCAAACTCTCGCTTCGCCATCTCCATCGGCACTCTCATCGCCGCGAACCTCGCGCACTCCGTTCCAAACTCCCCGTGTCCGTCGAAGACGCCGAAGACGCACTCGTCGTCGCGATCTCCAAATCTCGCCTCGCTCACGTGCGCGTCCTGGTTCGCCTTGCTCAGCGCCTCTGGGTAGTACCCTCGCTGCGAGCACGCCGCGTATCGCATCGCGTACGACTGCGCGCGACCGCGTTCGTCCGTGAACGCCACTCGGACCGTCTTCGCGCCCTTGACGCCGGCGAGACGGGCGTTGTATTGCTCCTGCGTCAGCGGGCCGCCGCGCAGGCGCACTTGGTACCGCACGGGGGCGTCGTCCGTCGGATCGACGCATTCGTCGTCGTCGCGCGCGCGCGCGCGATCGGCGACGGGACGAACGGGGCGCGCGCGCGATGGAGACGCGGGCGCGCGAGGCGCCGCGTCGCGCGCGGCGCTCGCGGCGTCCGCGGCGGAGGACGCGCATCCCATGCGCGCGGCGAAGAGTGCGGCAACGGTTTGGATTTGGAGGCGAGCGGGACGGGACGCGCGAGACGAGACGCGATTCGAATGGATCGAGAGAACCGCGAGGGACGCGCGACGAAAAGCGCGGATAAGGTGATACTAAGGATGCTACGCGCGCGCGTTCGCGCGAGGGACGAGGGGCGTCGCGACGGCGGTGGACGGGACGAGCTAGAGCGCGTCGCGCAAGACGCCGTCGGCGCGGTACTTGTCCTTCTCGGCCTGCCGCGCTCGCGCCCTGTCGGGGTCGACGCGACGAATGCCTTGGATGCCCACGGTCGGGGGACGACGCTCGCGTTCCCAAACTTCTTCTTCGTTGTCGATGTGGGTGGTGACGGAGAGCTTCGTGCCGCGTTTGGCGGCTTGTTCAATCTTTTCGCGAATGGCGTCGGATTGTAACGCGCTGAACGGGGCGGCGTCTTTTCCGCCGCCGGCGCCGCCGCTTTGGGAGCCGGACTTTCTAAAATCAAATACTTGTTTACCGCCGCCGCCGCCGCCGCCGTGCCACCCGCCAGCCTCCATGCTCAGACCGTTCGAGGCGATTTGTTGCAGCGACTGGTACACCGCCTCCACGTTCAACTCCATGTTCAGTTGTTTCTCTTCAATCGTGTCGTTGCTGATGATGATGTGTGACACGTTCGACGCGGTGTCTTGGCCAACAACTTGCACTTCCTTGACAGCGATCATGACTTGCGCGATTTGCTCTGAAATATTTACTATGTCGGCGTGCATTTGTTGCATCGCGAGCTTGATGGCGCCCATCGTCGCCCCGGGCGCCGCTCCCGAGACTGGTACATTCGTATCCTTGAATCCACCCGCTGTGACCGTTCCGATTGCACCAGCTTGCTCCCTCGCACGTCTTTTCGTATCCTCTTGGGCGCGTTCCTGCTGCAGCAACTCGCGCCAATTCGAGCACACGTTGCGCGTTGTTTCTTCTAAAAATCTTCGCATGTCGCACTCGCTCAACGCGATGCGCGCCATCTTTGGTTTGTTCAGCGCTTGTAGCGCGTGCAAAAACTCATCCTCGAAGTTACGCAATAGAGTCGGTTGATGTTGCGCGCAAATATCATAAAACACCGCGTGGTCCATGACGAGCGCCTCGACGTGTTTGTCAAACGGCATGGCGCACAACATGCCTTTATAGAACCCGGAAAGTAAACCGGGGTTGAGCACTGTGCCCGGGCCGCGGAGCAAACCTTTTTCTTCCGCGAGTTCGATTTGCTGTTCTCGCAATCGCTTGCGCTTGATTTTCTGTACGTGGGAGTGGTGGAATCCGGACGCCTCGTCGGGGGAATACGAAACTCTCCCGTTGAGCGTGATGATGAACTTATCCGCAAGTTCGTACGGATAGCATATACGTGCGCCTCGCGCGTACATGTGCGTATCCATGGTACGACAGAGGATCTCTATCACAATCCCGTCGGGCTGCACCGTGCCATTGGCCTTTAAACCTATGGACAGCGCTTTACCGTAAATGTAAAAGTTGACGTCGGCGCGAATCGCCTCGGGGAGCGGTTGGATGATATCTCGGTTCACCAGTTTTTGAGGTTTCGCGGAAGCCTTGTAGTGCGACCGGACGCGCGATTTCAATCCGTTTGGCATCTTGTGCTCGGACAAAAGTTCGCGTACGTGGTTCATGAGCACCGCGAAGCGATTCCCGGGCGAGTCTTCATCCATGGACATGTTCACGCCGGAGATGATGGCGGAAAATACAAAGCCCCCGGTGATCATCACGAGGATGGCTATGACGCGTTCATCGACAGTGGTCGGAACGACGTTACCGTAGCCTACCGTCGTGAGTGTTTGCACCGACCAAAACAACGCGGCAACGTACATTTCACTCTTGTGCGACTCTACACCGCTCGCGTCTTCGCGTTGAAAGTCGTACACGTAGGCGTACGCACACGCCATCCAGTGAGAAAGGAGCACTAAAAGCGCGAGCAAGCGCCCGAGAGTCACCATTTTATACACGCGCATAAGATTCTCTTGATAACGTTCCAAGATTCTACCCGTGCGCATCACGCGAAGTAGGCGCAGCATTTTGAACAAACGCAGCACCTCGGGCACTTGTGAATTCTCAGCCGCGGCGCCACACGCCGCCTCAGACTCCCACGAACACGTCAACGTGCCATCGATGCTGCGAGAAACGTAATCCACGGGGATTAGCGATATGGCGTCCGGAATGAACCAGCCTTTCAAGTAATGCTTTTGAATCTTCCACAAATTCGTCACGTAGTGAAAGTCGTCGTCATCGGCGCTCGTCTCCCAGTACGCCGTGAAGAAGTTGAAAAACATGTCAATGTAGAAATAAATATCGACCAGAAAATCCGCGACGTACCACAATCCGTACGACGGCTCGCTGAACCCGATGCGATAGGGCACGGAAATCGCGATGTACAGCAACAGGAAAATTTGTAGAAAATCCCAATACTGCCGCAGCTTCGTCGTCGGGTGCATGACGAATAACGATCTCGCCTCGTCGTCATCGCCGTATTTCGCGATCGCCGAGGCTTCATCTTCGTCCTCATCGCTGTCCGCCGCGTTCCAATCGGCCTCGGACTCGTCGCCGTGATCCAAGAAATTTTCCAACCGGGTGGTATCAAACATCTTTTGCTTGTGCTTCTCCGACGCCGCCGCCGTCATCGCCGCCCTCGCCATCTTATTCTCATCTAACCGCCGCCTCGTGTCGCCCTCCTCCTTTTCGCGCAGCGCCTTCGCGCTCGTCGCCAACCCATGCTTCGCTCTCGCCGCGCTTCCCCGCGGCACGTTGACGATGCCCGCCTTCGCCGCCTCCTTCGCCCTTCGAATCGCATCCTTCACCTTCTCCGCCCGCGTCATCGCTCGCGTCCCGTTCGCCGCGTCGAGCTTTCCATCGCCATCCCCGCGCGCGCCCTCGTCGCTTCCCGCGCTGTCGTGCGCGCTCGCCGTCGTCGCGTCGCGCGCGTCGCTCGCGTTTGGTGTTGCGCCCGCGCCGAAGAATTCGTCGTCGGAATCGCCGTCGCGCGTCGCGCGCGTCGCGCGATCGCGCGTCTTCGCGCGCGCGCGCTCGGCGGCGGCCATCGCGCGCCTGCGCGGCGACGCGACGTCGCGACGACGCGGTGTGCGACGCGTCGCGCCGCGACCGACCGACCGACGCGCGCGTCCGTGCGCCACATCGTATGGGCAAACAGTATAACGTTAATATAAACCATCGCCCCGACGCCGCGCCGTCGACGCGCGCGGCGCCGCGCACGCGCGCGCGCCGATGTTCGCGCCCGCGACGCGCCGCGCGCTGACGCGCGCCGCGCGACGCGCGATGTGCGGCGCGCGCGCGTCCGTCGACGACGGACTGACGCTCACCGACGCGTGCGCGACGCGCCTGCGCGCCATCGCCGACGAAGACGGAAGCGCGCCCGCGCGCCTGCGGCTCGCCGTCGAGGGCGGCGGGTGCTCGGGGTTCAAGTACGAGTTCACCCTCGAGCGCGACGCGGCGACGGCGCGCGATAAGACGTTTCGAGCGGCGAACGGGGCGGAGGTGGTGGTGGATGCGATTTCGTACGAATTCGTCAAGGGGGCGACGATCGATTACGCGGAGGAGATGATCAAGAGCTCGTTCGAGGTGGTGAAGAATCCGCAGGCGGAGACGTCGTGCGGGTGCGGGGCGTCGTTCGGGGCGAAGGACGGCGCGTTCGGGGGGTGACGAGGACGACGGAACGCGTCGGCGAACCGAAGACGGAAGCGCGGGAGGGGGCGCGGGGGGTAATTTTTTCTGTACCGCGCGGCGCACGGCGCGAGATTTAGGATAGGACTGCGATTGCAACACGACGATGGCTACGTTTACGAGACGACGACGGAGGGCTCGAGAGGGCTTCGATCGCGCGCGTCTACGCGGTCGCCGCGTCGATTTCCGCCGATACGCGCGCGGCGTCGCCCGCGGCGACGACGCGCGGCGTTCCCGCGGGAGGATCGCGACACATCTCCGGCCCAATCGTGGAATCGTCCACCATGGTGAAGCACGGCACGTCCTTGAACTTGCCGTCGGCGTATTCGTGAATCTTTTTGACGCCGTCCAAAAACGGCAAGCTCACCATCGCCGCGAACTCGTGCACGCGCGCGCCGAGCTGATCGACGAGATTGAACCCCGCCAACGCCGTCCCACCCGTGGCGATCAAATCATCGATCAGAACCACGCGATCGCCCGCTTTGACGCTCCCCAGGCGCATCACCGTCTCGTCCGTCGAATACTCGGTGACGTACGTCCCGCTCGACACCAGCACCCCCGGCAGCTTCCCAGCCTTGCGAATCATCACGAACGGCACGTTCAGCGCCATCGCGATCGGCGGTCCGAACAGGAACCCTCGCGCGTCGAATCCCGCGATGTGCGTCGGTCCCGCCTCGCCCTGCGCGCGATACCTCGCGACGAACAGCTCCGTCACCGCGCGAAACACCTCGGGATTCTCCGTGATCCCGCTCACGTCGTAAAACGACGGCACGTCGTGCGGCGAGTACTCGGGTCCGTACCACGGCAGCGCCGCCGCGATCGCGCGCACCGCCGCGTCGTTTTGGTCCAAGCAAAAGTGATTTTCCCTGTCGCGCGCGCGCATCCATCCCGAACCGTCGTCAGCGCGTCGTTCGCGCGCGCGCGTCGTCGCGTCGCCGCGCGTCGATCGAGCGCGCGTTCGCGCTCGCGCGTCGCGCGCACCCGAGCGTTTTCACCGCGGGCGTCGCCATCGCGCGTGCGTCGTCGCGCGCGCGCGCGTCGAGGTGTGCCGACCGACGGCGTCGCCGCACGTCGCGACGCGCGTCGGACGCGCGCCGGACGCGCGCGCGATGGCGTCGCGCGTCGCGTCGAGCGCGCGCGCGTCGTCGTCGCGCGTCGCGCGCGGCGAAGACGGCGCGAGGCGCGCGCGCGCGTCGGCGGTTTCGAGACGGCGCGCGGGCGCGGTCGGCGACGCGCGCGTGTGCGTCGAGACGGCGCTGCGCGACGACGACGAGACGTCGGGAGTCGCGGACGGGCCGGGGTGCTTCGCGCTCGAGGACGCGGCGGGCGCGGTGGTGTTCGTGGGGGGCGGGCGGCGCGCGCGGGACGCGCTGCGGGCGTACGCGGCGACGACGACGAGAGACGTCCGGAACGAGGTGTTCGTCGGCGCGGTCGAGACGCTGCCGAAGCGATCGAGATCGAGCGCGGTGCGAAACGCGATGAAGGCGATGCTCGAGGGGTTGGAGTACGCGCCGGAAGATAACGCGGCGGCGACGACGGCGGCGACGGCGGAAACCGTCGGATACGCGTTCTCGAGCGATCACCTGCGCGCGCTCGAGCGCGATGGGTACGTCGTCGTGGATGATTTGATATCGCAAGACGTCGCGCGGGCCGCCGCGGCGTCGGCGCGGGCGATGTACGATCGCGGGGTGATGCAGAATTTGCGACAAGAGGGCAGGGACGACGACGTCGCCGTGTTGGCGACGTCGAGCCTTCCGGCCGGGGACGAGTTCGCCGGCCTGCGGCCTTGCGTCGAGGCGTTGCTGCGCGTTCCGGACGATCTTCGACGCGTCGTCGCGCGCGTCGACGACGACGCGCTCGGTGCGGACGTCGTATCAAAAGTTCGCGCGTGTCGAGCCCCCGACCGCCTGATGCTCGCTCGATACGGCTCCGAGAGCTGTCGATACGTCCCGCATCTCGACAACGACCCCTCCGACGACGCGAACGACGCCGGATCGCCCGGTTTACGACCATCGGACAGAGTGTTCACCCTGATCGCGTATTTGAACCCCGATTGGGACGCGACGCGCGGCGGTCGCTTTCGAGCCTATCGCCCCGGCGTCGCCGCCGACGCCGCCTCGCCGTCTGATTTCGTCGACATCGACCCGATTCTCGGCCGCGTCGTCGTCTTCGACGCCGCCAAGCTCTTGCACGAGGTTCGTCCGAGTTTTCACGACCGTTACGCCGTCACCGTGTGGACGCGCGGCGCAGAGCTTTTGCCCGCGTAGCTCCGGAGCCAGCCTTCCCGCCATATCCGATTGTCACGCGAGACTGCATTATTCGTCATCGCACGGCTCGACGCACCGCGCGCGCGCGCGCCGACGACCGCCCGAGCGAGACATCGCCCGCGCGCGCGTCGTCGCCGATGTCGCGCGCCGACGCCGCGTCAGCGACGCCCGCGGCGCCGATTCCCGGTGACGAATTAATCGACGACGCGCCGTCGCCGATCGACGCGACCGCGACCGCGACCGCGACCGCGACGGGACGCGCGCGCGACGCGGTCGCGAATGATGACTCGAGACCGACGACGAGCGCGTCGAGCGAGGACTCGAACGCGACGATGGAGGACGTGAAAGCGTCGGACGTGGTCGAGAAGAAGATGTCGCTAAACGCGAGGCGGGTGGACCGCGGACGAACGGCGAACGGCGCGAACGCGACGGGCGCCGAACGAGGATCGAGACGACAACATGAGTCGAATAAGTTTTTGCCGTGGTTACCGGAGAGAGCGACGCTCGAGGGGACGCTCGAGAAGAAGGCGGAGGAGACGAGTTGGTTCGCGAGCGTCTTCGGCGGCGCGACGGATACTTGGAATTTGAGACACTTCATGCTGTACGAGGCGCACTTGTTTTGGGGGAAAGGATTCAGCACGATGCACGGGTACGGGACGATTTTGAGTGCGAAAGAGGCACCCGAACACGGACCTGCGGCGTTCGTGATCGAGATGATGGCGGTGCCGAAGCGGTCGCTGCGTAGAAGTCTTCAGGAAAACGCCGACTTTATGGATCTCCTCTCGGGATTGTGCTGCAAGCCCGCGGGGTTCAAGACGATGACTTTGCGCGCTGGAAGTCCGACGGATCGCGCGCGATGGATCGACGCGCTGCAACTGGGAATGACGAGCTCGCCGCTTTCGGCAAGAATGCCGCTTGAGTGCTCGGACGAGATCCCGCCGAGCCCGCGCGTTTCCACGGATAGCGATCGGTCCTCGCTTGATTTCAGTTTCGGGAACAAACACAAAAAGTACGAAGAACCGCCGCCGCCGATGTCACCAGGTGCGGCGCCCGGGCGACTGTCTCAAAACGCTGCTCCGATCGACGATGAAGATGTTGGAAAATACGCCTTCAATTTGAGCGAGAACACAGGCGTCTCGAGCGGATTGCCGCCGCTGCCGAAGAAGGTGCTCGATCGTATCCCTTCGGCGCTCAAGAAGGGTTCGAGTTTTTCCACGTCGATAAACGTCAGGCGTAACTCTAGCGATGGAAACTCTAAGTCGGTGACGTTCAACGAGCACGTAGAGACGCAAGTGATCGCCAAGTCGCCGAGTAAACACGGCCTCGCCGCGGCAGAGGAGACTGATAAAGAGTTCAGAACGCGCACGCGTCTTCTCCAAGCCGCGGGGAAGTTTAAGATCGCGGAGGAAGAGTTATCCATAGGTGCTAAACTCGGTGTTGGGTCTTTTGGTGTCGTGCATCGCGCGAAGTGGAACGACACCGACGTCGCCTACAAAACCATGATTGCCGACAAAATGAACGACGACACCATCAATGCCTTTGCGGAGGAGATTCGCATGATGCGCGCGTTGCGTCATCCAAACATCGTACTGTTCCTCGGTGCGGTGATTCAGCGGGGTCGAATGGGAATCGTTTCCGAGCTCATGAAGCGCGGAAACTTGGAGCAACTGTTGCACGGCAACGGTAAGTGGAGCGAGTCGCTTCGTAGCAATGGGATGCTTCGCAGACAAATGGCGGCGGATTGCGCGCGCGGGATGTTGTATTTACACTCCCTCGCCCACCCTGTTGTACATCACGACTTGAAACCGGCAAACTTGCTGGTCGATGCAAATTGGACACTGAAAGTGAGTGATTTTGGGATGAGCGAGTTGAAGAGCTACACGTACGGATCGAATTGCAAAGCTCCCGGGGGAACGCCCGAATGGATGGCGCCCGAGGCGCTTCGCGGCGACGACGTCAACGAGCTCTCCGACGTGTTTTCGTTCGGTGTCATTCTGTGGGAGCTCATCACCCTGAATTTCCCGTGGGCCGATCTCTCGTCACCCGTGCAAATCGTCGCTCAAGTCGCGTTTTTGCACCGACGGTTGAAAATTCCGAGCTGGGTCGAGGACCCGATGGAGCAACTATTGCACGATTGCTGGACGCGTGAGACGGAGGCGCGACCAACGTTTGCGAGCATCGTCGAACGCCTCGTGGGCGATTACCCAGCCGCGTGGTCGCAAGGTAAAGAGTCGAAATCCGCCGAGCAAGAAGCGGCCGACATTCTCGCCCTGATGTCCAAAGACGACGGTTCCCCGACGTCGGCGATCGAAGACGACGAATTCGTCGACGCTAGCGACGACATCGACGTCTCCGTCATCTCTGCCTTCGCCCCTCGCGGATTGGCCCCGATTCGCACCCCGACGCCCGTCCACGACGCCACCGCGTCCAGGACTCTCGGTTCCGAGGACGATTCCGCGGAGGAATCCAACTCGCTCGATTCCTCCGCCGAAGTCTCCGTCGCGAATTCCCCTCGTAAGCCCCCTCTCACCGCCAGCGTCGCCGCCAACGTCGGCGCTTTCCGCCCGAAGATCCTCTCGCCCCTCAAAACCCCTCGCGCGCGCGCCGGCGTCGCCGAGCCTTAGCCGCCAGCCCTTTGTAAAGTTATAATTCGACTCGACGCCGCGACGCCGTCCCGTCCCGCCCAGTCCCACGCTCCCATCTTCACTCGACGCGTCACAACGCCTCGGCCCGCGACGCGCCTCGCGCCGCCGCCGCACCGCGCGCGATGGACCCCTCGATGTTCACGCCCGAGATGATCGTGCGTCGCGACGCGCGAGCGCCGCGCCGCGACGCGAACGCGCGCGCGATGACGACCGCGACGCTTCGAAAGATCGCGCGACGCCGCGAACGCGCGCGCGACGCGAGCGAACGACTGACGGAACGACGGATCGCGCGACTTGAACGCGAACGCAGGCGCAAGCGCAACAGATGATGTCGAACATGACGCCCGAACAGATGGCGCAGATGCAACGCATGGCGGGGTCGATGGGCCTCGGCGCGCCGCCGGGCGCGGCGGAGGCGATGAAAAATATGACGGCGGAGGACATGCGACGAGCGGCGCAAGAGATGGGGAACATGACGCCGGAACAGTTGAAGACGCAGTACGAACAGGCGCAGGGACACGCGAAAGCGAGCGCGGATTATCGATACGCGGGGAGCGAGACGCTGAAGAAGGAGGGGAATAAACTCGTGGGAGAGGGGAAACACGCGGATGCGGTGGAGAAGTACGCGCGAGTGAAGGAAAACTTGAAGGATGATGTGAACGCGGCGGCGAAGACGCTGCGGTTGTCGTGCATGTTGAACATGGCGCTTTGTTTTAACAAGATTGGGAAGCACGACGGGGCGATTAGCGAGTGCACCGAGGCGCTCGAGCTCGAACCGCGGAGCTTGAAGGCGTACTATCGACGCGGACAAGCGTACGTGGCGAAGGGTGAGCTCGAACAAGGTGTGAATGATTTGATGCGGGCGAATAAGCTCAGTCCTGGAGATGAGACAGTGGCGGGAGAGCTCGAAGCAGCCGTCAAGCGCATGGAATCGCAAGGATTAGCCGTGCCGGCCGCCGCGCCGGAATTCGACCATCCCGAGGCGGCGCCCACGACGAGCGCCGGCTCGAGCGGTAGTGCGATGCCGGGGATGCCTGGGATGCCGACGCTCACGCCTGATGTTCAAGCACAGGTGAGCGCGATGATGAGCGACCCGAACGCCATGGAGCAAATGTCGTCGATGATGGGCAACTTGTCCGACGATCAAATCGAGCAGATGGCGGCGACGAATCCCATGATGGCGGGCATGGACCCGGATCACGTGAAAAAGGCAGCGGGCATGATGAAGAACATGAAGCCGGAGACTATGCAAAGCATGATGAAGATGGCGCAGAGCATGGGCACGGAGGGCGGGAAAGGCTTCGACCCGAACGACCCCGAAATGATGTCCAAGATGCAAAAGGAGTTGAACAACCCGGAGATGCGCGAGGCCATGGTTGAAATGATCCAGGGTATGGATTCGGAGTCTTTGAAGGAGATGTCCAAGAGCATGGGCATGACGATGGACGACGCGCAAGCTGAGCAAGCGGTCAACGCTCTCAAGAACATTTCGCCAAAGACCATGGAACGGATGCTCTCAATGGCTTCCGTCGCGGGCGGGATCTACAGTCGATTCAAGCGACCGATCGATTGGGCTATGCGCAACAAGCGCACGGCGCTCAGCATCTTTGTCGTGTTCACGGCCATGGGGACGACGTACGTGCTGCGATGGTGGCGTCGCCGCGGAGGAGCCGTGGAAGCGGCTGACAACCAAACCTCGACCTCAACGTTTTAATGCTATCCTTCGTGTCAACAATTACATTCCTAATCGCTCGTGTGGACGATGCACTGACGGGCAGCGTCGTACGAGAAGTGCGAGTTTCTGAAGGCTGAACTGCCGTAAAACGGCGCCAAATCCTCGATGCCGTACGCTCTCGCCTTGCTCTCGAGATCGCGGCAACGCACTGTCGTCGTCTGACCCGCGGTATCCGCTTGACTGTTCGGCTTGGCGCCGACATTTTCCCAGCGCATCGTTTCCCGAAGTAGTCCGCGAAGAATTTCGAGGAGCAAAGCGTCGTAGTCGCGATGGAAGTGCGTGTATCGCGCAAACTTCTTCTGCAGGGTCTTTTGCACGGATTGCTTTTGAGTGCCGATGAAAGACTGCAGCATGCATCCAATCGCAGCGTCGATGTCATCAGCCGATACTTGCTGGCTAAGTCGCATCGCCGCTCGAGCTTCACTCATTCGGATGATGGACTCGATGTGACGCACGGCGACGGGCATGCCTTCACGCGTCACAGACTCCTTTCGCAATTCGGCGTAGACTCGTTGAATCTTCGGCAAGTCTTGCTGATTTAGCTTTGGGCGACATTCTTTTTTCGCGTACGAAATATACTTGCGCAACAATTTTTGATCAATCGGCTCGATGTCGTCGTCGTCATTTTCCCCAAATGGATTCTGCAACGGCGCTTCCGGATCGTCTTCAAATCTCGGATGGCACTTGACGTGGGAGTGTACCACGAACTTAGCGAGCCTTTCATCTAAGACAGGGTCAATAACGTCGCGAACGACGCAAAGAATATCGAAGCGGGAAAGGATTGGATCCGTCAGTTCAACGTTGTCGCTGAACGTCTTGGACGAATCGTATCGACCGCCGATGGGGTTCGCTGCGGCGATGACCGAGCATCTCGCTTGTAAAGAAGTCACAATACCAGCCTTGGAGATAGATATGGATTGCTGCTCCATTGCCTCGTGAATGGAGACGCGATCTTGCTCGTTCATCTTATCGAATTCGTCAATGAGGCACACACCGCGATCGGCGAGCACGAGGGCGCCGCCTTCCAGCACAAACTCGCGAGTCACCGGATCTTTGTGCACGGCAGCTGTTAAACCGACCGCAGACGCGCCTTTACCAGTGGTGTACACGGCGCGACCCGCGGTGGCTTGTGTGTACTTCAAAAACTGTGATTTCGCAACACCGGGATCCCCGAGCAACAACATGTTGATGTCGCCGCGCAATCGCGTCTTGCCCTTGACGAACTTTTCTTGACCGCCAAACAGCGCAAATGCGATACCCATCTTGATATCTTCGTGCCCGTGAATGGACGGCGCGATAGACTTCATGATGCGTCGAACGATTTTGGGATCACGGCTGAGCTTTCTGATGTCCTCGCGATCTTCATCCGTGAGATTGCCCGACGAGTACAAATCTCCTTTTCGTTTGACGTAATTCGCCTCGATGTACGTCGTGAATACGGGAAATCCCTGCTGACGCGTGTTCAGCGACGCTTCGAAGTTATTTGTGTACACCCCGGTGACTTCAATCTCGTCACCCGGTTTCGCCATGTCAATCAAGTCGTTCAACACGATAACCTCTTTACTTCGCGGAATGCGGCCAGCCGGAACGCTTCCCGGAGATTCCTGCAACGTCAACTTCTGGTAGTTGCGATACACCGTCTTTGCGGAGTTAATCTGCCATCTACCTTTTTGATGGCACTCCGGGCAGGCATTCGGGCGCTCCTCTTCTCTGCTACTATTTTGGAAGATTGGACCGACGTTGTACGAACACACCATGCACGTGTACGTCACATTTTTCAGTTGCGGAAACACACCCGTGCGTCGCGTCACGACACCGCTGACGCGAATCAATGAGTTTAAGTGCGATTGGCGAATATCACGAATAGCGTCCTCGACGGGCAAATCCACGATTCGCACGAACACGTCGGGATGAATGTCGCCGTACGACGGGTAAAGCTTCAACACTTCGGTGAGCGCGACTTCGTCGAATAGATCGAGCATGTCCTTCGGCGCGTCCGCGACCCAAACCGCGATCAGAGACTCACTCTTCGCCAGGTGCATGTAACTGATTTCCAAACTCTGCAAGTTGTTGTTGCACATCTCGCGAATCTTTTTGTGATAAAGCGACCGCCCGGCTTCGTCGACTTGTCCTTTGCGCAAAAACCGACTCAAACGCTTGCGAATCTCCACCTTCGTGCGATCCTTCGTGATCCACTCGCGAAGAGGGCAATCGTACACGTCAATGTTCACGTCGAATTCCTCGTCATCGTCTTCCATGTCCCCATCTGCGGCGCGATCCGCGGCCCTTCGCCTTCGCGCCTGCCGCAACCATTCGTCCTCGCCCTCCTCGAGCGCCCGCGGCCGCACCCGACCCGCGCGTCGTCCACCACGATCTTCATAAATATCCCGCTGTTCCATCAACTCTTCCGCGCGCAATCGCGCCTCGAGTTCGGCCTCCGCATCGTACTCTTCGTCCTCCTGCGCCAGTCCCGCCTCTTCGTACTGGTCCAAGTGCGGCATCACTTGGTAATCCCTACGCCGTACGAAAATAACGCGTTCCTCACGTTCGTCAGTCGCGCGATCCGACGCTCACTCCATCCCCACCGTCGCGTCTCGCCCCGCGCGCCGCCCTTGGCGCGTCTTCCCCGCTCTCGCGTCGTCCGCGCGCGAGCGACAGCTCGAAATTCAAATATTCAAACCCGCGTCCCGTCCCCGTTCTCGCCCTCGCGCGTCGCGCGTCGCTCGCGTCGCTCCCGCACCGTTCCATGTCGTTCATCAAATCCTCTCCATCGCTCTCGTCGTCGCTCCCGCGCGAGTCCTCGCTCGCGTCGCCGTCGCTCGCCCCGACGTCGTCGCGCTGATCGTGATGCGGCACGAACGGATCGTCCGCGCCCGCGCGCTCGAACGCGTCCCGCGCGTCGTCGTACGCGTCCGAGGCGTCGTCGCGGTCATCGCTATCGCTCGTCGCCATCGCGGCGCGCGCGCGTCGTCGCGTCGCGTCGCGTCGCGCGTCGTCGAGTGTCGCGCGCGCGTTTGAATTCGCATCACAGCTCGACGCGCGCGCGACGCGCCGGCGACGCGCCTTCGGCGAGCGCGCGCGCGGCGAGCGCGAGCGAGCGACGTCGCGCGCGCGCGCGCCGCGCGAGGACGAAACCGCGCGCGAGGACGACGAGGCGCGCGATCGCGGATCGCGAATCGCGACGCGCGGGCGATGGAAACGAAACGCGTCGTCTTCGTGTCGCTGAAACCGTCGTCGACGGCGAGCGATGATCAACACGCGTCGAGGAACGCGCGACGGAAGCGCGCGCTCGGGATCGAGGAGAGGGCGACGTGGGAGGAGTTTGTGAGCGCGGCGTGCGCGCGGTTGCAAATCGCGGGCGCGCGGGCGGTGTATCACGCGAGCACGGGCGAACGCGTGCACGGGATAGAGGACGTGCAAGACATTGAAGATTTAATCGTCGAGGAGGATGAGAGCGCGCGGATGATGACGAGCGGCGCGACGCCGGGGGTGAGCCCGTTGCGAACGCCGAACGGACGCGCGAACGGGGCGACCGCGCGCGGAACGCCGGGAAGGGATTACGACGGTGATTACGACGACGACGATGGAAAGAGTAAACCGCGAAGGATGTCGGTGCTGTTGTCGAGCCTCGTACCGGGACTCGGCAGCGCGGTGGGCGACGGGGCGTTGAGGAAACTGGACAGCGCGTTGGACGCGGCGGAGCGCGGCGACGACGACGGCCGATCGAAGAATCATCGCGTGCCGACGCGCAAGCCCGTGGGCGCGCGAAAGACGTTGAAGCGAAAGAAGCGCTTGAATAGGCGCGCGGCGGCGTTGTTGCTGATCGTGTTCGTCGGTACGTTGGTGTACGTCTTCGGTCGACGCTTTGAAGACGCGCCGTTCTAATAGTCTAGTTGTAAAACAGTCGTCATTGCGTCGCGTTCGCGACTTTGTCTCGGCGCCTCCGCGCGGTGCGCATCGCGCGAACGCGTAGCGCGCGACGCATGCGCTCGTTCGGCGCGCCGTCGACGTCGGCGGCTCGTCCAACGCACGTCAGGACGAAAAGTGCACCCAGACACAAATCCCGCTCGCGCGCCGCGCCGCGCGCCGCGGACGACCCGCAGGCGTGGGAACGGTTTTATCTCACGCACAGTAAAGACGGCGCCAAAGGACACGACGTCGGGGCGTTCAAAGATCGGCATTACCTCCGGAAAGCGTTCGGGGAACTGGTGGACGAAGAAGCGCGCGCGGCGCCGGAGACTTTTCGCCCGGCGCTTCGCCCGAGCGAGCTCCCAGACGTGGACGAAACGCGCAAAATCGATGTTTTGGAGCTCGGGTGTGGGGTCGGGAACTCGGTGTTTCCGCTTTTGAGGGCGAATTTAAACATGCGAGTCGTGGCGGTGGACTGTTCGCCGACGGCGATTGCGGCGGTTCGCGCGAACCCGGAGTTCGATGCGCGACGACTTCGCACGCACGTCGTCGATGCGAGCGCGCGTCGTTCGATGGAGAGTTGCGTTGACGACGCATCGGTCGACGCCGTGACCGCGGTGTTCTTTCTTTCCGCGCTCACGGCGAACGGGTTGCGAAACGCCGCTGAGGAAATTCGGCGCGTGCTACGTCCGAATGGTGTACTTTTATTTCGAGATTACGCGAGAGGGGACGTTAAGAACGCAGATGCGTCGTCGCAGTTTGTGCCGGGCGAACGCATCGATGAGAATGCGTCTTTGTCGTCGACGTCGAACGAGCAAACGTACCGCCGTTCCGACGGCACGCTCGCCGTCTTCTTCGACGAAGACGAGTTAAACGACGTGTTTGCATCCGTCGGGTTGGTGGGCGAGTGCGAAATAGTCACGCACTCAATCACGAACCGCAAGCTAGGAGTGACGATGGATCGAAAGTTTGTGCAAGGGCGGTTCGTGAGGCTCGCAGGGTGAGTCGTTTGAATATAGATTTGTCATTTACATCTGTAGCGATCCCTATCTCACGCCGCAACCGATTGAGCGTTCGCGTCGCCGAGCACCGCCTCGCTCGCAGTCGGCGGGGCGAGGATCTTCCTGCTCTCGTGGAAGTATTGATGCGGCGTGTGCACGCCCGCCTCGATTTCGACGCCGTCGTGAATCGCCGCAAACGTCATACCGCACGCGATTTGGTAGTGCATATTCGTCGCCTTCTCGACAATCGCGTGCGACTTAGCACCAGAGATTTTCAACGTACCGAGCAACTCGTGCAAACGTGCGCCGTTATCCTTGACGCCAGACGTGAGCGTCTTGAACGGACAACCGTGCGCGTCCTTCACGCCCGGATCCGCTGCGATGCACTGACCGCACGCGTGCGGGGTGTAGTTGACGCGCTTCCCTTCCTTACCGTACGCGTGTCTGATACCATACGCGTAATCTTTTTCAAACTTCTCCGCGGAGCATTTCGGGTGCTTTGTGAACTCTGTCTTCCAAAACACGAGCGCCTGGTCCAGAGGCAAGCCGATGCCCTTCAAATACAGTTGCAGTTGTCGTCGACCGCCGTGCGTCAGGTGATGATCTTTCTTGAGCGCCTTGTAAAGCTGGCGCATGCACAGCGGGAAAGACTCTTGCGTGGCTTCGATGCCGGCGATCGACATCGTGCCGTCTTCGCCTTGGAAATCGTACCCGCTTCCCGATCGACGGTTGTGCACAGATTTCAAAAGCGGCGTCAAACGGTGAGCCTCCTTCTTTTCAAACTTGTTGAAGAGCGTGATGGCTTCGGCGACCATCTTGTTCAGCATCGTCTTAAACCGACCGAACACGAGTTGATCGAGGGTTTCTTTACGAATCCACGCGTTTCCGCCGATCAAGTACGCCCGTCTCGACTTGACGAGCGGGCACACCTCTTCGAAACCGACGACGAACCAACGCGACGCCTCGCTCGCCGCTTCCTCGCACATCCTCTGGTACTCCATCGTCCCGAGCTTACCATCTTTACTGAGACTTCGACGCATCTGCCTATACTCGTGGTCCGCCATCAAGACGTCCCGCAAATCGTCCCGTCTCTCCCGCACTTCCTTCTCGCTCGCCCGCGCGTAATCGTTAAACCCATTCGTCCGCATAAACTCCATCTTCGCGTCCAAACTCAGCTCACCGTACCGATACTTGAACAACTCCAACTCGTTCTCCCGAAACCATCGCCTGTGTTCTTCGCTTCGACAGCTCGCCAACCTCAACAAAAAATGACTCGTCGCGTCTCTCGCCGCGCCCTCCGCGTCAAACGTCCCCCCCGTCGTCCGTCGCATGTTATATTCCTCCTCCGCGCTCGCGATCGCCCGTTTCAATTCCTCATCCTTCTTCCCACCGCTTCGCGCGTCGTCGATCGCCCGCAAGACGCCGTACCGATCCATCGCCGCGCGCTCCAGGTACTCGATGGAGCGTTCGTCATCCGGCGCGGTGTTGTACGCGTCCAACCGCGCCGCGTTTCCGCCGTACTTTCGCTCGAGCGCGGTCTTGGCGCGCGCTTCCGCTTTCTCTCGATTCGTGCGCAGCGCGCCGAAGACCATGGCGGCGTCGCCGCCGTCGTCGCGCGTCGCCGTGTCGCGCGATCGTCGAGCTGTCGCCGCGTCGCGATTTCAAATTTCGTGGCGTCGGCGCCGCGCGCGGTGCGATTTCGAGGGTCGGCCTCGCGCACCGCGCACTGTTTACCCATACGCGCGTCGCGATTTCAAATTTCGTGGCGTCGGCGCCGCGCGCGGTGCGATTTCGAGGCGTCGGCGCCGCGCGCGGTGCGATTTCGAGGGTCGGACCTCGCGCACCGCGCACTGTTTACCCATACGCGTCAACGCGCGGACGCGGCGCGACGCGCGACGCGCGCGCGCACGTCGCGACGCGCGCGCGACCGCGACCGCGACCGCGCGGCGACGCGCCATGTCCGCGGCGCTGGCGGAGACGATCGCGCGCGACGCCGCGGACGGACGCGCGGGCGAGTACGACCTCGCGGGATTCGGCGAGGCGTGGGTCGACGCGCTCGTCGAGGCGGCGTTCGCGACGCCGACGCGCGCGAAAGGAGGGTTTTACGCGTCGTGCAAGTTCATCGTCGGCGGCGGGAAGAAGACGCGGGCGAAGTACGACGATGAGGTGGTGAAACACTTGACGGCGGCGCTGCGCGCGAGGGGGTTCGAGGACGACAGAGGCGCGAGCGCGTGCGAGGCGTGCCAAGGGACGTATAAGTACCAGCACGACACGGATAAGGATTTAAAATACTTGCACGTGTTTCCGAGGGTGACGCACGAGGCGGAGGGGGGGGAGGCGGCGGCGGCGGCGGGCGGGACGCAGTCGCCCGAGTATCGCGCGTGCGCGTGCGATTTGGAGGAGTTCGAGCGATTGGTGGAGATGTATTGTCCGAGCTTTTCGCAAAAGCGCGCGCTGTTGCGCAGGATGAAGGTGATGGAGCACGCGCTCGGGGCGCTGGAACAAAAGGTGATCGCGATGGAGAGCTTGAATGATCGCGAGCAGACGATGTACGACTCGATGGTTGAAGTCGCGGCGAAGATTGAGTTCTTACAACAGGCGCTGGACGACATGATCAAGAAGGGTCGATTGACGAAAGGCGAACAAGGAGAAATCGTCGAAGATTTGGAGCTCAAGCTCGAAGATTTGAACCTGATGGTGAACGAGGCGAACGAGGAGGGGAAGCCGAAGCGCGCGGAGATGCTCGAGAGCAAGAAGGAAATCGTCGTCAAGAAGATTGACTCGGTGCGCGCGAAACCTCCAATCGTGTACACGGTGCCGCACGAACGCGAACTTTTGGACTTGAAGAAGGAGCTGAACTCGCTGAAAAAAATTGCCGCACAATCGAAAGGAAAGTTGATGAGCGGTGCGGACGCGGCGAAGTGCGCGAATATTCCCAAGCTCGAAGAGCGCATAGCGAATTTGGAAAACTCCGAGGAAAAAGGATGGTACGAGGACGAATGCCGAGCGCTTCTCTTTCCACCGGTCGCCGAAAAGAAAGCACCGGCGAAGGCCAAGGCGAGTGGCGCCAAAACCAATTCGGGATGGCTCACCAAGGCGGCAAAGGGCGGATCGCGCGGCGGAGGTGGATCCGCGAAAGCTTCGTCGACTCGTGGTCCTTCCAACCCGTTCGCGATGCTCGGCGACGATTAGCATATAGCGGGTGTTTATATATCACAACATTCATCAAAATGTGCGTATCAACGTTCACTGTGGTGTCTGGGCGGTCGAAACGGCAAAGGTTCGACGTTCCAAATCTTCGCCGCGTACTCCCGAATCGTGCGATCGGATGAAAACATCCACATCGAACACGCAGCTTCGATGCACTTTGCGGTCCACTTCTCTTCGTACTGATACGCCGCATCGGCTTCTGCAATCGCCCCTAGATACGACGGAAAATCATGCGCGGTGAGGTAGACGTCTTTCCTCGGATCGATGGCGTCCAAGAGCTGGTTGTACGCTCCGTCGTCCGGCTTGCCGAAGATGCCGGCGCGAATCATTCCCATGGCGCGGTGAAGACGAGGATCAATTTTTGGTGGGTCGTGCGCCATCTTGCGTCGAATCGCCGCGACTTGATCCGCCTTCGCGCCAAACGTGAACATGTTATGCTCGCCAATCGCTTGTTCTATCTCGATGTTCGCCCCGTCCATTGTACCCACGATCAATCCGCCGTTCATGACGAACTTCATGTTCCCGGTGCCGCTCGCCTCCATACCCGCAGTGGAGATGTGTTGCGAGATATCACTCGCGGGAATGAGAATCTCCGCTAGAGACACGTTGAAGTTGGGAACGAACACCACCTTGAGTAAGTCACGACACGCCGCGTCGGAGTTCACGACTTCAGACACGGCGCATACGAGCATGACAAGATTTTTCGCCATGACGTATCCGGGCGCAGCTTTGCCGGCGATGATGTGCACGCGCGGCACCATTGTTTTGCGCTGTTCGGGCGTAGCCTGCGTGATTTCGGCGTAGCGGTGCACGATTCCAAGGACATTCAACAACTGGCGCTTGTATTCGTGTATGCGTTTGATTTGCATGTCGAACAAGGCGTTGGGATCGACGCGGATATTCATCGAACGGTACAGCCATTCCGCAAGCGCTTGCTTGTTCGTTTGCTTGGCCGCGCGCCAACGCTGTCGAAATTGCGGATCTTGCGCCATCGTCTTGATCGGCTCGAGTCGCTTGAGATCGTTTACCCACCCAGGGCCGACCATGCCCGTGTAAATGCTCGCGAGCGCTGGATTCGCTTGCAACAGCCATCGTCGCGGCGTGACACCATTCGTCACGTTGATGAACTTTTCTGGCCACATCAACAAAAAGTCGGGGAATAGCAAAGACTTCAAAAGCTTGGTGTGGATCATCGCCACCCCGTTTACGGTGTGCGACCCGATGACGGCTAAGTTGGACATGCGTACCATCTTGGGTGATGACTCTTCGATGATACTCATCGACGACATGCGCGCGGTGTCGTTTGGCCACATCTTTTGAACCTCAAGCAAAAACCGGTGGTTGATTTCGTAAATGATTTGCATGTGTCGCGGCAAGAGCTCGGTGATCATCGGCACCGGCCACTTCTCCAGTGCCTCCGGGAGAATGGTGTGGTTGGTGTACGCGAAGACTTTTCTCGTTATTTCCCACGCCTCGTCCCAAGGTAGACGCTCGATGTCGAGGAGCAAACGCATGAGTTCGGGAATAGCAATCGCCGGGTGCGTGTCGTTGAGCTGTATCGCCACCTTGTCCGGCATATTCTTCATCGTCGTAGACCCACGACCGACGTTCTTCTTGAAACGTCTATAGATGTCTTGTAAAGTCGCGCTGACGAAGAAGTATTGTTGCTTCAATCGCAAACGCTTACCTTCTTCCGTGGCGTCGTTCGGGTACAGCACTGACGTGATACTCTCGCAACGTTCCTTCGCCTCGACCGCGCCGTAGTAATTACCGGCGTTAAACGAGGCGAGATTGAATTCGTGCGATGGCTTGCTACTCCACAGTCGCATATTGTTGGTGTTGTACGTACCGTAGCCTGGAATCGGGGTATCGTACGCCTGCGCCATGACGACTTCGCCGCCCTCCCACGCGTACAACGTGTTCCCGTCCGGATCTTGAAACTCTCGAACGTGGCCGAATAAACGAACCGGGTACTGCACGTCTAATCGTTCAACTTCCCACGGGTTCCCATCGGTAAGCCAATAATCTGGAAACTCCACTTGTTTACCATTCACGATTCTTTGCTCAAACATTCCGTACTTGTAGCGAATGCCGTACCCCCACGCGGGATAATTTTGCGTCGCGAGCGTGTCCAAGAAACAAGACGCCAAGCGCCCCAGACCCCCGTTCCCGAGCGCTGGCTCTTTTTCCTCTGACATGATATCTTCCAAATCGTATCCAATCTGCCGCAAAGCCTCGGCGTAGGCGCCTCGTAACCCGAGATTTGAGACGGCATTGCCGAGCGAGCGGCCGATTAAAAATTCGAGCGACAGATAGTACACTTTCTTCGCCCCTTTCTTGGCCGAATACTGCTGCGTGTCCGTCCATCGCTCGATCAATCGATCTCGCACCGAGTGCGCGGTGGCTTGATAAAACGAGCTCGTATCGAGCTTGTACCTCCTTCGCGCGAGCGTATACTCCACGTGCCGCACCAACGATCGCTGCAAACTCGCCACGTCGTTTGGCAAGTACGTGCTCGATAGCTTCCACAACAACTCCTTGTGCGCCAAGTGATCGACGCCCATCTCTGCATCGTCGACGTACTGACGCGGGCGATCGAGGATCGTCGTCGCGCTCTCCAAGAACGATGACTCGGTCACGTCCGCGCGATCGCTTTCCATATCCACGCTAAACGAATCCAGCTGCCCGAGCGAGTCTTTCCTCCGATGCTGCAACAAAGACGCTCCGCTCGACCGTGGACTGTGCAAGCTCACCGGCGGTCGCCCTCGATGATGATTCTGATGTTGTTGGTACTGATATCCACCCCTGTCGACGCCCACGATCACGGGCATACCCGTCTCGTCGTCCCCTCGCGCGTACGATCCCGCGCCGCTCCTCGCCATCCGACCGCCGTACGCGCTCGACGTCGACGAGTCGTTCTCCTGCGCCAGATTCGCCCGCAAGCTCTGTTCGAGCCACGCGTCCACGCGCGTGTTTTGCCCGCTCGCCACGGACGAGCCCGGCTTCCGCCTCGCGCTCGTCGTCGTCGTCGTCGTCGCGTCTGGCTGTCGCGCCGCCAACCGCAGGCGCGTCATCAGCGTCAGCTCTTCGCTCGACCCCACGTCGCGCGTTCGCCCTCCCGCGAACGCCCCGCGCGCGAACGACGTATCCGCGGCGTCGTGCGCCGCGCCTTCGTCGTCGCCCGTCGCGTCGCGCCCCGTCGTCGTCGTCCCGTCGCGATGCCGATGCGTCGGCGTCAACCTCTCCGGCGCGCTCCTCGCGAACGCCGCGTCCCAGAACGTCTTCGCGTCGCGCGGGCGCGCGTCGTCGTCGTCGAACGCGACGTCATCGCGCGGCATCGCGTCGCGCGCGCGCGCGCCGTCGTCGCGCGCAGATCTCTGAAGAATTTGGATGACGGTAACCGTCGCCATCTCGCGGCGCGATGTCGACGCGCGCGCCCGCGTTCGTCGCCGTCGTCGGCGCGGAGAGCGCGCCGGTGTTCGTCGCGTCGCTCGGCGCGCGCGAGGGCGCGAACGAAGCGTGCGTGACGCGCGCGAGCGCGGGATTTCGTCTCGACCGCGCGCGCGACGAGACGACGAGACGACGAGACGACGTCGACTGACGGCGAACTCGCGCGTTTCGTCGCGCAGCGCGCACGCGTCGCGCGCGCACGCCGCGCTGGACGCGATCGACGCGAAACTCGGCGCGATGACGACGGAGAGCGCGACGAGGTACTTGGGGGAGTGTCACCGCGCGCACGACGGCGTGTGCTACGGGTACGCGACGCGGTCGAGGGCGAGGATGGTGCTCGCGTACGAGGAAGACGCGAGCGAGGAGACGGTGAGGAAGGATTTTGATTATTTAGCGACGGCGTACGCGGAGGCGGCGTGCGATGCGTTCGGGGAGATTGGGGGGAGGACGACGAGCGAGCGGTTTCGCGAGCGATGCGAAGCGTTGGGATCGGACGCGCGGCGGCGCGAGGAGGGGACGGGCGGTGGTGGGTGAGCGTCGGCGCGACGCGCGTGGATTTCGCGTGATTTCGCGAATGGAGTGGTTTAGGAGTCAGCATGAAGACGGGGTTAGCGATTGTTTGACGCATGAGACCAGAGTTTAGTTTTGCGCAAGGGACGTTTTAGTGAGAAACCAAAGTTTAAAATGATTACATGTCGTAGCGCCGCTAAGAATATATATACTCTCGCGTATGACTTACGAGTCTTGCTTCTTAAGAAGCGGGAACGCGATGACGTCGCGAATCGACGGCGAATTCGTGAGAAGCATGACGAGACGATCGACGCCGAGACCCATACCCGCGGTCGGGGGCATGCCGTACTCGAGCGCGGCGACGAAATCTTCATCCATTTCGACGTCGTACGCCTCGTCTTCGAGCGCTTTGAGTTCGTCTTTACCACTCGCCGCCGCCGCTTCGCGCTGCGCCGCGCTCGTTTTCGCGTGCGTCACCATCTGCGCCTCGAGGCGTTTACGTTGATCGATGGGATCGGTCAACTCGCTGAACGAGTTCGCGAGCTCGCGACCGACGACGAAGAGCTCGAACCGTTCGGTGACTCCCGGTTTACTACGGTGCGGTTTCGCGAGAGGAGAAATCTCGAGCGGGTGGTCGAGAACGAACGTGGGCTGAATCAAATCGCTTTCGCACGCGGCTTCAAACATTTCGTTCAGCACGTGACCGACGCTCGCCGCCAACTTGACACCTTTGATGCCTTCCCCAGCTTTCTTAGAGTGCGCCTTGAGCGCGGGAATTGCCGCTGCCTTGGCTCCTTCCAAGTCATCCCCGAACGCCATGACGTCTACGCCCGTGGCTTCCTTGACTAGATCGTTCATCGGCGCCCGGCGCCACGGGCGTTGGCTCAAATCAATCGTCACGTCGCCGTAAGGAATCGTCAGCGTCCCGCACGCCTTCATCGCGCATCGACAAATCATCTCTTCCGTGAGCTCCAACATGTCCGTGACGTCGGCGTACGCCTGATACACTTCTATGGACGTAAACTCCGGGTTGTGTCGCGTGCTCAAGCCTTCGTTGCGAAACACGCGTCCGAGCTCGTACACGCGTTCGAAACCGCCGACGACGAGTCGCTTGAGATGCAACTCGGTGGCGATACGAAGCGTGAGCTGCATGCCGAGCGCGTTGTGGAAGGTGTTGAAGGGCTTCGCGTCCGCGCCGCCCGCTTGCGTGTGCAGCACGGGCGTCTCCATCTCCAAAAACCCGTCGTCGTCGAGCATTCGACGAATGGTGGAGATGATGTTCGAGCGCGCCTTGAACGTGTTTCGCACCTCGGGCGACACGATCAAGTCCACGTATCGCTGCCGGTATCGCTTCTCCACGTCCTGCAATCCGTGCCACTTATCCGGCAACGGCAGCAGCGCCTTTGTCAACATTTGCACCTTGGCCGGCACGATGGACAGCTCCCCCTTATCGCTCCTTTTCACGCTCCCGTGCACGCCGATGATGTCCCCGACGTCCACGAGTTCCGTGATCATCTCAAACGCCCCCGGGCTCGTCTCATCCAACCGTTTCTTATCGCAAAACAACTGCACGCTTCCCCGTTCGTCCACCAGCGACAAAAACGCCAACTTCCCGAACGACCGCTTCGCCATCACCCTTCCGCACACCGCCTCGCTCGAGCCCTCGATCTCGACCCCGTTCTCCAATCCTTCGTGTTCCCTCTGCAGCGCATCGCAATATTTCGTGCGATCGAACCGGTAATCGAATCCCCGCTGTCCGAGCGCGCCGAGCGCGTCCAGCTTTTGCGCGCGCAGCGCCTTGACCTCCTCGGGCGAGCTCGTCACCCCGCTCGCGTCTCGTCCGCCGCCCTCGCCGCGCTTTCGATTCCCCGCGCCGCCGTCGCGCTTTTTATTCGTTCCCGCGTCGCTCGCGCGCGCGCGCGTCCTCGTCGTCGCGCCTCGTCGTCGCGTCGTCGCCGCCGTCGCCGTCGCGCGCGCGCTCTCGCGCTCGCTCGCGCGCGTCGACGCCCGCGGGCGCGCCGCGAGCGACGCGCGCGGCGTCGAGACCGTCCTTCGCGCGAACGCGCGCGCGAGCAGCATGCTCCGCGTCGCGCTCTGCGCGCGGCGCCGCGACGGATTCGCGCGCGCTCGACTCGAGGTTTTCGGTGCGACGAATCGTCACACCGCGACGCGCGCGCGTCGCGAAAGCGCGCGCGAATCCGTCGAAACGATGGCGCTCGTCACGCTGTCGGTGTACGACATCAAGCACGCGGAGAACGCGCGGATATCGAGCGCGGTGACGTCGCTGAACACGCTGACGAGAAACGCGCTCAACGTCGGTGGCATCTTCCACGGCGGCGTCGAGGTGTTCGGCGACGAGTGGAGCTTTGGGTACTGCCCGGAGGGCTCGGGCGTGTATCGATGCAACCCGCGGATGAATCCGATGTACGAATACCGCGAGTCGGTGCCGCTGGGGGTGACGTCGCTGTCGCCGGCGCGCGCGAGCGCGGCGGTGGCGGCGCTGCGCGCGCAATGGCGAGGGAGCGATTACGAGGTGCTGGAGAGGAATTGTAATCACTTTTGTGAGGCGCTGTGCGAGGCGCTCGGGTGCGAGGGACCGCCGGAGTGGCTGAACGCGTTCGCGAATAACGCGAACAAGGCGCGAGGGGCGTACCAGAGCGCGGTGAGCGGGGTGGAGAGCGCGTACGAGAGCGCGGTGAGCGGCGTCGCGGGCGCGTGGGCGTGGCTCGCGAGCGGCGGGGGGACGTCGGCGTCGAGTTACGCGAGCGCGTTGGAGAGCGAGGGCGAGCGCGAGGGCGGCGTGGTGGACGGGCCGCGCGCGGACGACGACGACGCGCGGCGCGGCGCGCGAGAGTAGCGCGTCGCGGTCGTCGTCGATGCGTTCGAGCGCGTTCGAGCGCGACGCGGATGAAACATCGCGGTGGATGTATTTCTTGGTCGTCTCTTTCGCTCGCGCGTCGTCGGCAGTAGTCAGGGTTGAAGCGCTGTTATAGATAGATTTGGTAGTTCGGCGTCCCGCACAACGCGCCTCGCGTCATGCTTTCGCGCGGTCTCGTCTCGACGTCTCGAGCGTCTGTCGCCCGCGCGCGCGCGCCTGCGAGACAACAGCGCGCGACGACGTCGCGCCGCGCGTCGATCGTCCGTCGAACCGCCGCGCGCGCGACGAACGACGACGATAAAGCGTCGTCTTCTCAAGATGTCCCGGACGACGAACCGACGCCCGCGGTCGGCGACACGGACGTCAACAGCGCGCTAGGCGACGTCATCAGCTCGCCGTTGTTTTACGTCACGTTCGGCGTCGCCGGCGGCGTCGGACTGGTGCGCGCGCTCGGGGAGAACGCGAGCTTTCTGCTGAGCGCGGCGCCGGTGGTCTTGCTCACGGTGATTTCGAAGACGTCGTTCGGCGAGTCGCTGATGAAGAATATCGACGACCAACGACCGGCGTTGGTGGCGGAGAAGGCGCGAAGGGAAAACGAACGCGCGCGAGCGCGGGAGAGAAGTTCGCTGTACGGCGCGCGGCGAGTGAAATTTTTGGGAGACGCGGAGTACGAGTATCCGGCGCACTTGGACGGCTCGCTGTGCGGCGACGCGGGATTCGATCCGCTCGGGCTCGGGAAAGATGATTTGCCGCGCATGCGCGAATTAGAACTCTTGCACGCGCGTTGGGCGATGTTGGGAATCGTTGGTGTGGCGGTGCCAGAGCTTTTAGAGCGCTACGGCGTGGCAGATTTGGGCGAGCCGGTGTGGTGGAAAGTCGGCGCGGCGAAGATGAATAGCGACGTCTCGCTCGATTACTTTGGCTTGCAAGGTTTTCATATCGCCGGCGGATCGGGGATAGCCATCATCGCGGCGTGCCAGGTTGTGTTGATGGGCGGTCCAGAGTACGCGCGGTACGTCGGGATCGACTCGCTCGAGCCGGTGGGCGTTTACCTCCCGGGCGACAAAGATTATCCTGGCGGCGCGCCGTTTGATCCGTTCAAGATTTCCGACGACGCCGACGAGTTCGAAAAACAAAAGGTCATGGAGATTAAGCACGGACGCTTAGCCATGATCGCCATGCTCGGAGTCGCCGCGCAAGCATTCGTCACGCGCGCGGGGCCGATCGAAAACTTAGCGAGTGTGTTTAGCGGTTGAAAATTGATTCTTGATTAAAAAGACGAGAACGCGCGTTTCGGTTACACGCTCTCGACACCGAACGGCTCGTTCGCATCCGGTGCGGGGGGCTCATCGAACGCCGGCACCTCGGGCATCGCTTCGGGCGCCGGTATTTCTTCATCGGGCTCGTCCGCCTTGACTTTGACGTCCTCGTAACCCAAGTCAATCTTGCTGAACATGCCTCCGAAAATCTTCGCGTCCTTCTTCGCCTGATGCGCCTCGAGCGCTTTCAAGCGCGTCAACATTCGCGTGGCCTCGGCGTGCGATTCATCTGCTTCCAATATTTTCTTCAACGAACGACGTGATTCGTCGTACTCTTGTAACTCCATCGCCGCTTGCGCGAAGCGATAGAGCGCTTTTTCGTTCGACCCTTCAATCGCGAGCGCCTTTTCGCTTGACTTGCGAGCGCTCATCCACGACTTGGTTTTGATGGCCACCGCCGCGGAGTTCAAATTCAAGCTGAGCTTGAGCTTCTTGCTCGCTTGCTTCTCCTCATCAGAGAACGACTCGTCCATTTCGACGAACTTCAACGCCGCGTCGTACTTCTTCGTAGCGCGCGCAAACTTACCACCCTTGTACGCGTCGTTCCCGCTCGTCTTGTATTTTTCCGCCGCCTCAATCTTTTCCGCGTTGTTCATCGACCATTGCTCCTTGGCGCGCTCGAGTTTGGTCATTTTGACCGTGTACTCGGTCCCATCCGCCAGCTTCACCAGCGCCTTTTCGTTCAGCTTCATCATCGCGATCGCGCTCTCGAGCTCATCCGGGACGTGCTCGTCGCCGACGACGATTTCGTGCGCCGGCTTGGTCTCCGTCGTCGCGCCGCCGACGCGCTTTTCGTACTCAATCTCGCACTTCGCCCCATCGTTCGGCGTCTCGTACCCTTCACCTTCCTCCAAAATCTTTTTCGTCGCCCCCTCGACGCCGTTCACGGCGACCACCGCGTGAATCGCGTCGAGCATCAACTCCACCACCGCGCCGTCCTTCGCCGTCGTCAACCCCTCGGCGTACGCTTCGCTCAGCGTCACCCGCGCCGTCTCCCCCCGCTTCATCTTCAGCAGCGCCGCGCGCACGCCCTCGCACGGCGCGTCTCCATTCGCCGCCAACGAAAACGTCCGCGTCGTCTTCGCCACGAGCGTCTCGTCTCCCGTCCTCGTCTTCGCCTCCATCGTCGCCGTCGCCTCGTCCTCCGCGCTCGGGCTCGCGTATCCCTCGCCCTCTCTCACCGTCTCCTTCATCACCCCCCCATCGCCGCACAGATCCCTGTGCGACTTGAACGACAGCAATTCCACGTCAAATATCAGCGTCGCGCCGCCGGGAATCTTCGGCGGCGCCCCTCGATCGCCGTACGCGTACTCCGGCGCGCACGTCAGCGTCGCCCGTTCGCCGACGCGCATCGTCGCCACGCCGACGTCCCACGCGTCGATCACCTCGTGTTTTCCCAGCGTGAACGTGAACGCCTCGTCGCGCTCGCGCGAGGAATCGAACGTCTCGCCCGTCGCGAGCGAGCCGACGTAGTGCACGGTGACGGCGTCGCCCTTTTCGGGCGCGCGCGCGTCGGGCGGCGCGGGCGTCGCGATGCGTTTCGTGACGCCGCCGTCGCCGACGGGCGAGACGTCGACGGCGTCGACGGCGTCGTCGGCGGTCGTCATGTCGCGCGGCGTCGCGCGTTCGATCGAGTCGCGGGCGCGGGCGGGCGCGATCGCGCGTCGCGGTGTGCGGGGACGCGCGTCGGTCGATGTGATTAATCTTCTAGAAACATCCGCCGCGTCGGCGCGGCGGATTAATTCGGGTCGTCGTCGTCGGCGGAGGGCGGTGATTCGGCGCGCGCGAGCTCGATGGCGTCCATGTCTTCGCTGACTCGGCGCAGGGCGGCGCGCATGCGCTCGGCGTAGGAGACGCCGGAATCGTCGTCGGCGGCGTCGTCGTCGGCGGCGTCGTCGGCGGCGAAATCGTTCACGGCGAGCAAGACCTCGTCCACGGCGGTGGATTCGTCGATGTCTTTCACGCGCTTGACCTTTCGAACGACGTCTTGGAATAAGACGTTGACGTCGCGCGATATCGATGGGTCGCGCCGCATGGCGTCGACGACGTCGCGACCCATGCGTCGCTTTTTCCTCGCCAACATGTTTTTAAACGCGGCGGCTTGCGCCCTGCGAACGGTGTCCGGATCGGGCGGGCCGGCGCCGCGCGCGGGCGCGGCGTCGCCGAGCGCGCGCTCGATGAAACGCGTCATCGTGTTCCGTTGATGGATGATGTACATGGCGTCCGCGACGTAGCCGCCGACGATCGGGGCGAACACGCCTCCGGTGACGACGAAGGCGAGCGATTGCGAGACGAAGAGCAATCGACTGCGGCTGCCGTCCAAAAAATCTTTCACGCTCTTTCCGCGCAGGATGTTTTCGAACGCGCGCGTCTCCGCGACGTTCGGCGCTTCGTTTGCGGACAGCGGCGACGACGACTCGTCGTCCGCGGCGGCGTCGGGCTTCTTCTCCCAAAACTTGAGCGACGGTTTCTTCGTCTTTTCGGCGCTCGCCTTGATGTCGTCCTCGCTCACCGGCACCAACTTTTGTTTGCCCGTCACCTTGTTCCGCTCCACTCTGAACGCCTGCACGCGCGTTTGTCTCTGCACGCGTCGCAAACGCGCCTCGAGGACGAGGTACACGCCGAACGCCGCCGCCGCCTTGGCCGGGGCGTCGACTTCGTACGGCTCGAACCCCGCCTCGACGGCGCGGTCGGCGAGCCACTTGGCGAGCAAACCCAAAACCACTCCGCGCTCGAGCATCTCGTCCGCGACTCGCGCGGTGAGCGCGACGGACGCGTCCATCCAAAACGGCATGCTTCTGCACGGATTATTCAGCGTCTCCTCTTCCTGATACCTCGACAGCGGCTCAAAGTACCGCTCGAGCGCCGACGCCTCGCGAACCTCCCCCGACGCCTCCTCGCGCGCCTCGTTCGTCGCCTCCGCGCGCGCGGTCCAATCGACCCCCATCACCAACGCGTCGTAAATCGCCGTCGGCGCCGCGAACGCCAATCCGATCGACGCCGCGCGCGCGAAATCCATCGCCTCGCCCCCCGTCCCGGCGCCGAAATCGCCAAACGCGCTCGCGCCCGCGGCGTACGCCAAGCACACCGCCAGCGTCCCTTTCACCCCTCCCACGGCCACCAACAGCGACAGATACTCTCGCATCATCGCCTTCTCCGGCGTTTCCGACGACGACGCGTCCGCGCCGTCGGCATCCGATTCGCGCGGCGTCTCGCCGCGTCCCGACGCCGCCGTCGAATCCCCGCGCGCGCGCGTCGTCGACCTTCGCGCCGCCGACGCCCGGTCCATCGCCTCGGTCGCGCCCGCGCTCGACGCGCGCGCGTCCTCGTCGCCCTCCGTCGCGTCGTCGTCGTCCAGCGACTCGCCGAGGACGCTGCGCAGCGCGTCGAACGTCCCGCTCGGCGACGCCGACGCGAGCGACTCGTCCTCGTCGTCCTCGCGCGTCGCGCGCGCGCGCCGGTTCGCGACGCCGCGCGCGCGGCGCGCTCGACGCCGGCGCGCGCTCGGGCGTCGCGCGAGCGCGCGCGCGGGCGCGCGCGTCGCGCGCGGCGCCATGATGTGACACCGCGACGCGGCAGCATGGCGCCGACGCCGCGCGCGGGCGAGCGCGACGGCGCCGACGCGGCGCGCGACGACACCGCGCGCGCGCCGGCGCGCGAGAGGGAGACGGCGAAGCCGGCGCCGCGCGAGGAGGGCGCGAACGATGGCGTCGGTGCGATGCGCGAATTCAACGACGACGACGAGGACGCGACGACGACGGCGACGGCGGCGACGCGCGACGCGATCGAGCGCGAAACGACGGCGTCGACGACGCCGGTGACGCCGGAGACGCGCCTGCTGGGCGAACGCCTGGACGCGCTGGACGAAGAGGCGGAGCTGACGGTGGAGTCGTTTCTGAGGGCGAAGTTCGACGCGGCGACGACGACGACGACGGATTTCGAGAGCGCGTCCGGACGGTCGGAGAGCGATGCGGGCGGAAGAGGCGAACGCGTGGACGACGCGGAGACGCTGTACGCGCGAGATACGGATTTGGAGGAGGCGGAGGAGGTGGACCCGCGCGTGGGCGACGCGCTGGACGAGTTGAACGATTCCATGACGGAGTGCAACGGGTTGGAAAACGCGCTGCAAGAGGCGAGGAAGGCGCGCTCGAGGACGCAAACGGTGGCGAGAAAGAGACTGGATTCGGTGGCGGCGAGGTTGTCGTCGAGCGTCATGACGGCGGTGCCTGTGTTTCACAAGCGAGCGTTGGCGCAGCTGTATCAGGTGCGAAGCATCGAGGCGCTGCGGGCGTACGAGAGCGCGCACGACGCGCACGAACGCGCGAAGAAGCGGAACGATGAGCTCGAGCGCGAGCTCGTGGCGAGTAGCGGTAAAGTAGACATCGAGCTCATGGAGGTGTGCGCGGAGGCCATGCGCGAGGTTTCTGAGACGACGGCGGTGAAGCTCCGAGCGACCGAGGTGCACGAGCGCAACACGCGACGCGCCGTCGAGGCCACCGCCGAAGCGGCCGGTCTCGAGCGCGAGCGCACGAGCGCGGTGAAAAAGGCTCTCCCGTGGTTCAACGCTAAAGCTTTGGGCGAGGCGGAGTGCGCGCAGGCGGACGAACGCGTGAGCGAATTAAAACTCGCCGTTCGCCAAGCCAAGGCGAGATACGAAGCCGCGCTCCGCGCGTTGAACGAAATCAGCGAGGAAGTGCACGCCCGTCGCGAGGCGCGCAAGCTCGCGCGCGAGGCTTCAGCTCTAGATATCAGCGCCGTTCCCGAGATCGAACGGGAGGAAGGCGTGTAAATTATTGTAGATAATCGTAGTTGCGAGTTGCGCGCCGAAAACCGTCGCGGAAAACCTGCTCGAGGTCAATGCGGCGATTTCCCGCACACGTCGTCGGCGCACGCGCGCGCGCGTCCGACACCGCTCGGACGCACGCCGGGCGTTCGAGCAAACATGCTCGCGCTTCCGCGCGCGAGCGTCATCGACGCGCGCGTCGCGCGGCGCGCGAACGCGCGGCGCGCGAACGCGCGGCGCAAACTTTCGGCGGCCCGCGGAGGAAACGCTGGGCCGTTATCCGCGTCCCGCGACGCGCGCTCGACGCGCGCTCGAGGCGACGCGCGATGCGGCGACGCGCGCGCGAGCTTCTCGACGGCGTCGACGCCCGAAGCGGCGATGCGCGGCGCGATGACGCGAGTGAGAGGCGATTTCGTCCTCGCGCGGGCGGAGAGCCGAGGCGTCCGCGGCGCGCCCGGCGGGTCGACGCACCAATCCGAGCGCTCGGCGCAAGGAAAAACGCAGAAAGAGACGAGAGTTGCCGTGAGGGTGGCCGCGCTCGTGTTTGGCGCGGTCGTGACGTCGGTGGCGTTCGCGGCTCGAGCGAGCGGAGCGTTGGCCAAGGTTGGCGCGCAGGTGGCGGCGGCGAACAAACAAGTCGGATCCATGGTGCTCACCGCGGGCGTGCTTTTGGTCATGTCGGCGTTTTTTTCGTTAGCGGAAACGTCCATCACGACGTTGTACCCTTGGAAAGTGCGAGAGTTGGCGGATCAGGAAGGTTCGACGGGCGGGGTGTTTCAGATTATGCGCAAGGACGTGACGAGATTTCTCACGACGATTTTGATAGGGACGACATTTTCTGGGATCATGGCCACCGCGCTCATTACGGAGGCTGCATTGATACTATATGGCGATGGTGCGACGACCGCGGTGACGGTGGCGCTGACGATCGTGATGCTGGTGTTTACAGAAATCGCTCCGAAGAGCGTGGCGGTGCAGCACGCCACGGTGATTGCACGCGTCATCGCGAAACCCATTTACTTGCTCTCCTTCGTCGTCTACCCGCTCGGTCGAACGTGTCAAATCGTTGTGAACGCCATGTTTGCCCTTTTCGGTCTCAAAACTTCCGCTGAGCCGTTTGTGAGTGAAGAAGAGTTGAAACTCGTCCTCGCCGGGGCGACGAAGAGCGGCGAAGTGGAGAGCGCGGAGAAGGATATGATTCAAAATGTGTTGGATCTCGAAGAGACGGTCGTGAGAGATGTGATGACACCGCTCGTGCAAGTGCACGGCGTGCGAAGCGATGCCACATTGGCTGAATTTCGTACGGAATGGATCGAGCACAAGTACTCTCGCGTGCCGGCGTGGGAGGATCGCGTGGACAACATCGTGGGCATTGTTCGAGCGAATCAAATCATGCAGCTCGGAATAGAAAGAGATCTTCGCCCGGAGCAAAGTAAGGAACTCGAAGACGTCCTCGTCCAGGATGTCATGCTTCGTGACACTTATTTTGTTCCCGAAAGCATGTCCGTGAGTAAACTCCTTCGCGAGCTCATGCAGCGCAAGTCTCACATGTGCGTCGTGGTGAATGAATTTGGCGGCACTGTAGGTATCGCCACACTTGAGGATTGCGTGGAGGAGATCGTCGGTGAAATCTATGACGAAGAGGATAGTCAAAAGGCAAACGCGGATGAGGATGAGCAAGATGCGACGCCGTTCATTCGCGAGGTGGGACAGGGGGCGTATCTCGTAGACACTCGCGCGGCGCTATGGAAATTGGCGGATGAGTTGTCGCTGGACATTCCCGAGTCGCCTCTGTACGAAACTGTGGGTGGTTTCGTGTGTGATTTATTCGGATCTATTCCCGACGTCGGGGCGTCGATCACGACAACGTTTGAGCACGTCGAGGACGAGGACGCTAGTTCGGATGACGAGAGCGACGGCGAGACTGATGGGCTCGAATTCGACGGCATCACGCAGCGAGAAGTCGTGGTGACGGTCACGGACGCGGATACGAGACGAGTTAATGAAATTCGTGTGCAAATAAAACGCTCTGGAAATTCTATACCCCCGGAAGATTCGGACGACGAAGAGTCGGGATGGGGCGATAGAAAACCAAAGTTCGCATCCCAGGCTGCGTAAGCTCGACGAGCGTTCGCATTGTATAAGCGCTTTGTTGTAAAACCAAACAGGCGGCAGTAAAATCATCAATCCAAGTCGTTCAACCACGTGACGACGTCGTAAAAAAGCGCTTCCGATGTCTCACGCTCGATGAAATGATCGACTCCGTTCAACTTCCATTGCTCGACATCGACGTTGTTCTCGCATCGGTCGTACTTCGCCTTGGCGACGCGCACTTCGACGCTGTTGCCATCCGCGGGCAGGGTGTCCATGCTCTTGGCGACGACGTTCGAGCAATCCATGGCCTTACCCAGCGTGCTGAACGAATCGTCCGCCGATGGAAACGGTATGCCTCGAGCGTTCACACCTCCATCGATAGGTACAGTGTGATCGTCGGTGCCGTGCACGAGGAGCACGTTTGTTTCGCCGCTCTTTGGACGACATCTGGACGCATCAGAAAACGTACCACCCGCGAGAGACACGACGCCGCGGAAGAGTTCGGGCTTTTCGCACGCCAAGCGGCTCGCCATGAAACCTCCAGTAGCGATTCCAACGACGTAAATGCGCTTTTCATCGACGTTGAATTCCTTCTTCGCGGCGGCGACGACTTCTAGAATGTACTTTACGTCGAGGTCGTCCGTCGCCGAGATCTCTGGCAGCGCTACGGCGTCACTTCCATCCCACGCGCGGCACTCAAACTCTGGACTGTCTCGTGCGAGGATTCCCGTGATCCACGATCCGAACAGTCTGTCTTGCGAATTCGGTGAACTTTCCTGAAGGTTACACAGTACACACTCGCGCGTCGTGCGGGGAGCTCGCGGCGCCAAGTAAATCCAATTACGGTCGAGCGCGGCTTCTCGTAGCCCGCTTTGGACGAGCGTTTGCTGCCGGCGACGGGCGATACCCAATCGGTTACGCACGGCTGGCACGTTTCGCATGGACTCGAGCTTGAGCGTTTGCTGCGCGTCGTCGGACAAGCAATATCCGTGAAGGAAGACCAGCAAAGGCCTTGCTTCTGAGCCATCGTACCTCGAAGACGTCAACGCACGCACGTCCACGGTGGTGCTCAGTTGAGCCTTGAAGTCGGCGTCTCCCGCACGGCAGCTCGCGCACAGAGTGAGCAGTAAAGTGAGAATGAGAAACATTTGGAGGAGCGAACGTCGAAGAATGAAGTCCATCACTATCACGAGCCGTCTCTTTCGTCGTCTCGAACAACCTCGTCCTCACGAACGCACTTGTTCTTTGGTAGTATTCCAACCCGCTAAAATCCCGCTAATTATTCGTGCATGTAATGACGCTCACTAAAATCAATTCGAAGACGCGCACGGCGACTCGTCGCTCTCCAACGCGTTCCCGCACTCGGCGTCGCGCAGAGTCTCGCTCACCCCGCATTGACGAAAGCAAGGCGACGCAAACGCCGGATCAGCCTCCACCGAAGGCGGTGTCGCGCCGTACGTAAACTGGCATTCAAATGTCTCGTAATTTGGTGTCAACGTCACCGGCAAGCCAATCTCTTCCGTAAAAAACTTTTGCGTCGGATGCTTGCAAACGTTCGCGCAAACCGCGGCGCACCCGGTTTCCTCGAGAACGCGACATCGTTTCAACAAAACGCCCTGCTTATACCCCGCCCGCACTTTCGGCGCACCGATCATCGCCGCGAAAACACTCGTCGACACGTCATCGCTCACGTCTAGCGCGACATCCTCCGGCGCGTCGTTCACCTCCGCCTCGCCGACGAGCCACGGCAACAACATCGGAGTCACCGCCGCGGCGTGCCGAGCCGCGAACCATTTCGGGAACAACCGCAGAAATCCCCCGAACGCACCCGCAAAGCCGGGCGGCGCGCAATTTCGTATGATCATCAACCCCTTCGCTCGCGTCTCGCGCGCGCCCGAGCTCTCGCGCACTAATCGCAGGCACGCGTCCCGCACGTCCGCGAAGTCGTCGCCGTCGTCGCCGCGTGCTTTTCGTCCCGGCGTCAACTCGCGCTCCATGACCGACGCGAACGCCCTGAGAAACGCCCTGTCGACGAACGAAGTCTTGTAGTCGGGTTTCGGCGTGCTCGGACCGGCGCGTTCGCGTCGAAGGTCTCTGGGCGTCGTCTCCGGGCCTCGGTCGGTAGATGACGCAGCCGGTGACGTCCGCGACGTTCGGCGACTATTTTCGGCGCGCGCGCGCGGGCTCGCGCGCGTGCGGCGACGCGAACGCGCGCATGCGTGACCGCCCGGCGCGGACGAGGACGCGGCGCGCGAGGACGCCGCGCGCATGGTGACGGTCGCGCGCGGGAATGTGAGGCGCCGTCCGCCCGTCTACAACGCTAAAGAGCCTAAAGAGCTATGTGTCTACTTACGGTCGTACGCAGTGCGCTCGAACTTGTTGCCGAGGACGGCGTACGCTTTTTGAGCGAGTTGAAACCGCTCGGCGGCGCGCTTCTTGGCCGAGGCGTCGCCGGCGACCTTGTCGGGATGCGTCTCGAGCGCGACGAGCCGAAACGCGGCTTTAATTTCTTCCTCCGTCGCGTGCCCGAGCTTGGCGTCGAGGCGAAGGGTCTTGTAGAAGCCGTGGATGTCGCGAGAGAAACCGGGATGGCGTCCGCTGGGGGCGCCGTGCGCGTCGTCGCCGCGCGAACGCTTCCAGTTGGCGCCGTACTTGCGCTCCATCTCCGCCTCGCGTCTCGCGGCTTCGTCCGCGAGGTGCGCGCGCTCTTCCATCTCGTGTCGCATCTCTTGACGCTCGCGGAATCGGAATATTTGTGTCTCTAGAATGCTGTACGCCCACGCGCGACGTTTATCCGGATCCCAGCGCATCTTGTCCGTCTCTCGCCATCGTCGCCATTCGGCGTCGTCGCGTCGTCGCTGGACGCTCTCGTCCATCCACTCGCTGTTCCCTACTGATCGCATCGCACGCGCAAACGCGCGTTCCTCGTCGTGCACGCGCACGGCGTCAATTTTATCTTGACGCATCTTCGGCACCTGACGCGCGAGCACCGCCGCGCCCGCCGCCGCGACGGCGGACGCCAACGCGCCTTGGCCGAGAAAAAAATACGCGCTCTCGGGCCACACGTACGCGGCGATACTGGCGGGAATCGCGACCGCGCTGAACGCGAGGGCGCGCGCCTTGTGGTCACAAATCAAATCATCGCTCACGACGAGGCCCGTGACGCCGCACACGACGGCTTCGCGCGGCTGTTGAATAATCTTGTTTGCGTTTTCGTCGACGACGTACCCGTGCTCGAAGGACACGTACCACACCGGATGATAGACCGCGTACACGTCTCTCGACAGCGTCGTGAACTCGACGCATATGTCTCGCGTCGACGTCGCGCCCTTGTGTTTCTTCATCAGCTCCTCCGAGGCCTCCGCGCGCGCCACATCTCGCATGCGCGCCGCGGCGAGCGACAACGCCATGCTTCGCCTCATCTCAAACGGCTCGACCACCGTCCCTTCCGGCGCCTTCGCGCGCGCGCGCGCCCAATCCATCGCGTCGAAATCGTTCGGATCAAAGCTCACGCACGCCCCGGGCAGCAAACGATCCACGAAATCCCTCCTGTGCGCGAAACTCGCGCATATTTGACTCGCCCTCGTCGTCGCGTCGAACCGCGTCGTCTTCGCCGCCGTCCCGCTTCGCACCCAACTCCCCCCCACCTCCACCGATCCCGCGCACGACGTCTCCGCCGTGACGTCGAACACCCAATACGGCGCGTACGCCGCCCGAAACGTCGGTTCGCGCGCGCCGTCCCGGCCGCGAACGCGCCGCGGCCGCGCGCCTCGACTTCGCAACCACCGCCGCAGGGCGTCCCGCGCGTCGCGCTCGTCGCGCTCGAACGCGCGCCCTCGCGCGCCGCGCGGTCCCGACGCGCGTCCCGCGCGCGCGTCGCGCGTCGCCGCCGTCGTCGAGTCGCGCGAGTCGTCGCGCGTCGCGCGGCCGCGCCGCGCGTCGAATCCCCATCGCGTCGCCGTCGTCGCGCGTTCGCGCGCGAGCGCGCGCGTCGCGGCGGCGGCGACGCGACGCGCGCGCGCCCGCATCGCGCGCCGTCGCCTGGCGCCGTCGCCGCGCCGCGCCGGCCGTCGCGCCGCGCGCGCGTCGCGCGCGGGCGTCGCGCGCGTCGGCACCGCCAACCCTCGCGTCACTACATACCGCGAAACACACGCTAAACACGCGCGCGCGACGCGCATAAATCCAGTCCGACCGCGGTGATTCGTGACGCTCGACAACACCCTCGCGATTCCGCGACGCGACGCGGTTCGCCGAGATGGCGCGACGACGCGGACCGCGACGCCGCGGGGACGGCGACGACGACGAGTCGACCCCGCTCGTCGCTCGCGGGCGCGGGTCGACGACGCCGGCGACGGTGACGCGGGTGACGCTTTTAGTGTTGGTCGCGATGGGCGTCGTCGGCGCGTCGACCGCGCCGCGTCGACGATTCTCGGCGCGAGTCGGCGTTTTCAAGAAGGGATTGAAAACGGTGACGAGCGCGGCGAGCGGGGTGGCGAGCGCGTGGTCGAAGACGGGCGACGCCGCGTGGACCAGGGCGGAAAATCTCTCTAAAAACGCGCGTAAAAAGGTTGGCGCCGAGTTGACGGCGGCCATGCAATCCGGGCACCAAGAGATTTTTAAGCAATACGACGAGGCGTCGGGGTGGTCCCAGCAAGCGGCGAATCAAGTTGCGGGAGAGGCGACAGAACTCGGGGACGACGTCGAGAAGACGGCGAAGATGATTGCCGAGTTCCTCGACGGTTATAAATGCGACATCGGCGTCAAAGACTTGAAGAAGACCGTTGACGATATTAAAAACGCGGTCGGCTCAAACTCTTTGAAATCCATGTACGACAAGGTGACGGGATCTCCGAATAGGTATTTCAAGAACATGGACGACTTGGCTTGCCAGATGATGTGGGATACGTCTGGATTCGCGCAAGCTGCATCCGTGATGGAGGCTTTCATCGAGTTGGCCAAGGATAAGTGTCCGCTCGTCGTCAAGGGTTCGAGTAAGCCCGCTTTCACCTATGGTTTCTCCGTCTCGGGTGACATTGTCGGCGTCGTACTCAGCGCCGGTCGCTCTGGCGAAGTCGGTCTCGGCATCGACTTGTCTGGCCAAAAGTTTTGCTACGCTGGCCATTGCGTCTACTCGGGCTTCACCTTGGATGTACCTCAAGTGGGTGTGGACTTCAACGTCGTTGTCTCCGGTTGGAAGTCGATGTCAGACGTGTCTGGTCGGTCGAACATGATGGCTTTCGGCTTGAGTGGCGAGTTACCAGACTCCGCCATCCCAGATTTTGACGTTGATCTCACGCTCGTCACCGGCGGCGCCAAGATGAGCAACATATTGGGCGTCTCCAAGGCGTTAGGCGTCGGTCAAGACGCGTCTGAGCTGCCGGTGACGGGCAGCTTCGCCAAGGGTACGTGTATAACTCCTTGGTGCGTCACGTATGAAGGAGGTTCGTGCGCCGGTGATCCGGGAGAAGGGCGCGATTTCAAGTGCTATATCTCCAGACATTCGTCGTTCCGGCTTCCTGCTCCCTTTGCGGGTCAAACCGTTCAAGACCGATGGGATTACTACAATCGCAAATCGGAATCGGGCAAAAAGATGCGCAAAGAAATCGAATCGAATAATGACAAGTATCCGATTTACGAAGGGTGCGAGTTCGGCGACGCCGAGATGGAGTGTTACTACGACAAGTTCTACGCCAAGGCTCATCCAAAGGATTACGACGACATCGAGAAAAAAGTGAACAAAGAATCTTGCAACGGCTTCTCCTCTGACTCTGAATGCTCCAAGAATCGCCGCGAGAGGATCATCGAGAAGAAGGTGAGCCGCGCCAAGGCTGATTTCTTCAAAGATAAGGGTGGCTGGAAAAACGAACCGACTTCTTACGCGAAGTGCGGCATTTAAGACGCGCGTTCCACCGCGGGCGCGCGCGCCGCACGATTTTGCCGACGACGCTGTAAATAATATTGAAATCATCGCTCGCGTCCGCGCCCCCGTCGTCGTCGTCGTCGCCTTTCCCCGCGTCCGTCCGCGTCCATCCTTCGTCGCGGCGCGCCTGCATTCACAATAAATTCGTCATGATGCCGTTACGCACAGTCAGAATACGCCATTTGACGCGTATAACGCGCATGTCCGCACATGGCGCAAACGCCGAGGCGATTAGGGCACGCGCGATCGACGCGAATTATGCGCACCGCACATTCCCGCGCCGCGCGCGACGAACGCGCGGATTCGCGCGACGACGCCGTCGACGCGCGCGTTCGTGGGAGACGCCTCGCGGCCGGGCACCGTTCGAAACGATCGCGAACGCGCGACGCGAAAAACGGACGTCGATCGCGTTCGCGACGGCGGAATCATAAGAGTCGTTTGTTTGAATTTCGGATTCGAATCCGAGCGACGCGAGCGCGCGCTCTCGGCGAGCGGGAGCGGCGGGCGAGCGAGAGCGAATGGCGAGGAGTGCGTGGACGCGGCGAGGCGATGCGAGGCGCGCGAGAGCGAGGACGAGGGCGCGGGGGGGGAAGGACGGGGCGCGCGCGACGACGCGCGTCGCGCGCGACGCGCGCGAAGAAAGACGACGACGACGCGACGACGACGACGCGACGACGACGACGATCGCGGGACTGACGAGGGCGTTGATGTGCGCGCGCGCGCAGGCGTCGGGAGCGGCGCGATGCCGGCTTCGGCGGAAGATTCCATCGGGTGGTACCTGAGCTTGTACTGGCCGGCGATGAATAAGGAGTTCAAGGGCGTGGTGCAAAAGTACGATCACGATTCCAAGCATCACACGGTGAAGTGGGATAACGCGCCGAAAGGGAGCGATGGCGTGACCGAGGTTGATTTGACCGAGGGCGAGTTGACGTGGTTGAAGGCGCCGGAGAAGCCCGTGAAGAAGGCCGCGAAGGGCAAGCCGGCGGCGGCGAAAGCGAAACCCAAAGCGTACAAGGAGTACGATGCCTTGGAGACCATGGATGATTTGGAAGCGCGATTCACGGGCAAAACGACCAAGGCGGTGGCGTTTCAAGTGTTGAAGAACAGCGGCGTAAACGGGATGACGCTTCAAGAAATAGTCGACGAGTCGCAAAAGCTTGGGCTTCGGGACTGGACGCAGTGCAAACAGCCAAAGACGACCATCAACGTGTGCGTGAGTCAAGATTCGGCGTTTGTGAAGATTTCTCCCGGACGCGTGGGTTTGCGCATCAACGGCGCGCAAACGAGAGACGCTTCGCAAGAACCCAAGCACGTGAAGGCGTCGGGCGCTTCGAAAAAGCGTGGGCGTCCGCCGAAGACGGGCGAGGCCAAGCCGAAAAAAGTGCAACGTCAAGAACCGCAACACTGGGAGCGCAAGCCTCCGATTGATTTGTCGATTGAGGTGTACACGAGCAACAACACGCACGTGACCAACGCGCCAATCTCAGTTGCGTACAACGTTACCATTAAGGCTTTGAAAAAGGCCATCTCGAATAACACCAAGGGCATGCTCAAGCCGCACTATCAGCAACTTTACCACGATAACCGAAACATCGGTATGGATGAGGATGCGTTTTTGGTGCACGCGGTTCGCCCGCACAAATTTGAGCGCACGCTCGATTTGAAGCTCGTCATCAGCGATCAGTAGACACTACAACAGTGACAGCGGTAACAGGCACATCATAGCCCGCGCGACAACACCAGGCGGAAATCTAATCATCGATCATGTGTCGCGCGCGTTGTAAATCGAATATTCCATAAACGACTTCGTCTCGAGTTGAATTACAACGTCTACGCCGCGACAGCCATCATGCCGCGCAAAACGAGCTCGCGAAGCGCCCAAGTGGGCTTGGTGTACTTTCGCCCGTCTTTGGTGGTATACTCCTTATCCACCAACTGCATGGCCCAAAGGTAGTGGACGGATTGAATGTCGTCCTCGGCGCCCTCGACGACGGCGCCGGATTTGTCGCGAACGCAGTTGATTTGTTGGCAACTAAAAGTCAGCACGACGAGGGGCTCGTTTTCCATCAAACGAACTTCCATGAGCTCGACTTCACTTAAATCTAAGATCCTCGGATCCACGTGCTGTCCTTCGTGCTTCCAAAGGTTCATCTGCCCGGATAACCGCTCGAGCATTTCGCTCGAAATATTCGTTTGCTTCAACGCCTCGACGTCGCCCTTGAGGTAGGCGCCGAGAACTTTGGGAATATCTCTGCGCACTTCGGCGATAAAATCGTTAATGTTAAACATCGGATCTCGCTGACGAATCATGCGATACGCCTCGCCTTGCTCGGTCTCGCTGAACAGGTTATCCTGAAAGTCTTGAATGCGGTGCACCACGGGCGAGTCGCTCGTCTCCCATCGTTCGCGCATATCCTCCGCCAGCTCCGCCCCCTTGGCGTACGGCGCGGTCTTCTTCAACCCCTCGAGCTTATCGAACGCGCTCGCGATCCCGAGCTTGGACTTCACCCCTCCCCACAACTTTCCGAACGCGCTCGGTTTCGGCGCCGCCGTCGTCGCCACCGCCGTCGTCCCGTCGTACGGTTCAAACATCGCCTCATCGTACCCCGCCGCCTTCCTTCGCTCCGCCGCCGCGTCCCCCGGATCCATCATCGCCAACCGATACTCCTCCTTCACCGCATCGATCGCCATCGCCGCGAATCCGCTCGGCGTCGTCCACGACTTTTTCCCCCCCGCCCTCGCGTCGCCCGTCGCCGCCGCCGCCGCCCGTCGTCCCGCCTTCCGCGCCGCCTCGCCCGCCTCCCTCGCCGCGTCGTCCACCGCGTCGACGTCGATGCCCGACGCTCTCGCGCGCGCCCGCATCTCCGCCGCCGCCTCCGCCGCGTACGTCGTCGCCCGCGCGCGTAAATCATCGAATCCCCGCGCGTCCGATCGCGTCGACGTCTTCCCCGTCGCCTCGCTCGCCGCGTCGCGCGGCGCGCGCGAGCGGCGCGTCGCGTCGCCGTCGTCGCGCGTCGCGTCGCGCGCGCGCGCGTCGTCGCGCTTGAGCGCGCGCGCGGACGCGCGAAGCGACGACATCGCGCGCGCGCGCGTCGCGTCGGCGCGCGTCGTCGCGCTCGAACGCGGCGCGACGCGCGCGAGCGCGCTCGAGCGCGACGCGACGCGCGCGAGCGACGCGTCGCCGAGCGCGCGCGCGCTCAGGCGCGCGAGCGCGCGTCGCGCGCGCGTCGCCATGGCGGCTCGAAGTGACGCGGCGACGCGGCGCGCACTTCGATGCGCGCGCGCGCCGTCGCGCGATGCGCGCGGCGCGTCGTCGGCGCGGACGCGCGACCGGACGCGCGACCGCGACCGCGCGCGGCGTCGCGTCCGCGCGCTCAAGCGCGACGACGACGCGACGAGGACGCGCATCGCGCGACGGCGCGCGGCGGCGACGCGCGCGCGCTCGGCGCGCTCATGCGCTGGCTGCGCGCGCGCGGCGTCGAAGCGTCGCGCAAGACGCAGTTCGCGCGCGGACGCATGGGCGTCGGCGGCGTCGCGATCGAGGACATGGCGCAGGGGGAGGTGATTTTCTCGCTGCGAATGCGAGACGACGACGACGCGCCGATCGCGCTGACGACGACGGAGGTCGAGAACGAGCGCGGACCGCTGCGAACGCTGGCGAAGATGGTGAACGCGACGAGGCTGACGAGTAGGTACGCTGGGGTGATCGAGGACGAGTGGGGATTTCCGTTGGATTCGACGCGCGCGGCGACGCTGGCGCTGGCGCTGGCGCGGGAAGTCGAGCTGGGGGACGACGCGTACTGGCGCGCGTACGTCGATTTGTTGCCTCGAGAGGTGGATAGCTTGCAGATGTGGGACGATGACGAGCTCGAGGCGCTGCAGGGGTCGAGATTGATCGAAAGGGCGCGGCGAAGACGCGCGCTGGTGCGACGGGAATACGAAGCGACGCGCGAGGCGTTGGGGGCGACGGCGCCGTCGTACGAGTCGTTTCGATGGGCGTACGCCACCGTGCTCGCGCGCGCGTTCGTGCTTCCAGATTTGAACTGCATGGCGCTGTTGCCGGGATTAGATTTGTACAATTCCGCGCGCGACGCGGAAAAGTGTACGGTGGAGCGACTCGGGCACGTCGAAGACGACGACGACGAAGACGACGACGAGGACGTCGCGTTCGCGAACGAGGGCGAAGCGCAAGTCACGCTTCGCGTCGGTATCGGTGGCGCGGCGGCGGGAACGCAGCTGTTTCACGATTACGCCGACCACACCTCGGGCGGGGCGTTGCTCGAATTCGGTTTCGTGTACCACGGCGAACGCGAGCGAGGCTCGGGCGTGGACGCCGTCGAGACGAGTCTTGTGCGCGCGTACGACGCACTCGACGCGCGTTCGCGCGCGTTTCTCGCCGAACGCGTGTTCGGTGCGTTCAACGTGCGCACCAGCCTGACGTTTGAGCTCTCGAACGTGGGTGGCGTGTACAAACCCGCCCTTCGCGGCGCCGCGTGCGTTCCGCTCGAAATGTGGCGCGCCGCGAGGGCGTTGGCGCTCTCGCCCGAGCGCGCGCTCCCGGCGTCGTTAGACGACGTCTTGGACGAAGACACCGAAATTCGAGCGCGTCGCATCATCCTCGACGCTCTCAAAGCCGAGCGCGCGCGCTACGCCGCGACGTCGATCGAGGAAGACGTCCGCGCGCTTCGCCTCGCGCTCGACGCCGGCGCCGCCGCGCGTCGAACCGCCGCCGCGCTCGACGTGCGCGTCGGCGAGAAATCCCTCCTCGACGACGTCATCACCGATTTAGAAACGAACGCGCGACGCGCACGGCGCGGATAGCTCTCGACGTGGTAAACTAGTAAACATATTTATTCGTACATCGCTCGACGGCGTCGTCACGCGCGCGCGTCGTCGTCGTCGTCGTCCTTCGCCTCCCCCCTCCCCTCCTCCGGCTCGTACTCCACGCGCAGCAGCGCCTCCAGGCTCTCTCGCTTATACATCAGCGCGTCCCGTTCCTTATCGATGTCCCACGCCTCGCTCGGGTCGTCCGTCCGTCGCCATCGCTTATTCTCCTCGACCCGTCGTCGCTCATCCTCATCCCAGATCTCATCGTCGTCTTTCTTCGACCACGCGCGCGCGATCGTCGACGTCCCGGTCCCGCGCGCGCGCGCGATCCATCGCGGCGCGCGCGCGACGACGCGGCACCGCGGCTTCGTCGTCGTCGGCGGCATCGACGAGTGCGGCGGCGTCGACGCGCGCGCGGATCGCGCGGCGCGCGTCGAAAATCGGTCGCGTACTGTTTGCCCACACGCGACGTTTTCGCGCCAAATTCATTGACATGTCGCCTCGCACATCGGTCGCGGACTGTTTGCCCATACGCGACGTTTTCGCGCCAAATTCATTGACAAATGTCGCCTCGACGACGCGGACGCGCGACGACGACGCCGGCGCCGACGCGAGAGCGCGTCGCGACGACGGACGCGACGGCGCGACGGGAGGCGGCGATGACGGCGCGCGCGACGCGCGAGCGCGACGACGGCGCGCGGGCGACGACGGACGAGGGCGGCGCGCGGGCGACGACGGACGAGGATCGCGCGCGGCTGACAAAGTATTGGTTGCGACGACGGTGCTCGACGGGATCGCACGCGAGCGAGGCGACGGAGGTGGGGATGCTGACGGGAGGGGAGAGCAGCAACGAGAGCCATCAGGCGACGGGACGGCGAGCGCGACGGGGGGGGTCGGCGTCGGCGTCGACGCCGCCGGGCGCGGGGCGACGCGCGGAGAGAGGAGGGATCGATACGCCGGGACACTTCGCGTTCGCGACGCCGATGAGCGCGAGGGTGCGCGAGGAGGGGATGACGACGCCGAGAACGCCGACGCTGGCGAACGATAGTCCGGATCGAGCGCGGTTGGATGAGCTCTTGGCGGCGCCCGTGAAGCCGAATTTCGGTACGCGGGCGGCGATCGAGTGCACGCCGCGACACACGCCGTTGAAGCTGCGATTTGATGATAACGTGGACGTCGTCGTGAGTGGAACGCACGCGACGAGTAAGAAGCGCGCGCGTGGGAAGTTGAGCGATGTGTTCAAGGCGACCAAGTCGACGACGCCGAGGCTCACGCGCGCGCGAAAGGCGATGTTGTGAGCGACGCGGCGGTTCGGCGCGCAGTAATAATTAATCACGAATGTAAAACAACGACGAGAGTACTTATTTGATTACAGGTCGTCGCGACGACGGACGTCGAAACGTCCGTCGTCTCGGGCAAAACACTCCAATGACACGAACAAAGCGACAAAACTGTATATATTTACTCGGAACCCGGCACGAGGTGCGGCTCGAGCGCGGCGCGAGCGAACTCGGGCAGCACGAACGCCGCGGCGTGCACTTGCGGGTTATAATAGCGCATCGGTTTCAGCGCGCTTTCATCGGCGGGTCGCGGAAATCGCTTGGCCTTGGTGAAATCCACCGTCGACCCGTCCGCCGCGGGTTTGCTGCACATCATGAAACCGATTTGTCCGCTCGGGTAAGTCGGTATCGTGGTGTACCCGTACGCCATGGACCCACCGACGAAAATACCCTTGCACATCTTCGCCAAGTCCTCGATCAAATCGATGTGCAACCACACGCACTCGGCTTGCGTGCACACGACGCCGCCGGGCTTGAGCGCGCGGTGCATCTTTTTAAAGAACGCCTCCTCGAACAAAACGCTCGCCGGTCCGATCGGATCGCTCGAGTCGACGATGATGGCGTCGTACGTCCCCTCCTCCGCGTCCCCGACGTACTTGATCCCATCGCAAATATTCACCTCCACTCGCGCGTCGTCGAACCCCACCGCCATCGACGGCAAGAATTTCTTCGACATCTCCACCACCATCCCATCGATCTCCGCGATCTCGATCCTTTCGATCGATCCGTGTCGCGTCACCTCCCTGAGCACGCCTCCATCGCCGCCACCGACGACGAGCACGCGTTTCGGTTCCTCGTTCAGCGCGCACAGCGGCAGGTGCGTTATCATCTCCTGGTACGCGAACTCGTCCCGCTCCGTCGCCTGAATCACCCCGTCCAGCACCAGCACGTTCCCGTACGCCGAGTTTTTAAACACGTACACGTCTTGAAACTCGCTCCGTCCGCGGAACAGCTCCTCGTCGATCTTCAGCGACATCGCCTGGCCTTTCCACATTTCGCTCACCTCGCACAACCATCCCTCACCGCACGCGCCGATGCACTTGTCCGCGCTCTGCGGCGCGTCGTCGGCGTATTTATTCATCCCTCGCGCGGTCGTCGCGCGGCGACGCGGCGCGCGGACGCGGAGCGCGCGGACGCGGAGCGCGCGGAGCGAAATCGCGTCTCGGAGTGGCGGCGCCGCGCCGCACAGCTCGACGCCGCGTCCGCGTCGCGTCGCGTCGCGCGCTCGCGTCGCGACGCGCACCGCGCGCGCGATGGCGCTCACGACGTCGGTCGCGAGGGCGCGCGACGCGCGCGCGAGCGCCGATCGCGTCGTCGGTTTGGTCGGCGGTCTTCGCGTCGTCGTCGACGCGCTGCGCGAGCACGCCGCGGATGGACTCGCGACGAACGTCGCGCACGTGCGCGAGGACGCGATGTACGTCGTGTTTCTCGCGGCGAGCGTGATCGGGTTCGGGACGGTGGCGAGCGGGGAGATGATGAGCCTGCGGCGACGACGGGACAGGGCGCGCGCGGCGCTCAAGGAGTGCGCGACGATGTTGGATCTGAAGAGCAAAGAGACGAGCGGCGCGGCGGCGACGGCGGCGGTGGGGCGGAAAACGCGCGACGCGGGACGGGGGAAGCGGACGCGCGAGATCGGGGTCGGGAAAGACTTTTGGAACGAGTTGGGATATCTGTTAAAGGTGGCGTTTCCCACGGCGGGGAGCCGAGGAGGGCAGTTGTTGGGCGCGCAGTTCACGCTGCTCGTCATGCGCACGCTGTTGACGGTCAGGGCGAATAAGGTGAACACGTTCTATTTGACCAAGGCCATCTCGAGCGCGTCGTGGAAGTTTTGGGTGCGGTGGTTTTTCAACTTTGGCGGTTGGATGGCGAGCGGCGTGGTGGTGAACAGCGGGCTGCGATACACCGAGAGTTTGATCACGATCGAACTCAGAGCGGCGTTGACGAAGAAGGCGCATAAGATGTACATGGAAAACAATAACTTTTACAAGACGGCGGTTTTGCGTCAAGGCGGGTTGGATAACGTCGATCAACGCATCGTGGCGGACATCGACGCCTTCGCCAAGGAGACGGCTTTCCTGTACGGGCACTCGTTCAAGCCCATTTTGGAGTTCACGCTGAGCTTGACCGAAGCCGCGAAGGAGTTGGGCTATTCTCGCCCGCTCGCGCTTTTCGCGTCACAAATCATCATCACCGGCGTTTTGCGATCCATCGCCCCGCGACTCGGACCGATGGTCGCTCGCGAAGCCGCGCTCGAGGGCGGTTTCCGCCACACGCACGCGCGCTTGATCGCTCACGCGGAGGAAATCGCCTTATTAGACGGGGGCAAACGCGAGATTGAGATTTTAGATGAAGGCTTGGATAATTTGGTCGTCACGCAGCGCTGGCATGCGCTGCAGCGTATTCGCAAGAGCGTCGCCGACAACGTATCCAAGTTCCAAGGCTTGCTCGTGGGCAGTATTTTCGTACACGTCCCGTTCATGATGAAGGCATCAGTGTCCGAAGGCGAGCGCATTTCATCCTTCCGAGCCACCGAGGAGCTCATGCTTCGATGCGGCGGCGCGTTCACCGAAGTGTTGCTTCTCGGCAAAAATCTCGACGAACTCGCCGGATACACGCACCGGCTTTCGCAACTGTTCAAAACGTTGGATCTCGCGAGCAAGGAAGCGCGCGAAGACAAGGCTAAACTGGCTTCGGCAGGCGCTGACCACGCCGAAGGCTCGCCGATCGTGTTCGATAAAGTCACCGTAGGAGCGCCCGAGCCGGATGGCTCGCAACGCGTGTTGGTGAAGGACTTGACGCTCGCCGTGGCGTCGGGTCAACACTTGTTGATAACTGGTCCGAATGGATGCGGAAAAACGTCATTGCTTCGCGTGTTGGCTGGATTATGGGCGCCCGTGTCCGGCACCGTCACCAGACCGTCTGGCGTATCCAGCATCATGTGGTTGCCGCAACGGCCGTACTTGTTGCAAGGATCGTTGCGCGATCAAGTCGTGTACCCGCGCGACGCGCGCACGGAGAAGATCGTCGACGCGCGCGTGAAGGAGTGTCTGATGATGGCTGGCCTGGCCAAATTCGTGGACGGCTCCATGAACGTTGGATTAAACACGCGGCACTTGGAGTGGAACGATGTGTTGTCCGGCGGCGAGCGTCAGAGAATCGGTTTCGCCCGCCTTTACTATCACGCGCCAAAGTTTGCCATTCTTGACGAAGCGACGAGCGCAATCAATCCAGACGAAGAGTCCAAGCTGTACGAACGTCTCATCGAAACCGACACCACCGTCGTGAGCATCGCGCACAGGCTCGAGCTTAGAAAATTCCACAAGTTGGAACTCAAAATCGCGGGCGACGGCGAAGGCGGTTTTCGAATCCTCAAACTTTAGATTACTTGTGATAGCACGTATATTACATTAATGCGTCGACGTCGTCAAGTATGCGAACAACAGCATGGGCGCGCCGAAGAGGCCGACCATGGTGAGCATCGCCTGCGTGTTCAGCGCCTTGACTTCTTCTTCGTCGATTTCGCCCGCAAACTTTTCGTTCGCCATCTTGATCAGGTACTCGTCGTACGCGTCTAGTTTTGCGGCGTCCATGTAATCGAATAAGTCCGATTTCATCTTCTTGGAAGCCGTCGTCATCCCCCAAATCATTCGATCCGCTTGCTTGGACACGTTTCCGTACTGGTTTCCGATGCACCGACGATACTGCTTCAACGCCTCATCTCGGCGCTGCAAGTTGTCCAGACAGATGGCGTAGTTGAAGATTATCCTCCCGCCCATCTCCGTCTTTTGCCCGATGCGATCGAGCGCCCACGGCTCGAGCAAATCGAGCGCGTCTTGCATGTATCCTCGCTTCATCGCCTCGCCCGAACGCTCCAAAACCTCCCGCACCTCCGCGTACTCCGCGTTCGTCAGCGTCATCCCCTGATCCTCGCGATATTTCGCCAATTTCTTCGCCACTCTCGCCCTTCGCGCCGCGATCGCCTCCTCGTCCTCCAACTCCTCCCGTTTAACGGTTCGTCCGCCGCCGTACGTCTTCGATATATCCGGCGGTCGCTCGAACACCCCCCACGTGCTCACCGACGGTTTATACACCGCGTCCTCCACGTCGTACCCCACCGCCTTCTCGTCCGCGTCGAACGGGTCGTAATCCCGGTCCCGCGTCAAGATGCGCACCGTCACCTCCCGTTTGCGCGTCGCCCCCGTCGCGCCGTCGCTCGCCGTCTCGCTCGCGAACGTCCCGTCCGTCGTCGACGCCTCCATCGCGTCGTCCCGATCGCCTCCGTCGCCCTCCGCGCGCGCGCGCTCCATCGCCGCCGCGTACTCGCGCGCCTTTTTCACGCGATCCTCCACCGACGCGCGCAGATCGATCCTCGCGTCCGCGTCCTCGCGCGGCGCCGCGCGCGCGCGAGAGCGACGCCGTCGCGCGACGCGCGTCGGCGCCCGCGGCCGCGCGACGCGCGCGACGCGCGCCGCGCGCGCCATCGCGCGCGCCGCTCTCGCGCGATCGCGCGCGCGCGACCGCGCGACGTTCGCGTCTCGAGGTTCGACGTCGAAACCGACGCGAGGTTCGATCGCGCGCGCTCGAACCTCGCGATCGCGGGTTCGATCGCGCGCGCGCCGACGTCACTGCGCGTCGATGCCCGCGACCGGGACGGCGTCGTCGCGCGACGAGATCGTGCCCCCGCGACGAGGCGCGCGAAATCCATGGGTGCTCGTCGGTGCGGGCGCCACGGCGGCGGTGTTGCTCGCGGGATTCGTCGCGTTCAGGGCTGGGGACGCGCGCGCGTCGCAGCGGATGATGCGCGCGCGAGTGCTCGCGCAGGGCGCGACGGTGGCGCTGATGGTGGCGACGTCCGCGGGAGGACTGTCGAGCGCGACGTCTTGGACGCTCGCGCGTCCCGGCGCGGGCGGGACGGCGGGCGAGGGGTGACGGACGCGCGGGCGAACGCGCGCGGGTTCGCGGCGAGCGCGACGACGACGCGCGGCGACGACGACGCGTCGACGTCGCGCGACGGAGGCGCGAGCGATGGTGGGGAGCGCGGGCGCGACGGTGACGCGAGAGACGCGCGCGCGAGGCGGGACGAGGAGTCGCGCGCGGTGCTGCGCGAACGCGCGCTGCGAGCGGCGTTGAAGCGCGTGCGCGAGCTGGGATGGACGGACGCCGCCGTCGACGCGGGATTGAGGGATTTGAATTTGTCGCCCGCGATGCGCGCGATCGTTCGCGGCGACGCGGGGGCGGGCGCGAGGGACTCGGGACCGGGCGACGGGCTCGCGGGGGAGTTGGCGGGATACTTTGAGGAGTGCGCGGACGCGGCGTTTCACGCGAAGGTCGTCGCCGAGGGCGAGACGCTGCGCGCGATGAAGTCGCGCGAGCGCGTGAAGTGGCTGATGCGCGCGCGTTTGGAGATGATCGAGTCCAAGCTCGATTCGTGGCCGCGCGCGCTCGCCGCGATGGCGACGCCGCGGTACGCGATGACGACGCTTCGGCGTCGCGCCGCGCTCGCGGATTTCATCGCCGACGCCGCGGACGTCGACGCCTTGGACGTGCTTCCGGATTCGTTGGATACGTTTCGTTGGCACGCCGAACGCGCCGCGATGCTCGCGCTGTACGCCGCCACCGAGTTACGCTTGTTGACGGATTCGAGCAAGGATCGTCGCAAGACGTGGGCCTTTCTCGACGCCCGCGTCGACGACATCGCGCGATCCCGCGTCGACGTCCTCGAGCTCAAGTCGTACATCGACGTCTTCGCGCGCGACGCCGACTTGACGACGCTCGGCGCGTCGTTCGCGAGCAAAGACGCGCTCGCCGCGGCGTTCGCGCCCGTCGCCGACGTCTTCGCTCGCGCGTCTCGCGCCGTCTTCTCGACCCCTTCGCGCGACGCGTCCGAGCGCGACCCGCCGCGCGACTCGCCCGATCGATAGTTTACCCGGTAGTCTTAATGCTCACGCGCGCGCCTTTAACCGACTTCGCGCGCGCTCGCCGTCGCGTTTTGTGTCGCTTCGGTCGCTCCACTCCCGGGTGTTTCACGCCCGAATCGTCGCGCCGCCGCGCGCCGCGCGTCACGCGCGCGCGCTCGAGCGATGTCGTTCGACCTGCGCTGCGCCGTCCTGTGCTACGCCCTCGCCGGCGTCGCGCACGAGCTCGCGCACGTCCTCGCGCACGCCGCGCTCGCGCTCGCGAAGCGTCGCGGGTCGGTCGCCGTCTTCGACGCGTGCGCCGCGCTCGACGCGCGCGCGTCGCCGTCGTCGCTCGCGGCGACGCTCGCGCGCGCGCTCGGACGGTGGAGCGCGTTCGCGGACGCGCTCGACGACGCGTCGTGCGCGAACGCGCGCGCGATCGTGCGATGGGCGGGCGCGCTGGCGAGCCTGGGCGCGGCGGCGGCGGCGACGACGCGAACGCGAGGCGACAAAAGCGGAACGAGCGCGGCGCTGCGAGTCGCGTGCTGGGCGACGGTCCTGGACGCGGTGTGCACGGACGTGCTGGACGCGCTGCCGCGCGCGCGAGGGACGGTGCTGTGCGGGAACTTTGGGATTATTTTGATAAACGCGGCGTGGTGCGAGAGCGAACGCGGGAAGCGGGCGTTTGATTTGTTGGAGAAGATGGTGTACGTGACGATGATGCGAGGGGCGCAGAGCGGTGGAGTCGTGACGTTCGACGAGTGCCGTGAGAAGGCGCGAGGGGAGGGTGCGGCTGTGGCGCTGCGCGGCGCGAGAAGTCGCGTGGTGAACATGAAGCGCACGGATTTGAGCAAGCTCGTGCGAGCAAAGGCGGAACGCGACTGCGGAGGGGCGAAGATGGGTCGACAAAACGTCACGCGCATGATCGTCGGCCACACGCGGTTCGCGACGACGTCCAAGGCTACGTTTGACGGCACGCATCCGCATCAGTGGTCGCCGCCGCAGCAGTGTCTCGTGTACGGGCAAAAACAGAAAACGCCCGGGCCGACGCGCGTCGGCGTGGAGAATTACATCACGCACAACGGCGATTTCGACTTTTACCAAATCAACAAAAACTGGTACGAGCTCGGTGAGATGCAGCGGTGGTTAGAAATCGCCACGGGACATCCCATGCCGAGCGTGGTGGATTCTGCCGCCATCGCTGGCGTTATCGATTTACTCAGAGCGCAGGGGAGCTTCGCGCTCGCCGCGAGATTTGCGGTGTGCGTGGGGCTGAACACGAGCGACGCGTCGAAGGACGCCCCCGTGCCAACGCTCGCGAAATTCGAAGAAATCGCGCGGTATTTTGAAAACGCTTTGGATGCGTCGCTGAGTGCAGGTAAACATACCGTTCGCGAGCTCGGCTTTCAGGCGAGCACGCGCGAGTTGCTCACGGAAAAGGTCGTATCCGCGCTCGAGGGCGAAGGCAAAGCAGCGATCGAGTGCATCAACTATTACATCGATGAAGAAATGGGATCGAGTCTACGACACTTTGTGCGATCGACGATCGATGCATTCTTCGACAACGATAGCTTATTCGTGACGAAGACATTTCTCGCCAACGCGAAAGGTTCGTTTGGTTTGATGGTGACAAACTCTTTAGATGCGCATCGGCAGCTTTGCGTCGCCGCGCGGGGGCAAACTATAAGCATCGCGTTCTACCCGAAGAAGGGTTTGATTTGTTACGGCTCTGAACAAGCCGCCGTTAAAGCGGGTTTGTCGATCCCGACACCAGGTGGTGACGTGTTGGCGAGCGTTCACGGCGGTGAATTCGGCGACGACAACGCCGCCGTGCGTCTCGACTTGGACGATTTGAATGGCGAAATTTGTTTGTTAGATTGGGAAGACGGCGACGAACCCGCGGTGTCGTTCCCGAACTCGCACTTGGAGCAATACCCACTCATGGGTGGCAAAGTTACCGTCGTCCTCGCCGCTGAAGGTACATCTGGCGTGAGCAAGTCAACCATCGGAACGCCTGCGCAGAGTCTCGTCATGCGCAAGCCGAGCCTACACGTGGGCGTTAGCGTGGACAAGAAGCTGTTTCGCCGAATGACTCGACTCGAAGGGAACGACCTCATCAAGCCGCTTTTACCCGATCGAGAGGACTTGGTGCTGCACGATATTCACGATATTCCCAAAATTTTGCGAAACATTCAGGAAGACTGGCAAAATCGCCCACAGGCCACGATTAGTCTCAATCGACTCACGGCTTGGAACCTTGCGCGTTGTTTGCGGCGACGTCTCGATCGCCGACTCAACAGTACGACAAAGTCATCGCGTTCAATAGATGTCGTCGTCACCGGTTGTGAAGTGTCGCTTTGGCTAGCCGAACAATTTGCGGCTGATTTACAGCAAGCGTTCCCCCGGCTGACGGTGAAAGCTGTGAGCTCGAATAAAATACTCGGTTTGTTCGGCCAAGACATTCCCATCCCAACAGTGGGATTCCCAGACTCAAAGAAGAACGATGACTTTACGGACTCTGTCGTCATTGTCGTCAGTCACTCTGGCGGGACGTTTGCGCCACTCGCGACTTCGAATCTCCTCGTGAGCTCCACGAGCTCCATCTTCGTCGTCGCCAGCGAATGGGACACACAAATCGGCAAACAACTCAGAGCGATCAAGTCTGATGGGGCCTTCTGCAGCCGTATCTTTAGCACAGATGTTGGCGTCCGACCAGCTGAGCCGTGTTCGGTGAGCGTTGCGGCGACGCAGCAACTTTTGACGCAAATTTTCATGCACATGTCACTCGTGATTCTCGGTAACGCCGATTACCGCAAGTACGCGGGCGCCGTGGTTACGAAGCACGACTTGGCGGAACTCGAAAGGTGCAATCAAATGAACATCACCGCGCTGGAAGAAATAGTGGGAGTGAAAGCGACGGGCGAAAAGGTCGACTCGTCGACGGAGCGTAGTCTTCGAGCGCAAGGCGACGAGTGGTCCGATCACGTTCTCGAAGGCGTCAAGGGGTGGATGATGTCGTTTGCATACATCGTCGGCACCGTAACGGCGGGATACCCGCTCATCACCGGCGTTGCCGCCGCTTGTGGACTCGCGGCGACTTGGGCGTTTTACCTCACACGATTCTTCGACGCGTTGATTTACGTGTTTCTTCCTCAAATCAACATAACCATTATTCGTTTGGTGCAAGGACGAAACTTGCGTCATCGCATGACGGGTCGAACGGTTGTCATCGGCGACGTTCCGTGGGTCGCACAGGCTGCAGATGCGTTTCTGTCAAAGATTTTTGCATGCTCGTACTCTGCCGCTGGGTTGAACGTTCTCAGTGGTAATCCAAACGATCATCTCGTGCACCGACACACGCACCGCGTCGTTCGCGGCGCATTGCTCGTGGTCGGTCGTCCCGACGGTAGGCTCGCCGCGCTAACGTCCGCTGAGGCGACGACATCGCTCTCGCTCGCCCAAGCAAGTTCTATCCAAAGTTACGGCGGAACGTGCGAATCGATCACGATCGGGCACTCACCGTATAAGCTTCCACTATCAAAGAATGGTATCTTCCTCAAACGACACCGCCCGATGTACTTGTGCGAGAAGCTCGTGCTCGAGCGCGAGGGGGAAAAGAGTTTAGACGGTCGCTCGCCCGGCTCCTTGCTCGGCGTGTACAACAAGTATCACGAGGAAGGGGCGGAACTCTCTGTACATTCGCTTTCGCGTCGAAACGCGGTGCAAGTTCTCACAGCTTCGAGGATTAAGGCGGATAGACAGAAGGGTAATTTGCGCTCGGTGTTCGACGAAATCGACGTCAACCGCGACGGCAAACTATGCCTCGCTGAGTTCACGCAAGCGTACAAGAAAGTGGACGAATCGCTCACAGACGCACAAATAGCGAAGCTTTTCCGCGATGCAGACGTTGACAACAGCGGTACATTGGACTACGATGAGTTTTGCGAAGTCATGAACCTTCCCGAAATGGACATGTTGAACATTCTCGAGGCAGATGCTCGAAACGAGGAAGGTTTGCTCATGGTGGAGCCGTCGCACGAAGATTATTTCGGGCAATCCATTCGACGAAGCGCACCGAAAAAGATCAAGGCGTACACTCTGGTGGAGTCTCAAGAGTTCAGCATGAGCTTGTACGAATCACGAATCGCGTCTTTGCAGCGCTTCGTCTCCATGACGGTGATGTTTCACCAAATGGGTGACCGGGCTCAAAAGTTTTGGCGAAACGTCTCTTTCGGATATCTGGGATATCGCATGGATCGCACGCACAGTATCATGCGTATCGCCACCACGGCCTCACCCGTGAGCGGCGCTGAAGTGCGCGACCGGCGTCATTTTATCGCCCTCGTCACCGCGTTCAACAACGCGCTCGGCGTCATCGACAACTCCGGCCACATTCTTCTCTCTCGAAGACGCACGGAAAGCTACCGCCTCACATCGCGGCAAAAGTCCGCCGCGAGGCTTTCGCGTCAGAGCTCCGTCGCTAGCGCCACTGGCGCGTGAATCTAGCGCATCTCGCGCCCATTTGTTTTAATACCGAAGCGCCGTCGCGTCTCGCTCTCGTCCCGCCCTCGCCCCAGACCTCGCCGCGCGATGCGCCGCCGCGCCCTCGCGCGCGCGCTCGCGCGCTGGTGCGACGCGCCGTTGTCGTCGTCTCGTCCGTCGCCTCGCGCGCGAACGATCGCCCGCGCGTCGTCGACGAAGCCAAACGACGACGACGAAAACTTTGTCCCGAGCGCCAAAGCGCGCGCCTTCATGCGCGCGTTAAACCTTCGCGACGACGATCTCACGACCGCTCGCGACGAGGTGCGACCGAGGGACAAAGCTTACGTCGATCGGCGTCGCGTGCGCGCGGAGGGAGGACGCGGCGGCGGCGGGGTGGCGTCGTTCGCGATGGATGGCGGTTCGCGGCGGCGACGCGGCGCCGACGGCGGCGACGGCGGTAAGGGCGGCGACGTCGTTCTCGTGGCATGCGCGCGGACGAAAGGGCTGGGAGACGTGAAGAATTTATTGCGAGGCGCGACGGGAGGTGCGGGAGGGGCGCAGGGACGGATCGGGAGTCGAGGCGCGGACGCGCGCGCGCGCGTGCCGCTAGGGACCATCGTGTGGCGCGAACTCGCGGACGGCGACGACGACGGCGGCGGCGGCGCGATCGATTTCACGCACTGGGGCACGGATTCACCGGTATCGTCGACGGCGGACGCGTCGGAAAGCGACGATGAATCGCGAGTGAATGAGAATGGTTGGACGCGGCCGCGCGGGCTCAGTAGAGGCGAATGGCTCGTCGTCGCCGACTTGACGCGCGACGGACAAACGTGCGTGCTCGCCCGAGGCGGGAAGGGAGGTAAAGGGAATAAACGCATGCCCGTTGGACGCGAAGCCGGGACGCGCGAGCCGGGCGCTCCGGGTGAAGAAGGTAAATTCGTGTTGGAGTTGAAAACCGTCGCCGACGTCGGGCTGGTGGGACTGCCGAACGCGGGAAAAAGCACGCTCTTGCGCGCTTTGTCCAACGCGACGCCGCGCGTCGGGTCTTACGCGTTCACCACGATGCAACCACAACTTGGCGCGGTATCGGCAACGGACGGCGAGACGATCACGCTGGCAGACATTCCCGGCTTGATCAAAGGGGCACACGAAAACAAAGGGTTGGGGCATAATTTCTTGCGACACGTCGAGCGATGCGAGGCGTTGGCGTACGTGGTAGATTTATCGAGCGGCGACGGCGTCAAACCTTGGGATGCGTTGGATATCCTCAAGCGCGAGTTGGAGGAGTACTTACCAGGACTTTCTAAACGCCCTGGGTTCATCGTCGCGACGAAGACGGATTTGCCGCACACGGCGCGGACGTTGAAGGCGCTTCGAGCGCGCACGGCGCCTACGCCCGTCTTTGCTGTGTCAGCGGCGAATCGCGAAGGCACGGACGAGGTTCTTCGCGTGTTTGAGAACGAAATCATAGGAAATAGACGAGTGTAGCGATTTAGCGACAGATGTAGATAACTAACAAGAACTAGAGGTGCAGTAAGTTTACGCCGATTGCCGCGTTGGACGCGCGCTTCGCGCATTGGGCGCGCGCTCCTTTTTCGACGACGATTTCCGAGCGGGCGCGCGCGCCTTACTCTCACGAGTACTCCCTTCCAATGGCGAAAGCTCAGCATCTCGTTCTCGCTCTGCCGCCGCGTTCAGCTTGCGTTGCCACGAAATCAAGTACGCCGCCGTCGTCGTGACGGCGACGATCCACGCGATGACTACGTGACGAGGCCAAGGAGCGGTGAATTTACCGCGACCGTTTTTCACGACGACCAAAAATTCAACGATGAGCACCGCGAGCGCTAACCACGCGTTCGGGCCGAGCTTGGCCTCCCCCACGTCCGGGGTTTCGATGAAGACGTAATATTCGCGAATCGCGATGTTAGACATGGCGAACCACAACCCGAGACGGTACAAGCAAAAGTTGTGCGACGGCGGCACGTGCAAGACGAACTTCATGAAGAACAGGTTCAAGTCAAACACCAACCCACAAAACACGAGAAACGCGCACTTCAAGAACCGACTGGGCGATCCGGTGGGACGCCACGTGTAGTGATCGACGCTCGCCGGCGTGAGCGACGTCAAAACCGTCTTCAGCGCTCCGCGCACCGGCGAACGCGGCGGCTCCTTCGCCGCCGCCGATCGAGACGACGCCTTCTTCCCGCTCCAATCGTGAAATTTCCCACGCATGAACTTCACGAGCCACATTCCCGCACAGATGCCCAACAAGTTACAAATCATCACGTCCCACACCCACATGTCCCACCAGCACTCGTTAAAATTGGGTTGCCAGTGCTCAAACGTCAGCTCGCACAGCTCGAACGCGATTGAATACGCCCACAACAACCCCCAATCCCTGATCGCCACCGCCTTACCGAACCATCCCAGCACGTGAGCCACGGTAAACTCATCGAACAGCGTTTCGTACACGATTCCAAACGATCCGCTTCGATGTCCCGGCGTGTACACGCGGCAATCGCCGCCGTAGCTCCTCGTCGGCAGCGGCGTCCCCAAGTCGTCCCAAAAGAATTTCAGCATCTTTTGCGCGTCCGCGGGCGTTTGAAACAGCAGCACTATCAACGCCAGAAGGTACATCGTGAACGCCGCGTGCACCACCTTCCACACCGCCGCGTGCGGTCGCGTCATGTGCGTCGCCGGTCCCTGCAGCGCGCCGTACGCCAGGTACGCGCCCAGCGCGCCCGTCGCGCCTCGACGGATCCCGTCCTCCGTCGTCCATCGCGCGTCGTTCGCGTCGTTCGCGAACGCGTGCGTGGCGACCGCCAGCGCGACCGCGCCGCACGCGAGCATCGTGAGCGTGTGCGGCGAGCGCGCGAGTCGCGCGACCGTCGACGTGCTATTCTCGGCCCATCGCATCTTCGCGCGCGCGTCGCGTCGAGCGCGTCGCGCGCCCGGCGCGGCGCGCGGTGCGTTCGCGCGCGGCGCGCGGTGCGTTCGCGCGCGCGGTGCGCGTCGAGCGTTCGCGCGCGTCGGCCGTCGCGCGTCTCGAAGTGAAGATTTGTCGTCGACGGTGCATCGCGTCCACGCGCGCGCGAACGCGACCGCCACACGCGCGCGCGCGCGCGACGACGCGATGCACCGCGCGCGCGACGACGCGCGCGACGACGCGCGCGACGACGGCGACGACGCGCGCGACGACGCGCGCGACGGCGCGAACGATTGGATGCGAGCGATTGAAAATCTCCAACCGACGACGCCGCGCGGCTGCGCCGCGTGCGCGGTGCTGGTCGCGATCGCGCTCAAGGCGACGACGGCGAACGAGTCGTCGTTCGCGCTCGGCGCGCTCGTCGGGTGCGCGGGAACGCTCGCGGCGCAGGTGGCGGCGGTGACGCGCGCGGTGCGAGCGAACGCGGCGGCGACGGCGGCGCGAGAGGTCGCGGACGCGGCGGCGCGGGAGGAGTTCGATCGCGGGCGCGACGACGACGCGAGAAACGGGGACGAGGGGCGGAACGCGGGCGTCGGGGCGACGACGAGCGTCGGGGAGGCGCCGCATTCGGGATGGATCGTGGTCGCGCGAGCGAACGCGAAGAGCGCGAAGGGCGCGGCGGCGAGCGGCGAGAAGAAGTTTGCGCGATTGACGCGCGATGGGAGGTTGCAGCTCGCGAATGAGCGCGGTGGAGAGGTGGTGGACGTGATCGATCTGTGCGGGTGCGATGTGGCGTTGACGAAGTTTCCGGGATTGGAAAAGCCGACGGAGTTGCGATGGCACAAGTCGACGCCGATGGTGGTGCGTCACGGCGATCGCGCGGTGTATCGATCGATGAAGACGGTGTGGCTGTTTGCGTTGTCGTCACCGGCAAAAGAGGCGTGGTTCGTGGCGCTGATGACGTGCGTGGAGCGTTTGCGCGCGGAGAGTGGCGGCGCCGAAGCGGACGCGCGCGCGCTCGACCGCATGCGCGTCGAGGCGGATGATTTCGCAAAGTTTACGCAAGAGACGAAGAAATACAAGGAAGAATCCGCGCGGCGAGACGCACACGCGCAAGGCACGCACTCTGCGGGCGCGGGTACGGCTGGGGCGACGATAAACGCTCTTGGATCGAGGCTGCTATTCGACATGTTTCGCGACGAGCGTTGGCAACTCGAGCAAAAGGAAAAGTTGGTCAACAAGATGAATAACGCTCCGGGCACGCCCAAGTTTGTCGGTACGTTTGAGATCACGCATATCGACTTCGGATCAACGGTGCCGCACATCATTAGCGCTCGCGTGCCGAGCTTTAGCTCGTCGAGCGCGCCCTGGGATGGCGCCTCTATGCCGGGGCGCGGCTTCTCGCACGCGCTCGAACTCGACGTCGAGTACGTTGGTCGGGCGACAATGACCGTGCAGACGCGCGTGGATTTGTCCAAGTACGCGCAAGACATGGAGAGTGAGGCGAATAACGTGTCGAACGCGGAGTCCGTCGACGAAATCGCGCGGAGTTTTTCGAGTATAAAAAAGGCGGCGGCTCGCGAGGCGGCGAGAGTTGTCACCTCGCTTTCTGATACACTTAGCGCGACGCCGTTGCGCTTCACGCTAACCCTGAAGAAGTGTCAGGGCGTCATGCGTCTGTGGATTCCACCGCCCCCGGGCGATCGTTTGTGGTGGGGGTTGATCAAGGAGCCGGACATCGATCTTGAAATCATCCCCGAGCTCGGCGCCGCGGCGATCTCTCATGAGGGTATCGCCTCGCGTGTCTCGCAATTCCTTCGCAACCTATTCGTTGCCGACATGCACTCCCAACTTCTGCTGCCGAACTGCGTCGCTGAGCCTTGGAAGGAGCTTCGACCGTTCGTAAGCGCGATGGAGTTGTCGCTCGCCGAGGCGGCGACGGAGGAGTTCTCGGCCTTGCAGCCGCCTTCGCCTTCGCCCTCACCAATCAACACTGAACGTGAACGTCCAGCTGAACGTGACCGTCCAGCAGTATCGAACGTGACGACGCCAGCGTCGACTCCCAGACCCTCGTTCGACACCCCCACGTCACCACCGCCCGAGCAAGTGATGGAGAGTCCACCTGTGTCGCCGAAAGCGTCCGTCGCGCCCATCGCCGCCGTGAGCGCGTCGCTCCCATCCTCCCCCACCGCCACCATCACCGGTCTCGCGACGACGACATCTACCGAGCCGCCACCCAAACGTCCAGCATCCGAAGACATCCAAGCCAAGCCAACGTCGTCTTTCTTCGCCCAGGCGAAATCGTTCACGCAAAAGCTCGAACGTTCCTTCGGCGACGACTTCAAGGATTTCACCGCCGCCGTCAAAGACGCCGGCGTCGCCGGCGGATTGAAGCACGTCTCCAAGAACATCGAAAAAGTTATCGCGCCGACGTCAAGCAAAGATCCCGCGCAACCATCCTCTTCGAATGTGTTAAAGAACGATTAGCCCGTCGCCGCGCTCAAAAATTTGAAATTTCAAACCAGCTGTCGCAACTTCACGTCGACGTCCCCACACCGCGACGCTCGTCGCGCGTCCGACGGACGACGACGCGAACCGCGCGCAAACCCTGCGCGTGCTGCGCCCCCGGCTCGTCGTTCAATCGCTTCGCCTGCGCGCTCGCCGACGCCATGGCTGCGGCGAAACGAAAACCATCCGCGAGCGCCGCGTCGATGAAATCCTTCGACGACGACGTGCCGAGCGAGCGCGACGCGCTGAAAACGTGGAACGACATGGACGACGCCGCGCTCGAGGTCGAGATCGCGAAATATCGCGACGCGGTGGCGCGGTTGAAGGCGGAGATCGTCGCGAAGGATGGCGATCGCGCGATCGATGGGGTGGACTGGTTCGAGTACGAACGAGACGCGACGACGACGGTCGACGGCGCCGATGGCGGCGCCGCGGGAGGTGAGAACGACGACGAGGATGAAGAGCTTGGAAATATCGATGACATCGATCCGCGGGAGTGGATGGTGCCGAAACAGTGCATCCCGGTGCACGCAAACGTGACGACGTACGACTGGAAGCCGATGTACGAACACGAACAGTTCGACGTCATCATGATGGACCCGCCGTGGCAGTTGGCCACGGCGAATCCGACGCGCGGGGTGAGTTTGGGATACTCGCAATTGACGGATCAGCACATCGCAGACTTGCCGTTGCCGCAATTGCAAAAGAATGGGTTGTTGTTCGTGTGGGTGATCAACGCGAAGTATCAGTGGTGCCTCAATCAGTTTAAAAAATGGGGCTACGAATTCGTGGACGAGATCGTGTGGGTGAAGGTGACGAAAACGAGACGACTGGCGAAGTCACACGGCTTTTATTTGCAGCACGCGAAGGAAGTGTGCCTGGTCGCCCGTCGAGGAGACGCGCCGCCGGGATTGAAGAACAGAGCCATCGGGAGCGATATCATCTTCGCTCCTCGTCGCGGGCAATCGCAAAAGCCGACGGAGATTTACGAGCTCATCGAAGAGCTCGTGCCGAACGGGCGGTACTTGGAGATTTTTGCGCGTAAGAACAACCTGCGCGACTATTGGGTGTCCGTCGGGAACGAGGTCACGGGGACTGGTTTGCCTCCGGACGACGTCAAGGCGTTCGAAGAGCGCGGGCACATTCCGTCCGCGAAATACGGCGCGTCTAATCGATAGTCGCGTCTTCTTAGCTCTCATTGTGATTGGTGATTTCCTGTGTGACTTAAATAACTACTGAAAAGTGACTCAGAACCGCGTCACGTCCCAAAGCACCCCCCGCGTCGTCGTCGCGAGCACGGTGATAACCAACGGCACCACGATCGCCACCGCCAACCCCACGGTGAGTTCATTCCAGAACCCTTTACCCACGAATTGATCGCCCTCCCAATTTTCCGTGTACAAATCCGGCCGATCTTCGATCCTTTTCCCGTTCGCGTCTCTCGATCGCGTCGGCGTTTCGTTCTTCGCCTTGGCTCTCGCCTCGCGCGCCTCTTCCTCCGCCCTCTCCTCCTCGCTCATCGCCGCGGCGACCATCTCCTGCGTCACCGTTATTTCCTTCTCCAGCACGAACGTGATCTCTTCCGCTCGCGTCGACCGTATGGCATCCTTCACGAACGCCAAGCGTTCCGTATCCGAAATTATCCAAAGCTTGTCCGCGTCCCCCACCGGCGACGTCAACGCGCGCAGTCTTTGTCCCGGCACCACCCCCGCGCGCTCGCAATCGCTCTCGCGCGCGACGCCAGCGACGAATATCGCTCGTTCGTTGTCGCCGACGACGAGGGCATCCCATTTGATGCACTTTCGCGCTTCTTCCGTCGTCATCCTGATGGTGTACTCGGTGCTCTGGTCCGTCGAGTCGAGGAGTTGTGCGCGGCGCGCGTGATGCGCGCGGCGCGCGCGCGACGCGAGCGCGCGCGACATCGGCGCGTTCGCGCGATGGGCGCGCGCGGAGGCGAGCATGACGGCGGAAAGACGCGCGGCGCGGCGTTGTGAGGGCTCTATCCACTCGGCGAGCGGGACGACGAAGCCGAGCGTCGTCGCTCGATTGAAAATAAGCTATGGGCTACCGCTCCGACGCGTCAGTGTTTTGGTTTAGTGTTGCGGCGTGACGCTCGACGTGTCGTCGTCTGCGTCGTCGCTTCGCCGACTTGCGCGTGTGACTTATCGCCGCCGTGCAGGAACTCCTCGAGGACGCTTTCCTTCGGCGGACATGTCGGCGCGTTGTTGACGGCGACGCGTTCGCCCTTGGGCAAACGCTCGGCGAGTTGGCCGAGGGTGAGACCTATCAATTCCTTCGGCACCGTCTGTGAGGGCGCGCCCAGGTTCGCCGCGCTGCGCATGATGTCGTAACCTAAATGTTCGAAATCGCCGCCGTAGAACGTGTTGAAGAGATTCAAAAGCTCCGGATCAAAGCGCGACCAGCACGAGTGCAAGTCGGGCTTGGGGACATCCTTGTGCCACGCGTTCGTCACGACCATTTCGATCTTTTTGTGATATCGATGGTGAATGAAACTAATGATGTTTTCCTCCTTTACGGACGCGCCCCCATGTCGTTTAGACCACGGCGTCAGCGGACACTCGCCTTCCTCCGCGCCGAAGCACTCTTCGATTCGAAAAAGATTTTCGGCGCGCGACGCCATGAGCATCTGCGGCGCCCAGTGAGACAACGAGGCGACGCCTCCGTTTATTTCATCCTCGCACTTCTTCTGCGCTCTCAACTCCCATCCACCCGCTTCGTAGCACGCTCGAATTTTTGAATCGTGCACGTTGAGCGTCAGGTGCGCGGCGAACTTTTCGCAATTCCCCTCGTCGTACCCAACCTTCAGGCTGTCGAACAACTTTCTATCGTACGTCCCGGTCCAGTACAAAAACTCTGACTCCGCGCGTTCGTACGGATTCCTCACGATCGCCCACGACTTTCGCACGTAATCCTTCGGAATCGAGTGCCAATTTTCCCAGCCGCGGTACCTCGGGTGCAGCTCGTACGCGCGATCCTCGCGCTTGATGCAGTACCCTTCCGCGATCCCCGACACCCCGAGCGAGGTCTCGATCGTCGTCCCGCCCGTCTTCGGGATGTGCAAAAATATCGGAAATCCGTGGCCGGATCGTTTGTCGCCGATCGAGCGCCGCACGTCCAGCGCGCGCGCCTTTTCCGCGTCGGTGTACCCGAGGCGCGCGCGCGTCGCCGCGGCGTCGCTCGCGTCGCCCGATCGTCCCGCGATCGCGATCGCCACGCTCGCGGCGCCGAGCAGCGCGATGGCGGCGGCGCCAGCGGCGACGCGCGACCGGGACGGCGACGGTGACGGCGCGAAGCGCGAGCGAACGTCGTCGTCGCGACGGGTGTTGACGCCGATCGCGTCGACGTCGACGACGATGGCGTCGTCCGCGAGCGCGCGCGGGGGCGAGAACGCGGAGATGAGGCGCTCGCGTTCGTTGAGCGTCATGGCGCCGCGCGCCGAGGGCGGTGCGACGCGGTGGGCGCGAGCCGAAGTGAAGTTACGCAGACCGCGTCGCGGCGGAGCTAACGCTAGAAGACTAGAAATCTACTGGGAATCAATCGTCGACGGCGAACGCCGAGCCGCGAAGACGAATGATGAAATCGTCGGTGAACGCGCACCAGTCGCTCCACGCGCGGAGCGTGGCGAGGACGTCGCGCTTGAAGGCGCGCCGCGAGGCTGAGGACGAAGCGGCCTCGAGGTACAGCTCGAGGCGCTCGAAGACGCTCGGAAGCGCGCTGATGAAGAGCGCGCGGTACGCTTGCACGCCCTTGACCGGTGCGGCACAGTTATGAAGTAAATCTGAAACGACGTACAGGCGTGCGGTCATCGTTTGACGAGGGGTTTCGAGGTTGCAAAGCGACGTCGCGATGACGTCGACGACATCGGCGGCGCACTCGGCGCGCTCGACGGCGAACTCCATCGCATCGCGAATGTCGTCCCGTGCGACGGTGATGTGCTGAAGTATCTCAACCAGACTCTTGCGATCCGCCGTAGAGAGCTTCATCGCCGCGCGTTTCGACGATCGACCAACACGATTCTCTAGTCGCGAGGCTTGCGTCTCGTCCAGGGGCGGCGGGATCCATCGCGCACCGTCACGAATCATCACGAACGGCTCGGTTCGCCACGTCTCTAACGCGTCGCTCTGTGCAAACGCGAACACGCGCCACGCGTAGTACGCGTGGGCTTGGGAACATTCGTCGAACAAAAACCGATACTCTTCGTTCGTAGCCTCTCGAGCCTTTAAAGCGCGCTCAAATACTTCGCCATCCTCTGCGACGTACGCCGCAGTTATGTCTATGCGCCTCTTGAGATCTTCATCATCTGGAATTTGCACGACAACGTCCGCTTCGTCCGACGTATCACTCGTCGCCGTCGGCGCCACGCTCCACGGAATGTCACCAAGCACTTCCGCGGGCGCGCGGGCCAAAAGTTCCGCCGCCTCATTCGCGTGCAACGTCGTCGGCCACATCGCGTGTTGTGGAATCCTCATCGCCATGGATATGACAACATTTACCGTGTTGCCGAAAAGTAGCGCGTCGTGCATCTCGTCCACCGCGCGCTCCGCGCTCGTTCGCGACATGAAGCACACGTATCCGCTATTCGACGTCTCGCGGCTCTCCTTACTCGGCCGCCAAATTTTTACGCTCGCGATCGGGCCGTACCGCTCAAACGCTCGCGCCAGGTCAACGGCGGCGACGTCTACGGGTAGATTTGTGATTCGCACGTTTGAGCTTCGCGAGGCGTCCGTCGCCGTCGCCGGTTCGACGCGCTCCGACGTCGACGCCGGCTCCGAGCGCGCCGACGCTTCCGGCACCACCGGCGCCTTGGCCGCGAATTCCTCCAGCATCGCATCGATCGCTTTGAGCTTCTTCTTCCCGCGCGGCGCGCTCGGTCCGGCTTCGACGTCGTTCTCGGCGTCGGCGCCTTTGCGTTTCGCCGCCGGCGCCGGTCCGTCGCGAGCGCCGAGCGCGTACACCTCCCCGACGCCCTCGTCGTCGACGCCGTCGCGCGCGTCCGGTCGTTGTAACCCTCCGCGCACGAAAGTCACGGCGTTCGCTCGTCCATCCTCGTCGTCGTCGTCGCCGTCGCCGAATTCGTTCTGAAACGTCTCGAGCACGGCTTCGACTTCCGCGGCGTCGCGCGCGGCTTTGCGGGCGTCGCGCGCGCGCTGCAGCGCGAGACGATTGCCCTTGCGCGGATTGTTCAGGGAGAAGTGCATCGCGGCGCGCGCGGCGCGCGCGCGCGCGAGAGTGAGGCGCGGGGGCGACGGGGGCGACGCCGAGAAGGCCGAGCGCGCGCGCCGTCGCGATGGTATTATCAACGTCTTCTAGATCGCTTACGACGCCTGTCCCTGGAGCGCGAGCGCGAGGACGATGAACTATGCGAGCTCGATCCACTGGATGAACTCGACGAACTACGCGACCCGGAGGTCGAACTCGACGAACTGGAGCTCGAGCTCGACGAACTGGAGCTTGAACTCGACGAACTCGACGAGCTCCTAGAGCGCTTCGGCACCGTCTTGGGAGCTGTTTTCAACCACTCACGCATGTCCTCAGTAAGCGCACCAAGAGAGATGGAGGTGAAAAAGTTGATGCTAAACCGCGTGTTGCGAGGCTCGTCCTTGGGCATGATGCCTTGGAAGTACTCACGCATTTCAGGATTTTGCATCTTTTCGTTGAGCTGCTTCAAACCGAGCGCCTCTGCGAGTTCTTGGAACAGAATCTTGATAAAAATTCGTGAACTTGACGTCGTAGCTTCCTCGGTGAGTTGGATGTATGCCAGACACGTCCACGACATGGCGTCGGTGGCGAGTAAGTGCGCAAAGAATTTTGCCACGTTGCGAAGCTTGTTTGTCTCCAAACGGTGAATCGTACTGTACTGCTTCATGAAAACTTCGTCGAACAGTTGCGGGTAGATTTTGTGGATGAAACAAAACCGTTGCGCGAGCAAACCGTAGTACCGCAAGTAGGTGCGCTCCTGCGACGCACATTCAACGAGCATCGTGCACAACTCTACTTCGGCGCCCGGCGGAATGTTGAGCTTCATCAATTTATGCCCAGCTTCTTCGAAATCTAACGAAGACATGATGGTGAGATAAATCGTCCTTCGGAGGTTTACGAGATTTGTCTCCGTGAGATCCGCGATTTCGACCTTGCCATCGCCTCGGCTCGCCACAATGGCGCCCGCGCCCTCGTCGTCGCTCGACGAAGAACTCGACGACGAACCACTGTCGCTGTCGCTGTCGCTATCGCTCGAGCTCGAGCTCGATTCACCGAGAATTTCCTTGCGAATGTCTGCATATCGACGCTCGTTTTCCTCAAACTCGGGATCTTCTTTGAACACATCCAAACCAGGCTGCGCTTGCATCTCGTCGTCCAAGCCGATTTCGTGCACGATTTGGTCGTCCTCGTCGACCAAATCTAGCTCGGGAGAGACCCCCTTTTTCCCCTCGAATCCACCTTTTCGAAACGCGAACAACCCTTCGATCATAAACTGAACGCGCTTGTCGATCTCACCTTCGTGTAAAATTCCTCTAAATCGCTCAAAGATGCCGTGCAAACCTTGCGGCGTGAGCTCTTGGAGCGTGAAGCCGCACTCCTTGACAAAATCAATCGCAACCTCTACGCTGTCGTCCGTGGGAGTGCCTAGCAACACAGTCAATAACTCTAGTGCTATCAACTCGTGAATGATCTGTCGAGAAAAAAGGTAAACGGTCAATCACCCGCGCTGGAGAAGCGCCCCGTCGCGTCGGCGACCGCGTCGGCGGCGGCGTGACATCAGTGTTAAAAAGCTCGATATGATTTTGATCCTCACGGGAATCAGTGAGTGTTGCGTGATCATAATTCATCCTCTGTCACATCGCGCGCACCGCGTCGCATCGCGTCGTCCATCGAGCATCGTACCTGTTGATTAATCAGCGCCGCCAAAAACCTCGTCGCCGCCACGCACACCGGCTTATCGTTCCTCTTATACGCCCGTCTAAACTGCAAAACGCATCTCTTCGCGATCAACTCGCCGATTTCAGGAAACTTCGTGTTCACCACCGCCACCAGCGCGGCGAACACACCACTAAACTGCGGCGACGCCATCTGAGACTTCATCACGCTCCTCGCGAACAATCCCCGCCCGCGTATCAAATTCTCCTGAAACAGCTCCGGCACCACGTGTTGCACGTTCGACGCGTTCACCTTATTCACCAATCCATTGATCGATTTCTTCAGCGCGTCCCACGACATGCGTTGATACTCGACGCTCGTCTTATCGTTCGTCTCGCGCATCATCTGCGCCAGCTTGAACGGCGGCACGTACGCGCCCCCCGTCCTCGTCCCTCTCGCCGCCGTCCCGCGGCTCGCGCTCGGCGCCGTCGCCGTCGCCCTCGCGCGCGCGTCCGCATCGTTCGCGTCCGGCGCGATCTCTCCTCGTTCGAGCGTCGCGCCGTCGTCGCCGTCGGCGTTCGCGCCGTCCGAGGATCGCCGCCGCCGCGCGCGATTCGTCGTCGCCTCGCCGCGCGCCGCGTCGCCGCGCGTCGCGCGCGGCGAGCCGTCGCGGCGCGCGTCGCCGTCGCCGTCGTCGTCGTCGCGACCGCGCGAGCGCGAGCGGCTTCGCGTGCGCATCGCGCGCGCGTCGACGAGTGGCGACGCTTTACCGCGACGCGCGCGTCGTCGCGATGCGACGCGTCGCCGTCGCGCGCGCCGCGTTTTCCGGCGCCGCGCGCGGACGCGGACGACCGAGCGCGCGCGCGCGCGCGGACGCGCGGCGCGACGGGCGCGGACGCGCGCGCGGACGCGACGTCGCGCGCGCGTCGACGACGGGGACGACGCGCGAGGACGACGCGCGCGACGACGCGCGCGACGACGCGCGGGCGGCGTACGACGCGACGTACGAGGGGCTCGATCGCGACGCGGGACTGGCGATCGCCGAGCGCGCGGACCGCGGGAAGACGCGAGAGGACGAGTGGTTCTACGGCGAGTTGGAGTTCGCGGCGGCGCGAGACGCGCTGCGAAGAGTGTGCCCGAACGCGGGAGAAGGGCGAGAGTTCGTCGATTTGGGAAGCGGACTCGGGAAAATGGTGATCGTGGCGGCGCTGAGCGGGCTGTTTGAACGCGCGCGAGGGGTGGAGTTGTTGACGGAGCTGCACGAGGCGGCGACGAGCGCGAGAGCGGCGTTCGACGACGCGTTGGCGCGAGGGGATGGTGAAGTGATCGAAGGCGCGCGCGCGTGCGAGGTGACGCTGGATGAGGGCGATTTGCTGAATTACGACGTGTCGAGCGCGGACGTGGTGTACATTCACGCGACTTGTTTCACGCCGCAGTTGCTGAGCGCGTTGGCGTTGAAGTTGGCGAGCGAGTTGAAAACGGGCGCGCGGGTGATGATCATGAGTAAACAATTCCCGGAAGGTTGGGTGTTCAAACCATTCGACGGCGGTTACGCCGCGTTGGCTCAACCGCAGAGCAAATGGAAGCTCGATTGCTTTTTGTACGAAATATCGAGGTGAGAGCCCGCTCGTCGAGCGCCGGCTCGCTCGAGGTGTAAATTACAATTATAATACTTCTTCACGAACTCGATGAGCTCGAACTCGAATCGTCCCTGCGAGAGCGTTTCTTTTCCCTCTTCTTGCGCTTCTTGCGCTCCTTCTTGCGCTCCTTCTTCCGCTTTCGCTCTCGACGGCTTCGCGCGTCTACGCCGTCGTCGTCGTCGCCGAGCTCCATCTCGTACGTCTTCGTCGCCCCGTGCGATCTCGACAGCGCGTCGAGCCCGCGCGCGGGATTCAACACGCGCGCGCGTAAACTATCCAAATCCTCCGTCGTCGCGCGCGCGCCGACGTTCGCGCCGCTCCGCGCGCGCTCGAGCCTTCGCGCCTTTTCCTCGACCGCCGCCTTGTACGCCTTCGCCGCGCCGTCGTTCGGATCAATCTTCAACGCCCGATCGAAATCCCGAATCGCCTCGGCGTACATCCTTCGATTCGCATAACACGCCCCTCGCGCGGCGTACGCCCTGACGTGCTCTGGATCGAGTTCCAGCGCCTGCGCGAAGCACCGCTCCGCCTCCTCCCATCGCTCCGCCTTCGTCGCCAGCGCGCCCCGCAGCGCGCTCTCCTTCGCCCACCCCCATCGCACCCTCGCCCGCGCGCGCTCCATGATCTTCGCCCTCGCCATCTCATCTCGCACCCGTTCCGCGCTTCGCGCGTCCGGGATCGCGACGCGCGTCACCGCCCGCGCCGCGCCGTGCGCGTCGCACAGCGTTCGCGCCGCGCCGCCGACGCCGAACCCTCTCGACGCGCGCGCGTCCGCGACGAACGTCGACGCCTCGCCGAGGCGCGCCGCCTCGGCGTACGCTTCGAACGTTTTCGCGTCGCCGTGCGCGTGCGCGCGCGCCGCGCGTCGTCGCGCGCGCGTCGCGTCGTCCTCGTCCTCGTCGTCCTCGTCGCGCGGCATCGTCCTCGCCGTCGCGTCGCGCGCGCGCCGCGACGCCGTCGCGCGCGCCGACCGGGTCGGCGCCGTCGCGTCGCCGCGGCCGTCACCGTCGCCGCGCGCGCGCGCGTGTGCGGCGCGGCGCCGTCGGCCGACGCCAGACGGCGACGCGGCGACATCATGCCCGGCGCGCGCGACGGCGGCGCCGAGGCCGCGGCGCGGTACCGACAGTACGAGTACAAGGCGGTGCGTGACGACGACGACGCGCGCGCGCGACGACCGACCGACGCGACGCGCGCGACGACCGCGCGACGACCGAGGGCGCGGCGATCGAGGACGGCGGCGGCGGGCGAACGAATGCGCGACGAAATCGACGTCGCCGAGCGCGGACGCGGCGATGAAACGCGCGGTGACCGAAGCGAACGCGCGCGATGTAAACGCGGCGCGACGCGCGAGCGCGGACTGACGAAGAGGCACGCGCGCGCGACAGAACGCGTCGTTGGTGCTGGAGAGCGATCGACGCGGGCGACCGCGGGGCGAACCCACGGGCGCGCCGGAGTCGCTCGAGGGAAAGATCGACGCGTCGCGGTTCGGAGATCGAGCGCGAGGCGGGACGGACGGTGATTTCGCGGAAAAACGGGAGCGAGCGGCGAGACGAAGGGCGGAAAAACGAGCGAGAGGGGACGCGGGGGAGGCGGAGGCGTTCGGGAAGCGCGGCCGAGCGACGAAGGGGGCGAGCGTTCTGGGAGGGAGTGAGTATGGGTTGTATAAACCGAAGACGCGGGAAACGCGGGCGGCGTACGAGGGGTTGTTGAGCGTGTTGCAGGGAGTGTTCGGAGATCAACCGCAGGACGTCATGCGCGGCGCGGCGGATGAGGTTTTGGCGGCGCTGAAGGAGGAGGGGAAGACGGAACGCGCGAAACAAAAGGACGTCGAGGCGTTGATGGGGACTTTAACTTCGGAGAGATTCGCGCAAATTACCGCCATCGGGAAGCTGATCACGGATTTCTCTATTCCAGGTGAAGGTGGCGAAGGCGCGGGCGAGGAGTTGGACGACGACATCGGCGTCGCCGTGGAGTTTGAAGAGGAAGAAGAGGAAGACTCGGACGTGGACGAGGTGTTAGAGGCGTCCGACGTAGACGACGACGACGAAGGCGACGAAGGCGCGTACGACGGCGCCGTGGGCGCGAGAGCAGTCGAGGATGAGTACACGCCGAACGCGGACCACGGGTTGAATCCGGCGGACATCGACGCGCACTGGTTGCAGCGCGCCATCTCGAAAGCGTTCGGGTTTACGGACTCTGACGCCGCGGAGAGCTTGAAGCTGTCCGAAGACGTATATCAGGTGTTGTCCACCGAAGATGACCGCGAGTGCGAAAATGCGCTCGTGTCAATGCTCGATTACGACAAGTTTGATTTGATCAAAGTGCTGTTGAAGAACCGACTCAAGGTGTTTTGGTGCACAAGACTCGCTCGATCCGCGAGCGAGGAAGAAACCGCGAACATCGAGGCGCAAATGAAAGCCGATCCGGCCGCTGCTGGGATTTTAGCGTCCATGCGCGCGACGCGCGCGTCCGCACGCGATCGACAGACGGCGACGGAGCAAAAGATTCGCGAAGAGGCTCGCAAGCTTCGCGGCGAAGTCGCGGAGATGCGAACTCAAGGCGGCGCCGCTGCGGCTGGACGTCAGCTTTTGGAGCTCGACGCGCTTGCCTTCGTGCAAGGTTCGCATTTTATGAGCAACAAGCGATGCGAGCTTCCGCCCGGTTCGTTTAGAAGCGCCAAAAAGGGTTACGAAGAAGTACACATACCGGCGCTCAAACAGCCACCGTTCAACGACGACGAAGCGCTCCGTGCGATTGAAGAAATGCCAGAGTGGGCGCAACCTGCGTTTGAGGGCATGAAGACGTTGAATCGCATTCAGAGTCGCGTGTACGAATGCGCATTGCTTTCGCCAGAGAACATGCTTCTCTGCGCGCCGACGGGCGCGGGTAAGACGAACTGTGCGATGTTGACTATTTTACATGAAGTTGGTCTTCACCGTCGTCGTGACGGGAGCGTCGATACGTCTGCGTTTAAGATCGTGTATGTTGCGCCGATGAAAGCTCTCGTCGCAGAAATTGTGGGCAACTTGAGTAATCGTTTGAAGACCTTTGGGATCCAAGTGCGAGAATTGACGGGCGACGTTTCGCTGAGTAAGGCTGAAATTGAAGCCACGCAAATCATCGTTACCACGCCAGAAAAATGGGATATTATCACTCGAAAGTCTGGTGATCGCGTGTACACGCAGCTCGTCAAGCTTATCATCATCGATGAAGTCCATCTCTTGCACGACGACCGCGGTCCCGTGCTCGAATCCATCATCGCGAGAACGGTGCGACAAGTTGAGACGACGCAAGAAATGGTCCGTTTAGTCGGTCTTTCTGCAACGCTGCCAAACTTCGAGGACGTTGCGACGTTTATGCGAGTAAACCCTGAGAAGGGGTTGCACGTTTTTGACAACTCGTACCGCCCGTGTCCTTTGCAGCAGCAATACATCGGCGTCACGGTGAAGAAGCCGTTGCAGCGAATGCAACTCATGAATGAAATTTGCTACGAAAAGGTGATGGAAAGTGCGGGCAAGAGTCAAGTACTCGTATTCGTACACAGTCGTAAGGATACGGCGAAAACCGCGAAAGCTCTTAGAGATTTGGCGATGGAGAACGAGACTCTAGGAAAGTTGATGCGTGACGATTCGGCGAGTCGTGAAATTTTACTCACCGAAGCCGAGACGGTGAAGAGCTCCGAGCTGCGTGATTTGCTCCCGTACGGGTTCGCCATACACCACGCCGGTATGAGTCGCGCTGATCGTACATTAGTAGAGGAGCTCTTCGGCGACGGTCACGTGCAAGTGCTCGTCTCCACGGCGACGCTCGCGTGGGGGGTCAACCTGCCCGCGCACACCGTGATCATCAAGGGCACGCAAGTGTACAACCCCGAAAAGGGTGGTTGGGACGAGCTTAGTTTCCAAGACGTCATGCAAATGATGGGTCGTGCGGGTCGGCCGCAGTTTGACACGTTCGGCGAAGGTATCATCATCACGCAACACTCCGAGTTGCAGTACTACCTGTCGCTGTTCAACCAACAGCTCCCCATCGAATCTCAATTCGTCAAGCAGCTCGCCGACGCTTTGAACGCCGAAATTATTCTCGGTACGATTCAAAACGTTCGTGACGCGGTGATTTGGTTAGGGTACACGTATTTGTTTGTTCGCATGTTGCGAAACCCAACGTTGTATGGCGTGTCGGTGGATGCTGTCGAGGACGACCCCGTGCTCGAACAGCGAAGGTCAGATTTGATTCATACTGCTGCGGCGCAACTAGATAAGAGTGGCCTTATTCGCTACGATAGGCGAAGCGGTGCATTACAAGGCACTGACTTAGGTAGAATTGCTTCAACGTACTACGTCTCTCATGGCACGCTCATGGCATTCAATCAACACTTGAAGCCTACGATGGGCGACATCGAGCTGTGTCGTCTATTCTCTCTCGCCGAGGAGTTCAAGTATATTAGTGTGCGGGAGGAAGAAAAGATGGAGCTGTCAAAGCTCGCTGAGCGAGTGCCAATTCCAGTGAAAGAGTCGATCGAGGAACCGACGGCGAAGATAAACATTCTTCTCCAGGCGTACATCAGTAACATGCGCCTCGATGGGTTTGCGCTCATGTCCGACATGGTTTACGTGACGCAGAGCGCAGGTCGCATCTTGCGTTGTATTTTCGAAATCGTACTCAAGAAGGGTTGGTCGCAACTCGCTGAGAAGTCATTGGCGCTGTGTAAGATGTGTGCTCGCAGAACGTGGGCTTCACAAACGCCGCTGCGTCAGTTCTCCGCTATACCTGTGGACGTCTTGCAAAAGATTGAACGAAAAGATTTAGCGTGGGATAGGTATTACGACTTAAGTAGTCAAGAAATTGGCGAGCTTATGCGAGCGCCAAAGCTCAGTAAGGCTTTGCATAGATTCATTCATCAGGTTCCTCGATTAGAGCTCTCGGCGCACGTGCAGCCGATCACGCGAAGCGTGCTCAAGGTGGATTTGAACATCCAACCGGACTTCATTTGGGACGAATCTGTACATGGGTACGTCCAGGGCTTCTGGATCATTGTGGAAGATAACGATGGCGAAAATATCTTACATCACGAGTACTTCTTACTCAAGGGGCATAACGCGGAAGAAGAGCACGGAGTGTCATTCACGGTGCCTTTGTCCGATCCACTGCCACCGCAGTATTTCATTCGCGTCGTCAGCGACAATTGGTTGGGAAGCGACACGGTGATTCCGGTTTCGTTCAAGCACTTGATGTTACCCGAGAAGAATCCACCGCCAACGGAGCTTCTGGACTTGCAGCCCTTACTCGTGAGCACTCTCAAAGCAGATGGCTACGACGAGCTTTACGCCGGTCGGTTCACGCACTTTAACCCGATTCAAACCCAAGTCTTCCAATGCCTGTACAACACAGATGAAAACGCCCTCGTTGGTGCACCGACGGGGAGCGGGAAGACGGTATGCGCGGAGTTTGCGATCATGCGATCACTTATGACGAATCAGGATGGACGTTCCGTGTACATGGCGCCGACGGCGACGCTTGCTGATGAACGATACGACGACTGGAGCTCGAGATTTGGGGCGCTTGGCGTCTCCGTCACCAAGCTCACGGGTGATACGACGGCGGATCTGAAATTGTTAGAAAAGGGACAAATCGTCATCACCACACCGCAACAGTGGGACGTCATAAGTCGTCGATGGAAACAGCGAAAGAACGTACAAACGGTGTCGCTGTTTATTGCGGATGAACTTCAGCTCATAGGCGGTTCCAACGGTCCGACGATCGAAGTCGTCGTCTCGCGTATGCGTTACATGTCGAGTCAACTGGCGAAACCTGTCAGAGTGTTGGGTTTGTGTACCTCGTTAGCAAACGCTCGCGACTTGGGCGAATGGATCGGTGCGAGTTCTCACGGCACGTTCAACTTTTCTCCGGGCGTTCGCCCAGTGCCACTCGAGATCCACTTCCAAGGCGTAGATATCATCAACTTTGAGGCGCGAATGCAGGCCATGGCGAGACCAGTGTATGGGGCGATTGCGAATCATTGTCGTCGATCGGAGCCGTCGATTGTCTTCGTGCCTACGCGTAAGCACGCGAAGTTGGCGTCTCTCGACTTGCTCGCGTTTGCCGCTGCGGAGGGCGAGCCGGGTCGGTTCTTACAAGTTGAAGAAGGTGATCTCGAGCCTTACTTGGCGCAAATATCTGATGAGTCTGTACGCCATGCCCTGACGTTTGGCGTCGCGCTTATTCACGAAGCCATGAGCGAAAAGGAGCGAAAGGTTGTCGAACGAGTGTTCGCCGTCGGTGCGGCGTCTGTGCTCGTCGCCACTGCGCCCCTGGCTTGGGGACTCACGACTCCCTGCAAGCTCGTGGTCATCATGGGGACGCAGTACTACGACGCCGGGGGTGCTGGTGCGGCGGATTATCCAGTGACGGATCTTCTTCAAATGATGGGCCGTGCATCCAGACCTGGCATCGACGATGCCGGTGTGTGTTTACTCTTGTGTCACGCGCCGAGGAAGGAATACTACAAGAAGTTCCTCTTCGAACCGTTCCCTGTCGAGTCGCACCTCGATCACTTCTTGCACGATCCCATGGTGGCTGAAATTGTCACGCGCACGATCGAAACGAAGCAAGACGCCGTGGACTACATCACGTGGAGCTTCTACTACAGGCGACTGACGCAGAACCCGAACTACTACAATCTCACCGGCGTTTCGCACCGCCATCTTTCCGACGCTCTTTCCGAGCTCGTCGAAACGACTTTGGGTGACTTGGAGGCGAGCAAATGTATCAGCATCGAGGACGATATGGATTGCGCTCCACTGAACCTCGGGATGATTTCCGCGTACTACTACATCACGTACACGACGATTGAACTCTTCGCCGCTTCGCTCACGGCGAAGACCAAACTGAAGGGTTTACTTGAAATCGTTGCCGGTGCGACTGAATTCGAGTCCTTTGCCGTCAGACCGGGCGAGGCAGATATGCTTCGACGCATACTCAACCACGCGCCGATCACGTTATCAAGCAATAAAACCACGGATCCGCATGTCAAGGTCGCCGCTCTTCTCCAGGCATACTTTGGCCGAACGAGCATTCACGGCGACTTTACGCAAGACTTGCAAAAGATTTTGCCCGACGCAACGCGCCTGCTCCAAGCTATGGTCGATGTCATCTCATCTAACGGATGGCTCGGCCCCGCGCTCGCCGCGATGGAGCTTTCGCAAATGATGGTGCAAGGCATGTGGGACAAAGACCCAGCAGTGATGCAGTTGCCGCACATCGACCAAGAGACCGGCGAGCGATGTGTCACGGCTGGCATCGAGGGTGTCTACGACTTGATCGATATGGAAGATGACGCGAGGCGCGATATTTTACAACTCAGCGATGAGCAGCTCGAAGACGTGGCGGAAGCAGCGAATCGTTACCCGAGCATTGAAGTAGCATTCGACGTCACTGACCCCGACGACGTCACCGCGGGCGACGCAGTGGAGATCGTCGTCAACCTCGAGCGCGAGATCGAGGGCGAAATCGGTCCAGTTTTTGCGCCGCGATATCCAGGGCGAAAGGAAGAAGCTTGGTGGCTCGTCGTCGGTGACGTGAGAAAAGGCACCTTGCACGCTATTAAGCGCATCACGCTCGGCAAGAGGCAAAAAGTCAAGCTCGAGTTCGCGGCGCCGGAACAAGTGGGCAAGGCGGACTTGACTTTGTACTTTATGTGCGATTCCTACCTCGGATGTGATCAGGAGTACGAATTTACCCTCGACGTCAAGGAGGGAGAGGACGAGAGCGATGACGACGCGATGAAACCGTGATGGAAACACTGAAAAAAATACTGTCGAGCAGCGCCGTGCTAGCGGACGCACCAAAAGTTGTCAACACATGCAAAACTTTAGTCATTACTGTTCTCACTACGACTACGCTACGACGCTAATAATACAACACACGGAGCAATTAAACGAGCACCGGACGCAGGAGCGCGCCGAGCCGAACGGAAGCAATGTGGGTCGCCGAGGCGACGCCGCGTGAACGCGCGGCGCGGTTCGACGGCGATTGAGCGCGCGCAACGACGGATACGCCGCAGGTTCGCGCGCGATCTCCACGGGCGCGCATAGCCGGACGCCGTGCATCGATGCCAACTCTCATCGATCGTCGTGGGTCGAAGCACGAGGCGATGACGCCACTAGCGCGTTTTGTGGCGCCGCCCGCGCTGCGGTCCGCGCGGCGCACCAAGGCGCCGAATCCGAGCGTCGCCGCGCCGAACGCGGCGAGATTCGGCGCTAACGCCACGGGATTGGCGAACGACACGTGCGCGAGGACGGCGATCATCGCGCCAGACACTAGATTTGCGTAGTTAACCAACGTCGCCGCGAACGGGACGTTCAACGCGAATTCCATCGCGTACGTGACGGTGAGCAAAGGCAACGGCGACAGCATCGCCATCAACGCCACCGCTGACCCGATCGAACCCAGCGTGCCGCCCATGGTGTATAAAACTGCGCTCGCGCACAGCATGGAAGCCCCGTAACGGCGCGCTAACGCGCACACCATGTCCCGCGCTTCATCCCTCGCCATGTTCGGCTGGAACAAAATCCCGAGCGCGAGCAAAGCCGCGGGCTTGTTCGCGCCGGCCAAAAACGCCAAAAACCCATCAATCGCTGGCGGAAATCCTCCGTCGCCCCACACCGCGCGATAACACAGCGTTACGAAACACGCCAACAGACACGGATTCCTCGCTTGCTTGACCATCGAACGTCGCATCGATTCCAGAATCTTCGTCGTCGATCCGTCCTTTGCCGCCTCGCCCGCGCCGTCCACGTCGATTTTCGAGCATCTCCACGTGTATATCGCGTGCGCCACGATCAACAAAAACACTTGATTCGTCGCGTCGAACACGACGATCAGTTCCAGCGCCTTCGCTCCGTACAATATCTCCGCCAACGGGTACGCAAAGTTCCCCAGATTCAACCCGACCGCCGCGCCGCTCACCAACGCCTCGCGCGACCGTCGCGACATCTCGATCAACGCGTCTCCCGACGACCGCGCGTTCGCGCCCCGCATCGCGCGCGTCGTCGTCAGCGACACCAGCACGCACGCGCATCCGAACGCGCATCCCGCGAGCGCGACGCACCGCGCGCTCGCATCCATTCGCGCCGTCGCGAACGTCCGCGCCATGACGGCCGGAAGCGTCGAGCTGAATATGATCACGCACAGCGACCGTCCGTCGCGCTCGGTGACGTAGCCCAGGTGCCGCAGCGCCGCGCCGAACGCGACCGCGCTCGCGGCGACCGCGAGCGACATGCCGCGCCGCCGTCGCGCGTCGGCGTGTGCGAGGCGTTCGCACCGCAGAACGCGACGCCGCGGCGCGCGCGACGACGATCGACGCCGCGCGCGAGAGAGAGAGACGCCGCGGGGGCGTCGTCGCGCGCGAGAGCGACCGCGCGCGCGATCGGCGGCGCGCGCGCGACGTCGCGGGCGATCGAGGGCGCCAACACTATAAAACGTCATGGAGAACGCGGCGCTGCGCGATGCGCGCGCGGTGACGCACGGAGCGGCGTCGGCGAGCGCGGACGTTGAAATCGGTGATGATGGATGCGCGATCGCGGGCGGGCGCGCGCGAGAGACGCGCGCGGGAGGACGCGGGGGGTGGTTGACGGCCGGCGCGTGCGCGGCGGCGTGCGGGCTGGGCGTCGCGCTCGCGATGGCGGGATCGCGAAATGGTGACGAGACGGGCGGACGCGGCGTGATCGCGCGCGAGGACATCGATGTGCGACGTTTCGTGGCGGTGCCGATGCTCGGATCGAAGAGGGGACGCCGGGGGACGTCGTCGAAGCGCGGCGACGACGACGACGACGCGCCGGGGCTCGGGATCGATGGTGACGACGACGTCCCGCCGTTCGCGGCGAATACGGGATATTTTGCCTACGAGGAATGGTTCAAAAAATTCACGCATGGGAAGAGCCCTGGGGAAAGTAAGCGCGAACTCGCGGGCGCGGCGGCGGCGACGCCGATTCAAGAGAGCGCGCATCGCGGCGTCGTCGATTCGGATGGTTGGAAGACGATTCGAGACGATTTGAGGCACGCTGGCGGTAAACGTAAGTTATTGCTACTTCTGCGCCACGGCCAGGCGACGCATAACGCGTGGGGTGATACTGTCGACGAAGAGTTGGAGACGCTGCCGTGCACGTGGCGAGACCATGGTGACTTACTCGATCCGTCGCTCACGGATCGCGGCGTAGAGCAAGCTTTGACGACGCGTGCCTCGCTCACGACGAGAGATGGGTTCTTTAAGGCGATTCGAGGCGGCTCAGACAAAAAGGATAGAATTCGCGTGGCTTCGTCGCCGCTCTCACGAGCGATGGAAACCGCCATCATCGTCACGTCTGGCGTCGATCACATCTCGCGTCCGATTGCTGTCACGGACTACTTGCGCGAGCGCATCGAACTCAACGCCCCGTTTGAAGTTCGCCGACCGATCTCCATAGACGAGGGCGAAGACTCGGACGCGTCGAAGTTGATCAAGAATTCCCACGCGCACGGATGCAAATTCCACAAAGGTTTGCGCGAGCTCTACGGCGACGACGCATTCATGCTCAACGTAGAGACGCATCACAAGCATCACTCGGATTGTAGGGTCGACAAGACGACTCCGCTGTCGTACACGCACTGCGGCGGCCTCACGCTCACGCACGAGGCCGATTTGGAGTTGGGTGACGAGAGGGAGGAGAACATCATCGCAATGATGAATCGCGTGAAAGTCGTCCTCGCCAACGTCTTCGACAGGTACGACGAAGAAGTGGTCATGCTCGTCACGCATTCCGACTTTATCATTTCGGCGTTGATGGAGTTATATCCCGACACGCTCGGTTTTGTACCACAAAACGGCGAAGTGGTACCCATCGTCGTCGAGGACCGCCGAACGAATCATTTGCCTGAGGCGCACGCCACGGACGATGACGCGAGTGAAACGGCGTCGAAAGCCAAGACAAAATCAAAGGCTGCGGTCGGTGAGGCGGATCACAACAGGAAGCACGCCAAAAGCGAAGACGAAGAAACAGAAGATCGCACGGCGCGTGGGAAGAAGTCGATGCGAGCGAAGGCTTCGACGGGCGACGAAATCGTCGTAGATTCAGATTCTTCCGGTCCGGCGGCGACGATCAAATACTTCGATGACGACGATCAGACGGCGAAAGAATCCGCCACGCGGCACAAATCTAGAAAGCGTGAAGCTTCTCTCGGGAATGATTTGTCCCGTCGCGTCGAGGAATCGCTAAAAAATTTCCACAAACAATTTGAGCGCTCTGCGGACCTCGGTAGTGAATAGAATCTAACAATCTACAGTAGCGTTACAAGTGCGTGTAATCACGACTAGTCATGACGTTCTCTTGATTCCAACTGCGCCTGCACCAACGCTCGCATATCGTCCAACACGCGTCGCTCCTTTGCCGCGCGTTCCTCCTTGCTCAACGCCGCCAGCGCCGCCTTTTCCTCAGCCGAGTACACCTGCGCTTCCTTCCGCATCCGTACCGCGTTCATCCTCGAGTGCCGGCTTCCCGACATCACGTATCCTAAGTTTTCGAACCGTTCAATCTGATCCGTCTTTAATCCAATCTCTCCTCGTCGCGGGATGCGTTCGCCCGCCGCCGCGAATCGTCCCATGGCTTCGCCTTCGCCGGCGAGCAAATGTTTCCCGTGATTGATCGCGTCGCGATCGACTTCGAACGACTCGGGAGGGGGAGGGGGTCCGATAAGTGCCTCCCCGGCGTCGAGCGCTTCGCGTTCGGCGCGCTCGGCGGCGCGTCGGACGGATTCCAGTCGCTCGTGTCGCTTTTTGAGAAATTGCTTAAACCTGTGCGTTTGGTCGCCGTCTGCGGCGTCGCGCGAGCGACTGCGCGAGCGCGAAGACGACGACGACGTCGAGGCGTCGCGTTTCGAGCGTTTCGAACGCTCGTCGGCGCGACCGCGGGGGTCGGGAGACGGCATGCGCGCAGGACTAGGTCTGAGGGACGAGCGAAGCGACGCGCGGCGTGTTGCGCGTGCGAGTGTGTGTGAATGTGAGATAGAAATACACGCGTTGATATCACTCGACGCTACTTGTCCGGAGCGCTTGTGGCGCTTAAGCTCGAGGTTGAGCCCTTACGCGCGGCGCGTAGCGCCTTTTCTATGTCCACTTGCTCCCTGTAGACTTCGCGCAAATCGCCCAGGACGTCTTTGAACGCGCTGCGGCGTTCGGGTTGGGTGGCCCACGCGCCGTGGATGATCTTGCGGTAACCCTCGGGCGCGCTCGCTGGGAGTTCAAGGTTTTTTGCGGTCGCCGCGAGCGAGGCGTCGAGATCGGAGGTCATTTGGAACACGATTTGGTACTCGTTCAAGTCTTCCCACGGGATGCGCCGAGTGAGGAGTTCCCAGAGGATGACGCCGTACGCGAAGACATCTGAAGCTTCGCTGAATTTACCGCCACGTATCACTTCGGGAGAGGCATAGTTCACCGTGCCTGTCATACCCGTCTGACGCGAAAGCCGTGAACTGTGCTTCACTTTGCTCAAACCAAAGTCGGTGATTTTTACCATGCCATCGCGATTGACGAGAACGTTGTTCGTGTTCAGGTCACAGTGCACGATTGGGAACGGTTTGGCGGAGTGCAAGTAAACCATTCCTTGCGCGATCGTCATCGCCCATCGCGTGAGCGTGAGCGTGGTGTACGGCGTAGTCGTTCGATGGAGAAATTGGTGAAGCGATCCCTTATCCATGTACTCGAGAACGATGGTCAAATTCGGCGCTTGCGTGCACGCGCCGAGCCACAAGACGATGGACGGGTGCCTCAGTCGCGACAATATCTGCACCTCGCGACGGAAATCGCTCAACCCTTTACCCATCATATCTTGATTGAATAGCTTTTTCACCGCCACGAGACTGCCGTGATACCGACCGAGGAAGACCTCGCCGAAACCGCCGTGACCGATTCGATTTTGCGACGACGGCACGCCTCCTTCAAACTCGATATCCTTGTAATCAATCTCCCACTCGGTGTTAAGCTCCATGACTCGATCACCCTCGACCGGTTCGTCTTCGGGTAAAATTGAACGCGAAAGATCCGAAAGCGGCGTCGGCGAAAACGAACGCGCGCCGACGTTCAGTCTGCTCGGCGACGGCGTCGAGAGGCCCGGATCCGAAGGCGGCGTGCGATACGGCGATACGCTCTGCGTTCGCGATAAGCGTCCTGCGGGCGAATTTTCCCCAGGCATTTTCGCAGGCGTCGAACGAGGTCGCTCGTACTCGGTGTGTTCGTCATCCATGTTCAACGCTGCGAACTCCTCGAAAGCCTTCACTTCTAAGTACAGCTGCATGAGTTGCTCGCCGAGCTTTGTCAAATCGCACGTGCTCGGAAACAGTTTCCTACGCGGATCCCACCCCGGAGTCGACTCTAAAATGTCCAACACGCGCTCCTCGAGCGCGTCCTCACAGCTTCTCGACGCCTGCAGCGTCGCCTCGCAATAAACGCTGAGCTGTGGACCAGGTTCGTCGTACTCGGCCGCCTTGACTTCGTCCAAGACGTGCATGAACCATCCTATCAAAACGCTCGCGCGGGCTTTTTCAGAAATGAACTCGATCCACGACACGTCGAGCTCGAGCTCGAGCGGGCTCAGTCCACCGCGTGGCGCGCCTAAAGGTTTGCTCAAAGGCGGCGTGACGCCCGTCTTCTCGTCCGCGTTCCCCTTTTCGGCGTCCGCGGCGCCGGCGCTCGCGCGCAAAATGTTAATCGCGCGAATCACTCGCACGCGTTCTAAATTTCGCTCCAAGTGCAGCGATTGCTTCAAGTCTGCCTCGGTCAACCGCAACAGCTCGTATCCATTCACTTTAGCGCTCGCGAACGCGTCCACTAACTCCTCGAGTTCTGAGCTCTTCAACCACTCGCTCACGTCGCCGATGCTCCACGCGTCCACGCCCCGCGACTGACTCTCCTCTAAAAGTGACGATTGCGACGCATTCCTCGACGGCGACTTCGGCGTCGCCGAATTCCCACCATCTCGCGTCCCCACCTTCCCCAGCGCCCGCGCCAGCGCCTTCGTCTTCACCTCAACCGTAAACGTCCGACTAAACTCCGCGCGCTCGTTCGACAGTTCCACCGCGTGCAACTCCCGCACCGGTCTCACCCCCAGCACCCTATCGAACGTCACCGTCACCTCCACGTCGCACGACGTCTTCACCCCTCGCAATTCGCATTCAAACGGCGCCTCGTCCACCCGCCTCTCTCCGTGTCCGCCGCCGAACACGAACAGCGCGCTCTTCATCGTCCCGCGCCCGCCCCTCGCGAAGCACGTCACGTCGTACGTTCCCTCCCCCGACGCTCGCGCCGCGTTCCCGATCGCGCACTCCAGCGCATCCGTCGTCTCACCGTCGTCCGCGTCGTCGCTGTCGCTCTCCGCGCGTCGTCGCGCCAGGCGCGCGCCGAGCAGCCCCGACGTGCGGTTGACTTGCGTCTCCTTGAAAAACTCGCCGAGCGTCAGCGTGCGCGCGTTCGCGCGCTGTTTCGAGCGTCCCATGGCGACGACGCGCGTCGCGCGCCTCGACCCTCGCCCCGGCCCTCGCGCGCCGCCGGCGCGACGCGAACTCGCGCGCGCGGCGACGAATGCGTCGAGTTCGAGTCGCGCCGAATAAACGGACACACGGCGTATGGGCAAACAGTGAGACACCGAGCGCGCCGTTGGTGTCCCGCACACGCGGGTGTGTCGCGCCGCGCCGCCCCGCGCGCGCCGCCGCGCGCCACCGCGCGGCGCGCGCGACTCGACGCGCGCGATGGCGCCCGCGCGGCGCGGAAGCTTCGACCGCGGCGATGCCGACGCGCGCGGACGCGAAACCGACAGCGACGACGGCGACGAGCGGCGACATCACACGCTGACGCTCGCGCAGGGACGCGCGCTGCGGCGCGAGCTGAGCCGACACACGCTGCACGCGCTGGGCGGCGAGCGCGTGTGCGAGGAGAGCTCGCCGGAGACCACGCTTGGGTCCACGCAGGCGGAGGCGCTGGGACGCGCGTTCCTGGCGTCGACGGAAAGGGCGAACGATGGGGAGGCGACGGAGGCGGAACGGGCGGCGGCGCGCGTCGAGCTGGAAAACGTCGAACGCGAACGAAGGTCGACGGAAAGACGGTCGAGCAGACATTCGATCGACGCGCCGGCGCGAAAGGTGAAGTTTGATGCGGTGCCGGAGATGATTCCGAGGGTGGCGTCGGGCGACGACGTGAAAATGGTGAACGCGGCGAACGCGGGGACGGGGGCGACGACGCTGAGCGCGTCGACGGGGAAAGAACTCGCGGCGGAATTGAAGAAGACGCGATCGAAGATGGACGAAATAAAAGCCAGCGTGTCGAAGAAGTCGTCGTCGTATAAAGCGGCGGACGTCACGGGCGACGAAAACGTGCTCGAGGGGAAGGAGGAGAAGACGCGTCGCGCCATCAAAGCGATTCAACGACAGACGGACGCGCTGATGTTCCTCGCGGACGCCGTCGAGGCTAAAGACTTGCCTGGTCTCGCTGAGAGAATGCGCGAACGTCTGCGAACGATGAAAGAAAACTATCACGACATCACGTCTTACGAAGGTTTGCGTCAGCGTAAAAAAGGGGCGCTCAAGGCGGCAAAAAAGATGGATTTGTTGCGCGCCGCGTTCAACGTCGACGAGGCGCCGAAGGACGCGTGCCCGATGCCGACACACAAGAGCGATAAGCCGCTGAAGAGAAAACGAGAGTATCGTATTTTGGGGACGAAAATGCTGTGCGCGGGTGTGTGTTTTCTCGTGCTTCTGATGATTCCGTTCTTAGTGACGCAGTACGAAGAACACGAGCACCACACCGGTTGCGATTCGATAAGCCAGGGTATGATTAAGCTCGACCACGCGAGCTCGGGACAACTCGAAGTGAACTTGTTGGTTGGTCCGTGCACGTACAACGCGAGTGATTTTCATATGTCTTACAACATCTATCAATCGTACAACCACCATACGTACCAATTGGGAGCGCTTGGCAAACCGTTGACGACGCCGCATTGGAGTGCGGCGTCCAGTGGGCATCGGCGTAAACTTCTCGGTGGTGGCGGCGCCGGTGTCAGCAAGCACGTCAAAGCAAGTTTTGAGACGTATATTTTGAGTGAATATCAATCCAAACACGGGAGCGTGTATATGAACTTTACCACAGATTGTCCCACGCCAGTGGCGATCTCGCTCACTGCGACGGATACCGGCTTGGTGGGCATCGCCGGTATGTGGCTCGGTTTAGTTCTTCTCATCAGTATCTTCGGGTTGATCATTACTGAAATCATTCACCGCACCCTAGTTGCGTTCATTGGCGCCGCCGCTGTGCTGTTTATCCTGTCTTTACAACATCGCTTGCCATCGATAGCGACGATTTTGACGTGGATGGATCACGGCACGCTCGCGCTGTTGTTCGGTATGATGATCATCGTCGCTCTACTTTCCCGCACTGGCGTGTTCGAGTATATATCCGTACATATTGTCGAGTACTCAAAGGGTAGCATGTGGCGCTTGTTCTTCATGCTCATGATATTCGACGCAGTGTTGAGCGCGTTTTTGGACAACGTCACCACAATGTTGCTCCTCGCACCCGTGGCGCTGTCTCTGTGCAAAGCTTTGAACATTGATCCGCGTCCACTTTTGATTCCGCTCTCCATTTTCGGTAACATTGGTGGATGTTCCACACTCATTGGTGATCCTCCGAACATTATCATCGGAAACGCGCTCAAGGAGCACATCGGTTTTGTCGACTTTTTACGAGTCCTCGGTCCGGGGGTCTTGCTCACGATGCCGTTTATTTTCGCTTTTGTCAAGTGGTACTACGGTGACGCATTGTTTGGTCAAAAGATCAACGTCGACATCGACGAATTGCGCGCAAAGTATCCCATACGCGACATGAACTTGCTCATTCGCAGCGGAACGATTTTGATTTTTGTCATTTTGCTATTCTTTTTGCACCCCGTGATGCACATGGAACCGGCGTACGTTGCGGTTTTCGGTGCGATCGCAATACTTCTCACAGGAAGCCACGATGAGTTTGAGTACGCGCTCGAAAAAGTTGAGTGGGACTCTTTGTTGTTTTTCGCGGGCTTGTTTGTGTTCACCGAGGGCATCGCTAAGCTCGGCTTGCTCAGAGCCATCGCCGATGAGCTCTCGACGCTCATCGCCTCCTTCCCTATCGGGCAGCGTCAGATCGGCGCCATGTTGCTGGTGGAGCTCGTCGCTGGTATCGCGAGCGCATTCGTGGATAACATTCCATTCACCACGACCATGCTTCCGGTCATCATACAAATGAGCGAAAACGTACAGGGCATCTCCATCGAAGCGCTCGCGTGGGCCCTCTGCTTCGGCGCCGACTTCGGCGGCATCGGAACTTTGATCGGCTCTTCCGCCAACATCGTGATGGCTGGTATTGCCGCCGAAGCTGGTTTTCCCATCACCTTCAAGTCCTTCTTCCGAATCGGCTGGCCCGTGATGTGCATCTCCTTGTGTATCGCCGGCGCCTACCTCGCCGCGCTTGAAGGCGCTGGGACTTTCAAAGTCAAAGACGACGACAGCGCGTCCTACAGCTGAGTCGATCGCACGTATGTATCGCGTTTGTCATATTATTATCTGCGTATTGTGCCGACCGCGTCGTCGTTCCGTTTCGTATCCTTCGTCGATCGAGCGCCGAGCCGTCGCGCCGTCCCGAGCCGTCGCCGTCGCCGTCCCGCGCGTCGTCGCCGCCCGCAGTTCGCGCCGCTGCCCGGTGCGTGACTCCCGTCGAAGCCTGGACGGACCGCGGGCGATGGATAAATACAGAAAGCAACAACGCAAGCGCGAGATAGAGAAAAACAAGGAACGACGCAAGGAGGCGCGCGCAGTCGCGGCGCAAACGAAAGATTTGAGTGAATTACAGGCTGAACGTGAGCGACTGGAAAAGGCGAAAAACGCGCCGCAAATCCCAGGACAGCGCCTGCGAGTGGATAAGATTGATGAAAAGCTCACGTGGCTGTCGAAGCAAATCGACGCGAAGCGAGCAAGCGATGCGCGAGATCGAGAGGCTGGGTTGACGCCGCGAAGCGCGAAACCGCGAGGGCCGACGTCGACGGCGTACGCGGTTGGGGCGGAACAGTACTATAAACCAGAGGATTCGGTGTATTGGCACCCGAAGTTGAATCCGACCGGACGTCCGCCGGCTGGGAAACCGCAGAAGTGGAAGGCAGGGATCGTGGTGGATGAATGCGCGAGCGCTTCGAGACAAGCGTTGCCGGCGGCGACGGCGGCTAGCGACAGTGATAGCGACAGCGACAGCGACAGCGACGCGATGCCGCCGCCGCCTGGTCCGCCACCAGGGTTTGAATTGGTGATCCCCGCGTTGCCGGTGAAAGATGATGCGATCGCGGCGGCGAAGACGGACACGAACGACGAGGACGAACCGTTGTTGCCGCCGTCGGCGCCGCCGGACCACGAGGACGAACCGTTACCGCCGCCGCCGGTACCAGCGGGCGACGAAGATGGATCAGACTCTGAGGCTTTACCACCACCACCGATGCCGCCGACTGGGACGAGCGGCGGTAACGAAGTGGAAGTGGCGCCACCGCGCGTTACGGAGACGACGACTGTGGTGCGCCGCGCACCGGTGGGATCGATGCCGCGCGTTGTTCCAGTGCAGAGAAGACCGCCGCCGCCACCAAAGCACGGTGTCGGTGGTTTCTTCGCCGCCGCTCCTCGGGCAGTACGAAAACCGCCGTCCGATCCGGCGACATTTACGAAGAGCGCTGCGCCGACGGCGACGCCCATCGTTCGCGCCGAACACAACGTGAAACTGAAAGCACTCGTTCCCGCGAGCGTTCGCGTGAACCGGCAGGAGGCACCCAACGCAAAACGACAACGCGTTGTAACTGGACGAGCGATTAACGCTGCGCCGAAGGTCGCCGCGTCGTCATCAGCAGGCGGCTCGGGCAAGGCGGCAGACGAAACGTACCTCAGCTTCTTAGACGAGATGAGCGAACTAGGGGCGTTCGCAGAGTAGAATCTAGCACAATTTAGTAATACAACGATCCCTAACGCTTCTTTGCGAGAGCGAGAACTTCGGATTCGCGAACTTCGCACGCCCAGTGCAATAACGTTTGTCTCACTACGGGTGAAATGCGTGAATCGTCCCAACTCGCGTTAGCGTTGATAATCTTGTTGATGAGATTCGTCTTCCATCGCCCCTTTTCCCCGCACACGCCTTTCCAACGTGATATTTGCCTGTCGTCTTCGCCGTCGTTCAACCGCCTTCCCTGATAAAATCTGCAGTACCAGTGAAACCATCCTCGTGGGTCCCGCGAGTCGATCCACCCGCTCTCTTCCCAGTACGTTTGCGTTTGCCCCGCCTTGACGCCGTACATGTTCGTCGGAATGTTATATTTGCGACTCGCGTACCAGCTCTTATCTAAGCCCTCGAACCATTCATTCGGAAACTCCGAAGGGTCGATGTTGCATGGTCCTCGAATACCGGGCTTGCCGCCGCGCGGATGGAAATAGCACCCACCCCACGATCCGGCCGCTATCACTTGCGTGGGCGTGAGGTTGGGCTTAAAGTCTGGTCTGTCTTTGAACACTAGATGTCCTTTGGTCGGATGTCGCGGCACCGCGCCTCGCCGTTCCGGCAGCGCCAAAGCGCTCTTGCGCAGCGCCTCCGACGGCGGCGGCGGCGGTTCATACGCCACCCTCGCGCGTCCCGCGGTGCTAACGATCGCTTTATCAACGTCCTTGAACATGTCCTCATCGCTGTAACTCTGCACCGCCTTTCGCGCGCGTCCGGACGTGCGTCGCGGCGCTTCGCTCGCTGACGTCACCGCCGCGCTTTTTGAGACTTTCGGCCGCGGTGACGCGCGGGATTTGCGGACGCTCGCGGCGAGGACGTCGACGCCCAACGCTCGCATTCGTTCTTTGTTCGCGACGATCTTCTTTTCGCGCGCGCGTTCGTATGAATCGACCATCGCGCGAGCGAATGACGGTTCATGTTTTTTGTCTTCGCTTTTTACTCTCTCAGTCTCAATTCTATGTTTTCTTCGCCGAGCTTGACTGAAATTGGATCGGCTTGGCGTCGGCGTCGTGGCGCCCGCGCGCGCACGGCGCAAGCTTTAGAAAGTCATCGAAGTCGTAGACGAGTTTGCCGCAGCACGACCAACCCTTCTTGGTTTCGTGAAAGATGGGAGCGCCCGAGTGATGTTCGCACGCGTCGTCCGCGTTGTCGCGCTCACGAAACTTTCGTCCGCATCCCGGATTCTTGCACGTCTGCTCCGTGTCCAAATCTACCTCGGGTTTGACCTTCTGTGCGACGTCCGGCGTCGTTTCGCGCGCTTCTGTCGTTGAAGTCGTCGCCGGCGACGCGCTATTCGCGTGCTCGGCGCAATAAAATCCGCTCTTACATCGAACGCACGCGCTCGCGTCGCCCTCGCCTCGCGCGCGCGCTTCCATGGACAAAGGCATCGCCGGTGCTGCAGGTAATCGCTCAACCACCGCCGCTGCTTCGTCGTCTTCATACGTTATCTTCGCGCACGTGTGCGTCCCGCTCGCGCAACCTTTGATTGACATGAACTCCCCGAAGTCGTGCGACGACTTCCCGCAGCACGGCCACGACTTGACGCCGTCTCGAAAGCAAGGTCGTTTCGTGTGATGCACGCACGAACCCGGGACGTTCCCGGGGCCCGGGGCGTAGTACGCGTCGCATCCGAGTCGTTGACAAGCGTATGTGCCATCGGCTCTGGTGCAGGGCGGAAGCGCGGTCAAGTCATCTTCGAACGACCGCGGCGTCGGCGTCGACATCGATCGACGGCGGACGTGAAATGATTTAATTCTGTGCGCGACGACGCGGCGAGGCGCGCGCGGGGCGCGATCGAGGGCGTCGCGCACTGCGGTCGACGCGACGGCTTCCGAGCGTTTCGACTACTGCACTCGGTCATAAATTACAACACTGATTGCGATGACGATCGCTTTGTCGCGACGATGATCGATCGTCATCAAATCGTGGCTCGACTGCCGCCGAGCGCGAGGACGTCGGCATCGGCCGCGTCGACGTCGACGAGCGGCTCGAACGGCGACGCCCAACGCACGCGCACGCGAGGCATTCGACCATCCGCTCCCGCGGGCGCGCACAGCGACATGACGTGCGACTGCGATGCGCGCGGTTTCAACAGCGCGAACCGCCAAGGGACGGTACCATCGTCGGTGACATCGCGCAAATCCATCGACCACGTCTTCGCCGCGTCCTCGGCGACGTCCCACGCTATGTCAAACTCCCTGAACGGACGTCCGGCGATTCCTAACCCTAAAGCCTTAACATACGACTCCTTCGCAGTCCACAACCGCATGAACGCTCGCGCGCGTTCGTCGTCCGCGACGATATCGCTCAGACGCCGCGTCTCGTCGTCGCTCAACCACCGCCGAGCGAATTTCCCCACATCCGTCCCTATTCGTCTATTCTCATCCTCCACATCGATCCCGCACGCATCCCCGTTCGTCGTCACCGCCACCGCGGTGAGCCCGTCGCAGTGGCTGACGCTGAACCCACACCGCGCCGCCAGCGTCGCCGGTCCGCGCACGCTCGGCTTCCCTCGCGCGCCGTACGCGAACGTCACGTCTCGCGCGTCTCGCGCGTCTTCATCGTACCGCATCAGCACCGTCCGCGCGAACGCGCGCGAGATCAACCTCGTGGCGTTTCCCATCAACTCCGTTCGCTCGTCTTCGCTCACCAACGCTTCGGCGCGTCGCGCGAGCTCGTTCTCGCTCGCGTCGTCGCCTCGCGTCCCCGCGCGCGCGTCGTAGCACCACACGTCGATCGTCTCGCCCGCGTCCCCGCCGCCCGCGCCGCCGTCGTCCGCCTCCACCGACGTCGTCCGCGCGACGCCGCGCGCGACGCCGCGCTCGAATCGCGCGCGCGCGCGCGTCGTTCGCGTCGTTCGCGCGCCGCGCGCGCGCCGAGTCAACGCCCAGCGCCCATCGCGCGGCGCCGCCGCGCCGTCCTGCGCGCCCGCGCGGCGTCCGCGCGCGCGCGCGCACTCGCGCGCGCACCATCGCCGCGTCGTCGCGCTCGCGAACGCGCGCATCGTCGCGCCGCGCGCGTCGTCGCGCTGTGCCGGTCAAAGCCGCGATCGCGTCATCACACCGCGACGCGCGCGCGGCGCGCGACGATGCCCGCGCCGGGCGCGGAGGGGACGGAGCGCGCGTGCGGCGCGTCCGGACGCGCGCTGCGCGACCGCGCGACGCTGAAACACACGAGCAGACAGCAGGAAATCATCTTGCAATCGATTCGAGCCACCGAACAGACGATCGGCGCGATCAAACGCGCGTCGCTGAGCGAAGAGATCGAAAGAAGGCGCGAGACGGCGCTTGGAATCGTGCGTGATATCGATGCGGCGTGGAAGGCGATGCCGGCGGTGCCCGAACGCGGCGCGGGGGCGGCGAGGGAGTGCTTTTTGCAGTGCGACGCCGCGGGCTGCGGCAAGTGGCGGCGAGCGCCGCGCGCGATGGGCGACGCGCTCGCGGGCGACGCGAAGTTTTACTGCAAAGACGGCCGAGACGGGAGATTTAATCGATGCGAGATGGCGCAGGAGGTCGGCGACGATGAGGTGGATAGCATTTTGGATGAGAGCGTCGCGGCGGACGCGGAGGCGCGGGAGAGGTGCAAGCGGGACATCTCGAACGAGCGAGGGAGGATGTATCAGAAACGGAAGAGGTTGTTGGAGTTGGAGCGAAGGCACGATATTGGAGAGATCGAACTTCAGGAGGACGGGACGTACGTGACGCTGGCGAAGCGGGGGAAGAATGGAAAGAATGGGAAGCGTCACGGGAATAACGGCGTCGGCGGACTCGGTTCAAAGGCGCCGCCGCATCCTGGTCCGTTCGATGAGTTCGCGTGGGTGCAGTGCGAAGCGGAGGGGTGTGGGAAGTGGCGTAAGGTGAAGCATGCAGCGGTAGAGGGGATGTCGGTGCGAGATCGTTGGGTGTGCTGCATGAACGAAGACAAGGAGCATTCGACGTGCAAAACGCCTCAGGAGATGAGCGACGAAGACGTTGACAAGTTTAAAGTCGATCAAGAGAGGCGAATGATTTTGCACCAGAAGCAATTACAAGAGCACTATGCGCACTTCGCACCGCGAGGGGCGAAGTTGCCCGAAGGTTTGATTCGCGTCACGGTGCCGGTGCAGGACACAACGCCGCCCGAGGCGGAGCCGCCCGCCGCGGTACCAGTCGCGGCGCCGGCGCCAGGAACCGCCGAGACCACTAGAATATCGATCGACGATGGACCGGAAGACTCGCCCATGTGGGTACCCGGGATACCGCGTCCGATGGCGCCGCTTGTGACGCCGAACACCATTCCTGTGCAAGTGGCTGTTTCGTGCAACGGGCACGCGGGAGTCTACCTTCCGCGTCGGAACCTGTTTAGATGCCACTGCGAGCAACCAGAACACATGTGTGCGTCGGTGAGCGGCGATGGTGACGGTCGTTTATTCGGGGGATCAGTTTGGGAGGCGCACTGCGGTAAGGCATCGACGAGAAAGTATAAAGCGTCCGTCAAGGTTCATATGAATGGGCCGAATCCGCAAATGTTCATTGGCCGCTGGTTCGATCGTGTCGGCTTGAAAGTCGCCGACGCGAAAGGCGGCGGTGGTGGAGGCAAACCGAAGAAGCCAAAGGTGAAGAGTTTCATTATGGAGCTCGAAGAGGCGATCCTTCCTGGACCGATTAACCAACTGTCGCTTCGTAATTTGATGACCATTTTCGGTTTCATTTTGGACGGCAGCGCCGTCGGCGAAGTTAAAGTCAAGACTGAAGGTGAGGAAAAGGAAAAGCCGAAGGCTTTGACCGCGAATGAGCGACGTGAAGAAGGTGCAAAAGAACTCGGGCGATTCGCATCGGTATGTAAGGCGTGGAAGCAGGCGTCGTTGACAGTGTTGAAGACGGCGGGCGTAGCCAAGGCGGAGAAGAAGAATTTTGACGGGACCGCGCTGCGAACGCAGTTTACCGTGATTACAGAGTACGTCGACCGCAAAGATGAGAAGGAGTGCCAAATAGAACGCTCAGTGACGCTCGCGGCTAATCACCCTTTCGACAAAAAGTCAAAGATGAAGACGGCGCACGTCGACGACGGAACCCCTCCCGGGTGGTGGCCGTCGCTCGGTGTCAAGGCGGAACGTAAAAAGCTCGTCACAGAAGTCATCGAGCAAGAAACCTACGGTGTTGATTTCGTTACCGGTCGCGACGCAACAGAAACACTCAAGCGCGTGCTGCCCGATTACTCTGAAGACGATGTATGGGGACTTTACAAGCAACTTCTCGCGCAAGTGAACGAAAGCTACGGAGCGATGACTCCCGATACTTTGGCGACGCAAAACTTGGCGGTTGCCGCTGAAGATCTCGCGGTAAAGCTTGAACGTAAGGCGGACGCTAAGAGTTTAGCGTTTTCAAAGGCTTTATGGAAACTCGCTGCGGCGGCGATCGAGACGCCAGAATATTATTACGTGCACAGAAAAGGATTTGGCGTCGTGTGCAACCAACCGATTAAAAAGGGTGAGTTTCTCATCGACTTTCTTGGTGAGATCTATCCACCCTGGGCGTGGGCCGAGAAGCAAGATGCCATCCGTCAGGTGCAAAAGGCACGCGGCCTTCGCGATCGCGGCCCTCCGGAGTTTTACAACATGCAAATCGAGCGCCCGGGAGGCGACGCAGAGGGTTACTCGGTGCTCTTTTGCGACGCGATGCACGAGAACAACTATGCCGGGCGGCTTTCGCACACCTGTGATCCAAACGTCGAAGTCAACTTGAAGGCCATTAATGGCAAGTATGAGATTCATTTCATCACAACTCGAGACATTGCACCTGGCGAAGAGTTAGCGTACAACTATCACAGCTGTACGGATAACATGAAGGAGGTCGAGATGGCGTTTTGCTTGTGTGGCGCTCGCATGTGTCGAGGTTCGTATTTGAACTTTGTTGGCGAAGACCACCACTCGCAAGTTTTGGAGAGCAAGCATAAGCTTATCGATCGACAAGTGATGTCGTTCAAGGCGATCGATAAGGCGGCGGATCCGCTAACTTCGAAACAAGAGCGATCTCTGGCGGCGGTCGGATTCTATCCTGGGAAAGGTTTACTCAGAAACTGCCCGGGATGGTTGCTTCAGTTTGTGGGTGATGTAGCGGTGTACATGGATACCGAGCTCAACGAACTTCCCAAGCACATCCTCGCGGCGGCGAAGAAAGAGCATGCAAAGCTGTTGGAGAAGAACCCGCAAGCTGAGTTTTCTTACACCGAAAAGTTTGCCAAGATTGATGCGCTTGCGATGCGGGAAAACCGAACGCAGTGCGTCGCCATCATGCTGAGTAAATTGCGTCGACTTTTGACGCGGGCGCGCGATGATGGTCCGCAGAAAAGCGTGTACGAGTGCATGGATGTGTTTGAAAAGTCCGCACCACCGTACGTTACGCTCACCGAAGCCGAGATCGCCGCGCATTTTTGGGGGTCTGGTCCGGAGAATTTCGAAAAGTCCATCGTCTGTGGTCTCATTCGCGCCATGGGCCCGCACGAGCGCAAAAACGACGCGGATAAGTTCATCAAGTGGACTAGTATGGTGGAAAGTGTCGCCGTGGAAGTCCGCAAAGGCAAGATGACGCGTAAAGAGTCATTACTTTGGCTTCGTGATGAACTAAAAAAGCTCAAGCAAACCGATGGCGCGCGCCACGACCTCGCTGCGGGACTTATTCACTTATACGCCGAGACCAATCGGTTCTGGCAGCCCTCTTCGGCACCAGAGCATCAAGTTTATAAGAGTGACAAGGTCGCGGTGCGCGAAGACGAAGTCAACGCGTGGGGCGTTGGTGCGGGTGGCGGTGGCGATAAAATCGTCGCCAGAGTGGAGAAAACGTATCGCCCGGGATTTTCTGCGGCGACGATGCTGCAGTGGCACAAGCAAGAGATGGCCGACCCGACGCAGTACATCACCGCGAATCGTAGGGGTAACTTGAGCATGCCAGATATCGCGTGCTGTTATTCCAGTCGTCCCGGACAGCCTCTCGCGAGGTCGAGTGATCGCGAGCATGAAACCTGGCTGGCGCACTTGCAGAGCTGGCCCGAGGAGCCATGGCCGCAATCAAGCGGGCCGTGGGGGGTCGCAAACTCGCAAAAACTGATCGGTTCGCCGGTTTTAGATGCTTGGATGAAGGGCCAGCGATCGATTCCGGCTAAATGCTTGGCGTGGTTGAAAACGAACACGGGCTAAGCGATAAGCATGAGCTTACAACTTCTTTCGTCGTCGATTTTGCCTAGAATTCTTTGTAATATTTCACACGACTACTCGCCAATTCTAACACTGCTGCTGCTCGCGCTCGCGCGCGAGTTTCACCGTTAACGCGATAAGCATGAGCTTACAACTTCGTTCGTCGTCGATTTTGGCGTACTCCACAAAATCATTCGCCTTGGGCAACGCGCCGTTGAGCATGACGTGATCGTCGAAGAACAATGTCAGGTGCTCGGGAATACACAACAACTTGAAATAGAATGCGCAACCCTTGCGCATCGCGGATAATAACGTCGAAAATACGACGATCCTGTCTGTATCCGTGGTCGTCGCGATGTCGTCCAATGACGCGCCCGCTATGTGCTTCGCGTACACCTCGCGTTCGGTATCCGTGAGCTCTATTTCGCCCGCGCGCGCGCTTTGAGCGGATAACTCGCCTTTATCGACAGCATCGTCAAAGACGACATCGGTCGGCTCTTCGTCGTCTTCTTCGTCGTCGACGAACGCGTTCGCCTCGTCTTCGTCCTCGTCCTCGTCCTCGTCCTCGTCTTCAACTTCCTCGTCCGACGACTCGACGGGTTCGGGCAGCGGATCGCACTCGTACGGCTCACCCCCGAACGATTCCACCACGTCTCGTTTCATCAGCGCGCGATACACTAGCAGCGACGCCCACGCATCCATGGCGGCGTACTTGATCTGACTCTCATTCAACTCTTCGCGCTCCCAATTCGACATTCGCGTCTTGTCCTTGGGCAACGTCTTCCCGAGCACGTGTTCGCACAACCTCGCCAACGACCACGACGGCGCGCTCGGACACCCACCCTCGAACCGTTCTTTCGCCAAAACGCTCAACTCGATCACCCTCGACGGTTCTAACCCATAATCCCGCACCAACTTTCTCGCGTCGCCCCTGACGTTGAAGCCCGTCTTCCCCCGCGCGCCGTCTCGCGTCCATCGTTTGAATCGCCGCGTCAACCCCGCGGTGTGAATCCGCGCCAGCACCACCAATTTTTCGCTCAAATCCTCGTTCGCCACCGCGATCTGCACCAGCGACGTCTTGCTCTCCCCCGCGCCCCGCTTAAACGACACCTTCCACTCCATGTCGAATCCGCAGTGCTTCGTCGTCGCCGTCGTCCCCGCGCGCGCGTCGAACGCCTCGATCCGCGCCATCGCCTCCTCCAGCTCCCTCGCCGTGCTCGCGACGACGATCTCCCCATCGTACGTCAGATCGTCCATCGTCGTCGCCCTCGCCCGCGCCGCGCCCGCGCCCGCGCCCGCGCCGTCGCGCGCGTTTTCCTTCGCCTCTGCGTCGCCCGCCGTCGCGTCGTCCGTTCCCGCCGCCGCTTTCGCGCGTTTCGACGCGTCGCGCGCGCCGTCCGTCGCGCGCGCTCGACGTTTCGTCGGCGTCATCGTCGCGCGTCGCGCGTCGCCGTCCGTCGCGCGTCGCCGTCCGTCGTTCGCTTTCGCTCGAATCGCGTCTCGGCCGTCTCGGCCGTCTCGGCCGTCTCGGACGCCGCGATCGCGCGTCGCACCGCGCCGCGCCGCTTTCGCGCCGCGATGGCGCGCGTCGCGACGACGCCGCGCGCGATCGCGCGCGCGTCGTCCGTCGCGCGCGTCGATCGCGCGCGTCCGCGTCGGCGTCGGCGACGCGCGACGCGATCGCGCGCGCGCGTCTCGGACGTCTCGGACGTCTCGGACGACGACGACGACGCCGTCGCGGCGCACGCGCTCGTCGAGCGGCGATCGCTGCTCGACAGCGACGACGCCGAGGCGGACGCGCGTCGGCGCGCGCTCGCCAACGCGCGCGCGATCGCGGCGACGGCGGACGGCGGCGACGTCATGCGCGACGTCGACGCGGACGTCCTGCCGCTGTTGCTCCGGCTGCGAAGCGCGGGCGCCAGCGCGGAGGGGCTGCGACGAGGCGCGGCGGGCGTGCGGGCGTGGAGGGACGCCCTCGCGCGAGGGCTGCTGCCGGACGCGTCGCTCGAGTGGCCGGAGGACGAGACGTTCAGGACGGCGCTGATCGAGGCGCTGGGGGATTTAGACATGGCCAGGTTCACGCGACGGTTTCCGCCGGTGCTGGACACGTTGATGAAGAATGTGTTGGATATTTTGTACGTGTACGAACGCGATCGAGAGGACGAAGACGCGACGCCGGAGTTGCCGCCGACGGAGCCGCGGGATTCGGAGACGGCGAACGATGGAGAGGGAGAGGGAGACGCGCGAGGAAGCGGCGCGGGCGAGAGCGACGAAGAGGAGGGGGAGGGCGAGGCGCGGAGTCAGGCGGGAGGGCGAGGCGGCGCGGGGGAAGAAACCGACGGGAGCGATAACGTCGACGAATTCGACGTGGGGATGGATGGCGACGACGGCGCGAACGAGGCGATGGAGCGGGCGAAGGAGAAGAATAAGGAGATCGTCTCGCGGCTCATGGAGGAGTTCAAAGAGCAGTGGGAACCGGCGATGGATAAGCTCGACAAGGCGGCCAAGGCATTCGAAGGATTAGATTTAGACGACCTCGCCGACGGCCCGGAAGGCTTCGACCTCACGCGAGGTCTGTGGCAGCAGACTGGGTGGAAGGAGCTCGATTCGCTTCGCAAAAAGCTGCAAGACTTGAAAGAGTTGCGCGACATGGTGCGCAGTTTGGGCCGAGGCAGTGGTCGCGGACCTTTGCGTCGCGCGCCGCGACAAAGAGAGCGCCAAGGATTCCCCATAGGTCTCGTGCGAAGTCCGATGGAGCCCGAACAAACATCCGGTTTGTGCCGCTCGGACGATTTGTCCCGCATGATGCCGAGCGAGATGGTGCTACTCGCGTCGAGTCTCCCGCAAGCGCGTCTTTTGCACTTTGCGCGTCGCGCCGAGCGCACTTTGCTGTCGTATGAGCGCGTGGGGTGGTCGGAAGAACCCGCGGTGACTGTAGAGGGCTTCGAGACGCGCCCCGCGGCGGAGTGCGGGCCAATCATCGTGTGCCTGGACACCTCGGGGTCGATGATGGGCGCTCGCGAGACCGTCGCCAAAGCCATGGTTCTCGAGTGCATGCGGCAAAGTCGCTCGCAGCAGCGCGCGTGTTATTTATATTCTTTTAGTGGCCCAGGAGATTGCCAAGAGCTCGAGCTCAAGCTCAACGCCGCCGGTCTCTACGGTTTGTTGGAATTTCTCAGCGGTAGCTTCCACGGCGGCACCGACGTCGACGAGCCATTCAATCGCGCGCTCGCTCGGTTAAACGAGGCCGAATGGAGCAACGCTGATATATTGCTCGTCACCGACGGGGAAATCAAACCTCCCGACGAAACCTTGATCGCCAATCTCAACGAGGCAAAGGAAGAGATGGGATTAAAGGTGCACGGTTTGCTCGTCGGCGACGCCGGCAACGCCGAAGTCGTGGAATCGATTTGCACTCACGTACACGCGTTCAAGTCCTGGACCGCGGTCGGCGGCAAGCCATCGTAATTACGTACCTCACTAGTTTACGTATCATGATAAGCATTCTTTAACGACCTTTCGATCCCCAACCGTCGGTTCGCGCCGCGTCGTCCGCAGTGCTCGCAGCGATGCTCGCGCTCACGCGCGCGCGCAACGCCGGCATCCGCACCCCGCTCGCCTTTCGCGCCGCCGTCGAGCGCGAGCGAACGCTTCGACCGCTCGAGCTCGTCGAGCGCATCGACAGCGCGTGCGCGCCGACGTGCGTCGACCTCGACGCGTGCGAGCGTCGGTACCTCCTCGTCGGTGGAATCGACGGCAGCGTGCGCGCGTACGACACCGAAGCCGTCGTCGAGGGCGCTCGAGCGCGCGATGATGACTGCTCGAGAGCGCGGTCGACGCCCGAGCTCGTGTGCGTCATCGAAGGCGGCGGCGCGCGCGAGGCGAATCGCGCGGGCGCGAGCGGGACGGCGAGCGGGACGGCGAGCGGGGCGGCGGCGACGAGCGAGGAGATCGGACACACCTACGCGACCTCGTGCGTGCGATGGTTGCCGAGTGATACGGGGATGTTTTTCTCTGGGTCGTACGACAAGACGGTGAAGTGTTGGGATGCGAATAGCTTGCGCTCGGCGTGCGACGTCGAGCTGCCGACGAAGTGTCGAACGTTGGCGCTGAGCGACGCGGCGACGACGCACTCGCTCGTCGCGATTGGTTCGGACGATAACGTCGTGCGATTGTGGGATCCGGCGTCGAATGCGATCGCGCACACGCTTTCGGGGCATCGTGGAAGCGTGCACGCGATCGAGTGGTTACGATCGAACGAGCACGCGTTGGCCACGGGCGGCGCCGAGGGCGACGTTCGGTTGTGGGATATTCGAAGCGCGGGGGCGTACATGATTTTGGACAGGCACAATACACAACCTAGCGCGCGTGTGGACGCCATCAAGGATGCGATGTACGCCGGCGCGAGCACGAGCGGAACTATTGAGGCTGGGCCGAAACCGGCGTCCAGAAAGATGGCGGATTCCGTGCCCGACCACTTACGCGCGGACGCCGCTCGACGGTGCTCGTCGTCGAGTTGGGGGCGCTCGAACGACGGTGGTGCGAGTTCGAGCTCAAAGCGCGGACGCAACGGTGGGTGGGGAGGCTGGGGCGTGGGATTTCGTGGGAACAAGAGCGCGAGAGGTCGCGACGAACGCGATGACGCCTCGCGATCGCGTCTGTTCCCCGCGGGTGACGGTTACTCGTCTATTCCCGCTCCCGCGCACGACGGACAAGTGAGCGGCTTGAGAACCACGCCGTGCGGGATGTTCATAGTTTCCACCGGCGCCGACGGTCGCATTCGTCGCTGGGATTTATCCAATGGATTGAACACGTACACGCCGTACGACTCCGCCGGTGCCGCGCCGACGGCGAGCGCGTGCCAAATCGCAATCACGGCCGACGGCGAGCGTCTGTACGTCCCTTGCACCGACACACGCGTGCGCGTCTATCGCACGCACACCGGCACCCTCGACGCAGAGCTCAAAGGCCATCTCGACGACGTCGTCGCGTGCGCCTACAAGGATGGCGGCGACGCCAAACTCTTCACCTGCGGCAAAGACGCCAACGTCCTCGTCTGGGCCCCCGTGAGCGCGTCAGCGTCGTCAAAGCACTCGGGCGACATCGACGGCGATGCGTGGAGCGACGACGACGACGCGGATGGCGCCGCGGACGCGTACGGGCGCCCGTCCGCCGTGGCGGATCCCAATCGCTCGCGCTCGGCGCCGCGCGGTTTGGGATACCGTTCAATCCACACACCCCGCGCGCGTTGACGCGCGCGAACCCTCGTTAGGCATCATAGTCTAGTTTTTAGCCACACAGTCTTTAGCCACGCACGCAGCGTCGGACTCGCGTCAACCTCCGCGCGCCGTCGACGCCGCCGTCGACGGCGCCGACGTCAACTGCACATCTCGTCGGGCGCGAACGCACGTCGCGCCGACGCGATGCCGTCGAAGCGCGCGTCCGCGAACGGACGCGTCGATCGCGCCGCGACCGACCGTTCGCGCGCGTCGACGCCGCGCGGCGTCAAAACGTTGAAGGTTCGCCTCGCGCGCGCGACGAAATTCCGCGATGAAAATCGCATTCCCGTGCGCGACAGACTCGGCGACGGCGCGAAGACGACGAAAAGCGCGGCGAAAGACTTAAGGCGAACGATCGAACGGGCGACGACGACGGGCGACGCGCGGACGCGCGCGAAGGGTGACGTCGGTCCCGGGGATTTGCGGCGCCGGTTGCCGCGGCGCGACGACGGCGCCGCGGCGAACGCGAAAGCGAAAGCGACGCGAACGTCTGGAGATTTGAGAAACGCGTTATCGGGGAAATCGGGGAGAAAAGGTGTCGCCAACGCGAAGGGGCGGGGAGACGCGCGCGTGAACGCGCTGTTGCGACGATTGAATCTGTCTTCGTACGAGGCGGCATTCGCGCGAGAGGAGATCGATTTGATCGCGCTGCGGGCGATGCGCGACGGGGATTTCGACAAGCTCGGCCTGCCGTACGGGGTCAAGGTCAAGCTCGCGCTCGCGTTAGGACGGCGGTGAGCGATGAACGATGTGACATTAGCGCGCCGCGCGCACAACCGACTGCTGTATTATTACGACGCCGATTCGCAAACGCCGATTCGCCTCGCCGACGCGCGAGACGACGACGAGGACGAGGAAAGCACACCTCACTCTCACGCGCGCGCGCGCCCACGCGTTCCCATGTCCGTCGAGCACTCGCGAACCGTACGCCTGAGCGAGGATTTGTCCTACGTTCAACCCACGGCGCCGCTTCCCTCCTGGCTCAAAGGTTTCTTCGTCACGGCGGTGAGCAAAGGACAGGATTCGGTGGTCCAAGCCGCCATTGAAGCTTCAAACATTCTGAACGATTACTGGTTCAAAGTGGCGTACGACGCCCATCGCATCGACGGGGAAAAGCCGTACGAACGCGCCGAGGCGATGTGGATCCCCGGTTGCGACGCGTGCGCGTTCGTGGCGCTTCGGCCGGACGACAACGACGCGAACGTCTACATGTGCGCGAAAGCCATCGTGGAGGAGTGTCGAAAGGGCGCGGATTGGAAGCAACCGACGCACGTCGCGCGGATCGTTGCGGTTGAGAAAAGCTCGAGCGAGCTCGAACTAGACGCGCTCGCGCGAGACGTTCTGTCGAAGCACTTTCCAGAGCGAGGCGGCGACTCGGAGCCCGTTACTTTCGGCATTCACTACGAAGAACACTCGCCGATGAGACATTTCTCGAGCACGGACGTGAATCGCTTTGTCGGCTCGCACGTTCCAGACGAAGGGTACAAAGTCGATCTCAAGAATCCAAGGTTCACGATCTGCGTCGTCAACGCGGGCGGTTCGATGATGATGTCCGTCGTCGAAGCCTACGACGCGCTCGGGCACTTCAACGTGCATCGCGCGGCGTTCGAGGACAAACTCAGCGATACCGTGCCGGCGCGCGGCGACGATTCCGCGCAGCCCGCGGCGTGAGCGCCGCGCGCGGCCTCGCCAGGGGCTTCGCTTCGCGACATTTACGCCGCAATGTTTGATGCGAGTCCGAGCCGTGCGACATGTACGCCGCGATGTGTGATACGATTCCGAGCCGTTCCCGCCGTCGGCGCAAACCCCGCGCGGAGTGGATAGATCGTCTCGCCGACGCACCGCCCCACTGTGCGACGCCCGTCGACGCGCACCGCCACCGAACGCTCGAACGCCGAGCGTACGCCCTCGAAACGCGCTCTCGACCGCTCGATCGCGCGCGCGACGGCGTAATCGACGCCGATCTTTGACGAATTCAAAGACGACTGGAATCGCCATGGCGCTCTTTCACGAAGTCGTGCACGCGCTCAAGACGTCGCCGGCGCACTTCACCGTCCCCGCTGTGCTAATGACGGTGGTTATTTTCATCTTCTTGCTCGATCAGCTCTCGCACGGACCGCTGAAGGGACGAAAGTCGCCGCCGGTGATCGACGTGGCGCCGGTGTGGGGCGGCATGTTGGCCTTTTTGGCGGGACCGATGAAACTCATGCGCGAGGCGACGCCGAAGTACGGTGAGGTGTTTACCGTGCCGGTGTTTCACAAGCGGATCACGTTTCTGATCGGGCCCAAGGTGAGCGAGTTTTTTTTCAAGGCGAAGGATACGGAGATGTCGCAAAAGGAGGTGTACGAGTTCAACGTGCCGACGTTCGGTAAGGGCGTGGTGTTCGATGTAGATCACACGACTCGTGCGGAACAGTTTAGATTTTTCGCGGATAGTCTCAAGAGTAACCGATTGAGGATGTACGTGGGGATGATGGTGAAGGAGGCGGAGGATTTCTTCAGCAAGTGGGGAGACGCAGGCGAGGTGGATTTGCTCGAGCAACTCTCGGAGTTGATCGTACTCACGGCTTCCAGATGCTTGCTCGGAAGAGAGATTCGCGAGACGCTCTACTCTGAAGTTACCGATCTGGTGCACGATTTGGATAAGGGTATGGTGCCGTTGTCGGTATTTTTCCCGTACGCGCCGATCGAGGCGCACCGCAAGCGAGACGCGGCGCGCAAAAACTTGGCCAAGATTTTCGACAAAGTTATCCAAGCTCGTCGCGAGAGCGGCGCGAGTGAACCGGATGTCTTACAAACGTTCATCGACGCCCGGTACAAGGATGGTAGCAGGCTCACGAACGACCAAGTCCTCGGTATGTTGATTGCCGTGCTCTTCGCCGGTCAACACACGTCCTCGATCACGTCCACGTGGACTGGTTTGCTGGCCATCGCGAACAAGGAGCGCGTGATGCCTGCGCTCGAAAAGGAGCAAAAGGATATCATGAAGAAGCACGGCAAGGATTTGGATTTCGACATCTTAGCGAAAATGGATGAGTTGCATTTTGCTGTGAAGGAGGCGCTTCGAATGCACCCGCCTCTCATCATGCTCCTTCGCATGGCGCAAGTGCCGTTCGAGGTCGAAACCTCTACGGGTAAGAAGTACACCGTCCCCAAGGGCCACATCGTCGCCACCTCTCCCGCGTTCTCGCACCGCTTGGACAATGTCTACAGCGACCCGAACGAGTACAAGCCTGAACGATTCCGCGAACCGAACCCCGAAGACAAGGCCCAGTTCGCCTCCTTCATCGGTTTCGGCGGCGGACGTCACGGTTGCATGGGGGAAACCTTTGCGTACATGCAAATCAAAACCATTTGGTCCATCCTTTTGCGAAACTTTGAGTTCGAAATGGTTGGAAAAGTTCCCGAACCCGATTACACCGGCATGGTCGTCGGTCCCACCGCGGGCCAATGCAAAATCCGCTACAAGCGCCGCGTTCTGTGAGCGCGCGTCCATGAACCTTAGCGTGTTGCACAATGTCGATATCTATAATCTATTTCCATTTCACACGCGCGCCAGCGCGCGCGTCGCACCGTTTCGCGCGTTCGCGGCGCATCGTTCGCCTCGCCGACGTCATCGCCGCACTTCGCGCAGCGCGGCCACCGTTCACATGCGTCGCGCCGCCCGACTCGCGCGCGACGCCCTCGCGCGCGCGCGCGCGTCGAGCGCGTCGTTCGCCGAGACCTCGACGAGCGCCAGCGCGTTCGCACCGCGCGCGCGCGTCCCGAACGCGCTCGAAACCTCGCGCGATCGCTCTCTCGCGCGCGGTTTCACCGGCGCCTGGCGCGCGTTCCACGCCTCGGCGTCGATCGAGAAGCGAAACAAACGCCAGACCGTGCCGTTGACGCTGGAAGACATGGAGTTCGAGCGCGTGGAGGCGGTGGAGGACGCGAGACGGCGGTTGGCGCCGACGGAGGGGACGCTCTACGGCGTCGCGCCGAAAACGTGGACGGAACGCGAGCGCGACACCTTGAACGCCGACGAAGAAGCGAAATTGGACGCGCTGTTGTCGACGTACGTCGAAGGCGCGTACGTCGAGGGATCGGGGATGCCGACGTTCGAGGAAGTGTTGGCGGGCGCGGAGGCGAGCGCGGCGAACGACGACGACGACGACGACTTCGCGCGAGACTCGAGCGAGGGCGAGGACGAGGACGGGGACGAGCGAGGCGGTGATCACGAATCCATGGTTCGAGTTCCCATTCGTGACGTCGCGGGAAGGAGTTACGGCACCGGGAAGCGTAAAACAGCCGTCGCGCGCGTGTGGCTCGCCCCGGGCTCGGGCGAACACAAGGTCAACGGCAAGCCCTACGACGAGTACTTCTCCTCTCCCGCCGCGCGTGCGGACATGATCGCGCCGTTTTTCGTGAGCGATACGTTAGGTTTATTCACCGCCGTCGTCGACGTCAGGGGCGGTGGGATCTCCGGCCAGGCGCAGGCGGTTCGTCACGGCGTCTCCGTCGCGCTGCAAAACTACGACCCGGCGTTTCGACCGGCGTTGAAAGCCGCGGGGTACCTGAAGCGCGATCCGCGCATCGTCGAGCGCAAGAAACCGGGCAAGGCCAAGGCGCGCAAATCGTTCGCCTGGGTCAAGCGTTAGCGCGTCGCGACCGATGTAGTACAATTTAGAGAAGCGACGTTCGCCGGCGCGTCCCGCCCGCGCGCCGCACATCGACGCGCGCATGACGGTCGCCCGCGCCTCGGCCCGCGCGCTCGCTCGCGCGCTCACCGCGCTCACCGCGTCCTCGTCCGCGGCGTCCGCGCCGCTCGCGCGCGCCCGCGCGTCGCCGCGCGCCGTCGATCGTTCGCTCGGTGTGCGCGACTTCATCGCCGCGTCGCGCGCGACGCATCGCGCGTACGGCGTCACGGACGAGCAGGCGTTCGGCGTGGACCCCGTGGACGTCGCCGCGACGAACGCGGACGACGCTTCGCGGACGAACGCGCGCGAAGGACCGACGAAGCGGAAGAATCACATCAAACGCATGAAGCAGCGCGAGGCGTTTCGACGGTCGAACGCGAAGACGCACAAGGAGAACGAACGAAGGAACGCGATCGAGAGGCAGGAGAAACGATTGGCGCGGTGGCGAGCGGGGGTGGCGATGAAACGGGAGTACGAGATGAAGTACGGGGGAGGGCTCGGCGAGACGACGGCGCGAGGCGAATGATTAGGTTCTTCCGCGGGACGGATTTTGTAATAACAGTACAGTAACGACTTGATTTCGAACGCGCGAGAGTCGACGAACGCACGGCGATGAAGTACAGGTTGTGTGCGTGATCAATACATGCATGCGGCGGAAGCGTTCGCGCGTTACGATTTGCGATTGGAGTCTCGCGCGGACGAATCCCAAGGTTCCGGGACCCACGACGCATCGAGTTTTTCCGGAGCTTTGAGCGTATTGTTGCCAGCGCCCGTGGCGCGACGAATGGGCTCAATTTTGTTCATTGTGGTGTGCATGGCGTGCGCGAACGTTTCCTTAGCTTTGTCGCCGAGAGACGGGTTGACGTCTCGCGGGCTCAACTCGGCGGCGTCTAGGAATCGATCCGTCGCGGCTTCCCAAGACAGCCTGTACGAGTCCTGCGCGCTCAGAGGCGCAGGTTCGGACGTAAGCGCTTGCTTCACGCACTTGGTGAACTCTTGCGGGGTGTTATACACGAGGCAGTTGGGGAAGGTGGAGAAGAACTCGTTACTCGGGTGCTTGGCGCACACGACAAACTTGCCCATCGCCAACGCCTCCGCGGTCGTCGTGGCGACGACATCGGAAAGCGATGGGTTGACGAAGACTTTGTAGTCATGAATGTCCGACGCGGCGTGGTCTTTGCGGCCGTGGAAATGCAGTGGCAGCTTCATCTTTTCGGCGTTGGATTTGACTTCGGCGAAGTCGTCGCCGTTGCCAAACACGTCGAGCTCTAGCGGGCACTCGCGTCCGTCTTCACTCACGTTGTGCTCTGAGACGCGGTCGAGAAGCTCTTTGTAGCCCTTTCCCCACACAACCTTGCCGAGAAAGTACGCTCCTTTCGTGAACACGGGTTTTTTACTTCTCTTCTTTTTCGTCGACGCGCTCCCGATGGACGCGAGCGGCCCCTTTACCATCTCGACGTCTTTCTCTTTCGTCGCCTCGATCGCCTTCTTCGCGCCGACGTCTAGGAAGATCGGCGAAACGCCGTGCACGTTCATCGTCGTACTCTTTGGAAACTCTTGCACCGCATCAGAGAGCTTGATCACCTTGTGGCAATGCACCGACGAGACGACGTTGTTCACAAACTTCAAAGCCTTCTCCTTGATTTCGCCATTCTCTTCGAGTCGCACGTAGTCCAGGTAGTTTGTGTGCACGATGCCCACGACGTGCTTGAACTTGTCCGTCCATCGTTCGCCGGAGTGGTACCAGTTGAGATGTTCGGGCTCCTCCAACACCGCTATGTCTGATTCGCGATCGCCCGGAATGTACGACGTCAAATCGCCAACCGGAATGATGCTGTACTTGTCCGTCGCGTATCTCCCCGGGTAGAACGACAGCTTCATTTGCGGCTTAAATCCGCAACGTTCTTCGACCCACTTGTTGACGTACTCGCCCTGTTCCTCCGGAGTGTTGAAAATCATTCCGGGGTGCACGAGCTTTTGCTCGTTAGGCGCCAGAAAAGGAATGACGAGCGTGACGTCGTGAATTCCTCGTCGAGCCAGGTACGCGGCGCGAAGCAATGGATTCACCGCCGTCCCGGTCATCCACGGCAACGTAGCGGTCGTGACGATGGCGACCGAGCGTCCGGGCTCTCTCACCGAACGCGGGGCGTCTTTGCCGCGAGACGCCTTCTTCAACGCCTCGCTCGCTTCTAGCTCAGCCGCGAGCTCCTTGCTCTCTGCTCGCTTGAGCACGACCCCGGGGCTCGACAGGCTCGCATCGTACGGCGATTTCACCACGATTTCCTCCGGTTGACCCGCGAATCGTCGCACGGCGTTTTGCAAGTCCGTCGTGAGCTTCGGCAGGCTCGGCGGGCGAGGAAGTCGCGAGGCGAGCTCGTCCTTCTTCTTCGTGATTTCCTTCTTCAAGCTCTCGAGCACGTTCGCACCGCCCTCGCGCGGACTCGACGTCTCAGAAAGCGCGCGCGCGCCGTGATCGGCGTCGCCATCGCCCATCGCCGTGAGCGCATCCGTGGACGAGCTGCGCGACATCTCGCGAGGCGAACGCGCCGTTTCGGGCGCCTCCTTCGGCGACTTTCGCGGCGACGTCCCCGGCGATCGGTCGACCACGGTCTCCGATTGCGCGCGCCGACGGTTCAGCGTGCGATTGGGTCGCTGCGGTGTCTTCGCCAGCGCCCCGTCGTCTTGGTTGAAATTCGTACCGATCGCCTTGAACACGTCCCACTCCTCGCCCCACTTTGGAATCGCCGGCGCCTTGGGTATATTCTTCGCGATCAACGCCTGCAAGTCCTGCGTCGACGTCGGTCGACTCTTTCGCTCGTCTCGCTTGCTCTCCGACGTCCTGCGCCCGTCTCCTCCCGCGCTTCGTCTCGGCCTGCGCAACTTTTCAAACCGTTCCATGAATTTGGCGTCGTCCAGCTTGGCCAACGAGTCTTGGCTCGCTCGCCTCGCCATCTCCCTGAACGCGCTTATGCTCAGCGTCTTCTTCCTCCCCGCCCTGTGCGCGCGCGCGTCGTCCCCCTCGTCCCCGCTCTCTCGCGCGAACTCTCCTCCCGCGCTCCCTCGTCCGAAACCAAAGCTAAAATTACTCTCTCTCCACGCCCGCTCCACCTCGCTCGAAAAGTGTCGATGGTGCCTATCCACCGCCGCGCGCAGCGCGTCCACGTTGAACACCCCATCCTGCCCCGCCGCGCCCTGGCTCGTCGCCCGCGCGCGCTCGCGACCCAACCCCGCGTCCGTTCGTTCGCCCTTCACCGCGCCGCTTCTTCGCTCGACGTCCGTCTCGCGCGTCGTCGTCGTCGTCGTCGTCGCCGCCGCGCGCGCCTTATCGCGTCGGCTCGCGTCGTCGCCGTCCCGGCCCCGTCCCGCGTCGCGCATCCGCGCCGTCGCGACGCCCCGCGCGCGAAAACCGTCGCGTTTTCGCGCGTCGCGTCGTTCGCGTCGTCCTTCGTCCCGTCGTCGTCGTCGTCGTCGTCGTCGTCGTCGTCGCGTGCGAATGCGTGAATGAACGAATGAATCTCTTCGTCGCGTCGCCGTCTCGCGCGCACGCGGACTCGCGGCGCCGCGTCGCGCCCCGCCGTCGCGCCCGTGCCTACGCGCCGCGTCCGCGACGACGCGCGCGTCGGCGTGTGCGGCCGCGGTGAATCGATTCGAATCGTAAAGATTCGCGAAAACACGCGCGCGGCGTCACATCGCGACGCGCGCGCGCCGGCGAAGCCGCGCGTCGACTCGACGTCGGACCGCGCGCGCGCGACGTCGCGGGACGACGCGCGCGCGACGCGGCGGCGCCGAACGACGCGTCGGAAGATTTAAAAGATGCGCGGAAACAGATGCGCGGCGACGGCGCGCGCGACGGACGATCTGGGCGCGCGAACGGCGGCGGCGGTGTGCGATGACGATCCGTTCGCGTTCGGGGCGCGCGCGCGGGCGCTGTTCGAGGACATCGACGGGGAGACGCTGGCGGAGGACGACGACGACGACGACGACGACGCGAGACGCGGCGACGCGCGAAGGATCGGTCGGGGGGTGAGCGTGTTCGAGAAGGTGCGACGGGAGAAGGCGGGGACGACGATGACGGCGACGACGGCGACGACGGCGACGGCGACGGCGACGGCGGAGGAAGAGGAAGAGGACGCGTTCGACGAGCCGAGGGCGAAGGCGAAGGCGAACGCGAAGAAGCCGGCGAAGGCGAAGGCGGGACGCGAGAGAGCGAGGGAAAAGACCGCGCGGGACGGCGGTGATGACGACGTGATGGTCGTGGACGACGACGTCGGGGAGTGCGCGAGGCCGGCGGAGGATTTGTTTGACGAAGTCGCGGCGACGGGCGATAAGCGCGCGAAACGCGAGGTGAAGACGCTGGCGCGGCCGAAGAAGCGCGTCGTGGAGGCGCCGGCGGCGGTGGTCGAGACGCATGCGGTGATGCCGGCGCCGTCGGCGCGCGCGAAGGCGTCGACGACGGGGCGAATCCGGGCGTCGACGTCCGCCGCGGCGTCGGCGCCGCCGCCCGCGAAGAAGAAGAAGGTGTCGCTCAAGGAGTTCGCCGGGGAAGAAGACGGCGACGAGGGAGGGTTCGACGACGGCGAAGGCGACGACGACCACGGTCTGGTGCCGCAATCGGGCGCGCAGTTGGCGGACATCGATGAGGCCAACTACGCGGTGTCGGGGTTGTCCACCGTGAGGGACGTCAAGGAGAAGATGCGGTGCGTCGGCGTCTTGGCCAATTTGATGGGTAATCAGCGCACGCGCAGGCTGTTGGCGTCGTACGGCATACCGATGAAGATCATCAAGGCTGCGCAAGACGCCGCGATGGCGCCGCACGCGCCCAATGCGTTGAAGTTTGGCGCCGCGGCGCTGTTGTATCTCGCCGCGAGCGATTTGCGGGCGCCCGCGACGGACGCGATGCGCAGCGTCAAGTCGGCGAACGCGATTCGCGCTTTGCTCCGTCCAGCGAGTTCGAGCGATGACGCGCTGTACTTGAAAACCGCCAACACGGTTCGCTCGGCGTTGAAGGCGTTGAAGTTTTTGCCGAACGAGGCCAAGGACGCGCCGACGCTCGCGCTCCTCGTCGCGCATCAAACGCTCAAGGGTGAGCAGGACGCCGTGCTCGCCTCGGGATCGGGTCCGGGCGCGGGTGACGTTGAAAATAGCTTCCGAACGATTTTGGCGAATCAAGGCGCGGTGCTCGCGACGTGTGAACTCGTCGCGCAAGCCACGACGACGTTGAGCAAATTCGGCGGCGCGTGTTTCGTCGCGTCGGCGTCGGCATCGACGAACGATAGCGTTGACGACGAGTCCACGATCGAGGAGTACGAACAGAGTGCCGCGCGCGTGATCGCGCGTCTGTTCCGCGCGTCGCGTGTGCTCGAGTGTGTGAGCTTTGAATCGCCAGCCGCGTGCGCGGTGATTTCGACCTCGGCGCTTGGCGGATCGAAGAGAGACGACACGAACGCCGATGTGCGCCCTCTCGACTTGCTCGCCGTGTCCACGACGCGCCTGGCGCCGGAAGACGGTCTGAACTCGTCGCGTGGCGATGGGAGAGGGGTTGAATCCGCGACGACGACGGCGGCGATTGATATCCCGTCGCCTTCGCCCGTCAAATCACGCATCCCGGGTGGAATCACGATGACCCCGCCGAGCACGCCCGGCGCGGTGCGCGTCGCTGGAACATCCTACGACGACAACGATGGTTTAACCCCGCTTTCGTCTCCTGTACCGATCGGGTTGATGCAAACAGCCGCGACGCGAGACAACGCGGCAGCGATTCAGTGGTTGGCGGATAACGTGCGCACCCCCGTGAAGGGTGGATCGCACAACGCGCGAACGGCGTGTCGAGCACTCGTGGAGGCGCTTCCGACGCTTGCGGCGGCGACGACGGCGTCGGTCGTAGGCGCGAAGAAAGGAGACGTCGTGCAAGGCATCGAGATTCGTTACAACGCCGCCATCGCCGTCGACCACCGCGTCGCCGTCGGCGCGTTGAAATCCGCGTTGTGCACGCTGACGAACGTGACGAACGAGAATAAGGAGGGTTGTGACGCCGTCGTTGGGGAAGATAGTCGTGGATTACTCGTCATCGCGAGTTTAATTCCCTGGTTGGCGTTATCGATTGAAGGATTCACGCTTCGCGACGCGAAGGAGCGCAAGCGCACCCGAACGCCGACGGATGATTCCGGATCGTCACTCTTGAATGCCGCGCTGGTGTTGCTCGTCAACATCGTCGAAGCAGATGCGACGACGGCAGATGTCCTGCGCAACGCAATGGTGCGCTTACCGGGCGACTCGTCTCGAGGCGCGTCCTTCGTCGAAGCGCTCACGATGTTGTACCTGCAGTCGGGCGGCGCCGACGAAGACGAAGACGAGGGCGAAAAAGAGACGGCCGAGGAGGCGCAACATCTCACGGCGGACATGATTAAATCTTACTCGTCGAAAACCAACGGCGACGATTTGATCTTACAGGCGTACTGCGGATTGTTGCTCGCGTTTTTGATCGAAGACGACGCCGCGTTGCGCGCCGAAGTCACGTCGACGTTTCCCGAAAAGCCGCAAGGCACTTCGCGTCTCAAGCCGTTGGCCGACACCCTCGAGCGTTTCCACGCGTTTCACGAGAGTTTGAATAGCATCTCTGCCGCGTCCAGCGAGCGACTGGTAAAGGTGGTGACCTGGCTCCGATGACGAGACGATTTCGACGCCGATCGCGTAGCCGTGTGCGTTTTCTTGTGATAAAAATGAAACATCGTCGCCTTCGAAGACGACGCGGAGTGGTGCGATGCAAGCAAGGCAGTGCTTTTTCTTGTGCGCAGCTCGTAAAAAAACTTTTGCTCGCCAAAAGAGAAGTCGTGACCCAGGCAGGAGTCGAACCCGCAACCTTCAGATAACTTCAACGGCGTCCTCGCGTTCGCGAGGAGACTCTCGAATCACTGGAGTCTGACGCACTACCATTGTGCTACCGAGCCATACATATTAAAGACACATTTAAGTCCATATGATATGACTAAATGAGCGATAAACTCCAATTAATGCGCCCTCTCGCGGGGATCGCACATGTGTTACGGGCGCGTCGACGCGCGACGCGTCGCGCGCGAATTCGCGGTCCACGTTCGCGCGCGCCGCACACTCCGCACGGATCTCTCACCCCCACCACACCTCTCGAGCGCGTTCCGCCCTCGTACGGTCGATAAAACGCACGCAGTTTTATCGTTTCATCGTTTCATCGCAGTTCAGGTGCGGGATTCGCGCGCGCGCGCGAGAAGGACGACATCGGGCGACACCGCGGGATTCGCGCGAGGGGTCGGTCGCGTCGCGCGGTGGATGCGCGACGCGACGCGGCGCGACGCGACGCGAATCCTCGTCGCGGTCGCGCGCGCGCGGGTTCGGCGATACGTTTTCGTCGACGTCGAACGCGCGCGCGAGGACGCGCGCGAAACGATCGACGAGGCGCGCGCGCGTCGATCGAACGCGACGAGGATTCGAGGGCGAGATAAAGATGGGAGCGAAGGCGGGAGCGAAGGCGGGAGCGAGCGAGCGAACGACTGACGCGATCGATCGTCGCGCCTGATGTAGACTACGAACACACAGAAGAAGAATGCCCGGCACGCAATCGGTATACGTCTCGCTGTCCATCCTCGCCCTGACGGGACTCGTCGGGACCGGGGTCGCCATCGGCTCGGGCGTGTCCATGATGTCCATGGCCATGGTCGAGGAAGAGCAAAAGCAGCAAGCGGTCGTGGCTTCCGTGAAGGAGGCGTCGGCGCGCGTGCCGTCTCGCGGTTTCGCCGCGAGCGGTAACTAGACGGCCCGCCGTCGGTAAACATGTACCTACCGCCTTCACTTCCGGACGTCTCAAATCCGCCGTTCGTCGTGTTCGATACATTCTTCACCTCCATCGTGTACCCGTAAAAGTTACTCACTTTCCTGATCTGTAATAAAAAGAAGCGGATGATGAAATATTAATTACACAAGTTTGTTTCGCGGTTTATTTCACTGCTTACTTGATTTTCATGACGTCCACGCGCGTGCGCTTGGCGACGTCGTGCGGGTGCGATTCGCCGTCGTCTTGTCCATCCGTCGTCGGGTGCACGACGATTTTCGCCAAGCCGCCGCCGACGGCGCCGCGCGCCAATCGACCGGGGTTGACGCACACGACGCCGTCGATGTCTTCGGCGAATGTTTTCAAGTCACTCGGCATGATCAACACGTCCGGGGTTTGCTTAAACGTCAGATCCTCGCCGTAACGCGCGTCCAAGCACGCCGACGCGTCCGGCGGGTACAGCGGGTACGCGCAGCCTTGCGTCAAGACGTGCTTGGCGAGACGCGCGAGGCGGTCTTTGGGCACGAATCCCTTGGAGATTTCTTGTGCGCTCAGATGCTTCAACACGTCGTGCGAGCACGCGGAAAACACGATGCCGTTGATGGTGAACGTCCCGGGATTCGAGGCGGAGAACGCGCGCTTGGCGCGCGCCGCGTCGGCGCTCACGTACGCGTCGAGCGACGCCGCGGGTTGCGGGAACACGGGATCGAGCGTCACGTCGCGGATGCTCGGGACGAAGATCACTTTCGTGCGGATCGTCTCGTCCTTGAAGAGCTTGTCTTCAATCTTATCCACCACAACCTTGGCCACTTCGTCGTACGTCAACCCCCCGCACTCGGCGCGCTTGACAAAGGCGTTTTCGGCGTCCACGAGCGGGCCACACAAAACCAACGCGTCGGGATTTTCTTCGCGCACGTAATCCAACATATCGTTCAATGGCTCGTACTTCAAATCGCTCGAGCACGAGAACGGCCCGCTGGCGACGATGACTTTCGTCCCTCTCGCGAACGCCGGCGACGTCTTTTTCGAACGCGCGGGCGCTCGCGCGGAGACGGCGTCGATGGATTTCGCCACCAAGCAGTGCCCCGCGGGGTTGCGCCCGCACACCTTGACGACTTGTCCCGGGAACAAGCTGTACTCTTTCATGTCGCGAAGCTCCAAGCGCACGCGCGCGCCGAACGAACCCTCGGTCGAGCCCTCGATGGCGACGGTTTTCTCCGTCAACTTGGCGTCGCCGGCGTGCGCGCTCACCACGCGCCCGACAAAGTGTCCATCTTCGTCGCCAGTCTTTGACCCCACGGCGGAGACGCGCACGACGTCGGACGCCGAAGTCGTCGTCTGCGTCGCCTCGGTCGCCTTGACGTCCTCGTCGTCGTCCGCGTCGCCCAAAACCTCGAACAAATTCTCCGCGTCTCGAATGCGCTCGTCGACGACGCGCACGCGGTCGGAGATCCTATCCCGCATGTATCGAAATTTGTCCGCGCTCACGATTTGCGTCATCGACACTTCGCTCTCTTCCGCGTCGTCCCGTTTCACCACGTCGCTTCCCAAGTGCGCGTTCATCACCGTCCCCGCGCCGCCGTCGCTCCGACTCGCCAAACTCCCCGCGCTCCCCGGCGTCGCCGCGCGTTTCGCGTACTCACTCGTCTGCTCCCCCCCCACCGCGTTCAGCGCCTCCGACCACTCCCTCTTACTCCGCATCGGCGTTTTATACGTCCCCGTCGACGTCGATTCGCGTCTATCGCCACCCTTCGCGCTCGCCGGCGTCGTCGGCGTCGTCGGCGTCCCGCCCCGTCGTCGTTTTCTTCCGAATTCGCTCGTTTTCTGCGCCGTTTTCGTCGCGCTCTGCGATTCGCGCTGTTGTTTCCACGTCATCGCGAATCGTTCGAACGTTTCGATGCGCTCGATCGCGACGCTCTGGCGGTCTCGCGCGTCGAGCGTGTTCGAGAGTTCTAAATCAAACATCACCCAGCAGTCGGCGAGATCTTTCGACGTGAACGACAGCGCGCGCGCGACCGACGCGAGCGCGTCGCGGGCGACGTCGCTCGGGACGTCGAAGCCGTGCTCTTCGAAGCGCTCGCGGATGTCGGGCGGGAGGGCGGTCGTCATGGCGCGCGACGGCGTGTGGCGATCGCGCGGCGAGGCGTTTGAAAATTTAAAATCCGAGCTGTCGGGGGTGTACGAACGCGCGACGACGCGACGCGACGCGAAGCGCGCGGAATCGCGATCGATCACTTCGGGCCGTCGCCCTCGCCCAGGACGGTCTTTTGGCGCTTCGCGTCGCGCGCGTCGCCGACGCTGAAGACGTCGTCGAAGGTTTCGAGCGCGTTTAAAAACGCCTGGTCCATGTTGAAGTACTTGTAACTCGCGAGGCGGCCGACGAAGACGACGCCGGGCTCTTTCGCCGCCATGTCGCGGTACTTTTCGTATAACTCGCGGTTGGCGGGGTTGGGAACGGGGTAATACGGCTCGCCGTGATCGCACGAGTACTCTTTGAAGACGACGGTGCCCGCGTGCTCGCGCGCCTCGCGCGGCTGGTTGGGCTTGTGCTTGTACTCGACGACGCGCGTGTGCTCGACTTCCGGACCGGGGTAGTTGAGCTGTAAGCACGGTTGGTAGAAGAATGGTTTCGTTTTGTCCTCGCCCTCGTGGTACTCTTCGAAGAAACGCAGACTTCGGTACTCGAGCTTGGGCAAACCTTGAGACGCGTACCACGCGTCGATGGGGCCGGTGAAGACGACGAACTTTCGCGCCTTGCTTCTCAACATGTCTTTGTGCTCAAAAAAGTCGGTGTTCAGGCGCACGGTGATGTTCGGATCGCCCATGATCATATTTTCGAAAATCCTCGTGTACCCGTGCTTCGGCAACGCTTGGTGCGGATCGCTAAAGTACCTATCGTCGACGTCTTCGCGCACGGGTATCCTCGCCAAGACGCTCGCGTCCAGCTCCTCGGGGTACTTATCCCACTGCTTCTTCGTGTAATGCTTAAATATCGCCTCGTACAGCTCCGCCCCCGCCCTCGTCAGCGCGCTCTCTTCTCCGTTCTTCGGATTCTCGTTCACCGACCGTCTGGCGTCCAACCATCTTCGCGCGTCCTCGTCCGTCTTCAAATCCGCCTCGGGAAACAGCGCGTTGATCGTGTCCCTGTTCGGCGGCACCCCCACGATTCGGTACCGCCTCCCCCCGTGTTCGTACTCCCCGTCCTCGCGCTCGATCGCCGCCTTCACTCGGTGTTCGTACGGCGTCCACTCGCTGAATCGATTCACGTATTCCCACACCCGCGCGTGCTTCGTGTGAAACAAGTGCACGCCGTACTGCGACACCCTGAACCCCTTCGCGTTCACGAAGTCGTAGCAGTTCCCGCCGACGTGATCGCGCTTGTCCACGAGAAGCGTCTTCATCCCGAGCTCTCGCGACGCGCGGCTCGCGAAGACGCAGCCCGAGATGCCGGCGCCGACGACGACGAGGTCGAACTCGCGGTCGCGAATCCGCGCGTCGCTCGCGACGCCGGCGAACCAGCTCGGATCGTGGTCGTTGCCGCGACGGACGGAGACGTCCACGCCCGCCCACTCGTCGGCGTCGGCGCGCGCGCGCATGGCGACGCGACGCGGCGCGGTGTGCGGCGGAGCGGTCGGACGTCGGCGAACGACGACCGGTCGGCGACGACCGCGGCGTCGCGCGCGACGTCGAGCGACGGCGCGCGCGCGTCGGCGCGTCGTCGACGTCGCGTCGGCGCGCGCTCTCGCGCCGTCGCGCGTCGCGTCGGGACACCGCGACGGCGTGAAGAGTCGAATCGTCACTTCGGCGCGCCATGGGCGCCGCGCCGTCGTCGCCGTCGTCGCCGTCGTCGCCGTCGTCGCCGTCGTCGCCGTCGTCGCCGTCGTCGCCGCGCGACGCCGCGCGCGCGTCGTCGTCGCCGCCGGACGACGACGCGCCGACGCTCGCGCGCGCGCGCGAGGACGACGCGACGCTGCGAACGAGCGAACCGTTGTTGACGCCGCGCGTGGCGCGCGCGCTGCGAGCGCGCGTCGAGCCGAGGGCGGGCGCGGTGACGTGGACGCGCGCGTTCGATTCGCGCGCGTGCGGATTGGCGAGTCTTCGTCGCGTCGTCGAGCGGTGCGCGGGCGTCGGACGCGCGCTCGTGCTCGTGCAACCCGAGGCGGCGGACGAGGCCGAGGCCGAGGACGAGGACGAGGCGTACTACGTCGCGCACGTCTCACCGGGTTTCCAAGCGAAGCCTCGGCACGATTTCCACGGCGACGACGCGTGCAAGACGTTTCGCGTCGACGGAAAACGCGGCGTCGTCGTCGACACGTCCGGGGTCTCCGTCGCGCCGCTGTATTGCGCGTACGGCTACTCCCGACACGGCGACGTCGTCAACGGGTTCGGGATGTTCGGTAAGATCGGGCGCCACGCCTTATTCGTGGACGCCGCCCTGGAAAACGCGCACGCGGACTTCGGCGCGCGTCGCTTCTCCGTGCGTCGCGTCGAAGTCTGGGCGCTTGAGGCGCGCGCGCCCGGAATCGACGCCGGCGCTTCGCCGCGCGCGGCGACGCGCGATCGAGCGACGATGGCGCAGTTTACGTCATCCGCGATCGCCCGCGACGTCCTCGACGCCACGACCGGCTGACATCAAGACCGCGACGGAACGTCGAGGAAAGATCTCGTCGACGCGCTGTTTCGCGAGTGCGGCGGACCAGAAGGTGTGGGAGGCGCTGACGGATACGCGCGGCGTACGAGGCGACGTTCGCGGCGATTGAGGACGCGCGTCGCGCGAGATAGATGATAGATTGATACTAGATAGATCTGATGCAGCTCCTAGGCAGTCTCCTACGCGGTAGGAGACCTTGTTGTAACATACGATGTACGACGGATCCAAAAAGTGCGAGCACGTCACCGTCGACGACCCGTCCTCGAGCGCGCGAGCGCGACGCGCCGTTTTCAGTGACAAAAAAGAATGGCAACTTTGTTACCTCACCGGGATTCGAACCCGAGTCTGTTCGTGGAAGCGCGTGGCGTGTCCGTCAGTGTCGCGTTCACAATTTTTGGTGTCAACGTGTCCGTTCGCGTGTTCACGTGCGATGGGCGCGAAGATGCGTAGAATACGTACCTCTAGGGTGAAAGCCTAGCGTGATAACCATCTACACTATGAAGTACCGCTCGACCCCGCAAGGGGCCGCAGCGATCGATCTCTCCGATGTTTCGGAGTTCACGGGATGTACTCATGTTTCAGCTCGTCCACACTTTCGTGTGGCTAGATAGAGATGTGTGCGGCTTGACACGACGACGAGGTCGAACTCGCGGTCGCGAATCCGCGCGTCGCTCGCGACGCGGCGTCGTCGCGCGTCGTCGCTCGCGGGTGCGCGCGCGGCGCCATCACCGCGCGCCGCGAAGTGACGACGCCCGCGCCGCTCAGGAAAAATTTATATATCGCCCCTTTAGAGAGTACCTACACACATGACGAGTCATGAACCAAGGATGCGGGGAGATCTCGCCGTCGGCGCCACTCGTCGCCGCATACGATGACCGATTCAGTCGCGCACGCCTCACCGACGTGGAGAACGTACTCATTAGACCCGTCGCTGCAACCGGACTGGATGAACGGCACGGCGGAGGTAGAGGCGGTCAAAACAGCGGAGGATGAACTCGAGCGCTCGTACAAGAACAAGCCATTCTTCAAGAACACAAGCTACGAGGCATTCGCCAGAAAACGAGGCGAGTATGATAAACCGACGCCCGACGGCCTCGAGGAGTTCAAGCGTCTCCTACGGGCGAGTTATCTTCGCACCGTAGAGCGCATCGATGAAGATACCCAAGTTCTGGAAGCCCAGCTACAAGACGAGAATATCTCTGAAACGCGACGGTCGGTTATCCCGCAGCACATCGAGGACACTCGTGCGAAATTAAAAGAGCAAGACAATTCATTGAACGCGCTGTGCGCCGATGTGGATGCGGTTATCGCAGATTTGAAAGGCTTGCCCGATAAAATTGCCGACATAAAAGAACACGCCTCTGAACAACTTCAGCAACACAAAAGAAAAAGAACCAGTATATCTTTGGAACGCAACCTCGAGGAGCTGAGCGATGCGCTGCGCAGCTACGAGGCGAAAAAAGAACAGGAGAGGCTCACAATTACCGATTATCGTGGGAAATATGGGTCATGTCCATCCCAGTATGTTCGCCAGACCGCCTGGGCACGCAGACCTTCTGGTCGTGAAGAAATTAGCTTCATTGTTCATCCTGTGGGTGTCATTGGCTGCGATGGCAGTAACCTGAGCGTTGATGGACGTGTTTCGATTGATGGTTATGGTGAGTTTAACGTACCAAAATGGCAGCCTGAATGGGGACCTGAGAAGCAAATGTGTGCGTGCGAATGCTTCCAAGAGTGGTACAAAGTCGACGCCCAAGACCTTCTTTACAGCGCGCTTCGTGGCGTAGAGGGCGCGCTAAAGGCGCTCAGTGGTTCGGGAGATGACACGTCTTCGCTTCGACGGCGCTTGGGCGATGCCAATTTGGACGAAGCAAGCACGGGGAGTTAATATATGTGGACGTATATTTTGTTGTCCACGAATGGCGCGATATAGAATAACGATAACTAGCCGCTCTCCACCGCCTCCAGTCTCGACACAGTATCACTGAGTTCACTGCGAAGTTCGTCGATTTGCTGATCTCTCGAGGCAACGGCGGCCTCTAAATCGGCGATTTGAGCGTCGTGCTCGACGATTCTTTCGTGCAGCTCCTGGTTTGACTTGACGAGCACAGGAATGATTTGAGTGTATTGCGCGTACGGCTACTCCCGACACGGCGACGTCGTCAACGGGTTCGGGATGTTCGGTAAGATCGGGCGCCACGCCTTATTCGTGGACGCCGCCCTGGAAAACGCGCACGCGGACTTCGGCGCGCGTCGCTTCTCCGTGCGTCGCGTCGAAGTCTGGGCGCTTGAGGCGCGCGCGCCCGGAATCGACGCCGGCGCTTCGCCGCGCGCGGCGACGCGCGATCGAGCGACGATGGCGCAGTTTACGTCATCCGCGATCGCCCGCGACGTCCTCGACGCCACGACCGGCTGACATCAAGACCGCGACGGAACGTCGAGGAAAGATCTCGTCGACGCGCTGTTTCGCGAGTGCGGCGGACCAGAAGGTGTGGGAGGCGCTGACGGATACGCGCGGCGTACGAGGCGACGTTCGCGGCGATTGAGGACGCGCGTCGCGCGAGATAGATGATAGATTGATACTAGATAGATCTGATGCAGCTCCTAGGCAGTCTCCTACGCGGTAGGAGACCTTGTTGTAACATACGATGTACGACGGATCCAAAAAGTGCGAGCACGTCACCGTCGACGACCCGTCCTCGAGCGCGCGAGCGCGACGCGCCGTTTTCAGTGACAAAAAAGAATGGCAACTTTGTTACCTCACCGGGATTCGAACCCGAGTCTGTTCGTGGAAGCGCGTGGCGTGTCCGTCAGTGTCGCGTTCACAATTTTTGGTGTCAACGTGTCCGTTCGCGTGTTCACGTGCGATGGGCGCGAAGATGCGTAGAATACGTACCTCTAGGGTGAAAGCCTAGCGTGATAACCATCTACACTATGAAGTACCGCTCGACCCCGCAAGGGGCCGCAGCGATCGATCTCTCCGATGTTTCGGAGTTCACGGGATGTACTCATGTTTCAGCTCGTCCACACTTTCGTGTGGCTAGATAGAGATGTGTGCGGCTTGACACCGCACATCTGATGAATGACTGTGCGCTAAACTTTTTCACCCAGAAATCGCGTCGACGGACGCGCGAATGTTACGGTCGGGCGTGACGTGTTTTCGCACGCCGCGCGCCGCGCGTCGTCGCGTTCGTCGCATTCCGCACTTCGCGATGCCGCCGCGAAAGCGCGCGCGCGAGGCTTCGGGCGACCCGGTCGAAACAGAGGAGGGTTCAGCGCGCGCTCGGGATTCGACCGAACCGCCGTCGACCACCGCGCCGTCGGCGCCGTGCCCGTACCTGGACACGGTGAACCTCGCGAACCTGGATTTTGACTTTGAGAAGCGGTGCGCGGTGTCGCTGTCGCCCGTGCACGTGTACGCGTGCTTGGTCTGCGGCAAGTACTTCGCGGGACGAGGAAAGAAGACGCACGCGTACGCGCACGCGCTGGAGTGCGGACATCACGTGTTCATGCGCCTGGCCGACGGCGCGGCGTGGTGCCTGCCGGATGGGTACGAGGTGGTGGACGAAGGGACGACGCTGTCGAGGATTCGAGACGTGCTCGCGCCGACGTACGCGAAAAAGTACGTGGAGGAAGAGATCGAGGGCGCGCGACCGATGTGGCGGCGCGCGCTGGACGGCACGGAGTTTCTCGTCGGCGTCGTCGGATTGAACGCGATTTGGAGCAAACGCGACGACGGCGTGAGCGCGGTGCTGCAATCGCTGAACAGAGTGGCGCCGCTGCGGCGCGCGCTGTTGCTCGACGACGCGAGGGAACGCGAGGACGTCTATCGCGCCTTGGCGGACATCACGAAGAAGATTTGGAACGCGCGAAATTTTAAAGGTCACTCGAGCCCGCACGAGTTCATGCAAGCGGTTCGAAATCGATCGAAAGACGCGTTCGGCGCGGAGACGGGGAACCACGACGCCGCGCAGTTCTTGCGTTGGTTGCTCAACGAATTGATTCGCGACGAAAAGAAACGCGGCGAAAAGCGATCCGTCATTCAGTCGTGTTTCCAGGGAGAAGTGGAAATCATCGACGATTCGTCCGCGTCGCGCGCGTCGCCGTTCCTCATGCTCTCGATGGACCTCCCGAACGCGCCGCTGTTTCAAGACGTCATGGAGAAGAACATCATCCCGCAAGTCTCCCTCGAGCGCGCGCTGCTGAAGAAATTCGACGGCGTCACCGCGGACCCCAAGACGCGGCGCAGGTTCAAGATCACCAAGCTCCCAAACTACTTGATCGTGAATTATTCGCGCTTCACCAAGAACAACTTCTTCGTCGAAAAGAACCCGACCATCGTGACGTTTCCGACGCGGGGGCTGAACCTCGCCGATCACATCCCGGTGCCGAGAGGGGACGAAAATTCGGCGACGTACGATTTGATCGCCAACATCGTGCACGACGGCGCGCCCGACGACGGGTCGTATCGCGCCATGGTGTACCACGCGCCGGATAAAAATTGGTACGAGACGCAGGATTTGCGCGTCGCCGAGGTGTTGCCGCAACAAGTCAACCTCACGGAGACGTACGTGCAGATTTACGAGCGTCGAGACAAGCGACGAGACGCGTAGGACTCGAAAACCACATTTAGAATAATAATAGAAAACAAACGTCTCGCGATGACGAATACAACGAATACAAATACAATACACACGTCGCGCGTCGACGGACGCTAATCGCCCTCGCCGCCCTCGCCCTCGCCCTCGCCCTCGCCGTCCCACCCGAGCGCTTCCATCGCGTTCGCGAGCTCCGCCTCGAGCACGGGCGCGTCCGCCGCGCGCGCCGCCGCGCTGTTCTCCACCGTCGCGTGATCCACCGCGCTCCGCATCGAATACATCACCCGCCACTCCAACGCCCAAGCGTCCACGGGTCCGAACGACCGCGAGTCCTCGTGTCTCCCCGCGCTCTTCGCCGAATCCGTCTCCGCGTCCGCGTCCGCCGTCACCCACGCGTGATCCTTCGGCACCACGTACACGCTCGCGTTCGCCGCGTCCACGAGTTCGTCGCCCTCCGTCGCGCTCACGCGTCGTATCAGCGTTCGCGTCGCGTCGCTCGGGTGCGCGAACGCCACCACGTCCCCGATCGCGGCGCTCCGAAACGGGTGCGCCAGCCTTCGCGCGAGCACGTACTCCGTCCCGGATCCTCCTCGCGCGCTCGACGGTCCCGGCGCGTCGCGCGCGCCGCCGCGCAGCGTCGGCGTCATCGCGTCGCCGCGAAACGCGAACACGCGCGTCATCGCGTCCTCGCCGATCGCGCGCACCGCCTCGGCGAGCGGCGCGCGCGGCGCGCGCGGCGCCGTCGTCGGGTCGTCGTCGTCGTCGTCGTCGTCGTCGACGTCGCGCGAGCGCGCGGTCGCGGCGACGGGGCGCGCGGCGGCGGACGACGCGGCGACGAGGGCGGGGACGAAGAGCGTCATGATTCGCTCCCAGTGGTACGACAGGCGGAGGGCGCCCATGACGGGCGTCGGCGCGTCGACGAGTGGCGCGGGCGCGGCGCGAGCGGGCTCGATCGGCGCGTACCGCTGTCTGTGAAACGTGGCTAATGATTCGCGACGATCTCGAACGTCGAGTCCTAAACGCTAGGTTTTAATTCGCGGTTTCGTCCGCCGTCGCGTCGATCGCGCGATCCTCGATGCGCTTTTCGCGGCGATTCCACTGGGCGCGGTCGCGCGCGGCGAGGAGCAAAGGTATCTCCGGCGGAACGGGCGCGTCGCGCCTGACGAAGCAATCGCCCATGAACTCTTTCTCTTGTTCGTCTTTGCACGACACGCGCTGGAGGAAATCGAGCGGTGATCGCGGCACGCCGGTTTCGTGGTGCTTCGAGCGAAACCGCGCGGCTTCGATGTAGGCGCCAAAGTCGCCGTGTTTGACGCCGAGAAGATCGGCGTCGGAGGAGCATCCGCCCATTTTATCGGCTTTGGGGAACACGGTGGGGCCTTTGGCGAGCACCGCGCACAGGCCAACCTTGATGTCCGTGCTTTGCACTCGCAAGAGCTTGCGGAAGCCGGGAGACCACGTGCTCGGATGATCGTACCGCCAACTCGTGTACTCGTTGTACCTCGACTCATCGCTCGCGATCGCCTCGAGCTCGGCCGCGAGCGCCTCGAAGCTATCGTAGTCGCGCAAATCAATGTATGATTTCTTCGTCGGCATGAGCTCGGTGAACGAATCGTGACCAGTGTATATCGGAATCGAGCCGCGGGCGAGCGCCATCCACACCTTCTCCGTCATGTACCCTTGGCACATCGGTGCGTTCTCCACGGCGAAATAAAACATGTAGCGCGCCATCTTACTCTGATACTCCAGGTTTTCCACCCCGCGGCCGGGCAAGTTGCGCGGCAAGTGGTAGTTATTGAAGCAATTCCCCATGGAAAACGTCGGAAAGTGTTCGGCGAGACCGACGACGATGCCGGGTCGCGGAGGAAGGCAATCGATGGCGATCCAAGCCACCGCGGGAATCCTCTCCGAGTGAGGAATCGTGTACGCGGGGAAATCTTCCGCCATCGAATCCAGCGACGGGCCGAACGGCCACCAAATAGCCGACCGTTTCTGATCGAAATACCCGACGTAATCGAACTCTCTGACGACTTTCGGGTTTTGCAAATCCTTCCCAAAAGTCGCCACGGCTTCGTGCGCCATGTACACGTCCACCTGACCCGGGTCTATCTTTGCAGGTTTCGCGTACGAACCGTCTTTCCCTTTATTCTTGCCGCGCCACAAGTACCCCGATTGACTAAACACTCTCACGTCGGCTCTCTTGTCGCCGTCGCATCCGATGACGACCTTCTCCACGCACGCGCCGGGAGTGAACAACCTTCCGAACCCTTTCACGTAGGTCGAGTCCCAGGCATCCGCCGGCATGTCCACGCACATCGTGAACCCGGTCTCCGAGCGCGTCACCGCCGGCGCGTGCGCGTACGACGACACGTCGACGTCGGCGTCGTAGCCTCGAAACGCGTCCGGCAGATACGCGTGCCGAATCGGATCCAACGCCGCCGCCACCGCGAGCTGATCCACCTTCCCGTGCGCGTTCCTGTAGTACGCCTGCGCGATCATCGCCTTCCGAGTCGCCCTCGCGTCGCCGAGCTTCGCCGCGCTCGCGCCGAGACCGCCGTCTCGCGTCGCCGCCGCCGCCGCGCCGATCGCCGCGCACGCCGCCAGCGCGCCCGCCCCGACCCGCGCCCGCGTCCACCGTCCGCCGCGCCTCGCGTCGCCGGCGTCGCCGCCGCCGCCGTCGCCTCGCGCGCGCGTCGCGTTCGCCGTCGTCGTCGTCGCGCGCTCGACGTCGTCGAGGTGTTGACGCCATCCTTCGTCATCCGTCGCCGTCGCGCGCGCGCGCGTCAGCAGGGACGCGCGCTCGGCGCTCGCCGTCGACGCCGTCGGCATCGCGCGTCCGACGCGCGCGTCCGTCGCGACGCGCGACGCGTCGTCGTGTGTCGTTCGGTCGCGACGACCGACGAAGGGTGTTGACGCGCCAAAGCTCTAAACCCTACATCGCCGCGCGCGGCGGCGCCTCGCGCATGCGCGCGCGCGCGCGCGGCGCCCTCGAGCGCGCCGAACCCTCCGCGCGCGTTTCCCGCGCCGCGCGACGGCGCTTCCCGCGCCCTCGCGCGCCGTCGCGCGCGACATCGCGCGCGAACGACCGATTTCGCGACGCGCGCGACGACGACGACGACGACGACGCGCGCGCGCGACAGTTCCTCCGACTCGCGCGCGACGCGCGCGATGGATCGTGGGCGCTGCAGAGCGCGACGGTGACGCTGCGGCCGCGCGACGCGAGCGCGCGAGCGACGCGAGCGCTGCGGGTGTGCGCGCTGGTGCACTACGGCGAGGCGCGGTACTATCGCGGCGTGGCGAAGGACTTCGAGACGCGCGAGAACGACGCGACGCTGGTCGAGCTGATCACGTCGAGGAAGCACTTGGAAGCGAGCGACGAGCGAGGGCTGAAACTGTGGCGGTTGAGCGAGGCGCTGGCGCCGACGGCGGAGGCGCGAGCGCTGGCGAACGCGCACGGGTTGCGCGCGCAGCTGGACGCGCTGGACGCGAGGGCGCGAGGATGGTACGTCGCGGACGTGACGCGAGAGGAGTTGATCGCGCTGCGACGAGAGGCGGGAGAGATGACGGCGAAGACGGCGGAAGAGACGACGCGAAACGCGAAGCGGAGCGCGGTGTCGATGGGAGGGAATCTGCCGCCGGCGCTCGAGGCGCTGGCGGTGACGGCGTTCGGAAGGGCGTCGGAGGGCGATCCCGCGAGGCTGTTCGCGCGGTTGAGCTGTTGGTTCGTGCCGTGTCCGGAGGCGCATTTGTTGCTGCTCGATTGGGTGTGGGCGGGCGGGCGTCCGTCCGAGGTCTTGGGCGCGATGGTGGACTGTTGCGCGTCGGGTGATTTAGAATCCGCGCGTCGCTTGGCGTTCGCGCAGATGATCGTGAGCGCGCAAGCCGAGGGGCCGGCGGGCGGCGGTTCGACCGAGCCCGTTTTGGTCGCCCGACGCAACGACGTCGCGATGGACGGGGTGAACAAGGCGTTCAAGGCGCCCGAAATCGACACCGTCAACCTGTTGTACGGCGGTTTGCACGTCCCGGGACTCGTGCGGTGCGCCCGCGAGCGTTTAGACATGGAAGTCGTCGACGTGGCGTGGCGAGACGCCTGGCGCGTGCAACCGCCGGAGAACGCGTCGCCTCTCAGATACGCCATAGTGCCGCTCATTCTCGGCATCGACGGCACGGATTGGGCGCAAACGCTTCACGACGCCGTCGCGCTCGGCGCGAGCGCCGGTATTCTTTCCACGTTTCTCTACATCGTTCGTCACGGCGCGCTGTATTACGCCCTCGGCAAGTGGCTTCTCGAGTGGAATCGCCAACTCTTCGACGCCGACGTCGGTCCGTCGCCGGAGAATGTAAAATATCGTTAATCGCCTAGCCAACGACTTCGTCGTCCGTCGTCGCGCGTCGACGCCACACCATGCCTCGCCCCACCCCCGCGCCGCCGCCGCCGCCGGCGGCGCGCGACGTCGACGTCGAGCGCGACGCGCTCACCGCGATGCGCAAAGACGGCACGCTCGACGCCCTGCGCGCGCGCGCGGTCGAGCGCGTTCGCGCGGACCCAGAGATGAAAACCTTCACGGAATTCGCGGCGCGCGCGTCGCAGACGCTGCGCGACCCGCGAGCGAGGCGCGCGTCGAGGAAAGATCTCGTCGACGCGCTGTTTCACGAGTGCGGCGGACAGATTTTGAAGCAGGCGGACCAGAAGGTGTGGGAGGCGCTGACGGATACGCGCGACGAACTCGGCCGCGCGGCGTACGAGGCGACGTTCGCGGCGATGGAGGACGCGCGTCGCGCGAGATAGATACCGATAGATAATAGATTGATAATACATAGATCTGATGTAGCTGATGCCGCCGCCGTCGCGTCGGACGGATCGCCTCGGTCGCCTTCGGTTCGCTTCTCGGCGGCGGCCGCCGACGCGGACGCCGCCGCGCGTCGCGGTCGTCATGCGCGCGGTTGTGCGGCGACGATTTATTTTACGCCGCGCGACGGGCGAGCGACGCCGGCGAATCGAGCGACGCTGAATGCCCGTACGCTGGAATCGCGCGCGAACGCTGACGCGACGATTCGTCCGAGTGGGTGGTTAGGCGCGCGCGGCGGCGGCGGCGGCGATGCCGTCGCCCAACGCCCAGCTCGCCTCGACGTCTCGACGCCGGTAACGAATCTTGTCGAGCGCGCGAATCGTCTCGTCGTCCGCGGCGCCGTGACCGACGGTGAGGAGGGCGTACACGTAGACGAGGTCGAGGCAGAGGTAGTTGACGTCGACGGCGTCGCGCGCGGCGACGGGGAAGCGAGCCTCGAGCTCGGCGGCGGGCGTGGAGCACGCGCGAAGGGCGGCTCGCTTCACGTCGCGCGGTGTCATGGTCGCGATATCGGTCGGGCGCCTCGGCGGCGGCACCGCGCCGCCTTGAATCGCGCGTTCGACGATGAAGGACATGACGAAGAGGGGCGTTTTGCGCGGCGTCGTCCAAGCGCCGGCGAACGAACACGGTGCTTTCGCGCAATTTCCCTCGAGCGCCTGCGTCGTGGCGAGCAGACACCGTGTAAAGTCGCTGCCGTCGCTGGATCCGATGGCGGCGTACGTCTCCCCAGGCTCGAGCCCGTAGCAATCTTTTTCGCACGAATCCGCGAACGCGTTCGGTAAGCACGGATGCGAACCGTCTTTATTCTTCCCCACGCTAAATATCTTCGGCCGTACGGCGACGATACCGTAGCCCTTAAACGAATGCACGTATGTCCTATACGTCGTCGACGCCGCCTCGATGTCGCGCACGTACCCTTTCGGCGCGTCCTTCGCCGCGCCCCCGCCCACCGCGTACGCGATTTGCGTACTCCCGCCGCCTAAATCTACCACCGTCACAGTCTTCTCCGGCGCCCCGCCGAGATTCCCTAGCAAATAATTTACACTCACCCACGCGTGCGCGCCCTCGTCTTCGCCGTCCATGATGCTCACGAACGACGCCGACGACGGATGAAATCCCGCGTTCGCGATTTTTCGTCGCACCGCCTCCACGATGGCGTCCGCCGCCTCCCGCCCTTCGGGCATCAGTCTCAATCCCGCCGTCGCGCGCACACTAAACGGTGTTTCTCGTCTCGCGCTCTCCGGCACGACTCCTTTCGCCACGTCGATCAGCGCCTCGATCGACGTCGCCGCCGCCTCGGCGTCGCCGCCGTAGCTCTTCAGTCCCGGTTCGATCGAGCGAAACGTCTCGTCTCGCAGCGCCTCGCCGCCGCTCGCGAACGCCGATCGAGAGAACGTGAACACGTGCACGCGCGTGCCCGTGGAGCCGGCGTCGATGACGACGGCGTAGCGTGTTTTCGCCGCGCGCGTGCTCTCAAAGCCGGTGACATCGGCGAGCGCGCTGAGCGCGACGAGCGCGACGACGAGGACGGTGAAGGCGACGACGAGGGCGAGCTGGCGGAACGTTCTCGCGCGCGCGTACTCCTGGGTCTGGGGGTACGATTGCGCGCGGGGAAGAGGCATCGCGACGCGATGTAACCGCGCTCGACGCAGGCGAGCGGGACGCGCGAGCGGGACGCGAGAACGCCGCGGATCGATCGGCGTGTCGCGCGAAGGACGACCAGTAGTACACGTATTTTACATTGACGATGTCCGTTACGTGGGACAACGAGCCGCGAGCGGCGCGCGGGCGAGGCCGAGGACGAGGGCGACGGCGCCGGCGATGAGTGCGAGCGCCGCGAAAAAGCCACTCGGGGAGTCAAAGGATGGGTACGTGGAGCCGAGCACGCCGCTGAAATAGTTGCCGAAGAAGTATGAGCCGAACCATAAACCGATTATGGCGCTGAGTAAACCATCCGGAGCGATTTTGGAAATGTAAGAAAGCGCCACGGGGAAGGTGAAGAGCTCGCCGGCCGTGAGGAAAATCTGATTGAGGACGATCCAAAACACGCTCACGCGAGTCGGCGAGGCGTGCGAGTCGATCGGTAAAGCACCGAACATCAGCACCGCGAATGATGAAGACAGAAGCGCACACCCGATGGCAATTTTCGACATCTGGTGCGGCTCCGCACCGCGTCGCGCTTGCCAATCCCAAAGCGCCGTCACCGCCGGCGTCAGCGAGAGGACGAGCAACGGATTCAACGCTGCGACGAACTCGGTCGGCATCCCGTGTAAATCGACGTGCTCGTCCGAGAACAACATCAGGGTGCTTCCTGATTGTTCATAAACCATGCTAAATCCGATCCCAGCCACGCAAACGATGGCGACGGCGAACATGGCGTTCGAGTTTTCGCGTATCAATCGCGCCATGTCGTTGAGACTCTTGCGTGATTCGCCGTTTGAACGCCCGTTTTCTTCTTCAAAATCTTGTTCGTTCGATCCCATCCGACGCAGCGGGCTTCTGGACTCCTCGTCATTGTCGTTCGCCGACGCTGGAATCATGGCGTCCACGACGTGCCTGCGGTTCAAGGCGTAAATTGCCAACGCGCACCACATTCCCACGGCGGCGCTCGCGAACGCGGCGCCGTAACCAAAGTACACGCGCACCGTCCCAGCGATCAAGGGCGAAAAGAACGCCCCAACATTGATACAACAATAAAAAATACTGAATCCCGCGTCGCGTTTCGGATCATCCTTGGCGTACAACGCGCTCAACTGCGTGCTAATCGAAGGCTTAAACGCCCCGTTTCCGACGCACACCAACGCCAACCCGATCAAAAACGCCCACTCGCTCGCCATGGCGCCGTACCCTAACGCCATCACCACCGCCCCCACCACTGCGCTTCGATGCGCCCCCAAAACCGCGTCGGCGACGATCCCACCGAACACTGGCGTCAGGTACGCCAAACACGCGAACGCGCCGTACGTCTTCGCGCTCGTCGCCTCCGCCGCTCGCGTCCTCTCCATCATCCCCACCGCATCGCTCGCGTTCACCGCCATCGCGAAATCATAATTCGAGAACGTTTTCCCCACCGTTCGCAGTCCCAACACGCGCTCGACGTCGAACGTCGGATCGCGCAATACCTTCGTCACGTACAGCGCCAACAGCGCGCGCGCGGCGTAGTACCCGAACCGCTCCCACATCTCCGTCGCGCCCAGGACGACGAGTCCGAGCGGGTGCGCGCCGCGCATGATCGTCGCGCGCGCGCGAGCTCCCGCGTCCCGCGCGCGCGGCTCCAGCAGCGGTCGCGCGTCGTTTTCGTCGTCCGAGGGCGCGCTCGAGGTGCCTTCGCCGCGTCGATCGCGCGTCGTCGCGTCGTCGCGCGACGCCATCGCGCGCGCGCGTCGGCGACGACGATTCGCGCGCGCGCGGTCGTCGCTCGACGACGCGGCGTCGCGGCGCGGTGTGGCGACGGCGCCCTCACCGACGACGGTTTGAAATCCGAGTCGTCACTCCTCGAAGCGACGCCGACGTCGCGAGCGCGCGCGCGCGATGGCGTCGAGCGCGGTCGCGGCGCGGTGTGGAACGCTCGCGGCGCCGACGCGCGGCGCGCGGGACGGCGCGCGCGCGCGAAAGACTCGCGCGAGGGCGATGAAGATGACGTTGATGCCGCTGGCGCCGGGCGATCGCGCGACGCCGCGACGCGCGAGGGCGTCGTCGTCGTCCGCGGGGGGCGCGGAAAGTGAGAACGCGACGACGACGTCGTCGAGCGGGCGAGAGACGCGCGCGAACGGTGGCTTGGCGGCGGTGACGGCGGACGTCGAGCGTCGCGTCAACGAGGCGCTCATCGGCGTCGCGGTGACGGTGATCGATAATCTTTACGGTGGACGCTCGTACGCGCGATTTCACGCGCTGGAGACGGTGGCGAGAGTGCCGTATTTTAGCTTTATGTCCGTGCTTCACCTGTACGAGACGTTCGGGTGGTGGCGAAAGGCGGATTATCTCAAGGTGCACTTTGCGGAGACGATGAACGAGTATCATCACTTGCTCATCATGGAATCTCTGGGCGGGGCGGAGCTTTGGAAGGATCGGTTCGTGGCGCAACACATCGCGGTGGCGTATTACTGGATTTGCGTCGCGCAGTACTTGGTGTCGCCGAGATGGGCGTACAACTTGCTCGAGCAGGTGGAATCGCACGCGTACGCGACGTACGACGGATTTTTAAACGCCAACGAGGAGGTGCTGAAGGCGACGCCGCCGCCGAGCGTGGCGGTGCAGTACTACACCAAGGGTGATTTGTACTTGTTTGACGAATTTCAAACCGTCGATCGGGGCGAGAGACGACCGAAGATTGACAATCTGTACGACGTCTTCGTCAACGTACGAAACGACGAAGCCGAACACATGAAGACGATGGAATTTTGCCAGCGTCCTGGCAACGGCTTACGCTCGCCGTCGAGCAAGGAGGCGATGGTATTGCTCAGTAAAGACGCTTGCGAGGTGGACGAGGACTTCCAAGTCGATGAAGATTGTGAGAAGGCGTCCATCGCGGCGAGCGCCGAGGACGAGCGCGTGTGCGAAGGCTTGGTCGACTGCGTCGTCAACTTTGGCACGGGCGCGATGAGTTACGAGCCCGAGGTCGATCGCGAGTGATTTCAATCCGGTCGTCGATTTTACCGTCGCGCGCGCGACGACGCCGACACACTACCCATAGTACAACAATTACGAGCGACGAATTTCTAGATTTTAACGACGCGCGTCGCCGCGTTTCACACCCGTCGCGTCACTCCGCGCGAACGACGCGCGACACCACCATCTCAAACGTGTCCTCGACCACCGCGCGCTTAATCTCTTCCCTCACCGCGGACTCTCCCACCACCTCGCACTCCTCGTCGACGTCCGTCGTCGACGTCGCTCGCCACCCCTCCGGCGCGTCCTCGCTCGTCGCCTCCGCGACGATCTCAAACTCCACCCGTCCCTCCCTCGCCGTCGCCAGTCGCGCCTTCCGCGCGCCTTCGTCCGCGACGAACACAAACTTCGTCGCCGTCGCCGCCAGCGCGTCTCTCGCGTCCCTCTTCCGCGCCGCGCTCGGCGTCTCGCCGCCGCGCGCGTCCACCCGCGCGTCGAACCGGTACGCGTCGAACGCCGCGTTCGCGCGTCGAAACACGACGCCGACGGACGCGCACCGTCCTCGCGCGACGTCTCGTCGCAGGCTCGCGAATATTTCGTCGCAGTACGCGCCGACGTCGGCGCGATGGCGCTTTCCGACGGTGGCGAGCTTGACGCCGAAGAGGTCGGACTTGGCGCTTGAAGCGTCGTCGTAGACGCCGTACCGCGCGACGGCGTGCTGCGCGAGGGCGTTGATGAACTCGAGGAGGACGTCCGCGATCGCGATCGCGGCGTCGTCGCTCGAGTCGGGCATGCGCGGCGACGTGCGGCGGATGATGATGATGTACAGCGTTACAGCGCGGCTCGACGACGAACGAAGACGACGACGCGGCGCGGAATCACACGACCTCGGCGTCGAGTAAACGCCACTCGTTCGCCACGCGCGGACTGGAATGGTCGATGGGAGGTAAAACCATCGGCGCCGCGACCTCGCGCGCCTTATCCGCGCCGAAGAGCTTCTCCGCGAGCGCCAACGCGAACTCGAGCGCGGTGCCCGGACCGCGCGAGGTGACGACGTCGCCGTCGACGACGACGCGACCGTTCGCGCTCGCGTCCGAGGGTAAATCCTTCACGAACGCGGGATGCGCGGTGCACGCCAAACCGTCGAGCATGCCGCGCGGCGCCAACACGACGCCCGGCGACGCGCACATCGCCGCGACGAGCGCGCCCGGCGTCTCCATCTGCCTCGTCAGCGCGCGCGTCAACCGTTCAGATTTCGCCAGATTCGCCGCGCCGGGCATCCCTCCCGGCAGCGCGATCAGATCCCACGCCCTCGTCTCCACGCGCGCGAGATCTCGCAGGCGCGCGTCCGGGACGATTCGCACCCCTCTCGAGCACTCCACCGCGTCGTCGCGTCTCGCGGCGTCGTCGTCGTCGTCTCGCCGCGTCTCGTCGTCGTCCCCAGGTTCGATCGACGCCACCGTCACGTCCGCGCCCGCGCGTCGCAGGACGTCGACGATGATCACCGTCTCCATCTCCTCGCTGCCGCGCGCGATCGGCACCAGCACCGTCGGCGCCGTCGCGCGTTGGCGCGCGTTCGATTGCGATTGCGTTCGCGATTGCGTTCGCGATTGCGTTCGCGTTCGCGTTCGCGCGCGCATCGCGCGTCGCGCGCGCGTCGGTCGTCCCGTCGGTCGTCCCGCCGATCGTCCCGCGCCGAGCGCGCGCGCGCGCATGGCCGCCGCGGTGCGCCGTCGTCGGCGGCGGCGTCGCGTCGGCGTCGCGGACGCGAGTCCCCTCCGATCGACGAGTGCTGACCCACGAACACGTATTTAAGCCACAAAACGCCACTGTAATCGAACCGCGCGACGCGAGTCCCCTCCGATCGACGAGTGCTGACCCATAAACACGTATTTAAGCCACAAAACGCCCGCGTAATCGAACCGCGCGACGCGAGTCCCCTCCGATCGACGAGTGCTGACCCACGAACACGTATTTAAGTCACAAAACGCCCGTGTAATCGAACCGCGCGACGCCGACCCCACCCGCGCGCGCGACGCGGCGCGCCATTCGACGCCGCTCGAGGTGCGCGACGCGACGCGACGCGACGGCGCGACGCGCGAAACCCGACGAACGATGGCGACGATCGACGCGACGGCTCGCGGCGCGGGCGCGCGCGACGACGGCGCGACGCGACGGCGAACGATGACTGACGCGAGGCGATCACGCCGTTTGCGCAGAGACGGAAATCGCGCACGCGCGCGCGAACGACATGGCGAAGTACTACGGCGACATCGCGAAATCGGCGAAGGGTGCGTGGGAGATCGACGACGACGGCGGGGGGGGGGAGACGCGAGGGCGCGAGGATGGATTGAGGGAGGATCGGGGGGACGCGCGCGAGGGCGACGACGCGCGCGGGGCGAGGACGACGAAGGACTGACGATGCGATCGATCGCGCGCGCGCAGACTTGCTCACGGGCGGGTTCAATTATGACACGAAGGTTTCCGTCGATACTAAGTCGGCCGGGACGGTGCGTGAGGCGCGGAAGCGCGAGGCGAGGCGACGGCGGAGAGACGCGAGGCGAGCGGCGGACGACGGACGACGACGGCGCGAGGGGGTCCGCGCGCGCGGTCGAGCGCTCGAGCGCGGCGCGCGGGAGGGCGGTCGATGGGGATATATTTTGCGTCGTCGAGCGGCGCGCGCGCGCGAGGTTCGCGGGACTGACTTTCGGAATGGGTGCGTTTTTCGACGTCGCAGGGCGTGTCCGCCTCCGTCGTTCAAAAGGGCGAGGCGGTGAGCGGCGACTTGAAGGTGAACGCGAACGTTGTCGATCAAGTGATCGACATCGAGTTGAACCAAGATGCCAAGGCGAAGGTGACTGCGTCTTTCCCGTCTCTCATCCCCAACGGAAAGCTTTCCGTCGGCGGTACGGTGCAAGATCTCGAAACCGTCAAGGTTTCCGCTTCGGTGCTCGCCGGTCCCCTCGGCGTCAAGGCTGACGTCGCCAACTACGCGGCGCCGAAGGCCGATGCGAGCTTGTGCTATGCCATCGGTGGTGGCTTCGCGGTCGGCGCCATGGCGACGATCAAGAGCTCCTCCGCGTTGGCGTACACGGTCGCGGCGCAATCCAAGCAAGGCGACGTCACGTACGCGTTGACGGCGGCGGATCAATTCAAGACGTTCAAGGCCAGCGTGGTGACCGCGTTGGACAGCAAGCAAACCCTTGGTGCCGAAGTGGTTTACAAGAAGGCGGCGACGGCGACGATCGGCTACTCCAAGAAGATGGATGGCCACTCTTTCAAAGCCGTCGTCGCCAACCCGGTGAGCGCCGAGTTCAACCCGACGCTCTCCGTGCACGCGAGCCTCGGGAGCTTGATCCCGAAGACGACCGCCACGATCAGCTGCCAAGTGGACAAAACGGTACGTACGACGACATTTTCTTCTCGGAGTCGGAATCGACGATGCTCTCGACGACGCGACCCTTCTTCACGGCGCCTATTGTCAAACAATCGCCGTTCCGCCCGTGTTCGGATGGTTGCCGCGGGTTGCCAACATCAACAATGCTCGAAGATGGTGCCCGCGCTTCTCCGTGCGCGGTGCGCCATAAATAGTATTAATATTTCGCGTCACAAATTCTCGATCGTGTCACTGACCGCGCGCGACGGTTTCTCCCTTTCGAAACAACAGATGAAGTACAAGTACGGCTTCCAGTTCGCGACCAAGCTTTGATCGAGACGGCTCGGACAGCTTCCGTTAGAACACTAGCACGCCGACCCCGTTCGCCGAATCGCTCGTCATTTCTTCCTCGAGCGAGGTGGTGACTTTTAAAGTATACAATACAATATCACGACGGAACGAGCGCCGCGTCCCGAGCGGCGCTCGCCTCCCGAGCCGTCCGCGTCGCGCGTCGACGTTCCTCTAACACTAATCCACCATATTCACCGACGATCGTCGATCGTCACACACCGTCGCGCACCCACGATGGCGGTGCCGCCGGGAACGGGAAATCGACAGTTTGTCGATGACGCGCAGGTGCGTAAACGGACCGCACGCGCGCGCGTCGCGCGTTACGTGTCGCGCAAGCGTCGCGAATTCGTCACGCGATCGTCGAGACGCGATGAATCGTGCGCGCGGAACGCACCGTGTGGAAGCGCGAAGAAGGGGTTGAACGACCCGAATTCGCGTCTCGCGGGCGTGGTCGCGGGATGCGCGCTCGATGCGCGCGCGCGCGCCGTCTGAACGACGCGAAAGACGCGATGAAGACGCGTTCGCGCTCGACGAGCGCGAGAGCCAGAGGACTGACGCGACGCCGCGACGTTTTCCAACCCGTAGATCGCGGAGGAGCAGCGCGAGCTCGACACCAAGCTGCGATCGACGAATACGCGGGATAAACTCGATGCGCTGAAGAGGCTGATCGCGCTCATGGCGACGGGACGAGACGTGAGCGTGTTTTTTCCCTCCGTCGTGGTGAACATCGTGAGCGAATCGTTCGAGGTGAAGGTGTTGGTGTACATGTTCTTGGTGCGAACGGCGGATCAGAAGCCCGAGGAGGCGCTTTTATCGATCAATTCGTTTCAGAAGGATCTGGCGCACCCGAACCCGAGAGTGCGGGCGTTAGCGCTTCGAGTGATGTCAAGCATTCGCATCCAGGTCATCGTGCCGGTGGTTATATTGGCGGCGCGAAAGTGCGCGGTTGATCCGAGTCCGTACGTGCGCAAATCGGCGGCGCATGCGATCCCAAAAATTTACAGAATGGATAACACGCGAAAGGAAGAGCTCATCGAAATCATCGAAACGATGTTGCGCGACAGTACGCCCTTTGTGTTGTCGTCCGCGGTGGCGGCGTTCACCGAGGTGTGCCCGGACAGGATCGATTTGTTGCATCGACACTACCGCAAGATTTGCCGCATGTTGGTAGACATGGACGAGTGGGGACAGATTTTGTTGAGCGAGCTCCTGCTCAGGTACGCGCGATCGCAGTTTTTGGCCCCCGACGCGCACACGCGCGAGCTCGGCGGCGTTTCGGGTAAAGGGGAAAAGAAGCTCGAACTCGCGCTTCCTTCGACAAACGAAGCCTCTTACCACGAATCCAACAACGCCGGGATCCAGTCGATCGTGGCGAGTGGCGCGGCGTTCTATTCCGATTCCGATGAGGAGGAGGAAGACTCCGACGATGACAGCGACGATAGCGACGGAGGCAAGGCGAAGAAGGCGGGCAAGTCGAGCGGCGGCGCCACGGCTGAGTCTCGCGGTCCAGGTTGGATGGACGAAGACCATCGTCTTTTGTTGCGTTGCACGCGTCCGTTACTGCAGTCTCAAAACGCTGGCGTCGTTATGGCTGTTGCGGCGCTGCACTTTTACCTGAGCCCAGCTGCGGACTTGCCCAAGGTTGTTCGAGCGTTGGTTTTCACAGCGCACGGCAGGCCCGAGGTGCGACATGTCGTCATCAAGAACATTTGTACCATGGTCACCACGCAGCCGATATTGTTCCAGTCGCACTTCAATGCGTTCTTCGTCACTCCACGAGATCCGTTGCAAGTCCGCGCTCTGAAACTCGAAATCTTGACGCACATCGTCACGAGCGAAAACGCGCCCACGCTGTTGAGAGAGCTTCAAGCTTACTTGCGCTCATCAAACCACGATTTTGTGGCGCTGACGATTCGAGCCATCGGAAGGTGCGCGGCCATAATGCCGCAAATCGCATCAGTGTGCATCCGCTCTTTGCTCGAACTTTCGCTTCATCCTTCGCCAAAGGTTGCGTCTGAAGCAGTCGTCGTCATTCGCGCCTTGGTGCAACAAAATCCGAAGGAGCACATCGTCGTGGTGATGCGCTTGATGCGTCGATTGGACTCATTGATCGCCCCCGAAGCGCGCTCAGCGGTGATTTGGCTCGCGGGTGGTGAGATCTTTGATGGCGACGCGGAGAACATCAAGGCGTCTGATAAGGAACTCCGTGAAAAGTTCTTTGAACTCGCAGTGCAAATGATGCGTCGCGTCGTCAAGAGCTTCCCAGATGAACACGAGATGACGAAGCAGCAAATCGTGAACACATCGTGCAAGATGTACATCCAAGATCCCATCCGCATCGCGCCAATGCTCAAAGTCGTATTTGCGCTCGCTGCTGCGGATCCTTCGGTGGACATGCGCGATCGAATTCGCGTCTTCCGCGCCCTCTTCCCCGTGGACGGGAAGCCGAGCGCGGTCAAGCACTTCGGAGACGCCGTCGTGCTGTGCGCCAAACCTGAGCCCAAACTCCCGTCACCCGCGATGCAAACGTGCGAGCACGCGCTCGGTTCTCTGTCGCATTTCATGGATCACATGGCGCCAGGGTACACGCCGCTCGCGAAGCATCCGACGGTGCAACCGCCGACGAATGTTCGCGAGCAATACTTCGCCGGGGGATCGGGCAGAGAAGGCTCCTCAGCCATTGCGGTGCACAACGGCAAATCCAACGGCCTCGGTGCGAGTGGATTCTACAGCTCTAGCGATGACAGCGATGATAGCGACAGTGATTCGAGTAGTTACACGGGGAGCGACGATTCAGACGATAGCTCGGATGACTCTGGTGATTCCTCAGACGACGACGAAGACGAAGACGAAGACGACGAATCGGACGATTCCTCGTCGTCGAACGACTCGGATTAGCTACCAATGACGAAACAATGTAAAACAAATCGCGTGTCTATATTAAAGCTATTATTAAGCCGCTCGGTGAATGAATGAATGAATGAATGACGCGTCACACGTCGAAACCGTTTTCGCGCGCGCGTTTGAGAAACTCGAGTTGTTCGTCGGACCCCTCCTCGAGCGCTTGAAACATGAAGATTGATTTATCCCCGATATCGTCCTTGATCGGCTGCGAATACTTGCGCAACGCAAGAACGACTAGAAGTGCGAGCACGACGTTCGCCTCCACCCCGCACACGTCTGCGCTCGCGCCGAAAAGATGACTCAAACACATCGCCGGCACGGCGAAGAATAAAAGCGCCGCCTCCGGCTTACCGTAACACATCCCCTCCTTAAACGCCAGCCCTGTCAACGCGGCGAACATCGGACCGACGAGCAAAACGCTCATCGGATGTTCCCAGACGTACACCGGCAGCGGCTCCTGCGCGCTCATCGCGATCGCCGCGCTTCCCAAAAACCCCACCGACCAGAGCGCGCGCATCGCCGCGCGAATCTCGCCGACGTACATGTGCACCATCAGCAGCGCCCCCCCCAGCCCCAATCCGCCCAAGAAGTACGCTTTTTCCGCGTCCACGTAATCCCCGGCGTGACACAACCCCGCGGTGAGCGCGGCGCCGAGCGACATCGCGCTCAACGACCCTCGATACGCGAACACCTCCGCGCGGTCCGCGGCGTCCACCGTCCAGTCTGCGTAGGCGCCGCGGTACACGCGCGGATCCACCGACTGTTCCGCCGCGAACCGCGGTCCCGCGCGAAGCGGTTTCAGAATATCGAACCTCGCGCGCGTTCGCACCGTCGCGCGCGCCCTCGCGCGCCCTCGTCGGCCCGTCGTCGGCGCCGAACGCGTCGCGATGACGTCCTCGATGCCTCGCGCGCCGACCATGTTTCCTCCCCTCGCGCTTCGCTCGCGCCGCCTCGGCGCCGCGCGTCCGCGCGTCCGCGCGTCCGCGCGTCTCTCCGCCTACCGCGCGCGCCTCGTCGCGATCGAGCGCCGCGACGCGTCGCGACGCGACGATTTGTGCCGCCGCGGTGCGCCGACGATCGGCGATCGGCCGCGGCGGCGCGCGACGATCGCGCGCACACCGCGACGCACCGCGAGACGGACGCGAGGCGCGCGCGATGGGTAAATGGATGGACGATGACGCGCCCGGTGGGCCGCAGGGCGCGCGCTCGTACGCCCCGTACGCGGGCGCGCAGGCGAACGATGCGTGTCGGAATTGCGGCCAGCTCGGACACTACGCGAGAAACTGCGCGCAGAACGCCGGACTGAACGGCGGCCGCGGCGCCGATCGATGCAATCGATGCGGACAGATCGGACACTGGGCGAGCGAGTGCTCGCTGCCGTACTCGGGCGGCGCGGGCGCGGGAGGGTTCCGAGGGGCGGTCGGCGGCGGCGGCGCGCGGCCGGGCGATCGGTGCTCTAGGTGCGGAGGACTCGGACACTACGCGCGCGCGTGCCCGTCGCCGGCCATGGCGGCGTTCGCGGGAGGTGCGGGAGGCGCGCCGAAGACGTGCCATAACTGTGGACGCGTGGGACACATCGCGCGGGACTGCCGACAAGGCGGCGGCGCGCGAGGGTACGATAACGCCAGAGCGCCGAAGCAACGCAAGGGTGCGGGTCCGGACGATGTGTGTAATCGCTGCGGCGAAAAGGGACACTGGGCGAGCTCGTGCTCGCAACCGGACACGCGAACGGAGGCCGAGCGCACGAGACAAGCCAAGCCGGACGATAAGTGCCACCGATGCGGCGAGCTCGGGCACTTCGCCAAGGATTGCTCGTTGCCCCCGGACAACACGTGCAGAATTTGCAAGCAAGAGGGACACTTCGCCAGAGAGTGCCCGAACAAGGACACCGCGGCGGCAGCGAACATGGATGCGGACCTTGATAACTACATGAAGGAGGGCGCGGAGAAGAAGGAAAGCGGCGAGGCGTAATATATCGAACGCGCGCTCCTCGCGACGCTTCTTCAATAAATCCGACGCCGCGGTCGTTCGCCGCGCCGTCTCCATCACCACGAACCAGACGACGATGAAACGACACGATTACGCGTCGAACTCATCGTCTCGTCCCGGCGCGTGTGTTTCACCATCACATACCACGTAGTGTTGTCTTTGTAATGGCCTTCTAAAAATCAATCTCACAAACCCGTCTCGGAGCGCGCCACGACTCGCCTCTCCTGAATCATGTCGAAAAAGTTCTTGAACGCCCCCGACGACGTCGTGAGCGAAATGCTCGACGGCGTGTGCCTCGCCACGCCCTCGATCGCGCGCATCGCCGATCAGAACGTGCTCGTGCACGTTCGCGAGGGCGAGGACAAGGTGGTTGTGATTTCAGGCGGCGGAAGCGGCCACGAACCAGCCATGGCGGGGTATCTCGGTCGAGGCATGCTCGACGCCGCGGTGTGTGGGAACGTCTACGCCAGCCCGAGCGTGGAGGCGGTGCTGAGCGCGATTCGCGCGACGACGACCGACGCGGGGGCGGCGCTCGTGGTGATGAACTACACCGGGGACAGATTAAACTTTGGATTGGCCGCCGAACGCGCGAAACTCGAAGGTTTCGACGTGGAGATGGTGATCGTGAATGACGATTGCGCGCTGGCGAGCGATCGAGTCGGGATCGCCGGCAGGCGCGGGCTTGCGGGGACGCTCTTCGCGCATAAAGTCGCCGGCGCGGCGGCGGACGCCGGTAAGTCTCTGAAGGAAGTGTGCGCGGAAGCGAGGGCGTGCGTCGAGGCCACGGGGACGATGGGGGTAGCGTTACAAGCGTGCACGCTTCCGGGATCGTCTGGCGTCGCGAGAGAGATTGCGGAAGGGACGATGGAGCTCGGACTCGGGATTCACGGCGAACCGGGAGCGCACACGGCTAAGACGACGAGCGCCGATGAAGTCGTAGAGACGCTCATGACGAGTATTTTCGCGCAGAATGAAAAGATTGGGAAACTGAGCGAAGGTTCAAACGTAGCGCTCATGGTGAACTCGCTCGGGGCGACACCGTTGATGGAGTTGTACGTCGCCGCCCGCGCCGCGTTCTCGTGGCTTGCGGGCGTGAAGAAAATAAACGTCACGCACGCATACGTCGGCACGTTCATGAGTGCGATCGATATGAACGGTTTTAGCGTCACCGTATGTGCGCTCGATGATGACACTAGAGTGCAGCGCCTCGAGGCGCCGTGTTCATGCTCCGCGTGGCCGAAGACGGCAAAACTCACTCCTGCGAAGCTCTTGTCGGTGTCAGCGCCGGCTTCCGATAGAAACGAAACCATCGCGAGCGGGCCACCGACGACTCCCGAGGGTGTCATGGCGTTGAAAGCTATCAAGCGCGTCGCAAAGGATCTCATCGCAGTGGAGGATACTCTCACAAAGTACGACACCGCGGTCGGCGACGGCGATTGCGGCACCACGATTCGCAAGGGCGCTGAGGCTTTAATGAAAGCTGCGGATACTTACCCGATTGACGATGTCTCGGCGCTTATGCGTGCTATCGGGGACACAATCCGTCAGAACATGGGCGGTACGAGCGGCGTATTGTACGATATCTTTTTCACCGCCGCGGCGGATAAACTCGCAAAGGTTGCCAAGGGCAAAGCGCCGAGCGTCGACATCGTCCTTCTTGCGTTCTCAACGGGCGTGCAGGCGATGTGCCAGTACGGTGGCGCTCGCGCTGGTGATCGCACGATGCTAGACGCGCTCGTTCCTGCGTTAACAATGGCGACGACGACGTATATGTCGAAAAAGTCTGTCATCGAAGTTGCGTCCGAAGCCGCAAAGGCGGCTGCGAACGGCGCCGAAGACACAAAGAGCATGAAGGCAAACGCCGGACGTTCAAGCTATGTCAACCAAGACGTGTTGAAGGAAACACCTGACCCCGGTGCAGTCGCGGCGGCGACGTGGATTAACGCAATCTTTGCTGCAGTGTCTGAAAGTTGATTTAATGCTACGTAATGCTATTTCTAAAGTCACTCTGGAGGTCGCGGCGCGCGGCGAAATTCTCGCGGAACCTTCGTCGTGCCGTACCTAGGAGCTGTGAACGTTGGTCGCTCATTGAGCGCTGCAATGTTTGAACTCACGACTACTTCGCTTGCCTCGTTATTTGCGCTTTCTATCGACCGTTGACGTCGGAAGTTTTCTCCACCGTACCAACGATCGGAAGCCGCCTCTCGTTTAGCGAGTCGATCGGCATGGAGCGCACTTCTCGCCCTGCGCTGTCGTTCGAGTCTTTCCGTCGGTGGTGGTGGCGGCGGATGACGCACAATCTTCGGAGTCGCCTGATCCGGGACCCTCTTAAATCCTGTGGTGCCTTTCACCATCGTCATACGACCTCCGATGGGTGGGGCCGGCCCCTTGCTCGGATCGGAATCGCGTTCGATTTCTACTCTACCGCCTCGCGTTGACTTTGCCTGGCGGTGCGAGTTTCCTGAATGTTCCCTTTCCTTCATTTTACGCCAGAACTCGTTCAATCGAAGCTTGGATATCGTCTCATCCTTCTGGCGTTGCCTCTCGACAGAGCTGTGAATGATTGCACTCACGTTGTGCAGCGTCTCGCGCGAGGGGGCCGCGCCACGTACATCTCGCACATCGCTACTTTCGTCGTAAAGCGTGATTGCCGTGAGAGCTGAATCGTCCGACAATAGCGCTCGCATATCACTTATGCCGCGCTCGGCCGCCGCGCGAACGCCGGCGTTGTCGTCGGTGTTTACGATTTTCAAGAGCACGGCGATAAGCTTGTCGGTGTCTTTTTGTAGCCCTTGTACTTTGATATCGCCGTATAGACGCCGATACATCGTCTTTGACATCAACGCTCCCCCGGGCATTTTGCGCTTTGCCGCGTCCACGAACCTCTCGAATGCAGCATCCGTGTACGACCCCGTTACGGGTACCTCAAAGTCATAAAAATTGCCCTCGGTTCCCCATACGAAGAGAGTAATCAAATCCACCAAGGCGTGTATCGAGAGTTCACGCGTCTCAGCTTCATCGTCGATCAGCATACCGTACAACGCATCGTGCACAAACTGCGCCGCCGACATAGAAATGAAAGCTTTGTAAGATTTTTTTGATACCTCGCCTTCGTCAGATTTTGTATTCATCACTCGGTAAACTGCGCTCATCTCCAGTTTAATCGATTGATGAAGAAGCTCGATGGCGTGAATTTTCTCTCGTTCTTTACCGGGCTCCATACTAACGATCAAGTGAGAGAGAGCGCTCAAAAACTCAGATCTGCACGCATCTGCGTTCGTCAGCGCGTAAAGGATTTCAGAGACAAACGTCTCCTTGGACGATCCAGCGTGCGCTTCCATACATTCAAAGAGAACTTTCAATCCATCGACGGCAAACACGCTCGGTCCCGCGTCACCAACTCGAACTAAAGTCGCGAGAGTCCGAATGGAATAGAATGATATCTGCTTGTCCGTGCTTAGTGAGGCGTCGAGCAGCGTCTTCATGAAATCATGCGCGAGCTCAAGTCTTTCTTCATCCGCCTCGTTTTGCAACCTCCCGACGGCGGCATAATAACCCAGAGAACTGAACCAATTCAATTCAGGTCTATTCTTCGCTTTGACTTCTTGACGTAGCCAGCTACGCGCGACGTAAGTCACGCGCTCAGCCTTGTCTAGTCTGCGGACCTCATCCGTGTCCGGATCCCTCACGTGCGTAATGGCTTGAGTGAGCTTTTTCGCAATCGGTCTCGGTGGAATCTCGAACGCATCGTCAATTATTTGACGAAACATTCTCGCAGATACGACGTAATCTTCGCCATACATATCCAAATCAATGTCATGAGCTTTAAACAAGAGCGTCGACATGAGGTTTGCGAAGTCAAAAGACTGAATGCACTCCATCGATACCGTCGCCACGGTCGCTTGAAACGTTTTACTCTCCCCACCCTTGATGCAGTCTTTAACCGTGGAGACAATCGATTTGACCGCCTCCCATGTCGACGCTGGACTATCATCGTCGCACCAAAGTGCGATCTCTACCGTTCCCTGGACATACGCATGTATCACGCTTCTGATGAATCCTTCGCCGGCTACTTGGAGAAATTCTTGGTCTGGATCATCGATGATACAATGCATGATGATACCGAGCTCCTCAAAAGCGTCACTAGCTGTATCCCACGCGTCTCCAACGTCTTCATTCTCGCCGTCTTTCGTCTGCGAGGCCCTTGGCATGTTCGTCTTCTTCACCAAGGGAGAGAGCAATTGAGTGCGTTGCTCTGTGCTGAGAAGGTTATAAAACGCCACGAGCGCGACGACGCGATCTCTTCTATTCTCTGCCTCAACTTGTTCTTTGATAAACTCCGGCGTCATGATCTTCTCAACCTTTTCCACTTGCTCTGGATCGCTCAATTTTTCAAGCTCTGAGCGAATGCACTTGTGATCTCCAAGACTATGATTGAAGACACGCACCATCACCATCGCGATCAACGTCATGATGATGCCAATCACAACTCCCGGGCGCGTCCAGTTTGAACCACCCGTGTGTGGAACTAAGCCATGAGACATCCAAGGTGGATTATTGAAAATTCTCGAGAAATAGGTGACGACGGCGAACATAAACGCGCCACCGAAAGCACCAGCTCTCGATTCATTCCGCTTTTGCCCGAACCCGCGCAAAGACTGAATATTCATGTGCGCCACGAGTAAAACGAGGCAGACTACTACTGGCATGATATTTCGCAACGAGTTCAGACTTTCGAGTCGCGCCACGGAATCAAGTGCAGGGACGCCATGACCCGGAAGTTCACCTTCCATGTACGCCGCGATCGTAGCCAAGGAGACCTTCAAAAAGATGCTTAACATCTCAAAAATTGGGACGGGGCGTAAGTTGGGTTCAAGCGTCTCCGATACCACAGCCATCTTCATCGATACTGCAATCGCGCCGAGGCCAACGAAGAGTGAAATCATCAAGTTATCGCCGAAACTCGCGCTGGGGTCCTTCGACACGTGAATCCAAGGCGTCGGTGTGAACGACGTCGTCACCATGAGAAAGCCGAGCGAAGCAAAAACCATCGGAACGAGAGCGACTCGCAGGATTAACACGCGAAGTACGAACCCGACAGCTTTCACACGGTCTCTAAAGTCGCCCACGCGTTTCGAGTATGTCCTGCGCCTCAACGCGTACTCCGCCATGAGCTCCATTCTCTCAGCAGCTTCGCGAGGTATCAAGCGCAAATTGAGCGGCGAAGTCGTCTCCAAGCGCACGGTTCGGAGTATAGCTTCATCGCTACCGTTCTCCCACGCGACGTCGGGAACAACTTTGAAACGCTGTTTTTCGCGATCGCGCACTGGAGTGAAATCATCTCGCATCGCAACTGGTTGAAGAAGAACACGTCGCATCGTCTTGCTCATCATCGCGTGCACTTTGGCCAACTTGTTCACTTGCACAGTCTCTTCGTCGACTTGCGCACCGCCACCTGATTCGGCGTCTGGGTCGTCCGAGTATTGCGTTAATGTTTTATCGCCGCCAAGCTCTACGTACTCCGCGAATGCCCACATGCATTGATCAAAATGGTCTCGGACACGTCCACAAAACTTGACGACTACAGGGCAAATGACAACGCCGAACAAAAGCACGACGAACCAGTTCGTGAGCTCCGTCTTGGCACCACGCTCCGTCATATCCGGGCCGAATAAACCAGGGTAGAAGAACACGTCCGCTATCGCATCGCGATACATTTCGTTTGAATGACTCGAGCGGCGCCATGCAAACGCCGTAAATGCAAAGAACTCGATGTACAGCTGGAATCGAAGAAGATTGTGGCTCCAATACTCCTTGTCCAAGACCTTGGCCAACTTGTAACGAAACATTAGTGCAAACGTAGCGCTCCTTAGTCGCACGGTGTACTTCACCCACGCCATAAGTTTCGATGCGGTCGCGACAAGTTGCTCGCCAACCATACTTCGACGCCGCTCGGCGCGCTCCGTTGCGTACAAATTCTTCTGAAACTGTTCCTCAGCTTCGTTCCACAGTCCCGCCTCTTTGGCCGCTCGTTCTCGCGCCGACTTTTTCTTGTCGACGAGTATATTTTTCAAATCTCGATCTAAATCAATCTTCGTGACGTACGTGATGTGCTCGCTCTTAATCTCCTGCGTCAATTCATCCAGCTCTCGCTTGTACTCGTCATCCAACTCTGCGTCGGCTTCACCGCTCCCAATCATCTTATAAGACGCCCCGACGTCTAAAATAACGTTTCTCTTATCCTCGAAATCGGAAGATTCAAGATTTCGACCGAACGAGTACGCACAAAACGCGGCGAACGCGATGAACGCCGCCGCCACAGCGGTATTCGTCGACGTCTCGCAAGTCCACGAAACCTCCACCTCGAGCGTCTGACTCGCGTAACAACCGTTCGTATCCACCAATGCTGCAGAATACTTCCCCTCGACGTCCGGTCGCAGCGTCGCCCGCGCGCTTCCATCGACGTCAAACGTCGCGTTCGCGAACGACGTCGCGTTCGTCAGCGCGCTCGTCGCCGGCCACGACATCAGCACCCACCGCCGCGTCGCATCACTCGCGCTCTCGAACACGTAATCATCAAAGCATCGTTTCTTAGTCGCGTCCAGCGTCGTGGCGTCGTAGGGATCGCCACCGCGACCGGCGATTTCGAGCGTCGTCGCCTTGGCGCCGTCGTCCGCGCGCGCCGTCACCGCCGCCATCGACGCGCTCGACACCGAGCACTGCGGCAGCGCGTCCACCGCGCGCGCGAGCGCGAGCGCACCGATCACCGCGAGCGTCAACGCTCGCGCGGCGCCGTTCGCGCGCGCGCGCGTTCGCCGCGCGCCTCGTCGTCCCCGCGGCATGGATTCGCTCGCCTCGGACGCGCGCGCGCGCGCCCGCGCGCTCGCGCGCCCGCGCGCGCCGCCCGCGCGCGCGGCGCCGAGCGATGACATCGCGCTACGCCTCGCGCATGCTCGCGAGACGACGGATCGCGGGCGACGCCGTGCGTCGCGGTTTACCGTCGCGCTGCAAACGGTCGATGACTCCGTCAGAACGCGACGACGACGAAGACGACGACGAAGACGACGAAGACGCGCGCGCGCGCGCGACGGAGGCGCGGCGAAACGCGCGTCGGCGTCGCGACGACTGCGCGGCGCGAACGCGCGCGTGACGGCGATGGACGACGTTGCGAATGATTCCGGGCACCGTCTCGGAACGCGCGACGGCGGCGACGACGACGACGACGACGCGGAAGAGGACGGCGCGCGGTTGACGAGCGAACCTTCGACGTCGGGCGCGTCGCTGAGATACGCCACCGCGCGCGACGTGCCGTTTCGAAAGCTGTGCGGCGCGTTCGAGGCGTTGCAGAACGAACGCGGTCGGTCCAAGGCGACGAGCGCGCGGCGGTATCGAGTGCTCGATACACTGCACGATCGATGTCTCGTGAGCGCGCGCGATGGAACCCGCGTCGACGCGTTCGACGCGTATCGGTTGATACTGCCGGCGTTGGACAAGGAACGAGGGGCGTATTTCTTGAAACACGACGCGTTGGCCAAGGTGGTGGTGTCGGCGTTCGACATGTCTCGAGCGAGCGAGGACGCGAAAAAGTTGGAGGATTGGAAACGAAAGGGTGGCGGTAACTTTCCGCAAGTTGTTCGAGACGTTTTGGCGGGTGGACATCTCGCGGATCGTGAGAAAGATGAAGACGCGCGCACGTTGACCATCGGAGACGTGAACGAGGCGTTGGACGCATTGGCGGCGTGCGATAACAAGGATCAGCGCGCGTCGACGCTGCGGGCGCTGTTTTCAAAGATGGATGCGACGCAAGTGAAATGGACGTGCGCAATCATATTAAAGGAAACAAAAATTTCAATGGGAGAGAAGGCGATATTGCGTCATTATCACTCCGAAGCGAATGACTTGTGGGATTGGACTAGCGATTTGCGAAGAGTTTGTGAAGACTTACCGCGGCGAGACTTCCGGATGAAGCGCGAGGACATCGATGTGGGCGTAGGTTTAATTAATCCTCAGATGGCGAGAAGGCAAAACAGCATCGATGCCGTGTACCGCGCGTTGAAAGGTACGCAGTTTGTCATCGAAACCAAATTCGACGGCGAGCGCATTCAAATTCACAAAGACGGCGACATCATCAACTACTGGACGAGAAACATGAACGATTTTGGCCCTCGTGGCTACGATGTGATGAATGCTCTCTTTCGTCATTTGCCAAAGCGATGCATTCTCGACGGCGAACTCATGGTTTGGAACAAGCTTCGCGATCAGTCGTACCCGTTCGGCGCGTTGAAGAATCTCATCAAGGCTGCAAATATGCGCAAGGCCAAGGATGAATTGTTTCCACTCAAGGCACACCTCGAAAACCGTGATGGTGGTGATAGCGACGGTGAGGAGGATCTCATGAGCTCCAAGTATGCGTGGTACGCCGAGAACGTAAAGAAACTCACGTATGGAGACTTGGAATTGGTCTACGTTCCGTTTGATATATTGTATGCCGTCGATCGAAGTGTGAAGACTCATAAGCTGAGAGAGCGGCATGAACTTTTGAAAGAGCATGTGCGTGAAGTATCAGTCATGTGTGGGAATATTCGTGCTAGAATTCTTCTCGCGACGCCCGATTGCGCGTTCTCACGTGTAGGCTCAACGAAGGAGGATATCGAGCGCGCGCTGTTAGAAGCGATGGATAACGGAGAGGAGGGATTGGTAATCAAAGATCTCGACGGTCCATGGATACCAGGTGATCGTAGCAATAACTGGATGAAAATCAAACCAGACTACTTATCGAGTGAAGATTTGGACGTCGTTCTCATCGGCGGCTATTACGGCGCCGGTGAGTTGCGCGGGGGCAAAATTTCGCAGTTCCTCTGTGGCATTGTGGAGGCAACGAACGATCCGATTAGCACCGCTTCAGATGGAGTCAAAATCATGAGCTTTTGCAAGGTAGGTACTGGTATCAGCGCCATGCAGCTCGACGATTTGAGAAGTCGGCTAGGCGACTTCATGCACAGAGAAAAGCCTCAAGACATGAACTACAACGTCACGGATGCTTACAACGAAAAGCCGGACGTTTGGATCTGGCCTCCTCAGCGATCATTGGTTGTGACGGTGAAAGGTGACATTCGTGCGATTCGCACGACAACTTTCGCAACTGGTTACAGCCTGCGTTTCCCCCGCGTCACCGGTATTCGATATGACAAAAAATGGTCCGACATCTTGACACTCTGCGATCTCTTAAAGACGATTGAAGAGGAAGTACCGACATTGAAAGTGAATATCGACGATACACGAGGCGGTACGAATGCCCGAAAGCGTTCGCGCACGACGGGACCCGCGACGCTACTACCTGCACATCTCATGCCGGTTGACGTTTCGGGCGTCGTGCAGGAATCTGAAATCTTCAAAAACATGCAAGTGCACATCGCGAACTGTGAAAGTCGAGAACAAAAGCAGGAGCTGTTCAAAGCTGTCATCGCACGTAGTGGTACTACGAGTGAGTTGTGGCACAAGCATGTGACGCACAGCGTTGCGTTGAACCGCGACGGCTCAAAGTTCAGGACGGCGAGTCGGGAAGGCGATGTGTACACGATTGCCTGGCTCCAAGAGTGCATTCACGAAGGACGTGTGGTACCGCCGAAACCTCGACATCGCTTACATCTCTCAGCGACGACGTGGTATGGTACGGATGCCATGGATCGATACGGAGATGATCATTTCTCGGACTGCAATTTGGCCGACGTACACGCGCTCGTGCATCAAGTTGGCGATCAAACTAAGCGTTGGAAAACTGCCGAAGTTCCAGCATTGGTGGAGCTCGATCGCGAGTATCCATCGGTGTGTGCTGATGTGAAACTTTTGACGTTTAGGGGTTGTGTGTTCGAGATTGACGATTCTCTCGGCAAAGATGCGCGTGTTGATGAGCAGAGTAGTATGTTTCCAAGTGTGCTGGCGGGCGAACGTCGAAACGTCGAACAGATTCTTCGGATTTATGGTGGAAAGCTCGCACCTGAAGGCAGAATGGGGACACATATTGTGCGCATGTACGATGACTCCGTTGTCTTTGAAGATATGGATGATGGAAGAAAGCAAGTTTCGCTCTCTTGGGTGAAACGTTGCATCGACCGGTCGACAACGGCTGATGTAGTCTAAATTTAGCGGCTGGTGTTCGCGTCCCCTGAATGATTGACGCGATACGATGCGCACGTCACAGGACTTGGCTCTTTTAGAACCATTTGTTCCGAAGGCGGCGAAATGGCTCTCGTCGCACGCAGCTGATGGATGTCTCTCCATTTCACGCCGCCGCGGGAGAGCCGCCTTGCTCTTTGTGGATATGAATGACTTTGTAAAAGTTAGTAATGGTGCGGTTCGCGAGCACGCATTGGCTGCCGCATCTTTCAACCACATTCGCCCGTCTATATACGGTAAACGGCGCAACCTCGAGGCCTCCGCTCGATGTGCAGCGTGCTTACGAGACGTGCTCGCTGAATACTTTTCTATACTCGCAGACATCGTGAGCGCGTACGACGGCGAGGTGTTGGCATTCATAGGGGACGCCATGCTTGCTGCGTGGTTCGTACGCGGCGACATGGATGACGATGAAGAGATGCGGTGCGCCACAAAACGGGCTCGGCTCTGCGCGCAGGGCATTCTCACGAATGTTCACGGGCGTGCCTTGAAAGAAATTGTCACCATCACGCTGAAAGCGATGATCTCTGCAGGCCCAGTCGTCGCCATTCCCACCAAGTTTCCCAATCATGCACGCGGTGTGGTGGTAATCGGTGACGCGTTTGATGACTTAAGAGCGATGAAGGGATTAATGCAATCGGGGAAGGTCGTTTTCAATGCGTTAAGTTGCGCACTCCTCGCATCGGGTGGAAACAGAGACACGGCGAGCGCAACGACATCGATTTTCACGACACTGCCACGCGCGCGTGTCAAGGAATTCATCCCGTCGCACGTTTTCAACGCATTTGCAGATGGTTTGATCGGGTTCGACGATAAAACACCTTCCTTGAGCGAGGTGTGTACCGTCGCCTTTGTGCGATTCAATCCCAAAGGAGACGACTGTGTAGTCGAATGCATCGGCGTCGTGCATCGCGTGGTTTCGCAATATCAGGGCGTTGTTTTGCAAAGTATCGTAGATGACAACGGGCCTTCGTGCTTGTGCGCGTTCGGCGTTCCCGGAACCCCCAAGCGCGGCGCGACGACGAGAGGATTGCGATTCGCGCGAGATCTCTTGAAAACACTAGACGGTGCGCTGACGCACGCGCGGTGTGGGTTGTCCACAGGCGTCGTGAACATAGGTGCCGCGTGTGAGGTGAACTCTAAGTCGCATTCCGAGTTCTCGCTCGTCGGTGTCCCAGTGATACTGGCCGCCCGACTAGCTGATGCGGTGAAACCTGGCGTCGCGGCGATGGATGAAGAGACGCGTGTTTGGGCGGCTTCAGCGCTCAACAATAATGCGCGTACGTCTCGCATTGAATTATGTTTAAAAGGTTTCCCGCGAGCGATGACAACGTTTATCATAGAGTAGCTGCAACTAACTGATTCTTTCTATTCAATATCACCAAGTCCTGTCCTAGTTCTGTCGTCTTCGTCTCTTGATTGTGCGGCGCACCGCGTGTCGGCGAGCGCCTTGGGTAATTTGTAAGCCCACTCACACGAGCATGTTATTGGATCTTTCAATACCTCTGTCACGACGCCTCGAGTGGCGAGACGAGATTGCTCTCCCTCCGCGATGCCGCAGTGCCGCTCCACAACTCGCGGCTCGTACTCTTTTCCATCCTTTCCCCCGCCGCTGCGAGGTCGACCTTGCTTGTCGTACGCTTCGTTGAAGCAGAAGTACTGGTCGTGGTTGAGCGCGTTGTTGATCGCCGTATCAAATGCCTCGTCCTTTTGTTTATCATCGAAACCGCAAAATGAGCCTTCATCGAGTTGGTCGATCATGATGACGCCGTGATCGTTATACGATTCCAGCGCCTCGACGGCGTCACTCGCTGAGAAACCGCGCTCGATGACGACATCAGCCATGTTTTTGTCGTCTTTCGCGCCAATTTTAACGTGAATGACATCTTCTCGAACGTTCCCTTTAAGTCGCATGTCTTCGAGGAACCCTGCTTCGCGAAAATCAACGCCCAAGTCATGCAAGCCTTCGAGGTTGTAGATGTGATCCATCGGGCACGCGTACGGCAAATGCGCCGTCTCGGCGCCGAGCGCGCGACATCCGGCGAGCGTGTTCCATATTTTATCGCAGTAACATCGCGCGGGTGGTAGCACAAAGATTCGTCCGAGCGCTTTCGCCAGGGCGAAGCCGTTTCGAATCGTCGTTCTTCGCAATCTGTCCTCTTCAAAGTGTCGCGTGATGGCGGTTAAATACGCATCGTTTTCCATGCCGATGGCCCGAGAACCATTGAACTTCATCTGCGACCCTTTGGTGGAGATGGTCAAGTACTTCTTTGGCTTCCAATAATCTGTGTCATCGTCTGCATACCATAAACCATGCTGTCGCAGTCTTTGACGCTTGCCGTACGCGTACCGCGCAGAATCGCCGTATTGGTACGTCGTGTGCACCGCGTACGGCTCACCGTCCTCGGGGTGGTACAAGTGGTGCTCTTGCACGAAGAAAGTATGACCGTTGGAGAATTGCGCGATGGGCAAAACGCCCATGCGAATCGTGCTGTTTGCTGCGAAGACGATCGAGCGATACCCCGGTAATCCGCGCTTGTCATCGGGAACCGCCACCGCGGGCGCGAGCGCGGGAGATCCTTCGCGCACGAGCAAATTCAGCGCCGGCTGGTCGCGCATCCACGCGATCTCGCTCGTCGCTACTTTTTGCTTCCACTTTTCCACGAACGCCTTCGCCGGCTCCGTGGGCCGAATGTGCACGATGCCCGTGTTAAAGTTGACGTTGCGACAGTTGGCGTTGTCGGCGCGATCGTTCACGGTGTCGATGCAATCGCTCGATATCAGCACGTCCGCGTATGCGTAAGTGCCGTTGTTGAATAGCTCGCGCGGATCGCGCATCCAAACCACGTCCGCGTCGCTCAGAATCGGCGCTATCCCAAGCTCGAGCAAATCTTGAATAAACTTCGTCTTCACCGTGCCCATCTTTTTAAACGTCTTGCTCTTTTGCGTGATGAACTCTTGATCCCTATTATCCAACACTGACCGCCCCGTGAGCAGCATGGATGGTATCCCAGCCTTAACACATAGTGTGTGCATCTCTTCGTCTAAAGCGCCGACGAATATCGGCTCTAAACTCAACTTTTTCGCCGCCGCCGCCCAATTGAAGACGAAATCCTGCACGCTCGCCGTGCCAAACGTCACGAACATCTCCCCCCCAGCCTTAGCGCCGACCCGCCGCAACTCCTCCGGCACGTGTTCCATCTTCTTTCCAAGCTCCATTTTCGCCGCATCATCGAGCGCATCCGCGGAAACGTCCTTCCACGCCTGTCGCATCCACTTCGGCTCGTCGTCGTCGATCGCCAGCCCCGCGAACGTCGTCGCCGGCGGTTCCAACAGCGCGAAATCCATCCCCCGATCCCTCGGCCTCGATCCCGTCGACGCCGCGTCATCGCGTCGGTTCAATTCCACCCGTCCTTTTTCTCCCTCGTCCGTCGTCGTCGTCGTCGTCGTCGCCGACGCGAACCGATTTCTCCGCGTCGCCGACGCGTTCGCGTTCGCGTTCGCGTTCGCGTTCGCCGCCGCGTTCGCGTTCGCGTCCGCGTCCACCGCCGCCTCCACGGCCGCGTCGCTCCGCGCGCGCGCCGTCGCGTCGTACATCGACGCCGACGCGTCGTCGCCCGCCCTCCGCGCCGTCGCGTCGTCGATCGCGTCGCCGTCGCCGTCGCCGTCGCCGTCGCCCATCGCCATCGCGCGCGCGTTCGCCTCGCGCGCCGTCGTCGCGGCGTCCGCGATCGCGCCGTCGCGCGCGCCGCCGCGCGCGCCCTCGCGCATCACCATCGCGCACGCCGCGACGACGGCGACGCACGCGAGGCGGCGCGCGAGGCGGCCGCGACGCATCGCGTCGCCTCGCGTCCCGCACTGACGCGCGCGGCACCGACGCGCCTCGCGTCGACGAGCGAGCGAGCGATGGACGCGGTGCGCGACGCGACGCGACGCGACGCGAGACGCGAGACGCGCGCGCGAGGCGACGCGACGCGCGCGACGAGAGAGGGCGACGCGCGCGCGAGGCGATGATGATTCGACGCCAACCGACGACGATCGGATCGGCGCGAGAACGGACGCGCGAAGACGCGCGGCGCGAGGACGGACGCGCGCGACGACGCGACCGTGGACGCGCGAACGATCGACGCGCGCGGACGCGACGCGCGGCGACGGAGAAGAGGAAACGAAGACGATGAGACGATTGGAGCGATTGTTTGACTGACGGCGACGACGGCGCGGCGACGACGATTCGAATAGGCGATCGAAAAATGGTGCGCCGAGATGGGCACGACGCCCGAAAAGGTGGTGACGATGTACTTGGATGAAAAGTTTAAGTCGGCGACGGTCGAGGGGGAACTTTTGGCCAAGTGTGAAAACTTGAAGACGCTGTCGTGCGCGTCGTGCGGGTTGACGACGCTCGCGGGGTTCCCGGCGCTGGCGAATTTGAAGGATTTGAGTTTGAACGATAATCGCATCGCGGATGGGTTGGAAGCCTTGGTGGGGTGCAAGGCGCTCTCGTCGTTGTCGCTGGCGAATAATAAGCTGGCGAACGTGGACGATTTGAAAGCCGTGGCGGAGGAGTTGACGCTGTCGGTGCTCGAGTTGGAGGCGAATCCGTTGACGGAGAACGAAGACTATCACGAAAAGGTCATGACCATGATGCCCACGCTTAACGTGTTGGACGGAAGGGACGAGTTCGGGAATGAGATCGAAGACGACGACGAAGACGACGACGAAGACGAAGACGACGAAGACGACGAAGACGAAGACGAAGACGACGATGAAGACGACGAAGACGCAGACGAAGACGAAGACGAAGACGAGTCCGAGGAAGAGGAAGAGGAAGAGGAAGAGGAGATGGGCTTAGCCGATCTCTACGGCGACAAGCCGCTCGAAGACGACGACGACGACGACGACGCTTTCGTCGAAGACGAAGATCCCGAGAGCGAAGACATCGACGAAGAGGAGTCGGACGACGACGAAGACGAAGCGGCGGCGAAAAAGCCCAAAATATAACCGCGCGTCGCGACGCCGCGCGCGTCGAGATCTCGCCATCGCCGAAGGACCACGACGCGTAGTTTTGTTTGTTTAATTTACCACGCACGACTAGCAAATCACGCGCGTCCCCCGTTCGATCGAACTCGAAGATAAAGTTTGACTTTAGTGTTACAAGCATTCTTTCGTCCATCGTCTCGCGTTCGTCGCAAACCTCCCGAAGCGACGATCGCTCGCGCCGTTCCTACACCATGTTATCGCCGTCTCTCGTGGTGCCGTACGACGTCCCACGCAGCAAGCTCTGCGTCTCGCTCGCGCCGCTCGCCCGTAACCGCCTCGTCACCGCGTAGCTCGCCATCGCCGCGATCGCCACGCCGATCCCCGCGATCAGCGCCACGGGCGCCGTGATCGTGTACGTCCCCACCGCGATCGTGTACGACCCGAGCGACCCGAGCGTTTCGCCGATCGCCGTGCCCGCCGCGCCGAGCGACGCCGTCGCGCCCGCCGACGCCGACGCCCCCGCCGCGCCGCCCGTCAGCGTCATCGTCTCCGCCACCGCCGCCGTCGTGAGCAGGCCGCCCATGAGCGATTTCGCGCGCGCGCGCGATTTCGCGCGTCGCGAGATCGCGCCGTCGTCGCGCGCGCGCCGGCGCGCGCGCGATCGAATCGGCGCGATCGCGCGCGCGCGATCGATCGATCGCGCGACGCTCGACGCGACCCTCGACGCGAGGTTCGCGATCGACGCGCGATCGACGCCGCGAGGTTCGACCGACGCGCGCGCGATCGAATCGGCGCGATCGCGCGCGCGCGATCGATCGATCGCGCGACGCTCGACGCGACCCTCGACGCGAGGTTCGCGATCGACGCGCGATCGACGCCGCGAGGTTCGACCGACGCGCGCGCGATCGATCGATCGCCGTCGCGATCGCGCGGCGACGCGTCGGCGCGACCGTCGCGCGAGACGACGACGCGCGCGGCGTCGACGCGACGCGCGCGATGGCGACGATCGCGCGGCGGGTCGCGCGCGCGGCGTGGACGCGCGGCGCGCGGTTCGCGACGGCGACGGCGACGACGACGGCGACGACGACGACGACGACGACGGCGCGCGCGATCGCGACGACGGCGGAGGCGGCGCGCGGGACGACGGCGCGGTGGACGCTCGATCGAGGCGCGCGGTGGAGGACGCTCGCGAGCGATGCGTCGACGCGGGCGGCGACGGTCGGGGGCGGAGAGGGCGGGACGAGGGCGCGCGAGGCGGACGCGACGGCGGACGGGCGGGACGACGACGACGACGCGCGCGCGAGGGTCGACGCGGGGGTCATGCGCGTGCGCTGGACGATCGCGGAGGGACAGGGGCGGGGGGAGGACGCGGTGGTGCCGGTGTACTCGTTCGACGGCGAAGCGCGAGGATCGGTGGAGCTTCCGGGGCGGATATTTGATCAGCCGTTGCGCGTGGACGTCGCGCACCGCGTGGTGCGGTGGCAACGCGCCAAGGCGAGGAAGGGTTTGCACAAGACGAAGTCGCGCGGGGAGGTCGCGGGGTCGACGCGGAAGGTGAGACCGCAAAAAGGGTCGGGGCGCGCGCGCGTGGGGAACCTGAAGGCGCCGCAGATGCGAGGCGGGGGGACGGCGCACGGACCGGTGGTGCGGTCGCACGCGCACGCGCTGCCGAAAAAAGTGCGGCGAATGGGGCTCAAGGTGGCGCTCAGCGCCAAGGCGGCGGAGGGGAAGCTCATCGTTGTCGATTCATTCGCTGGGATGGAGCCGAAAACGCGCGCGATGAAGGCGACGCTCGAGCGGTTGACGGGCGACCTCGGCTTGGCCGCCGGCGGCGAGTTTCACTCGACGCTCATCATCGACGGCGAATTCGAGGAAATGGCGGAGAGCGTCGTGGACGCCGAGGACCAGTTCGGGCCGAGCGAGCTCGTGCGCATGAGCGCTCGAAATTTGCCGCACGTGGAGGTGCTGCCGCAAATCGGCGCCAACGTGTATAGCATTTTGCGTCGCCGGACGCTCATCGTCACCAAAAGCGGGCTCGAGCAGCTCATCGCGCGATTAGACGCGCCGATCAAGCGATGAATAGAGATGAATAGAGTTGTGTTGTGTTAATACGAGCGAACGACGTGATTAGCAAGAGTACGCCTACCAAGTCAAAATCATATCCTTCGTGTAGCCGAGCTCCTCGAGCGCCGGGAGCACGGCGAACTTCAACATCGGCGGTGGGCCGCAAATCAAAATTTGCGTGCGCTTCCCCGGCGGTGGCATCGTCTTTTCGATCATTTCTTTGGTGATGAAACCGCAGAAGTGCGACCAGCCGGCTTTGGGCGGGCGGTCGAGCGTGTAGTCGGCGCTAAACTTGTCGGCGCCGTATTTAGCGACGTCGGATTCAATCTCCTCGCGACACAAAATATCCGCCTCGGTTTGGTTCGCGAACAACAAATTCATCTTCACCTTGTCTCCGTTATCTAAAATAGCGCGCGAGATTTGCAACATGGGCGTGATTCCGCTGCCGCCCGCGATCATGCCGACGCGCGAGCACTTGCGTTTTTCAAACCCGCCGCCCTGCGAACGCAACCGCCTGATCGCGAAGACCCCACCGCCTTCGTACGTTTTCATCCCTTTCGGCCCATCGAAGTCGCACGAGTCACCGACGCGCAACCCATCGAGGTGTTGGCTCACCTTCCCCCCGAGCGGAAACTTTTCGCACGGCTTGTACGCCTTAATCACAAACGTCACCGAACCCTCTTGATCGTCCGTGCTCACCGGCGTGTACGGTCGCTCGTGCCGCTCGCCGCTCTTCGCGTCCACGTACGACAACCCGACGTGCTGTCCCACGGGCAAGCCCAAGACGTGCGACGGCGTCGGCAGCGCGAACGTCAGCCGCGCCGCGTCCGGCGAAATCTGTTCTCTTCGCGCCAACTTCAGCGCGACGCGCGACGTCCCGAGCGTCTTCGGCGACGCCGCCGTCCGCGCCTTCGCTCGACGACGCGCGCTCCCCTCGCGCGTCGCGCGCAGCGCGAGATCGAGGACGACCAAGAGCGCGGCGACCGCGATCCCGAGCACGGTGACCGCGTTGACGAACTCGGGCGTGCCGAACTCTGGGAGCGTCAGCGCGCCCGTCTTCGCGTCGAACAGCGTCTTGGGCAGCGCGAACAGCTCGCGCGGCGCGGGCGCGGGCATCGCGCGCGCAGCGCGACGAGCGTCGGCGCGTGACGCGACGGACGCGGACGCGATCGGCGCGACGCGATCGATCGATCGACGCGACGTCGAACCTCGGCCCGTAACAAAAAAAACGCGCGCGCGGACGGGTGAGGGGGAGATGTTTATCGTGGTTTGCGTGTATCATGGGCGTTTGATACGCTTGAATATGTGATGTTGGGTTGGTATAGTTGGTTATTACGTCCGCCTCACACGCGGAAGGTCAGGAGTTCGAACCTCCTACCCAATACGCGCTTTTTTTGTTTTGAGAGTGGAAATACTTCTTTTCCACGCATAATACGTATTTCGTCGACCGTTCACGACTCGTCAGCCTCGAGGGACGCCACACGCGGACGCGCGACGACCGACGCGCGCGCGCCGCGCGCCGCGTCGCGGACGCGCGATGCTCGCGGGCGCGCCCCGCGCGCGTCCGCGCGACGTCGGCGCGCGTCGACGACGCCCCGCGTCGCGCGGAAGCGTCGCGGCGCGGACGCGCGCCGCCGCCGCCTCGCGCGAGTGCAGGCACTACGTCAACCTGAAGAACGGCATCGAGGCGCTGCCGACGCTGCGCGACGACCTGGGCGTGCGCTCGTACGAGTTCGTTCGCATACAGAGCTCGCTGCTCGAGAACGGGGACTGCGAGAAGATGATCTTGGAGCTCGACGCGTCGCTGCTGCTCAACCTGGCGCTCGGGCGGTCGTGCTTCGTGTGGGACTTTGGATCGCGCGACGTCGTCAAGGGGCGAGGCAATCCGCGCGCGCTGTGGTACGGGGCGGAGTTCATTCGATACGCGCTGCGGAAGGAGTGGTTTCCCGAGGGCGTGGGGGACGCCGCGCGACGCGAAAACGTGCCGGTGGTGCGCGGGAAGCAAGTCGAGCGCGAGTGGGCGACGAAATTGACCATGTTCGGTCGCTCGGCGAAGCGCAAGATTCGGTATTACAGACAATTCATTCCGGACGACGTGCGCGACGTGCGATTGATCGGGGTGTACAGACCGACGACGCACGACGACGACGCCGAATACTATCGCGAGGTGCTGTTGCGACACGAGTTCGGTGACGGAGGGGACGTTCCGGACGTCGTGCGCGACGAGCGCGAGACGATCGAGGCGATCAAGAGGTTGTCGTACAATATATTTTTTGCCGGCGTGGAGGAGCCGGCGTGGTTGAACCAAAAGTAATAGTAGTCTACGCATGTCAACACAATCACAGAAACGCTCGCTCACCGCTAACGCTTTTTGCTGAAATAATTCGTAATTTCGTTCTTACGCTTCACGCCGCCACCGGTGGACTTGTCTAACAAGCCCATGGACGCTCGAATCTCGCGCTGAATCGCCTCCGGGAGCTCGGCCAACACGTTTTTGTCGATTTGATCAGCCTTGATCGGACTCGCCGCGGGCGTCGCCGACACCGACGCCGGCGCCTTGGCTGCTTTCGTCGCGTTCTTAAACATCTCCACGACGTCGCCGCTGTCTTTTTCGAGCGACACGAAATTTGACGCCGACACGGACATCCCGGTGATCGACCAACGCTCGCGACCACTGGCCCATTTCGAGAGCAACGTGAGCGCGTCTTGCGCCATTTCGTCCGCGCCAGGTCGCAAAGGACACCGTCGCGAGCAATGCCCACTGCTCGTCTCGCGCTCATCCGGGCTCGAAAGACCTAAAGTCAACAGCTTTGGCACGCGATTCCACTCTTCTTCGTCCGCCTCGCACCGATCGTTCAACTCGGCGGTGAGTTCGGCGAGCCAGTGCTTGGCGCTCGCGATGGAGCGAATCGCCAACGCCCCTCGAAACGTCTTCCCGGTGCCGATGCTTTTCGGCATCTCGCGCGCTTTGACAGGGTCATCATCTAAACCTAAAGACACTTTGCGCACCCACTGCGCTTTTTCTTCCCCACAAACTTCCTCGAGCTTGCGCAGCGGCGTCCTCGCGAGTTCGCCGATGGTTTTCACGTTTAAACCATCCGCGAGCTCGCGTCCAAACTTGGCACCTAAACCGCGAATGCGGTCGATGGGTAATTCATCTAAAAGCGTCGACGTGTGGTCGGGACAGAGTACCGTTTGCGACGCCGGCTTGTTCATCCCACTCGTCAGCTTGGCGAGCATTTTGTTCAACGCGATGCCCGCGCTCAACGTGTACCCGAGCTCGTCCACGCACGCCTTGCGAAGATTGAAACAAATGTACGCCCCCGCGGCGAGAAGTTTCTCTTCCTCTCGCCATTCGCTCTCGTCTCTATTCCACCACGCCACGGACGCCTCATCAGGAGGTCGCGGTCGAAAATTTCGCATCGGATCTTCTTCTTCCTTCGCCGCCGCCTCGACCGTCGCGTCCCCCGCCGCCGCCGCCTCGACCGACGCGTCCCCCGCCGCCGCGTTCTCGATGGTCTCCTCCACCGCGCCCGCGCCCAGCACCGGTCCATCCGCGCTGCCCGCCCGCAGCGCCTTCTTACTCACGTATCCTTTCCCGCTCACCGCGCTCGCGCCCGCCGCGTGACTCGTCCTCGCCTTTTCCAAAATCGTCGCCCACGCCGTCTCCTCCAAAACCTTCTTCGCGCTCTCCGTCAGATCCAAGTACGCCTCGTCGATGCTCGCCCGCTCGATCGTCCCTCCGCGCGCCAGCACCGCCGCCACCTCGCGTCCCGCCTCCCTGTACAGCGTCAAATCCGCCTTCGACCGCCGCGTCGGCACCTGCACCACCGCGCACGCCGGCGCCAGCGCCCTCGCCTCGCGTCCTCGCATGTTCCGCTTCACCCCTCTCGCGCGCGCCTCGTACGACACCGCGATCAACGAGTGATTTTCGAACCCATCGCGAAGCTCTCGATCGTCGTCCGGCGCCAGCGCGCGCACGCCGCCGCGCTCGAACGGATTATACTGCACCACCACCAGCGGGACATCCTCCGCCGACGCGCGCCCGTCGCGGCGCCCCGCCGCGGTCTTCGCGCGCAGATCGCGGCGCTCGACCTGGCAGTAAAACGCGTCGAGGTCCAGGTGCGCGACGACGCGGTGCGTCGCGATCGCGCGCGTCGTCATTCCGCGACGACGGACGCGCGCGCGACGGTTGCGATGTCGACGACGTCGCGCGCGATCGCGACGCCGCGGATCGACGCGCGCGCGCGCCGAGCGAGGACGACGCGATCGACGCGCGCGCGCGCGTCGACCGAGGACGACGGTCCGGCGACGTCGCGACGCGCGGCGACGCTGAGGAATGAGGGCGCGTACGCGGTGCTCGAAAAAGTCGCGGCGCTCGAGCGACGAAGCGACGCGAAGGGCGCGAAGCGAGTGCTGCGATTGGAGATCGGACAGCCGGGATTCGCGACGCCGGCGCGCGTGTGCGACGCGGCGGTGCGAGCGATCGAGGGAGGGGAGACGAAGTACGCGGCGCCGAGCGGCGCGCCGAGGCTGCGCGAAGCCGTCGCGGAGTATCTCGTGAGAACGCGAGGCGTGGCGTACGAGGCGGAAAACGTGGTCGTGGGACCGGGCGCGAAGCCGGGGCTGTTTTTGCCGACGCTCGCGTGTTGCGATCCGGGAGATGAGGTGGTGTATCCGGATCCCGGATTTCCGACGTACGCGGCGATGTGCGCGGCGGCGGGCGCGACGCCGAGACCGGTGCCTCTGCGGAGCGATGGCGCGAGTTTCGACATGGCGGCGCTGGAGGCGAGCGTGAACGAGAAGACGAAGATGATCGTGATCAATTCTCCGGGGAATCCGACCGGTGGGGTGATGCCGAGAGAGGACGTGGCGGCGGTCGCGCGGCTGGCGAAAAAGTTCAACTGTTGGGTGATGAGCGATGAAATATATTCGCGATTGATTTACGACGACGAGGAGGAGGGGGGGGAGAACGACGAGAAGATATTCAGCATCTGTGCCTTGGATGGGATGAAGGAGCGCACGATTTTAGTCGACGGCTTCAGCAAGACCTATTGCATGACCGGGTGGCGTCTCGGCTGGGTGGCGTGCCCGAAACATCTCGCCGAGAAGATCAAACTTCTCACCGTACACAGCGTTGGCTGCGTCGCTGCGTTCACGCAAATCGCCGGCGTCGAGGCGCTCACGGGCCCTCAAGACTCGGTGAAGGCGATGCGAGACGAATATCGCGTCCGACGCGACTTCGTCGTCGACGCCCTCAACGACATCCCCGGCATCTCCTGTCCCGTGCCCAAGGGCGCTTTTTACGCCTTCCCGTCTTTTGACTTCCCCGACGTCACCGCCCAAGAGCTCGCGGATTACCTCTTAGAGGACGCCCGCGTCGCGCTCTTGCCCGGCACCGACTTCGGCGCCGCGGGCGAGCGTCACTTGCGACTCTCCTACGTCGGCGAGCTCTCCGATCTCCGCGAAGCCATGGCGCGGATCAAGACGTCTCTGGCCAAGCGCTTTCCCGACTTCGTTTAAACGCCTCGAATCGCCGCGCGCCGGCGTCCGCGAATTTCGCCGCGGCGAACGCGATTTAATAACGAAATCCCGTCTCGTATTGCGCATCTCACGACATCTCCAACACCCCCGGCGAGCGCGACACACGCGCGCGCGCGACCTGACACCGCGCGTCGACCGCGCGACGCGCGGCGCCGACGAAAAGCGCACGCTTCGTCGCACACCGCGCACGCGCACGCGACCGCACGGCGACCCTCAGCGACGCGCGCGCGGAAGATCGAGCGCGGATCGAGCCAACAACACCCGCGCGCGCGCGACGCGTGCGGTAGAGCGCTCGAGGCGACGCGAGCGCTCGTGAGGACGAAAAGAGGCGACATGGGGCACGCTTCGAACGATGCGAGCGGTCGCGGTCGACGAGGGATGACGTCGGGGACGGCGCTGCGAGCGTTGATGGCGGCGAGCGCGGCGACGTTGGCGCGCGCGAGCGCGACGACTTCGACGTGCGATTATTACATGACGCCCGAGGGTGAGGGAACGACGATCGGGCAAACCGACGCGGGTACTATCATGAATCCGTTCGGGAGCTTGGAGGAGGCGCAGTTGGCGCTGAAACCGGGGCAGACGCTGTGCGTGTTGAGCGGGACGTACGAGCTCGACACGTTCATCGGGGCGGAGATCTTGGCGCGAGGTAATGCCGACGCGCCGATTACCATTCGCGGCTACCGCACGAGCGATGGTGCGGATTTGCCAAAGTTCCGGTTTAGCGGTGGTGTTGCGTTGGATTTTAGAGGTGCCGAGTACGTCACCGTAGAAGACATTGAAGTCGACGGCGGCGCCTCGGAGGCGACTACGGAGGATGTCGTCAAAGCGTGGTGGAATGGTGAAAAGCTCGCGCACGTGGGTAGGACTTGCTTTAGAATTGGTCAAAAGTCGCGACACGTGAGCATCAAGCGAAACGCGTGCCACGACGTCAGTGAGGTGGCGGTAAACGTCGTCGACGCGTTATATTCATCAATCAAGCTCAACGTGTTTTATCGCATCGGTTGGTTTGGTGTCGGCGATATCGCTGCGGTGAAACGCACATACACCGCCGCGGTGGACGAAGACGAAGAAGATGACTATCGGCTGGATGTACAAGGCAACGCGATCTGGGGCGTCGAATCGCACTTGTATGAGCGAACGGAGAATGCTTCGTACTCCAAATTTGTGAAGACTTTCGGCGTCGCTTTGGACGCTGTGGCGGATGAAGATCTACGAATGCGATTTTCCGAGAACGTCATCGCGTTCAACGCTAACGTTGGGATGAAGATCGCGCGTTCGCCGTACGTTGTCGTGAGCAAGAACACGTTCTACTCCGATCCCACCGCCGGCGCGTCTTTACTCACTGACTCAGCCATGACTTCGAAGTTAATTTTGAAGGATAACATCTTCTCCACGAGTCAAAGTGCTGACTTCGCGCTCGATGTGGGCGCATCATATGGTACCGATATCGATCCTGATTTCTTCCGCAACAACATTGTCGCCGGAGGCGGTGCGGTTCTCGATGGCAACCTCACCGTCACGCGTATCTCGTCGCAACTCTTCGCGGATGCCGCGCACGGCAACTTTACCCTTCTTCCGGCGGCCGAAGAAAGTATCAACGCCACTACGGTACCAGGAGTGGATGCGGCGGTTTTGAAGGTTCTCGCTCGCGTGATGAAGGATTTCAATGCCGGTACGATGGCGAGAAGCGAGTGGGTGGCGAATCACAAGACGCTCACCCAGTTGATCATCAAAACGGCGCCGTCGATGTACACAAAAATCACGTCCACGCGAAAAGGTCCGGAAGACGCATCGGTGCAGTTCACTGATCCCGTCACGAATGAGTTTTTCACGTTGAAACTCAATCCTGCGTACGCGCGCGATCTTTTCGAGCGCGGTGCGTCTCCGTTGGACGGCTCCGAGGATGAGAACGCGTATCCGTTGGATGGCCCCGACGATGAGAACGCGTATCCGATCTCTGTGGGTGCACTCGGTCAAGGTTACCCGGCGAATAACACTGGTTACCCGTCGAATAGCACTGGTTACCCGTCGAGTAGCACTGGATACCCGTCGGATAGCACTGGTTCTGGTTACCCGTCGAATAGCACTGGATACCCGGCAAGCGGATACCCGGCGAATAGCACTGGATATCCGGCAAAGGGATACCCGGCGAACAGCAACGGATATCCGGCAAAGGGATACCCGGCGAACAGCACTGGATATCCGGCAAAGGGATACCCGGCGAACAGCAACGGATATCCGGCAAAGGGATACCCGGCGAACAGCACCGGATATCCGGCAAAGGGATACCCGGCGAACAGCAACGGATATCCGGCAAAGGGATACCCGGCGAACAGCACCGGATATCCGGCAAAGGGATACCCGGCGAACAGCAACGGATATCCGGCAAAGGGATACCCGGCGAACAGCAACGGATATCCGGCCAACAGCGATGGGTATCCAGCGACGCGGACGCCAGCCATGCCGGAAAGCATCGCCGAACAGATAGAAGACGCCGTCGCGGACGCCGTCCAGCAAATTCAAAGTGTCACGGCGAACGCGACTGAGGAGATTGTACAGGCTGAGGCAGAAGCGGTGACTAACGTGACCGAGACGGCGGGAGACGAAGAAGGATCCGACGTGGATGAGTTGTTGGCGGACGCCACAAATGACGTTTCGCCACCGCCGCCACCGCCGCCGCCGCCGAGACGCAAGCCGCCGCCGCCGCCGCCGCCGTACCCGGGCACGGTCCAACCGCCGTCGCCACCGCTTCCGCCGGCACCTCCTCATGTGGATAGCGAAGCTGGCCTCGTGAATGGTCGCATCGTCATTCCCGTAAGGGACACGCTCAGAGATTTCCTTCTGGAGAGAAATGAAGTAGTGAACGCGTCCTCGATGAGCTTGGACCATCCGGATGAAGATGTATCCGAAATCGAAGATCTTGAGCCGGAGTGCTACAATCCTCCGCGCGGATGTCCGGCCATATTCCATTTGAGCAACTACAGAGCTCAAGCGGTGTCAAAAGTGTCTGATGACTCGTCCACGTCGTACTCGAGCGACCGAGCGGCGTTCGCGGCGTATCGTGGCGAGCGTTTCGCTACTGAACAGTCACGAGGTTCGGTGCAGGAGTTCGATGCACAGCGGCCGGTGGAAGATAGTCCGTACGGACCGAACATTGATAGAGCCTTCTTTGCCGCACTTGGGATGCAAAAGGAGTCCGCATTCAAACCGAATGAGATCATCGCCCCGATGGCTGTCCTCATGGTCATCGCCGCCGCGGTTGTCGCGAGCGAGAGATTGACAAAGCGAGGTCCAATCGAGGAACGCGCTTCGTTGTTAGCGTCGACTTCTGACGTGGCCGAGCGTGAGGCGAGCAAGTTGCGAGCGATGAAGACGAGAAGGAATGCGATGGTCGCGTCGGCTCTTGCGGGTGTGTTCTTCGTCGCCACCGCCACTTCGTCGACGCCCGGAGCGGCGGCTGTGATGCGCGCAAAGAAGGAGGTGGCGCAGCTAGGCTCTAAGCTAGCGGACTGTGCCGGTAAGTTCTACGTTGTGAACTTACCTTTCTCTTCGTGCGCCGTCAAGGGAAGCGAAATTCCTGTCGGTGCTCGGCCATTCCCTCTCGAAGACTTCATCAAATTTGAGGCTTTCGTCGTCGCGAGGCTCGGTTGGGGTGGATTCTGGTCTATGAAATCATCGGGCTATGAAATCCGTTCCGCCGCTCGTGCGCACGTCATCGAGGAGCGTCGCGTGAAGAACGAAGAAAATGTCACCAACGGCTTGATGGATTATCATCGTCAGTGCTTGCGAACAAAGACGTGGTGCCTTGAAGAGGGGAGCGAAAACGCGTGCTGCAGGGACATGCCGGTGACGGCTGTTGAACAAGAAGAAGATGACCTGGAGTTCAACACGTACGACTCGATCCTTCGCAATTTGTGCGGATGCGCGTTGATGATGGATAAGACACCGACGGGATGCGGACAAATCGACGCTCTTGGACGAGATTTGTACTGCGATAGAATGCGCGCGATGGGGATGGGCGACGATCTCCCCGCATGCTGCGATGCTCCGAACCCGTTCCGCGTGCAGGAATGCCTATGCAAAGGAGACGAGAATCACATGGCGTACACATAAACTTGATGAATAGAACTAAACCTTACAATATGAAATAGCAAGATTAAGTAAATGAACAAAAGATCGCGGGCGTTGTGAAGAAGACGTCGGCGCTTCTCAGCGCTCGTTCGCTCACCGTCGCCGCGACGCAGTGGTGATATCGTCCTAGATCGCATCATGTCATTCCATCCCCGTCACTCCGCCTTCCGTGATCTGGAATTCAGCTTCGTCTTCTTTCAGAGTCGGACCTTGAAGCACTTTGAGCACGCGCGCCTCGGCTCTGCCCTTTCTTACCATCAGACGAATCGTAGACGCATGGGCCAAAACGTGCCCCCCGATCGCCTTCTTTGGTTCAACTCCCGCGAAAGCCATGCCCCCCGGGTCAGATTGGACTTGATTAGTGAGCACGACGGCGACGTTGAATTCTTCGGCAATTTTTCGCAAGCGAGAGAGGAACTGATTGAGTGTCTGCTGTCGTTCGCTCAACTCTCCTCTCGCGACGTAATCCACTCGAAAAATCGCCATGATGCTGTCGACGACGAGTAACTTGAAAGGTTCTTCAGCCATTTTCGCGCCAATAGCGATGAGAGCATGCATCATTTGATCGACGGTATCCACGCGAGCGACCATGACGTTCGATAAAACGGCGTCAGCGTCCAGTCCAAAGCGGTTCGCGATTTGAACGAGGCGGTCTCCGCGGAAGGTGTTTTCGGTATCGATCCACGCCACCTTGGCGCATCCACCGCCCATTTCCACCGGCATTTGCGTCGTAACGGCAATAGTGTGACATAGCTGGGTCTTGCCGCATCGCCACTCGCCGTAAATCTCCGTGATCGCTCGACTTTCAAATCCGCCGCCCAAGATCGCGTCCACCGCGGCGGCTCCAGATGTAATATGCACCACATCCTTGCGTCGCTCCGCATCCTCCGCCGCCGTGACAAATCCCCCAGCTTCGCTCTCCGGTAACAGTTTGACCGCACCTTCCAAAACCTTATCCGCTTTAGCGTCAGAGAAGCCTTTGACCGCGATGATCGCCTTTCGCGGAAACATCAACAACTGTCTCACCGTGACGAATCCCGCGTCTCTCAACTTTTTTATATCCGTCGCCGACACCCCGCTCTGCTGCAGCGCATCGATGGACACGATGTTCGACTGTTCCTCCGCAAACGTCACCCCGGCGTCTTCTTCCACGTCAACCCTACGCAATCGAGCGTCGTTCGTCTTCGTCAGTCGCGCGCGCCGATTCGATCGCGTCGATTCGTCTCTCGGAGTCTCGGAACCTCATAAACGTCGTTTCTCCCCTCATCCGCGCTCTCCGTCTCCGCGAATCGTCGCGCGCGAGCGAGACATTCCTCCGCGCACGCACATCGTCTCCTCCGCCGCCGCCGCGGCGCTCTTCTTTCGTCGCGCCGCCGTCGTCGACATGTTCGCGTCGCGCGCGGTGTCTCGGAAGAGGTGCCGAGTTTCGCGTCGGTCGTCGCGTCGCGCGCGCGCGTCGCGCGCGCGCGCCGGCGCGCCGTCGGGCGATCGGGCGGTGCGCTCGCGTCGCGTTCGCTCGCGTGCGAGCTCGCGAGGTCGTCGTCGCGCGCGAGGTCGCGCGTCGAAAAGTGAGGCGCGCGGCGACGGGCGCGCGGCGTTCCATTCGTCGTCGTCGTCGTATCAAAGCAATGCAATCGCTAATTCTCTACGCGTGTTTCGCGAGCGCGCGCGTGATCAAACCGATAAACTCGTCGTCTTCGATGAGCTCCGACATCGCCGCGCGCACGGCTGCGGGATTGAGCGCGGAAGACGTCGTCGGCGGCGCGGATTTCGCGACGGATTTCGTCCTCGGCGCCGAGGCGGACGTTCCCGTAATCTTACGCGGCGGTTGTAACACCCGCGTCGGCGCCACCGATTCGCTCCCTCTCGCCCCGTTCCCGATGGACACCGATCCCATCAACTGCGCCATTAAATCTCCGCCCGTCGGCGCGCTCGTCGCCTTCGTCGTCGTCGCGCTCGCGAACAATCGCGCCCCCGCCTCCGTCGTCGTCCGCGTCTCGCTCCCCACCTCGTTTCCCTCTCCCCGCGCCCGCGCCTCCGCCAGCACGCCCTCCAGCACCGCGCTCATCGCTTCGCACTCCTCCGCGTCGTGAAACCATATCCCGTTCACCTCTCGTCCGACGCGATACATCAAATACGGCGGCGACCGCTCCAGCTCGAATCCCGCGCCGCCGACGCGCTGTCGCAGATTCTCCGTCCCGCACCGATTCAGCACCACGAACGCGTCTCGCGGTTCCGTCGCGCGTCGCACGACGAACAGCGCCCCCTCCACGTTCTTCCGCGCCCACTGTCGCGCGTCCGCGTCGAATCCGTACAGCACCGCGTGTTTCGAGTGCGCGACGATGCGCTCGATCGCGTCGTCCTCCTTGCGCAGCACGCGCAGGTTCATCGCGCTCGTCGCGTCCGTGCGCGCGAGCGCCGCGGGAGCGTCGTCGAGCTTCGGTTTCACCGTGCGCGGCGGCATGGCGGCGAAGCGTCGGACGCGCGTCGGCGTCTGACGCGCGTCGCGAAGGGGCGAATCGAAGCGAACGCGACCGCAGAGATGCGCGCGCGGAGCGCGGTGCGCGCGGCGACGCGAGCGATCGAGCGCGCGATGACGACGCAAAGCGCGACGACGACGACGGCGCGGAGCGCGACGACGACGGCGACGACGACGCTGTGCGTGGTGACGCACGAAAAGTTGTTGAATTCGCGACCCCTGACGGAACGATTGCGGGCGGAAACGCCGCGCGCGTTCGACGTCGTCGTCGTGTCGAACGAGGAAGAGATCGACAAAATGAGGCGCGAGCGCGCGGACGGGGACCTGGCGATGCTGTGGTGGTTCGCGACGAAGGAGGTGACGACGGCGTTCGCGAGTCGACGAGACGTGGCGGAACGCGTCAAGTGGATGCACAGCGGGAGCGCGGGAGTGGATCATTTGATGGCGATTCCGAGCGTGCGCGAACATGCGAGCACGCTGACGAACGGACGAGGGGCTTTCTCGGCGAGTCTAGGCGAGTGGGGGGTGTTCGCGTGCATGCACTTCGCGAAGCGGGTGGACGCGATGCGGGCGGCGCAGCGAAGGAAAGAGTGGATACGGATGACGGTGGGGTTGATCGAGGGGAAGAAACTGGTCATCGTCGGATACGGGGACATCGGGCAACACGTCGCGCGAAGGGCCAAGGCGATGGGGATGAAGGTGTGCGCGGTGCGGAGAACGCCGGAGAAGACGGATCCAAACGACGACTACGTCGAAAACGTCGTGGGGTTCCACGCGTTGAAGGAGACGTGCGCCAAGGCTGATTACGTACTCGTCGCGCTGCCATCGACGGAGGAGACGGATAAGATGATCAACGCCGACGTATTGAGCGCGATGAAGGACACGGCGGTGCTCATAAACGTCGGTCGAGGATCGACGGTGGACGAGGACGCGCTCGTCGACGCGTTACGGAACAAGAAAATCGCCGGCGCGGCGTTGGACGTGTTCGCGGTGGAACCGCTTCCGAGCGACCACCCGTTCTACACCATGGAAAACGTGCTCATGAGTTTTCATTGCGCAGACTTGACGTCGGATTACCACGACTTGGCGCTCGACTGCTTCATCAAGCACGCCGAGCAATACGCGACGAACGCCCCGTTCACGAACGTCGTCGACAAGCGGCTCGGATACTAGCGCGTCCCATCGCCGCCTCGCGCGCGCGCGAACCGACGATCGCCTCCTAATACTTTGTTTTCGTATTACATCAAAACTTGCTCTTGTCGACGCATCGCACGTCCTCCGCCCCCACCTCGTACTTTTCGCAAATCAACGCCGCCAACTGCTCCGAGTAATCCCCTTGCAAGTCCAGCTCATCCCTCCCCGTCGCCCCCTTCGTCACCGAGCACCCGCACGCGAACTTTTTCCCGAACGCCTTGCTCGCCTCCTTCAGGTCGACGTCGAACCGCTCCAGCCCGACGACGTTGGTGATCATCTTTTTCCTGTTCCGGCTCAACCGCGTCACGACCACCTCGCGCGCCTTGGACTTGGATTTCTTCTTCGACGTCGTTTTTCGCGTCGCGTCGTCGTCGTTCTCGCCGTCGTCGTCGTCGCGCGTCGCCGCCGCCGCCGCCGTCGTCGTCGTCGTCGCCGTCGCGTCGTCGTCGAGCGCGACCCGCTCGAGCGCGCGCGCGGCGACGCGCGCGCAGCCGACGACGTCGCAGTACTCGAGCGGGCACGCGCACGACGCGCAGTACTCGACCTCCATCGCGTCGCGGCGCGGCTTCGGGTCGCGCGTCGACGGCGGCGCGATCGATGCGCGCGTCGTCGAGTGGCGACGGCCGCACACGCGCGCGCGGCGACGCGCGATGCCGCGCGCGCGCGACGCGACGCGCGAGGACGGCGCGCGCGGTGACGTCGCGGACGCGGACGCGGACGCGGACGCGGCGCGACGACGACGCGCGACGGACGACGACGGCGCGACGACGACGAGGAGAACGACGACGACGGCGCGGACGACCTCGAGCGACGTCGCGGACGCCCTGGACGCGTGCCTGACGATCGAGGCGACGGCGCGCGACGACGGGCGGGACGAGGGCGTCGTCGCGGGACGCGCGATGGGCGCGCGCGAGGGGCGGGAGATGGGATTTCGCAAGGGGTTCGAGCTCGCGGAGGAGGTGGGGTACTACGCCGGGTGCGCGGCGGTGTGGCGGACGTGCGCGACGCGAGACGGCGACGCGCGCGGAGGGCGAGTCGAGCGCTTGATCGAGAGCTTCGAGCGCGAGCTCGAGGAGAGCGCGATCGGGAATCCGCTGGACGAGGGGATATTGGAACGCGTCGAGCGGTTGCGAGGACGATTTAAGACGCTCGCGGCGTTGCTCGGACGTCGAGGGGAGCACGCGCGCGCGGATGCATCGCTCGGGATTAGTTTTTAGTCGTGGTCGGGCGGAACGCGCGGTCGGTTGTAGTGCGCACGCGATGCGTGGTGATTAAATGAATGAGAGATTACGCGCTCGGGCTCGTCGTCGCGTCGAGGCGTTCGCCGGAAGCGGGCACCAAGCCGATGGCGCCGACGTTTGGTTCGAGAATCTTACCGCATCCCAGGCACGTGTCGCCGTCGTAAAACACCGCATATTGCCCGGGCGCTAAGCCTTGGTCGTCCTGGCCTATATTCACCTCTCCGCACCGCTCGCCGTCGACGTCTTTGAATTGGAACGAGCACGCGTAAATGTTTTCGCCGTGACGAACCTTGACGCGCAAACCTTCGATGCTCTCCAACGGTGGTTCTTGGCCGGATATCCAGTTGAAACCCGCCACGGTGAAAGTATCGCGCGCTTTGTCGAGCGAATAATAATCACGCGTGACGTACACGATGTTATTAACGCAATCTTTGCCCGCGACGTACCACGGACCGCCGTGCAGAAAGAGTCCGCTCCGCTGACCGATGGTGTGAAACCAATACGCGCGATGCTTGCCGAGCACTTTTCCGGACTCGACTTCTATGATATCACCCGGCATCTCCCCTAAATGCTCTGCGATGAACTCACTAAACTTGACCTTTCCTAAAAAGCAAATCCCTTGCGAATCCTTGCGCCCGGCGTTCGGCAACTCGGCCGACGCAGCCAACGCGCGAATCTCTGCCTTCGGCATACCCCCCACCGGAAAGCACACGCTTCCGAGTTGCTCTTGACTCAAATCCGCCAAAAAGTACGTTTGATCTTTGAACGTATCGCCTGACATCACCAACCTCGCCAGCTCTCCAACGTCGGCGCGCTCCACCGCCGCGTAGTGCCCGCTCGCCACTCGATCAAACTCGCCGGGATGCGTTCGCGCCAGCCACTCGCGAAACGCCCCAAACTTCACTCTACTATTGCACAACACGTCTGGGTTCGGCGTTCGCCCTTTGCGTATCTCCTCCACGCTATCCTTCACCACCAAGTTCCAATACTCATCCGTCAGCGGCACCGTCTCCAGCGGCACGCCCACGCGCTCGCACACCGACTCCGCCACGCGCAGATCCTCCTCCCACGGGCACTGATCCCACGTGTTTCGAAAGTCCTCCTGAAACCAAATCTGAAGATAGAACGCGACGCATTCGTGGCCGGCGGCGCGCAAGAGCGCCAGCGCGACGGAGCTATCGACGCCGCCGCTCAGCAGCACGGCGACGCGCAGCGGCTTCGCCCCGGGCTCGGCCAGACGCAGCGCGCGTGGATCCAATGGGGTCCAATCGAACGCGGCGCTCGCGCGCGGGCGCGAGAGGCGCGATGCGCGAGCGGCGCGCGAGCGTTTCGGTCGCGAATTCGACCGGCGGCGGCTGACGTTCGACGTCGACGCCGACGCGTCGGCGCCCGCGGACGCGACGCGCGCGCTCGAAAACATCGACCGTGCTCGTACGAACGCGCGCGCGGCGTCCACGGCGTCGCGCGGTGGACTGAGGGACGTACGCTCGCGAGTCGCGCGAGTCGCGCTCTGGCGTCGAGCGGTCGCGGTCGACGCGTCGACTGAATGCGTCGATAACAACGGGTCTAAGATGACGTGAGATCAAACGGTGTGCGCGATGCGTAAGGACTCGTGGTCCATGAAATCTGCCAAGCCAGGGATCGGGTTGGGGTGCCGGCGGATGGCTTCGCGTAGCTCCTCCGGCTCGACGACGAAGACGATGTTCTTGTACTCCTTCAAAGCCGCGCCCCTGACGCCTGAACCGGACTTGTGCGCCGTAGCGATGCCGAGCGTGAGTAAATTTTCAAAAGCTCGAACGAGGACAGAGCGCGAAGAGTCTTTGGCGTGCGTGAGCTGCTCTCGAGATCCCATCTCTCTGAACTCTTGCGCGAGCGCCTCGAATGTGAAGGAAGGACGCTTTCGCGCAACGTGCATTCTGTACATTGCGACGCAGAGTAGCAGCTCCAAAGTCGTAGCGCCGATGAGTGAATCTACGAATGGATTCCTATATAGACTGTCCACGGCCTCGACGATATCATTGCTCGTTATCTTCCCGAGCTGACGGTTAACGCGCGAGAGAATCGCGCACGCCACTTTACTTACAGACGCCGGCGTGTTCTCCAAACGACCGTAGTGCTCGAGCTTTTCCTTCACCACAGGACTTTGCATCGCGGCGCGAAGATGCAAGTTCCACTGTTGCACATAGTCCGGATCGCTCGGGCACAAGTATTTGTCCTTGTCGGAAAGCTTGAGTGCCTTTGTCACGCCCTCCACCATGGACACCGTGTTCCCAGGCGGCGCGACGACGATGCGTCGATTGGAGAAACGAGATGCGACACGCTTTTCGAGCAGTCTATCGACACTGTGTCTGCACGTCACACCAACGACAGCGGCCTGCACGGTGGATTGCTGGAGTAAATCTGTGATGGCGTACAGAAGCGTTTGCTTCGAGCGCATCGCAAAGAGCTCAAAATCATCGAGGACGAAGATGACGCCGCGCTGTCCACCCAACAGCTTCAGCATCTCCGTCATGAAAGCAACGTTTTCCGCAAAACCAGTCTGGCGACCGGTGACATCCTCATTCATATTGGGGCACAACTGCGAGGCAATCTTCTGCATTGCGATGCGTTCGTCAGCGTGAAGCAAACCGCTAAGATGGACTGTCACAACCTTGCCCGGATGCTTGCTCTCCAAAATCTTCAACGCGGAGTCTAAGACGAGCGATTTCCCACTTCCTCGATTACCCACCATGAGGACGGAGTTGTTTTGACCGCCAGACACCGTGTCTTCGAGGATGTTCAACAAGTGGTCTCGATGCGCCTTCAAGTTTGGCGCAAACTCCAAGCCGTCGGCGTCGATCGGGCGTTCACGATTGACGCCGAACAGGCGACGCCGCAAGAGTCGAATCGCCGCATCACCACCTCGCTCGCACGGTGGCTCGACTTCCTCTTTACGCGCTGCCAAGACTAAATCGAGCCCAGTCGGGGCGTCGCACAGCGCCGCCGAATCCAGTACTTGCGTGCCTCCGGCGTAATCATCCTCGTAACACTGCGTTCCACCATCGTCTTCGTCGAATTCCTCCGTCTCCGCCTCGGACTCGCTCTCGCAATCCGAGCCCAATCCCGCCACGACGTCGTCCACGCGACCGAAAATAGTCGGACTCGCCATCGAACCGCCAATGTTTGGCGAAAACGCCGCGCTCGCGCCGCCGCTCTTCCCCGGCGTCACCCTGAATTCCCGTTTTCTCCCGCTCGTCGACGGCGGCGACGTCCTTTTCACTCGATCCATCCTCGGCGTTCCATCACCCGCCGCGTCGTCGACATCGAAATCGATATTCTTCACCGGCAGCCCGCTCGAGCCCTTCTTCCTCGCGCGTTCGCCGTCCTCCGCCGCCGTCGCCGTCTCGCCCCCATCCTCCCCGAGCGACTCTCCCGCCGCCCCTTTCGCGCCATTCATTATGTTTTCAACCTCTTTCAGCACCATCCCTCGCCGCTTCGCCGTCGTTCGACCGATCGTCGCCGCGACGGTTTCGCCGCCGCTCGCCGTCCCCGTCGTCGCCGTCCCCCCCATCCTCTCCCCGCGCTCGCCCGCGTCGCGCCCCGCCGCGGACGCCACGGGTGTCGTCGATCCTCGTCGACGCTTTCCCGCCGTCGTCGCCGCTCGCGGCGCGTCGTCGTCGTTTAAGACGTCGTCGTCGTCGAACGCGCGGTCGGCGTCGTCATCGTCGCGTCGCGCGCGCGCGCGCGCTCGATCGCTGAACACGGTGCGCGCGACGGAACCGAACAAGCCCTGGATCGCGCTCTGCATCGCCGCGACCGAAGGCGCGGCGGCGCGCGGGCGTGTGACGCGCGATGGCGATCGACCACGGCTGTCGGAAAATTTGAAATTTCGGCGTCGAGGCGAGACGGACGCCGGCGAGGCGAGACGGACGACGACGCGATCGCGACGCGGAGACGCGAGGGATAAATAAGAAGAGCAATTAACAATGAATCATCAACGCGCGGGTGCGGGTGGGGCGAAGGAGGCGAAGGCGAAGGCGACGACGGACGCGTCAGTCGTCTTCGCGAGCGGCGGCGACGAGCTTTTCAATCTCTCTCGATACGAGCTCGAACGAGGTGAACGTGATCGCCGCGGCGGGAGTGGTGCGGATGAGGTTGGTGGCGCATCCGCGATAGAAGGCGGCGACGCCGCCTTCGAGGTAAATTCGACGTACGAGGGCGCCGATGCCGCTAAACGGACCGAGACCGTGCACGTGCATGTGCGAACGGATCACCTCGTGTGGGTACGTCAACGTCGACGCGATCATCTTTGCGATCGCGCTGGCGACCATGAGATCTATGGGCTCGATCTTATTCACCGCCACCTCGCGCTCTCTCGCGAGCTCAACTTTGATGGATTCGTAGAGCGGAAACTGAATGATGACGTGCGCGATGCCAATCAATGAAGGGCCAAAGCCGCTGTACAGCCCTTTCAAGCCCTCTTCGCGCATCATTCTCGTCAGAGCGTTTATCGTTGACGTGTACGGCACGCGCTTGGGCATCGCCGACGCCAACGCGTGCGAGTGCTGCACCTGCAAACGCGTCTTCGCCACCCACAACGGATTGGTCACGAAAATCGTCGCCGCGCCCGCCCCGGCGGCGGCTAAGATGTGCGCAAAATGATTTGCATCCGCAACTTTCACGACGCGTTCTCCATCGCTCGCGCCTTCACCGTCACGGACAATCGCCGTCTCGCCGACGCCTCGTCTACTAAAAATCCGCTTCAGCGCGCCGTACGTGCTAAAATACACCCCCCAATTCGGCAGCAGCGCCGCGACCGTCGGTCCCAGTCCCCTATACAGCCCTCTCGCGCCTTCGTGTCGCACGATTCGCCGCAACGCGCCGTACGTGCTCAGGTACTCTGTCGTCCCCGTGGTCGCCGCGCTCACCTGCAGCCTCGTCTTCAGGACGTCCAACGGGCACACCACAGTCGCCGCCACCGTCCCCGCGATCGCGCCGGAGAACCCATTCGCGAAGGCTTTATCGCTCAGCAGCGCGAGCGCGCTCGGGGGCGCGCCTCGCGCGAGGTTTCGATAAAAGTTTGTCGCGTGCTGCGGGTTCGCAAAGGCGTCGACGTCGGGCGACGACGTGGACGCGCGCGCGTTCGCGGCGTCGCGACGCGTCATGAATCGCGCGCCGCGACGCGTTCGGCGTTCGAGATCGCTCGGCGGCGATGCGCACCGATCGCCGCGCCGAGGTCTGGAGAATGAGTCGGCGCGCGCGGGGTCTTTGGGTCGGCGACGCGGCGCGGCGAAAATCGCTTCTGCTATTGCAAATCTACGTTTATGTGCGGTGTGATCAACCGCGAGTCGTCGCTACGTTGCGGTTGGATTGCACCCAATCCACGGTGTCGCGCAAGATTTTGAAATCGTGCGCGTCGGCGATGTTGGAAAAGACGCGCAAGTCGTCGCCGAGCGCGCCGGGCTTGGCGGAGCACGCGTACAAACCGCCGCAGGCGCAGCGATTGGCGAGATGTCCCACCTTGATGCGGCCGTCGCGCGCGCATTTGAGGTCTTGAAGCTGATATTTTCGAACGCGCTCGTTCACCTCGGCGACGAGAGCGCCTTCGATCCATTGCATGTCGTACGGTTGACCGCACGGCGGGCCGTGATCGTCGTCGCGCGCCGTGCACGCCCAGTGACCGGCGGCGAGGTCTGGGTCACGGCAGAGATCCAAGTCTCTGCAATCAGAGCAAGCGGAGCAAATAACGTCTCGGAGCGTAAAAGAGACGCATGGCTCGACGAACTCTGCCTCAGGGGAGAATTCGGCGACTTGAATCATCTTGAGCGCGTTTCGTCGGAGCAACGACACCGGACCCTCGACGCGAGCGTCGAGCGACAACACGGCAATCACCGTTCTCACAAACGCCAACGCTGGCGTGCCACGAAGCTTCTTGGACAGGTTTGCGCCAGGTGGCGAAGGGAATTGGTGCTCGGGCGGCGAGCGCGGACCGGCGAGTCCGAGGACTCGTTGGATATCCTGTGCGTAACGCAGCAATTTCGGCCCGAAGTGCGATTCGAGTTGTTGCTCCAACCAAATCACCTTGTCTTCTTCCAGGCGATCCAAGTCGCGCGCGTTGTGACCAAAGCCCGGGGTCGGTGGTGGTTTCTTCTCCACCGGAGCTCCGACGTCAGAATCCGAGTTCTCTTCGTCCGAATCGTCGCTGTCGCTCATAGCGCGGTACTTCACGGGCGTGCGCCCGTGCAATGGACCGTCGCTTTCCTCCTTGTCGTGCTTCCAAGGCAACAATAAGAACTCGCCGATTATGGCGTGAAAGTGATCTTGAATCGCCTCGGGTAGGAATCGTGCGATGTTCCAGTGCATGTCCAGCGCACCTTCACTATTGCGCGTGGCAAGAGGGTCGAGTTGCGAGTCATGCGGCGCGATGGAGTCGTGCCACTGGCTCTCGCCCGGAAGGTTGACGGCGGAAATCCCGGCGTAATCGAACGGTCCACGAAACAGAAGCGAGTGCCATTGCTTGACTCGATCGAGTTGCAGCCATGAGAAGAGTTCACGCTGGTGCAGGGCAGTCTTGAGACCTTCCACGCATGCGGAAGCACTCGCGAGATCGTGCTTGCCAGTCGCGATGATGATTCTTCGCATGTCCGCGTACACGACTTCGACTTGAAGCTTGCGAAGTTCAGCCAACAGCAAGGTGAAGACTTTCTTCATGCAGAGCTCGACCAAGTTCTTCAACGCCGGATCGCGCAACGCCGAAGACGGGCTAAAGAGCCAGCGATGAATCTGCGAAAGCAATTGATCCGCGTATGTATTGTGATGATCAGTTGCGTCGCGGAGCCAATTATCGACGAGCTTGTTCAGCGTCTTGAACGCGCCCGCAGCTTCGTGTCCGCCCATGCGCGTCGTGCCCTTGGTGCCAGTCTCGAAGCCCAACAGTGCGCCTTGCTCGAGATCGTTCAAAATGCTAGACTTGGAAATGGCGCACACAGCCAAGTGATGCACTTGCAATTCCACACAAACGCTGCGATAAGCGCCGGGCGCGGTGACTTCCATGCGCGACGCACCGTATGCATCGTCCAATCCGCTCAGAGACACGGCGCTCGCGCCGCCACCCAAATCAGGCTCGCCACCGGGGCCAGTCCACAACACCTGTTCGGCGTCGTGCAATGTGCGGGCGAAGAACGCGTCCGCGGTGTGCACCCACCAATCCGATTTCAAGTTGCCCACGGGGATGTGCGCATAACTCGCAATCTCGACGTGCTCCTTCAACCACTCGGCGCTTTCGACGACGCGCGCCGAAGCAATTTTCGCGGCATCAAGTTGCCATCCCCGGGCTGCATCTGTGCTCAAGTCACTGTCCGAAAGATTTGGCGGCCTGAAAACGATGGGAAGACGTCCAGAGGCGGGCATCAAGGCGCTCAATCTCCCAGCCAAACCTTCTCGCACGGACGAAGTGTCTTGAGCCGGATCGACGCCGGCGCCTGGGGGAGCTTGAACGAGAAGCACCGTACCACCGCTAGATGCGGAAATGTAGGCGCCGATAGCGTGGTTCAAATGCTTGCCAACTTGTTCCATGTTTCTCGCGTACAACACGTTCCATTTCGAGGCGGCTTCTGCTCTCGCTTCGTCGTCAGTTTGCTCGTCTCCGCTCATCGAGTGCATAAACGACGACCAAAGCTCGGGGGTGACCTCTCGAACACCTTTACCCGGTTGATGAACGATCACCGTGCCTTTGCTTTCGCGGCTGTTGTGCAGCACGTAAATTCCACGTCCTTTATCACCAGAAACTCCAGCAAAGTAGAACGTGATGTGGGACAATTTCGGCAAATACGAGCTGACTTCAGCCGTCGCCTTCATTTGAAACATGTTCATGCCATAGGACTCGTCGCCAATATCGAGCGCTCGCTTTTGTTCCGACTTTTTCACCGCCATGACGCAACCGATGTTGTAAATGAATCTATCAATCAAAGGCACGTTCTTTTCGTATACGCCGATGACAGACGGGTCTGCCAAAAGCGCAGCAATTTCCAACCCACTCGCGAAATTTCGCTCTTGCACGTTAATTTCGTACAAGTGGGGCGCGATGAAACCGCGCGGAAGAGTTGCCGTGATTCGTCGCTTTCCTTCCAAGCCGAGATCGCCTTCGCGATCCGTTTCGCGCGTGGCGATGACGAGGCGACGGGGCACGTCCACCTTGATGACTTGCATCGTACCGTTCACTAGCACCCAGACGGCAAAAATTCCTGGGACTTGCGTTTGTTCCACCTGGATGATGTGCATCGTCGAGTGTGCGATCGTTTCCTCGCGTGATTCCACAAAGGATTCGAGACCGAATGCACCCGATCGTCTCTTTCTTCGCATGACGCCTCCCTCGCGTTCAATCTGAGCTCGCTCTTTTTCGTCCTCGACGCGTTCGCGCTTGATATTTGCGCGCAGAGTTTTCCATTTGGATTTGTAATGCTTCAACCAGCCGTCGTAATCGGTCGCTCTGTCCGGTGCCGCCGCGCTAGCGCTGGCCGAACCTGGAGTCTTCGGCGCTTCTCCAGAAGGCGTCGCCCGTTGGTCCGGCGTTTGCGGTGCATCACCATCTCTTCGAAACGTTCTAACGCGCGGACGAGTTGGCGTCGACTTGGCGCCGCCGTCCTCGATGTCGAGAATATTCAAATCTTTACCCGCAAGCGGCGCACCATTCGCGAATTGCGTCTGAAACATCGTCTTCAAGTTGCGCTGAGAAAACTTGTCATTCTTTTCTCGAATGCGCTTGTGCAACCAATCGGGATGCTTCACGTCTGGGCATGGGTTTTCTACGCCCTGTAAAGCCGCAGGGATGCTGATGATTTTCTGAATGGCCCCAGCAAGACGCGTCTTGTAGTATTCCCAATCCACCATCTCGCGCATGTTTGGCATTTCGTCGTCGGCGCCTGGAAGCGCGTCCTTGGTCCACTCCTTCAAGTATGCGCGCGCCACGGCCGTTTCGGCGTTGAAAATACTCACTGGAATAGCCCGTGCCGACGTCGGAGCTCCGAGCGGTTTCTTCGAGATGATGTACTTACACACAAGACCCTTGTCCTTAATCAAATCGGCGCCGAGGAATTGGGACAGACGATGCGCTGTGGTGAGAGACGTCGACTTGCGATCGCCGTAATCGATGGCGGGTTTGCTCATGACGCTCGATTCAGAAATGAACTCTAAGAGCTCTTCGTCGTCAAAGTTCCTGCCTTGCGTTTTGAGCATGTCAAACCAACGATTGCCGATGTTTCCGACAGCTTTGTACACCTCTTCCAGCGTCTCGCCCTTCAAAAAGTAGTCAAACACCTCCGCTTGGAAGACTTTGATCAACTTGAGCTCGCCTCGACGCTTGAGTTCGAATCCTTTCAATTCTTCCAACGAGCCGTCCTCGTTGAACACGGCGTATCGTTTTTTAATGAGCACGCCCTCTTCCTTAGAAGCTGGAAGAATCATCGCCTTATACGGACCGTCGACTTCAAACTCGATGCTCATTTCTGAGGAAACCTCGTACGAGGACTTGCCATCGACCACCTTCAACGTTTGGTACTGGTCGTTCGTATTCTGCAGCGCAGTCATACGATTGAGAACGACGCACGGGTACGAAATCTTGTATCCTTTGTTCTTATTTGGGAGCGTAAACGTGAATGTCTCCGGGAAAGCGCGGGGCAAGCAGCACCAAATACCATCCGTATCCAATTCAAGCGGCTTGCCGATGTCATCCACCAGTTGCTTCGCCATTTGAATAATCTTTGCACCTGTGTTCGTGACGACCCCAGCCATCTCCATCGAATACCACCGCGCGCCTTTACGCATGACGTAGCCGTAAAAGGAGTTCAAAATACACTTGTGCGCCAGCTGAAGCGAATCATACAACACAACCATATTTGCCGCCTTTTGGATTTCGATGATGTTCCCGCTCTGTTTCGCTTCGTCCAAATTGTTCTTCCACTTCTTATTCTCCCCTTTGTACACGTAGCGACGATCACGAAACGCCTTCACGGTGTCGATGTAGAATGGGTTTTCTCGCATGCAGATACTCGCCTTTTTCGTCGCCGTCACCGGTTTCTCCATAACCTTTCTATAAACTTTTTGCGTATACAACTTCAGGCGCTGCTTCTTCTGCTCTTGTTGCTCTTCGTACGGAAGTTCAGCCCACGTTCGTTGTGGGCCACCGGGATGAGACGGCGCAAACTTATCAACTTGCAATTGCGCCTTGATGGCGGCATACTCGCTCGACGTCGAGGCAAAGTGCTCGCCGCGCCAAACCCATTCCATCTCACGCAGGCATCCCTTACCCGGTCGGTTGTAATCGCACGCGGCGCATACATCCTCATTGACGATAGCCGCCGGCTGCAAGCGGTTCGTCAAAATAATGTTCGGGTACATTGCTGCTACGTCCAAGTGATAAATCAGCGGTTCCATGTTCAAATTTGGGTTGTCGCGAAGGTACTCGAGCTTCTCGGCGATTTGCGCACGAATCTCATCGTAATCTGCGCAGTCATCCTTCCCCAGACCTTTTCCTTCGACCCGAAGGGCGTAGTCCAAATCGTCGTCGAGATTGTCAAGTAGTCTCTGATACCCTTCTGGATTCAACTTGAAGTCGCACGGGATGTCTGAACGGAACACGCCCGCCTCGAGACACTCCACGTGACCGCCGATGTACGTTTCACTATTCAAGAGGTGACCTTCGTAGTATTTTTCACCGGCGCTGACTTGTTTGTTCGGGCAAACGATGTTTCCGTGGTACGCCTCAACCATGAGCAAAGCCTCGCACAGGGTACCGGAACCTTTGCGAAGGACTTCGTCCGGCGAGAGCGGAATAATCGTCGACAGCGCAAAGATGAAAGGGTGCACGTACTTCATGTACAAGTAGTACGTACTCACGGCATCGGAAACGGAATACGACGCCATCATCTGAGGGTGACTTTGCGCGTACGGTAACATGTCTTCCGGGTCCACTTCGACCGGATCGTACTTTAACTTTGCCTTGGTCACCGCCTTCAAGCCGTGCGATCCGGCGGGGAGGTAGGAATCGCGCTTCACCCACGCGAAGCAATCCAGGTGCAGCGCAGAATTACTTCGACATTCACCCGACTGTTCGCACTTGAAACCAATCTCACGGTACATATCCATCCCGTTCTTAGTCGCTCTAGTTTCGATGAATGGGAAATCGAAATAATCACCGTTGTACGTGACGTAAATGCTCGGTTGCGTCTCGCGCATATGATCAAACCACGTGCGGATGAGCGCTTGCTCGTTCGGCACGTTCCAAACGATGAACGGGCCTTTGTACTCGGGCTTTGGCGTGTACTCGAAATCTTCTACGTCCTCGCTCACGATTTCACGGTTGATTATCAAATACCCTTGGCCGTCCAACATGTACGAAATCATAAACACCTGGTCGTGCTCGGCGTCTGGAAACTTTAACGGAAGCTTGGTGGTTTCGATATCGAACGCGCACACGCGAACTTCACCGCGATCTAACATTTGCTCTTGCAACGTCAGCGTCACCGCGCCGTGCTCGGCGCGCACGCTGTACCATTTCCCGCATCGCACGTCGGTGTCGATCATGTATCTCATGTGATACGGCACGTCGTACTCGCGAATGTCAATCATCGCCTCTTCGTAATCCGTCAACGCCTTCTTCTTCGGCTTGATCCCCGCGTCCAGGCTTTCCTGGTGCGACAACGCTTCGTACGCCGCCGCCGCGGACGATTTCTTCTTATTCTTGGACACTATGGGCAAGATTTCTCTGCGCACGTCCATGAGCTCTTGCGTCGTCGCGAACGAAACCTTCAAATACGTCTGCTGCAATCCGCTCAGGTGATTCTTCAAATCCAAATCCTCCTTATCCACCATCTCCACGTCCAGCACTTGTTCGCCGTATTTCCTCCTCAACAGCGCCTCCACCTCGTGCTCGCACCCAGTCTTCGTGGCGAGATAGAAGTACGGCGCGTACTTGACCTGCGCCTTGAACGTCGACCCGTCCTGCGCCATAAAGTAACAATTCACCGCCGCGTACGCCTTCCCGCTCTCCTTATCCTCCACTTGCGTGCTGCTCGCATTTATCATCCACCCGATTCGATCCTCCCCGTCCACGTGCGTCCCGAATCCGAGCTCCTTCTGCAGCGCGTCCTCCTCCGCCGCGACTTGCGCCTTCGTTCGTCCATCCGCGCCCGCGCCGCCGCCGCCGCCGCGTCCACCGCCGCCGCCGCGCCATCGCGCGCCGCGCGCTTCTCCGTACAGATTCGCCTTATTCCCCGTCGTTCCACTGAACGCGGGCTTTCGCGCGGGCGCCATCGCGATCGCGCGTCCGGCTGTCGCGCGCGTCGAATCAGATTCAAATCCAATCGATTCGAATCGCCCCTCGTTCGCGCGCCCGGCGTCGCGCGTCCGTCTCGCGTCCGTCGATCGACGCGCGCGTCGATCGCGGCGCGCGTCGCGTCGATTCGAGGCGCGGCGTCGACGCGTCGCGCTGTGCCGCGCGCGCGTCCGCGCGTTTTCGAGGATTTTGAATCCATGAACCCGCGCGACGGTTCAGGACTCGTCGATGGGTGGGGGTCGACATCGCGTCGGCGCCCGTCGGCGGCACGACGACGCGCGCGATGCGACGCGCGCTCGCGGCGGCGACGCGCGACGCGACGCGACGCGGTGCCGACGCGACGCGCGCGCGACGCGCGTCGGCGTCGCGAGCGCGCGACGGTGAAGGATTTTGGCGCCGCGCGGACGACGACGGCGGATTCCACGACGCGATGCCGCGCGCGCCGACGTGGTCGACGGCCGCGCTCGCGGGCGACGAGCGCGAGCGCGAGGACGACGACGCGCGCGACGACGAACTGGGACGCGCGGCGGCGCTGGCGGTGACGGGAATGGGTGAGGGACGCGCGAGGGAGGCGTTCGCGAGGGACGTCGCGGGCGCGCTGCGGTTCGCGCGGGCGCTGGAGCGCGTGCGCGCGGACGGCGTGGAGAGAATGTGGACGACGGCGCACGGGGATGGGTTGAGGATGCGGTTCGACGGCGTCGCGCGGGTCGACGGGGAGGCGGGAGAGCGGGAGGCGGCGGCGGCGCCGCGCGAGCGGTTGTTGCGCGAGGCGAAGTACGCGCGAGGCGAATATTACGTCGCGCCGAGGAGTCGCGCGGTGGAGTAGCGGATCGGTTATCGTAGTTCTAGAATGTAATTTATAGTTGATACAACAGCGACGCGACGCGGCTAGGGTGGACTAAAATCTAAAACGCGTCAACTGATTTTCGCGGCGGCGGTTTGCGCCTTGCGACGAATCTCGCGCGCGGTGAAGTGGAACACGCCGCCGGATATCGTCAACAGCGCCGCGTTCACGCCCAGGGCGATGGGGATGCCGACTTCGTCCGCGAGCGCGCCGAGCGCGAGCGGGCCGAGGAGCAAACCGACGTCGCCGCACGTACGGTAAATCGCGAGCGCGCTGCCGCGAATGTTCTTGGGCGAAATATCCGCGGCGTACGCCGCGGGCGCGGTGCCCATCAAGCTTCCCGAGGCGGCCCAGAGAATAGACGCCGCGGTGAACGCCGTGGGATCGGTGGTGGTGCCCATGAGCGCGACCGACGCGGCCGAGGCGACGACGCACGGCGCGATGACGGCTTTGCGACCGACGGCGTCGGTGAGCGCGCTCGCCGGGCCGAGACCGAGCAACGACGTGACAGCCATGGCGGAAAACAGCGCGCCGAGCGATTCCGGCGTGAATCCAAAGTTTTGATACGCCAAGATGGGCAGCAGCGTCCCTCGACCGCCCGCGCCCGAGAAGAAGAGCGCCGCGTTCAAGCCGCACACGGCCCAGAAATCCATCGACTTGACGAGACGACCCATCGCCGCGTCTTGCGCCGTCGCGGGGTCCACCGCCGTCGTCGTCGCCGCGCCGTCGGGCGATTTCGTCTCCAACAGCTCGTACACCTGCCCGTCCCGATGCACCACCGGTTTACCGAACTCATCCAACTCCAGGCACATCTTCGTGTCCTCGATCGGGTGCCCGTCGCAGTACCAGTGCTTGCTCGCCGCGAACTCCCTCTCGGGCTTTACCGACTCCGGTCGCGTCTCCTCGATCCTCGCGAACGAGTACACCGACGCGAACGAGCTCAGCGCCCCCACCGCGAGAAACGGCGATCGAATGCTCATCCCATCCGCCCCCGCGATGGCGCCTCCCAGCGCCGGTCCCGCCGCCGCGCCCGCCAGCACCGCCGCCTGATTCGCCCCCAGTATCCGCGCTCGCGTGTGCCGCGTCGACAGATCCGCCAGCATCGCCGTCGCGCCGCTCATGTACATCGAGCTCCCGATTCCCGCCACCGCCCGCGCGCACAGCAGCTCGCCCAGCCCCGTCGAGCAGTAGCTCCACGCCATGCCCGCCGTCGTCGCCGCCGGTCCCGCGATCATCAGCGGCCTGCGTCCGACCGCGTCGGCGTACCATCCGCACGGCAGGTTAAACAGCAACCTCCCCGCCGCGAACGCGGACATCGTCGCGCCGATCTCCGTCGCGTTCGCGCCGAATTCGCGCGCCAGCATCGGCAGCACCGGGCTCGCGCACGCGTGCCCGGACATGAGCGCCGCGCTCGTCAGGCACACCGACGCCACCGCGGCGTGGTCGCGCGCGAAGGCGTACGCGACGCCCGAGGGCGCGGACGCGTCGCGCGCGGACGCGGCGCGCGCGTCGGTGGATTCGCGCGAACCGGCGTCGTCCGCGCTCGGTCGCGACGACGACGACGACGACGACGACGACGACGACGACGACGACGACGACGCGCGCGCGCGCGACGGCGCGGTGCGCGACGCCGCGGCGCGCGCGAGGACGCGCGCGCGACGACGCGCGAGGGCGAGCGACGCCATGTGCGGCGACGACGAGACGAGACGACGTAACACCTCAAACCGACAGATCGCGACGGCGCGAGACGCGACGGAGGGCGCGCGCGACGCGAAAACGGAGCGCGCGCGATGACGGAGACGATGCGCGCGGACGACGCGCGCGACGCGACGCGAACGGCGCGACGAAGCGCGAAAGAGGCGGATGAAGACGGCGCGGGGGAGAATCAAGAAAATCGAGAGCCGACGCGCGGGACGACGAACGACGCGCGAACGGTGCGGAAAGCGCCGCGATCGATGGTCGTGCGCGAGGACGCGTCGAGCGAGGAAGACGGCGCGGACGGCGCGGGAGGGATGGGGCGCGAGGAGGGGATGGTGGGGACGACGACGCGCGCGGACGCGAGCGGGACGACGGCGAGGACGGCGAAGGGCGAACGACGAGGGGTGGCGTTTTTTGATTTGGATCACACGATCATCGACGTGAACTCGTCGTGGTTGTGGGTGAAGAGCGAGATCAATTCGGGACGGGTGGGGATGTCGTTGATCGGGACGGCGTTGTATTGGTTTTCGAGGTACGCGTTTGGGTACGGAGACGGCGCGGAGACGGCGGGGAGGGACGCGGCGTCGATTTACAGGGGCGAAGACGAGCGGATGTTTCGGGAACGCATCACAGAGTTTTTTCGGATGGAGCTCGCGCATCGCACGCGCCCGGGGTTCAAAGCCGTGCTGGAGGCGCACAAGGCGAACGGCGAGCGATGCGTCATGTGCACGTCGACGTGGCAACATCCCGCCGCCATCGGGGCGGAGATTTACGGTTTGGAGACGGGCGAGGCGAACGTGGTGTCGAGCATCATGGGCGTGGACGAGGATGGTTTGATGGACGGCACGATTCAAGTCGTCGCGTACGGCGACGGCAAATACGAGACGACGAAGAAGTGGTGCGAACTCAACGGCGTGGATTTGAAGGAGTGTTACTTTTACACCGATTCCATGTCCGACGTGAAGCTTTTAGAAAACGTGGGGTACCCGGTGTGCGTCAACGCAGACGCGCGCTTGAAGAAGCACGCCGCCGAAAGGGGGTGGCCCACCGTCGACTGGGGGATGTCGGATTCAGGTATGAAAAAGCCGAGATACGGCGCGTGTCTCTCTTGTAGCGCGTAATCGTCGTCGACGTCAGACGCATTGCCTTTGCGTTGCTGTGATTTGTTGTAACACAAATAATTTACACATAATTTCTTCTTCTATCACCACAGCGCGTGCGAGCGCAAATTCCTCACCGTCGCGTACTTCTGCTCGTCGAGACTCGTCGTCGCGCCCGCCGCGGGTTGATTTTCGACAAAGGAGCCGTACTCGCTCGCCGGCGGTTCGTACCAATCGCGCATGTGCCTCGGTAATTCACTGCGTCCGTATTCAAAAAACTCTCCTTCGTCGTCCTCGTCGTCGTCGAACTCCTCGAAAACCTCGCCCGCCGGCGCCTCCGGCATCGCGTACGCCGCCTCCGGCGACGCGTACGCCGCCTCCGGCGACGCCTCCCGTCTCGTCCTCCCCCCAGCCAACGACTTCAACCGCGCCACCTCCCGCGCGCTCAGCGCCTCGCCCCTTTGCTCTCTCGCTCTTCGTTTCAGCTCCATCACGTCGTCGTGCGCCAAATGTTCGCCCACCTCCAGCGCCGTCGCCGCCTCGTTCGCCAGCCGCGACCTCCCTTCGTCCGCCCCTCCCGCGCCCGCGTGCGCGAGCACGTCGTCCAGGTGCGACTCCAGGTGCGCGCACAGTCGTTTATTTCGCTTCGCCTCCGCGCCGGGCCTCGGCGCGGGCTCGACGCCCGCGCGCACGCGCGCCCAGTACTCGAGCACGGCGTCGTCGTCCTCGCGCGCGCGGTCGCGACGCGCGAGCGCGCCGCGCGCGCTCGAGGCGCTGGCGGTGATGAAAGGCGCGGGATTGCGCATGTCGTCGAACGCGCGCGCCTCGAGGACGACCGCGAACACGAGGCGAAGAGTGCGGACGCGATCGAGACGACGCGACGTAACGGCTCAAATCCGAGCGCGCGCGGGACGCGAGCGCGCCTCGCGCGCGTCCGCCGCTCGACGCGAGACGCTCAAACGAGAAGGAAAAACTACGCGACCGCTCGATCACAACTCGCAAAAATAAAAATAAACGCCTCGCTCACGCCGGAGGCGCGTCGACGCCCGCGCGGCGCAGCGCGTCCGCCATCGCGTCGGCGCGCGCGCGCGCGCGCCGAGCCTCCGCGAGCTCGATCCTCGCCCGCGCCTGCGACCGCGCGAGCGCGCGTCGCGCGCCCTCTAAAGTGGATTCATCGTCGTCGGCTTCCGAAGCGCTCGCGTCGAGCGCCTCCCGCGACGCGTCCGTCGTCGCGCTCGCGTCGTCCGTCGCCGGCGCGTCCGGCGGCGGCGTCCCGGAGCGCGCGCACGCCTCCGCCAGCGTCCGAGCGCGCGCGAGTTCCCGCTCGAGACTCGCGCGAATTTCCGCGGCGATCTCTCGCGATCGCGTCAACTTCGCCCGCGTCTCGTCCGCCTGTCGGTTCGCCGTCGGTTCGCCGCGCCGTCAGTCGCCGACCGTCGCGTCGTCGCGTCGGCGTTCGCGCGCGCGCATCGCGTCGCGCGCGCGTCGCGAAGCCGTCGCGCGCACCGTCATGGACTCGAACGCGCGCGCGTCGCCCGCGGCCGCCGCTTTCAAGCGCGCGATCGTCGCGCGCGCGTCGCCCATCGCGCCGCCGTCTGTCGGCGGCGTGGCGCTCGACACCCGGGAGTGAAAATTTGAAATTCGTCGCGAGCTGTCGCGCGGGAACTCGCGACGTCGGAACGCGACGCGCGCGCGCGAGCGAGCGAGCGATGCGGACGACCGCGCGCGCGATGCGCGTCGCGACGGTGCGCGTCGCGACGACCCGACCGTCGCGCGCGCGCGCGATCCCGAAGTCGCGAACGCGCGCGCACCGACGAACGACGACGCGCGCGACGGGCGACGAGACGACGTACGACGACGCGCATCGCGTGCGCGTGACGGCGTCGCACGACGAGACGGTGTTCGTGTACGAGTTCGACGCCGAACCGACGGCGACGGTGGACGAGGCGACGGCGCGCGACGCGACGGAGGATTGGACGACGACGACGCGCGCCGTCGTCGAGGAGACGACGCGCGCGGTCGAGGAGACGGTCGCGGAGACGGTCGAGGAGACGATCGAGGCCGTCGTCGAGGCGGGGCGCAAGCCGGTGAGTAAGATGAAGAAGGCGGAGCTCGTGGCGTTGGCGGAGTCGCTCGGCGTCGACGCGACGGGCACCGTCGCCGCGCTTCGAGGTCGGCTCGGACCAGCCGTTCGCGGTCGCGCCGTCGCGAAGTGATTCGCGATCGTTTTGTTTTCAAGCCTTAATTTTCACGCGCGATTAGCGACGATGTAACGCGCGCTCGATCGACGCCGCTCGCCTCTCGTCGTCGCGCGTTCGATTTCGCCAGCTGACAAACGCAAGATCAGCGCGCGCGCCGCACATCAGCGCGCGCGCGCCGCGCGCCATGCGCGCGACGACGACGCTGCGAGCGCGAGCGATCGATGCGCGCGCGAACCGCCGCTCGAGCGCGTCCACGAGGGCGAAACCGCGCGACATTCGTCGACATTCGTCGTCGGCGTCCGATGCGTCGAGCTCGACGTCGAAAGATCGCGCTCGAAAAGCGCCCGCGACGAACGGAGGCGGCGCGCGGTCGTTCGTGGGGGCGAGCTTTTACGCGGATCCCTACGACACGAAGGGCGCCGCCGCGCGCGGGATGCCGAGCGCGCGGGAGTTGAGCCAGAATGTTCGAAATTTGAGTGGGCCCATGAGCGGCGCGGCGAGGCGAGCGAAGGGGGCGATGCGACCGGGAAACGGCGGACGAGGCGCGAGGAACAGAGCCGATGACGTCATCGAACGACGAAGGAAGATAGAGCGAGAGATGAAGAGTCAGATGGTGGAGAAAGAGGTGGAGTCGCTGGTGAAGAAACGGGTGCGCGCGCGAAGCGACGAAGGCGAAGCGACGGACGAGCGCTTTAAATCGTACGCGAGCGAAGACGAAGGACTGACGATGCGATGCGATGAACGGTCGCGATGCGCAGGCTCGCCGAGCGTTAGACGTTGAGCGCATAGATTTGCGCGATGGAAGCATTCTGTTTAAATTTAAGGTGCAGAACGAACCCGCGGTGAGCGCGGAGGAGGAGCGTCTGTTGGCGATGGAGGTGGAAAAGCGTCTTTGGGGCGACACCAAAACGAATGATAACGTCATCGCTCGTTGGTTCATGACTGTGAAATACCTCGCGTCGACTCTGAGCTTCGAGAACGCCCTCGTATACGTCGCGACGACCCCATTCAGGATGGTTTTTTGGAGTCTGGCGTACGTCTTGCGCGCCGTCTTTTGGATCGTCACCGGTCGCTCGGGCGTCTCCGTTCGCGCCTCGGGACGCGCCAAGCGACAGTTACGGCAAATCAACACCGTCGTCACCACCGGTCCCGAGCGCGGGTTCAACCCTTTCGGGAGCGTGAAAAGCCGTCCGAACTGGCGCGCCGAATAAGTTCGTTCGCGCGTCGCCCAGCCTCTCCATCCTTCGCCCTCGCGTTGTCTGTTGCGATACGTCTGATTCCAACTCAACTCAAAACCTGCCTCACTCCGCGACGCCATGGCGCGGCGTCGCCCGCGACTTCCCGCGCGCGCCCCGCCTAAATCACCATCGTCGCGAACCATCGAAGTCCTGAACGTGCGCGTGCGCGTGGAGAAACGCGACGACGAAGACGCGGACGAAGACGACCCACTCGATTGGGTCCATCGGCGAAAAGCGAGCGACAGCGCGCGCGCGACGACGAGCGAGGCGTCGTACGGCGTCGATGGGTTGGGCATCGTCCCCGGTCTCGCGCGCGCGAAGACGCGCGCGAAGACGGACGCACAAGAGGAGGAGATTCTACACATGACGGAGGACGCGGCGGACGCCGTGGCGGCGCTGCTTCGAAGACGCGCGGAGGAGGACGAAGGCGACGACGACGGCGAGGATCGCGGCGAAGGGGAGAAAACGGCGTTGGAGATGGCGCGCGAACGGTTGATGGCGGCGAATTTGGCGGTGCCGGTGGTTCGCGGTGAAGCGTCGGGATTGCGAGCGACGACGGCGGCGCGGCGAATGACGGCGCCGGTGACGAGCGTGATGGACGAAGTGAGCGCGCAGGAAAGGCATAGTTCGCAAATCGCGGCGAAAGCGTTGAAATCGCTCACGGAAAGGGACGAAGCTGAAAGAATCGCGCGAGGGAAGCGGTTGAGGGAGGATAGATTGCGAAGACGAGTGCTCGAGAAGGGATTCGACGAGGCATGGACAGAGAAGGCGATCAAGGCGAATCCCGAACAAGGCGAAACGAAGAAAGATGCGCTCGAGCGTTTGGGGTCGGTGCTCGATTGGTTGTGTCTCCGAGTACCTAAGGATGATATGCCCGAAACGTTCGTAAGATTGAGCGAAGCGTCGAAGAATCTTGCACCGTCGAAGACGTCTCTCGTCGTCGACGGTACGAAACTCGTCAACTCAGCCGCCGTGAGCGACGCGCCGGTGGAAGATCCGTACGTCTTGTTGTTGCAGCGCGCGATGCTCGGGCGCCTATTAGCGATGGGATTTTCAAAGGCGGAAGCTCGAGAAGCGCTGGAATCTGCAGGTTGGGTTGAAGAAGACGCGACGTACGCGTTGTTGAGATCTCTGCAACCCATCGGCGCGACGACGCCGAGCGGCGACAACGCCAAGGAAATGCTTGCCGAACGCGGCGAAGAGGCGATGGCGCTCGAGGCGATTCTAGGGGACGATTTCAAGGTTGATGATGATGCCAAGTGTTGGAATATCCGAATCCCCTTGGACGAGGATGCCAACGGCGTGCAATGGGAACCATGCGTTTTGGAGATTCATTTTCCGCCCGACTCTCTTTACCCAGCTGAATCTGCACTCTTCGTCGTCCGCCACGACAAGCTTCCTTCGCAAGTTCGTCGTTCGGTGAACGCTATGATTGCTGCGCAAGCGCATGTGTACCTCGGGGAGCCCGCGATTTATGCCATGGTCGTTTGGTTACAAGAAAACATGCCCGCAATTCTCGCCGAACGCGGCATCGTTGACGACGTGTCAGAATTTGTGGAGGAAATAGACAACAGCGAGAAGGATGATTTCGTGCTCACGGGACGTGGTGCTCACATTAAGAGAACGTATGCACGGTTGGAGGGTGAAGAAGCGAAGATGCATGCCGAAGAAGAAGAGCGCCGTAAGCGCATTGAATATTTCCGTGCGATGATGGCGGAAGAAAACGCTCGCGAGGCGCATGAAGTCGAGGAAGAACACGTTCGAGCTATGACACCATCGCAGTCGATTGCGCTCACGACGGAGGAAGACGTGGATGATACTTCTCTTGATGCAAAGCTGTCTCGCTGGGAACGTGAGCACGCCAAGCGTCTAGAAGCTGCGAGAACGACGAAAGTAAAGAAGAAGATTGTTCCCAACTTGAGCAAATCGAAACCAAAGCTGGACGAAGTGAGCGATGGCGATGCAAAGCCAAAGATGAAGGGAGGATGGTTGGCGAATCAGGTGAAGAAGGCGGGGTTAGACAAGCAGGCCGATGTCGAACTCGAAGAAGACGCGCTCGCGACTGCGACTGCGAATGTTTTAGCCGGCGTTTCTGGCGTGAGACCGGAAAAGTACACTGTAGAACGTCGAGCGGAGATTAGTCGCAAACTGCTGGAGTTGGAACTCGCGAAGGAAAGCACGAAAGAGTGGCTTGGTATGCAAGAAATTCGGCGCAAACTTCCAGCTCACAATTTGAAGAGTGTCGTGCTTGAAGCGATTGAGAGCTCCAATGCGGCTGTAGTGAGCGGCGCAACCGGTTGCGGGAAGACAACACAAGTTCCACAGTTTATATTCGAAGAAGCCATTAGGGCGGGCAAGGCTGGAGATACGAGCATCATCATCACGCAACCGAGGCGTCTTTCGGCCATCGCGGTCGCCGAGCGCGTCGCGAATGAGCGTTGTGAACGCATCGGTGACACCGTCGGCTACAGCATTCGGTTGGAAAGCAAGCAAAGCGAGAAAACGCGAATGCTGTTCTGTACGACTGGTATCCTCCTCCGACGTTTACAGACTGATCCGAATTTAACTGGCGTATCGCACGTTGTCGTTGATGAGGTCCATGAGCGTGATTTACTGAGTGATTTCTTGCTAGTCATTCTCCGATCACTCGCAGCGAGGAGGAGTGATTTTCATCTCGTGGCCATGTCCGCTACGGTGAACGCCGACTTGTTTAAAAACTATTTCGAGTCGCACCTGAAAACAACGTGTCCAGTCGTGGAGATACCCGGTAGGACGTTTCCCGTGGCGGAATATAGATTAGAGGACGCTATCGAAGCCACGGGCTACGTGTGCGAGCCCGATGGCGAGTTCGCGCTCGGCGTCGAGCAGAGCCGCGGCGGGAGGATTTTTAAGATGGCCGGAGGTGGCGGCGCTCGCGGGGCGGCGCTTCGCGAAGCCGTTGAGGAGTCGTTCGAACGTTCTGCGATGAGCGAGGTTCGACAAGAGACGCGTGATATGTATCCCGAGTACAGCGAGACCACTTGGAAGAGCTTGCAAGTCATCGATGAAGAGAAGATCAATTACGAATTGATGGAGCTGCTCGTAGCGCTCATCGCGGACGAGTACGAGGAAGGAGCGATATTGATCTTCTTGCCAGGGATGGCGGAAATTCGAACGCTTCATGATCGACTTCGTGCGAATTTAAAAGATTCAGAGTCGCGATTTTTGCTCATCCCTTTGCACTCGACACTGAGTTCTGAAGAGCAGCGCTTAACGTTCAATAAAGCTCCACCGGGAAAGCGGAAAGTCGTCATGGCGACGAACATTGCGGAGACGTCGATCACGATTGACGACGTTGTCTTCGTTATAGACAGCGGTCGCGTGCGCGAAACACAATACGATCCGGTATCGAGAATGTCGGCTCTCGTCACCGCTTGGTGCAGCAAGGCGAGTAGTCGACAGCGTCGTGGTCGGGCCGGTCGCGTACGCGAAGGCTATTGCTTTCACCTGTACAGCACAAAGACTGAAGCGACCGTGCTGGCGGACTTTACGACGCCAGAGATTTTGCGCACGCCGCTCGACGCGCTGTGTTTACAGATCAAGATTCTAGGTCTTGGAGACATTCGCAAGTTTTTGTCCATGGCCATCGAGCCACCGCCTGAAGGCGCCATCGCGTCGGCGCTGAAATCTTTACACGAACTCGACGCAGTGGACTCAAAGGATGAACTCACCGCGCTCGGGCATCATCTCGCTGAACTCCCAGTCGACGCTCGGCTTGGAAAAATGATGCTATATGGTGCGATGTTTTCGTGCTTGGATCCTATTCTCACCATTGCCGCCGGTGTTGGGTTTCGCTCCCCCTTTTTAGCGCCGATGGACAAGCGCGACGAGGCCGACGCGGCGAAGCGCAAAATCGCCGCACAAGCAAGTGACCATCTCACGCTGGTGCGAGCATACGCTGGTTGGATCCACGCGAGGGCCAAGGGTCGTGGTTTCGAACGGGACTACTTGTCCAAGCTGTTTCTCTCCGGACAGACGTTGAAACAAATTTCAGAGATGCGACAGCAGTATACCGATTTGTTGGACCAAATTGGATTTTTGCGATCCGGTGCGGGCGCTCTCGGGGCCGTTTCTGCGTCACCCGCACCGCTCGCTACGAACAAACTGAAAAACGGGCGGCGGAACAAACTCGAGAGTGCACTCGCAGAAGCGAGTGTGAACGCGGGGAACGAGTCACTCGTGCGTGCTGTCATTTGCGCTGGTCTTTATCCAAACGTCGCGTTGGCGAGCGCGCCTGCGAAGACAGACGACGGTCGCGCGCGGTCGCGCTACCCCACTAGCTCCGTCGCCGTGCGCACCAAGCACGATACGGACGTGCACATGCATCCAACATCAGTGTGTTACGGCATGTCGCCAAGTGTCGACAGCCGGTTTCTGCTCTATCACGAAAAAGTTCGTACGACCAAGGTGTACATTCGCGACGCCACCGCCGTCGGGTCGTACCCGCTGTTACTCTTCGGCGGTAAAATCAAAATCAATCACGAAAGATCGAGCGCGACGTGCGATAATTGGATAAATTTTCGCGCAGCACCTAGAGTTGCGGTCCTCTTCAAGCATTTACGCGCCGAACTAGACGCGTTGCTCATGGAGAAGATTGCTTCACCCGACATGGACATTTCGCACAGACGCGACGTCGTGAAATCCATAGTCGAAGTCCTCGAAAGCGAATCCGCCGCCGCGGCTGAAAAGTTAGCATTAGCAGAGTCTTCATCGGCGCCGGCATCGAGCGATGCCAAGGGACCGAGCGAAGACTCGAACGATTAGTTGTAGCACTAGTTTCCGCGCGCCGGAGAAACAGTTAAGTAATCGGCGCGCCGCGACGCCGACCCTCACAGTGTGCCGCGCCGATGCTCCGCCGCGCCCTCCTGCGCTCGCGATCATCGATCGCGCTCAACGCATCCCGCGCGCTCGCACCGTCGTTCAAAGCGCGCGCGCTGTCCACCGACGACGACGCTAAAGCCAAAACTCGCGCGCAGGCCGAGGCCGAAGCCGCGAAGAAAATCAACGCCGGCGCCTCCCCGCTCTTCTCCTGGACCGAAGTCGACGTCTCCAACGCAGACCGAACCATCCCACGCTGGCAAAACGCCGCGTTCGTCGTCGTGGTCGGCGCGTTCTTCGCGTACTTTGGGAACAAGTTGGTGACGAGCGAGCTGTCCCGGCGCGAACGCGCGAGAGACGCGCGAGAGGCGTTGGAAACGCGCGCTCGCGACGTCGTACGGGCGACGATGGGCGATAGAAATGAGTTTGATTTAGACGCGGTCGTGGATGAGGACGCGTTGGAGGGGCTGACGCCGGAGGAAATCGCGGCGCTCGTGGAGCGCGAGCGGGACGCCCGAGGCGGCGAGCGCGACGCGTCATAATCGCGCGCGATGGCGTGCGTAACGTTCCGAGCCGTGAGCGCGACGCGCGCGTTAGCGCCGCGTTCGAAGACCTCCCGCGCCGGTCGTCGCGCGGCGCGCGGCATTCGCGCGGCGGCGACGGACCCGGCGACGAAGATATCCTTTCCGGACACCAACTCCGCGGGTTTAACCGTGCTCGGCGCCGGATGCCGCGTCAAACGCGTGGCGATCATCGATGTTAAGATTTACGCGTTGGCCATGTACGTCGACGCCGACGCGGCGCGCGCGCAAAAGGGAAAAGGGTTGCTGAACGGCGATTATGACAAGGAGCTCGCCATCGAACTCGCGCGCGACGTCGACGGTAAAACGTTCATGGAAGCGATGGATGAAAGCCTGGGACCGAGAATCCGAGAGATCGCGACGAACATGGCGACCGCAGAGGATGAGGATGGGAACTTCATGGCCAGTGTGGCTGAGGCAGCGGAAAAGGCGGAGGAAGCGGCGGTGGACTCACTTGACGCCATGCGCGACGGGTTCTCTTCGCTGAAACTGAAGCAAGGGACGAAGATGACGATCACCTGGACGTCAAACGGGTGCGCCATCGCGGTCGCGGGCGCGGCGAAGATGGAATTTGAGTCGGCGGAATTCGCAAAGGCGCTGTTGGACGTGTATGTGGGCGAAGGCCCGGTGGCGCCGGCTGCGGCGCAGACGTTCGAAAAAGGATTGGCGGCGTTGTAGTGATATTTGCCTTGACTATTTGCTACTACTCGTGCTACGTTAGTTCCGCGTGGAGCTTTCTAAGAAAGGCTCGCGATGACGTCGGCGAGCATCTTGCTCGCGTCTTTGGGATTCGCTCGACCGTTTGTGCGCTTCATCACCTCTCCCACGAGCGCGCCCATGAGCTTGGATTTTCCACCACGAAACAACTCGACCTCTTTCGGCATCTCGTCGACGACAGCGCGACAGATATCTTGCAATTGATCGTCGCTCGACATTTGACCGCCGCCGCACACGTCCTCGACAATTTCAGCCAACGCGCGTTCATCGCTATTCATGAGCGCCTCTAAGACTTGTTTCGCCATGCGTCCGCTCAGATCGCCGTTCGCGACTTTACCCAACAATTCGCCCACGCGTCGCGCCGACGCCGCGCGCGGTAGAGATGATAGCGGTTCTTTGTGCGACGCTCCGGCATCTTTGCGCGCGGCGCCGATGATTTCATTCGCAATAAAATTGGCCACATCGCTCGCCTTAGCGGCGCCGCAACTGTCAACCGCGGTGTCGTAATACTTTAACGTCGATGGAAAAGCGATGATGGTACTCGCCGCGGACTCCGATGCGCCGCTCTCCATCAAGCGCTCGAACGCCGCGTTCGGGAGTTCCGGCATCCTATTTGCAATAGCCTCCACATCCGCCGGATTCAACACCAACGGCGGTAAGTCCGGCTCAGGCGTGAATCGGTAATCGAGCAAGTTTTCTTTGGTTCGAAGCACCGTGGTTTTTCCGGTGTTCGTGTCGAACGCGCGCGTCTCGCGCTCGATGCGCCCGCCGGCGGTCAACACGTCGACGTGTCTCTTCGCTTCGTACTTCACCGCCCGCACGATGCTTCGAAGACTATTCAAATTTTTAATCTCCACGCGTTCGCCAAAAACGCCTCGCTCGCGCTCCTCCGCCGTGCGCACGCTCACGTTTACGTCGCATCGCAACGACCCCTCCTCCATGTTCGCGTCGCTGACGTGTAAATACCGCAACATCCTCTGCAACGCCTCCACGCACGCCGCCGCGTCCTCCCCGCTTCGCATATCCGGTTCGCTCACGATTTCTACCAGCGCCTGTCCCGCGCGATTCAAATCGACCAGCGTCCCTTGCGCCGCCTCGGCCTCCGCGCCGACGGTTTGGCTCTTGCCCGTATCCGTCTCCATCTGCACGCGCTCGATGCCAACCGTCAACCACCCACGCCGCGTTCGACCGCCGTCCCGGTCGCCTTCCCGAGCGTTTTCTACACCGACGCATCGCACGATCCCTCCCCGGACGATCGGTTCGCGCTGTTGCGTGATCTGATACCCGTGCGGCAAGTCGGCGTAGTAGTAGTGCTTTCTGTCAAAGCTCGACTTCAGCTGCACCGTCCCCTCGAGCGCGATCCCGAGCTTGATCGCGCGCGCCACCGCGCCGGCGTTGAGCACGGGCAGCGTTCCGGGCAGCGCCGCGTCGAACGGCGCGACGCGGGCGTTCGCGTCGCCGCCGTACGCGGACGCGGCGCCGCTAAACAGTTTCGACCGCGTCGCGAGTCGCGCGTGAATCTCAACGCCCACGACGGTTTCGTGCGTCGGCGACGCGGTGGTTGATAGCGCGCGGTGCGCGCGCGCGAACGCGCGACGCGCGCGCGAGACGAGCGCGCGCGCGGGCGCGGGCATGTCGCGCCGCGCCGCGCGTCCCGCTGTGCGGCTTCGGGACGCGTCGACGAAACCGAAAAAGACGACGCGCGGTACAGATTGATCGTGTGCGGATTACATACTGTTTGACGTATCGTCGTGCTTGTTTTCGCGCGCCCCCGTCGCGCGCGTTCGCGCGCGCCCCCCTCGCGCGTCTCGTTTCGCTTCGCCTCGCGCGTTCACGCGTCGATCTTAATCGCCCCCGATTCATCCACGCTCACCGCGTACGACGCGATCGCCGTCGGTTCGCCGCAATACTTCTTCCCGACCACCGGCAGCGCCGGCAATTTCGGGCACCACTCCCCCCTCGCCTCGCCCGTCTTCAGGTCGAACGCGCTCCCGTGCGCCGGGCACGCGATCGCCCCGTCGCTCACCGTCGCCGACAGCAGCGGCGTCTTTCCCTGCAGCGACAGCCCCAAGTGCGGGCACTTATTCGACACCGCGTACACGTCGTTCGCGAACTCTTGCAGCAGCACCTTCCCCACGCCGTCGACGTCGACGACGACGCGCTGTTTCTCCGCCGCGCGCAATCCGTCCCGCGTGACGCCCGTGTCGCGAAGCGCGTTCGTCCGCGTCGCGCGCGCGCGTCGTCCGAGCGTCGGCGTCGCACGCGCGCGCGTCGAGATCGACATCGCGCGCGTCGTCCGCGTCGGCGTCGTGTGCCGACGCGATCGATCGATCGATCGATCGATCGATCGATCGATCGATCGCCGCGCGTCCGTTCGATCGGTCGGTCATCGGTCGACGCGACCCGTCGTATGCATACGTATGGGCATTCAGTGCGACGTCGTCGACGACGCGACGCACGCGCCGCATCGATCCGGCGACCGACGGATCGACGCGTCGCCGCACGTCGACGCGCGACGCGTTCGAGTTCGGAAAACCGCGCGTGTCGCGTGTCGAGCGCTCGCGCGCGCCGGACGCGACGCGGCGCGCGCGCGAGGGAAAAAGACGCGCGAACGACGACGCGGCGAATTCAAAAATTCGAATTCGAATCGCGACGACGCCGAGCGAAGGATGGCGACGGCGCGAACGGCGACGGCGCGAACGGCGACGGTGACGACGCGAAGACGCGCGCGCGCGAGGTCAGGGCGACGCGCGGGCGCGCGGGCGCGCCGAGCGCGGGCGCGAGGGGAAGATGAGGCGGCGGCGAGGGACGCGGGCGAGACGGCGACGCTCGCGGCGCTCGCGCTGGCGCCGAAGGAGGTGGTGGACGCGATCTCGGTGCCGGCGGAGCTGGTGGAGGTGCGGGCGTACGTGCGGTGGGAAGAGGCGGGGATGCCGAGCGATACCACGGACGCGTGGCGACAGCGGGAGTACGATGAGGCGCTGTTGGATTTGAAGATTGAACTCTTGCGAGGGACGACGATGAACGAGATTCGAGCGCGGTATAAGATGGCGCCCGTGGAGGGCGGCGACGCGAAGATGTTCAATGAAGACGCGGATTTGGCGCGAAGGGTGAAGGCGGCGGCGGTGATGAAGGTGCGCGCGAGCGTGGATGAGGTGCAGGGGGCGCACGAGGAAACGGAGACGATTGAATTCATCGAGAGCGTCGTCGTCGAGGACGCCGTCGTCGAGGATGGAGAACCGGAAGCCGCCGCGGCGGATGACGACGCCGAAGAGGCTGAAACCGTCGCGAGTGAGGTGGAAGATGCGATCGCGGCGGCGATGGAGAACGCTGTGGCGGAAGACACGGACGCCATCGTCGACGTCTTCGCCGCGCTCACCGAAGAAGAAATCGCCGACATGGAGGCGTCTTTTAGCGCGCAGGCGACGTGGTCCACGCGCGAAGAACTCGTGGCGGCGATCACGGCGACGCCGAGCGCTGAAGACGATAACGAAGTCGATCTGCTCAAAGATCTCGAAGAGACAAAGCTCGCGCTTTCGGCAAGCGAGGAGGCGCTGCAAAAGACGAAGACAGAGCTCGAGGACATTGAAGCCGAAATCGTCGTCTTGCAGGCGACTTCCGACAAGGCGCTCGCGGAGATGAAAGAAGGGTGGGCCGCCGAAGTCAGTCACCTCGAAGCGCAGCTCAAGCAAGCGGTCGCGCGTGTGGGGATGGATGAAGGTGAAATTGCCGCGCAAATCGCCAAGTTTGAGCGAGACGCCGAGGAAGCGAGGAGAAGGGTCGAGGCGCTCGAGGCTGAAAAAGCCGTCGTCGCCAAGCAGCTCGAAGATACAAAGGTTGCGCAAATCAAGGCTGAGGCCGTACGTGACGCCAACTCGGAGGTGATTTTGATGCTTAAAAAGGAGTTGGAATCCACCAAGGACGAGCTGCGCGAGATGAAGTCGAACTCGGTGTCGGAGAAGGAGTTCACGGCGATGCAGAGCGAACTCGACCGCGCCTGGGAAGCCGCGGCGGAGCTCCAAACGATGTGGGATAACGACCGTAAGGTTATTGAGTTCTTAACTAAATCCATCGACGACGAAAAGGTGAAGAAGGAGGCTCGACAAGGACTCAATATTCCCGTCGCCGCAAAAGGACTTTTGAGCTGGGCGCGCACCACCATCAGCAAGCGCGCGAACGACGTCTCCGTCGTCTCGCAGCAAACGCTCGAGACTGTCTCTCAAGCGTATCAAGAACTCGAAGCGTCGACTGGTGAATTCAGCGACGACGTCATTTCGGACGATTCCGAGTCGGATTTCATGCGCGACATGTAATCTCCCCCGACCGCGCTCGAGAGAGCGCCGTCTTGTGTTATGTTTGCAATTTCATCGAGCGATGATCAAAATACGTACGTTCGAGCTAATGTTCTTACAGGCTACACGTTCGTCCCCGTTCGGCGACCTAAGCGCGTCTCGATTCGCGCGATACCTAATCTCCACTCCTCCCTCGCGTCCCGCGTTCTACGCCCAAATCGTCGCGAACGCCTCTCGCAGACACCGCGCCTTCGCCACCGCTCGCCCGTCGAACCCGCACGCCCTCGCGATCGCCGCCGCCCGCGCCTTCCTTCCCTCCTCTGTGTTTTCATCGTAATCCAAGCTCGTTTTCTCCAACCCTCGTCGCACCGCGCTCGTCGGCACCGGCTGCGCGACGACGTCTCCGTTCGCCGTCTCCGGCGCGTACCCCTCCCCCGCGTCCATCGCCTCCGCCGTCTCCCCCATCGCCGCGCGTCCCTCGTCTCGCGCGCGCGCCGCGTACCGCGCGATCTCGCTCGCGTTCCGTCGCTTGTGCTCCGCGATCGCGCTCTCCGTCGCGCTCGCGTCGACGCCCTCCGTGAGGTTGAAGATCAATTCCTCCACCCGCTCGAGGTGATCGTTCCACGCGCGCAGGCTCTCGAAGTCCGACTGCCGCGCGTTGAACACCGCGAGGACGCGCTGTCGCGCGCGCGTCGCCCGCGCGAGGAGATCCATCGCGCGTCGCGCGTCGCGCGTCGCGCACTGCGGACGCGACCGGGACACCGCGTCACATGTCGACGCCGGACGACGCCATCGGCGAGCGCGCCGCGCGCGCGCTTCGCGCGCTCGTCGAGACGTACGCGTTCGACGTCGCGGACGCCCTGAGCGTCGTCCGCGCGCTGCCGACGAGCGAGGACGGGGACGATTTAGAAGATTTGAAGCGATGCGTCGACCGGCTGCTCGACGAGCGCGGGTGCGTCGATAACGGCGGGCCGGCGCTCGGGATGACGCGGACGTGCGCGCACGGGGCGCGCGTCGACGCGAGGCGCGCGCGGGAGGCGTGCGAGGCGTGCGAGGCGTGCGGGACGAGGCGGGAGCTGTGGCGGTGCCTGACGTGCGGCGACGCGTCGTGCGGGAGGTACGCGAACGGACACTCGAGGGCGCACGCGCGAGCGTCGGAGGGGGGGTGCGTCGTGATGCTGAGTTGGGACGATCTGTCGGTGTGGTGCCACGAGTGCGAGAGCTACGTGGACCCGGAGAGCTCGGCGGCTTTGCGGGCGTGCGTCGCGGCGGCGGCGCTAGCCAAATTTGGCGACCGGGACGGCGGGGGGGCGGTTTAGGTTAGACGACGGGAGGGGACGCGCGGCGCGGTGGACGGTGAAAATGCGCTAGTTTAGTGCTGTAATTTCAATGTATCTTCGCTAGTGAGTGTCGTGGGTTCTAGTTTTCGGGGTCTTCGCGGGTCTCCCCCATTTTCGCCATTCGGTCGATGCGGCGTCCCATGTTGTACAAGGCATCCTGCGTGTAACGCGGCATGTCGGCCCAGAAGTGGTACTCAGACTTGGCCAAGTCTGGATCGTCAAACATCACGCTGTAGCTGAGATCATGCGGGGTCGGTTTCCAACCTTCACCCGACCATTTCTCGGCGTAGCGCGCGATCTCGGCTTCGCACGCTTCGACGCGACGCTTGTCGAATTCGCTCAACTCTTCTCCGGCATCGCGTTTCGCCTCGATTGAACTCAGGATGCCGCGTAACTCGATGGTTCTATCGTCATCGGCTTCTCTGCAAACGCGAATGACCTCTTTGACGCGCCACTCCGGATCCTCCTTGTCAGTTTCTTGAATCGCCAGGTGATTCCACGTGTGACTCGGCGAAACCTCGTATTGCCACTTTTGGATCGATTGTTCACTGAATGGACGCAAGTATTCGCCGAGGCCGGTAGCCTGCTTGAAAGTCTCAGCATTTCTAAATTTGGGCTCATCTTTTGTGATGTCGACGTTGTAGTATTTGGCCGCGGCTTTGATTTTCTCCTTCGGATCTGCAATCGAACGCATTCCGATGAGGTCCTCCGTCGCCTCCGTGGGAAGGACTTTCGCGGGCGTATCCGGTCCAATCGTCGAGAACTCACCCTTGGGTGGATGAGCCGCGAGGATTTCTTCGAACTCGGCCAAAGAAAGCGTCTCGTTTTCAATCAAGCGATCCACCATCGCGTTGACTGCGTCCTCGTGCGCGGCGATGATCGCCAAACAGTTTGCCTCCGCTTCTTGAAGAATCTGAACCATCTTGCGCTCGGCGTATTGATAGTGATCGGGGACTACCTCTCTGATCGGACCTGCAATCGTCAACAGTTCGTCCAAGGGCATCAACTCTCCAGATTTAGACACCGCACCTTGCAAGCGCGCCACTCGTCTCTCCGACTTGTTCAAATGCTTCGGGTCGTATGTGTACGTCGTCATCATGCCGGGCTGCCCCAAGCCAAAGTTTACGATCATATTTCGAAGCAAATCATTCGCTTCGCAAACATCTTCCGAACCGCGAGTGCTCGCCTCTCCAAACAACACTTTTTCGCAGGAGCGGCCCGCGAGCAAAACTTGCACGCGCTCGCACATTCGCGCGCGCGTAGGATATCGGTAATCCTCGTCACGCTTTCTCTGGATCAGCGTAATCGCTGGCTCGAAACCTCGCGGAATGATGGAAATCATCTCGATGTCTTCGATGAGACCGTTGCTCTTATGGAGCAAGTTCTGGACCAGGGCGTGGCCGACTTCGTGCGCCGCGAGTTTGCGCGTCGTCACGCTTTCCTTGGGGTGTGCTGTAAGACGAATGCCGCTCACGACGCGCTCAACGGCATCCAAGACGTCGTGCTCTTCGATCTGTTCACCCTGGCGTCGCACGCAGTGCACCGCGGCTTCGTTGCAAATGTTTGCAATCTCGGCGCCCGACAAACCGGGAAGGTTCTGCGCCAATCGCTTGGTGTCAATTTCTGGGTTGCAGTTTCGCTTGGACAAGTGAATCTGCAAAATCTTAGCCCGTGCCTCGACGTTTGGAAGGCCGACGCGAACTTTACGATCGAATCGACCTGGCCGCAACAGCGCGGGATCGAGTAAATCGGCTCGGTTTGTCGCGCCGATGAAGACGACGCCAGTGTCTGGCGTGAAACCATCCATCTCCGTGAGAAGCTGATTCAGCGTTTGTTCGTGCTCTTCCGTGCCACGCGTGCCAGCAGCGGCGCGTTTCGTGCCTAACGCATCGATTTCGTCGACGAATATCAAGCACGGCGCGTTGATGCGCGCGCGTTTAAATAAATCTCTCACTCGAGCCGCGCCGACGCCGACGATGATTTCAACAAACTCAGAGCCAGACATGGAGTAGAACGGCACTTTGGCTTCACCCGCGATCGCCTTCGCGATCAGCGTCTTACCAACGCCCGGGCCTCCTTCCATGAGCAAACCCTTGGGGGGCCTAGCGCCAACCTTGGCGAAACGCTCGGGTTCCTTTAAAAAGGCGACGACTTCCTCCAAATCTTCTATGATGTTCTCCAACCCACCAACGTCTTCCAAAGTCACGTCCACCGTGCCGTCTCGCCTCGCACCCGCGCGGGACTGCGCAAACTGCATCGCCTGGAACTGATCTTGCGGCACCGACGTCCTACGGACGATGCCCAAGTAAATCGAACCGATCATAAACGCCAAGCCGCCGACGGAGTACGCCAAAAACTCCATCCCACTGTACGACGACGGTCGCCATTTCTGATGATACGTGTACCACGTCCCGAGTCTATCGCATTTGTCCAACAGCGCGGCGTCCATCGTGTTGGTCAGCGTGTTGAGGTAGTACTGCTTCCCCTTCGACCCCTTCATGGTGACCAAGTAATACCTCGATCGCGGAATCTTTCGCAACCTCTCCGGTGGGAACCACCCAAACTGCGGCGCGTCCCACACCTGAAACGACTTCACCAGTCCTTTATCCACCGCCCGCACGAATTCTTGCATCGTCATCTCATCGTACGACTTCCAATTCGGCTCCTCGTCGATCGGCGCTCCCAAGCTCTGCGTGCTCACGTAGTCGCTCGTCCCCTTCACGTCCCCCTCCATCGGCCCTTTCTTCGCCATTCTCCGCTTCGCCTTCTCACTGAACAGCTTATACTGCTCATCCTGCTCGCGCTGCATCTGCTGAAACTCCTCGTCCGTCATCCCTCGCGGTTTCACCAACCCTCTCGCGCGCGTCCTCTCGCCTCGCCGTCCGCTCGCCTCCGCGTCCCGTCCTCGCCCTCTCGCGCGCACCACTCGCCTCGTCACCGTTCCCGCGCCCACCGCGCGCGCGAACGCCCGTCCATCGTCGTCTTCACCGCGCGCGTCCCCGCCGCCGTCCCGCGTCGTCGCCATCGCGCCCACCGTCCGTCGCCGCCCTTCGCGCCCTGACCTACGTCCCGCGCCTTCGTTCGCGCGTCGCGCTCGATCGCATCGCGTCGCCGCCGCGCGCGGTCGCGCAGTCGCGCGCGCGCTCGACATCGCGCGCGTCGGATCGCTCGGCGCCGCGCGTCGCGCGTCGCGCCGCGGTGCGCGCGCGTCGATCGAATCCGCGCGAGGTTTTCGACGGCGCGATGTGGTCCGTGTGTTTCATTAATGAGTCTCGCCGTGCTGGTCCGTGTGTTTCATTAATGAGTCTCGCCGCGCGCGTCGTCGCGCGGCGTCGCCGACGCGCGCGGCGGACGGCGGCGCGTCGAGACGACGGGCGCGATCGCGCGCGTGCGAACGTCGAGCGCGCGACGCGCGCGACGGCGCGGACGAACGATCGGATCGGAAAGGATTCGAATAGGACGTCGCGGACTTTGATTCGACGTGATTTGATTTGATTTCGAAACGGGACGGCGAGACAGACGACGCGCGCGACGAGGGCGCGGCGAGGATGGATTCGGTGACGTCGGTGTTTGGAAATTGGTTCTCGAGCGCGCGGGACGACGGGAGCGAGAGCGACGACGGGAGCGATGCGGCGGCGCGGGAGGCGGGATCAGAGAAGAGCGACGACGCGCGGGACGAGGACGGGGCGACGAGGGCGGACGAGGACGCGGAGGCGAGGGCGTTGCTGCCGCCGGCGACGACGCTGCATCCGTACGAGGACGTCAGACGATCGGTGGAGGGATTAGGGACGAGGAGACACGATCACGATTATCCGTCGGGGCTGACGAACGGGGGGAACACGTGCTTCGCGGCGTCGGCGTTGCAGTGCTTGCGACGGGCGACGCCGCTCACGGCGTGGTTCGACGGCGTGGAAAAGTTTCACGACGTCGCGCGGTGCGCGGAGACGAGGAAGTTTTGCGTGGTGTGCGAGTATTCGCAACATTTGGAACGCGCGATGGCGTCGAGGGACGCGCACAGCATAGGGAGGTTGACGAAGGACATTAGCAAGGTGGCGAGACAGTTTAGACGCGGGCGGCAGGAGGATTCGCACGAGTTCATCAACGCGCTGTTGGACGCGATGCACGTGATTTTTTTGAAGGATCTCGGAGGAGAGAAGAAGTACGATTTGCGCACGCGAGAGACGACGGTCATTTATCACGTCTTCGGTGGGTATACCCTGGGCACGGTGAAGTGCTTGGAGTGCGGGTACGTGAGCAAGAATTTTCAAAGCACGCTCGACATTCCGCTCGAGGTGACGGGAAAGATTGGCTCCGTCGAGGAGGCGCTTCGAGAAAACTTTTGCACGGAGGAAGTCCTCAGTGGTTCGAACAAGTACAAGTGCTCGAAGTGCAAGGCGTTGGTACGGGCGAAGAAGGGATCGAAAATCCACGTGTCGCCGAATATTTTAACCATTCCTCTAAAACGGTACTCCACTGGACGGTTCAGCAAGATTACAAAGTACATCAAGTATCCGTCCAACTTTTCGCTGGCTGAGTTCATGAGCGATGATGCCCCGTATGAAGTCACGGCTCCAGAGTATGAGCTTTTCGGTGTATTGGTTCATCAAGACTTTTACGCCAGCGCGCACTCTGGACATTACGTGGCGTACGTAAAGTTGCGAGACGATTCCTGGGTGCTGTGCAACGATAGTCGCGTGTCGCCGTCTTCCGAAAAGGATGCGATGAAGCAAAAGGCGTACATATTGTTCTACGAGCGCGTGCACGCGAGAGGTGCACCACCATTGCGCCCGGCGGGATACTTGGACGAGCTCCGAGCGGCGCGCGACGCCGAACGTGCGGCGACGGCGATGAAGTGCGAAGACGCGGGGGAGGAACAGTTGACTTCTCGGTTCGATTCGATGAGTGTGAGCGCCACCGCGGTAGATACGGTGAGCGCTTCGTCGACGCGTCCTACGAGATCTCCCGTCGTTGTCGCCGAGGAGGTCTCCGAGGAACCGTCAGTGCACATGGAAACGGTGAACGTCGAAAACGGTCGAGAGTTGCGCGTATCGGTCACTTTGCCTGGTTGTCGCAGCGCTCGCGATATCGAAGTCGAGCTCAGCATGGGGCAGCACGATGTGCCGTCATCGCTTATTATCAAGGCCCCAATGTTGTACGCGACGCCGGTGAAGGTTCACCTGCCGCCGAACGTGGAAGATCCCGTGAAGAGCTCGTTCGTGCGCAAGACGTCAGAGTATCGCGTGCGGTTTCCGGTTCGCGAGTGACGCTGAGTAAAATATTTAGACTGTAACAACAAAGTACTGTATTGCAGTAACATTAAATGCAGCAAAACGTGGATAAAACGTGGATAAGATGAACCTACTTTTTCAAGAGCGCCAAAAACGCGTCGACGCACGCCTTGGACGATGCGGGATTTTGACCGGTGACGAGCTTGCCGTCGGTGACGGCGTTGGGCGTCCAGTCGGCGGCGCCGTTGAATTGCGCGCCCAATTTCTTGAACTCGGTCTCGAGCAAGACGGGCACCTTCTCCGCCAACCCAACCGCGGTTTCCTCGGCGTCCGTGAAGCACGTCGCGTTCGTCCCCTTCAGAATCGAGTCGCCGTTGGGCTTTTTACACGCCAACAGCGCCACCGGGCCGTGGCAATCCGCCGCCACCGGCTTATCCGCGGCCAGCGTCTCTTCGATCACGCGCGTCAACGTCGCGTTATTCAAGAAATCGACGCACGTCCCGTGACCACCGGCGAGATAAATCCCAGCGTAATGCCCGGATTTCACGCCCTTCAAAGCCTTGGCGTTCGCCAACGCCTTCTTCGCGTCCTCGTCGTCGTAAAACTTTTGACAATCCGCGGTAAAGAAATCCCCCGACTCGCTCGCGGAATCGATCGGCACCTTCCCGCCCTTCACGGACACGACGTCCACCGCGAATCCGGCGTCGAGCAGCGCGTAATACGGCGTCGCGATCTCCTCGAGCCACGCCCCCGTCGCGTGTCCATCCACTGTTCGATTCGCGCGCGCCGTCAGTCGTCGTCGTCGTCGCGTCGCGTCGCGTCGCACGCACTGGAATCCGCGGACGTGCACACGATGGCGATCGTCCGCTCGCGTCGTTTCGATTGCTTCCCGCCCATGGCGCGCGCGACGAGTTTTGCGGGCGTCGGCATTCGCATCGCGATCGATCGCGAATCGCATCGAATTCCGACGTCGACGAGGTCGCGACGCGCGCGCCCGTCGGTCGCGCGACGTCGCGCGCGGGCGCGCGGGCGGGCGATTTTTTTAGGTTGAAACCTAACGCAAACTAGGTTTTCCACTCGTAGGATATTTTTCTCGGCGCGTCGTTCGAGGCGACGCGGTGTCGACGGGACGCGAAACGACACAACGACCGCCCGTCACCTCGCGACGCGCGAAACGCTCGCGCGCGATGACGCTCGCGGACGCGCGCGACGGGGACGCGGCGTTCGAAGCGAACAGAGTCGCCGGGAACGCGGCGTACGACCGCGAGGCGTTCGTCGAGGCGACGGCGCGCTACACGGAGTGCGTCGAAGCGCTGGAGAAACGCCTCGGTTCGGCGGAGGGCGAAGGCACGGCGCGGCGCGCGTGCGCGATTCGCGCGAACCGCGCGGCGTGTTTCGTGAAGCGCGGTAAGCACGCGCTCGCGATGGAGGACGCGTCGTGGGTGATCGCGCGACCGCTCGAGGCGGGGGCGGGGATTCTCGCCAAGGCGCTGTACAGGCGCGCGCGCGCGCGCGAAGGCGTCGGCGACGTCGAGGCGGCGTTGGCCGATTTGCGGGCGGCGGAAAAGATCGATCCACACGATGCGTTGATTCAAAGCGCATTGAATAATTTCACGTCGGTGTTCCACATCGCCGTCGTTCTCGATAGAGCGTCGCCGGAGGTGCTCGCGAGACAGCCCGCGTGGCGAAATTTCAAGCCAGAGACGAGGCCGTAGATGAGCCGCGCTCGCAACTGCAGTTCGCTTAAATTACAATCCCTCGCGATTCTTCGCTTGGTCATCCTCTTCTAGCGCCACGAGCGTGGCGTCCACGAGTCTCTCGAGGACTTGGGATAGACGCGCGATGCGCCCGCCTTGCTCCGCGTTCTCCTTGACGGCGCTCGGCAACGTCTCCACCGTTTCCGCGATTTTCGTCGCCAGCGAGCTGATTTTCGATTCTATGATGGTTCGAATCGCTTTGCGTTCGCGCTCGAACGACGCGCACTTGGCCTCGAGCTGTTCGCATCTCGCGCTGGCGTCGTTTCGGCGTTGGGCGGTGAGCGCTTCCAATCGCAAGCGCACGTTATCGGCTTCAATCTCTTGTAAGGAATCTCGCTGCTCGTTGTTTTGCGTCTCAAGATACGCGACTTTCGCACGCAGAAGTTTCAACTCCGACATCGCGTCGTCGCTTTTCCCGTTACCCGATTCCGATTCGCTTTCGCTCCCGACCCATCCGCCGAGCGCGGCGCGAAGACCGCCGCTCAACTGCGCGTGGAGTTGCGTCTCCTTCACCGCCGCGCGCTTGATACCGAATAGCTCCGCCGTTTTCGCATCTAGAGCATCCTCGAGTAGAGCTTTCTGCTCTTCGCACGCGCGAACTTGATCTTGCAATGCGTCGATGCGTTCGTCGCGTTCGCGCAGTCGAGCCGTGAGGCCGAGCATGATGTCGCGCTGCTTCAACAACACTCCCTTGTACCGTTCGACCTCGCGCGTGGAGTCACCAGCCTCGGCGCGCTCGGCTTCGATGCTTTTAAGCTTTCGCTCGTATTCCGCGCGTATCGCAGCCACGCTCGAGGGGTCGTCGCCGCCGAGCAATTGACTCTGCATCTCGGAGATGCGCTTTTCTAAATTTCTCTTCTCTTGCTTTTCGATGAGAAATTCTTGCGATCGCATTTCGAGTTCGGTGATCGCGCGCAGCTTATCCGCCTCTGCGCGGCGTCGTTGCTCGTCCACCTCGAGTAATCGACGTTTATCCACTAAATCTTTCGTACGTGTGTCCAACTCGGTGCGCAACTGCCTGAGCTCGCGCTCGTACTTGCGCAACAGCGACTTTTGATCTAAATCCTCATTCAGCGTCGCCGTATTCTTAATCTCCTTCGCACGACTGGCGAATTTCAACGTCGACAGCGACTCCGCGAAAGCTTCGAGCGCGGGCGAAACCATGGCGATGACGGTGGTTATGCAGTTACCGCCGAGTGAATCTTCCAAAATGCGCGTCAATTTGGAATCACGATACGGAATGTGCGATCGACCTTTGCTATCCGTCAAGGCGCTGATGACGTTGCCGAGCGCGCTCAGGCTTTGATTAATCTTTTTACTCTCGTCCAGCCGTTTTCCCGTGGCCCCGGTTAACGACACGCGCTCAGATCCCGCCAAATCAACCAAGTTAAGTTTACCGACGGTGATGCTCTGTCGCTGCGCCGGAGCGCCCTCACCCACGTCCACACCGTCCACAGGTTCGTCATCCTCGGTCGTGCTGTGTTCTATGATGATGGTGAATACGGCGTGCGATCGCGACGAGAGCTCGTTCATCTTCGTCGACCCCGTCGCTCGAAGTTGCGCCCCGCGCTCGAGCAAACCGTAAATTTCACTCGGCGTCCGCACGACCCATTCCGATTGACCTTCCACGAACACGCCGCGCTTCTTGTCCTCGCGAATGTTCAAATTCGTTCTCTCGGGTTTCAACAAATCGCTCACCGTCTCGTTGTAAATCTGCAAGTAACTCACGCGCACGAGATACTTTGACCGCGCGTGCGAGTCCTTGGCGATGTAATCGAAGATGTCCTCAATCGCGCGCGGAATGATCCCCCTTTCGCGCCCATCCGTCACCGGCGCGTTCCCCGGCAACCCAAACCGCTGTTGTCCATACGCCAACATCGTTCCTCGATCACCCTCCATCGTGTACGTCTTCCCCGTCCCCGTCTGTCCGTACGCCAACACCGTGGCGTTGTATCCTCGCAGCGCGTTCAGCGTCGCCGGCTTCGCGCTTCTCGCGTACACCTCCTCCTGCGTCGCCCTCTCGTCGTACACCGCGTCGAATCCAAACTCATACGTCCTCTGTCGTTCGTGCGCGCCGTCATCCGCGAACGTCCCTCCCTCCCCGTTCCCCGCGAGCGCTCGCTCGCCGCCCGCGCTCGCCGCGCACGCCTTCCCGCCGCGCGTCGCCGCCACCGCGCGTTGATACGCCCCTCGCCCCTCGCGCGTCTCTCGCCGCAGCGCGGGTCGCACGCGTATCATCACCTCCACGTTCGACGTCGACGTCGACGTCCCTCGCGCCGCGTCGTCGTCCCCCGTCGCGCGTCGGTTCGAACGCGCGGCGTCGGCATCCGCATCCGCATCCGCATCCGCATCCGCATCGTCGTCGTCGTCGTCGTCGCGCGCGTCGTCGTCGCGATTCCGATCTCGCGCGTCGTCGAGCGCGCGACGCTCGACGTCGAGGGCGTCCATCGCGCGCGCGCCGCGCGGCGCCGTGCCGCTGTGCCGCGCGCGACGGCCGACCGACCGACCGACCGACCGACCGACTGGTGTACAAACAGTGACACGCGAAATAACCATCGCCGCGACGCCACTGATGGGAATCTTCACGTATCGAAGAGCCGACCGACCGACTGGTGTACAAACAGTGACACGCGAAATACCCATCGCCGCGACGCCACTGATGGGAATCTTCACGTATCGAAGAGCCGACCGACCGACTGGTGTACAAACAGTGACACGCGAAATAACCATCGCCGCGACGCCACTGATGGGAATCTTCACGTAATGAAGAGCCGCCGCCGGCACACCCCGACGCCGCGCGCGCGCGAGCGCCATGGCGGACGCCCTTGCCTCGACGCTCGACGGCCTGACGCTCGACGGCGCGAGGCACAGGTACTCGAAGATCTACGACCGCGTCCCGATCGAAAGCGTGCTCGCGACGGCGGAAAAAGACGCGATCGGACGGACGATCGTCGTCGGTGGCTGGGTGAAGACGGGACGCGAGGCGGAGCGAGGCGCGCTGCTGTTTCTCGCGGTGAACGACGGGAGCGGACCGGGAAACCTGCAGGTGGTGGTGAAATCCGAGACGTACGCCGAGCTGGGGGAGCTGAAGACGACGGGGACGAGCGTGGTGATCGAGGGCGAGCTGCGGGCGCCGCCGGAGAGCGCGAAGGGGCAGGCGATCGAGATGCACGCGACGAGGGTGCTGATGGTCGGAAAGTGCGACGGCGCGACGTATCCGATCGCGAAGAAGAAGCAGACGCTGGAGTTCCTGCGGGAGAAGATTCATCTGCGACCGAGGACGAACACGATCGCGAGCGTGGCGCGGGTGCGGAGCGCGCTCGCGTACGCGACGCATACGTTTTTTAACCAAAATGGGTTCTTGTACGTGCACACGCCGTGCGTGACGCAGAGCGATTGCGAGGGAGCGGGAGAGATGTTTCAAGTGACGACGTTGCTGAGCGAGGCGGAGAAGCCGGAGGCGTTAGAGGCGACGGTGAAGCCGGAGGAGATTGAGGCAAAGCGCGCCGAGGTTTCCGCGTGCGGCGGAGAGATCAAGTCGATGAAGGAGAGTGGGGCGGATTCCAAGGAGGTGAAGAAGGCGGTGAAGACGTTAGATAAACTCAAGCAAGAGCTGTCGCAGATGGAATCGGCGGCGCGCAAGATTGGCGGGATTCAACGCGCCGAAGACGGTTCCATCGATTACTCCCGCGATTTCTTTGGCGGCAAGTCGTACTTGACCGTTTCCGGGCAGTTACAGGTGGAAACGTACGCGTGTGCGCTCTCTAACGTGTACACTTTCGGTCCGACGTTCCGTGCGGAGAACTCGAACACCACCAGACACTTGGCTGAGTTCTGGATGATTGAACCCGAGCTCGCGTTTGCCGACTTGAACGACGACATGCAGTGCGCGGAGGATTACGTCAGGTTCTGCTGCAACTACCTCCTCGAGAACTGCTACGGCGACTTGGAATTCTTTGCCAAGATGTACGACAGCACGTGCATCGATCGCGTGAAGGAAATTGCGACAACGCCGTTTGGTCGCGTCTCGTACACCGAAGCCATCGATCTCTTGGAAAAAGCCGTCGCCGACGGCAAGGAGTTCGTCTACCCAGTCTCTTGGGGTATCGACTTGGCCACCGAACACGAGCGCTGGCTCGCCGAGGAACACTTCAAGAAACCCGTGATCGTTTACAACTACCCGAAGGACATCAAGGCTTTCTACATGCGCTTGAACGACGACAACAAAACCGTCGCCGCGATGGACGTCTTGGTGCCAAAGGTTGGCGAACTCATCGGCGGTAGTCAACGCGAGGAGCGATTGGACGTGTTGGAACGCCGAATGGTGGAATGTGACCTCGTGCCGGAAGAATATTCTTGGTACTTGGACCTGCGTCGTTACGGCACCGTCACCCACGCCGGTTTCGGCCTCGGCTTTGAACGCCTGATTCTTTTGTGCACCGGGATGGAGAATATTCGCGACGTCATTCCGTACCCGCGCTGGCCGAACAACTGCATTAGTTGATTCGCCCAGTCCGCAATTTTCGCCGCTACGATCAAACAAGCGCAACATATTAATACTACATACGACACCAACATCACACCTCGCTACTTACTGCTACCCGCGTCGTCGAAACGCCGCGATGTTGGATTTCAGCGGCGGAAACTGAAAAATCACCACACCAGCGCGCTCATCGTAAAACAACACCGGAAACGTCGCGATTGCATCGACGAAGCCAAGCTTCCCCACCGCGTTGATCGCCTTATCCACCACACCAGAGCCGGGACCCGCTCTCGGCTCATCCGCCGACGCTCCGGCGCCGACCCAAAATGTGTCGAACCCGATGCGACACGCCGGTCGAACCATCCCCTCGCAAACTCGCGACTCCGCCGCCTGTACCGTTCCGCTCGCGCTCAACCACCCATCCGGGACGAACCGCCCTCGATGTCGCACGTCCGAAGAAATCGTCCCGTCGCGTATCACGTATCGCAGCGGGTGAAACAGAACCCCCAGCGGCGTCGCCAATCGAACGATGTGCGGCGCGGCAAACACCCTCCAGTCCCCATCCCCTCGCACCGCGTTATCGATCCCACCGTCCACGCGCGCGCTCGCGATCAGAGCGTCGATATCGCGCTGGATTTCGCTCGGGACGCCGCGATGAAGTTCCCAACTCGACTCGTCTTCGGCGTACTCAACGACGCGTTGGAGCGGCGCGGCGACGTCAGGGCGCGGGGTCGATCGACAGCGACTTTTACGAGCGCGACGGGGCGCCGCGACGACGCGCGAGGGCGCGAGGGCGCGCATGACGCGACGAGTAATGATGGCTGGCACTCGCAAAGGCTAACTATTATTGCAGTCTGAGGTCGGTGAAATCATCGGCGACGACGTCGACGGATGGAGCGGCGGAAGCGCTCGTGTGATGAATCACTGGGAGTGGTGCTGACGTCGCGAACGACGGGGCGAGGAGGGCGGGGTCGATGGTGGGCGGGCGAGGGATTGCGCCGGCGGGCGGCGGATGCGACGATTCGGATGCCGAGGCTTCGTAACCGTAAAATCCATCTTGCGAGGCGGTTCGTTCGTGTGCGGCGTACGACGCCGACGATTGACTCTCGCTGGATTCATTCCGGGAGTGCGCGGAATGGGCCGGCGCGACGGCGGACGGCATGAAGAATTGCGCAGGAGCTTGCGCGCACGCGCCGGCGTTAGGCGCGACGGGGACGAAGCCTTGAGGGGCGACAGTCGGCGTCGAAGTCGTGCTGAACGTCGACACATAACGCGTGTGTACGCCACCTTGCTGTTTTGCGTGCGTGCTTGGCGCCATGACTGGAGGCGGACCTGCAATTTCACTCGCCGCGCTTTGTTCTGATCGAAGCGGCGGAGCACCCACGGGTGGGGCCTCTTTCGGTGGTGCTCGTCCTCTCTCGAGCCACATCTTGCGCTCGTCGTCGTAATAGAAGACATTCTCTTGGCTCATTGTCGGCTCGTTCGCGGGCTGAGGCTTTGGCGCAACGCCGCCGAAGAGGGACGACATCGATCGTAACAAGTTGCCCGAGGGCGTGCGCTCGTGGCGCGCCACGTGCGCCGGCGGCGGTTGCACGACCGGTGCAGCTTGTGAGTGCGCCGACGAAAGTGTGTGGTGCATTTGCACGGGCTGCTGCTGATACGCATCCGGTGGCGTGTGCGGTCGCGGCTCGTGCGGTGGACCCAGCGGCGAGGCTTGAAATTCACCGCCGTCGCCGAATAGGGAGCTGACGCTTCGATCGAGCAAGCCTTTGACGCCGCTCACCAACACCTTGGCAGCGCCAGCTGCGGCGTCAGCTAATCTGCCAGTTTTTCCGCGTAAACTATTGTGTAACCGATCTTCCATCTGCGCCGCCAACATTCCCACGAGGGCGCCGTTCACTTCGGGAGAATTTCTATCCAGAGAACGAACGCTCTTCAACACAGACTCTACGTACGCCAGCGCTGGTTTCAATTTACCAACCTCAGCTAAAGCTCCGGCGTATAAGAGCTTGTAAGGCAACAGAGATGGAAGTTGCGCTTGTGGATTCGAACCTAACACCGCGAGTTCGAAAATCTCGGTGAGGTGCACGGCACGAGGCGTGACGTACGTCCTCGGGAACTTGCGATGATCCGCGCCGATGAGACACAACCGCGAATTGAATGAATACGGCGTCGGACGTTGCTTTGACAGTGCGTAGGCAACATGCGCGGCCGTGATGTCATTCTGACACCAGAGCTCGTCGCCGAGCGCTTTGAGCACGAAATCACTCCCTTTTGCTGGGTTTGAACAAAGAATAGCGATGTGCTCGCGCCATCTCGGGAGAAGTTCTCGAATTTGGGAAACTTCCGGCACTTGCATCCCGTGCACGTTCGGTGCAGCCTCGACACCGCTTGTCGTGAGCTCTTGGGGTATCCCAGCCATGACTACTTCGAGCGTGTGGAGCGGCGAACCGACTCGGCACACGCTCTTTGCCATGATGGAGACCGTTTCGTGATAGTGACGACCGCCCATGTGGCTGGCGAGAAGAAGCGCGTGTGGCCATAATTTCGCCGCTACAGCGGCCTGCAGCGCCTCACCGCGCCGACCGGCGATGAGGAGATTCTCTATTTGCACGATTTGTTGCGCGTCGCCTTCGCCCGACGGATTCAGCGGCGACGCCGCGACGTTTGCCGACACCCAACCACCGTCCGAGGCTGCCTGAGCGTCACCGGCGAGCACGGATGCAAGCTCGGCGACAGCGCCTTTTCTATTTTCGCCTAACAAATCACCAGGGGTTGAAATCTCACCCTTATGTCGTAACATCGTCTGTAACACGCGATATAATGTCACTTCGCTCTGTTGCCGTTCTCCCCCGGACGAGAGCGCCGAGTCCATCATCTTTGTCACGTCGGCTTGTCGTCGATTTCCCAACGGCCCGTCGAACGCCTCCATCGATCGTACGTAAGACATACCGAGTGTGTTACCATCCTTTAACATGGATCCAACCGAATGCACGCGCAAGCTACAAGGTGGTATGCTCGTTCCGTGACTGATTCTACCGCCAGGATACCCAGGCCCGCTCAGTATGAGCGAGCCGCCAAAACCGAAACTCATCGCCACGTGCTGCGGGCGGCCGTGCGGAGAACGATCAGTGTCGTCATAATTTGCGGGTTTGAGCGTCTCTGTTTCACTATATGCTGCATACTCGAGCTGTTGCGTGGAGTGCGCCTCGTAAGACGGCGCATAGCCGCCATGATTCGCGCTCGGCGCAGGCACAGGCGGATACTCTGGCTGTGCCACGCGAGCGGGCTCGTACGTGTCGTAGCCCGCGCTCGCGCGAGGTGGTGGCGTAAATGGTACGGGCGACGCTGAAGCCAATGCATGCGGCACGGCATGCACGTACGCCATCGGGGAGTCTTCAATCGGCGTCGGCACCATGAACGTCGGCTTCGGCGGCGTCTGCGGCGGCGCCTGCATATCGGAGACGGAATTCGACGAGGACACACGGCTGTGCAAATTCTCGGAAGAATACGCCGGCACTATCGGTGGTGCGCTCAGGTCCGCGGTGACGTCGTTTTCTCGATAGTCTGCGTACGCTGATCTAGGCGGCTCTCGCAGTTCAAGCGCGCGATTCGGCTGGTCTTCGTGCGAAGCGCTCGCGAGCGGTTGGGAAAATCCCTGTCGCGCGTACTGTTCCGGAGCATGTTGCTCGTACGCAGTGGCGTGAGCGTGTGACGTCATCCCCATCCCGAAGTCATCGCTCGTTTCGCGCTCGCCGACGAACTCTGCTTGCGGATACTCAGCCGCCGGCGCGTGCGTTTCCTCGTAAAACGCACGATCCGGCGCCGAATCCGTCGGCGCGAAGCTCGTCGCCTCGATAACTGGCGCGCGCGCCTCGGCCGCGACGCTCGCGATCTCGTTCGCCTCCGCCACGTTCTCGCTCGCCGCGTACGTTTCGCGCGCCGGCGCCTCCGCCGCCCCGCTCGCCCGCGCCTCGAACGGAATCACCGCCGGCGCGCTCACCGTCTCCTCCGCCGCGTCTAAATCGTCAAAGAATCCCATCCCATCGTCCCGCGACGCCGCGGGCGACGCGAACGGCGCGTTCGTCGCGTACGTCGCCGCCGCCGTCGCCGTCGCCGCCGCGCGAACCGCCCCCGCCGACGCCTCCGCCCCCGCCGACGCCGACGCCGACGCGCCGACCTCCCCCCCCCCCCCCGTCGGCGTCAACCAATCGTCGTCGCCCTCGCACCCCCCGAACAGCGCCCCCAAGTCGCCGTTCGCGACTTCCACGAACCCCGTCGGCGCGTCCTCGCGCGCGCGCGGCGTCGTCGGCGTCGTCGCGAACGCCGCCTCCTCCCGTCGCGTCGGCGTCGTCGCGCGCTCGCCCATCGTCGGCGTCGCGACGCCGAACGGTCCGCGCGTCGTCGTCGTCGTCGCGTCGTCGCGCGCCGCGCCGTCGTCGCGCCGCGCGTCGTCGCCGCACGTCGTCGTCGCGACCGCGCGCTCGCCCGTCGTCGTCGCCTCGCGCGACGCCTCCGCGTCCGCGCGGCGCGGCGCCGGCGCGACGTCGTCGAGCCACGCGTCGTCGCTGTCCGACGACGCCATGACGACGCGCGACGACGCGCGCGTCGCCGTCTGCCGCGTCGATCGTCGTCGAGCGATCACACCGACGCGCGCGATGTCGCGCGAGCGCTCGAGCGCGCGCGCGCGCGAGCGACGGTCGAGATCGCGATCGCGATCGCCCGCGCGACGGTGCGCGCGACGCGACGACGCGCGGTGGCGACGCGACGACGATCGGGACGCCGGGCGATCGCGAGGCGACGACGCGCGACGACGGTTCGACGACGACCGCGAGCGACGAGAGCGACGGGACGGGAGCGAACGGGAGTGGACGCGCGATCGCGGCGACGCGCGGTGGGACGCGCGGCGACGCGAGGACGGGCGAGGGTGGACGGGACGGGACGAGGACGCGCGCGCGAGCGCGGGACCGGGCGCGGGACCGGGACCGAGGCGAGACGGATGGGGAAGGGATGGATGGGAACGCGAGCGAGGAAGGTTCGGAAACGATGGCGCGAGGCGGGAGGATCGAGGCGGGGAGCGGTTCGGGGGACACGCGCGAAGACCGGATCCGAGGGAAACGGCGACGCGGGAGGCGCTCGCGTCGCGGTGGTTGGAGAAGAACGCGAACGGGACGGCCAAGGTGAGCGATTATAACGCGGAGAAGTTGAGGCGGGAGATATACGTGGGGAATTTGGTGTCGGGACAGATCGGGGCGACGATGCTGTGCGAATTGTTGAACGATGTGTTGAAGAAGATCGTGCCCGAGGCGTGTCACGCGGTGGGGAAGTTGCCGCCGGTGCTGAGCATCGTGATGGATAGCGCGCAAAAGTACGCGTCTTTGGAGATGCGAAGCTCGGCGTTGGCGACGGCGGCGCTTGGTTTGGATCAGATGCACGTGCTAGGGCGACCGCTGCACATCACTCGGCCGGCGGGATACTTTGACGACCCGGACGCGAAGAGACAAGTTTTAAACGTCGAGCACGTGCTTCCCGCGCCGGAGAAACTGCAGCAAGTGTACGATTATTTGGACGCCCGCAAGATCGAAGAATCGAAATCGAAGGATGAAGCGATCGAACGCGCGAAGAAGATGGCGGTGAGTGTGTCTGAGAGTGTGGCTCACGCCGCCGCGCCGACGACGGCAGAGGCCACGGAGTATTTGTGCCTCGAAAACATGGTCGACGTCAAGACGTTGCTCAGCGCTCGCGAGCGCAAGGAATTGCGATACGATATCGAGGATGAGTGCGGAAAGTGTGGTAAAGTGGTTCGTGTGGTCGTTCCAACGCCGAGCGACGAAGAGGTCGAACGCAAGGCGGCGAGTCGTGCGTACGTTTACTTTGCGCGCGTCGGCAGCGCTGAGAGCGCGCACAAGGTGATGCACGGTCGAAAATTCGGTGGTCGCATAGTCCAGGCGCGATACATAGAGGCTAGTGAGTTCGAAGCCTTCGATAAGAAGTAGTATAGTGCAATGAAATCGTGAGCCAGTGGAGTCTACAGAACAAATTTGTTTATCAGTTTACAAAGAGCTTTATCGGCGCGCAAATGATCACTTTGACCAGTGCTTCTTATCGATCTCATCGCGCGTGTTGTCGCGGAGTAAAAATAATCTCGCAGCCCGCTCGCGCAATGTGCCTCCGCACTTTAATTTTTGCGCGGTGAGTTCAGCTTTCAGGCGCTCTAAACCGACCGCCTCGAGCGCCTCCGCGCTATCAAATCGCGTCAAATCTAATGGCCCTTCTTCCTTCTGCTCCATCACAGGCGGCGCCATCGTCGGCGCCAACGTCGGTGACTGCGAAGTGGACGCCTCCGGCTCGTTCGCGCGCGCGAGCGCGGGCGCGGGCGCCGCCGGAACGACTCTCGCCTTCTTCGCCGCCGGAAACAACAACGCAGAATCATCGAAATCTTCGTCACTCTCACTCTCACTCTCACTCTCGTCATCGTTCCCCACCACCGCTTTTCCCTTTTTCGCCTTCTTGCGTTTCGCCGCTTCGATGGCCGCCGCATTCTTAAACCCACTCGCCACCGCGTCGTTCACGCTCTCGCTCACCTTTGCGCTCTCCGCGTGATACGCCTCTCGCTCCTTCTCCTCTAACTCCCTCAGTCTCGCCGCTCCGCTTCCTCCGGCTTGCGATTTCAAGTATTTCTCCGCCTTCGCCTCGGCATCTCGCTCCGCTTTCTCCGCCTCCCACGCCGCGATCTTCTTCTCTCCGTTCACCGCCCGCAAGCGCCGACCGCTCAGGTCGCGACAGGCGTCGAAATTCGTCGTCTGCGTCCCTCGTCGCGCCGACGCGCGCAGCTGCGTGCCGAAGCCGCCCTTGCCGCCGAGTAAGCCACACGTGACGTGCGCGATCAAGGCATCGCTCGCGCGAACCGTCGCGTCGCCGCGCGCGCGCGCGGAACGCGAAAATGCGACGCGCGCGCCGTAGGGCACGAGCGCGGCGTCGCGCGCGCGCAGGGCGTCGACGACGCGCGCGAGGTCGCGCGAGCGGTCGCGATCGTCGAGATCGCACTCGACGCATCGCGTGCGGCCGTCCAGGGCGCGCACGAGAACGTTGACGCGAGGCATGACGACGCGCGCGTCGGATTCTGAGGCGCGCGCGCGCGCGGCGCGGACGCGACGCGCGAGATGGCGCCCGTGACGGTCGCGCGCTACGTTCTAACGATTTGAATGACTAATGCTACGATGTGCGCCTGCGAGCGACCCGAGTTCGGGATCAGAGCGAGTACTCGCCGCGTCTTCCCGCGCGCACGCGATGGAAAAACGCTCGGATGTGGAGCGAACTCTCGGCCAAGACGCTGAGGAGGAAGAAGAACAAACCGTAGACGAAAAATCCAGCGAAAGGCTTGTCTTTGGGGAATAGGATGAAGGATGAGATCACCGTCAGGGCTTTGCGGACGGTGGTGACGGCGGTGGCGGAGGTGGCGCCGAAGTGCCTGGTGAGCGTCGAGAAGAAGTAGGCGCCGAAATAAAACGTCACCGAGCGAGCGAAGAGCAGGACGAACGCGCCCTTGACCGTGCGAAGGTACGTGATCGACCCCGAGCCTTCGAATATGACGACAAATAAGAACGCGAACACGGTACCGATGGCGTTCGTGTACAGGATATTTTCTCGCACGCCCGCTCCGTAGTTCCGCATCGCGTGCTCGGACACGTTCGTCTGCAGCGATCCCAAAAAGATCGCCACCACGGACAACCCGAATCCCAGAGCCAACTTCACGTCTTCCGACAACCCCAAAACCGCTTCCCCGTCGTTCGTCGTCGCCGTCGCCGGCGTGGGCATCGTCGCCTCGTTCGATCCCAACTCGCGCTCGGCGATTCCGAAGAACGCCACGGCGACGACGAGCAGCGACGCCGCCACCACCTGATGCGGCTTGTACGTCCGCCGCAACCAAACCGCGCTGATCGCCATCGTAAACACTAATTTAGACGATCGCAACACCGTCCCCGTGGCGTAATTAATCCATTTATAACACAGCTTCCCCACCGCGCTGTACGCCGCCAACAGCAACGCCTGCAGCGCGTACAGCTCTAAAGGCGCCTTCCGCTTCGCAAACAGCGTCCCGTCCGCGATCGAACTCGCGGACGATATCAGCGCGAACACCATCAACTCCGCCAGCGCCACCGTCCAGTAATAGTCAAAATTCGGCAGCGACTTGTACACGTATTCCTCAAAGTAGCACGACGCGCCGATGAAGACAATCGCGCACGTCCCCGCCACCGCGAACGCCGCGTTTTCCGACATCTCCGCCCCCATGAGCGCGCCTCCGTACGCGCGTCCGCCGTCCGCGGCGCGCTCGACGCCCGGCGCGTCCCAGTCCGCCGTCGCCGTCGCGGGCGCGTCCCTCCGAACACCATCGTGGCCCGTCTGCGATCGCGCGAAACCGCGGCGCGCGTCAGTCGGCGAACGCGCTCGCGGTTCGCGCGATCGGCGCGTTTTCGCGCGTTTTCGCGCGCGTCCTCGCGCGCGCGCACCCCGAGCAGCAGCGTCTCGCGCTCGCTGCGGTCGCTCGACGACATCGCGCGACGCGCGCGACACAGAGTGACGCCGCGCGCGCGGCGTCGAGATCCGCTCGGCGCGGCGACGACGGCGTCGATGACGTCCGCGTCGATGGTATCGACGCTCGCGGCGCGCGCGAGAGCGAACGTCGCGCTCGCGGTCGTCGCGATCGCGATCGCACTCGCGTTGTTCCCGCTGCTCGCGCCGCTCGCGCTGGGCGGTTTCGTCGTCGCGCGCGCGGTGCGCAGGGACGCGCGCGAGGAAGAGGACGTTTCGGTGAAGCCCGTCGCGGGGACGGGCGGGGACGTCGCGGTGCGAGAGAGGGCGCGGGTGGAGGTTGAGGCGGCGGCGACGACGACGACGACGACGACGACGACGACGACGACGACGACGACGACGCCGGTGGCGCTCACGGGCTCGGCGGCGATGCTGGCGAAGATGCGGAAGAGCAGCGCGTTGACTGGAGAAAAACGCGCGACCGCGGCGCAGGGTGCGAGCACGAGCGCGAAGGATGGTGTGGATGAGACGGCGACGAACGCGAAAGCGACCCGAACGTTTATATTGCACGGCGGCGAAGCGGCGTCGCAAATCGCGAAGGATTTGGCCGCGCAGGCGGAGAAAGAGCACGGAATTGCGTTGAATGTGATGACAATGGATGATTTCAGAGACGTAGAGTTCGATAAAGAACCCTGCGCGGTGGTTTTCGTGGTCGAGACGGTAGAGAACGCGCAGCCGGCGGAAGCTGCGGGATCTTGCGTGCGCTTCTTCAATCGGAAACGTAAGGAAGGGACGAATCAGGCTATGCTGGCGGGGAAGATGTCATACGCGGTTTTAGGACTCGGTGATACAAACTTGTTACTCGATCGCCAGACGACGACGGCGAAAGATTGTAACCAGGCTGCGCAGACGTTGGATTCGGCGCTCGCCGCTCTCGGCGGCGCTCGAATCGTCCCCCGCGGCGAGGCAAACGACGCCGTGGGTTTGGACGAAGACGTTGTACCGTGGGCCAAGTTGCTTTTCCCAAAATTGTCTGAAGTTCACAAAGGGATTGAGGCGAAAAAAAACGCAAAGCTATGCTTCTTGTACGGCTCGCAGACCGGTAACGCGACGGAAATTTGCAAAAATCTCGCCGCCGAGGCGAGCGAGAAGGGGTACCCCGTGGAGGTGTGCGCGATGAATGAGGTCGAGCCAGAAGATGTCATCAAACCTGGCGCTGTGATTACGTTCGTCGTATCCAGCACCGGCGACGGTGACGCTCCGGATAACTGCGACACATTCTTCACTCGCCTCAAGCGCAAGGCAAAGAAGGAAAAAGGCGAGGGCGCCATCGGCGTCCAGTACGCCGTCCTAGGACTGGGTGATCAAAACTACAGCGCGTTCATGGCTGTGCCGCGTCAGTTCTCGCAAACGATGGAGAACTTGGGCGCGAAGTGTTTCGCTAAGCGCGGTGAATGCGACGACACACTTGGTTTGTACGAACAAGTTGACGCATGGACGAGCACGTTTTGGTCTCATCTCGAAGTCGCTCGAGGAAACTCACACAAGTTGCGCGAGGGTGAGACAATCGTGGAAGACGCTAATGCCGCCACTGAAGCTCCAAAAGGCGATTCGAAGCCACCGCAAGCGGCTGCGCCGGCGAAGAAAGTCGAAGGCGTGCCACCACTACCAATCTGCCGATCTGAAGTGCAGTGGCTGCCGAAAACGACAGAAGTGGTTGCTAATCGCGTCGCGCCCGGTCCAGATTCCGAAGGTGCATACACCGTCTCCTCGCCGTACATGGCGACTATTCACAAGCGTGAGGTACTCACAAACTTGAAATCCGATCGGCGAGTGTTGCACATGGAGTTTGATCTCGGATCAAGTGGGATCTCTTACAAGCCGGGAGATTCCATTGGCATCGTACCGCAGAACGACGCCGAGCTGGTTCGAGCCATCGTCGATCGGCTGGGTCTCGATCAAGCCGCCATTTTCACGCTGAATTGGAAGAAAGGTGACACGAATGAACACGCGACTCATCCGTTGCCGCATATTCACACCCCGTGCACGGTAAAGAGTGTGTTCACGAATTATATCGACATCACGGGATGTCCGCGTAAGTCGCTCCTTCGCGTTCTCGCCGAACACTGCGGCAACGCGGAGGAAAAAGACGCCCTCTTGCACCTTTCATCGCGTGGTGGTCGAGCAGAATACGAAACACAGATTCGCGCGCAGTCACCGACGCTATTGACGCTCTTGAACAATTATCCGAGTTGTTGTCCTCCGTTAGCCGAGCTTTTAGATGCCCTCTCTCCGCTCGCGCCGAGACTGTATTCGATCACATGCGCGCCCGAGGTGGCACCAACAACGCCGTCGGTTGCCTTCAGTGTCGTGCGGTTCCAGGTACCCAGCGGTGAACATCGCCTCGGCGTCGCCACGAACTGGCTCGACGAGATATCGGTCGACGACAAGTGCGAGCACAAAGTCCCGGTGTACATCAAGCCAAGCTTGAAGTTCGGCCTGCCCGAAGACTCGAGCGCGCCGCTAGTGATGATTGGTCCGGGTACCGGCGTCGCACCATTCCGCGGTTTCCTCCAGTCCAGACGCGCTAAAGCACAAAAAGGCGGTCGATTATCTGAAGCTATGTTGTTCTTCGGCTGTCGCAAGGCAGATGAGGACTTCCTGTACGAAGCCGACTGGAAGAGTTTCACCGCCGATGGCTCGCTGACAAAGCTCGTCTGCGCCTTTAGCCGCGAGACCGCAGAAAAGGTATACGTGCAGCACAAAATTGAAGAGCACGCCACCGAAGTCGCGCGCTTAATCTCTGAGGGCGCTTACGTCATGGTATGCGGCGACGGCGCGCACATGGCCAAGGATGTCCACGCCGCCCTCGTCCGCGTCGTCGCTCAAGCCGGCGTCTGCGGCGTCTCTGACGTCAAAGCCGCCGAGGCTCTCCTCGCCGACTTCACTAAATCCGGTCGTTACGTCCGTGATATTTGGAGCTAACGCACGCGCGTTCGTATTGTTTAGATTTTAATTTCTCATTTCATTTCATTTCATTCCACTCCACTCTCGTTCCGTTTCACCAAACTCCTGCGGGCGAGTTGGGTGTTACGCGTACACGCGCGCCCCTCAGACCCGCGCGCGCTTCGCCGCGGGCTAAAATGCGCCGTCGTGATCGAGGAAACGACCCTCCGATGGTGTCGTCGACGTTCGTCGTCGTCCTCGTAGCAAGCAAGTTTAGAGCTTGCTAACTTTTGACTGTAGAGGAACACGCCAAGTTCGTCGATGGACTTACGAAGCTGGGCAAAGGCAACTGGCGTGGGATCATTCAACACTTCGTTCAGTCTCGAACGCCGACGCAGGTCTAATCACACGCGATAGATCGGTCGAACTTAAGTCTGGGGCATTTCAATCTCTCGGTCCAAAGCTTCCGCGCCCAACGCCGAATATCTACATCGTGAGCGTCGTGCACGTGTTGAAACTGCCCACACTGACACCATGGTAGTCGCCAACAAGCCCAGCGTTACGTAGACAAGTGTCAAACAACTGAAGTAACTGTTTTGAGGCGAACGCTCTGAGGCGAAACATAGAGCGCCGTGCAAATCTTCATCAGGTTCGAGCGTGATGTTACGTTGAAGAACGAATACGTATCGCTTGAAGGGCATTGATGCGCCACCTGAAGCTGTGATATGAAATTCCACCGTCTCAATCGAAGCAGATTTCTCAGGTGCGCACCAAATTAAGTTGTGGACGGTGGCTTTGCGCGTCGTGTACATGCGTCGACCAGAGCAGGCGGTGGCCGGCCTGTTCACGTTCCCATTCAAAAGCACGCCTTGATCGTGAAAGGATCCCGCAGAAGCGGTGATCAGCATCATCGAATTCGGGTCTTCGTGCGATGCCGCGAGACCCAAGCGGCAGCCATCGCAATATTCTCGTTTACCGGGAGGGAACGTCCACGCAGCGGGGATCTGCCTCGTGGGTTCATTTTCGTCGTACTGCGCATCCTCAACATCAGTGTGGTTTGCCCAACTCAGCAGCACACTCGTGTTTGTGGCATCTATCGGTGCTCCGTGACCAGCAGCACGACGTGTGGGGTGTACGCGAGCCATCCCACCTTCGCAACGCGCGTCGAGGCGCAGTTCGGTCGGATACGACTCCACCAAAACCAGTCGCCAATCGAAGATTGCCACGGCGACGGCGGCGCATAGGCGCGCCGGATGCCGCAGACACATGTCGCCGCGTCGACATCGGTTCATAGGGTTGTAGCGCCCGTCCTGGTCCTAGCCCGTCATGTAGCGTTGACGCGCGTGTTCTGCCCCACCCAAGTCGTCTGTCGTCTGTCGTCTGTCGTCTGTTGTCGGGGGGTGTCCGTTCGCGACGGACAACATACCAGCAAAGCTATGACTCAAAGGCTTTGTTCGGTCACGCGCGCGCACGCTCGCACGACTGAGCGCCGTCGACTCCTGATTCCACACGTTCAGCGTCGTCGGAATCATACGGGAAACCCGGCAGAGAAGCGCGGGGAAGTACGCATCGCGTTCGCGCGACACTGTCCGACGTAAAACGCGTATAATGAGACATTTTCCAATCAAGTTTTGTAAGAAGGTTGAAATATACTTAGTAAATAATTATGCGAGGCCCAATAGTTCTTTTAAATTATCTAATACGACGTGCGACCGACCAAATCCGACTAATGCACGCGGCAAGTATGGAGGAGATATTTACATGGAGGATTATCCACTAGATATTTTTTGGATATTTACTCCGCATCGAACGAGTTACGACTCAACAATAGAGGGACCGTTGCGCGTGGCCGGCACGTGCCGGCCACGCGCCGCCACGTGCGCGAGGTCCCTACGCCCGTCTCTCCGCAAGCATCACACGACGACGCGAGGAATTCTACGCGAAGAAGATGCAAATCGAACGAAGGAAACGAAATGCGCGAGCGCTCTGCGCACTTGTTGTTTCTGCGACGCTTGCGAACACCGCGAGCGCGCAATTAACATACATCGCAGGATACGAGCCACGCTCCAACGTCGTCCAACATTCCCAAGTCGACTTGGACATAAGGGATATCATTAGTTCTTTCCCGAAGTGGAAGGGTGGAGACAGCATTTACAATGGCGGACTTCTGAACGACTGCACCACAGTGGCAGGCGCGTGCAACTGGAATGGGACCAGTAGTCTATACCCAACATTGTGGGACGGCACTTGTACGCACACCTGCCCTGCTGCTGACTCGGCAAATCCGGGCCAAAAGTGCACTTTAAGCGCGGCGGATGCATGTTTGTCCACTTACGGTATTTATAAGTATGGTAAGGGATCGTTCAAGGGGAACAACAAGGATGACGCGGCGTCGATGCGGACGCTTCGCGGGTTTGCAACGAAACTTGGTGATAAGGGTGCCTCAGCGCGTGTTGCCGCGAAAAACAACCCGTTTATCAACAAAATGAATAAATACTGGGCGAAACAGGGGCTGAATGAATTGACTTGGGGTCAAGATATCATCGAAGCTGCTTTCAAAGGTACTTGTGTCAAGAACGGTAACTCGTGTGTAAAATCAGGGGGAGTAAATCTTCTCGATTTTGGCACGGTCGGAAACGACTTCAGGGTGGAAGTGATAAAGAAAGGTATTATTTACTTGAACATCTTTCCTTACGTCATTTGGGAATTTCAAGACGCTATCAACGACTGCCATGGTGGTGACTTGGGCGCGAACGATGAAATTCCCGGAGGAGGTTCAGTACACGCTTGGGATGAAGCCGTAGCCTTTTACACTGGTTCGCTCGAGGGCATCTTAAAAGGCGGTAACAATGGCCTCGCCTCATGCGATGACGGTAATTGTGAGTTGCAATTTCAACTGTCAGATTATCGCTGCACGAACTTCGGTACCTGCACCGCCGATGCTGATGGTGACCCGTGGAGTGGATACTCAAAAAATAATGAAGAGATCTTCAAACTCTTTCAACAAGGTGAAGGTGAAATTACTGAAGCCGCTGCAAGCTCCAATACTGCGGCGACGAAATGTGACTTGCCGGATCGCACCCACGAAAAGGCTGTTACGAAAATGCTTGTTCCTTTCGTGCAAGGATGCATGAGGTACTTGTGGAAGACAAAAGATTCGCAGAAAGCTAAGGAAGCAGGCGAGCTCTTTGCGTTTGCATCCGCTGCACTTCCTTTTATCGATGCGGTAGACCCTGTCGCCGCTACTAAGTTGTTCACACGTGCGTGGAAACTAGATTTCACTACTTACACGTATGAAGAAACTAAGCAGGGCATCGAAGGCACCCTTTCGAGACTCGGTGCTGGTGAGGGCATTGGTACAATATCTTGCGCTGACATTGGCGACCTCGTTGACAGCAGTGATCAACTGCTCGCTGCTGGCTGCACGGATCCCTCATCTCCCTCATCTTCCAATAATGACACCACTCTCGGGCTGGGTATTGGGATTCCACTGGGTGCCATCGCAATCACCGCGTTGGTATTTGTCGTGCTTTTGTGGCGAAAGAGCTCAGCAAACAGCAAGCGAGTCGAAGAGTTAACCATGCAGCTGAGAGGTCCTGGTAAGGACTTCTATCCGTGAGAGGTCCTGGTAAGGACTTGAGTCTTCTCTATGAGGTGCTGCTCCGATAGGCTACTACATTGAGCCCAGCACATTGAGCCCAAGAGCGAAGAGCTCGTTTAATTTAATGCACATACTACTTGAAATACCGTCTCACCATTTGCCGCCGTTTGCCGCCGCCGCGTTGATCGAGCATGACTTGGACGTGTTACCGAACGAAACGTAACGAGCCAGGTGGCGTTCGTAGGGTATTGAAATGCAGAAATTTGTATCCGTGAGTCGCAGCTAACTTTGAGCGCGACACGACGCGAGGTGCGCGCGAAGGCAAAAAGTTACATATTTTACCGTTTTTTTTCGAAATCACGTGTAGTGCATTATGGTACCACCTAAAACATGGTGGCTAATACACACAGCACCACACTATAGATAAACACGACATATAATATGTACAGAACTACATTGAGCGGCTTGCCAAGCGTGGCCCACAGAAAGTTCTGGTTCGAGTCGCGCGTTTGTTGCGCGCAGCAGCTTTCCTTGCACTGCGAGCTCGAGTTTTCGCACGCTGGCTCAGTACTCTCTGTTCGTAAGGCGCGCGTGAAGGCTCTAATCGAACGGAACTCCAGACGCGCGGCGTGTGGCATCGTTCGTCGCGCGCCGTAGGGCCACACACGTGCACTCCTCGCAGCAGAGACTACGCGTCTCCGCTCACGTTCAGAGAACGAAGGGCGTGCGACGCAGTCTCGTCGGCACTGGAGCATTCTGAGGGCGCGCGCGAGGGTGACACTTGCTTACGCTGATGTTCTCGGCGGAGGTCCCGCGTACAGAGCGTCGCCGCGACGGCAAGTGACATGCAGCCACTCGAAGTCGTGCGACGAGCGGCGACGACGCGGTTGTAACGCACACGCGCCGGCCCCGGGCACGAGACGAAACCGAAAAGACGGTTCGTAGAAAAACGCGCGTGTTTGGCACGCGCCCGGTGAAACGTGAGCGAAAAACCGAAAAGTATACCTATAGGGTGTAGCGCTTCGATGTATGATGCAAATGGAATTACGGTACTTTATACGAATGCCCCTAACGACGAGACGATACCGATTGGGTAAAGTTCTGGCGACCCGCCGCTACGCCCAACACAAATTGGTCCCACAGATGCATTCCCCAAAGTGAGGGACTGGAATCAAAGGCGGGCAAGAAAACCGCCGCATGGCTCGCACCCCGTGCACTGCCAGCGTCGCCCGAGGCCACGCTCCGCGTGAAAGTCGGCGCATCGCGTGCGAGCGCTGCCGCATAACTCACACCCCGTGTGCCGCCATTATCGTCGCCTGAGGCCACGCCCCGCGAGAAAGTCGGCGGATCGCGTGCGAGTGCCGTCGCGGTTTGTACGAACAAGTTGACGCATGGACGAGCACGTTTTGGTCTCATCTCGAAGTCGCTCGAGGAAACTCACACAAGTTGCGCGAGGGTGAGACAATTGTGGAAGACGCTAATGCCGCCACTGAAGCTCCAAAAGGCGATTCGAAGCCACCGCAAGCGGCTGCGCCGGCGAAGAAAGTCGAAGGCGTGCCACCACTACCAATCTGCCGATCTGAAGTGCAGTGGCTGCCGAAAACGACAGAAGTGGTTGCTAATCGCGTCGCGCCCGGTCCAGATTCCGAAGGTGCATACACCGTCTCCTCGCCGTACATGGCGACTATTCACAAGCGTGAGGTACTCACAAACTTGAAATCCGATCGGCGAGTGTTGCACATGGAGTTTGATCTCGGATCAAGTGGGATCTCTTACAAGCCGGGAGATTCCATTGGCATCGTACCGCAGAACGACGCCGAGCTGGTTCGAGCCATCGTCGATCGGCTGGGTCTCGATCAAGCCGCCATTTTCACGCTGAATTGGAAGAAAGGTGACACGAATGAACACGCGACTCATCCGTTGCCGCATATTCACACCCCGTGCACGGTAAAGAGTGTGTTCACGAATTATATCGACATCACGGGATGTCCGCGTAAGTCGCTCCTTCGCGTTCTCGCCGAACACTGCGGCAACGCGGAGGAAAAAGACGCCCTCTTGCACCTTTCATCGCGTGGTGGTCGAGCAGAATACGAAACACAGATTCGCGCGCAGTCACCGACGCTATTGACGCTCTTGAACAATTATCCGAGTTGTTGTCCTCCGTTAGCCGAGCTTTTAGATGCCCTCTCTCCGCTCGCGCCGAGACTGTATTCGATCACATGCGCGCCCGAGGTGGCACCAACAACGCCGTCGGTTGCCTTCAGTGTCGTGCGGTTCCAGGTACCCAGCGGTGAACATCGCCTCGGCGTCGCCACGAACTGGCTCGACGAGATATCGGTCGACGACAAGTGCGAGCACAAAGTCCCGGTGTACATCAAGCCAAGCTTGAAGTTCGGCCTGCCCGAAGACTCGAGCGCGCCGCTAGTGATGATTGGTCCGGGTACCGGCGTCGCACCATGCCGCGGTTTCCTCCAGTCCAGACGCGCTAAAGCACAAAAAGGCGGTCGATTATCTGAAGCTATGTTGTTCTTCGGCTGTCGCAAGGCAGATGAGGACTTCCTGTACGAAGCCGACTGGAAGAGTTTCACCGCCGATGGCTCGCTGACAAAGCTCGTCTGCGCCTTTAGCCGCGAGACCGCAGAAAAGGTATACGTGCAGCACAAAATTGAAGAGCACGCCACCGAAGTCGCGCGCTTAATCTCTGAGGGCGCTTACGTCATGGTATGCGGCGACGGCGCGCACATGGCCAAGGATGTCCACGCCGCCCTCGTCCGCGTCGTCGCTCAAGCCGGCGTCTGCGGCGTCTCTGACGTCAAAGCCGCCGAGGCTCTCCTCGCCGACTTCACTAAATCCGGTCGTTACGTCCGTGATATTTGGAGCTAACGCACGCGCGTTCGTATTGTTTAGATTTTAATTTCTCATTTCATTTCATTTCATTCCACTCCACTCTCGTTCCGTTTCACCAAACTCCTGCGGGCGAGTTGGGTGTTACGCGTACACGCGCGCCCCTCAGACCCGCGCGCGCTTCGCCGCGGGCTAAAATGCGCCGTCGTGATCGAGGAAACGACCCTCCGATGGTGTCGTCGACGTTCGTCGTCGTCCTCGTCGGCGTCGTCGCCCGCGCGAGCGCGCAGACCCACGCGCACCAACACCATCGAGGCGAAACGAGCCACGGCGACGGAAACTTTGTCACCTTCCCACCGTCGTTCGCGTTCGGCGTCGGAACGTCGGCGTGGCAGATCGAAGGAAACGGTGGTGATCGCCCGCGATCGGTGTGGGACGCGTTCGTGAGCGAACTAGGAGAGGAGAAGAGAGTGGAGGCGGAGCGCGGGATCGGCTTTCACGAGCGATACGCGGCGGATGCGCAAATGATGGCGGATGCGGGAGTGAAACATTTCAAAATGTCCCTGAGCTGGCCGAGGTTGATGCGCGCCGACGGGAGCGCGATCGATGAAGGGTTCGAGTATTATCAGAACGTTTTCGGGGCGCTACGCGAGCGAGGCGTGGAACCGCACGTGACGCTGTTTCACTGGGACACGCCGATGTGGTGCTGCGCCAACGAAACGATCGCGAGCGGGCGTGGGAGCGTGTGCGAAGGAGCTTGGGTGAAGGATGAAATCTTGAAAGATTTTGAGAAGTACGCGGATGCGGTGTTTAGTAGACTCGGGAAGGGGATAAAATATTGGACCACAATTAGTGAGCCAAAAACCGTCGCAGAGATGGGCTACGGTGCGGGCCTTCACGCGCCTGGGCGTCGGAGCGTGGAAGAACAACTTAAAGTGGGGCATAATATGTTGCGTGCACACGCTTTGGCGGTGGCGCTCTATAGGGAGAAATATTCCCAGTTTGGAGGGAAACTTTCAATCAATTTGAATAGCGCTTGGGTCGAGCCGGCGTCGGATTCGCCGGACGACGTGCGTGCGGCGGCAAACGCGATGGATGAAGAGCTTGGATGGTTTGCCGATCCTATTTATAAAGGTGACTATCCGGCGAGCATGCGGGCGAGATTGGGGAGCTTTCTTCCGGAGTTCACCGAGGAGGAGCGCGTGCTCGTGAAAGGGAGCGTCGATTACTTTGCGCTCAATCACTACACGTCCTACTTCGCCAAGCATGTGACCGACGCGCAAGCTTCGTCGCAGCTTGGTTTGAGCGGCAGACCTCAGCCGTGGGAGATCACACTAGAGTCAGAAAAGAGCAAGAAACCAATCGGCAAGGAGGCGCAAAGCGACTGGTTGCACATCGTGCCGTGGGGATTAGAAAAGGTTTTGCTGCACATCAAGGACAGATACGACGATCCAGCGATCATGATCTCGGAGAATGGCGTCGATATCGCCGAGAGGGGCGATATCGCGGAAACTCTGGACGACACAACGAGAGTCAAGTTTATCGATGCCTATCTCGGAGCCGCTCGCGAGGCGATGCGTAAAGGCGCAAACGTTGTGGGGTACTTTTATTGGTCGATGTTCGACAACGTCGAGTGGGTGGATGGGCGATCGAAACGATTTGGTTTGGTTTATGTCGATTACGACGGCAAGTACGGCGAAAAGATGAAGCGCTATCCAAAGAAATCTCTCGAGCACTTCTCCTCCTACATGCGAGGAGAGCACGCCGAAGAACCAACCCTCGGTGCCGCGCGCGTGCGACACTCGCTCGAAGACTCTTTCGTTCAAGTCGATCCGAGGCGTCAGGGCGAAATCTTCGCATTGCAAGGCATGGCGTTGACCATCGCCTGCGTCTACGCCGCGGCAGCGGCGTTCGCCGGCGGCGTCAAAATCGTCGAGCAAGACGTCGAGCAAGACGAACGCTCGTCCCTCGTCTGACGCCATCGCCCACGATCGACACATAGCAAACAAATTCGCTTAAACGAGTAAACAGTTGAGACTTAGCGCGCGTTGAAACAATCACATGCACGGTATTGAACCATGGCGTGTACACGAGTCTCCGAAGACTCGCGTGCTTCGGGCGCTCCGCGCCATCGCGTCCACGTCGACGCGATGTGACCTTCGCCACGATCTCGCCCTCCTCGAGCGAGGTTTCGCGAACGCGCTTGCTCGCGACGAGCTCCGGCGCCGCGCAAAGCTTCGCGAGACGACTCGCAGCCGCGCGCGCACATATCGCTCGGTCGCCCGCGTCTTGACCGGGCGCGAGCGCGATTTGCGCGAGCCGCGCGAAATTTCGGTCCCCCGCGACGCGCGCGTTCTCCGCCACGCGTCGGTGGCGTCGCAGAAACTTTTTCACGTGCGTCTTCTTCGTCATGCCTCCATGTGACGTTTCGTCTCGGCGTCTCGACCTTGTGACGCGGCCTCGGACGCGCGCGAGGGCACCTCGGCACTCTGCGACGCGCGCGCGACTCGGCGCGGTCGTCGCGGACGCGTCGCGAAAGAAGAAAAAAAGTCGAGCATCGAACCGCGCGTCGTTCGAGCGCCGCGCCGCGGCGCGCGCGACGCGCGGACGCGCGAGATGGGGCGCGTTGAAGCGGCGTTTCTCGGCGCCGGATCCCGCCTCGGGCGGCGCCTCGGGCGTCGCGCGCGCGACTAGCAAGACACGAAAACGAAGGAAAGAAAGCGCGTACGAATTCTTTTGAATCGATGTGCGCGGCGATGGACGCGCGCGCGCGCGTTCGCGCGCCGACTCGCGCGATCGTCGTCTCCGAGACGGGCCGCGCAGACTGACCCTCGCGCAGAGGCCGACGCCAGAAGACACGCGAAACAAGGCGGCGATAGCGTCCAAACTATCGCTCGCCTGCGGCAGGTTAACCCAGGGTTGACCCAAGGTTGACCCAGCCGCAGTACTACACCCTCGCGGCGCGAGGACGCGAAGGAGGGACAGCTCGCTCGCGCGATCTCGTCGAACGACCTAGAGCCCTCGAAAGTAGCGATTGTAGTACGTCGCGTCACTCGCAGCCTCGCGCGATGCTTCGAGTCGCCGCCGCGCGCGCGGTCGCGCGCACCCTCGCCCCCGCGAGCGTCCGCGCCGCCCGCCCGCGCGCGCGCGACGCGCGCCGGGCGCCGTCTCGTCGCGCGGCCGCCTCGTTCGCCGCGAACGACGACGTGCGCGCGATAAAACTCGCGCCGTACTGCGAACTCCTCACGCGGTCGAACGACGCCGAACGACCGCTCGCGATATGCGTCGGATGGTTTGGAGCGTCGTTGAAACACGTGAAGAAGTATGCGGCGATGTACGTCGACGCGAATTGCGACGCGGTGGCGATCGCGCCGCCGAGCGCGGCGATGCTCGTGCCGGCGGCGGTCGATGCGTACGCCGACGTAATCCTGCGAGCGCTCGCGCGGCACGTTCGCGGAAAGTGCGTCGTGCACGTGGCGTCGAACGGAGGGTTCATTTTCGCTGGAAATTTAATGCTCAAGGCGGCGAACGGCGACGCGACGGCGCGCACGATTTTTGAGCGGACGAAGGGCGTCGTGTTCGATTGCGCCCCTGGAAATTTGCGGCCCGATATCGTGGCGCGGGCGTTCGCGGCTGTCGTTGGAGGCGCGAGCGCGACGAGTGAGCCATCGCCGTATTTCGAGGTGTTTGCGTCGTGGTTGTTAGGGAGAAGGGTTCTCAGCGAACGTTTGCTGAGGATCGATGAGTTGTGGGGCAAGGCGGGAGCGCCAGAGTCAATCTTGTTGCGTTGCCCGTCGATGTTCATGTACAGCGAAGCCGACGTACTGATTTCCCCACGCGAGATCGAGGCTTTCGCGACGCTCAGACAAGACCAAACCGGTCACAGGAGCACTCTTCACAAGTACGACGACGCTGGGCACTGCGAAATTGGCCGCGACGACTACGAAGATTACAAGAGCAAGGTGACCGATTTCTTAGAGCGCGTCGTGCATTCGGCGGCGTAGCATTTGTTGTATTATTTTCTAGATTTCTAGTCATCGCGGCGTCTAAGTTGATGTTGTTTGCGAGCGCACGCGCACGAGGTCTTTGATTTCTTTCACGAATGATGCGTTTGCGAGTAATTCTTCACACGCAACATGGATTCTGAACCGCCAGTAATGTTTGGGATTCGTTGGGTCGTTGATTGTTTCTTCCAGCGCTGGTCGCTTGGCGTATCGTTCGTCGAGCGCAAGAACGTCTTGAATCGGGAAAATAGCCAGCACGCTCGGACTTTCGATGTGCTGGGTGAGAATTCGGCGCATCACACTCGGCGTGCACGCGTCGTCATTTCCGCACTGAAACATCTCGTCGTATCGCGCACGGCGTTCGGCGTCTTCTTCCCACCACGCTCGCGTGGTCATGGTGTCGTGACAAGAAGGCGAGCAAACCGTTAAGTATGAATACGTGTGCGGGCGACCGAATTCTGAACTTTCGCCCACGGGAGGCATGCGCTGAATGCGTAAACCTAGAATACCAAGTTCATCCATCACAGGCGGCACGCACATCGGTGTGAAGCCGAGGTCTTCTCCACACACGAGCATTTCCGTCGATTTCAACAGCGCGGGTAACACTTTTCGTGCTTGCTTACGCCATGTGTTCGTTTGACGGCCGAAATAGTAATCGTTCGACAAATCTCTGAGCGCGTCTCGCATCCAGCCTTCGAGCGCTTGGAAAGACGTCGTCTCTTCGAGCCCGAACCGAGGATAGAAATGGTCGATATTCTCCACGTCTGTCAAGAGGCATCGGTTTTGAAACAGTTGCATCAATCCAGCGCGAACCAAGAGTTGTTCGTCGTTGAGATGCATCGGGAAATCTCCGCGAGGTTTCGTTGCGGCAAAAATAGCCTGTTCAGTGTCAAACTCACGTCTGAACTGCCATAATCCGCGCTGATCATCGACCTCGATCATGTATCGATACGCGATTTCGTGCACGTTTTCTCCGAAAAGCACCTCTAACTCGTGCCATTGGATATAAGGCTGCGTCAGACGATTGAGATCCCACAACCCACGCGCCGCGAGCTCGTCGCGCGTGAGCGGTAGCGACGGCCTGAACCGACCCATGCGCCCAGTTGTAGCGCTCGCGGGAAGTTCCCATATTCGGAAGAATCCTAAGATATGATCGATACGAATCGCGCTGAAGTACTGCTCCAAGTGTTGCATGCGAGCTCGCCACCAGGCGTAGTCGTCCTCAGCCATAGTTTCCCAGTTGTACGTCGGGAATCCCCAGTTCTGTCCGTTTGCATCAAAAGCATCGGGCGGCGCGCCCGTGGAAGTATCCATGCGGAACAAACGTGGGTGCATCCACGTATCGACGCTGCGTTTGTCCACGCCGACCGGAAGATCGCCTTTCAAAATGACACCCTTTGACTTGGCGTATTGCGCCGTCGTAACCAGTTGGGTGTGCAAATTGTACTGGAGGTAAAAAAAGAATCGTGTCGACTCGTACAAATCGCCTCCCGGGCAATCAATCTTGTCCAAAATTTCTTTCGAGAACGTGGCGAACACACCCCAACGCCAATGTTCAGCCGTACCGAACAAATCTCGAAGTACGCAAAAGACGCCGTACGGTCGCAGCCACGATTCATTGGCTTTATAAAACGTTTGAAAATCATCAGACGCGAGAACCTTTTCGCCGTCGGTATAATAGGCTCGACGCGCGAACGAAAGTTTCTCCTTTACCGTTGCCTCGTAGTCGATCTCTTTCAAGTCCAACGCCACGCGCGCGGCTTCGATTTCCTCCGCGAGTTCCGCCGTGACGCCGGATAGCTCTTGCACGCGCAGATACATGACGTGAAGCGCGTGCACGGAGAGCGACGAGTACGGATAAGAGTCCCAAAAAGTGCCGTACACGCACGTGTCATTTACCGGCAACACCTGCACCACGGACATCCCAGTCGTCGACGCAAAGTCCACCATTTGACGCAAATCCACAAAGTCGCCGCACCCGACGCTCTGCGCCGTGCGCACGGAGAAGACGGGAAGCGCCATTCCCGAACCTTTCCAAACCCCGCCGTGGGTGAAGACGCCATCGCGATGAATCAATCGTCTTTCTACCGCGTTTGCGACGTCCCCGTCGTCGCTCAGCGAACACTCTCGCGCGCCTCGAGCGTCCTCCACGACGTCGTCGCCGTCCCGAAGGGCGTACGAGTACTCAAACGGCAACTCGGACGCGTCTACTTGGAACTCGATCGTCCACACGTCCGTTCCCGCGCGTTTGCCGAGCGAGCGCTCACTTTTCAAAGCCGCGCACGACCCACGCACGACGACGCGCTGGGATTTCGTCGCACGAGGCGCCTTAATCTCCAACCGCACGTCTACTCCGGCGCGCCCGCGCTTCGCCGGCGTCGTCTCCCCATTCGTCTCGCACCGATCTCCCACGACTTCGTGCGCCAAATCCCCGCGTCCCACGTACTCCGGCGTCACCACGCTCGCGAACGCCTTGCGTTCGAACACGTGCTCCGCCGTGGCGCGCGAATTCCACTCGTCCGCGCACTCCACGCCTCGCTCGCCGCGCGTCCCGCGCCCGTCCTCCAACTCCAACGTCCGCACCTCCCCGTCCCACGCGATCACGTGTTCGCGCTCGTCGATCACCGCGTACCTATACTCGATCGTCCTCCTCCCGTTCGCGCTTTTCCCGCTCCCGAGCCCTCCGTCCTCCGCGCGCGTCTCCGCTCGCCACTCGAGCTCGCGTTCGCCGCGTCCCGCCCGACACCGCATCCGCAGCCCTCTCGCCGGGTTCCATCGTCCCAGCGCCGCGTCCGCGCCGCACACCACGAGATTCTCCCCCCAATTCGTCCAGTACGACGTTCGAAACGCGATCGTCGTCCCATCGCGCGCGCGCGTCGCCGTCGCGCCCGACGCCGTTAATCCGTCCGCGTCCTCGTCGGCGTCTTCGCGCCGTCGTTCCGTCGTCACCGTCGCGAGCGTCGCGTCGAGCGCGCGCGCGAGCGATGCGACGTCGTTCGGCGCGTCTCTCATCTCGCGCGCGCGCGCGATCGACGCCGCGGCGGCGAGTGACGGACGCGATTCGCGCGCGCGCGATTCGCGATCGGTCGCGCGCGGTCGGTCGTCGTATGTGCAAACAGTGAGGAGTTGGTGTTTCGGTGCCGCCGCGCCCGCGCGCGACGGCACACGTCGACGCCTCGCGCGCGAGCGATGCGCGCGACGACGGCGACGTGCGCGCGCGCGATGCGGTGCGGACTGTCCAGAGCGCTCGACGCGCGAGGGCCGGGCGCGACGCGCGCGGCGGGCGCGACGCGACGACGCGCGACGACGACGCGGCGCGCCGCCGGCGGCGGGACGACGACGGACGACGACGACGACGACGCGCGCGCGCGGGCGAGCGGGACGTCGGCGATCGAGATGGAGCGCATGGACCGCGAGGCGCGGACGTACGCCACGGCGTGGGCGAACGAACTGGCGAGCACGCTGTCGGAGGACGCGAGGGCGCTGGAGCGAAGGCTGTTCGGCGACGAAGGCGGCGCGAGCGAGCGCGGCGAGGACGAAGACGAAGACGCGAGCGAGGAAGAGACGGTCGGGACGAGCGGGAGGAAGGGGAAGGCGCGCGCGGACGCGAGAGTGCGAAGGAAGACGCGACGAGATTGGAGTAAAGTGCCGGACGAGGCGCTGCCAAGAGTCGCCGTCGTGGGACGGCCAAACGTGGGGAAGAGCGCGTTGTTTAATAGACTCACTGGAACGAAACGGGCGATCGTGTACGACGAGCCGGGGGTGACGCGAGATCGGATGTATGTGCGCGCGTATTGGGGCGAACACGAGTTCATGATGGTGGACACGGGCGGGTTGGAAAATTTACCGGCCAATCCCGAGGGTGGGCCGAAGACGGACACCGTCGGCGGCGTCGAAATCTTACCTGGGATGATCGAGGCGCAGGCCGCGGAGGCTGTGCGAGAAGCGTCTGTGCTCATTTTTGTCGTCGACGGTCAAGTTGGGCTGACGGCGGCGGATATGGATATTTTCGCCTGGTTGCGTCGCACGCACTCGAAAATACCGCTCCATCTGGCGGTGAACAAGTGCGAGAGCACGACGAAGGGGGAGGACCAAATCCTCGAGTTTTGGTCTTTAGGCGACGTTACCCCACTCGCTGTTTCCGCCATCAGCGGCACCGGGACCGGGGAGCTTTTGGATAACATGTGCGCGACTTTGCCGCCGCCTCCGCAAGTCTCCGAGGATGAAAACGCAGAGGAGGAAGATATTCCCGTCACAGTCGCCATCATCGGCCGACCGAACGTGGGGAAGAGTTCGTTGTTGAATGGTTTGGCCGGTGAAGCGCGATCGATCGTGAGCGACTTTTCTGGTACCACACGAGACAGCATCGATACCTTGGTCGAGGACAAGTACACGGGGCGAAAGTTTACACTCATCGATACGGCGGGCATTCGGCGACGAACTCAAGTGAAATCCGGCACGGATGGAGCCGAAAAACTCAGCGTCGGTCGCGCTTTGCAAGCGATGAAGCGTGCAGACGTAGTGGTGCTAGTTATAGATGGTACTGAAGGACCGAGCCAACAGGATTTTGTACTCGCCGAGCGCGCCACGCAAGAGGGCTGCGCCATCGTGTTGTGCATCAACAAGTGGGATTTGGTGGACAAGGATACGCACACGATGAACAAGTATACGGACGATATGCGATTAAAGTTGCGTGTGTTTGAATATGCCGAAATTGTGTACACGTCTGCGCTCACTGGACAGAGAATCCAAAAGATTTTAGACGCCGCGCAGGTGGCGAGCGAGAATCACCGCAAACGTCTCACCACGGCGACGCTCAACTCTGTCGTACAAGAGGCGACTTTGTGGAAGCTCCCGCCGTCGAGAAACAGCAGAAAGGGTAAGATTTATTACATCACGCAAGCGTCGATACGTCCACCGACGTTCGTCTTTTTCGTGAACGACCCCAAGCTGTTTCCGGACACGTACCGTCGGTACATGGAGCGCCAACTGAGAGAGAACATCGGCTTCCCGGGAACTCCGATTCGCTTGCTGTGGAGAGGAAAGGGCGTCGAAAAAGGGCCGAGGAAATAAATAGAAGCGATTGCGTAAATGTATTAAGATGAGAAGCTATGATAATTTTGAATAACCTGACGCGCGCGGCGGTGTTGAGCGCTTTGCGTTGTACAACAAGAATTGAATCGAAGTCGCCGTCTCGTCGCGCGACGACGCGACGAATCTTCCCTCCTCAGATGACCAGTAAGCACACGATCACCAGGGTTCCGATGGCGAGCAGATATCGCGATAGCAGCAACTGACTCGCCTGTTCCGTGCTCAATTCGTCGCTGCTCCTCAAACCCAGCAACGTCGCCAGTCCCGCCGCCGATTCCAGCGGCGGCGCGCCGCCTCCCTCGCGCTTCGCCCCCCCCCTCGCGGTGTTCGCCCCGAACCCGTACAGCGGGATCAACATATCCTTCGTCATCTCTCCCTTGCACACCGGGCACGCCACGTTATCGCCGACGCTCAGCCACGTGTTGATGCATCGCCAGCAGTACAAGTGCCCGCACGGCGTCACCACCGGCTCCCGCGCGACTTCGAAGCACACGTTGCACTCAAATTTTTCCTTCGTTCCTCCCTCCCCATCGCCTCGCGCGACGTCCGAATCGAACGACGCGCGCGACGTTCGCCTCACCGCGCCCGCGCTACGTCTCCGCGCGCCCTCGTCCTCGCCCGCGTCTCGCGTCGTCGTCGCCCCGTCGCCGCGCCCTCGTCCCCGCGCCGACGTCGTCGCTCGCCCCGACGTCGTCGCGCTCGCGTCCGCGTCCATCGTCCCCGTCGACGCGCTCCGTCGCGACGTTTTTCTCGCCGTCGCGCGCGCCATGTCGTCGGCGTCGTCGCCGCGCGGCGCGTTCGCGACGCTTCGGATCGCGACGCTTCGGCGCGCGCCGATCGACGCGCCTCGGCGATCCGTCGCGTCGCGCGTCGCGCGCGCCGATCGAGGTCGACGCGCGGCGATCGCGCGTCGTCGCGCGCGCGCTCGTCGCGCGCGCGCGTGTGTGGACGCGCGCGACGGATTCGATTCGCCGCGTCGGACGAGCGTCGCGGCGCGGCGACGCGACAAGGCGACGCGCGACGCGCGCGCATCCTCGATGACGCCGACGACGGCGACGCGCGTCGCGACGCCGGCGACGCGCGCGACGGACGCGACGCGCGCGCGAGCGACGACGAGGCGCAGAGGCGAGACGGCGCGACGACGCGCGAGCGACGCGCGCGCGCGAACGACGACGGCGCGCGGCGCGAGACGCGAGAGCTCGGACGCGCGCGCGACGACGGGGACGGCGGCGAACGACGCGCGCGAAACGGCGGCGCGGCGAGGGACGACGCGCGCGAGGGCGAACGCGAGGGCGAACGCGGCGACGACGCGCGAGGACGAGACGACGACGACGAGGTATCGAATGGTGGTGGTGTCGCTCGTGGCGTTCGCGCTGATGCTGTGCAACGCGGATCGGGTGATCATGGCGGTGGCGGGGGTGCCGCTGGCGGCGGCGAACGGGTGGGGCGAACGCGCCGTCGGGTTGGTGCAGAGCTCGTTCCTGTGGGGGTACGCGCTGACGCCGCTCGTCGGCGGGATGTTGGCGGATAGATACGGTGGGAAGGTGGTGCTCGGGGCGGGTATCGCGGTTTGGTCGCTGGCGACCGTGGCGACGCCGTTCGCGGCGACGAGCGGAGGCTTGGCGCCGCTGCTCGTCGCGCGCGCGGTCATGGGGCTGGGGGAGGGCGTGGCGTTGCCGTGCATGAATAACGTCATCTCCCGGTGGGTGCCGAGGACCGAGCGTTCGCGCGCGGTGGCGATTTCTATGGGAGGATTTCAAAGCGGTTCGATGATTGGCTTGCTCGCGGCGCCCGCGCTCCTGGCGAGAGGCGGCGTTCCCGGACCGTTCATCCTCTTCGGCGCGCTCGGTTTGGCGTGGGCGGCGATTTGGCACTTCGCCGCGACGACGTATCCCAAAGATTGCAAAATGGTGGGCGCCCGCGAGTTGAATTACATCGTCGACTCTCCCGGAGGCGCGCTCACGTCGTCGTCGTCGACGCTCAAGGACGCGGCGCCTCCGCCCTTTAAATTATTGCTGTCCAAAGCCCCGACCTGGGCGTGCATCATCGCCAACTTTGTCAATAACTGGGGTTTTTTCATCCTTCTGGCGTGGATGCCGCTCTATTTCAAGCAAGTCGTCGGTCTTAACCTCAGAGAAGCCGCGTGGTTTAGCGCGCTTCCGTGGGCCACCATGGCGGCGAGCGGCGTCGTCGCGGGAACATTGGCGGATAACTTGATCAACTCTCGCGGTTGGTCGGTGACTGCGACGCGCAAATTCATTCAAGGCGTCGGTTTCATCGGTCCTGCGATTTGTTTGATCATTCTGGCCGCGTATGGAGCGCAGATGACGGCGGCGCGCGCGGTGACGACGCTCACCGTCGCGTGCGGGTGCACGGCGTTTACGCAAGCGGGATTTTTGGTCAACTTTCAAGAGATCGGCCCGAAATACGCAGGCGTGCTGCACGGCATGGCGAACACCGCGGGGAGTATCGCGGGAATGGTTGGAACGTACGCCACCGGCGCCGTGTTGGAGGCCACGGGTGGGAACTGGAGCGCCGTACTCTACATAACCGCCGTCGTCTACGCCTTGGGCGCGGCGACGTGGTTGACGATGAGCACGGGCGAGCGCGTATTTGATTGATTTAGTAATAATGCAAACAATGTGATAATATTATCATAAAGTACAACATTTGCCGAAGACCGCAAAAATCGCGCGCTGAGCCAACCGTTTACGAGCGCGCCGCGTCGTCGCGCGCGCCATCGTCGATTCCCATCGGCCGAGTTGATGAAGCGATAGATCGTGTCACGATCGCACTCGTCCGAGGCGTTCGCGCCGGATCGTCGCGCGTCGAGACGTGACGATTGCAGCGCGTCGCTTTGATCGGCGGCGCCACGTCAGACACATGGGTTATGGGCGCCTATTTAGCCTATTTACGTGCCGGTGCGCGCGTTTGACGATCGGTTGGTTGACGATTGATGGCGAGCGCGCGTTCGATTGATTCGAAGTAGTGATGCTCGTTATTTTCGTTCGAAGGGACATGGATCTTTCGCTGGGAGGTGGTGTTGAATGAACACCAATTTTGCGCGGTTGACCCGCACAATTGGTTTAAAGACAACCGAGTTTAAAGCTCAGCGGTCTATACTTTTTCTTTTTTGATTGTTTGTTTGAGAGTGAAACACCTTAGAAAGGATACGTCACCGGGCGCTTACGCGCGCTCACCTCGGATGCGGCGGGCGAGTTGGACGTCCTTCGGCATGATGGTGACGCGCTTGGCGTGGATGGCGCACAAGTTCGTGTCTTCGAACAAGCCGACCAAGTACGCTTCGGACGCTTCTTGGAGCGCCAAGACCGCGGAGGATTGGAATCGCAAGTCCGTCTTGAAGTCTTGCGCGATTTCGCGGACAAGGCGTTGGAACGGGAGCTTGCGGATCAAAAGTTCGGTGGACTTTTGGTACTTGCGGATTTCCCGAAGCGCGACGGTACCCGGGCGGTACCTGTGCGGCTTCTTGACGCCGCCGGTCGCCGGGGCGGACTTGCGGGCCGCCTTGGTGGCGAGTTGCTTGCGCGGGGCCTTGCCACCGGTGGACTTACGGGCAGTTTGCTTCGTACGGGCCATTTTTACTGTGAGATTCGCGAGGAATTGTGACGCGCGGCGACGCGCAAAAACGCGTCTCGACGGCGAAAACGCCTCACGCCGCGCGCGACGCGCGAGGCGATCGCGCGCATCGCTCGAGTCGCGAACCGTCGATTTTTTAGGGGTCGCACGCGCGTTCGCCGCGATTAACGCGCATCGATTGTGTGAAAACGACAATCACAAAGACTCGTCACGGGTCATCACTCGTCGATGCACGACGCGATCGCGCTTTTACGAAATCGTTTTTTGTTAAACGCCGCGTTCGCGGAAAAAGGGGCGATTCGTGTGCGCAAACAGTTCGGCGATCGACTCGAGAGGCGTGAGAAATCGCCTCACGCCGCGCGCGCGCGATGGAGGCCGCGCGCGTCGTCGCGGGCGCCACAAATCGACTCGTCGTATTTCGTAATCAACAATGTCCGGTCGCGGTAAAGGTGGTAAAGGTCTCGGGAAGGGTGGCGCCAAGCGTCACCGAAAGGTGTTGCGCGACAACATCCAAGGCATCACGAAGCCGGCGATCCGCCGTCTCGCTCGCCGTGGTGGTGTCAAGCGCATCTCCGGTCTCATCTACGAAGAGACCCGAGGCGTCCTCAAGGTGTTCCTCGAGAACGTGATCCGCGATGCGGTCACGTACACCGAGCACGCCCGCAGAAAGACCGTCACCGCCATGGATGTCGTCTACGCGCTCAAGCGCCAAGGCCGCACCTTGTACGGTTTCGGCGGTTAAGCGTTTTTTTAAAACGCCGACCGACGTCTACGTACGCGCAAGCGAAACAAACTCAAGACGCGTCTCTCGACGCGTCTCGAAAACACTGGTGTTCAAAAAATTAACACCACCAATTCTAAAAGGTTCCTTCGTCTCGGCTAAAATCGCGCGTCTCGTTCGTCGCTCGCGTTCTGTCGTTCGCGCTTGAAATTTGAAAATTTGAAATCACCCGACAGCCGGTCGCGTGGACGCGCTCCATGGCGCCGCGCGCGTCCGCCGCGGTCGCGACCGTCGCGGTCGTCGCGGCCGCGACGACGATTTGGTATTACCGTCGCCATCGCCGACGCGAGCGAAGCGACGACGGGCGCGCGTTCGAGCGCGAGCAAATTCGTCTCAAGAGTGCGTTGGCGAAACTCGCGCGCGATGGCAACCTCGCGCGCGCGTCCGACACCGGTGCGATGGTGTCGTTGACGAAAGAACAATGCGGTGGAACGACCGCGAGGTACGCTTGGACGCAGAGCGAAGATGAGATCGTCGTGAGCTTCGCCGCGCCCGCGGACGCGACGTCCCGCGAGTGCGAGGTGACGCTGACGTCCACCGCGGCGACGGTTCGCGTGCGAGGACAGACGCTGCTGGACGGGGAGTTGACTCGGGCAATAGTGAAGGATGATTCGTATTGGGAGCTGGAAAGCGACGGTTCGCAGAAGGTGCTGCGACTTTCGCTGACCAAGCTTCGGCGGACGTGCGCCAAGTTTCACTGGCCGAGCGTGTGCGTCGGGGAACCGGAGATCGACGTCGCCGCGTTCGGCGATCCCGTGATGGGGGTGACGGGAAATTTGAACGGCGATGCGATGAAGACGATGATGGAGGACGTGGCGGCGATGCGACGCGACGCCGAGAAAAATTAGCGTTAGACGACTCAATAGAAATTTTTTAATACATAGGCGGATCGATCAATCGTCGCTCGTTATCGTAGTCACGGGCACCGGAACCGTCTCGCGAAGCGAAACGTTCATCGCGTCATCGAGCCCATCCGCCGCCGACGCGTGCGCGGCGGCGTATTGTCGTTTCCGCGCGTCTAGCGCGTCGCACGCGCGCCAGACGACGTCGTCGCCCACGAATCTCGCTCCCGCGATCGCGAGCGCCACGAACGCGACGCAGACGCAAATCATCCCCAGTGACTGTCTCGGAATCTCCCCAAACTTCCCCGCCGCGAAGAGCGGCTGCACCTCGACGTCGTACGTCACGTACTCTGGCGCCGTCGCGCCCGCCCAATACACCCCCTCCCGCTCCGCTCGCACCACGACGCGCGCGCGCGTCATCCCCTCCCCGAGCGTCCGTCTGCTCAACACTAACTTTTCCACGTTCAGCAGCCTCCTCCGTAGCTCCGTGCGTCCATCCGACGTCGTCCCGCCGACCCAACCGCCGCCGCCGCCGAACCACCCGCCGCCGCCGAGCCATCCCGAGTCCAACTCCACCGCGATCGCCGCCGCGCTCGTCGCTCGGTACGACACCTTCACCTCGTACGCCGTGTTTGCTTTCAGATCTCGCACGTCGTACGCGTGCGCGCGTCCGAACGCCAGCTCGACGTCCCGCGCGCGCGTCCCCGGCGTGAGCGTCGTCGGTCGTCGCGCCGTCGCGCGCGCCTCGGCGCGCGTCACCGCGCGCGCGACGACCGCCGCGAGCAGCGCGAGCAGGCGCGTCGCGCGCGCGCGACGCCGCGCGCGACGCCGCGCCGTCGGCGTCGGCGGCGTCGACATCGCCGCGACGCGCTCGACAGTGACGCAGACGCAGACGCAGACCGACGCGACGCGACGCGACGCCGGACGCGACGCGACGTCGGACGCGCGCGACGCTTCGCGCGTCGCATGCTCGCGCGCGCGCGCGTCGCGGCGTCGTCGAGCGCGAGCGCGCGTCGTCGCGGTGCGTCGACGAAGGCGGAGCGACGACGCGACGCGTGCGTCATGCGCGCCGAAAGCGCGCGCGCGACGTTCGAACGTGGACAAGACACCCTGCGCGTGTCGTATGAATTACATCGCGAGAACCGCGCGCGCGCGGTGGAGGCGATGCGGGCGCGCGGCGACGGCGACGGCGTCGTCGCGATGACGGGCGGCCGGCAGACGCGACGATACTCGACGGATAACGAACCGTTGTTTCGACAGGAGTCGTACTTTCACTGGATGTTCGGAGTGCTGGAGGGCGATTGTCACGGCGCGTTGGACGCGAGGACGGGGAAGTCGACGCTGTTCGTGCCGAGACTACCACAGGAGTACGCGATTTGGATGGGCGCCATCGAGACGCGCGAATCGTTCGCGGAACGGTATCTCGTGGACGAGGTGATGTACGCGGACGAGTTCGAGGGGTACTTGAAGGCGTTAGACACCAAGATATACGTGTTAAAAGGGGTGAACTCGGACAGTGGGGACGTGACGGACGGTTTGGGGGCGGAATTGGAAGCCGCGCTGGGGGCGACGAAGATCGACGCCACAGACGCTTTGTTCAACGTCATCACCGAGCTTCGCACGGTGAAGACGGCGCGCGAGCAAGAGGTTTTGAAATACGCGAGCAAGATTAGTTCCATGGCGCACGTGGAGGTGATTCGCTCGTTAAAGCCGGGAATGATGGAGTATCAACTCGAATCGTTGTTCAAGCACACGTGTTACAGTCGAGGCGGGATGCGGAACGAATCGTACACGTCGATTTGCGCCGCGGGTAAAAACGGGGCAACGTTGCATTACGGTCACGCTGGCGCCCCGAACTCGGCGCAAATCAAAGAAGGCGATTTAGTGTTGATGGACATGGGCGCGGAGTACCACTGCTACGCCGCCGACATCACGACGACGGTTCCGGCTGGTGGAAAGTTCACCCCGGACGCGAAGATCATCTACGAGGGCGTTTTGGCCGCGCATCAAGCGGTGTTGAAAGCGTTGAAGCCTGGATGCGCGTGGCTCGACTTGCAGCGTCTCGCGGAAACGCATATTCTGCGCGCGTTGGTCGATGGCGGCTTTCTCGTCGGCGACATCGACGAGATGATGGCGAAACGAGTGAGCGCCACGTTCATGCCGCACGGTCTCGGCCATCACCTCGGCGTGGACACGCACGATGTTGGTGGTTACGGGCTCCCGGGAACACCCGCGCGGAGCACCGAGCCTGGATTGAAGAATTGCAGAACAGCATCCTTGATGAAGGAAGGCAACGTCATGACGATCGAGCCGGGATGCTATTTCATCGACGTTTTGCTCGACAGGGCTCTCGCCGACGGATCCGACATCAAGCAATATTTTGTTGCCGATCGCGTGAACGCGTGTCGATCGATGGGTGGCGTACGATTAGAAGATAACGTCGTCGTCACCGCCGACGGTTGCCAGTCTTGGACGAGCGTTCCTCGCACCGTCGCCGAAGTCGAAGCCGTCATGGCTGGCGCGTCTTGGCCGTGAGCTCATCTCTCGCGCGCATCGTCGCCATCAAATCACAAAAATTTCTACTAGTTTTACACGTCATCGTTATTGCTAATCACCATCGTACACAGTTCACTTTGTCTCCTTTGTCTCCTTTGTCTCCTTCGTCGACGTCGGCGCCAATCGATCCTCTCGAAAGTTCGGCGCCGGCGTCGTCCTCGGCAGATGTCTGTAATCGTACAGCAAACTATCCGCCACGTGTTCCTCCTCCTCATCGTTCTTCCGTTCGCTGTACGTGCGCCACCACGTCTTCAAACTCTCGTCGTACCGCGCCGCTTTCGTCGCCGTCTCAACCACCGTCGTCTTCGTCGTCGTCGTCGTCGTCGTCGTCGTCGTCGTCGTCGTCCCGTAGATGGCCTCCAACACGTGCGCCGGCACCGCGGTTCCGCCTCGCGCCGTCGCGGGCGCGCGCGTCTCGGCGTCGCGCGCCGACATCGTCGCGAAGTGTCGCGGCGTCCCCGCCGGGACACCGCGCCGCGACGCCATGACGCGCGCGCAGGCGTCGATCGGCGTCGATCGCGCCGTCGCGCGCGCGCGCGCGACGACGCGAACGCCGCGGTGCGCGCGCGCGGCGTTCGCGTCGCGCTCGGACGACGCGCCGTGCGTCGTCGACGACGAAGACGCCGAGGCGAAGCGAATAAAACAGCGCGCGCACCGAAAACGGAACCGCGCGCGGTGCAGGACCCGCGCGAACGAGCGCGTGGACGCGTTGCTCGAGAAGTTTCGCGCGCTGCGACCGCTCGAACGCGCGAACGACGATGGATCGTGGGAGACGGTGTACGCGGAGGAGGAGGAAGACCGGGACGACGGCGTCGACTGGGACGGGCTGCCGCCGGGCGCGGACCCGTTCGGGACGAATAAGAAGGGTGGACGAGAGCGAGGGATGCGGAAGCGGAATCAAGTGATGACGTTCGTGAAACACTTGCGAGCGCTACTTTCGCTGCGAGGGCGAAGGGAGATAAAGAGGTGCGTCGATTTTGGATGCGGTACGGGGAACGTTTTGATGACGTGCGCGGCGACGTTTCCGGAAATCGACTTCGTCGGCGTCGATTTGAACGCGACGAGCATTGAGATTTTAAACTCGAGGATTCGGAAATCGGGGTTGACAAACGTCAGCGCGGTGGTCGGATTGATCGAAGACGGCGATACGTTCGGGGCGGACTGCGCGTTGGCGCTGCACGTGTGCGGGAGCGCAACGGATCGAGTGTTAAACAGCGCGGTGCGAGCGAGAATCCCGTTCGTCATCGCGCCTTGTTGCGTGGGCAAAGTTCAAGAGGGTGGGATGCGAAGCTTGAATCGCATGCGTAACGATTTGATTTCGCTCGATAAAATAGAAGACATCGAGCGGCCGAGGTCGAGGCTGATGCGAGCCGCGGGTTTCGATTTCGAAGCGTACATGTCTGCCGCGACTTTGGCCGATTGGAGCGGGCACCAGGGCGTGGATCCGAGCGATCCGAACGAGCCTCTCGCCGCGCTTCCGAGACGCGCGAAGAGCGCCATCGAGGCGGATCGTGGGGAGTTTGCACGAGAGCACGCTTACGACGTGACGTTGCACAAGATGCCCGCGCAAAGCGGCATTCGCGATGACGTCTTGGTCGGGATCCCACTTTGAGCGCTCGCGTGTATTCTTTGTCTAATTGTTTGTCTATTGTTTCTATAGCTAGTCTACGTTGTCATGATTCTTGGTCGGGATCCCACTTTGAGCGCTCGCGTGTATTCTTTGTCTAATTGTTTGTCTATTGTTTCTATAGCTAGTCTACGTTGTCATGATGACTCATCAGTCATCGCCTCGAGCGTCGACCGCAGCAGCGGTTGATCGTCAAACCAGGCGCCCGAATCTTTCGCCAACGCGCTCGGAAAGTGCCGCTCGAACGCCTCGAGATCCCACGCCTCGCCCTCATCTGGGCTACATATTATCTGAATCGCCGGTCCCAGGCCTAAAGATTCGGGAATGCGTATCGCGCACGCGTGCAAGTAGCATCGTTCCGCGACGGCCCCCGAATACACGTCGTCGCCCAACAGCGGCGCGCCGAGCGATTTCGCGCACACTCGCAACTGATGCGTCTTCCCAGTCAGCGGTCGAAATATGAACATTCGTCGCCCTTTCGCTCCGAAGCTCACGAATTTCGTCACCGCCGGATTATCTTTCGTGTTCGTCAGTTTGTACGCCTTTCGCCGCGCTCGCGCCATGTCCCCCGTCACCGTCCCCATCTTCTTCTTCGGCTTTTTCCCCGAAATCCCGACGTAATACTTGACGATCGCCCGCGTCGCGAACCCATCGCTCAGTTTCTTCGCCGCGTCCGCCGTCTTCGCGAACACTAGCGTCCCGCTCGTGCCCTTGTCCAACCTGTGCACGGCGCGAAGGCGCTCTTCGCGCGCGTCGCGACTCGCGCGCAGCCGCGCCAGCGCCCCAGGTTCGAATTCGCTGTGAAACGACACCCCCGGCGGTTTATTCACGATCACCACCGCGTCGTTTTCGTACAGCACGCGCGGCGTCTTCGCGTTTTCGCGCGTTGTCCCGCTCGAGGTCGTTACCTCGTCGTCGTCGTCGTCGTCGTCGCGCGCGAGCGCGCGCGCGCGCCGCGGCGCGCCGACCGCGCGCGACGGTCCAACGAACCCTCGACGATGGACCCGCGCGGCGCGCGCGGCGCGGCGCGGCCCCGCGACGGCGCGCGTCGTCGTCGTCGTCGTCGTCGTCGTCGTCGCCATCGCAACGCGCGCGTCTGACGCCAGTTCGCGCCGCGTCGTCGAGTCGTCTCGACGCGCGGCGCGCGCGCCGATGGCGTCGCAAACGGGCGCGATCAAGCGACTCGCGAGCAAGGCGTTTCGAGGCGTGAACGTGGACGGATTCGCGTTCCAATCGCCCGACGTGCGATGCTACGTGCTGACGCACTTTCACGCGGATCATTACTGCGGCCTGAGCGGCTCGTTCGGTAAGGACGGCGATGAGGCGAAGATATACTGCTCTGAAATAACCGCGCGATTGGTGGTGGAATTCCTGGGCGTGAAGCGCGAGCGCGTGGTCGGGTGCGAGCTGGGACGGGGGACGACGCTGCGAGGCGCCGGGACGCGCGGGGACGACGTGGAGGCGACGTTCGTGGACGCGAATCATTGCCCGGGCGCGTGTTTGGTGTTTTTTAGAAATAAAATAACGGGGGAGACGCTGTTGCATACCGGAGATTTTCGAGCGGCGGCGCGCGTGCGGAACGATGGGACGCTGAGAGAGTTGTTGACGACGTGTCGGGACGGATCGGTGGATGAGGTGATGCTGGATACGACGTATTGCGAAAAGAAGTGGACGTTTCCCGATCAAGACGTGGTGCTGAATAAGATGAGACAGATCGCGCGGGATGAACTCGCGCGAGAACCGCGGACGCTGTTCTTGTGTGGGTCGTATTCGATCGGGAAGGAGCGGGCGATTCAAGCCGTGTGTCAGGGGGCGCAGAGTCGAGCGAGCGTCACGGCGAGACGAAAGAAATCGCTCGAATTGAGCGGGTGGTGGCGCGATGATGCGTTTGTGTGCGAAGACGATGACGCCGAAGAAGCCGCACGATGCCAAGTGCGCGTGTGTGGCCTCGGAAAAGGCTCAAATCATCGCGCGATGATGGAAATTATGGCAAAGGAGGCACCGCGATGGCGCGCCGCCGTCGCGTTTTCGCCCACCGGCTGGAGTTATACGAAGAAAATGGACGAAGACGGGTTTAACGTGAACCCCTGGATAGAAAACGAAGGACGCACGCGCACGTATGCGATTCCGTACAGCGAGCATTCGAGCTACACCGAGTTGCGGGAATTTATAAAATTCTTAAAGCCGAAGAAAATCACCCCGACGGTGAACGCGATCACGCCCAAGGATAGAGAAAAGTTGGTGAACAAACACTTTTTGGACTTGGTGGATTTGAAGCAGGACGTCAATAGGTTGGACTATTACTTCAAAAACAGCGCGTCGTCGATGTTGCGGGCGAAGAAGCAGAAAAAGACGGAGAATGTCGTCGTAATCATTGATAGCGAAGACGAACGAGACGACGACGTTAAAGTGGAGGCGGAAATCATCTCTGCTCTCGACGGGGACGTCGAAACCGTTCGAAGACAGCGCGAGATGTGGAATCAAATAGGTCGCGTGGAGACAAAAAAGCCGCCGAAACCGCTGGAACCTTTCCCTCTCGAGTGCATCGCCGTCGTGCGAAACGGCGAGTACGACCAGTTTCGTTCTCGAGCGCACGTCGAACAACGACTCAAAGAGCTCGGCGCGACGATCATGTCCCGCGTGACGCCCAACGTCACGCACATAATCGTTCCGAACCGAGGTGAGCTCGCGAACGAGGCCAATCGCCTGAGCGCGCTTCGCGAAATGGACGAGTACAAGAACCATCCCACTGCGCTTCGCGTCACCGAGGCTTGGTTGATGCGCCACGTGCGCGCGCGCGCCAATGACGTCGCCCCCTCACACAGCGAGGCCGCCGTCGCCGCGTTCGAGGCGAAGAAGCGCGAAGAAAAACTCGCTCGCCTCGCCGACGCCAAGCGAAAGCGCGACGAGAAGAAGACATTAGCATTAGAAACGCGTTAGGACTGTTAAAACGTAGAGACATTCAACATTCGCTCGCTTGATTCATTTCCTTTTCCTTCACACCGCGGCGCGTCGCCCGAGATGTCCGACGCCGAGCGCGCGGACGACGTGTCGAGCGATGCGTCGAGCGAGCTCGCGCGCCTTCGCGACGTTGCCGCGCGCGATGATTGGCTCGTCGAGGTCCCATCGTCGAGCTGTGCGTTGGAACGCTCGCTCGGCTGCGGATCGTCCGGTGAAGCGTTTCTGGCGTCCTGGCGCGGCGCGCGCGTGGTGGTGAAGACCATGAAACTATTACACGACGATGACGCCGCGAGAAGGGCGCTGGCGCGAAGAGCGTTCGTGAGAGAGTGCGAAATCATGGCGAGGCTGAGACACCCAAACGTGTTGGCGTTTTACGGGGCGAACGCGAACGGGAGAGACGCGAGCGTGGTGTGCGAGTACGCCCCGGGCGGGACGCTGAAGCAGTGGTTGCACGAAAATAAAGGGAAGAAACGGTCGCTAAGCGCGCGGTTGGGGATGGCGTTGGATATCGCGAGAGCGTTCGCGTATTTGGAGTCGCGAACGCCTCGCGTGATGCATCGAGATTTGAAACCGAGCAACGTGTTCGTGAGCGTCGATGGACGAGCGCTCGTGGCGGATTTCGGGTTGGCACGATTTGTTGCGCCAAGAGGAGAAGATCTCACAGGAGAGACCGGGACGTACATATACATGGCGCCGGAGGTGATTAAGAGTCAACATTACGACGAACGCGCTGACGTGTTCTCGTATGGGATTTTACTTTACGAGCTGGTCACGGGAATAGAACCGTACCAACCGCATCATTTCACGGGGATTCAAATCGCAACGGCCGTCGCAGATCGCGCGTTTCGGCCGAAGATTCCGGATTCCACGCACGCCGGATTAACAGCCATCATTGAGATGTGTTGGCAACAAGACGCAAGCAATCGGCCGTCATTCGAACGTGTTCGTGAATCGATGGAAACCATGGTTCCGGACATTCTCAAAGAGGAAGAGACAAAACTCGCAGAACAACGTGAGAATCCAAGTTTTCAAGCGAAGACGCTCCAAAATTTATCGAGTACGCTCGCCGATTGGTCGAAAAAGATGTCCGATTTAGCTTCGTAGCGCGATTAACAAAGTTTGGTTTCCACACAAAACCACTTCCCTGCGCGCGTCAAACAGCGACGGACATGCGTCGTCGACACAAACGTATAATATCCCATGTGATTGCGACACTCATGCTTAATTGTAGGGGAACGGTGCTCGCCGCGGACGTTCGACCTCGAGACGAAACCGACGCCATCGTCGGTGCGCGAGGCGCAATGTCGAGCCGCATCATAGGTGGAGTCATACCTGACTCTCCGTTATCAAAATACGCGCATGTTGTGGCTATTTTTGTTCAATCTGGGATGAGCGAGTACTTTCGTTGCGGTGGAACGCTCATCTCCAACGTGCACGTCATGTCTGCCGCGCACTGTTTCTTTGACCGCGCCGGCGTGTCGAACGTTGGAGCGTATTCATCGGTGGTCGTCAGATTCGGCGCACACGCCGACGTGAATGCGGGTGCGATGACGGCGAGCGTTGTCCGCATAGATGGACATCCTGAGTTCAGTGATATTACCTGGGACAACGACGTTTCAGTCCTCACGCTTTCGTCTCCCGTCGACGTCGCATCGTACCCGCCCGTTGTACTAGCTTGGAATCCGGCCGACATCAACGTCGGCCAGATCGCACACGTCGTCGGTTGGGGCACTCGAGACGATAACATGTTAAGCAAAGTGATGATGGAAGGTACGGTGCCCATTGTGTCACACGCGCAGTGCACCGCCGCCGGCAGTTACGCCCCGAGTGAAATTCTGCCTTCGATGGTCTGCGCCGGTTACGCCCAAGGCGGCGTCGACGCGTGCCAGGGAGATTCCGGCGGTCCGTTGATTCAGAATTCAAAGCAAATCGGGATCGTCAGTTGGGGCGAAGGATGCGCGCTCCCACAAAAGTACGGCGTGTACTTCGCCGTGCGCGCCGCGCAAGGCTTTCTGGCTCTCGCCACGGATTCGTCGGTGTATCAATTTTCGCCTTCCGACGACCAAGCATCGCCGCCGCCATCGCCGACGCCGACGCCGACCCCGCAATTTCCCATTTTCAGTGGACTCTTCGCCTGGCTCTCGGCGTGAATAACTAAACTAGAGAAATAATTTTGTCGTCGCGTCGCCACCGCTGGGCGGCGCACCGCGCCACCGCTGGGCGCTGGTCCGCCCGCGCGTCACCGCACACCCCGACGCTCGCGTCGACCGCCCGTCCACGGATCGCCGGTCGGTACATGCGCGTCGCCCGCGCCGTCGCTCGCATCAGCGTCGTCGTACGCCCCCCCGCGCGACAAACAGCGCGACGACACGCGGTGCCCGCGACTCGTCCACGCGCGACGAATTTCTTCTTCAACGCCTCGCGAGGCGTCGCCGCGAGCGCCGCGATGGGGAACGACGACGTCACGGTGACGTTTAGTCACAACTGAGGTGCGTCGGCGCGTCACGACGGACGAAGGCTCGAGACGAGGGGAAAGATGGGCGACGCGTGGGTTTTGAGACTGACTGAACGACGCTCGACGCGCAGACGGAGGGATGCAAGAATTCGAAGCCGCGAAGTCGGCGATTCTTAAGGTGAAACCCAGCGCGAATGTGATCGCGAATCGCGTGGACGCGTATCCGATCACCGTCAGGGTAAGCGTGGGCGAACGCGAAGTGTGGAGCGGGAGACAACAGCTGTTGTTCCGGAAAAATGGAAGACCGGCGATGAAGGATATCGAGGAAGCGATGCGAAAGCTCGGTTGATGCCGGGATGAGATTCCGCGAGATAGGTGTGAAGGCGGCGCGCGACGGGGCGAAGGTGATGACGAAGGATTCAACAAACTTGCTCTACGAGCGGGGAGAATTCTTTTGATGATGCTCGTTTCTTCGCGCGATACCGCGCTTTGCGTCTGGTTATGATTTTTACTGTACCGGTACTATTGTAAGAGTACTCCGTTAGACCATATTTATTACTCAACGATGAAGCGTTATACCGAGACGCTCGCGCGGTGCCTTCTCGAACGAAAACACGCGCATCGCGGCTACGAAGAATGTGAATAATGCCAAATGTACGACATCGGTATTAAAAAATCGCTCTAACGCGCGCTCGCACTTACACTCCCGTTACCTTGCCCTGAATGGAGTCTTCATCGGGCAAATCCTCGAACAGCTTCATCCAGTTCGGAATCCCAGCTCCAGACTTCCAAATCGTACCGTTCTTCGCCACGCCGAAGAAGACGTCGCGAACCGTTGGATCAAAACCGGACGATTCGATTTGATTGATGATCCAGCGCTTCCAAGCTCCATTGTCCACAGGCATGAGCTTCAGCTTCTTGTCACCGCCGAGCAGCGCAGCCGCCGCACTAGCGGTGAGCTCGGTGGTCTTTGAAGTCTTCGCTTTGCGTCTTCGCTGACCAAACGGCAACTCGTCTCCGGATTCTTCGCCGCTCTCGTCCATGGCCACCGGTAAGATGACAATCTTATTCTTCGTCAACTTTTCCTTGAACCTCTCCAAACTTTCGAGGGTTTTTGTGATATGCTCTTCGCTCCCCGCGACGATGAAGACGCGATACGATCCGCGCAAGCGCGAAAACAACACATTCTTATCGCCGTCGCCGAGCGTCACGCCCAAGCGCCCCAACTCTTCCTCGCGCTCAACTTTCTGAATGATTTTCTCGCGCCCTTGAAGTTCACCGCGCAATAACACCGAGAACGCGAGGAGCCCGACGGTATTGATTCCTAAATTCGTCACCGTCTCGGTCAAATCGGGCGCGCCCTCGCCCCCCTGCACCGCCTTGATCAGACGCGTGCCGATGATGAACAAACCCAAACCCGCCCCCGCGGCTAATCCTCCGAATAAATAAAGCTTGAAGAATCGAAACGGTTCTTGCGCCTCCGCGCGCAAATTCACCATCGTCGACGCGCCTCGACCTCCCTTCACCGCCGCCGCGACTTCTCCGTACTGCGTCGACGCTCGAAACGCGTCCAAATCCGGGTCGCTCGTCAGCACCTTGAACTTCAAATTATGCACGTTCACCGCCGCGATGAGATCGTCCTTCGCCTCGTCGTACATGTTCATCTTGACGTATCCACACGCTCGATTATAACTCGCCGCCCTGGCCTCGTCTTCGTTCGGTTTCATCTCCAGCGCTCGCGTGAACGCCCGCGTCGCCGCCTCGTGTTCGCCCCTCTCGAACAATCGCAGTCCCTCGTTCACCGCCGTCGCCGCGTCCGCGTACGACGCGCGCGTCGTCGTCGACGACGATTCGTCCGACGCGCGCGTTCGAGTCGCCGTTCGCACGCTCCCCGCGCGTCGTCGTCGCCTCGCGCCCGCGTCGTCCATCGTCGTCGTCGTCATCGTCGTCGTCGTCGTCGTCGTCGTCCCGCGCGTCGCGCCGGCGCGTCCCGCGTCGCGCGACGTCGCGCGCGCGCGTCGCCCCGCGCGCGTCGCGACGACCCGCGGCGCGCTCGCGCGGACGCGCGCCGTCGACATCGCGCGATGGGCGACGCGATAAGGCGCGGTGTGACGCCGAGGACGGCGATTTCGTCTTCGTATGGGCAAACAGTGTGATTCCTAAACCCCAGGACGGACGCGACGTCCGGACGCGCCGTCGCCGACCGCGCGCGACGCGCCGCAGGTGGCGACGCGCGCGAACGCGTCGGCGCGAGAAAGCGCGCGATGGCGGCGCGAGCGACGCGCGCGCGACCGGGACGCGCGGTCGAGCGCGCGAGACGCGACGACGCGCGGAAAGGATGGCGAGGCAGAGGACGCGCGCGGGGCGCGACGAGGACGAAGACGACGACGACGACGACGACGACGGAGACGAGCGAGGAAGAGGAAGCGACGTGGACGCGAGCGAAAATCGCGGTGCGACGACGGATCGAGGGCGGGGACGAAGACGTGTACGCGAACGCGCTGGCGAGCGAGGAGGCGACGACGCGGGACGACGACGAGACGCGAGCGACGACGTCGACGTCGAGCGCGACGCACGCGATGGATGTGTTGGCGTTCAGACGTCTGAGCGCGATGATGAATACGTTTGAGAAGAATGTGGAGACGCACGGGATCGCGAGACAGGTGGTGGTGATCACGGCTGGGGCGGATACGCGGGCGTTTCGATTGCCGTTTCCGAGCGGAACGGCGATTTTCGAGTGCGCGGACGGGACGGTGCACACGAAAGCGGCAGCCGTGATGAAGAAAGTTGGGGCGAAACCTTCGAAGGGGTGCTCGCACAGGCGCGTGCCGGTGGATGCGACCGCGACAGACGCGGCTTATGGTGATTTAGAGGAACGTTTGGAACGCGCGGGATACCGCCCAGACGTGCGCTCGTTGTGGTTGGTGCAAGACGTACACGCGTGGGATCACTCGCGGTTGTCGAATTTCATCACCGAAAGTGCGGATTTGATGACAACCGGGAGCGAACTCATCATAGACGCCAGCGCGTTGACGTCGACGGACGACATCATTCGTCGAGAATTTGCGTCAAACGGCGTCATGCCCGAAGTCGTGCGCATCCCCGCCGACGAAGGTCGAGAGCCCATTCGTTTAGTCTTAGGATGCGCCCAGCGAGTGTCGCTGAAGGAGTCGGAGTATTATCGTGAGCAATTGCGCGCCGCCGAGGACGAGGCTGACGAAGACGGCTTTGAGGACTGATCAGCTTTTCACGAGCTTCATTAATGTACAACACGAAATTTGATTACAACTTTGACTTCTTCCCGTCCTTTTCCTTCTTCTCCTTCTTCTCTTTCTTCTCTTTCTTCGCCTTCTTCGCCTTCTTCTCTTTCTTAAATTCATGCGTTTTACGCTTTTTGTCTTTCACCTCAGCCTCTGGCGCGTCTTCGTCCGCTTCGGAATCCTCGAAGACCACTTTTTTGCCTTGCGAGTCGCCGCCGCCTTGCTCCATCCAATCGATCGCCGTGTGATCGCTCGTGGAGTCGAGTGGTGAACTTATAGCTTCAGTTTCGATCAAATCATCTAGCCCTCTCGGATCAGATGCATTTTGAGCGCCGATACCCTTCTCCCGAAGCACTCGAAGCGTCTTTTGCATGTCAAATTCAGCTTCTCGTTGCGCTTTGCGCGCGGGCTGCAGCGCGAGCGGACTGTGCATCTCTTTCGCCTTTTCGCGCGATCCAACCACCATTCGTGATGAACGACTGAGCATTTTTTGCTCAAATATCGGTAGAGCAAAGTCAAATCCAGAGTTTGGGCCGTGCTTTCGTACTCCATCAACCAAGGTGTCGGCAAGAAGGACGGCGTCACTCATGGCTTGATTCGCACCTTGCGCCTTGAATGGAGTCATCGGGTGAGCGGCGTCACCAATCAACGTGACGCGACGCTTTGATTCATCAGTAGGGCGGAGTAATACCGGATCGAGCAATTCCCTGTCGTACACTGGGTAGCCCGACATACAATCCAGCGGCGTGTTGCGAAGCAAATCTGGAACAGGGTCATGCCACTGCGCACAACGCCGAACTATTTCCTCCTTTAGCGTCGTCGCATCTTTCGTGTATTGACGCGCTGTTTCTTCAGAGCATGGAAAAGATAGCTGCCACATAGTCGAAGTAGTCGTGAAGGGCATGGCATACAACCGTGTGGCGCCGTCGACCGTCTCAAAAATACGTCGATGCGCGAGCGGTACGTTCATTATCTTCTCATCCACGATTCCTAGCACGACACACAATCCAACATAGTTCAGACGATCTCCTGGGAGGTCTAAATGACGTCGCACGGTTGAGAATATCCCGTCCGACCCCACGAGTAGAGCTCCATCGAGCTCGGTACCATCCGTGGACGCGACGGAGACTCCATTTTCGCGAGCCACAAAGCTCTTGAGCTTGCTATTCCAGCGAATAGTTCCCGGTTGCACAGCTTCGATGATGCGAGATCGAAGCACTTGACGGGGTATATGAATGAATCGTCCAGAATTTTGCACCTCGCGACGTTCACGCGACTTTGCTCCAAAAGCCTCTCCGAAAAATCCAATAATGTGCCCCTCTGCGTCAAAGGTGTAATGTGACGTCGAAGGAGCATCGTCTTGAGATATGTCAACGCCCATGGCTTGTATAGCGTCTTGGGCTTGCACAGTGAGCCCATATCCTTGAGCGCGCGCGTCAAAGCTTTCATCTGACTCCAACACGATGACATCGAATCCTTTGCTCTGCAATGCCACGGCTGCCGCCGCGCCTCCTATGCCCCCACCAGCGATTATAACTCGTCCACATTTCGAAACGTCGACGGGAGGACCGTATTTTTCATTGTTCGCGCCGTGTCGTTGCTGCTTGAGATGCTTCACCACACTATGCTGTCCAGCCGTCGTAAACGCCCACTCCAAATTGTTCAACTCTTCATCACTGAACTCATCCATGAGTCTCTTCACTGATCGAGCCAGCGCGGTAAACAACGCATCGTTTACTTGTCCGGAGTTTGCAAACGTCCAAGCGACGTTAACCAGATCTTGAGCGTTGAAATTATCCGCTTGGTGCTCGGCCGCGGATGCCAATGCGACAAAGAGAGCCTCGCTGAGTTGGCTTGCTTGGTCAAACGTCCAAACTATGTTGGCGATATTCGGCGCATCTAAATCGTTCAGTCGATGATCCAATATCGATTTTCGCGCTGCAACAAAAAGTTTGGCATCATATCGACCGAGTTTTGCAAACGCCCACGTGGTATTCACGAGGTCTTGGGTGTTGAAATCAGCCAAGCACCGTTCTGACAGGCTCGCCAACGAAGTGAATAACTTTTCGTCGTGATGACACGCCTTCCCGAAAGCCCAGGCGGTATTGGCAATATCCTGAGAATTAAACTCACTCGCATTCGCGGTCATTCTGCGCTCGATAGAACGACCGAACTTGGAAAAAAGTTCGGCGTCCAGATGCCCACATTTGGAAAAAGACCAAACCGTGTTCGTCAAGCCTTGCGCGTTCAAGGCGCTCAGGTGCCGCTCTGCGTGCTTGGCGAGCGTCGTAAACAATTTTGCGTCGTATTGTCCCGCCTTAGCGAACGCGTAGATGAGATTTGAAAAGTCTTGCGCGTTGAAATCATCCAAGCGTTCTTGCGCCTTCTGCGACATTGCGCGAAACAAACCAACGTCGACAAAGCCCGACTTTGCGAACCCCCAAGCCGTGTTCGACAAACCTTGCGTGTTGAACTCCCCCAAACGTCTCTCCACACACCGCGCCAGAGCTTTAAACAGCCTCGCGTCGGCGTGTCCCACCGAGGCGAACGCCCAGCAAGTATTCGTGAGCTCTTGCGAATTAAATCGCTCCGCGTGTCGCTCCGCCATCCTCGCCAACGCGCTAAACAATCGTTCACACTTGTAATCCGCCTTGGCGAACGCCCACGCAATGTTCGCCAACTCTTGCCCTCGATCGATCCCTCCCAAGTGTCGCTCTATCGCCTTCGCGAGCGCGGCGAACAACTCCTCGCTCCCTCCTCCCTTGGCCGCGCCGTGCGCCACGTTCGCCAGCTCCCGTCCCCCCATCTTCGATCGCTCATCCCTCACGAATTCGATCGTGTGCGCGATCAATCGTTCGTGCGCATCATTCATCCCGTCCCCATCGCTCGAGCTCGCCCGTTCACCGTCGCATCGCATCCGTCCGACGCTCGTCCACACCGCCGACAGGTGAATGTGATTCATCCGTCCCGCGCTCTCGTCTCGCAGCGCGTACACCTCGCGCAACGATCGCGCGTTCTTCACGTTCGCCGTCAGCAACGCCGGCGAGGGCGCGTTCCCGCGTCTCGCTCCTCCGCTCCCCCCCGTCGTCGTTCCCATCGTCGTCATCGCGTTCGTTTTCCTCGCCGCCGGCGCCGGCGTCGCGCCCAGTCCGCACGCCGCCCGCGCGTCCGCGCGCGACATCCCTCCGACCTCGAGCGCGCGCGCGCGCGCCTTCGCGCGCTCCTTCTTCCCCATCTTCTTTTTCTTCGCCGTCGCCGTCGTCGTCGCGTCGCCGTCGCCGTCGCCGTCGCCCATCGTCGCCACTGCGCGTCGCGCACTGCGCGTTCGGCGTCATGGCGCCGGGCGTCGAGATGGTGCGCGTCGAGCGCGCCGAGCGCGCGTACGATCGAGAGAAAGCGCTCGGTCGAGACGCCGCGAGCGTGTTCCCGTCGCTCGCGCGCGACGGCGACGGCGCCGCCGACGGAGACGCGCGAAAAGACGACGACGACGCGACGCGCAAAAAGTTTGTCACCGAGAGCGAGCTCGAACGACTTCGCGCGCTCGGCGGGAGCGACGGCGGGGACGCGAGCGGCGCGAGCGACGCGCGAAACGACGACGCGAACGCGGGTAAACCGCTGTATCAAATCCTGGCCGAGCGCCGGGAAGAGAAAGATCGCGAGTTTCAAGAGCAGTGGGCGTCGATGAAGGTTGGGAAGAATAAACCGCTGGACGAGGAGGAGGTGGAATTTTTAGATGAAATCGAGAGCGAACGACGGGCGGCGGAGACGAAGAGGAAGCGCGAGGAAGACGGTGAGTTAGAGGCGTTTAAACGGGCGCAGCGAGGGGACGATCAGGGAGGGATGACGACGACGAAGGGCGACGGAGAGACGGCGACGACGAGCGCGCCGGCGGCGGTGGTGGCGAGGAAGCGACCGTCCGCGGGCGTGCGAGCGAAACCGAAGACGGCGATCGCGAGCGAGACGAAGGAGACGGACGATGCGAGCGAGGGGCTCGGCGGTCTTTTGGGCGATTACGGCTCCGATTCGGACGACGACATCGCGGACTCGTAGTTCGGCGGCGCAAAGGCGGCGCGTCGAATTCGCTTCATGTTATTTTGATGAACCAATCAAGCCTCATTCGCGCGCGCGCGTCGTCGTCAGCGTCGTCGACGTCGCGAAGACATGATCGCATCCTCGCTTGGCGTCGCCCGAACGTCGTTCGAGCCGCGTCAGAGCGCCGCGGAACGACGAATACGACGCGTTTCTGCGCACCAGTCCACAACCCCCGAAGGCGTTCGCGGATGCGTCGTCGTGCGACGCCACCGCGGGCGTTCGAGCTCGCGTTGCGTCGCGCGCGCGGTGCATTACGCATGTGATGACGCCACGCCGTCGTGCGTCGCGCGCGATGCGCACGCGTGCGGACGAAATGGTGCGAGATACGATCCACTCAGGTTGTTGCTTCGGGACGGGACGTCCACGCGCGAGACGACGCGGCGACTGGTGCGATGTGTGCGATGCGGCGCCGCGGGCGAGAGTCGCGAAAAGAATGAGATGGTAGCGTCGAGCTGTGGGAAAGCGGACGAACGCGTGCGAGGGAAGGTGCGGCGAGCGTTGCTCGCGAGCGCGGCGAGCGCGGGCGGGTTCGCGGGACGCGCGGGAGCGTTATCGGGAGACGGCGGTTCTGGAGGCGCGGTGGGCGATGGTGGTGGGGGCGACGACGGTGGTTCGTTCGGTTCAAGTGGAGATAAACCCATATTTGCGTCCAGTGGTCGAAGTGGAGATGGAATTTTGGAGGAAGTGGTGATGCTTGACGTGCACGGCATGCACTGCGGCGGATGCGCGGCGAGCGTGCGGAAAATCTTGGAGGGCGATGACGCCGTGCGAAGCGCGTCGGTGAATTTGGCCAATGAGTCCGCCATGGTACGCATTAATTTAGCGATGGGCAAGCTTGAGGGAGGTGAATTTGAAAATGCCGTGAAGGAGGCGGCAAAGAGTGTCGGCACCAAGTTGGCTGAGCTCGTCACTGCCGCAGGGTTCCCGACGTCTCTGCGCGACGCTGGTGGAGTCGCTGTTGCGGGAGTTACGGGTGCCGAGGCGACGAAACTAAAGAGAGACGAACGTTTGCGACGGATTAAAGAAAGCACGCAGCGCGTGATCGTGGCTTGGGCTCTCGCGAGCGCGTGCTTGTTGGGACACGTTTCACATTTTTTCCACGCGAGCGCGCCGTGGCTCAGAGTCTTGCACAGTAATCCCGTTCACATCACGCTCTCGCTCTTTGCCATGGCAGGACCAGGGCGTCAGATTTTGATTGATGGCTGGCAAAGTTTGCGACGAGGAGGTCCGAATATGAACACGTTGGTATCCCTCGGAGCCATGGCATCTTTTTCGATGAGCACGGCGGCCATGATGCTCCCAGGCTTAGGTTGGCCCACGTTCTTCGAGGAGCCCGTCATGTTACTAGCATTCGTACTTCTTGGGAGAGCAGTCGAGGAACGTGCCAAGCTTCAAGCAACGAGTGATATGTCTGCGCTACTGAATCTAGTGCCAGAGACCGCTCGCTTGGTGTCATCGACTTCCACGGCAAACGGAGATGAGCCATACTATCGTACAGTTCCGACGTCTGTCATCGAAGTAAAGGATAAAATCATCGTTTTACCTGGAGATAGAATTCCCATCGATGGCACGGTAGTGAGTGGATGCAGTACGGTGGATGAAGCCGCCATCACTGGCGAGCCAATCCCTCGGCCGAAAAAAGCCGGCGACACGGTAGCGGCGGGAACAGTGAACTGTGATGGCGTTTTGACGATTGAAGTCGTGTCTTCAGGAGAAGAAACGCAAGTAGCTGGTATCGTTCGCATGGTGGAGTCAGCGCAACAACGCGAAGCGCCAGTGCAGCGACTTGCAGATCAAGTCTCTGGCAAGTTTGTGTACGGTGTGATGGCAGCGAGCGCGGCGACGTTCACGTTTTGGAGCACCGTCGGCACGAAAGTCTTCCCCGGTGTTCTTGCGACAGCTGCTTCGGCAACTAATGCACCAATTTTGATTGCACTTCAAATGACGGCGTCAGTCTTAGTCGTTGCGTGCCCGTGTGCTCTTGGTTTGGCGACGCCGACGGCGGTACTCGTCGGCACGGCGCTCGGCGCCCGCCATGGCCTTCTCATTCGCGGTGGAGACATCTTAGAAAAAGCCAACAATTTAGACACCGTTATTTTCGACAAAACTGGAACGTTGACTATTGGTAAACCAGTATTGACGGAAACGCGCACAAGCGGGGGCTTTAGCGACGCTGAAATCATCGCTCTTGCGGGAGCGGTCGAGCGAAACTGTCGCCACCCGTTGGCGTTAGCCATCACCGAAGCGGCTGATAAGCAAGGAATTCCCCGGCATTCAGTTGATGAAGGAACGTTCAAGCAGGAGCCCGGCGCTGGAGCGAGTGCTGTGGTGAATAAGAAGCTGGTTTCCGTCGGCACAACCTTCTACATTCAAGGCAACAATACCGTGCCGATGGAGCTGATCAATGCCGTGGACAACCCAGGTCGCACGCCGGTGTACGTCGGAATCGATGGCAAAATCGTGGGTGTTTTAGAGATGCAAGACGAAATTCGTAAGGACGCGGCCGAAACCATCAAGCGACTTCATGCGAAGAATATACAAACTATCATGATTTCGGGCGACAGGCTTGAAACGGCCCAAGCAGTAGGCAAACTCGTGGGCATCGATGAAAAGTACGTATACGGGGATGTACGACCCGAGGGAAAAGCTGAACTCGTACAAGACTTTCAGTCGAAGGGCAAATGCGTCGCAATGGTCGGTGATGGTATCAACGACGCCGCAGCTTTGGCACAGGCAGACATCGGCATCGCCATGGCGGGCGGCGTCGGCGCCGCAAGCGAAGTCGCTTCCATCGTCTTGCTCGGCGATAGATTACCGCAAGTCGGCGATGCGATCGACTTGAGCAGAGCAACGTTTAACAAAATTAAGCAGAATCTGTGTTGGGCTTTTGGGTACAACCTGATCGGTATTCCGATAGCCGCTGGCGCTTTATTGCCAGCATATGGATTGTCGCTCACGCCATCCGTGGCGGGCGCCATCATGGGATTTTCATCCCTTGGTGTCATGGGGAACTCTTTACTTTTGAAACTAAAAGGTCGAGAGCTTTCGAAGGCCGAGGAAGATGATTAAGACAAGTAGAACTCTTAGGATACTGTTGTAGCAGCAATCAATTGAAATTATTTCTAAGTTGGTGAGCAAACTCCACTACTTTTGCGCTTGAGCGAAGAACTCCTTTCCGCGATCTTCGATCTCCTTCAAGTATTCCGCCTGCACGCGCTGCGCGTACGATCCGTTCGGAAGATTCAGCACCACACCCTCCATGCGTCGCTGCAGATCCTTCGCGAACGCCGTCTCGTTGTAGCCTTCATTGGAAATTTCGGCAAAGCTTGTCGGCCACGCCTCGGCATTGGAGCGAATCACCTTGTCGAGCGCGGAAGACTTCTCATCCAGCTCGCGCGCGGCGTACAATTGCAACAATCTTTGCAAAATATGCACCATACCATCGAGTCCGTTCTCGTCAGACTTACGAATCCACGCGTAGAGCGTGTTCAACGTGCGCTCATCCACCGTCACCGCTTGGAGCTCATTGCGCATGCGCTCCAACGCGTCGGCTCGCAGAGGCACGTCGAATTCCCCCGAAGACGGGTCCGCGGCCGCCCCGACGACTCTTTGCAAGCTCTCGCTCGCCTCCTCCATCGTGCTCTCGGTCTTCTCAACCATAGCCTCGATGAGTTTCATGCACTTGGTCGCCGTGTCCATGATTTTCGTCTTCGTCGCGCTCTCCGTCGCCGTGTCGCTCCTCGACGCGAATCGCATCCACATCTTTTGATCAAACATCAGCACGTTCTCGACGACAATCTTCCCTAACTCCTCTTCGCTCGCGCTCGCGAGCATGAGATCGATCACGGCGTCCATCGCCGCGAGTTCGCTCACCGCGTTGTCCTTCCCGGCGGCGTGCGCGACGACGAACCGTTTCGTCGTCTTCGTTCGCATCGCGCGCGCCGCGCCCCGTCTCGCGCGCGTCGCCGTCGCCGTCGGCGTCTTCACCGCGCGCGTCGCCATCGTCGTCATCGCGCGTCGCGTCGCGCGGCGCCTTCTGACGTCCGGCGGCGTCGCTTTATCCGCAGCGACGTCGACGCGCGAGGCGCGGCGCGGCGAGCGCACAGCGCGACGCGACGCGACGCGGGCGAGCGAGCGCACAGCGCGCGCGACGGACGGACCCGACGCGCGGCCGTCGACGACGAAGGAAGGCAAGAGACGGAGAGGTCGACGCGCGCGCGAACGACCGCCCATGGCGTCGACGTCGAAATCGCCGCGTGATGATCCCATATGGACGTCCCTGCGCGCCGGCGCGCAGGCGTTGGTGGATAAAGAACCGTTGATGGGTGGGTTCGTGTACGCCACGATCCTGAACCAACCGACGTTCGAGCGCGCGTTGGGGTTCTTGTTGGCTTCTAAAATTGCAAACGCCACGATACTCGCGGGGCAGTGGAACGATTTGATTATGGATGCCATGAACGCGACGAACGAGGGAAAAAATCGAGAATATAACGGACCTGGAACGGGTTCGATCGGGGACGCCGCGCGAGCGGACCTCAAGGCGATCGTCGAACGCGATCCAGCGTGCCCGTCGTACACGCACGCGTTTTGCTTCTTCAAAGGGTTTCAGGGACTGCAGGCGCAACGCGTGGCACACTGGCTTTGGGGACATCAGCGAAAAGTTTTGGCGTGTAAGATGCAAAGCTTGATTTCAGAGGTGTACGGGATGGATCTTCACCCGGCGGCGAGATTCGGGCGAGGGATCATGATCGACCACGGGCACGGAGTCGTCGTCGGCGAGACGGCGGTCGTGGACGACGATTGCACGCTCTTGCACGGGGTGACCTTGGGGGGGACAGGGAAAGTGCGAGGTGATAGACATCCAAAGCTCGGCAAGCGCGTCGTCGTCGGGTCGAACGCAAGCGTACTCGGGAATATTAAAGTTGGGCACGACTGCAAAATTGGCGCGGGCGCCGCCCTCATGCACGACTTACCACCGAGAACAACAGTCGTTGGTCACAAAGGACGCGTGGTGACGAAGAAGCAGATAACATCGAAGCTTTAATCGGCGCTAGTTATTCCTAAATCTATTAGTTCGTAGCCTAACATAACCTATTTTTCATGTAATTGTACATACCACTGACTGCTTTCATTTTGCTCATTTCAAATGATCCGCGTTTGGTTCGGCACTGACGTTCTCCCACGCAAGATTACCTCCCGGGCGCCGCACTGTCCCTTGTAGCCAAAATTCGGCCTTCTCGCTGATTTTCGATCTTGCGCTGAGCGTAGACGCTCCACTCGCTAAAGTTTTCCACGCGTTCACATCGCCAAGCTTGCCGCGCGCTGGTCCTCCAATGGCCCGCTTCAGGCGCACGCAGACGACGCCGGCCAGGGTTTTGGAATCAATGAACTCCGTCATTGGAACCATCTTCGACGAAACGTCCCAAAACGGTAGTTTTGGGATGGCTGGCAACCACTGTGGCACTTCGCTCCTCCAGATGACAGAGAACAGAGCGATGAGACGGTCCACGAGCGATTCGCCCGCAAATGATTCGGCTACCAAATCTTCCTCAGACTCCTCGACGATCGTTTTACCGATAAATGAGTCGAGGACTTCGACAATGAGCTGCAAAAAATCATCTTTGAGTTCATTGGACATGAGCACGTAACCAATCAACGGGATGAGTGTTAGAATCTGCACCCAAATGAGGAGTAGTTTGTGCGAAACGTCTCGCGTCGACAGAGCCAATTCTTTGAGCTGTTGAATCGCACCCTTGACGATTCCTATCGCCGCGTCACGCTTGCGTTTGACGATATTATGTAGTAAACATAGCCGAAATTCGACAAGGCTCTGAGCGATTTCCCATCGACGCGCAGCGTTTGAGTCATCCCAGTAAGCACCTTGAAGTACGCCGTCAACATTCGCATCATCGCAAACTCTGCCACCGACGTACGAAAGGACATCCGTTGTGACGTCGTCGCCTATTCCACCCACGAGTTCGGCAAGTAATCTGACTCGAGAGGGCTTTAGCACTAGCGCACCGACAACAACTCGCGAAAAGACTGAGTGCGCATCTCGCGAACATTTGAATTCATCGTGCACACACTTCAATTCCTCCAGCTTGGAAAGCAAATCAGCGTAGGTGACCGCGTGAAACAATTCAAGCAGTCGCTTTTCCTCGTCTGTAGAGATTTCAAAATGCTTTGACACATCTGCCGTAGAGTGAGGCGGGGTGAGCGCCCTCGATATTGTGGCGTCTGACATTTCATTCGCCGATTCGAGGAGTTGTTTCAGAGTGCGCACCATCGAGTCGTCCAGTTTGGACTCTCGCTCGTCATTGTTTCGCACGATCTGGCTCATGTATTCGCGAAACGCCGCGAGCGATTTCTGCGACGCGCCTGAATCTTTGTGCTCGACGATACCCTCCACCATAATGAAATTCAACAACTGAGAAAGGTCCACGACTTTGCCCCACAGCAACTCAATCAGCAGTTCTGAGATGCACTTGGTGTAATCTTCACGCGCTACTATCATGGTTCTTTCTTTGATCCAGTCAAACACGTATATATTTAATCTAGAAGAAGTTTCCGCGAGTTCGACGAAAAAGATTCGTACCGCTGTGCGACGCTTCATTGCCTCGTCTTCCGAAACATCCATGCACCAATCGCACGAAGTCTTCACCATAGACTTCATCGCAAGCTCTTCACTTTCCTCTCGATCAATGTACTTTCGCGCGATCGTACGCGACGCTACTTGGTCTAGATTACTTTCCAGCAACTTGTGTAACGTCTCAATAAGATTTCGGGCCTTTATGGTGATCAATTCTGGGCTCGCCGCTTGCGCGAGCGATTTCACGCGATTGTCGACGTCGTCGAGCACACTGCACAGTCGTTGTGACAACGGCATTTTCTTTCTCTGAAAGTCACGCCGCAAATTAGTGATGATGTTCAGGCCTCCGTCCCGCGGTGCGGCGACGAACGCATCCATATTCGCGGCGGCGACGGAGGCCACGACATCACTTAAGCTTATCACGAGATACTTGTCCGACTGTCCCCTCTCTTTCAAAATCTCCTGTAAACACCACGAGACTCTGTCCACCAGACCAACTGAATCTGCGTGCGACTTTGAAGCCTGAGGCACGAGCGTGCGTAAAGCTGGGCTCAGCGCCCGAGCAAAATCATGAGCGCTTCCAGTTCTCTGCCGCTTTTGTTCATTCATAAATCGCAGAAACTCGTGCAAGTACTTTTGCTGATCCACCAAGTCTTCCTCGACTGAATAGTTCGCTAACGCTAGGACGTACTTTAATTCCGTCTCGACACCTTCGCCACTTTGTGCCACCATTTCCTCGTCGCGCAATACATCGAAGATGTGCGCGAGTAAGTCCTCCGTCCACGCGCGTCGACACGCGTCAAAATCTCGTTTACACTGCGATAGATAGTTCACCTTCACCATCCACATCGCGCGATGAATCGGAACGTTGTACCCATGCAAGGTTTCAAACAAATTTCGCTTCCGCACGCCGTGTGGCACGCGTCGCTCGAGCGCGTGCAATCCGACGTCGCTCGCCAAATCCCGAAAAAACGCCGCCGACTCCTCCGCGCGCGCGTGCACCAACTCGGGCGCGCTCCACGTCTTCAACGCCTCCCCGCGTAACTCCACGTCGTAACTCCCATCATCTCTCCGTCCTCGTTTCGGCACTCTGCGCGTTTCCTTCGCCCCCTCGTTCGCATTCGCTCGTATCGCTTTCAGCGTCTCGCTCGTCGCCATTCGCGTCAACATCTCTTGCAGCGCTCGCGGCGACATAAACGTCCCGTCATCGAACGTCGTCTTCCCATCGATCGTCTTCACCGTCCGCGCGATTCGCCACTCGCGATGCTTTTCTTCGTCGTACCCTCGTCTCACCAGCTCTCGCGTCAGTTTTTCGCTCGGAAATCGCGTCCCGTCTCGCGCCTCCGCGCGCGTCCTCGGCGGCGGTTCGACGTGCGCGCGCACGGGTCGACCGAGCGCGATCGCGGGTCGCGACGACGACGACGCGCGCGCGCGCGTCGTCGTCGTTTCGCGCGGTTTCGTCATGTCCTCACGCGCGCATCGAGGGTCGTCGACAAAGTGACGACCGGGACGCATCGCGACATCCCGATGGATCCATCGGGACGCCACGTCCAGCGGGACATCGCGACGACCATGGGGCGCGTCGCGCGAGGCGCGCGAGGCGCGGTGGCGGCGATCGTCGCCCTGGCGATCGAACTCGCGCGAAGGCGAAGGTCGAAACGGGCGACGACGACGACGACGACGATGGAAAAGACGACCGAGGCGGACGAGCTCGGGGCGTTCGTCGAGGCTGCGGAAGATTTGAGCGAAAGGCTGACGACGACGACGACGACGACGACGACGACGACGACGCATCGACCGTTGAAGAACGTGAAGTTTGTGGTGAAAGATATATTTGATATCGAGGGACGACGATGCGGGTTCGGGTCGCCGGCGTTTAAGCGGACGGGAGGGAAAGGCGGGACGGCGGGCGCGAAGCGACACGCGCGGTGCGTGCGAACGCTCCTGGAGGCGGGAGCGAGCGCGGTGGGGATGACGACCATGGATGAGCTGGCGTACGCGATTAATGGGGAGAACGCACACTATGGAACGCCTATAAACCCGCGAGCGCGAGCGTTAGTGCCGGGAGGGTCGTCCTCGGGATCGGCGGTGGCGTGCGCGGCGGCGCTTCGAGGATGCGAATTCGCGCTCGGGACGGATACCGGGGGATCGGTGCGAGTGCCGGCGTCGTATTGTGGGGTTTACGGGATACGCACGAGTCATGGATCAGTATCTATGCGTGGTGTGCAAGCTTTGGCTCCGAGTTTTGACACCGTGGGGTGGTTTGCGCGATCAATAGATGTCTTGCAGCGCGTGGGAGACGTGTTGTTGCCAGAGCCCGACAAGCACGCGCCGACGGAACCGAGCCGCTGGCTTTTGCTGGAAGACGCTGTGAGTGCGAAACGCTCTACACCACACTCGCAGTGTGCTGCGGTTGCCGCGGTGACGGCGCTCCACGAGATTGCGCCGGCGGATTTCAAGCGAATGAATCTCACAGAGCACTTGCTCGTCGGTTGCCCAAAGTTCCGGTCGCTCGTAAACGGTCGCGAAGACTACGGCTTGGACTGCCTCAGAGAGATGGTTCGCGTGCTCATGGGGGCGGAAATCTGGGAAAATCTGGGAAAATGGTACACTGAGGAAAAGCCAAAGCTCGGTGCCGCGGTCAAGGCGAGGATGGAAGCCGCGTCAAAGCTCGACGCGGACGAAGTCGAACGCCTCAAGGAAGTGCGAGAGGAAGTGCGAGAAGAAGTGGATCGCATATTAGACGGTGGCGCCATATTCATACTTCCCACGACGCCTGGCAAGGCCCCTAAACGTGGTCAAAGCGATCAGGCGACCGAATCTTGGCGAAGAAAGTGTTTTGAGCTGCTGTGCATCGCGAGCCTGTGCGGTTTGCCGCAGGTGTCGATACCTCTCGAGGCTCCAAACATCGAAGGTCCGCAAGGGCTGTCACTAATCGCTGGATACCAAATGGACAAAATGTTGATCGGAGCCGCTCGTCAAATCGTTCCTGCGCTCGTCGAGGCGTATCCAGATATCCTAGAAGCTGAGTTAGAGCGCCTGAATCCACCCGAGGCTCCTGGCGAATCCGAAAAGACCAAAGGAAATGAAGCCCTGAAGCAGGGCAAGTATCAAGACGCGATCGAATATTACTCGGTGGCGATTGGAAAGAATCCTAAGAGCAAGATTTTCGTAGCAAACAGAGCCATGGCGCACCTAAAGCTTGGGAACTACCAGCTCGCCGAAGATGACTGCACTGAAGCCATCAAGCTTGATGCGCGGTACGTGAAGGCGTACCTTCGCCGGGCGGCGGCGAGGTCGGTGGCGGGGAACTATCTCGAAGCATTGATGGATTACGAAGAAGCGTTACGCTTCGAGCCTAACAACTCGGACGCGAAGAGAGAAGTGTATAGAATGAAAAAAATCATAGGAATGGCCGATCCAGGCATGGACGTTGGCGATATGTAGAGCTCGATACAGTCAGTTGCAATTAATAAGTGAACTAATTCGTCGAACGTCTTGAGAACGTTTTACTCGCTAATTCTGACAACCACGACTTCTTGATCGACGAAACGTCGCGCGCGTACATTTTATTCGTCCTAACTAACTCGTTGAAAAGAATCTGCGCCGCAAGAAAAATTGTCAGCGTGAAATAATTAATTGTAAGGAAATAATTACTCACCGTCTCTGGAGGCGATTGAAACATCACCGAGCTCGGGTGAATCGTTAGCTTCTGGCCCGTTGTAAAGACTTTGAACGATCCATCCATTTCCTTCGAAGCCGTATTCATGAAAAAGCCCGATACCAGCGATCGTAGCACGAGCGTGAAGTCGTCTTCACATGAAGTCAAATTAATTCCCTGCGACATTGCTGCTCGTGTCAATTGCTCGTTGATCTTGACCGCTTTTGTCATCGCTCGATGGTTAATCTGGTGCTCTCTGCACCAATCGCGACTTCGCTTCGGACTGCAGGCCGAAAATTCGTTGAACACGCGCAGCAACGTCAAATGATCGCCCTCCTGAAATAATTGTGTAAGAAAATATTAAATTATTTTTTCTTGGTCGACTCACCTTTCGCTTCAATTTGTGTCTTGCGACATTCTTTTGCCCGTCTGCCTCCCTGGAAAACTGAAACACGCTATCTGTTGACAGCATGGACAAAACAGCGAGTGTTTCGATAGCGCACCCTTCGATTTCAGCGGCAATTACGCATCGTGCAGCCATGGGCTCGAGGGGAAACCTCGCCATTTTTTTTCCGACGTCGTTAAGCTTTCCATCGTCGTCTAAAGCGTCCAGCGAGTACAATAATTCAAGTGATCGTAATAACGCCTCTTTAGGCGGCGGATCGATGAAAGGAAACGACAAAATGTCGTCAACTTGCATTGCCTGCGAAATAAATAAATAATTCAGTTAATTTTTAATTGTCTCAGGAAAGCGCTCGATTCGGGCGCGACAGATCCTTACCTTTAGCTGAAGAACTACTCCACTTAAATTTGTACGCAGCAGTTCCGGTTTAACGTATTTTTCCAGGCTCGGCATGATTTCTTCGGTGTAGAGTCGAAAGCACTTACCAGGCGCTTCGCGCCCGGCTCTACCGGCGCGCTGTTGCGCCTGACTCTGCGCAATCGGGGTGACCAGGAGCTCGTCCACGCCGCTTCTTGGATGATGCGTTCGTAGTTTACTCAGTCCTGAATCCACAACGTACCGAATCCCATTGATCGTCAACGATGTTTCGGCGATATTCGTCGCCAAGACGACTTTGCGCGTTCCCAGAGGCGTCGGCTCGAAGACCTTCATCTGCTCCTCCGGGGGCAGCGCAGCGAACAAGAGTACCACGTTGAGTTTCAGCACGTTTGAGGGAAGTTCAGACGCTTTCTCTCGCAACATCCTTCCCAACGACTCGATCTCCTCTTGACCAGTTAAGAATACTAAGACATCTCCCGCCGCCTCTTCCTCGTTCACTTGAAGCACCGTCCACATCGCGGCGTCCAAGTAGTCCTCCTCCGGCTCCTCTGTGTAGAACATTTCGACGGGAAACGTGCGGCCACGGGAGTAGATTACGGGCGCACCATCGAAGAATTTACTAAAACTCGACGCTTCAAGCGTAGCAGACATGACGATGACGCGTAACGGTGGCAACGCGCGTCCGTACTGGTCCTCGCCGAGCGATTCGCGTCGACGACGTTGCACGCCTTTGATCGTGCCCAACAGGAAATCGGTCTGCAACGTGCGTTCGTGCGCTTCATCAATCATGATAACACCGTACTTTGACAGTAAAGGATCTCCGACCGCCTCTCGCAGGAGCATACCGTCGGTGAGAAACTTTATGCGCGTCTCTTCGCTCGAGACATCTTCGAATCGAATGGCGTACCCCACGAGCGTGCCGTGCGCCGTACCGGTTTCATCGGCCACGCGACGCGACACGGACACTGCCGCCACCCGTCTCGGCTGTGTGACGCCTATCATCAACCCATTCGTCAGCGTCATGTCTTCGTACACGTATTGCGGAATTTGCGTCGTCTTCCCGCTTCCGGTTTCGCCGATGATGATGACGGTTTCGCTCTTCCTAATCTCCTCCATCAATCGATCCTTCGCGCGATATATCGGCAGTGACTTTCGCACTCGGTCGATTTCTTCTCTCTTCGCTCCCGTGGGTGCCCCGTTCGCCTTCCGCGCGTCGGACGTCGACGCGTCTCCGCCCCCGCGTTCGCGTCCCTCGCGAAGCGTCTCCATGGCGTCACCCGCGCGTCTCGTCCAGCGCCTCGATCGCCGCCTTGACGTTCGCCGTCGCGCGTTTCTTATCGCTCAGAAAATACAAATCCCCACGTTTTTCGTACACCTGCTTTGTCGCGCGAGCCCGGTCGTCGTCGTCGTCGTCGTCGTCAGTCTCGCTCGTCGTCGTTCTCGGCGGTTGGTCCGTCGTCTCTTCACCGTCGCCGTCGGGTCGCACGCACCGCGCGCGCGGACGCTCGCGTCGACTTCGGCAGGCTTTGTAATTCGCTCAGCGCCACCTCGAGGGCGTCTCTCGATTCCGTCGTCGTCGTCGTCGCTCGCGCGCGTTCGCTCGCCATGCGCTCGAGCCGCCGACGGGCGGACGCCTTGTGCGGCGACGGGCGACGGGCGAAGGGCGCGATCGATCGGTCTCGCGTCGCAACGCGGCGCGACGCGAAGGGATGTGGACGATTCGTCGCCGACTGAGAACGACGCGCATCGCGTCGCTGACGCGCGACGCGCTCGCGCGCGCGCTCGCGACCGCGCCCGCGGGCGACGACGCGCGCGGCGTCGTCCTGCGATGCGCGCTGAGGGTTGACGGTGGGACGGCGTCGTCGACGCGCGCGAGGCGCGAGGGACGCGTGCCGGGCGTCGTGTTCGCGCCGGGAAGCGAACGAGGGACGATGATCACGGTGTGCGAGCGAGAGATGAACGCGGCGGTGCGCAAACACACGCTGGCGGGGGTGGCGTGCGAGGTGTTCGACCTGGAGGTGCAGACGACGACGGCGACGGGCGAGGAGAGCGGGGAGACGAGACGAGTGCGAGCGTTGGCGAAGCAAGTGCAGATGCACGCGTATAATCAAATGGTAGATAACGTGTGTTTCTTAGAGGTGAAACCGGAGACGGAGGTCAAGGTGCGCGTGCCCGTGGCGACGCAAGGCGAAGACGTCAGTCCGGGGGTGAAGCGAGGCGGGTTCGTGCAGATTATGCGACAGACGGTTCCCGTGAGATGCAGGAGCGATTCCATCCCGAAACGATTTTTGATGGACGTCTCCACGCTCGATGCGGGCAAGGTCATCAAGATTGGCGATGTGACCGTGCCAGAGGGGGTGAAACTTTTAGACGCCGACTTGAATCTTCCTTTGGTTCGAATCGGCGGCAGAGTCAAGAGCGCGGAGTAGATGAAGACGAGCAGAATTAGCGATAGCGTAGCAAATTTCAATACATGTATCGTGTTGGTACAAATGTTCGTCGAAAAAGTCAATCAATCAGTTTTGTCTATGTTTCTAGCGCCGAGCAAACCTTTAGCCATTTCCGAAACCAACGTATCCGTGAACTTGCGCAACACGGCAGTGGTGTCGATGAGTCGAGCTTTGTATAGGGCAAAGTCGTTTTCCAGACTCTCTTGCTTTTCGGGTGCGTACTGGTATTTCCCATCTTGAAGTTCATCAGTTAGCGTCGACGGCGGCGACACGTTTTGTTTCTGTTCATCATCTTCCGGCTCTGGCGGAAGGAATGGTTTGATGTCTGATTCAATCATGCGAGACAGGAGCTCGAGACAACGCTCCATGTCACCTTGAATGTACTCAAAGAACTCTTTCTTGCTCTGATCGTCGGCAAATTCGTAATACGCGTACGCGTAAGTCCATTTCAAAATTTTCCTGCACTCGGTCACTTGCCTGAGCGCATCCATGATGAAAACAACTTGTTGCTTGGACGTACGCTGTAAATCGATCAATATGTCAAGCACGCTGTCTTTGAATCTCTCGACGTCTTGTTCGGCTTTTTTACTCGCATCCTCGTGCGCTCTATAGCGTTCATAGTAGAACACGTAGCGCTCGAGAGAATCTCTGGCTCGTTTCCGCCTGTTTTCGTCGCCGGTTTTGTCTCCACTGTATTTGTTGCAGCGTCTGGCGCAGGCGTACGGCCCGGAATCCCAAGGTCCGAGACAAAGCCAGCAAAACGAGCAATGGCACTGTGAGCAGTGCATGTGCATACATCCTCCATTCTTCAAGATCGGTCGATGACACTTCGGACATCCCTTCGTGTTAGCTAGCATCCACTCCGAGTTCACACCGTCGGAGTTGATTTTGTCCATCCACTTCTTCGCGACTTCACAATCATTCACAGGCACGTGGGGCTCACTCTGGCACGAAAAGCAGAATTCGGCACCACAGTTGCATTTCACACTCACGGGATTGGTCGGCAGTTGCTCGACGGCGATGGCACATTCGCAATCGACGCCAATGCAAGGGCGCAACTTGGCGTTGTTTTCCAAAAACGACCGCCGCAAGAATGTATCAAACTTCGTTTCATCTTCATCACTAAGAAACTTTCGAATCATGGACTCGGGGACTTTGGCAGGACACATAGGACACCGCGTGTTGACCACGGAAAGCCCATCATTCACCTTGCTCGTCACCCATCCCGACCAACACTCGTCGCAAAATTCATGCGCGCACCCGACCGTCGTCAAAGCATCCCCTGGAAAGTCCTCGAAGCAAATCCCGCACCCTCGCGTTCCACCCGACGACATCGCTGCTTCGCTATTTTCGCGTCTCGTCTTTGCATCGATCAACCCCGACGTCTCGCGCACCTTTCTCGTGTCCTCGAACCACGCCGTCGCGGCGGCTTCGAAATCGTACGAGAAGTGACTCAACAAGGCCTCCGCCTCCTCTGTGCGCACGTCCAGGAGCGCTTTTGCCCGCTCGATCATCGTCGATCGCACGTCTAATTGCTTCGTCGCCTCGATGCACACAATCGTGGTCTCATTCGCCGGCTCTACGGGTTGCGACAGCGCGGCGAACGCGTCGTCCGATGCGCCCAAGATGGGCGTGCCGTCGTCGGAATCGTCGCACCACGCGCAATCGTCGTCGGAATCGCCCGCACCGAAACTATCGTCGGCGTGAAGGGTCATTTCTTACGCGCCGTGTCGGTGCGCACGCGAGCGCGCGTCACGGACGCGCGCCGCGATGTGATGCGATGGTGCTCCGACAGTTGACAAGACGCGCGCGCGGTGAGAGCGGTTTTTAATGGTCTCCATGTTTGATATTTCAGAGCTAACCTCCTATTCGCGCACCGAGAATTAATGTTTACGAGTCTAGAAAGACGGAACGCTCACGCGACCGGCGATGCGATCGAGATCCCGTTGACCGGACGGAGTGATGCGGCGACCACCCTTCGCATCCTTCTCGACGACACCGATGGATTCGAGCTGCTTGAGCACAGCGCGCGCGACGCTACCGGAACCGATTTGGTGGTGGTGACGACGAACGCCCTTGTTACCCGCACCGCAGTACGACTTGCGCAACGCACCCACACCCATGTTACCCTTCGTGTAGAGCTTGCGAGCGACCGAGGCAGCGCGAATGTAAAACCAATCCGGGTCGTACGGCGCGAGCTCCTTGTACGTCGCAGTCTTCACGGTGTCGACCCACTGCGGAACCTCCATCTGTTACGAGCGAACGAAATCATAGCCACGGTCAGTGTCAAATCACGATGGCGCTCTCGCCTCGGCCCCGACGCGCGCGCGCTCGCGAGGGTTGGCCTCTGAGCCACCGTCGGTCGATCGCGACGTCTCGGTCGCCTGCGTCGCGCGACGTCGCGCACGCGCGCCGACGAACGCGCACGCGATCGCATAAATGCGATCGCGCGCATCTCTCGTCGACGTCGCACGACGGCACGCGCGCCGTCGCCCTCACAGCGCCGGCCCCCGACGCGCGCGGTGAAGCCCTAGCGCTCGACTCGACGCCCACGTCGCGCGCCTTCGTCGACGCCCAAACGCCCGCGCGTCGTCTCGCGCGACGACGATCGATGCGCACGAATACGTTCGCATTCGTCACCGCCGACGTCGTCGCGTTCGATCGTCCATCGCCGCGCCGTTCGCGCGCGCGCGTCGTCGCTCGATCGCGCCGCGATGCGCGAGCGTCGTCGTGCGTTCGATTCTTCGCGTACCTTGCCGGTGGATCGGAAGTATTGCGCCAGAGCGATGACGAACTCCTGCGCGGGGACGTCCTTGACCGTTCTCGGGGCGTTCTTGGTGGCCATCTTTCTCTCGTCCGCGGCTCGAAAAGACGGATCGCGCGCGTCGAGCATCGAACACATCACAATCGATCATTAGGGTTTTCACGCCCCATCCCGTCGGGCCGACGCGCGCGCATCGAGACGCGCGAGCCGTCTTTATCGAGCGCGCAACGTAGCCTAGCGAGCGTCGAGCGATGGCGAAGTCTACCAACCACACCGCGCACAACCAATCGTACAAGAACCACCGCAACGGTACGCACGACGCGCGACAAAGGCGCGGTTGCGAGGACACGGGACGACGCGCGCGAGGGCGACTTTGGGGAGACGTCGACGACGCGTGACGGCGCGGCGAGGGCGTCGAGCGCGATCGACGGCGAACGAAACGGACGATTGAAATGCTTGACGTCGATCGATGGGGGACGAACGGGCAAACGGCGAGAAGGACGGCGCGAACGGCGAACGAATCGAACGCCGCAAGACCCAGAACCAAACCCACCAAAACCGCGGCGCGAGAGACTGACTGAGTTGATTTTGCGCGCATCAGGTATCAAGAAGCCGAAGCGCGTTGGGAAGCCGTCCACGAAGGGGGTACGTATCGCCTTGCTTCGTCGTTCGCGCATCACGGTTCGAAACGCGCTCGCATCGACCCGCCCCGCGCAACCGATCGCTGACCATTTACGTCTCTTCCGCCTCGCAGATGGATCCGAAGTTCCTCAAGAACCAAAAGTTCGCCAAGAGAGGTAGCTTGAAGGCGGCCGGCAAGAAGTAACGGGGGCGTGTAGAGAGTCACTAGAGTCTGAAAGGTGTATAGCACGGAGGAGGACGTTGCGATGGTTGGCTAGAAGTTGTAGTGAGTGCGCAGACAACTTTAACCGCGTCGCGCGCGCCAGCCTCTCTCACCGTCCGTTCGCGTCGTCGCTCGCGCGCGCGGCGATGACCGCGCACGCGCGCGTTTATTTTCCCGCGTCCTTTCGCCGTGGTCCCGATCGCGCCGTCTGAAACGTGCGCGATCTCCAAACTCTCTAACCCTGGCGCGCGCGCGTTTGCCCGATTTGATTTTTCGTTTCTGTTGGACGGGAAAGAAGCCCAGCTGGGTGGTTTCGACGATCGATCGCGCGCCGCAGTCGCTGACGCTCGAAGTCGCGCGCGCGCGGTATGGGTGACTCCGTGCCAAACTTCTTCGGTGGCCAAGGCGGCGGTGCCTCGGGCCTGAGCTTCGGCGGCGGCGCGTCGTTCGGCGCCGACGCCGGTCCGTTGTTTGAGATGAAGTGTGGGAAACTCGTTCGCGATGGGGCGAAAATGCGCGCAGATCCGCGTCGAGGGACGCTGAAAATCGTGAAGAGCGAGGTCGATGACACGTTGAAACAGATTCAGTGGGGAGTACGAGATCCATCGACCGCGTTCGAGGCTGAGGATGATTTCATCATCTTGCCAGACGAGGCGGTGCTGAAGACGATGAAGCGCGACGGATGTTTCATGTTGGCGTTCATCGAGGAACGCGATCGAGACATGTACTTTTGGTCGCAAGAGAGCGATGGAAAAGACGCCATGGAGGCGAAATTGCTGAAGTTTAATCGCGCGGTGAACACGAACGTCGGCGAAGCGCTCGAAGAGAATATCGCCGCCTCGGAAGCGCAAACGGCGATGGAGACTGGCGATGCCCCGAATGCGGTACCCTCGGAAACTCCTGCGGCAACGACGTTGATGCCACCGCCGGCGAACGTGATTCCTTCGCCCGTGGATCCGACGCCCGCGCCGACGTCGTTTCCCGCGCAAACGCCGGCGGCGCCCGCCAAGGTGAGCGAAGGTATGCGAACGCCCGCGAGCGCGGGGAACTTCACTCCGATTGTGAGCAGCGATGCTTTGAAGGGTGTGTTCGCTAGTCTCGGTGGGGCGACGCCGCAGACGCCTCCCGTTGGTTTGCCTGAGATTTTGACACCAGAACTTGTCGGGCCTTTGCTTCGAGACGAACAAATTCGAGGACGCTTGTTGGAGTATCTGCCGGAAGAACATCGCGAGACGCAAGACTTGGAGGAGCTCATTCGCACTCCACAATTTCGCAGTCAGTTAGAAACGTTTAGTCAGGCACTGCAGAGTGGAGAGATGGACATGGCGCAGTTTGGGTTGAAACAAAATGGCGTGGCGAACCTGGAGACCTTTTTAAAGGCGATTCAAGCCGAGGTTGATGAATCTAGCGGTAAGAACGAAGAAGAGGACGCGATGGAGAGTTGAGTAGTTGAGGCGATTAGATTTAATCATGAGCTCACAAATTCGAATCAAAAAGTCAACGCGCTCGATTCAAGCCGTTCCGACAAACGGCGTCGAGAGTTTTGAGCGCGCGCCGTGCCTTCAATCATCCCTCGGCGCGGCGATGCGCTCCGAGACGAGTCCACAAAGAATTTTGTTCGGCATACCGACGCATCCGCGCGAATTCATCCTCCATCACGTCACCGTACGACCTTCTCGCCGTCAACGCCTCTTCGCATCGCCGCAACGCCCCGCCGAGCGCTCGCGCGAACGTCTCGTCGTCCAACACCTCCCCATCGCCGTCGCTTTCATCCGCACACGCCACGCCAGCGTTCACGAGCCCTCCTCGTTCGCTCTGCACCCCTCTTTCGACGGTCTCGTTCTCCACCTGCGCCCCTCTCGCGCGCGTCGTCTTCGTCGTCTTCGTCGTCTTCGTCGTCTTCGTCGTCTTCGTCCCGTCCACCGTCGTCGTCTCCGCTCTCACCGAGACGCCGTCGGCGTCGGCGTCGCGCATTTCGCGCCCCGATCGCGCGCGCCCCGTTCGCCCCGAACGCGCGCGTCGCCCTCCCGCGTCGCCCTCGCGCGCGTCGCCGCGCGTCCCGACGATTCGCGTCGCCCGCGTTGACTCGACGGTCCGTCCGAATGTCCGAATGTCCGAATGTCCGAATGTCCGAATGTCCGAATGTCCGAATGTCCCAGGGTTGTCTTCTGTTGCCCGGCGCCGCGGCGACGGCGAAGCGCGACGCGCGATGCTGCGTCGACCGCGGCGGAAGGCGCGCGCGCGAGCGACGCGTCGCGACGAAGACGACGATCTCGATCTCGATCTCGATCTCGACCGAGGCGCGGTGCGCGTGCGACCGGCGCCGCGCGCGAGCGAAGACGACGAAGAATCCGCGCGCGCGCGACGGGCGTGGACGTTACGCGGCGACGAGGGGGGCGCGACGCGCGATGGACGGCGAACAGCGACGGGAGGACGCGAACGCGCGAACGATGGGACGCGGACGCGACATCGCGGATTCTTAGCCAAGATGGAATCGACGAAGATGGACGCCGAGGCGCTGCGAGAGAAGCTCGTCGCGGTGCGAGAGAAGACGCAGGAAGCGATGAAGAAGATCGAGGTGCCCAAGGTGGAAGATTTGAGAATGCTCATAGAAGACATACGACAAGAGCAAACGGAAGCGAAATATCATCCAGATCGGCGAAGACTGGAGAGCGTGGCGGATTTTTTTGCGTACACGGAGGAAGAAGGTGATTCTCGCAATCGAATCGAATCGCAACGCGCGCGCGGCGACGCGACTTTGACGCTCCCGATGACTGACTGGTGACGACGCACGAACGTTCGAATGAGCAGGAAGAAAGTTTTTCGACGAAGTGGATCGATCGAAAAAGGGCAAGCTGACGTTGGATGATTTAAAGTTTGCGATGAAGAAGAGGAATTTGCCGCAGTCGTACGCAAAGTCATTCATGGAAAAGGCAAAGGGGCCCAAGATTTTCGCGCGAACGATCACGTGGGGCGATTTTCAAAGCGTGATGAACGAGCGAGAGTCGACTATGTTGCGTACGTTTAACTCGATGTCCGCCTCGCGGAACGGGCTGTTAAAGACGTCCGACGTAAAGCAAGTGCTCGAAGGTTTAGGTTTGGCCGCCACGGACGAAAACGCACGAGCAATGGTGCGGCATTTGCGAGGAAGTTCGGAGTATTCACGACAGGGCTACGTGACGTACGGTCAGTTTCGTAACTTTTTGATGCTCATGCCCCACGAAGTTGCGCGCGAAACTGATCCGTCGAGATTATGGTTCGAGGCGGCGACGATTGTACAGTTCAGCGCTCCGCCAAGAACTGGTAGCATAGCTATGGCGGCTCGCGCGGCGTTCGCGGGTGGCCTAGCTTCAGCGACGACGACGAGTATGATGCATCCCTTAGATACGCTGAAGACTCGCTTACAAGCCGCAGTCGGGAAAGGGCCATCGCTCTTGGATTTGATCAAGAGTGTGCCAAAACTCGGTCCTCGGAAAATGTATCAAGGTATCATTCCATCGGTGACTGGAAACTTTGCCGGGCATGGCTTACGAACGGCTACGTACGAAGTCGTTTGCTTGGCTCTCGCACCGGCAGTCGCGCTTCCGATGATAACAGAGACTACGATTCAAGGCGTGGGATCAGGTTTGGGAACGCTATTCGGAACATGCGTGCGGATCCCTTGTGAGGTTTTGAAGCAACGTTTACAAACGGATCAGTACCCCAATGTCTTATCCGCATTTAAGGGTATCACATCGACGAATCCGCGTGCGCTGTACGCAGGAACAGCCGCTACGCTGACTCGGGAAATTCCATTTTACGTAACTGGTCTTATGATTTACGAAAACTTGAAAAAAGGCGCAGTCGCGCTCAAGGGGGGACGCGAACTCGAAAACTATCAGGTAATCATGGTGGGCGCGTGTGCTGGTGCGCTCGGATCCGTCATGGTGAATCCATTCGACGTTATGAAGACGCGCACGATGACGGGGTCGGTGCCACTCGGACAGTCACTTTGGGTGTCGATGGCACACATCGTCAAAACTGAAGGACCACTCGCGCTGATGAAGGGTGCCATACCTCGCATGGCCTGGATCGCACCTCTCGGTGCGATGAACTTTGCGGGCTACGAACTTGCAAAGAAGGCGATGAACGCGCCGGAGGGAGAAAAGAAGGCAGAAAAAGAAGAGTCGATGCGCACTGCGCCTCCGGAGGAGTAGCGATGATGAAGCATATTTATAGACCGTCGAGCGACTTTTAGACTAAACACTACGATTTTAATGTGGTTACCTAAGCTAAACTAAAGTTCAATCTCATCCGGATCTGCGACTTTCGGCGGCGGCGGCGCACGTCTGGGCGGCGCGTTTCCGAACGGTCCAGGCCGAGGGACGGCGTAATACTTCACGTCGTCGTTGTTCCCAGCCCCACTAGGAGTAGTGATTTTCAGATCAAGCTCGAGTAAATCCATTAAAGCTTTCGTCTGAGGGTTGACGTCGACATCAGCAGGTGCACGCCCTTTACGACGGGTTTCTGAGGAAGGATCATATGCCGGCCGCGTGGCGACAAACTCGGGCGGAACCGTCGCCGATGATCCAGCCGCTTGCAAACGCTCGCTCACCCATTTCTTGTGTGGCTCTAAGTCAATTGCCTCGGGAGTTCCGTAGGCTGGCAGCTGTGCCGGTCGATGCGTCACGGAATGGTACTCATGATTGGCCTTTAAAATAGCGAGCCATTCCTCGTCGAGAGCAAAACCGCCTTCGGCGCTCTTCTCTGGCAAATCAATCACTTGTAAAAAGTCTCTGTGAGGCAAGCATTTATCTAAGGCCAAGAATTTTGTCGTTTTTTCGTCTTCGTGTTTGACTAGTGCCGCATACTTGACATGTAAATGCGCGGAGAACCAGTACTTTGGCTTCAACCTTTTCAAAAGTTCCTCCGCCGGCGGCGAGCCAAGGGTGTTGCTTTCGATCTCGTCCTTCAAAAACTTCTTCTTACGAAACAACTCGTGCTTGTTCCCAAACTGCGCGATCCCACGCGGCCAATCGTGGCTAAGGAAGACGTCTATCTCACTCTTTACTTGCTTCAGCTTGAAGACATCAAACTCTCGAACGTGATACGCCGTCTTCACTGCGTGTCCAGAATACGGCGGTCGCTCGTGATGCCCTTTCTTGTAATCGTGCGTCTTAAAGATCCCAGATAACCCACCGATACGTAAATCACCAAAGTTTACAACCCCTGAGTGCCCGACGTAGTAGATATTTGGTGCCACGTAGCCGCCGTAATACAGCTCCCACAAGTAATTGGACGCTTCGTGATTGCCTCCGATGAAAAGTGTCGGTATAGGCGCCGTCTTCTCACCGCTGTAGTACTTATAAAACGTCCCGAGCTCCTTGTACTTGTCCGGCACGGACATGCATTCCAAATCGTCCAAGTTTCGCACGGCTTGGAAATCGCCGCAACAAATCAGCAAATCAATTTTCACCTTCTCCACCACCTCCAAGTGCGCGATCGCGGCGTATATCGCATCGAGCTCGCCGTGACAGCACCCTTCGATCGCGATCTTCATCGCGACGTAGTGACACCGACCGATCGAGCGTTTCGACGCCGCAACACGCGCACGAGTGTGCGGGTCGTCCCCGGGTTTGCTTGGGACAAACGTGGGACAAGTAGTTTGCAACGGTCGCAGGAAGATGATTTAAATCGCGCATGTGCGTATTCTATCGCAATCACTATTTTCTAACGTGTGTCTAGTTTGACTTGTTCATGATCAATCGATGGCAATGACATAAGAACTCGACGTAGCTCATGCCCGCCGGACTGCGGTCCTCGCTAAGTCGGTTGTAAAACAATGCCTCGAGCGTGTCCCCGCGTTTGAGGATGCGAGCCCGCATGAAAGCGCCGCGTTGCTTACGAATGGCGTTAATAAAACTATTCAACGCCTTCGAAGCCGGAGTGTCGAGATTCGGAATCGTCGCTCGCGTAGAGACGATGTCGTCGACGTTTTCGGTGCCAAATAAATCTCGCAACGTCTCGACAGGAAGCTGTCGACCGATCCAGATTAAGATTTCTTGGCCATCTTCCAACAAGTACGCGCCATCTTGGTTGAGTTTCTCTGAACTTAGCCACATGCACGGAGGAATGGGCGGGAACGAAGAATCTTGAGGCAAGTCGTGGATGGAGAAGAGCCGCGGGTACACGGCGGGCGTCGCTAGCTCGGGCGGCGCGTGCAAAGCTCGGTAGAGCCATGCCGCTCGATCGTCCGGCGACGCGTCCGAGCGTAAGCCGTATGATTTGTGCAAACCCAAAGTGTAAAGCGGAAGCGTCTTCAAACCTTCGGGTAAGATGAGTTGGCCGCTGCTGTTGTTGCTTGCGCAGAATCGACGATATGCAAACAACGTCGCGATGCACTGTTGCAAAGATGCGTCTTTCGCCGAGGCGAGCGTGCCGTTCCCCGAAAGTAAGGCGTTCGCCGCTTTACGAACAGCCCAGTCGCTCTGTGCATCCAGATCTGCCGACCGAAACAGCGCACCGAGAACAGATGTAATCGGAAGAGCGATTGTGTGCACTCGAATTCGACGTTCCATCGACGTCGTTGAGTACAAGAGCGCGCACTGCACGTACGCCTCTCTACCGTCCACCAACTTATCTTCGTATCTCAGCGTCACCGCAATTGTCTTGTCGCTATCGATAGCCGGTAAATCTATGTCCGTCATCGTTCGTTTGCAGAAGAATCCATTATAATCTTGAACGCCCAGACCCGAACTCGCTCGAACGCGCATCACGGCTTCGAGTCCTTGCGGGCGGATGAAGTTCCACCTCAAGTCGTTGTGCAGTTGGGCGAAGTCTTGCTGGACGTTGAACCCTGGGTATCTGTATAACGAACCTCCGGTCAAGCGCGGTAGCACTCCGAGCGTGGCGACATCCACCGCCGAGGACACGCAGAGGAAGAGATCGATGCAAACTTGATGCTCCGCGGCGTACGTAGCCATGGTGTGATACGCCTTGTCAGCCGGCGCCATACACTTCAATGGCTCCTTTTCGATGTTCCCAGTGCGCTGCCCGGCAGTGCCCGTGCGAGCTTCGAGCTTGCCAAGGCCGACGTTCGGGATTGTCGCCATGAAAGCCATCACCTTGCCGCCCGTCGGTTTCAAACACTCAATTCCCGCCTTGATGGCCGCCGTCGACGCATTCGGACCAGGTGCGGTCGACGAGAACGTCTCCGGAATCATCTTTAGTAGACTTTCAATCGCTTCTCTATTTTTGGCCAAGGAGACGACGAGACCACTCTTCAGCGGCGCGTACGAGTCTTCCACGTCGGGAACGATGAGCATCGACGGTTTCTCGGCTCCATCCTTGAGGTGATAGAAGTGAATCGCTGAGTCAACGGTGGCGATCCCCACCTGAGCATCTTTGGGAACGCTATCTAACGTTCGCATGATGACTTCGCACGCGCTCGTGGTGACACCGCTGTGAATGGCTTGGGACGTGACCTCGATTAAGAATAGATACGTCGGCGCCATGGGCGGTCGCACCATGTACTCTTGCGGCGCCACGTACTCAACCGTCCCTCTACACAGCTCTTGTCGCTCCGTCCAATCCGTGCGCTTACCGTTCGCTCCTAAGTTACACATGTACTCGTGCGGAACTTCGGTGACGAAATAGCAAAAGTTGCATTCAAATCTCAAGTGGTCCAGGAAGCGCATGTACGGGTTCATGTACGCCTTGCACCGACCGCATCGAATCGGACCCGTCTTGCCGTTATCTATCAAATGAATCGGCGCTTCCTCGGGATGCGGTAGCGCTAAAGGACGAGTCATGATGCTCAGCGGCATTCCGCTCGTCGTCAGCAAGTCTCCCGTGTTCGGTAAGCTGCTCAGCGTCGATCGCATGTATCTCGGGTTGGCGCTCCCCAAGTCGCATCCGACGTACTCCAACGTCGCCGAAGGCGGATGCGTGGCCTGATCCATCTCGCTTCTCGTGTTATACGTCACCCTTTCCTCGTGACTCGCGTACTGCGGTCGCGGAATCTGCGACGGATCTATCCTCGACGTCGCCCCCGTCGCGCTCGCCGCGCCCGGCATCGGCCTGTGCGGATGCGACGCCGGTACCGGCGCCGCGGGTGGCATCACTCCCATCCCCACCGCGCCTCCTCCCGCGGGCATCATCATCGTCGGCGCCGGCGGCGCCGTCGTCGTCGCCGTCGTCGTCGCCGCCGCGCCGTCGCCGCGCCACCCGTACCCCCCGTGCTCCGTCCGATCCGTCGGAATCTGCATCTGCGGGTACGTCCGTCGCTGCGGCGCCGCGCTTCGCGCGTCTCCCGGTCCCATCGTCCCGTTCGTCTGCGCGCAGATTTCGGTCAGACTTCTATTCAGATTTCCGACGCGTCCCGACGCGCGTCTCCGTCTCGAATCGTTCGACCGCGATCGCGCGACGCGCGCCCTTCGTTCGCCGCCGTCGCGCGCGTCGCGCACTCGCGCGCGCGCGCGGTCGCGTCGCGCGAATCGCCAATCGCCAATCGCGCGTCGATCGTCGCGCGGTGTCCCTCAATCGACCGTTCGTGACTCAAAGCGACGATGCAGCGTATGCGCAAACAGTTCGACAGTCATTTGAATGCCGTCGCGACGCGCGAATCGTTCGATTCGCGGCGCGGCGTCGGCGCCGCAGACGTCGCGCGTCGCGCGTCGCGCGTCGGCGAGCGCGCGTCGAGCGCGGGTTCGATCGAGGCGTCCATCGGCGCGCTCGCGATGGCGCGCGCGATGGGACGGCGGCGCGGGACGACGACGAAGGACGACGGCGCGATCGCGACGCGGGATTCGCGACGCGGGATTCGGGACGGCGGGACGCGCGGCGACGCGGCGACGCGGGCGCGGCGACGGCGAAAAGCGATGCGGTGCGAACGCCGACGAGGCGACGCGAACGCGCGACGAGGCGACGACGCGACGCGACGGGAGGGAGGGATCGGGGATTCGGGACCGAGGCGAGCGCGGGACGCGATCGCGATCGGGCGAGCGAGGGCGCGGACGAAGACTGACGGACGCGACGCGCGCGACGCGATGACGCAGAGGGCAAATGGTGTGGATAACCGGGGGGGTGTTGGCGGTGGTGGTGCTGGCGGCGCTGGCGCGAGATTGGACGCGAGGGGGAGGCGGGGCGAGCGCGGGGGCGAACGGGAGGAAACTCTTGAGCGCGAGTTCGACGTGCAAACCGACCAAGGATTGGGAATTACCGGGAGGAATATTTGCGTACTTGGTCGGGGTGATATATCTGTTCATCGGGATCGCGATCGTGTGCGATGACTTCTTCGTCGCTTCGTTGGAAAAGATTTGCGAAGCGTTGGGTTTGAGCGACGACGTCGCGGGGGCGACGTTCATGGCGGCTGGTTCGTCCGCACCCGAGCTCGCTTCGAGCGCCATGTCGTTGATTAATAGTGGTACCGATAACGCTTTGGGCGTCGGTACCATCGTTGGAAGCGCGGTGTTTAACATTCTCGTCATCATCGGCACGACGGTGATCTTCGCGGGGCAAACTTTGAAGCTGGATTGGAAGCCTCTCGCTCGAGACTGCAGCTTTTACTTCGCCGCCATCGTCGGCATCGTCGCCACTTTCAACGGAGGCAGAGTGAATTGGTGGGAAGGACTCATTTACGTCTTTCTTTACTGCTTGTACATCGCCTTCATGTGGAAGAATGTGTACTTTATGAAACTTTTGGACGACAAATTCGGCGACTATCTCGGCCGCCCGGACGCGGCGGTGGAGATGGAAGAAGCTGCGGGCGGCGGTCTCGGTGCCCAGTCGGCGTCTAAGGCTACGACTTCTGCCATGAGTAAGGAACTGTCTTTCACGGGCTCAATCTACGTCGGCTTCGCCGCGCAGCGATTCAAGGCTGGCTTGGGGAACAAGCAGCACAGGGCAAAGGCGCTGAGTCCCGGGCAACTTCGAGCGATTCGAAACGCTACGGAAAAGGTGACTTGGAGTCATCATCACGTGAAGCACGCTCCGACCGAAGATGGCGTGGCGAGTGAAGACGGAGATGACGAGACGAATCCGTTCGTCATGCCGGCGGAGTGGAAGGATCGACCGATTTGGGCGCTCAGCCTCCCGTGGTACGCTTTGTTTACGATCTCGATTCCGCCGTGTCACAATCCGAAGTGGGAGAAGTGGTATTTTGGATCCTTCTTAGCGTCCATAGGTTGGATCGGAATCATTTCGCACTTCATGGTGGAGTGGTGCGCGAGAATCGGTTGCTTACTGAAGATTCCCGCCATCGTCATGGGGACGACGGTGCTCGCCGCCGGGACGTCGATTCCTGACGCGCTCTCGTCCATCTCAGTCGCGAAGGATGGCTTCGCAGACATGGCAGTCGCGAACGCGGTGGGATCAAACGTGTTTGATATTTGGCTGGGTTTGGGTCTTCCGTGGCTGTTATACCTTTCGTGGCAAAAACCGAGCTACATCACCGTGAGTACGACGGAACTCCTGCCGTCGTCGCTCATTCTCCTCGGCGTCTTGATTCTCTACGTCGGCACGGTAGCGTCGAAGGGATTCACGATAACGAGACAGATGGGTTTCATGTACATAGGCTTTTACATGTTGTACGCCTTCTATAATATCGTCCTCGTGTGGGTCGTGGATATCTATAAGCTCGAGTAGGACACAGTAGCAGCGATGTTTCTTTTTAATATCGAGAGAGAAACCTAAGTCGCATCAATAGGGCTTGTGTCGCACGCTCGACCCTCCCTTCGCGGCTAATCGAGCAGAGATGGCTGCTGCGCGCGCCGCGGCCTCGCTCTGCGCAGCCTTGGCGTCGATGTCAACTTTCGCCGGCGCCGGCGCCAGGCTAAACGAGCGCGGGTTCAAGAGCTTGGGCGTCTTCGCCAGCTCCACCCGAAGATTCCTCCCGCCCACTTGCATGCCGTTCAAAGCGCACGCCGCGAGCGCTTCTTTGTTTGATTCAAACTCGATGAAGCAAAAGTTCTTCCCCGGTCCCCCCTCTCGACACTCCGCGATGGAGCCGCAAAACGAAAACAACTGCTTCACCTGCTCCGTGGTGAGCCCGACGGGGTAGTTGGACACGTGCGCGGTGCGTCTGAGCTCCTCCGGCACGGGCGGCGGCGGCACGTTCACCACGCCCACCGCGTCCCCTCCGCTCGCGCCGGGCGGCGGCGGCGGCGGCGGCGGCGGCACGTCGTGCTTGAACTTGCAAATCACCCTGTCGCAGTTGCCGAGCAAAAAGTCTCGACACACCCCCGCCGGCGCCGGCTCCCCGCGCGCCAACAGAGGCACGCCGCGCGCGCGACGCTCGTTCACCAGCGGCCCGTCCAACGGCGCGCTGTAAAACACCTCAAACGGCGACCCCTCGATCTCGACCCCGTCCATCCTCACCGTCACTCGATACTCCCCTCGCTCTCGCACCGCGTACGCGCACGCGTGCTCGCCGTCGCCCTCGTCCCGTCCCTCTCCCGCCGCCACCACCTCCCCCCCTCGCCCCACGACCTCGAACGTCACCCTGTGCGCCCCATCGTTCGTTCGTTCTCCCTCACCGTCGCGCACGCTTACCGTGAACCCACTTTCCCGTCCCGCCGCGCCGCCGCCGACCCCCGCGCCTCGCGCCGTCGTCCGCCGCGGATCCGCCACCCCTCGCGCGTACCCGCTCCCCGTCGTCGCCGGCCCGATCGCCCGCGTCGTTCCCAAAGCGTCTGGGTCCACCCCCCGCGCGCGCAGCGCCTCGCGCGCCGTCGCGTCGTCGTCGAACCGATCGAATTGTTTCGCATCGCGCACGCGCCGTCCCGTCGGCGCGAGCGTCGGCGGGACGCGATGCGCGCGCTTGAAGGTGGCCTCGAACGCGGCGCGCGCCTCGGCGTCGCGCTCGGCGGTGGCTTTCTCGGTCTCGCGAAGCGCCGCGGACTCGGAGGGGCCGACGCCGAAGCGACGAAGCGCCATGGCGGCCGACAGTGGGGACGCGGACGCGCGCGCACATGTGCACACGTCGCTTTATTTGCTGACATTTTTTATATAGCGTCATTGGAGGTATTCTAGTACCTCAGCGTTCATATAAGGACGGTGCGTATACCTATTTACCAGAGAAATGGCAAAGGCCCTTTCGTCAACACGTGCGTCTTTCGCGGGACGACGGAATCATTCATGTGAGCGAGGGACGAATGCGTGCGTGAATGAATGAATGCATGAATGAATGAATGAATGCATGAATGCGCAATGAATGGGCGCGATGCGTGCGATGACAAACTGACAAACGACGGCGCGATGGCGACGACGGCGACACAACGCGAGCGGCGACGTCAACCGAATAAGGAAAAGGAGCACCGCGGACGACGCGCGGGCGAAGGCGCGCCGGGCGAGGGCTCGCGCCGACCGCGAACGGTTTTGGAGAGCGACGCCAGGAGAGGGGTGCCGGTGACGATGGCCTCGAGGGGAGATTTGAGGAGATCGCCGATGGACCAGTCGTCGCGGGGGGAGCGGCGCGCCGAGGGGTCGTCGGCGACGACGCGAAGCGCGGGGGGACGCGCGGGAAAGTCGTCGCGGCGGCGGCGGTCGAGAGATGATCTCGGCGGTGCTGAGGTGCGATCTTCCGCGGTCGGCGGATGGGGGGACGATTGGAGCAATCGAGCCTCGAGATCGGCGTCGCCGAACGGCCACGTGGGCGAGAGAGGCGACGCGGGCATGAAGTCAAACCAATGACGCGGCGTCGGCGCGGAGCGATCGGCGACGGCTTCGCGATGGACGCGGGCGGCGTCGTCCATTCGCGTGCGCGCGTGCGCGTGAATGAGCGCGTTTTCCAGCGCCAAGGCGTCGTAATCCGAGCTCCATCGCTCGCTCGCGGTCAAGTACTCGTCAAAACACGTCAAGACGTCACCCATGGCGGCGAACGACGGGCTCAGCGGATTCACGGCGCGTCTCGGCTTCTTCGCCGCGACGGCGCTGCACGAGGATTCTCGGCGCTCGCGCGCGGACTGTCCGGATCCGCTGGACGTCGTCAGTAATCGACGACCACTTCGCGATTTTCCTGACGCCGAGCGCTTCGGTTTCGTCGTGCTCGACCGCGGTTCGAGTGGAATCTTCTTCGCTCGCGGCGGAGTCTTCGGCGTCGCTCTCCGTCGCTTGCCCGCTCGAAGATTTTCCTCCTCCTCCTCCTCCTCCGCAGACGTCGTGAAATCGCTATTCATCGTCGTCAAGTCACATTCATCTTGAACGTCCGCGCCTCGTCGCACCGTCGTCCCTCGTCGCGCGTTCGTCGCCGTGGAATCTCCGCTCGCGCGCGTCCCGAAAGATTTCGTCGACCCGGGCGCGAGCGTCTCCGCCCGACCGCCACCCCCGCTCGGTTTCGCGTGCGTGTGTTCGCCCTCGTAGCACACCACCGTCTCCATTTCTCCATCCTCACTCGCGCGTCGCAATTCCGTCTTCTTCCTCGCCGGACACCCTCGCTCCGTGCACCGGTAATACGACCGCGGAAACGACGATCCCTTGATGTTCTTTTGCCCGTACTTGCGCCATCGGTACCCATCGGCGTGCGCGCTCGACGGCGCGTGCGCCGCGACCGTCGTCGTCGACCTCGACGTCGAGTGCGGATACGATCGTCGCGGTCGATCGCCGGCGTCGTCGTCGTAAACGCGCGTCCCGTGCGTCGTCGTCGTCGCCATCGTCACCGAGAAAAGTCAACCCGCGCGCCCTCGCCTCGATTCGATCGCCGTTCGTCGCGCGTCGCGCGTCGCGCGTCGCGCGTCGCTCGCGCGCGCGTCGCTCGCGCGCGTCGCGCGCGTCGATCGCTCCCGCCGTCGCCTCGCCGTCGTCCGCGCGCGTCGCTCGACGACGCGACGCTCCACCGCCGCGCGCGCGACGTTCTGTCGTCCGCCCGTCGTCGCGCGCGCGCGCGTCTCCGGGCGCCCTCGCGCGCGCCTCGCGCGCGCGCACTCACGCGCCAGCGCCGAATGTCTGTTTTTGCCCCGCCCCGCCCGATCGTCGCGCGCGCGCGATCGCCGGCGTCCCGGCGCGCGGTCTCCGGGCAGACGAATCGCCGTTCGCGCGTCCGAGTCATCCGTCCGCGGCGACGGGTCTACAGTTTCAGAGAGTCCCCCGACTGACGAGTCATGATTCGTCGACGGGGACTCTCTGAACCGGGACGTGGGATTTTTACCGTATGGGTCACGACTCCTCGTTCGGGGGTACTCGTATGAAACGCCGTAATTTTATTGATGCTAGGGTTTAGAAATTAGGGTTTACACGTCAAAAATCGCCGAGGTTCGATTACAAACGTGTCAAAAACGTGGCTTTTCTGAAACTCGATTTTTGCTAGGGTTTAGCGACTCCGGTTTTCCGGCGGAATTGCGTGCGGGCGGTTGGGGGCGGCGGCGTCGTCACTCCTCGCCGACGTGTCGGCAAAAGACAGAGAACAGTTCGCCCCCGTCGAAATGAGCGACGGTGCGATGCGCCCGTGGTTTCTTCGCGACGAGGATAGGCGCAGGAGCCTCGTATACGGCGTGGGTGCGGTCGCTTTCGCCCTCTTGGGGTTGGTCGTGACTACTGGTTCGAGGACGGAGTATAAGGTGGTTGCGTACAAGCCAAGTCTTTATGAACACGTCGGGTCGCATCAAGTCAAAGCCCACTATGACATTTACCCGGATACACATGACATTCACCAGGCAGATCACCCTTCTGAGGATCCTGCAGATCCTGAAGAGGAACTAGTTTACAAATATAATGGTAAGCATGTTTCTTCAGCAAACGAGAATCGGATTCGGGCACTGTACTCGCCATCAGGCTCGTCCTTCATAGATGTGGTCAAACGGGAAGGTGTGGACGACGCTACCATTTTCGAGACGTGTCTGTATCCAACAGTGACAGCTGAATTCAGGACGTACTACGGCCACGATCTGACAATCGAACCAGATACGACGAGCAAGGATCTAGGGAAGCCGGTGAACCAAGTCGAAGCACACCAATTTGGTTGCGTGTGGGAGAAGTTGTTGAATAAACTAGCGGAGTCGAACTGGAAATTCGTCACGTCCGAAACGATTATGACTGAAAAGACGTTCTATGAGATGCATATGATTACGTTCTCACGAAAAAAGACTACGTAAAATAGTTTTGATGTTGTTTAGATTGTCGTATGGGCAAACAGTTAGACATTCTCCACAGCTTCCATTCGCGCGACCAGAGCGTTGACGCGCTCTTCGAGTTCGTCGATGCGGCGCCTTGCGGGAACCTAAACCGGATACGCGCAAACCCGTGGGACAAGATTCGTCTCGCCGCGGCGAGACGAATCGGACCGCCCGTTTCGAATTTCTAGGAACCCCCTAGGGTTGTGACGGGGCGGTCCGTGTTTCGTCGTCAGTCTCGAAGGCGGGCGCCCCTCGGCGCGCGCGCGACGCGCGCGCGCCGTCTCTTCGTGACGCACATAGACGCATCATGGTGCGTGCGACGCGCGACGGCGACGAGGCGACGCGCGCGAAATAGACGCTCGATGCGCGCGCGCGCGATCGGGCGTCGGCGCGCGATGGACGGCGCGGACGACGCGCGGACGACGCGCGATGGCGATGGCTCTAGGGCTTGAAGCGCGATCGCGCGTTCGGGACGCGCGCGCGCGGAGAGAGACGCGCGAAGGGCGATCGCGCGTCGCGAGCGCGAGCGGTGATATCGTCGTCGGCGGCGGTGCGGTGCGAGCGGTGATGGGGGGGTCGACGGCGCGGGGAGCGCGGGGGAGACGGGACGACGCTGGCGCACTAGGGTCGCGCGAGTGGATGATGAAAGAGAGACGACTGACGATCGAGCGACGACTTGGCGCGATGCGAAAACAGCCTAAAGAAATTAGCGAAATTAAGGACTTCTTGCACACGGCGCGCCGGAAGGATGCGCGATCGGTGAAGATCAAGAAGACGGCGGGCGTGACCAAGTTCAAGGTGCGCTGCTCCAAGTACTTGTACACGCTCTGCGTGAAGGACTCCGATAAGGCGTCCAAGCTCAAGCAGTCGTTGCCCCCGGGACTTCAAGTGATGGAGGTCGCTTAGAGTTTGAAGGTCACACACACTAGTCGGAGTTATTAGCGCGAGAATGGAAGACGGCGCGAAGCGCCTTGTAAAGAGAGTTCGATCCGTCTCACATTTCATTTCGTTTACTCATTCGTTCGGCTATCGCTCTCACAATGCGCTAAGCGTAATTCACGACTCGGCTCGATTCACGCCACGACGCTGGTGCGACGCGGAAGGTTGAACATGAAATCGACTTCGAGCTCGCCGTCTTCCGTCAAGTCGGCGCAATGCACGGCGTTGCGCTGTTTGTCCTCCCCGAAACGCGCGCGAAGGGATTCGGGACGTAACACGCGGGCAATTTCGGGGTCTCTCGGTCCGACGATTTCTCTGATGTCGTCCACGAGCGTCTCCGGGGACCTCAAGCGCGAGAGTTGCAGCGCCACGCAAGCGCCGCAACTCAGTTCATCGATCATCATCTTCACCTCTTCCTTGTCTAAAACGTCCACGTAAACGGCGTAAAATGCCTCTGCCTCGAGGCGCGTTAGCGCTAATGTTCGAGCCTGGATTAAATCCAGTCCTTTCTTCTCGCACAGGAAATCTAAAATCGCTCCGAGATGCGCCATACCGCTGGGTTTGACCACGACGAGCGACGAATGCTCGGTGGGTGATTTCGACGACGATCCCGTCGCCAGCTCTCCTAACGCTCGAGCGTGCTCTTCGTCCATCGATCGCACCACATCGTTCGTGTGAGCGAATAATCTGGCCAAAATTGCATTCGCCTCGCATCCAATCGCGCGTATCGCGCACGACGTCCCAGACGCGAGCGCCCTCGCGTTCCTCGGCAGCGCCGTCTCGAGCTCTTCCAACCGACTCGTCCCGAACGCCACCGTCTTCATCTCTGCGATCGTCAACCCGTTCTCCTGCATCGCGTGCACGATTCTACCGATGCGGCACACGTTTTCACTCGACACCAAGGCGAACGATTCCTCGCGCTTCGTCTTCATCGCCGTCGCCGTGCGTTCGTCCGCGTACCCGCGCACGGTCAACCGCCTCGACCAAATCGTCACCGTCGCGCCTATGAATAGCTCGTCCAGCGCGATCGGCGTTTCCGGCGCGCATTTCCGCAAAAATGCTTTCTTTCGTTTATCCTCAATCTGCGCCGCGTCGTCGCGTCGCCTCCGTCAGTCATCGTCGCGCTCGCGCGCTCGCCTCCCACAGAGCACCAACCATCCATCCAGACGTCGCGCTTTACTCGCGCGCTCAACGCACCAATTCCACGTCGCCATCCTCGGGGTAATAAAACAACGTAAACGCTCGCTCGAAGTCTTGCGCGGGGTCCACCCAGACCGCCTGAAATCCAAGTCTGGACTCGGTGCGCATCGAAAGATTTAAACTCGCGAGCGTCAGAGTGGGGTGTATTTTTAGCGCGCGGCGAACGCGGTCGGTGAAATCGAACGCGGACGCGTCGCGAACGCGGATGAAGATGACGATTGATTATTATTTCAAAATGGATAAAAATCGGAGGTAGGCCTCGGCGGCGCGCTTGCGCGAGGCGCGGTAGCGCACGGCGAGCAGCGCGCGAGGCGAGAGCGACGCGGCTTCGGCGGAAGCTAATAAGGCTTCGTCCTCGGCCAGTGTCGTCGGACAGGCGGATAAGTACGAATCAACGGCCTGACGTAAGGCTTGAATGACTTCAGGGTCGGTTTCTGGGGGAGCTGGGGCGTCAGCGACGCCCGGGGGCGGACCGCGCGAGGCGACCATGAGGAGATTGGAACCCGCGAGCGCGGCGGCTTTGTCGCCGGCGTCGTCGAGGGCTTTGCATGCGTCGGCAACGCGAGATCCGTGCACACGTCGAGCGCCCGGGGCGATAAATTCCATGGGCAATCGTTCGTTACGATTTTCATCGTCGATGAAACCGTAGTGAAGCATGAGCAAGGCGTTGTTCATTCTGTCGCCGTACGAGATGAAAACCTCGGTGTTCGCCACCGGCGTCGGGCCCTCGATTGAATCTTCGTTCCACGTGAGCTCGAAGTTCTTACCATCCGCGCTGACGCCATACTTTGCCGTAGATTCCACTCTGTGATTCGCCAAATCGATCGTCGGCGCCAAGAACGCGCAATCCGCGTCGCCCAGTTTACCGCTAATCGCTCGCGTGTGCACCCACGAGCGACACCATCGGAGTTCGTCTTCGCTCGACGTCCCCAGCGCGGCTTTCACGTCCGGAAACGCCTCCATCGCGGCGTTCCAAGTCGCTTCGTACCCAGCCTTCGAGCGTTCGGCCATGACGCGTATCTCAGCGTCTTGCAACATCTCCAACTCCTCCTCGTTCGCCAAGTACCCGCAATCGAACGCCGCCGGCACCACCTCCGCGCCGTACGCCCGCCACGCCTCCGCGTTCTTCACCGCCCACGCCAGCATCGCCGCCAATCGCACGTCCTTCGCGAACGGCGCCGATATCACGAATTCAATCAGGCACTCCGGCACGTCCACGCCGAAATGTCTTCGCCAGCCCTCCCGATACGTCTCGCGAATCGCCGTCGCCGCGCGTCCCTCCGCGCCCTCCCCGACCGCCGCCGGCGCGCACACCAGTGCGTCGATCGCGACGCTCACCAGCGCGCTTCCGGTGCCGGTGACGAACAGTCCGCGCCCGTGCGCGCCGACGTCCACGCGCGCGTGTCGCAGCGTCGACGCCGGGTCGAACGTCGTCGTCCCGCGCGCGTCCGCGTCCGCGACGGCGCGGCGCGTCGACGCGCGTCGCGCGCGCGTCGATCGCGCGCGAGAGGGGCGCGCGAGGCGCGCGTCGACGCGAGCGGCGGTCGCGGGCATCGTCGCGACGCGCGCGCGCGAGTGGGGGCGCGACGCGCCGGGCGCGACGGTGGGCCCTTGAAAACACCCGGAAATTGTGTCGGCGACGAGCGCGGCGTCGGCGTCGAGCGCGGCGTCGGATTCGCGCGGTTCGGTGCGATCGAGTTCGGTGGATCACGCGGTGGATTAAAACAAGATTACACGGAGAGTCACGCGATGGGGGTGCGCGGGCGAGGGGCGACGGCGGGAATGACGAAGGCGTGCGACGCGCGCTCGAGAGCGGCGACGAGGAAAGCGTCGGGGGCGGCGGCGGACGCGCGCGCGACGGCGGCGGGGCGACGCGCGCGGCGGCGGTCGGGGAGAACCGGGACGAAGTGATGCTCGCACCAGGAACAACGACCGTCGGCGGAGACGAGGACGACTTGAGACGTGCGAGTGCCGCAGTTGGGAAGGCCGGGGAGCTCGCCGGGACGGACGAAGGAGCGCTCGCTTTCGCACGCCTCGATTTGCTCGACGACGAATTCTTCGTCCTCTTCGTCGTCTTCGTCGACGTCGATGTCGATGGAGGCGTCGACGTCGTCGTCGCAGTCCACGTGGCTTTCGCGTCGCCGCCCGCCGGCGACGAAGGATTGCTGGTGTCGCCAGAGCTCTCGCGCCGCCGCGGACGGCGCGGGAGCGTCTCTGTCGCTCGATGAGTACGACAGCCGCTCCGCCGCGTCTATCGCCAGCGGTCGTGCATCCAGAGGAGCATGTAAGACATCGCGAAGCACTTGTTCCTCTAACGCGCGCGTGGGAAGCGCGTCGGCTGAGTACCGCGAATACGCTCGCAAAATCTCCTCGAGCTTCGCCTTCCCGCGCACAACCTTTGGCCACGGCGCGTCCAACACATCGTTCGCCAATCCATACACCCTACCAGCGCGTAACTCCATCGGCGTTTCCGCGTTCGCCGACCCGCGATTTCCGACGTAGTGCGCCGTTCCGCGAGACGCGTCGCCGACGACGAGATTAAATCCGTCAAACCGCATGCGTTTCGCGAACACCTCCATCGCGTACTTTCCCGAATCGATCTCCGGCGACTTTAAATAGTCCGTCACCAACATCCCTCTCGTGACGTACGCACTCACCGTCTTCTTCGGCGACTTGGTCGTCCCGCCGTTCGTCGTCGTCGTCGTCGTCGTCGTCGTCCCGTTCGCGGCGTTCGTCACCAGTCCCCATCGTCCCGTCTTTCGACACATCGCGAACCACGTCCCACCGCCCAGCTCGTCCCGCGCGCCGAAGATTTCGTACGCCTCGTCGTCGCGCTCGCTCGGCCACGCCGCGCACGCCTTGGTCGGTCGCGCGTAATCTTCGTCGCGATTGAATGCGACGAGGAGTTTTATCGGCGCATTCGCCGACGTCGTGCGCACGAGGGCGATGAACGCGACGCACATGCGCGCGAGGACGCGAACGTTCGCGCGTCACCGCTCGCGTCGCGTCTCGGTGGCGGCGCGCGCGCGCGTGTGAAGCGGCGGACGATGGCGATCCCATCGGTAGTATCCACGTCAGCCGAAGATGAAAGATATTTTCCGACGCGCGGCCGGCGAGTTCGCGAGTTCGCGAGTTCGCTCGACGCGACGCGGCGGCGCGAGTGGATCGGGCGCGGCGAAAATAGAGACTGCATCGTCGACGACGTGGATATTAAACGTTAGACGTCGAATTGACGCTCGAGGACGTCGCGGTTGAGTTCTAGGATGACTTTGGCTAAGGCCTCGTCCTCTCGCAGGGCGAGACGGGCGGCTTCGACCGGGTCGCCGGATTCCCACGCGAAATCGGGCGTGGGAGCGTTGATGGAGTAGGAAGAACTGTCGTCGATCTCGACCGCCGCGAGTTTGGTCGTGGCTTTCCAGTTTTCGAACGCCACGAGGGCGTCGAGGGCGTCGCGGCGGTAGCCGCTGTGATAGAGCAAAACGCCCATATCGCGTTGCTCGTATCCGACGTTTTCATCGAGCTCGGCGAGTCTTTCGGTGACTAACAGGGCCATTTGAAGGTCCCCAAAAGGTCTACCGGTGGGCTGGATGATTCCCACCACTCCCGCGGCGGTGTTCATGCGATCATCCTTGCCGTACGCCGCGGCTTCGACGGCGAGAAGGAATCCCGAGTCTCGCGAATCGTCCCATTCCCACGGCCAAAATGCGCGCTTAAGCGCCATGAGCTGCATGCGAACGACCATGTCTGGCGTGCAAACCACCGATCCATCGGGCGCGGCGTCGCTGGCTTTGATTCCCTGCGGTCGGCGCGGCGTTGGGTCCGCCCCGCGTCGCACGCGAAGCAACACCTTGATGTCTCCGCACGCGTCGAGTTCGCCTTTGGCTTTCAACCTCTCCAAAAATCCGATGTAAATCGCCGCCAAGGTGGCGGGAATACCAACCTTTTGCGCTATAACGTTATGAAAATAAGTCCTGTACGGCGAAAACGCCTCCCTCCACCCAGTCGGTGTGCGATATTGCTGCTCCTCGAACAGGTATCGCTCGACGGCTTCAATCATCTTGTCCGCGTCCGCCTTATCTTCCGCGCTCATGTACGACAAATCTCTCTGCACGAACTCATTCACGAGCTTATCCATGCGCTTCGTATACGCCTCCCTCGGCAGACACACGCTCGTGCGGCCTTGCACCGCGTCATCCTCCACCGCCAGGTGCATCGACGCCGTCACCGCGTCGCCCTTCGCGCCGCGTCGATACTCCTCCACCAACCCCATCCTCGCCTCCCTCGCGAACGGTTCCCACGTCTCTTTCGGCGATTGCGGTTTTCCAAACGCATACTGCCTCCCCGCGCTCTTCGCCAGCGTCTCCGCTTCCTTCTCCGCGTAGTTCTTCGCGATCGACTCCGCGTCCCCCGTGCGTCGTCCCGTGCGTCCCAGAAACGTCCGCCCCTCCTCCTCCCCGTCCTCGCTCGTCGCGCCGTCCGTTCGCGCGTTCGCGCGTCCCCGTCGTCGTCTGAACCCCCCCTCGCGCTCGAATCGCGCCGCGCGCGCCGTCGCGCCGCGCCCGCGCGCGCGCGTCGCCGTCGTCGTCGTCGTGGATAGCGCGCGCCGCCCTCGTCCTCTCGTCGCCGTCGTCGCCGTCGTCGCGGTCGTCGTCGTCGTCATGACGGCGCGCGCGCGTCGAGCCCGATCGGTCGACGCGTCGAGCGCGTCGTCGCGTCGTCGACGCGTCTCGCGCGTCGCCCGGTGCGGCGCGCGTCGCCCGGTGCGCCGCGCGGCCGAAGCGCCGCGACCGACCGTCGTCGTCGCGCGTCGTTCGTGTGGCGTTCAGTGAGGACGCATGTATGGGGTTTATCTGTTATTCTGGGGTTTATCTGTTATTCTGTGGCTTCAATACGGGATTTTCTAAGGTGTACGGGCGTGTGTGCGCGTTCCGTGTGTACGCTCGTAACACTCGACGCGCGCGCGACGGACAATTCGACGGACGTCCGCACACGGCGCGCGCGCTCGACGACGCCGATGCGCGACGACGGCGCGAGAGACGACGACGACGACGACGACGACGCGACGGCGCGCGCGGACGACGCGGTGACGGCGACGACGACGACGCCGTCGCGAGAATCGTCGAGCGATGGACGAACGACGGCGAACGTCGAGGGGGGGCGCGCGACGAGCGAGGGCGCGACGGCGCGAGCGCTGATGCTGGCGTCGACGAATAGCTTTCGCGCGCCGCGAGCGGGGACGAAGGCGGCGCTGGAGGTGCACGTGTCGACGTGGAACGTGGGGAATAAGGCGCCGCGAGCGGATGCGGCGAGCGGGTGGTTGAGGGACGCGCGGAGGAGCGATATCGTCGCCGTCGGGGCGCAGGAGGCGAGTTACGTGAAGACGAGAAAGACGATAAAACCCGTCGCGGTGAGCGCGGCGTGCGGGGACGAGGCGAATTTCAAATCAAGATTTCGGAAGGGATTTTTCAAATCGACGAAGTGGACGCGAGTGGGCATGGTCGCGGGCGGCGCGTTCGCGGGAGGGGTCATGGCCGCGCCCGTGGCGCCGATGGGAGTGATGTGCGGTATGTTCACGGGCTGGTTCGCGAGCAAGAGGCTGGTGCAAGAGATCAAGGTGCGCATACATTGGTTTGATTTCTTGCACTCGGCGTTGGGCCACGAATTCGAGCTCTTGCAGACGCAAATATTACTGCAAATGCGGCTGGCGGTGTTTGTGAAGAAAGAGCTCGTCCCGAGAATTCGCAGCGTCAAGGTTGGCTCGAAAGCCACCGGGCTCGGAAATCTGGTCGGGAACAAGGGCGGGTTGTTGGTGCACATTGAACTCGAAAACGGGGAAACCATCGCCTTCTTGTCGTGTCATCTCGCCGCGCACGAACAACCAAAGTATTTGGAAGCGCGCAACCACATGGTGCATGAGATCTTAGAAGGGACCTGGATAGATTGCGTGGAAAAGCCCAAGTGCGCGTTGCCCGTGGTAACCGACGTGAACTCGGCGTTGTTTGACGCCGGATCAGAAATGATAAACAAGATGAAGGGGACGTCGAGACAGGTGTATGAAAGGACTTCGGACGCGTTCCAGGGCGCCACGGGGGCCAGACTCGCAATTGGTTCCGGTATGGCTCCGCGAAAGAATCAAGCACCTGAGTTATTGGACGTCGCCACCCACGTCTTCTTCTTTGGGGATCTCAACTACCGCCTCGATCCCGGGAAAGTCGTCGGGAACGAGTGGGATACTCACTGGGATAAGACGGCGCCGGAAATGACGTCTACAAAATTAGCGAACAAATACGACGTCGATAAAGTTCCCCTGAGCAAGTTCCCCGCGGCGAGGCCGGTGGCGCAACCCGGCATGATTGAAGAAGAAAGCGACGACGAAATCACCGAGTCGTCGCCATTCCAGATCGGGCGCACGGCCGTAATCGAGTCCGTGGGCGCTCAGGAATTCGATCAATTGGTCAAGGCAGACCAGTTGATCAAATCCATGAAGGAAGGAAAGGTGTTTGCAAACTTTCATGAAATGCCCCTCAAGTTTTTCCCGACATTTAAGCGCGCGTCGAACAACTTGAAGGATGGGAAAGGCAAGAAAGCACCCGCGCAAGAACAATCTGTCGCGGAGCCGGGTTCGGCAGAATATTACAATGAAAAGCGCGTGCCTTCCTGGTGTGATCGCGTGCTTGTACACTCGTTAACTGGCGCCAAAGACTCTTGCTCGCCTCTCGAGTACGGGGCGCGTCACGACGTCACGACGTCAGATCACGCACCGGTTTACGCGCGCTTTCGCGTGCGTCTCCGCGATCTTCCTCCATTGAAAGCACTTCCACGAGCCAAGTTGACGCTCACGAATTTGAGCGTCACTCGTAACACCATCGAGGACGATTTCCGGGGTTCGAGCGTTTACGTGCACTTGTTCGTTCCGCACACGCGCACAGTCGTTCCAGAGGCTAGAGAAGTGAGCTCGGGGCACGTCGCTCGAGACGAATCGCAGCCAAAAACGATTGGGAAGTATACTTTCTCTGGGGATGTTCTTCCCTCCTGCATCGTCGGTTACGACGCCGCCGACGAAGTCACCTTTGCTGAGCAAGAAAAGGCGGCGGCGCGCTTCGCGCTGCTCACCACGGAGGAACGAATCGCGTTGAAGGAAAACGAAGATGCCGAAAAGTCTGAAGAATTACCCACTCCCGTTGGCATGGACGCGTACGGTAAGTTTGTGGGCATTATCACTCTCGTCGACAGTCGATACGGCGACAAACTAGGAACGTGCACGGTGCTCCTCCCCTCCAAGGGCTCATCCTCGTTCGACGTCCCCCTCCTGTTGCGTTCTGCAAACGTCGGCCGAATCAAGGGATCGTGGGAGCTCTCTAGTATTTAATCGCGCACGTACATCGTCGTTTTAAGTAATAACAATATACTCGCAACCTCCGCAGCCGTCGCCCGCAACCTCACCGCGCGACGCGCATCGCGCGGTCGAATCGCGATGCCGCTTCGCGCGCACGAAGAAATCACCGCCGGCTTTCTCGCGGGGTGCGCGGACGCCCTGGCGTGCCACCCCGTGGACGTGGTGAAGACGCAAGCGCACGTCAACAGGGGTGCAAATGTCCCATTCACGCAAGCTTTAGTCGCCCAGGCGCGCGCGCACGGCCTCCCGTCGCTGTATCGCGGTGTCTTACCCGCATGCTTACGACCTCAGGCGCTGTGCATGTACGTCGGGTACGAATGGAGCAAGAAAGCGGTGTGCGAGGACGCGAAGAAGATGACCACCAGAGAGGCATTCGTCGCGGGCTGGTTGACGGCATACGTGGAATCGGCGTGCGTGACCCCGTTCGAGACGGTCAAGGTGCGAATGCAAACGAAAGAAAACATGTCGAGGTATGCGTCGTCTTTGGGGTGCGCGCGAGAGATCGCGCGAACGGAGGGAATGAAAGGATTGTACGCGGGATTTTGGCCGACGTGTTTACGAAACAACGTGTTCAATTCATTTTATTTCGGGACGATTCATTACTGTAAGGACGAGTATTTGTCCGCGCCAGATTCGTTGGTAGAGCAAGCAGCGCAAAACGTCGGCGTCGGCATCATCGCTGGGCTCGTCGCGACGGTGTTTAAGATGCCTTTTGATATATTAAAATCGCGAATGCAAGGACAAGTGCCAAACGCGAGCGGGGCGCTGGAATATCCAACAATGATGGAAGCCGCTGTGCGTATATTTCGCAACGAAGGCGTGGGAGCGTTTTATAAAGGCACAGGCGTGACCGCAGCGAGGATAACGCTAGGCTTTCCCGTTTCATTCGTAGCCTTCGAAGCCGTAGCTTCGATGTTTGAAAACGAAATCCGATGATTTGATTTGTCAATGATGGATTTATTAGAAATTTAGTCTTCAAGTCATAGCTCTAGATCTAGCGAGTGACGAATAACAGCTGTAGTGAGAACTTAAGGCGTCAAGCGTTTCGGATCACGCGGAAACATGGAGGTCTTGCGAATGTTGGGCAAGTTGAGGAACAGCATGGCGACGCGTTCGAGACCGACGCCGCAACCACCGTGCGGCATGGCGCCGTATTTGAACGAATCAATGTACGGTTGAATCGTGGGAAGCTCGATACCACACGCCTCGGCGCGTTCAGCGAGGAGCTTAGGATCATGAATACGCTGCGCCCCAGAGATGATCTCTTGACCGCGAATGAAGATATCAAAAGAGTTGGTGTAGTTCGGATCGTCAGGCGCCGGCATTGTGTAAAACGGTCGGGCGTTGAGGGGATACCGCGTGAGCATGTAGAAGTCCGTGCCGTACTTCTCCTTCACCAATCTCCCGAGCACGCGTTCGGTTTCGGTGCCGATGTCGCCGAGCGGATCGACTTCTTCACCCGCCTCCTGGAGCATCTTGACCCCTTCCTCAAACGTCAATCTCAAAGACGGCCGGCAGTATTGCAGCGGCTCGAACGGGTGCTGCTCGTTCACCACACCGATTTCTCTCTTAAATCGCTCGTTCAAGCCGTCGAACATGCTCACGAACAACTCATCGAGGACATCCAACACTTCGTCGTAGTGCTCCTTGATGGTCATTTCCATGTCCAACCCGGTGAACTCGCACAAGTGTCGGTGCGTGTTCGAGTCTTCGGCGCGGAACACCGGTCCAATCTCAAACACACCCTCCAAATCACCCATGATGGCCATTTGCTTGTATAATTGCGGAGACTGCGCCAAGCACGCCGGGCCGACTTGCATGTAATCGAGCTTGAAGACGGCGGCGCCGCCTTCGGACGCCCCCGCGATGAGCTTGGGCGTGTGAATCTCGGTAAAGTTTCTTCGCAACAGCGCCTCGCGGAACAGCGTCCCGACCCCGGACTGAATCTTAAAAATCGCATTATTCGCCGGCGTGCGCAGATCCATCACGCGATTGTTCAATCGCGTGTCCTGCAACACTCGAACGAATTGCGTATCCTCCGCCTCGAACGCGCTATCCGGTCTCGACGCGTCTTCAATCAAAAACGGCAGCTCCGGATCCGATCTCGAGATGCAGTGAATTTCCCGACACACGACTTCGACCTCTTTCTGCGTGCACGACTCGATCGGGACCTCGGGATGGACGACCAACCCTTTAACGTCCACCACGCTTTCCCGCGCGAGCGCGCTCGCCCACTTCACCATCCCTTTACTCACGTTGACGTCATCCACGAACAGCGTCACCTGCACCGTCGCCGTCTGTTGTCTCAGCACGATGAACGCGCTCTTCCCCTTCCCTCGCACGTTGTGCACGCGTCCTCGCAGCAGCACCTCTCGATCCTTCAGCGTTTCGTTCAGCGCGTCCACCCGCGTCCACGCGCGTCCCGTGATTTCCTTCGATTGCACCATCTCCGCGTCACCGTACCGGTGCGCCAGCGCGTCCGGCGCCGCTTGCAGCGCCGCCATCTTCGCCTCGAGCGCCGCCGCGCGCTCAGCCTTCGATCGCGCCTTCTCGGCCGCCGCCGCCGCCTTTTTCAGCGCCTTCTTCGACGGGCCTCGGTCGTCGCCCGCCGGCGGCGGCGCGCTCGCGCTCGCGTCGGCGTCGCTCATCGGAGGCTCGCGTTTCGGCGCTCGCGATGCCGCGCTCGCGTTTCGCGACGCGTTCGGCCGAGGGCGCGCGCGCGTGTGCGGGACGCGCGGCGATCGAGACCGAAAGGCGGACTCGGGGGTGGATGCCCTATCCGCGCGGGACGCGCGGGACGAGGCGCGGAGCGAGGGCGAGGGACGAGGGACGAGGGCGTCTCGATGTCTCGATGTCTCGAGCGCTGTCGCGAGGAACGATGGTGGTAATACATATTAAGCGCTAGGAGGGGCGAAGACGGCGCACGCGGCGCGAATGACGTCGCATCGAAACGGACCGTACGGGAACGCGGCGGCGGCGGCGGCGCGAAACCGCCGCGAGGCGAGGACTTCGCCGTCGACGGCGATGTAACCGCCGCCGCCGGGAGCGGTGGCGTTGGTCTCCGAGGATGCGTCGACGATGGCGGCGGCGGTGGCGGCGGCGGCGGCGGCGGCGGCGGGGTAGATTTCGAAGGATTTGGCTTTGATGTAACGGACGGCGCGATTGCGCGCGTGGTCGCCGGCGTCGAAATCGAGCAAAAGTTTGAGCATGTTCTTGCGATTGGTGACGTTCACCAGGACGACGTCGATGGAACCGTCGTCAAACTTCGCGTGAGGAGCCGCTAAGGTGGACTCGGTGCCCCAAGGCACGTTGAGCGCCCAGAGACCGAGGACGTCGCCGGCGACGCGGCGCCATCCCGGTCGACCCGGCACCGGTTCGCCGTGCGGCCCGTCGCAGTGTTGGGCGTTGTACGCCTCGCCCTCTTCGGTGGTTTCGTATAAAAGTTCGCACTGGTACTTTCTTCTGGCTAATATCCGCACGATGGCCTGCAGCGTGAATCGCGCGCCTCCTAGAAATCTAAACCGCTCGCTCTCGATGTCGACGTCGGAGAAAAATCCCCACGAAGTCGACAGCAGCGAGTGCGTGACTTTCGAGTCATCCCCCCAACCCGATGCGGTTTTAGAATCTTGAAACCGCACTTCCGATCGATCGAGCGCGCGCGTGCGCCACCGCGCGATCGTCAGCGCGCAACTCACCGGATCGCACGGTTCGCCGCCGGCGTGCTGAATCGACTTGCACAGCGCGTTCCCCGAACCCGCCGGCACGATTCCGATCGGCATCTTCGCGTAAATCTCCTCTCGATCCTCGCGTTCGCTCAGCCCTTGAAACAGCTCCGCCACGGTCCCGTCCCCCCCCACGGCGACGACGCCGTCGTACAGACTCGCGTCGAGCTCTCGCGCGATGTTCGTCGCCTCTCCTCGCGCCTTCGTCGTCCGCGTCGCGCACTCGATGTTCGCCGCCTCCAACACCGCGCGCGCCTTCGTCTCCCATATCTTCGTCCCCTCGCCTCGTCCGCTTCGCGGATTCACGATCACCAGCACCCGCCGCCGTCTCTCCCTCGCCGTCCCGCTCGCGTCCGCGTCGTCGAGCCCGCACGCCTCCGCGCACCGCGTCCTCGCCTCGTTCGCCACCGCCGCCGTCGCGCACGCCGTCTCGTGCGTCTTCAACCGTCGCGCGCTTCTCTTGCGCGTCGATATTCCCGGGAATCCGCGTCGCCGCGCGATCGCCGTCACCGCGAGCGTCCGCGCGTCGTCGTCTTCATCTCGATGATGCCGATGCCGACGACGTCGACGCCGAACCTCGACGCGCACGACGTCCTCGACGCGCACGACGCGCGTCCCGTCGCCCAAAACCAACGTCGCGCGCCCGCGCCCGGTCGTCGCGACGCGCGCGACCGCGTCGACGGTCGCCATCGACGATCCCGCGGCGCGCACTCCGGCGCGCGGCGTCGCGCGCCGTGACTCCCGTCTTTCGCACGTATTATACGAAAGAATCGTACGTACTGACGTACCACTTTAACCGATCGAAAAGGACCACGAAACGCGCGCGACGAAAAAGCGCGCGCGCGTGCAAAGAGATTTTTCGACGTCGCGCGTTCGGCGATCCGACCGACCGCGCGTGTGCGATCGAACGGGACTGTTTGCGCATAGGACGACGAAGCACGAATCCCGACGACGGCGCGCGCGCGTCGGCGTCGCGACGCTTTTTCGCGACGCGCCGGGATCGAATCGCATCGAATCGACGCGACGCGACGCGAAGCGCGAGACGCGATGCGGGCGGTGACGCGGATGACGCGAACGACGGTTCGCGCGATCGCGCGGCGCGCGTCGATCGCGACGACGGCGCGCGCGGCGGACGCGCCGGCGACGATCGGCGGGAATCGCGACGATCCGCGTCAGCACGCGAACGGCGCGACGGCGCGGCGCGGGGGGACGCGCGATCGGTGGTTCGCGGCGGCGAAGAGCGAGGAGATGCCGATGCGAGCGATCGCGGACGCGATCGGGGACGCGTTCGGGCCGGCGCTGGACGCGATCGCGGAGGAACGGCGACGACGAGGCGAGGCGAGGCGGGACGGGGGCGAGACGGAGGACGAGACGGAGGCGGGACTGTACGTGCCGGACATACCGGCGTTTTTGTGCGCGACGCGATTGGCGAGGGATTCACCGATGGTGAGGAGCGTGCTGGTGGTGGACGAACGCGCGCCGAGGACGAAACCGAGGTTGTCGTGGTACGACGTCGACGACGAAGGCTGGGCGCCGCGGGGGTGGTGGGAGGACGGCGTCAAGGCTGATTTCGCGTATTACTTTGGCGAACGGCGAGAATCGTCGACGAGATGAGCGCTTCTCGTCGACGATCGCGCGCGTCGCGATCGTCGACGTTCGCGACGCGTCGCGTCGCGCTCACGAGGAGGACGCGTCGTCGTACCCCCGCGCGCCGACCGCGAAACGCAGCCCGCAAAACGCATGTACACCGCACCGATACCGATACCACTCACTACTCTTGTTGTTGTTGTAACCAAGAAACACTGTATGTACACAACTACTACGTCGACGGATCGTCGTTCATCGACCGCGCTAAAAAACTAACTAACTATCGAGCGTTCTAATCGCCGAGCGCGCGTCGAACGCCGTCGAGCGCGCGCTCGACCGCGGGCGCCACCAACCGACTCGCGAGCTCGGCGGTCGATCGCAACTCTCGACACGACGCCTTCAACGCCGCCACGTCCGATTTCACGCGCTCGATCGACGGATTCTCGCGCGAGACGGACGCGCGCTCGACCGCCCACGACGCCTTGTCCACCTCGTGCGCGGCTCGCGCCTCCGCCGCCATCTTTCGATATCGCTCCACCCTTCGCGTCCACTCAGAATCCCTCTTTATCAACGCTCGTCGCAGCGCCGCCATCTCCGCGCTCCACCGCGCCTCGAACTCGCGCTCGGCGTCCGCGATTCGCGTTCGCAACCGCGCGTTCTCTTCCTCCAGCGCGTCGATCGTCCGCGCCGTCGCCGCCGCCGTCTCGTCGCCTCGCCGACGTCGACGCGCGTCGTCCTCGTCCTTCGCGCGTCGTCCCGCGGCGATCCACGCCGGCGTGCGTTCGAGCGCGACGTTTTCGTCGTCGTCGTCGGAATCATTCGCCCCGCGCATCAGCGCCGACTGCGCGTCGGAATCGTCGCGTCGTCAGTCGCGCCGCGCGTCGGCGAATCGAATCGCATCGCGCGCACCGGCAGCGACCACATGGACGCGTCGTCGTCGTCGTCGTCGTCGTCGTCGCGCATCGCGACGTCACAGCGCGTCGCGCTGTGTCGATGCGCATCGCCACCGCCGTCGCGCGCGCGCGCGCGGCGTCGGCGCCGCCGCGCGCGGCGCACCGCGCGCGCGCGAACGCGTCGCGCGTTTCGCGCGCGCGTCGCCGCCGCGCGTCGACGCCGGCGGCGTCGTCGACGAGGTTTGATTTAATTCTCCCGGGCGACGACGCGTTCGAGCGCTTGCGACCGCGCGACGACGACGAGGACGACGACGACGAGGACGACGACGACGAGGACGAGGACGACGCGACGGCGCCGCGCGCGCCGACGGTCGGTCGCACGGGTCGCGCGCTCGTGGCGCGGTGGCGCGTGGACGCGCGGTTCGGACGCAAGGCGGCGGCTCGGGACGCGCTGAAGCTCTGGGCGCGCGCGATCGGCGCCGAGGCCGGCGTGTCGAGCGATAGGTTTACGGTGTGCTCTGGGTACATCGGTGGACGGGAGGGCGCGCTGGAGCTCAGGGTGGATGGGTTCGGGACGCTCGGGGAGGTGGAGGCGTTTCTGAGCGGCGTGCCGCGGGAAAAACACGCGGCGTGGGGGAACGCGTTCGCGGAGAACATCGTCGATGGGACGCCGGAGTGGGTGATCATGGACGTGAGTGGGGTCGGGGAGAGCGCGGGAGGGGAAACCGGGGCGGCGGCGGCGGCGGCGGCGGCGGCGGCGGCGCCCGCGCGGACGCCGAGGAAAAAGTACGAAGACGTCGACGAGAGCGAGCTCGTGCCGGGAACGACGCTTCCGGACGGACGCGTGGTCGTGGAAGATTGGAAGGGAGACCCGATGGTTTTGAACCCGGGAGATAGGATGCCGAGGTTCTAATTTTTGCTCGGACGCGCGCGATGCGGGCGCGAGGGATTTCTTTCTATGTGCGTGTAATGTTTTCAACAAGTTTTCGTCTAAAATTTCAACTGTTTCTCGTCGGCGCGCGCGGCTATGTTGATTGTCGTGTCGTTAGCGTGGAATCACCTCGTCGTCGCATCACTGCGTCATAGTGATAAAGAATTCATCGTCTCCGCCGCTCTCGCTCGTGGGAGAACGAGTGAGAGGCGAATACGGGTGCGCGCGAGAGCTCGACGACGCCTCTCGCTCCGCCGCGAACCGCGGCGCTCGCGGAGGCAAACCCGCATCGTACGCGTCCGTACCGGTGTCTTGACTCAGCGACACCATACCGGGCGTTCCAGGCGTTCGCGCGGAATCGCTCATCGAACCCATTCCTGGGCTCAGCGTACCGTTCGCGATCGCTCGCGCTCGCGCCAAACGAATCGCATCCGTCGCCCGTCGACTGCGCGCGATGATTCGATCGCGAATCCTGTGCTTCTCCCGCTCCTCGCGCACGTTCTCCGGCGTGAACCCTCTAGGTAACGGCGCTTGACACGTCGGACACTTTTGAATATTATGTTCCCTGCACTGCACCAAACAGCATCGATGAAACACGTGTCGGCACGTCAACCCGGTGACGAGTTCCACTTTATCTGGATTATCGCTCGCCTCCGGCCTCGTTCGATCCAACGGGCTCTGACACACCGCGCAATCGCTCTCACCGTACGCATACCTCGGCGTCTTCACGCTCCCCGGGGTTTTCATCACCAATCCTCGTCCGCCGCTCGTCGCCTTGGGCGTGGCGAACAGCAACCCGTCCCGAATCGCATCCGCCAGCATTTCCGCCGCCTCCTCGCTCGACGCGCTCCCGACCGACGCTCGAGAGAGCGGCGGTGACGAAGAAAATATAGAATCGCGCTCCCGAGACGTCGTCGACGTCGGCGTCGACGTCGGCGTGCGCATGATATCCGTCATTTCGCCGTCGATTCCAAAACCAAACGCCGCGCTCTCGAACGAATCGAGCGCCGCTCGCGCGGTCGTCGCGCCCGTTCCGACGCGTCGCCGCGCGCGCAGAACGCGCGGTGACGCGCGTTACGTTCGCCGACCGCGTCTCGCGCGGCACCGGGCGACGTCGGCGTCGTGGACTGACGCGCGCGTCTCGACCGGGACGCCGCGTTTGAATCGGCGCCGTCGTTCCCCTCTGCGATCGAGCGACGCGTCAGAGCAATATCGAGACGCGAGTGAGCACGGCAACACCGATGGCGAGCAAAATGAAGGCGAACACACACGACCTGTGCGCGCAAAAGGCGTGAACGATGGCGTACGCGCACGCCAACGGAGCGCACGCGTACAGGCAGCACCGCTCGCCGCGCGAGACGTCGCCGATTCGCTCGGCGCCGATTTCCAAGTCGCGCGCGCGCGCGTCGTCGTCTCGCGCGTCGTCGTCCCTCGCGCTCGCGCTCGACGACGACGACACGGTTCGAGCGCGATACTTCTCGCGACGTAATCGTCGCTCCTTTCGCAGCTCGGCGCGCGTCGGCACGTTCGTCATTCGCTCGAGACAAATTTCGCAGTCGGCCGACTTGCGCGGCGCGCGCAGCACCCACGCCTCTAGACACTCGGCGTCGACGTGCACGACTCCCGAAACGCACGCGCACCCCAGTCGTACCGCGCGCGCATCGCGTATATCTTCGCGCGTGACGTCGAACAAACAGACCCGACACGCACCGACGAAGTCTTCTTCTTCTTCTTCTTCGTCGTTCGCGTCGTTCGCGTCGTCCCCGTCGTCCCGAACTCCATCGCCCGCATCGTCCCCATCCCGCGCGCTCGCGCCCATCGCCCACCCCCCGGTCTCGCGTACGACCACGACCACGTCGTCGCCGCTTCCGCGATCCCTCCGCGCCGCTTCCGCGTCGTCGTCGTCTCCCGTCTCGCGTCCCTCGCGTCCGTCTCGCGCCCGCGTCGCCGCCGCGCGCGTCCTCGTCGTCACCGCGTCGTCCTCGGCGCCCATCGCGCGCGTCGTCTCCCCGCTCGCGTCGGGTCCTCGCGTCGTCGACCGGTCGTTCGACCGCGCGTCGCTCGTCGTCGCGATGTGACGCGCGCGCCGTCGTCGTCGGACGCGCGTCGCGCGCGAAAACGGCGGTTCGAATCCCCGAGCCTCGGCGCGTCGGTATCAACCCTAAACCCTAAACCCTAAACCCTACTCGCGAGGCGACAACCGCCGCCGCCGCGCGCGCGACGGCACTCCGACGCGCGCGGCGCCGTCGCGATGGCGCTCGACGACGACGACGACGGCGCGTTCGTCCTGAACCTCGCCGACGACGGCGACGCCGGCGTCAGGGCGCGCAAGGGCAACCCGCGGCGACGCACGGTGGCGCGCGCGTCCAAGAAAGGATGGCGCGGCGGCGGCGACGACGGCGCGACGCGCGCGCGCGAGGGACGGACGAGAGAAAAGCGCGCGCGAGACGAAGGCGAATGGAATCGCGGACGGGCGCGGACGAAGCGGGAGACGACGCGGGACGGCGCGAGGGGAGGGCGAGGGGCGGGACGCGGGACGCGCGCGCGGGACGCGGGAGAAGGACCGAAGACGCGGGACGACGACGACGACGACGACGACGACGACGGGGGGGATGCGTTCGAAGTCGTCGGCGCGCGCGATGGTGGGGAAGACGACGGGGAGGCAGAGCGCGCGCTGACGTTCGATCCGCGAGATTGGGCGAGTTTGATGAAGCGCGCGGCGGGGACGTCGACGCGCGGCGAAGACGACGGCGAGGGCGAAAGCGAGAGCGATGGTGAGAGGGACGGCGCGGAGAGACATCGCGCGCGGGTTTTCGGGAAGGAACCGACGTCGTTCGAAGAGTGCGGGCTTCCGGCGTCGATGGTGAAGCACTTGATGGAGAATGTGGGGTTCGGCGCGCCGACGGCGGTGCAGGCGAAGACGATTCCGCGATTGTTGGCGGGACGGGACGTTTTAGTGCGCGCGGAGACGGGGTCGGGGAAGACGCTGAGTTACATCGCGCCGTTGTATAGTAAAATTGGAGGGATCACGCCGCGAGTGACTCGAGAGGAAGGCACGCGAGGGTTGGTGCTCGTGCCGACGAGAGAGTTGGCGACGCAAGTCGAGGACACGGCGCGGCGCGTCGGACGGCCGTTTCATTGGGTGGTCACGAGCTCGATCATGGGAGGCGAAAATCGGGCGAAAGAGAAAGCGCGATTGCGCAAAGGCGTTTCGCTGTTGATCGCCACTCCGGGTCGGCTTTTGGACCACTTGCGCATGACGGAGTCGTTCAACGTCGACAACTTGCGATGGCTCGTCCTCGACGAAGCCGATCGACTATTAGATTTGGGATTTGAAGAGGATTTGAACGCGATTCTCAACGAAATCGGTCGACGCACCGAGGGCGCGAGTCTGTGCACGGCGCTGTTGTCCGCCACGCTCACGCCCGGGACGGCGCGTTTGGCCGAGCGAATGACGGATCCGGTGACCATCGTCGTCGAGCCGGAAAAGGACGATTTGGAAATCGTCGGCGCCGACGGGAGCGATGACGAGGAAGGAGGCACGATGGACGTCGATGGATTAAAGCGCATGGCGAAAATAATGGCTGGTGGCGAGCGCGTGCGCATGCCCGAAGGGTTGAATCACACCGTGGTCGAAGTTTCCATGAAGGCGCGACTGCCCGCGTTGGCCGGTTTACTCGCTGGTTGGATGCAAGGATCAATTTCCAAAGCGATCGTGTTCTTTTCCTCGTGCGAATCCGTGGAGTATCACTACAAAACCTTGCGCTGGCTCGCCGCGGGAGGCAAAGGAAAGGTGAAAGACGACGATGATTCGATTCAAGGGCCGTACGAAATTTTCCGCCTCCACGGCTTGCTCAGCCAGGGCGACCGCGCGAGCGTGTTTAGGAACTTTGCCAACACCAAAGCGGGCGTGTTACTGTGCACCGACGTCGGTGCGCGCGGCTTAGACTTCGTCGGCGTCGGAGCAACGGTGCAAGTCGACGCTCCGACGGACGCGACGACGTACATTCACCGCGTCGGGCGCACCGCCCGCCTCGGATCTGAGGGCGAAGCCGTGCTCTTTTTACAACCCAAGGAGCGGGAATTCGCAGAAGTGCTCACCGAAAAAGGCGTAAACTTCGCCAACGGTTCCGTCGTCGCGATGTTAGACGTCTTAGAAGACTCCAAAGACGCGAGCGAACGAGACAAATCGATGTTCAAGAGCATGCCCCATCTCCATCCCGCGTCCCAGCGCATGCTGAAGAAGCTCGTCGCCAAAGTCGCGAGCGACAAGCAGTACGACGTCTTGGCCAAGGACGCGTTCCGCGCCCACGTACGCGCCTACGCCACCTTCCCTTCCGCATTCAAGCACATCTTTCACGTCAAGCGTCTCCATCTCGGTCACGTCGCCGCCGCCTTCGGCTTAAAAGACGCCCCTCAACTCATCGGCGCGAGCGCCACGAAAGCCGCGCTCAAGGCGCAAAAAGACGCCGCGAGGAAGAAATCCAACGTCGACGCCAGGCGCAAGAAGGATCAGCGCCAGGCCAAGCGCGCGAAAAAGCTCGCACCGCGCGCCGCGAGTTCTCTGCCCATCGGCGCCGCCTAGCGACGCGATCGCCGCGTCATGTAATCATCCGCCGCGCGCGCGCCGCGCGCTGACTGTACCGCGCAGACCTCGACCGACGCGTCCACCGCGCTCGACCGCGCTCGACCGTCACACGCGCGCGCGCGCACGAGCCCGACATGCGCGCGCACGCGCTCTCGCTCTCGCTCTCTCTCTCTCGCGCGCTCGATGGACGCCGCGCGCGCGCCCCGCGTCGCGCGCGCGTCGACGATTCGACGGCGCGATCGACCTCGACCTCGCGGGGACGCATTCGCGCCGTTGGCGGCGACGCGGGACGCGGCGCGCGCGCGATCGAGACGCGAACGAGCGCGCGAAAGACGCGAGACTGCGCGATGGAGGCGTCGAGCGCGTCGAGCGAACCGCCGAGCGAGTGCGAAGCGAACGGAATCGGGTGCGACTTGGAATTCATGAAGATGGTGCGGGACGACGCGGACAGACCGACGACTGGGTACGCGCTGCAGGCGACGATATTGGGGTCGTGCGTCCTGATGGGATTGATACTGTACATCTCGTTGGATTTAGGGTCGACGACGTTCGTGAATAACGCGTGGCAAAAGGTGGTGAACGCGACGGCGAAGAGCGGGTTCACGGCGGCGTTCGCGCTCATCTTCGTGAGCGAGCTCGGGGACAAGACTTTTTTCATCGCGGCGTTGCTAGCGATGCGCTTAGGAAGGTTGCGAGTGTTGGTAGGGGCGACGAGCGCGTTGGCGGCGATGACGGTGATATCGGTGGCGATCGGGAGGGCTTTTCAGCGATTACCGAGCTCGTTGATGACGACGCTGCCGGTGGGAGAGTACGCCGCGGTGGCGATGCTCTTGTTTTTTGGGATAAAGACGTTGAGAGACGCGCTGAGCATGGATCCGAGCGGGGCGACGCCCGAGGACCACGGAGAGTTAGCAGAAGCCACAGAGGTGGTGTGTAAGTCTACGAGCGCGCAAAAGCGCTCGCCAGGCTTGGCGGCTTTGATCGAGACTTTTTCGTTGATTTTCATCGCCGAGTGGGGCGACAGGAGCATGCTCGCCACCGTCGCGCTCGGCGCGGCACAAAATCCCGTCGGCGTCGCTTTCGGCGCGTCGCTCGGACATTTTATCGCCACCTCGATCGCCGTCGTCGGCGGATCGTTACTATCGAAGAGAATCAGTGAACGCACAGTCGGCATCGTCGGCGGTTCCCTCTTTCTCGTGTTCGCGTTGTTCACCGCCTTGGGCGTTTTTTAGTTAGACCGATCTCGAGTTATTAAATAAATAAATTACGAAAGACGATGAATGTGTGTATTACGTATTACGTCGACGCAGTCACGGTGGAACCATGCGCGTGAGAAAGAAGATCAATAAAACACCCGCGAACGCGCCGCCGAGGTGCGCGACGTGATTGACGTTGCCCGCGCCGACGCCGCTCCCCGCCGCGGCGACCATTTTCGCCTCACTCAGAAATCTATCGACCACGAATTGCCCGAGAATCACCACTTCTAACAATCTTCGCCAGTTCCAGCTCAATTTCACCAACACACTCACCGCGAACAGCCCGAACACAGCGCCCGAGGCGCCCAAACTCACCGTCGCCGCGCCGCCGATGCCGAGCACGCCTCCGACGCTCTTAGGCAACAACAACCACGACGCCACGTTCGCCCCGATCCCGGTGACGAGATACGACATCCACACCCCGAAAGCTCCCTCCTCTTCCTCCACCAGCTTCCCGAAGATGTACAAAAAAAAGATGTTCGAACTCAAGTGCGCCCAGTTCGCGTGACAAAACGTCGACGTCGCGAACTGCCACCACGTCGGTTTCGCGTGATTCAAATACAGCGTCTTCACGAACGCCATGTGCGCCCAGTGATCGCACGCGAACAACGCAAAGTTTATGAACAGCAGCGCGAACACGCCGTCGTACGCCGCCGTCCGTCGCGACGGTCCGGCGCCGCGCAGCGCGCCCTTGGCCGCCCGCGCCGCCCCTCGCGCCGCGTCCCCGGCGTATTTCGCCATCAGCGCTTCCGCGTCCGGCAGCCCCGGGACGTCTGGGAACGAATCGTTTCGTCCCCCTTTCGCCTCGACGCGCGCGTTCGCCCTCGCGCGCGCCGTTTCGCGCGTCCGAGGCGCGGCACTTTTGCGCACCTCGACGCGCTTGTCCCCCTCGACGCGTTGAAACGCCCTCGCGACGCTCTCGCGCGCCCTCGCGCGCGCGCGCGACGTCGACGGCGTCGCGACGCAGCCCCTCGACGCGCTCGCGCGCGCGCGCGCGATCGCCATGGCGCGCGCGCGACGAACAGTGCCGAAAACACGAATCCAAAAGCGTCCCGAAAAGCGTTAAAGCGTTCGATCCGGAATGGACGCGTCAGAACGACGCGCGACGTCGGGCGGCGATCGATCGCGCGCGCGACGTCGCGCGCGCGGCGATCGATCGCGCGCGCGCGGACTCGGCGTCGCCACCGCGCGATCGCGCGCGTCGCCGCCGCGAGAGGTCGCGATCGAGGCGCGAAAACGCCGCCGACGTCGACGGAAAGCGGCGGCCGAGCCCTGATCGGATTGCTCGGAGAATCCGCGCCGTCGCGCGCGACCGCGGGCGCGCGAGGACGCGAGCGAACGAGAGATGATGCTCGAGAGTCGCGCGGTGATGAACGAACGCGCGATGACGAGCGCGCGGTGCGCGTCGACGAGCGGAAAGGCGAGGGCGGGACGAGGGGGCGCGAGGCGGGCGCGAGGGCGAGGCGGACGCGCGAACGCGTTCCGACGAGACGCGTCGCCGTCGAGCACGTGCGCGTCGACGCGAGGGAAAAACGATGGAAAGAAAGACGAGAGCGATCGGGGGAAGGCGGAGGGAGGGGCGTTCTCGAGGTATGGGAATAAAAGGTTGAACTACAGCGACGCGGGGCTTGGGCGGTCAAGGTCAAAGGCTCGAGACGGCGTCGCGAGAGCGTTGGTGGACGTCGAGGGTTATTCCTCGGATCCGAAGAGTTTTTATAACAGCGTCGATGAGGATGATGAATACAAAGTCGGGGTGTTGCTGCTGAATCTCGGGGGACCGGAGACGTTGGATGACGTGCAGCCGTTTTTGTACAATTTATTCGCCGACCCGGATATCATTCGTCTGCCGCCTCCGGTGCAGTTTTTACAAGGGTTTTTGGCGAACACGTTGAGCGCGTCGCGGGCGCCGAAGAGTCGTGAGGCGTACGAGTCCATCGGTGGTGGCTCTCCGCTGCGGAGGATCACCGAGGATCAGGCGAACGCGCTGCAGGCGGCGATGCAAGCGAGAGGGATCCAGGCGAAGACGTACGTGGGGATGCGATATTGGAAACCGTTCACGGAAGATGCGATCGATGCGATCAAACGAGACGGAGTGACTCGATTAGTGGTGTTGCCTTTGTACCCGCAGTTCTCCATCAGCACGTCCGGGTCGAGTTTGCGATTGTTGGAGCAATACTTCGCGGAGGACGAAGAGTTGGCGTCGGTTCGGCACACGGTGATTCCGTCGTGGTATCAGCGTCCAGGGTACGTCAAAGCCATGGCGGTGATGATCGCGCAGACATTGAAGACAAAGTTCGAGGATGACAAGGAACCGCTCATCTTTTTCTCCGCCCACGGTGTCCCGGTGTCGTACGTAGAACAAGCCGGGGATCCGTACAAGGATGAGATGGAGGCATGCGTGCGTCTCATCACGGAGGAGCTCGGCTCGATGGGCGTCAACAACGAGCACGTATTGGCGTATCAATCGCGTGTCGGGCCGGTGGAGTGGCTCAAGCCGTACACCGACGACACCATTCGCGAGCTCGGGAAGAAGGGGACAGAGGCGTTGTGCGCCGTGCCGATTTCCTTTGTCAGCGAACACATCGAAACCTTGGAAGAGATCGATATGGAGTACCGTGAATTGGCCGAAGAGAGCGGCATAAAAAAGTGGGGCAGAGTTCCCGCGCTAGACACCGATCCACTCTTCATCGATGACCTGGCCGACGCCGTCATCGAGGCTTTGCCGTACACCACGCGCATGAGCAAAACTCGCGCCTCTGCCTCGGGACTCAACGTCCCTCCAGCCGAAGTCGGCGAGCTCCTCGCCTCTTACGACCGCGCCAAGCTCGCCATCCCCGTGCCCGACAGCTCTCTCCGCACCACCTCGAGCACGAAGCGCGCGGATCAATTCAACGGTTCCTCCGGCGACCTCGTCAACGTCGCCATCGTCGTCTTCTTCGTCTTCGTGTTTCTACAATATGTTGCCGGCGCCAACGGTTTATTCGGCCAATTCGGCGTCTTTAGCAACTGGTAGACGAGCAATCATAGCTTAAGCATAATCATGAAATTTTACAGCATCACGTAGACCTTTCTTCCGCTTTCGTTCCTCCTTCCCTTCGCCCTCGCGTTCGGTCGGTCGGTCGGTCGGCGAATCGACCGCGTCACCGTCACTCGTCGCCGCGCCTTCCCGACGCCGATGCGCCACGCGCTCGCCCGCGCGCGCGTCGCCCTCGCCCGCGCGTCCGCGCGCGCCCCTCGCGCGCGCGCGAGCGTCCGTCGCGTCGTCGCGCTCGCGCCGCCGTCGAATCCGCGCGCGCACGCGCAAAAATGTTTCCTCGCGCGCGCCGCGCTCGCGCCGTCGAGGGCGCTCAGACCGACGGCGCGGTCGCGCGCGATGGCGCGAGCGACGTCGAGCGGCGCGCGCGCGCGCGACGAGGCCGAGGCCGAGGCCGAGGACGAGGACGGGCTGGATGACGAATTCGCGGAGAGCTTTTACGTGGGCGAGACGGAGTGCGCGTGCGACGTCATGATCATCGATGAGGACGAACACGAGCCGCGAGTGGTTCGAGAGGAAAACGTGGACGTGAGAACGCTGCGTCGAGAGATGGAGGAAGACGCGATGGCGGTGATGACGCTGTTGTTGACGAATGAAGGGAAATCAAAGGCGGTGGCGCGAGCGCGAGGAACGCTGCCAAAGTCGATGTCGCACTGCGAGTTGAGCGTGGCGCTGTGCTCGGATGAGTACATTCGAAGCTTGAACGCGGGGTATAGAGAGAAAGATAGCGCGACGGATGTTTTGAGCTTTCCTGCGGAGAGTTTCGGGCCGATGGCAGTGCTCGGGGACGTCATCGTGAGCGTGGACACGGCGAGCGCCCAGGCGCGGGAGGTGGGGCATTCTTTGCGGGATGAGTGCCGAGTTTTGCTCGTGCACGGGACTTTACATTTATTAGGTATGGATCACGAAGTCAGCGAAAGCGAGGCGGAGGTAATGGCGGCGGCGGAGCAAGAGGTCTTGAAGGCGCTCGGATGGAAAGTCACCGGGCTCACGAGACGCGCGTCGGGAGAATCGACGTCCGACTCTTCTTCGACGACGCTCACGACACAGAGAAGTGTGCTCGTGACGGATTTAGACGGCACGCTATTAAATGAAAATAGTGTCATCACGCCTCGAGTCGCCGATGCTTTGCGCCGGGCGATGGCGTCGGGAGTCGAAGTTGTCGTCGCCACGGGCAAGGCGAGACCGGCGGCGATTAAAGCCGCCGCCACGCAAGGATTAGACGGCATTATCGTCGGTAAGAACACACCTGGGGTGTTCTTACAAGGTCTAGAAGTGTACGGTCGAGGCGGTGCTCTGGTCTATGAAGCGAAAATGCCCGAAGACGTCACGAGAGATGCCTTCATGATGATGGATGACGTCGTGCACGACGGATTGGCGCTCACGGCGTTTTGTGGCGACAATTGCGCGACGCTTGCGCCGAGCGTACTCTTGGACGAGCTCCACCACACCTATCACGAACCAGCCAGCGAAATCGCCGGATCGGTGGATGAGATACTATCCAATAACACCGTTCGTAAACTATTATTAATGGGACCGAGCAAAGAGAGCATTGACGGCGTTCGATCGATTTGGGAAGCCGCATTCAGGGGTCGAGCGGAGGTCACACAAGCGGTGGCGGATATGCTAGAAATATTACCCCTTGGGAACGATAAGTCAAAGGGCGTTCGAGCCGTGTTGAAATCCATGGATGTGAATCCGATGACGGACGTTGTCGCCATCGGCGACGGCGAAAACGATGCCGAAATGCTTCGATTCGTCGGTTGCGGCGTCGCCATGGCGAACGCCACGGAAAAGACAAAAAGCGGTGCCGCACACGTCCTCGATGCTTCAAACACGCAAGACGGTGTCGCGGAAGCGATTGATAGGTTTGTTTTGTAAAAGTAATAAATGTTCAATGTTTAATCGATGGTGCGCCGCGTTCGCACCGACGAGGGCGCGACAACTGCCACACAATCTGACGCTCCATGCGCGCGTTGCTCACCTTGATATGCGCACTAGCGCTCGCGCTATGCAACAAGCTCGTCGCCGCGAGTCCTGTGCGCAAACCGTACATCGTCTCGTACGATGGTGCCGTCGATGAAATCTGTGACGCCCTGGAGTCGACGACGAAGCATATGAATTTTCATTGTCTGTGGCATTTGAAGATAAAATGTCGTCGGCGAATGCGATTCGCTCGTTTATTTGCCGTGTTTGCCGACGACAAGGAAGTCAACGCACTTCGCACGTGCGTTCCCGCGCTAGATTTCGAAGAAGACGTTGAAGTGTTTTCACAAGGCGTGACAACCTGGTCCAGAGACCGTCTGAACGGTAGAGACGGGCTTGATGGTAAGTTGCTTCCTCGCGATCCCCCTGAAGATGGCTATGGGAGCATCGTGCACGTTTATCTGCTTGACACGGGTGTGAGAAGGACGCACGTGGAATTCAAAGATCAAGCGTTTGGGCGCGGCGTCGATTTAGTCGACGATGACGCCGAACCTGATGACTGCGATGGTCACGGTAGTCACGTGGCTTCGACCATCAATCAAATCGCGTATAGCGGCAAGACAGTTCTCCACTCTGTGAGAGTTCTCGACTGTAACGGAAATGGTGAGCTCTCGGGGCTGATTGAGGGACTTGAATGGGTGCTCGGTGTGGCGACGCCGTCCGAGCCAGCCGTGGTCAGTTTAGCGCTCGGAGTGCGAAATGGAATTTGGTCACGCGCACTCGAACGCGTCGTCCAAACGCTCACTGGACGTGGAGTATTCATCGTTTGCGCCGCTGGTAACCAAAAAGGAGACGCATGCACGATTTCGCCTGGAAACGTCGCGGAGACGCTGACTGTCGCAGCCAGCGATCAAGCAGACGCGCCGTACGCCTATGGAAACTCTGGAAGGTGCGTTGATTTATTCGCGCCCGGCGTGCAAATTCTCGGTGCATGCGGTGGAAGCACTGCGTGTGAGCATCCAAGCGACACGGCATATGCATTTCAAAGCGGTACGAGTATGGCGGTCGCGCACGCCGTCGGCGCAGCGACGCGCCTTCTTATGTTTTCCCCACGCATGAGCCCTGAAAATTTGAAGAAGCATCTCACATCAACTGCGTCGCGCGACAAAATTCGAGGTGGGTCATTACTCCCAGGAACTCCGAATCTACTGTTGTACGTGAAATAAATCATTATCACATTTGCTCCGCCGCTAAGCGCACGGCATCGATCGGGATTACGTGAAATAAATCATTATCACATTTGTTCCGCCGCTAAGCGCACGGCATCGATCGGGATTGCGAAGTTCACGCCTTGCGGATCTCGCTTTTGCGATCCCGCGTACGCGACGACGTTCAATCCAATCACCCGTCCAGCACTATCGCACAACGCGCCCCCACTCGTAAACTCCGTGACTTGCGCGTCCGTCTGAATCAAACCTTTCAACCCAACCCCGTTCCTGCTCGGAATTTTCCTCTTCAATCCATTAATAGTTCCAGAGCTCAGCACGGCCGCGCCGTCCTCTTCAAATCCCAACGAGAACGCGCTCTGCCCGACGCGCAAATTATCGCTCGTCCCGATCTTCGCCGCCACGGGCGCGTCCGCACCGAAACTGCCAATAGGTACCTTCAAAAACCCAATATCGGTGCTTCTGTTGACGAAATACGATGCGTCTTTATCCAATGCCGCCGCGGCGCCGCTCGCGAGCATCACGACCAACTTTTCGTTTTCATTCCCCTTCACCACGCAGTGCGCGTTCGTCGCGATGTAGGCGTACGCATCGTCGATGTACCACACCACACCACTCCCGCGGCCGCTAATCTCGCCATTGGGCGCGACAACGGCGACGCGCGCGACGCTTTTCGACGTCTCTGCGAACACTCTGGTCGCCGACGTTTCGTCGACGAGCGACGCGCGCGCGGGGCGAACGAGGCAGGACGCGAGCAAGGGCGCGATGAACGTATCACGTCGACGTAATGTGGTGCGCGGCGCGGTCGAAGGCGTCGGGGAGGCGACGGCGACGATTCGGGACATCAATCAACGCCGTCGCAGTGTGCGGCAAACGGTGGTGTCGACGTCGTATTAATTTATTCATACAGTAGCACCGTGCTACTGTCTGCTAACGTGTCCTACGCCGAACCATCACCCCAAGGATCTGAATCTAACTCTTCATCGAATAACTCGTCGTCGTCAATGGTGTCGTCGGCGGGCGAGGCGGCGTCCTTGAGCTTGCGAGACCACCTCACAGTGGGCGACGCCGAAGACTCCATATTCGCGACGTCGGTGCGAACGATGACGTCGTCGACGTCGTCGGCGGTCTTGTCGTTGACTCCTAATTCGGGATCAGAATCTTCCGTGGACTCGCCGCCGGAGTCAGAGGCGCTGTCGTACCTACTTTTGCGCGCGCTCCAGTCGTGCTTGAAATCGCGCGTTCGCACGACTTGCTCTGGGGTGAGCTTACCAGCACTGATGAGCGCCATGCGCGCGGCAGCGAACGCAGATTCACCCGCAATTTGATCGCTATGGCCTAGTTCGTACGAAGGTCGATGATCAAAATCTCCGTCGGGGTATTGCGCGCAATCGATGTCCTCGAGCGCGATGTCCTTGCGGAGTGACGCTTGACGTCGAAATATTGCGTACTTCTCCGATGGCGACAGCGTGAGCTGTGGTCGAGCGCCGATGTTTTCAGGAGTTTCATCGTCGGTGTCCTCTTTACCTTCCGTCGCGCTGGTAAATAAATCTGCAGACCCGCTCTCGACGTCCCGGTTCATCGACTCTGGCCGAGGTGTCAGCGGTGAATCCTGCGCATCATATCTCGACTTCCCGACCACTGCTGCCGCCTTGACGATATTCCCAGTCATTACGCCGTTATCCTTACGCGGGCTCATGAATAGTTTACTCACCGTGCGCTGCTCGAGCGGAGTCACGAGCGGGGGTCTGCATCCGCAAAGCCGCGGGCACATGTGTTTCCAACAGCAATCCATCGTCTCCTCGGGCGTCTGCACTTCATCGATGCGTGTGATCAAGAAAGCGGCCGCACACCACCGCACAGTGAGTGCAAATGGGCTAATGACGGTCAAAGAAAAGCCTTGATATAATCCGAAGACGTATATGTACGCCACAAACGTGTTAAACGCGTCGCCGCATCCGTCGGCAGGATTCGCCAAGTGCGCCCAAAGCGAACATACCAAAACGTTCACAAATGAGAACGCGACGCACGCTTCAAGAAGACGATACTGAGTCAAATTAAACGCATGCGAAGCCTTGATTCCCATCTCGATCAGCTGCTCCTCGTCTTCCAAGTCTTGAATTTCCCCGCTCTCGGCGCACATGAAACCGACGTTTTCCGCCGCTTCAAAACTTACCTTCGTCGCCCCTAAAGTCGCCAATCGCAGCGCGATCCCGAGCACGATGTCATACGTCAACAGCAACACGAATACCCATATCTGATTGGTCCAAAACCCACCGCTCACGCGAGCGCTCGTTAAATCCGTCAGCACCATAGAAGCCGCCGCCGTGCTCGCCAACTCCGTCGCCAAGTGCGCGAACCGCCCTCGCTGCGTTATGAACGCCGCGTCGCCAGCGAATATATTCAATATGTCGTGTCGCTCCTTGATGAAATCCCACCACGGCGTCAGCTTCCCCGTGCGCCAATCGAACACCCCGTACCCCAACAACCGCGCCGCCAAGCACCACGGCACGCTCATCAACGGTTTCCTCCTCGGAAACACTCGCTGCGGCGGCGGCCACTTCTTTACCGCCACGATCAAGAACACCACCGCCATGCAAAGCATGACTAGCCACGCGATGAAGCGCATCCATTCGCCACCGGTGTGATTCGAGCTCGCGTGCGCGGCGTCGCCCCAACAGTGGTCGAGTAAAGACCGCCCGCGGCGCGTCGTGAGCGCGCGCGCGGCGTCAACGGCGTGCATGACGCGCGTGTCTGTCGTTTGCGCGTCTTTGAGACTCAGCGCCGCGCCATGCGCGTCCGAAGAAGTGTGTCCTCAAGCGAAGGAATGCGGCGTCGGCGGGACGCGGCGTCAACGCGAGACGCTCGCGAGGAGACGGGACATGTACCGGCTTCCAGGTTTCTCGATCGTGTGATGCGCGACGAAAGAGAGCAAAACTAGGAAGAACAAAAACACCAAGACGACTACGTTGGGAAGATTTTGCTTTTCGTCGAAGTTGCGGAAACAATCGGCCCAGACTTTGATACTCGGCGACGTGCGGTCGCAGGCGGGGAATACGCGCATGGTGTCGTACTCGAGGGCGGCCCAAGAGGTGTAAAGGGGAAGGTGTAGGAGGTACATGGCGTAAGACCACGTACCGATGGCTTGGGCGACGGGATTCCTGAGGACTTGGACGGTGTATGATTTGCGCGTGACGGTTAAACCGTACAGCCAAAACGCGCACGGCGCCGTGAGAAAGAATTCGTTAAAGATGCGCACGTTCTTCGAGTCTGCGACCAAGCCGGATGTAATGACGGAGCCAATCAGCCAAGAAGCGAAGCCCAATGAGAAGTAATCGGTGAACTTTGCCCAAAATCTCTCAGTTTGAGGTGTCACACCGCGCCGCGCTAAACGCAGACGCATCGCGCCGACAAGCATGCCCATGAAGAAGAGCGGTATTCGCACAGGGAACCACGCTCGACCGCAAAAGTATGCGCGCATACCATCCATATCACCATCTAACGCGGTCACGACGACGTGTGCTCGAGACTCGAAATTCGCGTCACGCCACACATTTCGAAACGCTGGAGAGTTAACAGCGCCCATGACGCCGAGTGGGGCCATGTAGGACGCGTGATAGGCGTACATAAGATACTTTCGGCAAGACTTTTGAACCGAATCGAAGCGAGAAGATTCAGTACTGGATTTATTTTCGAGATCGTCCGCGATGGGAAAGTCGATCGCCGCTTTCTCCTCGAATTTGCGCACCAACGCGTTGAGCTTGCGCGTCAGCCACGGAAAGCAAAAGTAATACCCCAGTTGACAACTCAGACTCCAGCACACAGAATTCCAGTAGCATAGAGAAAATATCCAAGATTGCATCAATAATGGTGTCAGGACGATGCCCATGATCAGGTTCACCTCACCACTCTTGTTCTGCCAGAAATTGTAATCCGCCACGATTGTTCTATAATTAAACGCCAGGAACGGCGCGAACCACGCAAGCGCAAACCAATGGAGAGGTAGCACTCGAATGTAGCGCCGTTTGATGAACTCCCAATACTTGAAGCCTTGTTTTTCTACTTTCTCGTGATACGCAATGTACATGACGAATCCAGTGATGAGAAAAAAGATGCTCACGGCGACGCCGCCTTGAAAGTCCAAGTACGGCGATTCGCTGTTTCCGTAAAAGAGTAACCAGTGCCCGCATGCGATTTGCAACGCCGTGATGGCGCGCAGACCGGTGATTGCGCTCGTATCAATCTCATCGACGTTTAATACACGCTGCGCCACAACAGGAGCTCCGCCCGACGCCTCATCCGGGCTCTGATCAACCATCTCCGCGCGCGGGTTCGGTTGACTCTCTCCTGCGGCGTCGCCGTGAGACTCAGCAGCTGTCATTTCAATCTTATCCTCCGCCACCGTGCGCTCATTGACGTCATCGCGTGGACGACGAACGATGAACTTCATCATGGTCAAGGTCGATACCGCCCGCCGTTGTGTGCCTCCTTCGCTCGGCCTTCCAAAAAAAGACTGGTGGAAGTCAAAACGTTGTTAACCGTGGCGTACGTTTTCCTCCTGCGATTGCTGTCGACGCGCAAGGCGTTGTAAGATGGCTCCGGACGAGGCATGTCGTCATCACTCGACGAAGCTTCAGATGCTGGAGACTGTAACGACGAGTGTGTTCGACGACGTAGCCTTCGCCGTGGGACGTTCTCTACGTCTAACATTCGATTATGCGACATCGATGGCTCGACACCGTCGTGATCTGAATCACGGTATCGTGCTGAACACTGAGAGCGAGCGAATAGCACGCAAATGGCGAGCAAGACAACCAAACCGAGTGCAACAGAACCAGCGATACTTGGTGAAACGCCGAGCCACTTGCGAGCGCGCTTTACGATGTTTCCATCGCCAGAGTCCGTATCATTGAGAGGCGGCGTCGGCGGAGGCGGGGTTGGAGCCGCGGATGCGCACACACCGAACGCCATGAGTTTGCGTCCCGAAGCCGGTGGAAACGAAAACGGCGAAGCTTGATTTGGCGGCGGACTCGGCGGCGGACTCGGCGGCGGACTGGGTGGTGGACTGGGTGGCGGACTGGGCGGCGGACTGGGCGGCGGACTGGGCGGCGGACTCGGCGGCGGACTGGGCGGCGGACTGGGCGGCGGACTGGGTGGTGGACTGGGTGGCGGACTGGGCGGCGGACTGGGCGGCGGACTCGGCGGCGGACTCGGCGGAGGATTTGGTGGCGGACTCGGCGGAGGATTTGGTGGCGGACTCGGCGGCGGACTCGGCGACGGACTCGGCGGTGGATTTGGTGGTGGACTCGGCGGTGCATTTGGTGGCGGACTCGGCGGTGGATTTGGTGGCGGACTCGGCGGTGGATTTGGTGGTGGACTCGGCGGTGAATTTGGTGGCGGACTCGGTGGCGGACTCGGCGGCGGACTCGGCGGCGGACTCGGCGGCGGATTCGGCGGCGGACTTGTTGGCGACGCCGAAGGCGTTGGTGGAAATTGCGGTAGTGGCGGATTTGGCGGCGGATTTGGCGGCGGACTCGGCGGTGGATTTGGTGGTGGACTTGGCGGCGGACTCGGCGGCGGACTCGGCGGCGGACTCGGCGGTGGATTTGGTGGTGGACTCGGCGGTGGATTTGGTGGCGGACTCGGCGGTGGATTCGATGGTGGACTGGGCGGTGGATTTGGTGGCGGACTCGGCGGTGGATTTGGTGGTGGACTCGGCGGCGGTGGATTCGGCGGTGGATTTGGTGGCGACGCCGAAGGCGTTGGTGGAAATTGCGGTAGTGGCGGATTCGGCGGCGGACTTGGCGGTGGATTCGGCGGCGGACTGGGCGGCGGACTTGTCGGTGGACTCGGCGGCGGATTCGGCGGCGGATTCGGCGGTGGATTCGGCAGTGCCACCGCCGTAGGCGGCGGCGGCGCATTTGTAAGAACACCATCTGACGCACAAATTCCACTATCGCATTGATAGTCCGCAAAACACGGCGCTCCGGCTTCCAAAGCGCGCGCGCTGACGAATGAGAAGACGTAAACCGTCGCGACGACGCCGAGACGAAGCCTCCATAAATTCCGCGCACTCCACCGCCGCGACCGTCGTCGACGATCGGCCCTTATCATCAATAAATATACCGACGACTCCAACGCGCGCGCGCGCGCTCGAGCGAGGTGTGTCGTCCGATCAACCGTCCCCGAGCCGACGCCGCTATTTATATCGCCGCGCGCCGCCTAACATCGTCGCGCGCGATACCTCCCAGGACGTCATCTCGCGCGTCGACGCCCGTCACCGCGCGCGACGCTCGCGGGGTAATTTTAATCGCGCGCACCGCGCCGTCGACCGACGCGCGCGCGGTCGCGCGCGTCCGATCGTTCGATCGTCCAACCGTCCGACGCTCCGCGCCAACCAACTCACTTCCAACTTCACTTCCAACTTCACTTCCCGCGCCGCGCGCGCACCGCGGGATGAAGATCACCAGCCGCGCGTTCGAGAAGAACGCCAAGGGTTGGATAAAGGTGCGCGCGCGAAGCCGTCATCGCGCGCGTCCGCGCGACGCAATGGCGCCGTCCCGATCGTCTCGCGCGTCGCGCCGCGCCCGCGCGGGACGAGACGAAGACGAAGACTGACGCCCCGCGACGCGCGCGCAGTTCGTCCCCGAGAGCGCGGACGACGTGTGGCACGCGTATAATTTGATCGCCGTCGACGACGAGGTCGAGTGCGCGACGATGCGGAAGCTGAAGAACGAGCACGCGGGCGAGCTGAGGGAGTCGTCGAGCAAGGTGGTGAAGCTGACGCTGCGCGTGCGCTGCGAAGACGTGGAATACGACGCGGAAGGCGCGACGATCAGGGTCAAGGGACAGAATAAAACGGAATGCGAAGAGGTGAAACTGAACGCGTATCACACGCTGGAGATAGGGATCGGGCGGGCGGTGAAGATTGAAAAGACGGCGTGGGATAGCGTGGACGTCGGGCGGTTAGAGGAGGCGGCGGATCCGTCGGCGACGGCGGATCTGGCCGCCGTGCTCATCGTCGATGGCTTAGCGAACGTAGTTTTAGTCGGAGCGACGCAGACGATCGTGAAAGGGAAGATCGAGGCGTCGATGCCTCGAAAGCGAGGGATGGCTTTGATGGGATACGAAAAGGCGGAGACGAAATTTTTTAGCAACGTCGCGAGCGTCGTCGAGAGACACGTAGATTTCGACAGGGTGAAGTGTTTGGTGATCGCGGGACCGGGATTCACGAAAGATACGTTCACGGACTTTTTGAAGCTCGAAGCCGTGCGGAAGAACTGGAAGACGCTTCAAACAAATTTCAGTCGCGTCATCAAGGCGCACGCGTCGAGCGCGTACGTGCACTCACTGAGTGAAGTCTTGGAGAACCCCACGGTTCGAGCTTTGATTTCCGATACCAAAGCGGCGAGCGAAGTGAAAGCGCTCGATGACTTCTTCGAAATGCTCGCTAATGATCCCGCGCGCGCGTTTTACGGTCCCGCGCACGTCATGGCGGCGCACGAGCTGAACGCCATCGACAAGCTTTTGATCACGGATACGGTGTTTCGAACGCGCAACGTCGCGCAACGAAAAATGTGGGTGCGCGTCACCGAAGAAGTCACGAAATCTGGTGGAATCGTGCACATTTTTTCATCCGCGCACGCGAGCGGGGAGCAGCTCGAGCAAATCACGGGCGCGGCGGCGATTTTGCGATTTCCACTACCCGACCTCGCCGACGCCGAGTTGCCGGCGCTCTAGTCTTTTAGTGAACAACGTAGCGGTCATCATTCATAAACAATTCTTTCGTCGCTAAATTTTACGAGACGATCTAAAACAACAAATCTTCGTCGTGCTCGCTTTCGATCAAATTCCCTCCCGCCCCGCGTCCGCCCTCACCTCCGATGACGTCCCCGAACGCCCGCAACTCCGCATCCACGGCTTGCGTGATCCGTTTCTCTTCCTCCGCCTCCATCATCTCCGTCTCCTCGATGTCTTTCTTCTTCTTCGCCTGCACCTTTTTCAACCTAAAGAACTCCTCCCGCTCGAGTTCGTCCAACTCGCTCAAGATGTACTTCACCGTGTTCTGCAATCTCGGCGTCACGTAATTCTCCAACGCGTTCACCCGTCGATTCGTCGTCTTTATCGCCTCGTCCAGCGTCACGAACGCCGTCTGCAAGCTCGCTAATTCGCTCAACAATCCAATCGCCTCGCCGTACGACGCCTTCGCCTCTCGCACGCGCGCCCCCCCCCGCGCCAATCCCGTCAGCTCCATCCTCCGTTCGTCCGCCCCGCACTTCCTGCACGTAAACTTCGGTATCTTCACTCCCGCCACGTTATCCTCGTGCGCCATCACTCGCACGTTCGCCCGGTCCACGCCGTCCAGCACCGCGTGCTTCACCGCGTCCCCCCCCGCGTACTTCGCCCGCGTCCACGCGAAGTGCGCGTCCCGCATCGACGTCGCCAGCTTACGCTTCGCCTCGACGATGTCGCGCAGGATGCCGCGATACCGCAGCGTCAGCGCGTCCGCCTTCTTCTTCAGCAATCGATGCCCGCGCTGCGCGCCCGCGAGCCGAGATTTGATCACCGCGAGCGTCGTCACCGTCGGCGTCACGTTCAATCGCGCGCCCGCGCTCGACATGACGGCGATTGAATGATCCGCGCGTCGGGTCGCGGCGTTCCTATCGCGTCGGCGCGCGATGTGCGGCGTCACATCGCGCGCCGCATCCATCCATCCATCGCGCGATGCGCGCGCGCGGCGTCGCGCGCGTCGCGTCGGGACGTCCATCGACGCGCGCGAGGCGCGTCGTCCATCGACGTCGCGCGCGCGCGTCGATGGACGACGCGCGAGGCGCGAAGCGGGCGTCGCCGACGCGCGAGACGACGACGATGGCGAATCTGGACTCGGCGCTGGGGACGCGCGCGCGCGACGGCGACGGCGCGGCGACGCGCGAAGCGCGATCGACGCGCGACGAGGCGTCGGACGACGCGACGCGCGGGCGCGCGGATCCGCTGGCGGCGTACGACGCGGATCGGGATTGGCTCGGCGCGGGGCCGCGATGGGACGTCCCGCACGGCGGCGCGCGCTTCGCGGCGACGATGCTCGCCGTGGACGCGAGCTTCTACGCGGCGGGGTGCTTGGCGCCGATGGTTGAGCACGCGGCGAGGGCGAGTCGGGAAGGGCGGGACGCGCCCGAGAGCGCGGAGGCGCTGGCGGAGGATTTGCGACGCGCGTTCGACGACCCGAGCGCGTTCGCGGATATTCTACTAGACGCGGAGATTATTCAAATCGCGCTCGGCGCGGGGATTTTGGCGCTGAGCGTGAAGAAGTTCGCGCCGCTGCCGTTGGGGTGGTTTAACGATGCGTTCTCGTCGAGTGATGCGGCGGTCAACGCGACGGGTCGCGACGCGTCGAAGTGGAAGCGAGACGCCGCGGCCAAGGCGCAAAACGAACGCGCGAGCGCGAGCGCGAGCGAGGCGGGAAGGGCGATTTTAGGCACGTTTTTAGGCGTCGCGCTCGTGACGTGGGTTTTGTACGCCGCGGGATTACGCGGAGGCGATGGGAATGGGTCGTCTAGCGTAGACGTCATCGAAAAGGCGTTCGCGGCGGGCCCTCACGGAATCGCGAATCTCGTCGTCACGACGGTGATTTTGGCGCCGATTTTTGAGGAGACCGTGTTTCGCGGGTACATGTTGCCGTCGCTCACGAAATTTATGGACACCACCCCAGCCATCGGGGTGTCGGCGCTGATTTTCGCGTTGATTCACCAGCACGGCGTCGGCGACACGGTGCAACTCGTCGCCGTTGGGTTGGCGACGGGCATCGTGTACGCGAGGACGAGAAACTTGGCAGCATCCATCGCGGTGCACGCGGCGTTCAACGCGAGCGTCATCGCGTTGTTCGCTTTGTGGGTAAGTTGAGCGAGTAACGCAGCAACTAGTATATTTTATTCAATTGATTACGCGCTAGAAAGAAATTCATCCGCGTCCAACGCTCGGCGCACGCTAAATCGCTCGTTCGGATCGACGGCGGCTAATCTCGTGATCGTCGCCCACGCGCCCAATTCATCCAATAATGTGAAATCATTCACCCCTGGCACGCACACCTCGCGACGCCAAAGGTCTAAATCTCCCCCGCACGCGTCAATATCCTTTCGCGCGCGCACGATGGCGCTTTCCCCGCGAAGAGACGGCACGCCGCATCTGAGGAGCGTGACGCCGAGCGAGTACGCATCGAGCAACACCGTCGGTGGCTCTCCACTCGGCTCGAGCGTAAAACCATTCGCGGAACTCGCTTCGGCGTTTTTCTTCCTCCCGAACAACCCACCGATGCTCGGAAATCCACCGAGCGGCGGCGAACTCGCCACTTTACGAAACTGCTCCGGAGCGCCGTACGTCGGATCAAATATCGCCTCCGCGCCGTCCATATTCCGACCCGTCTGCACGTCCGCGCACGCCCCCACGTCGCACAACAACGTCCGCTTTCGTGCGTCGGATAAAATGACATTCGCCGGTTTCACATCCCTGTGTATCATATCGAACGCGTGCACCGACGCCACGGCTCGCGCGAGCGTCGACGCGAGAAATCGAAACGCCGCCGCGTCGTCGCTCAAATCCCCAAACGTCTCCCTCGCCAGCGCCAGCCCATCGCCGCGCGCGAGAACGTCCTCTAAAGTCACTCGTCCGACGTCTTCCCACACGAGCCACTGTCCGACGCCGGCGGCGCCCATGAAGGGCGCGACGCCGTCGCAGTCGCGCAGCGCTCGCGCGCTCTCGAGCTCGTCCGCGTAAAAGCTTTCCACGTCCCGGCCTCGCACGTCCACGCGATACCGCTTGGCGACGACGTTCGCAGAATCCTCGTACGTGCCGCGGAAGCACTCGGAGAAGGCGCCGCGACCGACGACGGCGCGCTCGTCGATGCGAAGTTTCGCGAGCGTGAGCTCCGGGACAGCCGATGTCCCGGAGGTGAAATCCGCGCCGTCTTGCTCGTAAAACGAGCGCCGTCGGCCGAGCGCCGTTCGAGATCGCGCGCGCGCGCGTTGCGACGCCGTGCGCGCGCGTGCGAGGGCGCGCGCGGGCGCGGGCGTCGATGGACGCGCGCGCATGGCGTCGCGTTGTGCGGACGAGCGCGCGAGCCGAGTACGATTTCGATCGAGTCAACGCGCTCGCACGAGTTACATGACGCCTACACCGAGTCGAAGAGTTTTTGCCACTTCTGCACGTCGTCCTGCGGGCCGTCGCCGCCCTCGGTGCTTCCGAGCTCGTACGCTCGACCGGCGGCGCTCGCGCACACGAGCGCCGCGCACGCGGCTTCGGCGACGACGAGCCTGGACGTCGCTTCGGGCAGCAGCTTGTCGTCGCCACCGCCGATCTGCACGTCACGACGCGCGCCAGACGTCGCCTTGAGCAGGGTGTTTAAATCGTACGACGTGTACGGGCCGTCGGTGAGTCGACCGGGGCGTAAAATCGTATACGGCAACCCGGAATTCTCCACGCACTCCTCACCCTTCCTCTTCCACTTCAGCACCCCGAACGCGTTCAAGACGACGAACGGCATCACGTTCGTTCTCAAAACGCCCACGCTGGACACGAAGACGAATCGCTTCAAATTCGGCGCTAATTTCTTCGTCGCCTCGACGACGTTTCGCGCGCCGACGTAATCCGTCGCCTCCGGCCCGTTCGTAAACTTCCCATCCTCATCCCGCCATCGCGCGCTCGGAAACGCCGTCGTCCCGAGACAACACACCACCGCCTCGACGTCGCCGTCGAACGCGCCCGACGCCTCGATCGAACGCGCGTCTCGACAATCGACGCCGCCGACGCTTCGCGGCCCCGTCGTCGTCGTCTCCTCCGTCCCGCGCCCTCTCGACACCGCCACGACGTCGTACCCGCGCGCGTGCAGTTTCGCGCAGATCACCTGTCCGACCCCACCGCGCGCGCCGACGACGACGACGCGCGCCCCGCGCCCTATCGTCGTCGTCGTCGTCGTCGTCCCGTTCCCATTCGCATTCGCATTCGCGCCGCCGCGTCGTCGCCCTCGCGCGTCGCGTCGTCGCCGACGGTCCACCGCCCCGCGCGACCGCACCGCGACGACCGCCGCGTCTCTCGCGCGCGCCGTCGACATCGCGCGTCGCGTCGTCGCCTGGCGCCGCGACCGTCGACGCGATGCCCCTGAACCCTCGATAAATCTCTCCCGTGTGCACAAACACTACGAACAGTACTAAAACGCACGTCAATCATTACATAGCGATAAAGGACATAGAATGCGCGTAAACGAACGGCCGAGCGCGACCGACGCGCGCGCCACATCGCGCCCGACCATGCGCGCGGCGCTCGTCGCGAGCGGTGGAGGTGCGCGACGCGACGCGACGCGCGCGACGCGCGCGAAACCAAACGCGACGCGACGCGCGCGCGCCTCGAACGCGCGATGGACGACGCGCGAAACGCGAAAACGATGGCGTCTCGAGACGAACGATCGACGGATCGACTGACGACGACGACGACGACGACGACGATAGGAATCGCGCGCGTGAGTCGCGAACGAAAGACGCGAAGCGGACGCGTTAAGGATAGACTCGCGATGCGAGCGACGCCGGCGAGCGCGCAGGCGGCGGCGACGGCGGTGAAGGTGCGACGACGACGACGAGACGCGGCGACGCGAGACGAGCGGACGACGCGCGCGGACGACGAGACGCGGAGACTGACGAAGGCGCGACGCGATGGACGCGGATGGGGACGCAGGGCGGCACGGCGCTGATAAGCACGACGGCGGAGTGGCGAGCGCTGAAGGAACACTTCGCGAATGAGATCGATAAGACGCACCTGAGAGATTTGATCGCGGACGCGAAGCGATGCGAGGAGCTCGTGATTGAGAGCGACGGGGTGTACTGCGACTTTGCGAGACAGCGAGTGACGCACGATACGATGACGAAGTTGTACGATCTCGCGCGCGCGGCGGGGGTGAAGGAGAAGATCAATGCGATGTTTAATGGGGAGGCGATCAACTCCACGGAGAACCGGGCGGTTTTGCACGTCGCGACGCGGGCGCCGAAGGATAAGGTGATCAACGTCGACGGGAAAAACGTGGTGCCGGACGTGCACGACGTCTTGGATAAGATTAAGGACTTTTCTGAGCGCGTGCGCAACGGGGAATGGGTCGGGGAAACGGGTAAGCCGTTGAAGGATGTCGTGGCGATCGGGATTGGTGGATCTTTCCTCGGCCCGCTCTTCGTGCACACGTCGTTGCGCACGAACCCGGAAGCCGCCGACGAGGCGCGAGGGCGTCAGCTTCGGTTTTTGGCCAACGTCGACCCGGTCGACGTCGCTCGCTCGTTAAACGGTTTGGATCCGGAAACGACGCTCGTGATCGTGGTTTCGAAGACGTTCACCACGGCGGAGACTATGTTGAACGCGCGCACCGTGCGCGCGTGGATTCGCGCGTCCCTCGGCGAAGCCGCGGTGTCAAAGCACATGGTGGCCATTTCGACCAACTTGAAGCTCGTTGAAGAGTTTGGCATCGACCCTGATAACGCTTTCGCCTTCTGGGATTGGGTTGGCGGGCGATACTCCGTGTGCAGCGCCGTGGGGATGTTGCCGCTTTCGCTCCAGTACGGCTACGACACGATGGAGCAATTCTTGAAGGGCGCGTGGTCGATGGATCAACACTTTGCCAACGCGCCGTTCGAGAAGAACTTACCGCTGACGCTCGGTATGTTGTCCGTGTGGAACGTCAGCTTCCTGGATTGTCCGGCTCGCGCCATTTTGCCGTACACGCAAGCGCTCGCCAAGCTCGCGCCGCACATTCAGCAAGTCGCGATGGAATCCAACGGTAAGGGCGTCGCCATCGACGGCACCCCGCTCGATTACGAAACCGGTGAGATTGATTTCGGTGAGCCCGGTACGAATGGTCAGCACTCCTTCTACCAGCTCATTCATCAAGGTCGCACGATTCCGTGCGATTTCATCGGCATCATCAAATCGCAGCAAAGCGTGTACTTGAAGGGTGAAATCGTCTCCAACCACGACGAGTTGATGTGCAACTTCTTCGCCCAAGCCGACGCGCTCGCGGTTGGGAAATCCGCCATCGAGCTTCGTGCGGAATCTTGCCCGGATGCGTTGATCCCGCATAAGACTTTCACCGGTAACCGTCCGTCGTTATCCATTTTGCTCCCCGAGCTCAACGCGTACACCACCGGTCAGCTCTTGTCGCTCTACGAGCACCGCGTCGCGACGCAAGGCTTCGTCTGGGGCTTGAACTCGTTCGATCAATGGGGCGTCGAGCTCGGCAAGGTGCTCGCCTCCCGCGTGCGCACGTCCATGAACAGCAAGCGCACCAAGGGTGAAATCATGACCCCCGGCGACGGCTTCAACCCGTCCACCACCGCCCTGTTGAACCGCTACCTCGCGGGCAAGGCGAAGCTCATCTATCCGGAGCCCAAGGACGTGTTCCCGTGCGATTTGATCGACGGCGACGAGTGCCGTCCGCCCACGTCGTACGTATGATCGCGCTCGACCGCGGCGTACATGTAACAAGCACACTAAATTCGCGAGCGCCTTCCCCCTCGCGCGCGTCGCGCCTCGCCTCGCCGGCTGACGCGGACGCGTCGACGCATCGCGACGCGATCACATCGTCGCGCCGCGCGCGTCAGCCGGCGAGCGTCGACGCTCCGAGCGCGCGAAAGAGCGCGACGAACCGTTCGCGTCGCGCGCGCGATGGCCTCGCGCGCGTCCGCGCCGTCGGCGCGCGCGACGTCGACGAAAACTCGGCGCGCGACGGGGAATCATCGCCGAACGATGATCGCGCGTCTCGCGCGTTCGCGCGTCGCGCGCGCGTCGAACGGCGAGGGAGACGAAGAATTTCGAGCGTCCGTGGATGGATTGAGGGAACCGTGCGACGATTTCGTGTGCAAGAGCTCGCCCGCGGTGGAGAACACGCTAAAGTCGTTGATTAAGGACATCAACGCGGCGCGAGGGACGAATCGAAGCGCGGCGCCGTACTCGCCCGACGTGACGTACGACGACGGCGCGCTGCGATTCGCGGGGAGCGAAAAGTATAAGCGGTACTGCTCGTACATCGAGAATAATCTGAGGCAGGTGACGACGAGGGTGACGGAGATATCGATGGAGGGGTCGCTGGACGTCGCGACGGTGAAGTGGGAGTTGAACGCGGTGAACGACATCGGAAGAGTCGGCGTGGACGTGACGGCGACGTATAAGATGAATTTGATCACGGGGCGAGTGTTGGAACACAGAGAGCAATGGGTGGTGAATCCAGCGAGGACGGATGCGCAGGCGGGGGCGTTGTTGGAGTCGACGCGAAAGGCGCACGCGTTGCCGCTCAACGCCATGGAGGTGGCGGACGAGGCGAAGAAGAAGTTTCGAGAGATTTCGAAATCGTTCGCGTCGGAGGACGACCAAGAAAATAGTAACATATACGTCGACCCGAACGACCCGATGAAGTTTTTCCAGCAAGACGACACGTCAAAGACGGATCTCTTGCAGTTGAGTCTCGTCGCCGCCGTCATCTATCTCCTGACGAAGGTTTTTCAAGTCTTGAATTGATATCGCTGTAATATTTATCACATCTGTGCCGCGCTATTCGATATCGTACGAGTCGCCAAACATCATGCGTCTCGCTTCGCCTTCCGAGCGAAGATGCTTGAGCGCCGTCGCAGCGCGCCGATCGACGCTGCCTCCTCCGCTCGAGCCACCGTCTCGCCGTCCTTTGTTCTTCCCTTTCTTTTTCCCTCGCCTCCTTAAAGACGTCACCGCGTCTTCGCCGTCCCGTCCCGACGCTGACGCCGACGCCGACGTCGAAGCATCGCTCGTCTCCGTCGCCTCCGTCGTCTCCGCCTTCTCGTTCTCCGGAATGCGTCCTCGCAGTCTCGCGAGTAACTTCCCACCCGTCGTGTGCTCCCATCCCGTCAAATCCGTCAGCCCAAACTCCACCAAAAACTCTTCAAAATATTCCTCCGCCGTCACGCGATCGGGCTTTGGTAAGTTCTTATTCCTACTCTTTAACTTTTGCAAATAAAAGGCGCTCTGCATCAACGATTGCTTGTCCGCCGCTCTCGAAGTGTACTGCGCCACCGAAACGAACGACACACAAAACGCCGTAAACACCGTCATCACCAACCATGCGCTGAATTTCACCTCCTCCTTATCAAACGCGCTTCTCTTTCCAAATTTCGGTCTCGCAAACTTCGGCAACGACGCGATGACGTCGTCGTACTCTTTCCGCAGCGTCTCGTCGAGCAAAATTTTCTTCGCCTCGGCGATGACTTCAAAATGTTTCTTCGCCTTTTGGCGCTGCGCACGGTCCATCTCCTTCGGCAGTTTGTCCGGGTGCAAGCTCAGGGCGAGTTTACGGTACTTCTTCGCGATGATCGTGCTATTGGCGTCTCGTGCGACGTCCAGAGCGCCGTAAAAGTCGTTTCGAGCGTAGTGGATGAACTCATAGGTTGTCGACGCTTCGACGCCGCGCACGCGCGACGCGACGCACGCAAACGCGGATGCGCACGCGAACAAGGTCACATACCACGTCGCACGTCGGCGCGTCGCACGCGAACGCGCGTTCGACATCGAGTCTCGTCGCTCGAGCGCGGGAATGTGTGGTTCTCGTCGTCTGGGCGGCGCTCGGGCGCCGCCGCGTCTCAGTTGTTTTTACAAACGCGCTATTCGCTGCGGCGCGTCGATGGTTTCGACGCGACGGTGACTGTGACTCTAATTTTTCGACTTTTTCCTAGGTGACCCGAACGCGTGCTCCGGTGGGCCTTGCGCATCGACGGCGCGAAGCGCGACGTCGCGCTCGACCTCGTCGATCATGGAGAACAAAAATTCGCCCAGCTCGTCGTCGGCGTCCATGAGGGATTGCATGACGTTCTCCACCGTGCCCTCGTCGATGAGTTCGCCCTTCGCTGGATCACCGTATTTCGACAGTTGCACCTTACCGCGACCGCCGAGCGCGCCGACGATGACGTCCGCCATCTTCTTTTGCGCCGCGCCGTCGGCGAGCTCTGGCATGTGAAACGGACGCAGCGACCCGAGCGGCGCCTTCGCGCTCAACGGCGTCAGTTTCGGCGTCCCGTGCATCGATCGCGCCCCACTCGTAGACGCGACCGCGTTCCCGTTCGCCGTCGGCCCTCGTCCGGGAACGAACCGTTTCGGCGCCACGCTCGCCTTTTTCCGTCGATTCGAACCCGCCGGCGCCGGCGCCGCATCCGCCGCTCGTCTCGTCGCCGCGATTTCCCTCTCCACGATTTCCTCCGATTCCGACTCCGACCTTTCGTCGTCATCCACCGCATCGCTCTCGCTCCCCGACGCTCCGCTCGCGTCGTCTCTCGTCCCTCTCCGTCCCCGTCCGCGTCCTTCGTCTCGCGACTTCGACTCGCGTCCCGCCAGCGCGTCGTCGATCACCTTCATCATCTTCCCCACCACTCCCGTGCAATGTCGTCGTCGATGCTCCGCGTCCTTCAACCGCACGTATTCATCGATCACGCGCTTCAAATCCTTCGTCTTTCTCCCCCCTCCGCGCGGCGCGTCGTCGCCGAGCGTCGTCGCCGCGTCTTTTAAAAACGCCTTTCTCGCGCCTTCGTACCCTTGTCGTTCGAGATAGCGCAGCACGACGCGCGCGACGTCCGCGTCGTCCACGCGCGCGGGTTTCGTCGCGCGCTTCATCGTCGCGCGCGCGTCGGAAGAGCGCGTCGCGGCGGCGTGTGACGCGCCGATGAGGATTCGCGCTGACATCGTTATCTAACCGTCGTCGTCATTCCGCGACGCGACGCGCTCTTCCGACGCCGAGACGCGCGCGCGATGCTGCGACGATGCGCGAAACGCGTCCTCACGTCGTCCGCGACGCTCGTCCGCGACGCGCGATCGACGCACGCGCTGGAACCGACGCGAATGATGTTTTCGAGCGTCGCGATCGGGACGCCTCGTAAACTCGTCACCCCTCGGAAACCGCTCGCGAGGACGCTCGCGCGCGCGTTCGCGACGTCGGGCGAAGAGCAAGACGTCGTCATCGTCGGCGGTGGGCCGGGAGGGTACGTCGCCGCGATCAAGGCGGCGCAACTCGGGTTGAAGGTGACGTGCGTCGAGGGACGAGGGACCCTGGGCGGGACGTGCCTGAACGTCGGGTGCATCCCGAGCAAAGCGCTGCTGAACGCGAGCCACAAGTACGAGGAAGCGAAACATGGGATGGCGAAACACGGAATCACGTTCGGCGGTGAGGTCGCGATCGACGTGGAGACGATGATGGGACACAAGAGTAAAGCGGTGACGGGGTTGACCAAAGGCATCGAGGGACTGTTCAAGAAGAATAAGGTGACGTACGCGAAAGGGTGGGGGAAGCTCTTGAGCGCGAACGAAGTGAACGTGACGATGGAGGACGGAAGCTCGGAGGTGATTAAGACGAAGAATGTGGTGCTGGCGACTGGGTCGGTGCCGAGCGCGTTGCCGGGGGTGGATGCGGATGAGGAAACCATCGTCACGAGCACGGGGGCGCTGGAATTGAAAAAGGTTCCGGAAACCATGGTTGTTATCGGAGGCGGGGTCATCGGACTCGAACTTGGCAGCGTGTGGAGCCGATTGGGGGCGAAAGTCACCGTGGTGGAATTTGCGGATAAAATTTGCGGCGCAGGGATCGACGACGAGATTCGCACGACGTTTCAGCGCTCGCTCAAGAAGCAAGGATTCAACTTTAAGTTATCCACTAAAGTCACCAAGGCGGTCAAGAAACCGGAAGGTGGAGTCACTTTGACCCTCGAACCGTCCGCGGGCGGTGAGCAAACCGAACTCGAGGCTGATATCGTGCTCGTGTCCACCGGGCGCCGTCCGTTCACCGACGGTCTCGGATTGGAAGACGTCGGCGTGGAGACGAACAGGATGGGTCAAATTGTCATTGAACCGCACACTTTCAAGACCAACGTCCCGGGCGTGTTCGCGATCGGTGACATCGTCGCGGGTCCGATGCTGGCGCACAAGGCTGAAGAAGAAGGCGTCTCCGTCGTCGAGCAAATCGCCGGTAAAAAGGGACACGTCAACTACGACACGATCCCCTCCGTCATTTACACCCACCCCGAAGTCGCTTGGGTCGGGAAGACTGAGGCGGAAGTCAAAGAAATGGGCATCGAATACATCGTCGGTAAGTTTCCGCTCGCCGCCAACTCTCGCGCGCGGGCCAACGACGATTCTGAAGGCGTGGTGAAATTCCTCACCGACAAGGCCACCGGGAAGATTCTCGGCGCGCACATCGTTTCCGGCGGTGCCGGTGAACTTCTCGCCGAGTGCGTGCTCGCCATGGAGTACGGCGCTACGGCTGAAGACATCGCGCGCACGTGCCACTCGCACCCGACGGTTTCTGAGGCTGTCAAGGAAGCCGCGATGGCCGCGACGCCGGGAATGGGTTCCATTCACTTTTAAACTCGCAGCGCTGCTTCATGTACAGTTTTAAGAACAAACAAATCTACTGACTACATCCCAAACGCGTCCGTCTTCGCGCGCTGAATCTGAAACGCCGGCGACACCCACGCGCCGCACGAGCACTGAATCCCCGCCCAGTCAAACGCGCCGATTTTCGTCTCGCATTGCGGGCAGCACAATTTCCCGCGCGTCTCGCCGCCGTCGCCATCTTCGATGCCTTTCATCCAGCTCAATGGCGTGAGAAACATCGACGAGCACTGCCTCGCACCCGCACAATCTCTATTTATGCCTTTTGAGCCTTCCTTACGTCGTGCTTTCCAACTAAACGCGTCGATGCCTTCGCCGTGTTCGTGACACAACACGTGCGTCGACCGCGCCAGCCGGCGTCGACATTTGCGACACGCGAGCCAACCGCCTCCCTCGGGATCGTCCACCGCATCCGCCGCTCCGGGGTCACGCATCACGCTCGTCGATTCCAAGTACCCGCGCTCGTCGCGTTCGCGCGCGACTTTCGCCACGGACCACAATTTATACGCCTCGTTCGCCGTCGACACGCGACACCCCATTTGCGCCCACAACGACAACTGCGCCTGAAATCCCTCGTTAGGTGCCCCCCCGCGCGCTTCCACGCTCGCCATCGCCTGTTCTATTTCTAATTGTTCAAAGCGCATTAAATACGCCGCGACGACGGCTGCCGAGCGCGACTCGCCCGCGTGACAGTGCACGGCGACGACGCTCGAGCTCGCGCTCGCGAGCGCCGTTTCAATAAAAGTCGTCGCCTCGGGCACGACGCCCAAGAGATCGGCCAGGTCATCGTCGGGAAGCGGCACGACGAGCGTGCGCGACGCGTCGATGCGTCCCTGGCGGCGCAAAACCCGTCGCGCGTCAGTCGAGAGCTTCGGGACAAAAAGTGTACTTTCGCACCTGCGTCGGGTCTTCGGGCGGCGGCCAGCCGATGGAGACGACGTGGGTCACACTCTGCGCGTCGCATATCGATGGGAGATCATGCTCGGCGCAGAAGATCAAGCGCGCCGGGTGGACGGACGACATGATGTGCGGTGACGCGACGCGTGACGCTCGTTGAGGCTAAACGGTTGTTGAGCTTTTAGAGTCGCGGCGCGCTGCGCGCTGAAATTATCATTATATCACGCGAGACTGGCGGTTTTGTTGTGGAATTCGGCGAGCAGCTTTTCGCGCCCGCATTCGATGGCCGCATCCATGGCTTCGCGCTCGCGTCGAGAGGCGTCGAGTTCGCGGCGCTCGAGCTCGAGCCGAGCTTCGCGCTCGGCGAATTTTTCTTCCGCCAAACGACGCACCTCTCTGGAGTGTTCGAGAAGTTTCATGCGGCGCTTTTGTGCGCTCAGTTGCTCCACGCGATCGTCTTCAGCGAGCTTTGCGGCGAGATCTCGCTGAAATTGTTTCTTTTCTTCCAAAGCTTGAGCCTCTCTCGCTTCTCGCGCGGCGACGGCGGCTTCGTATTCGCGACGCTGCTCATCGCGTCTTCGCGCAGCATTTTCGCGCTCTTCGGCTTCTTTCACGCGACACGCCTCTTCAAATTCTTCAAATCGCAATCGCGAAATCAGTTCGTCAAAGTCTGCGCGCTCTTGCGCGGCGCGCGTCTGCGAAGTCTCGACGGAAACGCGAGCGCGTTCTTTACGCTTCTCTTCTTTACGCTTCTCTTCTTCCTCTTTCGCCTCTCGCCGCGCCACCATCTCATCGTGTCGCATGATTTGCTCTTCCAACGCCTTCACCGCCTCAGCTTCGCGCGCGACTCGCGCTCGTTTCTCCTCCAGCGCCTTCGCCGCGTCGCGTTTCGCGCACTCTCTTCTCGCGATGGCTTCTCGTCTTTCCTCTTCATCTTCCGCCTCAATCTTTTTCACTAACTGCGCCATCTTCCGTCGCTCGTCCTCCTTCTCCATCGCTCGTTTGCTCATGCGAAGCGCCCGCTCCGCGTGCTGCGCGTCGAGCGCCTCGCGCGCCGCGATTTTCTTTGCCAACTTTGCCGCTCTCTCTCTCTCATCGCGCGCCACCCCTTCCAATCTCTCGCGTTCCATCTCCGCATCCAGCGCGCGCTGCCGCTCCATCTCCAACTTTTCCAACGCTTTCTTCTCCTCGATCTGGTTATTTCGAATCGCGTGCGTCTCCATCGCCGACAGCCTCGCTCGCAGCGCTCGCATCGCGTCCGTCTCCAGCGCGCGCGCCGCCGTCGACGCCTCTCGACTCGCCCGCCGTTCCTCGTTCGCCTTCGCCCTCGACGCTCGCTCCAGCGTCGACGCCCGTCGCATCGTATCGTCTCGCGCGCCGTCTCGACCGCCTTCCGTCGCGTCGCCGCGCGTCGCCGCCGTCGTCGCGCGCGCCGCGTCGTCACCAAACTCGGCGTCGAGCGCCTCCAATCGTCTCTGCAGCGCCTCCTCCCGCGTCCCGCGTCGCAGCGCCTCGCGCACGTCGCGATTCCATCGCTCGCGCTCTCGAGCCTCGAGCTGTCGCGCCTCGCGCTCGCGCGCCAGCGCGCGCATCGCGTCGCGTCGCTTCGCGCTGTGACGATTTATGTCGCGCTCAACGCTAATTTTAGCGCGCGCTATAAATATCGCGCGACGCGACGCGCGTCGATCGACGCGCGCGCGAGATCCGAGATCGCGTTGTTACCGTTCGCATTACACCCGTCGCCGTCGCCCTCGCGCGCTCGAGCGCTCGCCCTCGCGCGCGCTCGACCCTCGCCGACCCTCGCCGACCCTCGTCGCGATCGCTCGATCGCCGCGCGCGTCGCGCCGCGCCGCCCTCGCGCGCGTCGCGCCGCGCCCATCGACGTCGCGCGTCACGCCGCGTCCGATCTCGCGCCCTTGGCGCGTCGCGCCTTGTCCGCGGCGACGTAGACGGCGAACGCGCCGGCGCCGAGCGCGAGCCCCGGGAACGCGCGCGACCACGGTTTGTTCAGCAGCGGGTGCGCGCGCCACGCGTCGGCGCGCGCGAACGGGTTCGACGTCGGCATCGCGCGCGTTCGCGCGCGGTCGCGAGAGGCGGCAGCGCGCGCGTGTGACGCGCGCGCGAAGCGTCACCGTTTCGAATTCGACTCGACTCGACAGCGCGGCGCGCGACGTCGCGTCGACCGCGCGCGCGTCGTGCGCGACGATGCCGCCGCGGCGCGACGCGCCGCTCGAGGCGTGCGAGGCGTGCTCGACGGACGACGAGGACGCGCTGCGAGCGACGCTCGCGACGACGCCGTGCACGATCGTGGACGCGCGCGGGAACACGCTCCTGCACCTGTGCTGCGCGAACGACGCGCTGCGATGCGCGAAATTAGTCGTGTCGCGGTGCGTGTTCGCGTCGACGCCGCCGGAGCGGGCGTACCTGACGCTGAGGAACTCGGACGGGGAGACGGCGGCGGATGTCGCGGAGGCGTGCGGGAGCGCGAGGTGCGCGGAGTGGTTGGCGAAGATGACGGGCGCGGAACGCGTCGCGACGAACGATGCGCGACGAAAAGACGTGGGGAAGGGCGAGAGGCGACGCGCGGACGACGAACGGCGACGAAAGAGGTCGGGAGATGGGGAGACGGAGGCGACGACGCGCGCGCGGGAATCGTTGGTGCGGTCGATTCGAGAGGCGCTGAATATCGGGCCAGGGGACGACGGCGACGAGCGGGCGGCGGTGCGGCAGGTGTTGAGGGAGGTTTTGAATCTCGTGAGCGATCGCGAGAGCGCGCGAAGGGAGTTGGAGGAGGCGCATCGAAAGATTGAAGCGATGGAACGAGACGCGGAGCGGGAACGCGCAAACGTCGTCGAGGCGCTGGGGATGGCGGAGAAGCGGGCGAAGGAGATGATTTCGGAGCGCGAAGCGCGCGAAAAGGACATCTGCGCGGAGAAAACGGCGCTGAGTGAGGCCCTGAACGCGACTGGGGCGGAGTACGAAGCGGGATACGCGAAGGGGTGGGCGGACGCGTTGCAGCTGCCGAGTCGCGAATACGTTCGCGCGCAGATGAAGCTCGAGAAGAGCGCTTCCGCGAGCAGCGCGTCGGAGAGCGCGACGCCGGCGCTGGCGACGGATGATGCGTGCGAAGCGTTCGCGGACGTATCGCTCGATGGTTCCGCGTCCATCGCGTCGCGCGTGACCAACGTTTTTAAGGAAACATTCGTCGGCGTGAAGAAGCGCGTAGATGAGCTAGAAAAGTCGCTCACGGGGAGCGCCGAGAAGAAGAATCCTCCGCGCGCGTCGCCGTCGTCGTGAGCTGATTCGAATCGCTCACCGGTTGTACTGTGTTGTAATTCGTATGTATTAAACGTGCCAGCACCGCACGCTCTTGTCGTAAAAGCTACACGTCACGAGGACGTCTGACGAATCGTCGTCGCCGTCTAATTGCACCCAATCCGCGCCGTAAACTATCGACTCGTGTTCATCGTACGTAAATACCTCCTTGAGTGCGCCGCTGGCGTCGTCGACGTCGACGAGCACGGCGCCACCGCCCATGGCGGCGCACGCGAGCGCGTTTCGCGTCGGATGCCATCGACATCGCCACGCGCCGCCGCCGACGTTCAGCTCGCTCACGGGGGATTTCATCGACCTGACGTCCCACAACCGCACGTGATCGTCGTAAGATCCCGTGACGACGGTATTTTCATCTCGCGGCGACGGCACGACGCACGTCACGCCGGCGCAGTGCGTCTTACGATTGACCATTTGCGCCCTCGACGCGTCGCGCAAATCCCAAGCCTTGAAAGCGCAATCATCCGCGCCCGTGTACAGCACGTCCGCGCGAGTCGCGTCGAACGCGATCGCCCACATCTCTAAATCGTGTGCACCCTCGACGGTATCCACGATCTCGATCGCAGACGCGTCCTCGCGCATCACTCGAAAACTCCCATCGGCGGCGCTCGCCGCGAGCGCGCCGTCGGATCGCCAATCCAAACACGTCGCCATCCCGAGCCCACCGCCGCCGCAGTGCACTTTCGCGAGCGTCTGAAACTCAATTCTCCACCCCGCGTCCTCGCCGTCGCTCTCTCGACTCCCCTCGACGTCCTCCGCGCGCGCCAGCGTCAAAAACCCGTCGGCGTCCGCGAACGCGCACCGATTCCAATCCCCCTCGCGCGCGCTCCAGCGCGCCTCGAAAACCGCCCCGATCGCGTTCGACGCGTCATCGTCCGCGTACCGCCCCACCTGTCGCGCGCGAACGACGGCGCCGCCATCGTCGTCCGTCGCGCGCTCGACGCCGTACGCCCTCGCGCCGCCCACCCGTCGCCCTCTCGACGCCTCGTGTTCGTATTCCGTCACCAGCACCACCCCCCGGCGCGCCCCTCCGCGCGCGCGACGACTCTCCACCCCGCACGCGCCGTGATTCGTGCGCAGCGCCGCGTGCGTCGTCGCCCGACGGCGATCTTCCGTCTCGACCATTCGCGCCTCACCGCGCCTTCGCGCCCCTCCGCGCGCGCGCTCTACGCGCTCTCGGCGCCGAAGAGCGCCTGCACGACGTACGTCGAGGCGCGAATAACGCCGCACCAGGCGAGGAGGTACGTCGCGTGACGCTTGAGTTCGTCGTTTTTCATCGCGCGCGTTGTTGAGTGCGGATGCGCGCGGGCGCGATGTCCCGAGGCGCGCAGAGCGCGACGCGGCGGCGCGCGCGCGGAGAAACGCGCGCGCGCGAACGGTCGCATCGCGCGCCGTCGTCGCCGCGCGATCGGGCGCGCGGACGCGCGCGTGAGGTCGGCGTCGACGCGGCGTGACGCAAAAGACGGTTCGTGTCCAGAGCTATTTTTAAGCGAGCGGTTCGACGCGAATGGCGACGCACGTCGGCGCGAACGCGCGCGTCGGAAGCGCGCGCGCGCCGGAGGCTTCGTATATGAAACCGCTGGCGCGCGCGCGAGGGGAGAGCGGCGAGAGCGGAGGGACGGAGGTCGGCGGCGGCGCGACGCTCGAGCGAGGATGGACGGGCGAAGCGCCGGCGACGCCGCGGGCGAGCTTCGTTCGGCGACGGGATTCGGCGCCCGTGCATCCGACCGCGGACGACGATGGCATCGATGGCGACGGTGACGGGTTCGTCGATGGCGAGGACGATGGTGAGGATCGGTCGAGTCGACCGACGCCGTCCGCGCCGCCCGCGCCGAGATCCGCGGGAGCGCGTCGGCGAGCGACGCCCGACGTCGCCGCGCCGATGTCGTGTCCGGCACCGTTGCCGCCGTGGGCGGACGCACGCGCGAGGCGAAAATTCACACTCGAAGCTTTGCCGAACGACGGCACGCACGCGAGATGCCACGTGCTGCGCAAGCGCGGGCCGCTCGGCGTCTTTCCGACGTACGTGCTGTATTTGGACGGACGCGAGACCACGACGGCGACGCTGGGAGACGCGGTGCCCATCTTGGTCGCGCGAAAGCGTAAAAAGTCGAAGTGCACGCACTACGTCATCGGGGACGACGGCGCCGAGCGTGCGGTGAATGAGGCGCACGCCAGCTACGTGGGCAAGCTCAAGGCGAATTTCATCGGCACGCACTTCGAGTTGTTAGACTCCGGTGTCAGACCGCGCGCGTGGGGCGCGCCTCGACATCTCGACGACGAAGCTGACGACGAAGAGCAAGGGCCACCGCGTCGCGCGCTGGCGAACATTCGATACGCCGTCAACGTTCTGGGCGCCGGCGGTCCGCGCGCGCTCTCCGTGTCGCTCCTCGGCGACGACGTCGATGATCCGAACGCCGTCGCGCACGAGCTCGAAAGCGCGCGCCCGACCTGGAATCCATCCGCGCAGGCGTACGTCTTAAACTTCAACGGCCGAGTCACGCGTCCGAGCGTGAAAAACTTCCAACTGGTTTCCAGCGGGCTCGCCGCCGCGGGCGCGCCGTCCCGAGCCGACGCCGAGTCCCGCACTCTCACGCGCGGCGTCTTACAGTTCGGCCGCGTCGATGACGACCTATTCACTCTGGACTTTGCGCATCCCCTGAGCCCGCTCACCGCCTTCGCCGCGTGTCTCAGCGCGTTTGAATCCAAGTTCGCGCGCGAGTGAGAGAGCGCTCATGCCGGAGCGTCCCGGGACATCGTTCAATCGCGCGCGCGCGCCTCCGGATATCGCCGACGCGGTCGCGGTCGAAGACGTCGTGCGCGTGACGTCGTGGCACGACTTCGACGGGGACGCGCGCGTCGCGCGGTCGACGATCGAGGGCGCTGGATACGGATTGTTCGCGCGGCGGCGGTTAGCGACGGGAGACGTCGTCGAGCGGGCGACGTATTCAGGCGATGTTTTGAGCTTGGCGGAGGCGTTGAAGCTCGGAGATGACGAGAAAGCGTACGTCATGGCGATGCATTTCAACGTGCACGTAGATGCGAGACGACATTATGGGTATTTGGCGCGGTACGTCAACGACGCCGAGGGGACGCCGTTTGAGACGAATGTGAAATTCGAAAAAGATGTGGCGCAACGTCGAGCGACGCTGCGCGCGGTGAAAGACGTGGAAGTTGGGGAAGAGTTGTTCGCGGCTTACGGACGAGGTTACTGGCGCGCGAAAGTGGGGTAATAAATATGAATTCTTTCGATGACAAAACAATCAACGCGGCGCTCCTAATAAAATACTAACTCGCGAAAAGCGGGTGAGATTCAAACCATAACCATGTCGTCGGGCTTCACGACGCTTGAACGTTCCTTCTCGTCTTCCTGTGCTTGTGCCTTCCACATGGCGGCGTACATGCCAATCTTTGTGCCGCGACTCGTACCGTCGAGCAACTCGGCGTGCGTGCCTTCCTCGACAATTCTACCTTGTTCCATGACGATGATGCGATCGCAAGATCGAACGGTGGAAAGACGATGAGCGACGAAAACCGCAGTACGACCGCGAGCCACGTCTTCGAGACTCTCTAAGATGCCTTGTTCGGTCGCGGTGTCCAACGCGCTCGTCGCTTCATCGGCGACTAGCATGCGCGGTTCGCGCAAAAACGCGCGCGCGATGGCCACACGTTGCTTTTCGCCACCGCTTAGCTTCACACCACGCTCTCCAACCATTGTTTCTCGCCCCTTGGGCATCTGTTCGATCGTCTTGTTCAAGCGCGCGCGCGTCGCCGCCATGGCCACCTCGTCGTCATTCGCCGTCGGTCTGCCGTAGCGAATGTTGTGGTCCAGCGTGTCGTTGAAGAGCACGGTATCTTGAGGGACCACGGCGACGGAGTCACGAAGAGAATCGATCTTCAAGTCACGCACATCGTAGCCATCGATGGAAATTTTCCCGCTCGATACGTCGTACACGCGCAAAATGAGTCGGAGCAAGGTGCTCTTCCCAGAGCCGCTCGGGCCGACGATGCCGACGGATTCACCCGGCTTGAGTTTCAAAGAGACGCCTTTGAGAACGTCGCGACCGTTGCCGTATCGGAACGTCACGTTATCTAGCTCGAGATCTGCACCGCCCGCGTGCGCGGGCAAGGCGATTTCACCGTCGGGGATTTTCGTTTCCGTCGCCATGATGTCGAACATTGCCTCCATGTCGACGAGCGACTGACGCAATTCTCGATAGAAGAAACCCAAAAACTGCAGAGGCGCCCAAAGCTGAAGTAAAAGTCCGTTTGCCATGACCAAGTCACCCACACGAGACGCCAATCCACCCGCAGGATCTACTTTCCACAGCCCCAACGCCGCGCACGATAAAATTGTCGTCATCCCACATGCCAAAATAACCGCCTGCCCGGCGTTCAAAAGACTCGACGCTCGCTCGCTTCCGAGCGCAGCTTCGTGGTAGCCGCGCAGGAGTTTGTCGTACTGCTGACTTTCTAACTCTACGTTCCCGAAGAACGTCACCGTTTCGTAGTTCAACAGCGCGTCCACCGCCTTGCCGGTGGATAAACCGTCCATGTGATTGGCCAACTTTCTCTTCTCCGCGCTCACGCCCGTCATGTGCATCGTCCACCACACGTACGCCACGAACGTGGTCAAGACGATGACGACAAAGTGCCAAGAAAACGCGTGCCAAAGCAACCCGCACACCAGCGCGAGCTCCATCGCGGTCGGTAAAAAGGTAAACACCACGGCGCGAAACACCATGCTCACCGACCGCGTGCCGCGATCGATGATTCTCTGCAGCGCCCCCGTGCGTCGCTCGAGGTGAAAGCTCAAATCTAAGTTTAACACGTGATTAAACACCTCCAACGCCACCCTGCGTCCCGAAGCTTGCGCCACTGGGGTAAACATCACCGTCCTCAGCTCCGTGGCGACGCCGCTAATCGCCTTCAAGCACCCCGAAACCAACAACGCCGCCGCCGCCGCCTTGGCCGCTTCCGTCGCCACCATCCCCGTCGCCGCCGCCGCCGCCGTACAATGATCTACCGCAACCTTAAAAAGCACCGGCACCGCCAATCCAAAGCTCTTCTGAATCACTAAAAACGTCAAAGCCGCGCACAACCGCCAAGCCGTGCCCCTCCGCGACAGCGACACCGCGAAAAGATACGGCAGCACATCCCTCAGATCGCTCGTTCGCGGCGGCGGCGGGATCGGTCCGTCCAGACTCACGTCCCCGGCGCGAAAATACGCGTTTTCATCGCCGCTCTCGCGCGCGGGCATCGCCATCGCGGCCGCCGCGTTCGCCTTCGTCCGCGCGGATAAGCGTCCCGCGCCGCCGCGCCGTCCCGGTCCCACCGCGATCGCCCGCGTCGTCGTCCGCGCGCTCGCGCGCGACGAAACGCGCGCCCGCGCGCCGTCGGTCCCGTCCACGGCGCGCGTCGCGCGCGTCGTCGCGTCGGGCGCGCGCCGCGCGACGGCGAAACCGCGTCGACGTGGCAGCGGCGATTCCGTCGTCGCGTCGCGCGCGCGCGCGGACGCGCCGTCGGCGCGCGCGCGCGCGGCGACGCGCGCGGCGACCATCATCGCGCGCGTTTCGGCCGTCGGCGACGACGCGCGCGGCGGTGTGAAGACGCGGCTTCGCGCGGCGTTTTCGCATTTCGACGCATTTCGACGCATTTCGCGCGACATTTCAAGACGCCGACGCGTCGAACGCGCCGCTCGCCGCGCGTCGCGCTCGGACGGCGCGCTCTGTCGCGCGTCGCGCTCGGGCGCCGACGCCGAGGGCGCGCGCGCGCGCGCGCGCGGCGGACGAGAGGAAAAGCGCGAGCGCGAGACGCGCGGCGGTTTCGTGAATCGACGCGAAAATACGAAATGACGACGCGCGTCGCGGTCATCGCGGCGCGGGTCGCGCGTCAGGGAGGCGTGACGCCTTCGTCGTCGATCAGGGCGTGCGCGAGCGGACGACAGGCGTGGGCGACGCGCGGAGGGCTGGGAATGAGCGGAGGGCAAACCTGGACGGCGAACGGCGCCGTCGCGTCGCCGGCGGCGCGACGACGGACGGGACGGCAGAACGCGACGACGACGCGCGCGCTGGGAGAGCGAGGGAAGGAAAGTCGCGGTGAAAGGATGGCGATGAAGTCGTCGAAGAGCGCGACGCACGTGTCGAACTTGAACGCGGCGGCGACGCAAGAGTTGAAGCATTGGTCAACGACGAACGAAGCCGAACGAGCGGAACGCGCCGCCACAAAGGTGTTTTGCAATCGAAGTCTGAACATGAAACGAATCAACGCGATTGGATTCGACATGGACTACACGTTGGCCATGTACAAGCCGGAGACGTTCGAGATGATGTCGTATTCAGAGACTAAAAAAAAGCTGGTCGAGTCGTACAACTACCCGCGCGCGTTGCTCGAGTCGTTCGAGTTCGATCCGGATTACATGGTGCGCGGGTTGGTGGTGGATAAGAAGAGAGGGAACGTTTTAAAGATGGATCGACACAACTATGTCAAGGTGGCGTATCACGGATTCACGGCTTTAGACACCGATGAACGGTTGGCGACGTATTGCGAGACGAGCAAGCGTCAAAGTTTTGACGGTCCCGAATTTAGCGCTTTAGACACATTATTTTCCATGGGCGAGGCCTACCTGTTCAGCCAGCTCGTGGAGGCGAAAGATTCGGGCAAGCATGGCGAGTTTTTTGAGAGAAAGACATTCATGCAAATGTACGACGAGATACGAGCGGCGGTTGACTTGTGTCACAGAGACGGCTCGTTGAAGCACGCCGTGGCGGAAAATCCGAGCAAGTACATCACGAAGGACGCAGACTTGGTTCCTTTGCTAAAGGCTTTGCGAGCGAGCGGGAAACAAGTGTTTTTGCTTACGAACTCTCTGTGGGATTACACAAACGTCGTCATGAATTATCTCATCGACGACAACGTTGGCGACCAAAAAAAACTCGAATGGCTCAACTTGTTTGACGTCGTTGTGACTGGCTCGGCGAAACCGGGCTTCTTCGCTAACGATTCGGCGACGATATTCGAAGTCGACACCGCGACTGGGCTTTTGCACAACACCGACAACGGCGCACCATTGACTCCAATCGGCAGCGTGTCGGATTCGACGCACAAACGAGCGCTCGCGAGTGGGTTGCGCGCCACGGGCAAAGGTCCGGCGAGGGTGTACCAAGGCGGTTCGTACACGCACCTTCACGCCATGCTCGGCATTGAGATTGGCTCGAGATTGCTTTACGTCGGCGACCACATTTATGGCGATATTTTGCGAGCGAAGAAAGAGATTGATTGGCGCACGATGCTCGTCGTCCCCGAACTCGCGCACGAAATCGACTGCCTGGAACGCATGAAGGAAAAACCGCACGCGCTCAGGCGTTTGCGCACGCTGCGCGATTCTTTGGACGATCAAGTCGCGCGTCACGCCTGGCTCGCGGCGAACGCCGCCGACCCGAAAGCAAACGAAGAGGAGTTAGAACGCGCGAGACAACTGTCGGCGACGGCGCGCACCGCGCATCGCGAGGGTATGCGCGAGTATCACAAGTCGTTTCACTATGTCTGGGGTCAACTCATGAAGGCTGGGTCGCAGAACTCTCGTTTCGCGTTTCAAGTTGAGCGGTACGCGTGCCTGTACACGTCGCACGTGAGGAATCTGTGGGGCTACTCGCCCGAGAAGGTTTTCCGCGCCCCCGCTGACTTTTCGCCGCACGACTTGGACACGGACTACGACTTTCACGACTTTGACGCCGCGGTTTTGGACGACCCATCGTCCATGACTTCTTAAATTCGTTCGTTCGGCGCGAAATTGTTGTTGTATTACGTACATATTAATATCACATCGTTCGAGTTCATCGACGAATCTTCACCTTGAGCACGCGATCGTCGCCCTCGTCGTCGTCGTCGACGTCCACCGCGATCGCGCGCGCGAGATACCCATCCATGTGTTCGATCAACTCGACGCCGACTTTACACGCGAGCTTGCGCATTGCCTGCGCCGTGCCTCGATCAAGACTCTCCCCTCCCGCGCCAAACTCGGCACAAATCGTCCCTTCACGATCGACACCGACGCTCATCGTCGCCTCCGAACACGCCGTCTCCTCCTCCGTCGCGTCCACGACGCCGTGTCTTCCAATCTTCGTCGTCGTCACCACCACGCCGCACCTCGACACGTCCACGCGCGAGCACGCCTCGGGATCGTCATCAATCTCCAACTCCCCGCCCGCACCATCCTCACCCACGCCCGCGACCGTGACTTTCGGAATCTTCGTATCCGCCAACGCCGCTCGCACGCCCACGCTCAGCGCATCCAACATCGACCCTCGATCGCACGCGCACGCGCAGTCCACCGTCAGCGTCCACCGCGCTCGCCCCGGTTTCACGCACAACGATTTCAAATCGATCCCGAACTGCTCTCGCTTCCCCATCCCTCGCGCGATCGCCCCATCTTCATCTCCCGCTTCCTCTCCCTCGCGTCTCCGCACCGCTTCGCGTCCGATGAGCACGGATTCCAACGCTCGCGCGTACGTCGCCCCCAGGTTTTCCGCCGCCTCCTCCCGCGCGCGTTCGTTCCCTCCCTCCCGCGTCTTCACCGTCGCGCTCGCGTCCACGCGCACGACCACGCGTCCGCAATCCTGATCATCGTCGCTCTCTCGCACCGCCGTCACGTCCGCGCGCACCGCGACGACGCACCGCGTCGCGTTCGCGCCGTCCCCCAGCGCCACCGCCGCGCTTCCGCTCGCGCTCGGCACCGCGCGCAGCGTCACGGCGCACGCGCGGTGGTCGTCCAGCGCGCGTCCGTCGTTTCGCGCGCGCGCCGCGACGCCCGCGACGACGTACGCGCGCTCGGCGCGCGACACCGTCGCCATTCGTCGCGTCGCGCGATGGCGTCGAATCCGATCGCGACGACGAATCTGCACTCGGTGACGCGTCGCGACGCGCGCGAACGCCCGCGCGACGCGACGCGGGACGCGAAAAGCGCGCGCGCGGTCGACGCCGTCGAGGCGCGCGCGCGCGACGAAAGGCGCGACGAGAGGCGCCGATCGACATGATGCTGCAGCGACCGCCGAATCGCGACCGAACGCGCGAATTCGCCGCCGTCGCGGACCGCGTGCGGAAGACGATGGGCGCGAGCGCGAGCGCGGACGATCGGACGTCGACCGTGGGCGCGGAGGGGGCGAAGACGGCGGCGGGGGGAGGGAACGCGAGCGATTTCGCCAAGGTGCGCTCGATCGTTTATTCGAGCGCGAACGCGCGACGAAGGACGACGCGGCGACGACGCGCGCGGACGAGCGTTTCGAGGACGCGCGACTGACGACGAACGCGTGAACGATGGGTCGCGACGCGAATCAGATGGCGTCGGCGATCGGGCACGGAATTCATCGAACGTCGCTGAAGCTCGAACGGCTCAATCAGCTCGCGAAGTCGTCGTCGCTGTACGACGATAAATCGAGAGAGATAGCGGAGACGAGCGCGGTGATCAAGCTGGACATTCAAGCGCTGAATGAATCCATAGTTGAACTGCAGGGCGCGGCGGCGAGGACGCGAGAGCGAGGGGAGGCGAATAAGTCGGCGAGCGATCACAGCGTCACGGTGGTGGATACGTTGAAGAATCGACTGGCGACGGCGACGAAGACGTTTAAGGAGACATTGACGACGAGACAGGCGAACATCAAGGCTGGAGAAGAACGAAGGGCGATGTTTGGCGCGAGCGCGGGACCGAGCGCGTTCGATGGTGGGTTGGACTACCTCGGCGACGACGCGTTTTCGCGCGCCATGCGAGAAGGCGCGAGCGGATTCGGCAACTTGCAGGGGAACGCGAACGCGTTCGTGCCGCGCCCGAGCGCGCCGGGCGCAGGCGTTTCTGGGGCGCCGATGATGCAAACGCAAGGTCAAATGCAGCTTTACAATCAAAACACCGCCTACGCCGATTCGCGGCAGGAGGCTTTGCAAAACGTCGAGCGCACCATCACCGAGCTCGGCGGCATTTTCCAGCAGCTCGCCACCATGGTGAGCGAACAGGGCGAACTCGCCATTCGCATCGACGAAAACGTCGACGACACCCTGGCCAACGTCGACAGCGCGCAAACGCAGCTGTTAAAGTATTTGAACACGGTGAGCAGCAACCGGTGGCTGATTCTAAAAATCTTCGCCGTGTTGATCTCCTTCTTTAGCTTCTTCATAGTCTTCATCGCGTGAGCGAAACGAAACATTGTCATAATTCATTCCCCGCCTCCGCAAGCGTTGTCCGCGCGTCGTTCGCCGTCGTATCGATGTCCGATTTCTCGGCGCGGTCGCCGCCGCACATCATGAAGCGCGGTTCCGATGCCGACGACCCGCGCGCGCCCGCGCTCACCTCCGTATCGCGCGCGGTGAGCGGTGAAACCTTTCGTATACTCACTCGCGCGTCGACGTCCGCGATCGACGTCTCCGCGCGCGACGCGAGCGGGAAAACCTTTGTCGGAAGATTGGATTTGCAACGCGCGCCGTTTGAACGTTTCGGTGAATTCGCGCGCGCAGCGCTCGGCGATCCGCGACGCGAACGCGTCGAACGCGCGTTCACGTTCACGTTCGAGCGCGCGGAGGAGAACGGGGACGAGTACGAGCTCGTGTGGCGGTTTAGGGAGGCGGAGGCGGAGGCGACGCTGGACGACGGTGCCGAGTTTGCGACGACGCGAGCGAAGACGGCGAACGACGGGAAGAATTACGGCGCCGTTCGCACGGGTGTGTGCGGTATGAGGCGCGTGGAGAGCGACGACGCGTTTTGTGATGGAGGATTCGCGTACGAGGCGTTGGGGGAGGCGTTGGAGATGGAGGCGCGACGACGCTTCAACGCCGAGCGAGACGGGAAGAGGGCGATCGAGGCGCGCGAAAGGGCGAATGAGAACTGCGAAACGGCGCTGCGAGAGATGGATGCGTTGAAGGAGCGATTAGCGCAAAACTTTCTATCGCTTTTAAACGAGAAAAAGAAGGGCATGAGGAAAATGGCCGAAGAGTTGGAAGCCGCGAGGGCGGAGAACGACGAGTTGAAGGCTGACCTGGCGAGCGCGAGACTGGAACACTCGAAGCCCGACGTCGACGGTTTCGTGGCGGTCAAAGGCGAGCGAAGCGTCGATGCAGACGTCGACGAGGACCGCGACGAGAGCGAGGACGAATACAACACGGATGATGAAACGGAACGAACGCGAAGGCGCGGTCGCAAACGCGACGCGTCGCAACCGTCGCAGCGAAAATCGCAGCCATCGCAGTCGCAACCGTCGCAAAAACGCGCCCGAAATGCGACGGCGAAAAAGAAATCCTTTTTAGCCGACACCTTAGCCCTGCTCGACGCCGATTAACGACGACGACGTCGATCGAAACAAACATTTAGTATTCATTCGATTACAACAAACCGTGCTCCGCCATGTACTTGGCCGCCGTGCCGTTATCGTCCTCCACCAACTGCCCGTTCTTCCAGCACCCCGTCGCCTCACCGATCTTCTTATGCTTCGCGTACTCCGCCTCGACCTCGGCCTTCGTCCCTTTCCACCCTTTCGGATACCTCGACAGCGACTGCGTCCCCATCAACCGCGCCGCCTTCACCCTCAGGTTCAGCGTGTCCCAATCCGGCAGCAAATTCTCCCTGATCGTCCCCCACTCCTGTATCCCGTACGTCTCGATCCCCTCGTACAGTTTCGCGCGCTCCTCGTCCCCCCACTTCTTCGCGCGCGTCTCGAACACCACGCGCTTCGGTTTAAAAAATTGTTGGTCTATCGATCCATCGTCGTTCAGCGCGTCCCGTCGCGTGACGCACAGCCGCATCGCGTTCGCCCACGCGACGCGATCGTTCGCTTCGTCGCTCACCGCCGTCATCGCGAGTCCGTCGCGTCCGTCGTTCGCCGTCGTCGCGCGCGCGCGTGTGCGGATTTCAAATCACATCGCGTCGACGCGGCGACCGACCGACCGCACGCTCGCACTGTTTGCGCATACGCGCGTCGCGCGCAGACCTCGCCGCGCGCGTCGACGCGACCGCGCGACGCGACCGAACGACGCGAGCGAACGAGCGACCGCGCGACCGCGCGAACGAGCGAACGACGCGAGCGAACGACGCGAGCGAACGACGCGACGAAACGACGCGACGAAACGACGCCGCCATGAGCAAAAAGAATAACCGAACGACGGCGGCGAATCGCGTCGAACACGCGAAGCGCGTCGAGCGCGAGGCGCTGGTGAAGAAAGAGGCGCGACGGGTGCGAAAGATGGCGGCGATGGCGCTGGCGTCGGACGCGATGGCGGTGGACGGCGCGGGAGGGAAGGGAGGGACGGCGGGGAGGGCGAGGCTGGAGGCGAAAAACGTGCGCAAGGCGCAGAGCCTGCGCCTCGCGGGAGGGGTGCGAAAGGTGCGAGCGGGGAAGAACACGCACAAGGTGGTTCGAGGCGTGCCGGTCGGGAAGGCGAAATTGCGAAAGAATGCGGTGGTGATGGGGATTAAGATTGTGGACGCGGCGACGAAGCAGGCGGCGCTCGACGCCATAGCGGAGGCGCGCGGCGACGGCGGCGCGACGGCGATGCGAAGGTGACCTGGCGTCGCGTCGTTTTTGATTCTAAGATTTGAGTGTACTATTGAGAGCTACCGCTACTGTCTATCGCTACGATTGCGCGCGCGGCGCGCGAGCGACGCGTCACGCGTCTCTGTCGCACCGCAAGACGAACAACGCCTCCTCGTCCGCGTTACACGAGCTCACGAGCGAACATCGCAGACCGTCGCGACGCATGATCTCCATCACCTCCTCGGGCTCGTTCTGCGCTAATAAAATGCACAAAAACATCCCTCTCGGCGCCAACGCGCTTCGCACGCTCGGCAACAGTCGGTCGAGCACCTCGCGCCCTCGCGCGCCGCCCGCCCACGAGGCCTCGATGCCGCGCCCGCCCACTTCTTCGCTCGGCGTGACGACGTATGGTGGATTGAATACGAGCACATCGCACCCACCGGCGTCGGCGAGCGCGTCGGCGTGCGGTTCGAGCAAGTCGCCGAGCGCCGTCGCGCACTCCGTCCCGCTCACCCCGTGCGCCTCGCACGTCGCTCGACACGCCGCGACGGCGTCGGGATTGATGTCAGACGCGCGCGTGCGCGTGACGTCGCCGCATCCGTGCGCGCGCGCGAGCAGGGCGTTGGAACACGCGATGTAACCGCTTCCAGTACCGAGCTCTATGCAGAGTTTGGGACGCGAGCGCGCGAGCTCGTCGTCCCAGAGCGCGGCGAGGGCGTCGACGAGGAGGAAGGAGTCTTCCGCGGGAGGGTACACGCTTTCGTGCGTCGCGATCTTCGCCATGGAGGCGAGATTCGACGGTGACGGCGCCATGGCCGAGGCGGCGTGTGAAGAAGGACTTTGCGGTGTCGTTTTTGTTCTCTCGCTTTGGCGAATGCTGGCGGTGGCTGCATTCCTAACGCTACACTAACTATGGGTGGTGTGAACGCCGTCGCCGTCGACGAAGCGCTCGCCGCGGGCGAACGCGGTGAGCTTCGCGCGAAGGGTTTCGCTCCGCCGCTTGCGGTGCTCGACGTTTTCGACCAAGGACATCTTGGCGGAAAAGACGTTCGATTTCATGTCGATGAGTCTCGCCGCGAGACGGCGGCGCTCGGCGTCGACGGTGGCGACGTATTTGGTGGCTTCGTCTTTTGCGTCGGCGATGAGATCGGCGGCGGGTGTGTGGGCGTCGATCTCGTCCTCGAGACGGCGCGTCGCGAAGTCGCGCTTTTCGTCGAGCGCGGCGTAGAGCGCCTCGGATTTCAAACGCAATTTCGCCGTGGTTTCGTCGAAGCGACGCATTTCGTCGATTATTCGCGCACCAACGAGGTTGCGGGAGACGATCATGTCGTTGTAATCCTCGTCACGGTCAAGGGAGTGCTTTTCTCGAAGCGCAAACGCGGACGCGCATCGTTCGCGTTCTGCTTGACGCTCAAACGCCGCTGTGGTTTCTTCCACATCTTTCGCCGCGTGAGATGCGGTTGAACATAGCTCGGCGCGCGCATTGAGTTTGCACGACACCTTATGACACATTGTTTCGAAACTTGCGAAATCGGCGAGCATCGCTTCGCGGTTGCGTTGCATGCGTTTCAACAACTCAACAGCGTCGACTTGATCATCGCTCGGCGCGCTCACGAATTCGGAGACACCATCTGTGCCGAACGCCACGTGTGCGACGTGTTCGGGGAAACATTCTATGGCGTGCTGTCTATAGTGCTCTTTTGGAACCTTCACATCGCATCCAAACCGCGCGTGCTCGCACACAGACTCAATCATCGGGCACGTCGTCTTTTCATGTGATTCGCGTTGCTCAGCGGGCATGATGCGCCGGCACAGTGGGCATTGAAACTCCCTAGCTTTGCATCGTAGCTTGTGATCGCCCATTCTTCGTAAGCTCACTTCGCGAGTGCAGTATTCACACGGTCGTTGTTGGTACTGACACGACGCTCTGTGCTGAGCGATGCGTTCGCGCGGCACCGTCTCTTTGCAAGTCTCTCGCGTTTCCGAATCTTCGAGTCGACACACGACGGGGTGCAACAAACATTCTGTTGCCACGTGCGCGTCGACGCCGTCGCGAGCGCCGCGCCACTTACACCGTCTATACGGACAGTGCACTTCAATTTGACCACAAATCATCACGTGTGCGCGCATCTTACGCACTTGTACCGATCGATCGCAGTCGGCGCACTTTTGAATCCTGTATTCGCACGTCGCTCGGTGCGAATCCATCGTGCGTCGCGGCACCACCGCGTGGCATTTCTCTGCCTTGTTCGTGCTCTCTGCCGGCAACGAGCACCTCATAAGCGTGTACTCGCACGTTTCCTCGTGCGCGCGCACTTTGCCCAGCGTGGAAACCGCTCGGCAGCCGTCCAAGGCGACTTTCCACACTAAATTGTCCCCACCCGCGTGCGGCGTCGCCACGTTGCAGCACATAACCGGTAACGCATCTAAGCGCATCTGCGTCTGTACGTCCAACCCAAAAAGCTTCGCGCGCGCATCTCCCTCATTTTCGCGTCCACAAGGCGCGCAAAACAACCGCCCCTGCGCGTTCACCAACGGCTCCGCGGCAAAGTCTCTACACGTGTGACATCGCAACTCATCCGGCGGCGGCGTCAACACCATCGTCCCCGCGCGTCGCCACCGCGTGAGCGACTCCGAAAGATGAAACCAATTATGTATCATTAGTTCCGACGTCGCCATCGTTCCCTCGGGCACGATACCTTCCTCTTCCGCTCGTTTCGCCTCCGCCGCGCACGCCTCCGCCGCGCTCTTCGGCGTCGTCACCGCCGTCAGCGGCCACCACTTTCCCCTCTCCTCCTCGCTCGCGTCGCTCTCCGTGTCGCTCTGATCGCGTCCATCGTGCGCCACCTCTTCGCACCGCGCGGCGTACAGTCTTTCGACGTCTTCCGCTAATAACGCGCCCTTGGCGTTGGCGATGGATTCAACAAACTTTTGCGTCGTCAGATGTTTATCGCGCCGTCGCGCGCGGGCCTCGTCCTCGCTCGAATCGCTCGATCGCGCGTCGTCGCGCGTGCGCACGGGTGCGTCTTCCACGGCGGGCGCGAGCGCGCGCGCGCCGCGGACGGCGTCGCGGCGGGGGCGGGACATCGCGGCGACGTCCCGGCCCGCGGCTCGCAGTGGCGCGTCGCGGCGCGGCGTCGCGGTTCTCTGATGGCGTTCGGGCCACTGATCGATACACATGATACATACAATCACAAAATGACGAACGAAGGCGCGCCTAATACCCGCACAAATGCTCGTCCTTGAGGATGATGCCGAAGTGCGAGGGATCGCCGCCGGCGTCCTTGGCGCGCTCGGATTTCGCGAAGGCTTCGCGCGCGTCTCGCTTGACTAAGTCTTTCCCGATCAACGTCTCGGTCGGTTTGCCGAGCTTTTCGCAACAATAAAAGACAATTTTGGGCGTGCGCTTTTGCTCGACGACGCGCAAACCGCACGCGCGAAGCAAACGGCTCATCTTCTCTTGCGACATGCGCGTGGACGCCGTGACGCAACGCAACGGAAGCATCATAAAGAATAATCCTTTCGGACGTAAAAACGTCGCCGTGCGCGCGATCATCTCCCCCCTGAGCTCCGCCGTGGGCACACAATTCACCACCATGCTCGAGTGTATCACGTCGTACGATTCAGCCTCCACGGGCATGTCAAAAAAATCCAACTGTTCAATCTTCGGATGCCGCGACTTGACGTCGATGGCGCGCACGTCTAAAAATTTCGCGCTCATCAAATCCGTATTGATCGCCCCAACCTCCAAAGTCTTAAGCGCGCGCTCTCCGCGCTTCGGTCGTCGATTCTTTTTCGTCAGCACGCTAAACGTCCACTTCGCCGTTCGATGTCTCCGCGTCGTCAGCGCGCTCGCCTCTTGATACGCGTCCCGTCCCCCGATCGCTTCCAGCGTCGCCTTCGCCCTCGCCTTCGCCTCTTTCGACGCCTTCGCGTCGTCCAACACTCGCGTGACGCCGTGAAACTCCGTCGTCACCGCTCGCGCGCGCTTCATCGACTTCATCGACGCGAACAGCGGTTTCGTCGCCTTGCGCTTTTTCCCGCGCGGCGTCCCCATCGGTCGTCCCGCGTCGTCCCGCGTCGTCGTCCCGCGTCGTCGTCGCGCGCGCGCGATCGTTCGTTCGTTCGCGCGTCGCGTCGCGCCGCCGCCGTCGCGACGCGTCGCGCCGCGCCGCCGCCGTCGCGCGTCGCGTCGCGAAATCACACCGCGCGCGACGCCGTCGCCATCGGCCGCGCGCGGTCGACGACCCGCGCGCACTTCGCGACGCGACCGATCGATCGGTCGCCATGGGGAGTGCGTCGCGCGCGCCGATCGCGACGACGGAATCGCGACGCGATGACGCGCCGACCGCGACGCGCGTTCGATCGATGGATCGATGGATGGCTCGATGGATGGATGGATGAATGGATGGATCGCGAAGTGCGCTCGAAATGCGCTCGAAAGCGCGCGATGACGCGATGACTGACGAAGCGACGCGCGACGCGCGATGAATAGTATGCTCGAGCGCGCCGGAACCGACGATGCGGGCGGACTTCGGACCGTGCCCGCAGGATAGAGACGGACGCGCGGCGTGGGAGTTGGCGAACGCAATCGCGTGCGAGAATACGCGAGAGATTCTGAAGCGGATCGTGCTGAACGTGCCGGTGTTTTCGAACCCGCGAGGGATGTTGAGGATGGATTACATTAAGCGCGTGATCGTGGAAACGTACAACATGATGGGGTACGGGGATTTGAAGTCGGACGTGAAGGAGAAGACGCACGGGGACTTGGAAGATTTCATGATGTCGTTGTTGAGCGATAGATTGGATTTCGAGGCGCAGACGGTGATGCGAGCGATTAAGGGTTTCGGTACGGATGAAGCGACGCTGATCACCATTCTGTGCACGCTCGCGGAGGAGGATATCTTGCCGTTGCAAATGGCGTTTTCGTCGCGATACGAAAAGTCCATGGAACAAGCCGTGCTGTCGGAGACGAGCGGAAAGTTTAAGCGCGTGCTTTTGCTCGCCGGTTGCGATGGCGTGGGTGAATCATACGCGAAAGTCATTAATTCCGCCGTCGCTGGTCTCGGTACGGACACCAAGGCTATTATTCGCTTGATGGTGACGGCGACGCCCGAGCAACTCGACGCGACGCGCGAGGCGTACTCTCGGATCTACAAGAAGGATCTCATCCGCGCCGTGGGAAGCGAGTGGAAGGTGAGGGGCGATTTCAAGCGAATAATCGAAGCCTTGGCGAAGCGTCACCCGGCGAACGTGAACGATGACGCCGATATCGATTACTCCGCCGACGTGCGAGCCATGCGCAACGCCGTCGAAGGCATGGGCACCGACGAAGCCGCCGTCATCGCCCTCTTGGCGAACAAGTCGCACAAGCAGATCGAGGCCTTCCGTGAAGCGTACAAGATCGAAACCGGGGAGTTGCTGCGCGAACGCATTCGCAACGAAACCACTGGTTTGTTTGAGAGCAAGCTGTTCCGCGAAACGCTCATGGGTTTGCTGACGCCGCGCGAGGAACAAATCGCCATCTACCTCGGCGAAGCGATGGCGGGCTGGGGCAACGACGATTGGGGTCTTATTTCTATGCTCGTTCATCGCACGGAGGAAGAAAAGATGGCGATTCGCACCAAATACACCGAACACTTCGGTGGCGATCTCATCGCTGACATCCGCTCAAACTGCCGCGGCGACTACGAAGACGCCCTCGTGGCGTGCATCTCTCCGAAGGCGCGCACGCTCGCCCGCGGTATCCGAAAGTGCATCTCTGGTTGGTTCTCGAGCACCAACAAGACCGGTCTCATGGCGCTCATGACGCACAAGGACGACTTGATGCCCATCTTGCGCAAGGAGTTTGAAAAGGAATACAACGGCAAGACGCTGCAGGGCGTCATAAAAAAAGAGTGCGCGGGCGAGTTCGAAGCCGCTTTGGTCTCTCTCGCCTCGTACACCCCGCCCAAGGGCGCCAAGCCGTTAGGTCCGGACGACGAAGTTCCACCGCCACCGGAATCCGCCGCGCCGCCGCAACCCGTCGGCTACGGCGCCGTCGCGCCGCCGCAAACCGTGTACGTCACGGCGCCACCCGCTGGCTACCCCCCCGGCGGGTACGCCCCGCAACCGCCCGCGCGTCAAGATTCGTGGTAATCGCGCCGCGTTCCGTCGCGTCGGCGCCGTCTTTCATAAAAACTCTTCATCCGTCATCCAACCACCGTCCGCGCGTGCGTCTCGTCACTCATCGCCTCGCGCGATCGCGGCGCTCGACCGATGCCGCCTCAGACGCGCCGCGCGCGCGCGACCGTCGCGGTGCGTCGCGCGCGTCGTCTCGCGCGACGCGGCGACGTCGAGATTCGACCGCGCGAATTCCCGCGCGACGCCCGAATCTGACGTCGCGACGCGCGCGCGACGCGAAGACTGACGCGAACGCGCGCGCGAACGCTCGAATAGGCGACGATGGTGAGCGCGATGGCGATGCTCGCCGCGCCGGCGCGCGGGAGCGAGTTACATCGCGTGCGGATGACGAAGAGAGAGGCGCCGGAGGACGGCGGCGCGGCGTGGCGCGCGCGCGCGGAGGCGAGCGTGGAGCGATTGCGGAAGAGGTACGACGCGAAAGAAGGGACGATGGACGCGAGCGATGAAGAACGGTCGGCGCCGAAGCGCGGGGGCGTGGATGTACACAATTACATGGATGCGCAGTATTACGGGGAGATTGAAATCGGCAACCCGCGACAAAAGTTCCAAGTCGTCTTCGACACCGGAAGCTCGAACCTCTGGGTGCCGAGCTCGAAGTGTGGATTTCTGCAGATTCCGTGCGACTTGCACGCAAAGTTCGATTCGCGAGCGTCGGAGACGTACGAGGCGGATGGGACGCCGTTTGCGATTCAGTACGGAAGCGGCTCGTTGAGCGGATTTTTGTCCAAGGACGAAGTCAAAGTCGGCGACTTGGTCGTCCAGGGGCAGTACTTCGCCGAAGCGACGAAAGAGCCGGGGATCGCGTTCTTGTTTTCGAAGTTCGACGGTATACTCGGTCTCGGGTTCGACAACATCGCCGTGGACAAGGTGAAGCCGGTGTTCTACAACATGATGGAGCAAGGCTTGGTTGAAAATAAAATGTTTAGCTTTTGGCTGAACCGCACGTCGACGAAGGATGGGATGCCGAGCGAGGTCGGTGGCGAGCTCATTTTTGGCGGGTCTGATCCCGACCACTTCATCGGCGAGCACACGTACGCCCCCGTCACGCGTGAAGGGTACTGGCAAATCAAAATGGACGACTTCAAAGTCGACGGGCGTTCGTTGGGCGCGTGCGACGGCGACGACGGTTGCCAAGTCATCGCCGATACGGGGACGTCCTTGCTCGCCGGTCCGACGGAGATCGTAAACAAGATTAACGACTACATCGGCGCACACTCTATGATCGGCGAGGAGTGCCGATTATTGATCGATCAGTACGCCGAACAGTTTGTAGAAGACCTCGAGAACTACTCGAGCGAGCAAATTTGCGCCTCCATCGGCGCGTGCGACGCCGACGGAGTGGAAGCGATGGAAGCCGATGACGACGATGATGTTACTTCGCATCTCGCCATCGCTCGAAAGTTGTTGCATCGCCACGGCGATCACGATGGACACGACCACGATGGACACGACCACGACCACGACCACGACCACGACCACGACCACGGAGATGGCCGCCGCGGTCATCGCGAACACGAGCGTCGCGGCCGCCGCGGTCCGCGTCGCCACGGTCGAGGTCCGCATCATCACGGACGCCATCCACCGCGAGGCGAGCTTGGTAAATCCTCGAGCTCGTTTGAAGGCCAAATCGCGTGCACGGCGTGCAAAACCGTCGTCAATTACGCGCAAGACATGCTCGCGCAAAACGTCACCGAGAAAATAATCGTCAACGAAGTCAAGCGCGTGTGCGATATGGTTCCTAGCGTCGGTGGCACCGCGTCCGTGGATTGCGACAACATCCCAAACATGCCCGACGTCGAATTCGTCATCGGCGGCGTCCCTTTCAAGCTCACACCCGAGCAATACGTCTTAAAAGTCTACCAAGACGGCGAGGCGCAGTGCGTGAGCGGTTTCATGGGCATGGACATCCCGAAGCCCGCGGGTCCGCTTTGGATCTTGGGCGACGTGTTTTTGGGCCCGTACCACACTGAATTCGACTACGCCAACCGTCGCGTCGGCTTCGCGCCCGCGGCGTGAGCCATTCCTCCGCGTCGCGGACGCGTCTTGTAATCACACTCCGACACGTATACATTTCAAAAGCACCAGCCAGCGCTCGTGCAACTTCCGTCGTCATCGCGACGCCCCACACGACGACGCGCGAATCTCGCGCGGTTCGCGCGGGTGATGGTGGAAACGCGTTCGAGTCCTCGTCGCGCGCGCGCAGAAACCGCGTCATCGCGCGCGGCGACGACGGAAACGACGACGGAAACGGCGCCAACGCCGTCGTCCACCGGTCTCATCTTGAACGTCAAAACCTGGCACGGCGTCGGCGCGTGGACGTGGGGCGCCGGCGACGTCGGTGACGTGTGTGGCATATGTCGCATCGCCTTCGACGGGTGCCCGCCGGACGCGAAGTTCCCAGGGGACGATTCTCCGGTGGTGTGGGGAAAGTGCGGGCACGCGTTTCATTTGCAGTGCATCACGAAGTGGTTGAGCGGGGCCAACGCGGAGGCGCCGAGGTGTCCGATTTGCCGAGGAGCGTGGGAGTTTAAGGAACTGGAGGGCGCGGACGCGAACGCGAACGCGAACGGGGGTCAGGGGGATGAGATGTCGACGTGACGTCGTCGTGAGTTAATTTGTTTAGCCTAGGTAGCCGTACAGTGTTTTGTAACGCGTAGTAACCTGATCGTACAGTACATCCGTCGGGGATTATTGATCTCACCGCGCGGGGTGAGTTTTGTTTTACTCTTTTATAATGTGTTGCCCGATCGCGGCCCAAGACGTGGGGCCCGCGACGGGACGGCCGATGGTGACGCGAGTCGCTGCTCGCTTGCGTCGCCACGAAGGAATGGATCCAGGAGCCGACTGCGGTGCCGCTCGAAACTGTTGCGATTTCTTTGGCATCACCGCCGCACCAGCTTTGGCGACATTTGGCTGTTCGTACCATATTTCAGTGTCTTCAACCTTGACAGTCTGCTTGGCGCTCTTTTTGGGTGCCGCCGCGCTCGAGCTCGTCGGCGCTTTACGTTTACTGGCTGCGGACACTTTACCACCCTTGGACGCCGCAGCCTCGGCGGCGTCGTTTTCAGCCTCCGAACGATAGCGCCGAGCGTCGTATATACCGTATCTCCGGTCTTCAACGACTCGCCCACCCGCCGCGTCTGCGCCGTCGTTTTGAGAGGGCGCCGACTTTGCCTTTGGTTTTGCCTTCGACTTTGAAGTGGGTTGCGGCCTGATCTCCTCTTCGATCTCCTCGTCGTCGACCAAATCTTCGTCGATTTCTTCGTCGTCTTCGTCATCGACTTCGTCGTCTTCGTCTTCGTCGTCTTCGTCTTCGTCGCCATCCATGGTGAAACTCTTCTCTAAATCGTCGTCGTGGTCAAAAGCTGCCGACGTCGTCGCTTTCGCGTTTGCCGCCGCATTGTTGTGTGCGCTGACGAGTGCTTCGGCAAACTCTGCGTCTACGGCCTCCAACGCCAGGCGCGCGTGCACGACTGCGGCGTTCGCGGCTTCAAGCTTTTTGAGCTCGGTGAGCAACACGTGTTCAATTTCGTGCATGGGAGGTAACCCAGCCTCGGCGAGCACCTCGTTTGCAATCCTCACCGCGCGTTCCTCCTCATCTAAATCGTCGTCGTCCTCGTCGCTATCTACGAGATCTTCGTCGATTTCCTCATCGCTGTCGTCGTCGTGATCCGTGGCGTCTTCGTCCACCGCCGCCTTTGGCCTCTTTTCGCTCGGCTTCTTTTCGCTCGGCTTCTTAATGCCCCGTTTCACCGCTTCGTGCGCTTCTGCCGCGGCTTCAGCGGCACGAGCCACCTCTTCGTCGTCGTCTTCGTCCTCGTGCTCGCCAAAGTGCAAGTACTTGTCCCAGTCGGCGGTGTCTTCGCCCTCGCCGTCCTCGTAGTACTCATCCTCCCCGTGCGCGCCCACGAGCGCCTCGTGCACGCGCGCGCGCGCGGACGAGTACACCGCTTCCGCTTCTTCTACGACCGTCTTCATCCTCGCGAGTTCGCTCTCGGCGTGTTCGACTTCGTTCACCATGCCCGCGCGTTTCGCCTTGAGCTGGGTCACCACGGCGTCCACGCCGGCGTCGAATTTTGCCTTGGCCCCTGTCGATGGTCGACCGACGCCTGCGATTTCTTCGTACTCATCGTCCTCGTCTTGATCATCATCGTCGTGCCTGTGCCCGAACCTGGCTTTGAGCTTCTCCTTGGCGCTCATCGTCGGCGCGCCCGCGACGTTTGTCGTTCCGCCGCCGCCCTTCTTCGGCAACGCGTCTCGACTCACCGCCATCGTTTTCTTCCCCCCCGCGCCCTTCTTCGCGCTCGACGCACTCGCGCCTTTACCCTTCTTCGCATTCACCGCCGCATTCGTCTTCCTCGCGCTCGCCGCGCTCGCAGCTTTTCCTCCCTTCGCGTTCGCCGCGCTCGCCCCCCTCGCGCCGCCCTTGTCCGCGCCGCGTCCCGCTTTCCCTCCCGTCGCGTTCGCCGCGTTCGCCGCCTTCACCGCGGCTTTATAAGGCACCTTCGCCGCCTCATCCACGCGCAAGTGTTGAAACTTGATCAAATTTCGCCACTTATCCTTCAATTGCACCCCCGTGCGCGACCTGCGTTCGCGCCGTTCGTCGTTCGCCCCTCGTCAGTCCCCGCGTCTCCCTCTCGCCTCGTCCGCGTCGTTCCCTCGCCCGCTCGACGCGCCTCGCGCGCGCTCGCGTCCCATCCCATCGCTCGTCCCGCGCCGTTCGTTCGCGCGTTCGTTCGCGCGCGTCGTTCGTTCGTTCGTTCGCTCGCTCGCGTCGCGCGCGCACCGCAACGCCGCGAATTCCGGATCATTTCGCATCTTCTCCCACGCCCCGATCCCGTGTTTCCGCACCGCGCGCTTCAGCGCCTGTTCCTCCGGTGCCTGCCAGTACCCTCGCACGCCGCTCGCCTCGCGCGCCGTCGTCGCGCCGTCGTCGCGCGCCGTCGCCGCCGCCCCTCGCTTCCCCGCGCGCTTCCTCGCGTCCTCCTTCGCGCGCTTCGCGCTCGCGCTCGCGCCGCGCGCCTTGCCGCTCGGCACGGGCGCGGCGTCGCGCGCGCCCTGGGCCTTGGCCGCCATCCCGGCGTCGACCGCGCGCGATCGGCGACGCGTCGACCGCGCGCGAGGCGTCGGCGTCTCGCGCATTCGCCGGCGGCGGGCGCGCGATGGACGCCGTGACGTCCTTTTTTCATCCCGTTCGCGTAGTCTACAATATATGAACGACGCGCGCGCGCGTCGAAATCCGCGCGCGCGCGGCGCGCGGCGAATGCGCGACCGGGCTGAGTCACGACCGGTCGCGAGTCGCGCGGGCGTGGATATTCGGACACTCGGCGTGTGCGTCGAACTGTATGCGCACACGAATGCGTCGGTCGGTCGGTCGGTCGGTCGGTCGGTCGGTCGCCGCGTCCGTCAGTCATCCGCGCGCGGCGTCGCGTCCGCGCGTCGCCGCGCGTCGGCGCATGCGCGCGTGCGCGCGCGCGGTCGCCGCGACGACGGTCGCGGTGACGGCGGTGACCGCGCTCGAGGCCGCGGCGCTGACGGCGACGTACGTGACCGCGCCCGAGGCGCGCGGACCGCGCGAGGGACTCGCGCGGTACGACGCGGCGACGACGACGACGACGACGACGACGCGGGGGGGCGCGATGCGCGCGACGCGACGACGGCGACTCGTCGCGGTCGTCGCGGGCGATAGCACGGCGTGCGGCGTGGGATGCGGGGACGACGGACGAGGACGGACGAGGGGCGAGACGGCGGCGGGGGAGGCGGGACCGACGCTCGCGCGCGCGTTCGCGCGAGGACTCGGCGAACGCATGACGGCGGACGTCGAGTGGCGCGCGCTCGGGTTTAAGGGCGCGGACGTGCGAGGACTGAGGGATAAGCTGATACCGGCGCTGCGGGAGGCGACGGAGGGAGCGGGGGGACGCGGAGACGACGACGACGACGCGAGCGAGAGGGACGGGCGCGGGCGACGCGCGAGCGTGGACGCGGTGGTGATCATGTGCGGGCTGAATGATCTGAAACACTCCATCGTGGGGCGACGGAGCGAGACGTTTCGAACCGAGCTGAGAGAGCTGGTGAGGGAGGTGCGCGACGTCGTCGGCGACGAGTGCGTGGTGGTGCTGCCGGCGACGCCGCTCGAGGCGGCGACGCTGTTTCCGCCGCCGTTGGCGTGGGTGGCGACGCGCATGAACGATTTGTGGGACGAACAAAAGGCGCACGTCAGTCGACTGTTCGCCCACAACGTCTTGTTCGTTTCAAAGCCGAGTTTAGACGCCATGCGGGAACGCGCGGCGAAACACACCGGGCGCGTCGCGGAGAGCATCTCGCTGATTTGCGGGGATGGTATTCACCCCAACGACGACGGTTACGACGCCTGGGCGCGACACATCGCGGATGAGTGCGTGCCGAGTCTCGAACGCGCGTTGGCGGCGCAAAAATAGAGGACGAGCGCGAAACAGTAGCGACGGCGGCGAGGCGGCGCGCGTATTAATTGATTATAGCCCTATGAAATCTACCGGTAGTGAAAACGCAGCGCAAAGATCACGCCAAAGCCTTGGCCGCGGCGCGCGCGTTGCCGATGAAGGCGGCGATCTTCGCCGCGTCCTTGACGACGCCGCCTTCGTCGGCGACGCCGCTCGCGACGTCCACGCCGGTGGGATTCGCCGTCTCGATCGCTTGCGCCACGTTTTCGGGGTTCAGCCCGCCCGCGAGTAACCAACCCTTGCGCGACGCCCCGCGCGGGGCTTTGAGCTTGGACCAATCGAACGCCGTCCCGCTTCCGGCGTTGACGCCGTCGATCAACAACCAGTCCACCACGCGTCGCGGCCCGCTCACGAAATCAATCGCCGCTTTCCATCCTTGCTCCCCGCTCATGCGCTTCTGTCTTTCGGCGATCAACTTTTCTTCGTCTCCTGGGAATTTGGAGACGATTTGCCCGTTCGCGTCGGCGTTGAGCACCCAAATCGCCTTCAAGCGCATCGGCAGCGTCTCCAACGCGTCCCGCGCGCCGTCGCCGTGCAATTGCGCGTGATCGCACCCGATCGCGTCGCACACGCGCGTGATTTCGCTCGCATCTTCGTCCACGAACACCGCCACCGGAACGGCGCCCTTCGCTTTCGCGCACGCCACGATCTCTTTCGCCGTCGCCTCGTCCACCGACCGCTTCGACTTTGGCCAGAGAATCATCCCAACGAAATTCGCCCCGTGCTCGCACGCGCTCTCGCAATCGCGCACCGTGGTGATCCCGCACACCTTGACGATCGGTTTCATCGACGCTTCGTCGCTCCCAGCGCGCGCGTTCGCCGTCGCGGCGCCGCGTCGCGACGCATCTTTCGTCACCGTCACCGCTCGGGACGTTCGCCGTTGCGTCGTCGATCGCGTCCTGGGCATCGCACCGCGAGCGCGCGCGGCGCGCGACGGCGCGCACATCATCGAAGACATCGCGCGCGACGTTTTCGTCGAACGTTCGCGCGATTCGCGCGCGGGTCGGCGTCGTGGAGTGGCGACGTCGCGCTCGTTATCCACGTCGACGTCAGCGCGTCATCGACGGCACTCTCAGCCTCGTCGCGCGCTCGCTCGCGTCGAAAACTCGCGCGAAACTCGCGCACGTTCGTCTACGCGCGCACACGATGTCTCAGTCCGTTTCCATGACGCAGCGCGCCGCCGCGGCGCCGCGACGGGTCGCGATGCGAACGCAGCGCGGCGGCGCGGTCGCGAGAAGTTCTCGCGCCGTCGTTCGCGCGGGGCGCTTCGAAACCGAGCGCACGTACATCATGATCAAGTGCGTGCGCGACGCGCGACGCGATGCGACGCGAAGGCGACGGTGAGGCGCGCGGGAGGGGCGCGGGAGCGGCTTCAGGGTTCCAGGGTTACGCGCCGCCGCGAGGCGCGCCGCGACGGCGAAGGACGGAACGCGAGACTGACGACGCGCGACGTTGATTCATTTAACGCGAAACGATAGGCCCGATGGCGTGCAACGCGGTCACGTCGGTGAGATCATCTCGCGATTCGAAAAGAAAGGGATGGTGATGAAGGCGCTGAAGACGTACCAGTGCCCGAAAGCCGTCGCGGAGGAACACTACCAAGACTTGTCGAGCAAGCCGTTCTTTGGCGATTTGGTCAACTACATTTGCTCCGGACCGGTGGTCGCGATGATTTGGGAAGGCCCGGGCGTGGTCAAGAGCGCGCGATTGTTGATTGGCGCGACGAACCCGCTCGAGTCGGCGCCGGGGACGATTCGCGGCGACTTGGCCGTCGAGGTCGGACGCAACGTCATTCACGGTTCCGATTCTGTGGAATCCGCCGAGCGCGAAATCGAGCTTTGGTTCGGCGATAAGGCTGGATGCGTGGACTGGCAACCGACCATCACGCCGTGGGTGCGCGAGTAAGCGGCGCGCTAGCCTCGTCTCGGGCAAAGCGATTTTTATTGTTAATACAGTGCAGTCATTCATTTCTTTGACCGAGTCAACGCGCGCGCGCGCGCGACGGCAGTGCGCCACGCGCGTGCGCGCGATATCGCCGATATCATGCGTGCGATGGCTGACGTCGACGGCGCGTGCGCGCGCCTCAAACGCGCCCTTCGACGCGCAAAGTTTCCGCGAAGCAGAGCGGGAACACGAATCGACACCGAGCTGAAGAGAGGGGATGGTAAAACTTTCGTCGCCATCCTTCGCCATGCGCTGTGCGCGCGCTCAAAGCCGGTGTCCAGGCGCGTTTACGATCGTGGGCACGATCTCGTGGGCGTCGAGTCGCCTTTACGATTCACCGAACGCGCGTTCAGGGCGACGATCGATGTGTTCGGGTACAAGCCAAAGTTGAGCGCGTCGCAATTCGCGTCCACGAACGGGTTCGCCGTGGTGAAGATGATGACGGTCATCGACGTTCTCGCGCACGTGGAGGCGATGGAAGTTAATATCGAACGGGAAGTCGCGCGCGAAGCGTCTCGACGACGCACGAGCGGAGGTCTCACCGGGTCGTTGCTCGACGCGGGGCCGCGCCGTCGCTCGGCGCTGGAGCCTCGCTTCGCGCGGGGCCGAGTCGAGGACGAGCGTGGTGTGGACGAGTCGAACGATGCGCACGCACACACGTTCTGCGACACCGACAACTGGGTGACACGCTTGGGCGATGAGTACGACGATGTCGTATACGAAGCGCCTATTCGCGGCGTCGTGTACACCAATCCCGGATACGTCGTTCATCGCCGCGCGCGATCGCCGCGCGAACCGGTATTCGATGCGTCCGTATCGATTGATTCCTTACGCGTTGAATTCGCTGAAGTTCTTGGTAGGCTGACACGCGTAGAAAACGAACTCACCGAGGTCGCCGCGAGGTGTTTGAAGTTGGAACGCCGCGAGGCGCAAACTCTGAAGAAGGTTGACCGCGCGCCGGCCGCTTCGCGAGACGCATCGCCTTCGATTCTATCGGACTCGGTTGAAATTCGCCAAGCCGACTCACCGTCGAAGGAATCTACCGAAGAGTTCATCGCGCGGTATCTTAGAAAGTTGCGCGACGTCGTGCGAGAAGAAGAGACTCGCTTTGATTGCTGAATTGCTAAAACAAATTGTTTGAATGTCGTCGCTGCCGCTAATGCGCTAATCAGATGTCGCCGTCGTCGTCGACGCAGATTTCTCGCTGCGTCTAAAGTACATCACCATTGCCGCGAACGCGGCCACCGTGATCGCGCCCGCGAGCGCCGGTCGCTTGCGATAAAGTTGCGCCGCGCGCTCGCCGAATCCTCTCGTCGTCGGCTCCGTCGTTGGATCCGTCTGCACCATGCGCGCGCACACCTCACGCTCGCCCTCGTGCACCGCATTCATGCGTCGACGCACGCGCACGAACGCCTCGCGAATCGCTCGATCTTTGCTCAACTCCAGGGCGTCGCGAAGCGAAGTCAACGCCTCCTCGTCCCGCCCTTGCTGCTCGAGCGCCATCGCCTTGCGGTACATGGCTTTCACCGCCGTCGCGTCGAGATCCAAAGCCGCCTCTGCGTGTAGGATCGCTTCGGAGTGTCGTTGTAACTTCGACAAGCACGTCGCCGAGTTCACGTGACACTTCACCGCCAGCGCCAAGGCGTCCTTCGCGCCGGCTCGCGCCGTCGACATGATGGTTCGCCTCAACGCCGTCGCCGCGTCCTCGTACCTCCGCAACGCCCTGGCGTAGCCATTTTCTTCTTCACCTCGAGCGAACAACGCGTTCGCTTCCTCCTTCTTCCGTTCACAATACCTCAAAACCTCCTCGACGCTCGCATCAACGCTCGGTTTTTCCTCTCGCGTCACCGAAAGCAGCTCGACTTCCCACTCGACGTACACGTTTCGCGGCGCCGGCGAAAACGGTTCGCTCGCGAACGGCGCCCCTCCGCTCGGCACGACGATTCCCACGCGTTCGCCCACGCGCATCGTCGTCACCGCCGCCTCCACGCCCGCGCACGGCACGAAATTCACCGGCGCCGCGTCGTCCACTCTGAAAGTCAGAACCTCTCGCGGTCTCGCCGCGTCTCGAGACGTCTCGTCCCGCACGATCGCGTCGTCCTCCACCCTTCGCGCGCGCCAGCCGTAGTGCGCGATCGTGACGACGTCGTCCGCGCGCGGCGCGCTCGCGTCGTCGCGCGTCGCGTCGTCGTCGTCGTCGTCGTCGCGCGTCGCGAGCGAGATTTTCGAGGCGTCGTCGTCGCGCATCGAGCGCACGCGCACGCGCGCGCCCGGAGGTAGGCGCGGACCGACGCGCACGACGCGCGCGTCGACGCGATCGTCGCGAGCGGTCATCGCGTCGCGATTCGACGCGCGTTCGCGTGTGACCGCCGCGCGCGAACCGTCTCGTCGTCTCGTCCCTCGGACTCGCGTTCGCGGGCTTCTACGTTACAACGCTGAAACGAACGCGAACGACGAGCATCGCGCGCATCATCGGAAACGACGTCGCGTGTTTCCACGCTTGCGTCGTCGCTTCGTCACGGTCGCGGATCCCGTCGTTCGACGTCGCCGCCGCCGCGACTACTTCCTTCGCTACTTCACCGCTTCGCGTCTACTTCATGTACTTTCGCACCCCCGGGGTTTGTTTCGATTTCTCCCACCCGTATTTCATCGCGTTCGCCGCGGCTTGCTTCAGATACGCCGTGTTCGCGATCGCCTCGTACGCGTCGGCGCCGTCGCGGCCGCGCGTCAGCGCCACCGTCTCGTGTTCTTTCCCAACCTTGAACCCGAGCTGTCGCGACGCCGCGCGCGCGGGCGCGTCGTACTGCGGGAATCCGTACTGCGTCGCGGCGCCGTCAGTCATCGCTCGCGTCGATCGTTTCGCGTCGTCGCCGTTACCTTGTAAATCACCCTCGACAGCTTCCCCGCTCTGAACAGCGCGAGGTCCTCGCGCGCGGCGATCGGACTCTTCACGCGTCACGCGATCTGATCGTTCGTCTTGCGACCGGAACCGAACGCGCGCGGGACGACGGCGCGACGACGCGCGGTCGGGGCGGCGAATCCGAGGGCGAGCGGACGCGCGGCCATCGCGCGAGGCGACGAGTGCGGGCGGCCGGCGACGAACGCGCGGCGGACGCGCGGCGGACGCGCGACGCGACGCGACGCGACGCGAATCGCACGACGATCGCTAAAATTACTCGAATCGCACTACACACCGCCGCACCGCCTACATCATGTTTTGACGTCTAAAATCGAGCGCGCGCAACTGGTAGGCGTTGCCGGTTTTGTCGCCGAATCCCTTTTGCAAGTGCGACCGACGCCGCTTGCCCGCCTTCTCCCTCCGGCGGTTCGCCGCTTCTTCGGATAACGCCAACGCGGTGTCACCGCTCAAGCCGGGAGCGATGCGGCTGAAGCGCGCGCCGCCGAGGGCGCAGAAGGCGAGACCGAATTGCAAGCCCCAAAAACCCAACTTGAAGTATTCCTCGCTGCAACGCGCGAGGTTGGGGTCACCGGTGTAGCTGGGAGGGGCGAATTCACTCATGTCGTTCGCGCGTTCGTGCGCGTTCGAGCGTTCGAGCGCGCGCGTCGACGTGTGCGGTCGAACTTCTAACGAAGTCGAGGGTTTGAGCGCGCGCACGACGCGACGCGCGCTAGAATGTCGCGCTCGATGCGCGCTGCCTACTGGTTTTACTGGAGCTAATGATGCTAAGAATAAGAAGTCGACGCGCGCGCTCGTCGCGCTCGACGCTAATTGTGGGTCAACATGTCCGCCGTCATATATCCAGCGTCGCCGAGACATCGCAGCGAAACGCCGCCGTCGCCGCGGACCTCGACCCGAGTGATCGAACCGTTGTACAGACCGATGCGCAACCACGCGTCCGGTGGAAGCTGAAGCGCGCGCAAAACGGAGTACCGAATGACGTTACCGTGACAGACGACGATTTCGTGCTCTGGCGGCGGCGGCTTCGTCGCCGCCGACGACGGCGACGGCGCTCGGTGGAACGTCTCGCGAAATCCAGCCTCGATTCGCGGAGCGTCCGTGACGTGCACGTGCTCAGCTTGCCTCCAAGTGTCCGGTTCTGGACGCACGGGCGCGCCCTCGCGAATCAATTCGCTCGATTTACGCGTCGCGTTCGGAAACGCCTCTGCTGCTATGATATCCGCCGTCTCCTTCGCCCTCACCATCGTACTGTGCGTCATCTTCACCGACGCCGTCGACGGAATGAGTTCCTTCAATCGTCGCGCCGTGAAGCTCGCTTGTTTACGACCCAAATCCGTGAGTTTGCGCTCGCCGTCCGCCGCGGCGTCGGTTTCGGGCGTCTCCTCCGTCGCCTGGCCGTGTCGCACGAGCCAATACACTTTCGTCGGCGCCGCGGACGCCGCGACGGAGTCACTTGGAGTTGGATCACCACCGCTCGAACGCCCGTCCCAGTTCCAGTCCCAGGACGTGCGCGCGCGCGCGTCCACGATGATTTTTCGTTTCGACAACCGCGCGGCTTCCGCAGCCGCGACCGACGGCTCGGCGCGCGCGTGCGGCGAGACGGCGACGCCTTGGACGCCTAAACCGGCGCACACGGACGCGAACGCGATCGAGGCGAGACCGCGCGCGCGCGCGCTCGTCATGGGCTCGTACGAGCGTCGACGAGTGCGGGCGGTGAAAAATTCAGAAAAATTCAACGTCGTGATATTAAAGGTTAAAGGTACAGGCGCGGCCGGACGCACGGGCTAAAGACTAGGACTAACTGTCTTCAAACTTTTCCACGGATGCTGTCCTCTTGGCGTGCGCCAACTCCAGTACGACGTGGGAGACGCCCGAGACGCTCAAGTCTTCGTCGATGACTTGCGGGAGGAACTTTTCTCCGAGCAAGTCCATGAGTGCGCGGTTATCGGGGTCGGTGTTGTGCACGCGGATGGTTTTCCCGACGTCCGCGTATCGCACGTACAGTGAATTCAGCGCGGCGAGGGAGGAGTAATCCTTGATCTTGCACTTGTCCATGTAAATCACGACGTCTCGTGGATCCGGTCCCATGCGGAACGAGTTTGTAAACTCGCGATCGGTGCCAAAGAAAAGCTCCCCGTAAACTTCGTACGCCACGCGCGTTGTGCCTTTTTCGCATCCAAATATTTCTTCTTCGCGACGAATGACTCGCAAAGACCCAGTGGAGTTGTCCCACGCGTAGAATAAGCACGCGACGACGACCCCGACGCCGACTGCGATGGCCAAGTTGGTTCGCTCGGTGACGACGGTGACTAAGATGATGATGGCGGAATCTTTCCAGCGAATGCGATCGTTCGTATCGAACCAGAACTTGCGTAGACGACGACCGGCGTAATCTTCGCGCGTGCCATCCTCCTTGCGCCCAATAATCAATCCCTTAAGATCGCCGGACATGAGCGGCAAGCACGTCCAGTCAAAGGTGTAAATGACAATCATGAACAAAACTCCCGTCAACGCGGCGAGAGGGATAAGCTCGATCACCTTGGATGCGGCGACGATGAAAATCAAGAACATAATCGAGGCAAAAGCAGTAGATAAGCGTCCGACGCCGCCAGATTTGACGTTGATCTGCGATTGCCCAATCATGGCGTCGCCGCCCATCGCCTTGAACATGCCAGACATCGTGTTCGCAATGCCTTGCGCGATGCACTCTTGCGTGAATCTACCGGTGGCATCCGAGGTGTCGTCCAAAATTTCGTCAACGCACTGAAGCGTGAGCACGGACTCGATCAAACCCACCGCGGCGAGGGAAAACGTGATCCCGAACACGTGCGCAAAGGACTTGCCTGTGAGGTTCACGTTAGGCGTGTGGTACAAGGGAAAGTCAACCTTCACCGGTGCGGCATCACTCACGACAGGGGTGTCCGCGTGAATCAAAGGACGATTAATAGCATGTTCCAAGAGCAAGCACCAAAGAATGGCGACGAGAGATGACGGAAGAATCTTGGTGTACTTTGGCAAGAAGTGCACGATGGCCATCGAGGTAAAGACGTAAAACAACATGAGCCAAGTTGTTCCTTCATCGAGCGTGCGCCACACCAATGAATCCTCATAGCCACCGTGGATGTCGGCGTTTTTGTTTGCCGAGAACTCGGCGAGCGTGATGGTGCCGCTGGAGTCGGTGTCGACCTGCGTCTGCAAGGCGGCGACGTACGCGTTCAAGTCGCTCGTCGACAAATCCGGAAGTTCGACGGCGTAAACCGTCGTCACCTCCGCCGTGCTGATGAGCCCATCACGATTGCTGTCGAAAACATTAAACGCAGCTTGCCAGTCTTTCTCCTTGAACACCTCCAACTGAGCCTTGAAGATGATGATGGCCAAGCCGTTGACGAAACCCGTCATGACGGTTTGCGGAATCAGCCGCATGAGTCGTCCAGCCTGCACGATGCCGAGGACGATCTGTAACACCCCGCACAAGATCATAATCATGAACAACCACTCTAAGCGCGCTGCGTTGGCCTGATGTCGCAAGCTCTTGCACCCAGCCGCGGCCCCTGTGCACGACGCGATTTCCCCCCACTCCAGCAGCTTCGCCTGCGGCAGCAAACCGTCCGGTTCCATGATCCTCACCGCCACCACCGCCATCGCTCCCGCGGCGCCGCTCACCATCCCAGGTCGTCCACCGATCAAAGCGGTGATGATGCCCATGAAAAACGTCGCGTACAACCCCACGACCGGGTCCACGAGCGCGACGAAGGAAAACGCCACCGACTCGGGCACCTGCGCCACAGCCACCGTGAGCCCGCTCAGGATTTCGCTCTTAAATTTCAACGGCTCGGCGCGATAGTACTCGTACGACTCTCTGAAGTATTTCGGTCCGCTCAGGAACGTGTCCGAGAACCCGATGCGGTGCGTGAGCTTTTGCATTCCATTCATGGCGGCGACTTTCTCGGCGAGCGCTTTCTCGTGCGCCGCGTCCTCAAGCGCTTGCTTGGACGGCACGTGGTGCAGAGCATCACCGTCGGGCGTCATGACGTCGCAATCCTCGCGAAATGTCGCGTTCGCGGCGTTCGACGCGCGGGATAGTGCCGGGGACAAGATGCAGAGTGTTTTGGATAGCCGACGCGCGCGCCGTCGCTCGTCGCGAAACGCGCGGCGCGGACGGAGCGCAGCGCGGACGCGCGGGACGCGGAACGAAGAAACGGAGCGGACGCACGTCTCGAGTTTTCAGTTTTCGCGCCCTCACCGGCGCGCGTTTTAAAATTTCAACCTTCTACCGTTCGGAGCGAGCTAAACTCCCATCCGGACCGAGACGCGTAGACGCGTCGTCGTCGTCGTCGTCGTCGCGAACGAGCGAGCGAACGAGCAAACGCGCGACGAACGGTTTACGTCCCATCTCGAGTGTTTCACGTCAACCACCGTCCGAGCGGTCGTTTACGCGGCGCACTTCACGCGACCCGCCTTGTTGATGGCGGAGATGCGAGCGAGCGCGGCTTTCTACGAATCGAACGCGTTTCGCGCACCCGTCAGTCATCGGATTCCGTCGCCGTCGCGCGCGCGCACCGCCTCCATCGTCGCGCGCGTCCATCCCGCGCGAACGTCCTGTCCCGCGTGTTACGCGTGTCACGCGCGTTACGCGTCGCGTCCTCCTCGAAAACCCTAAACGATCGCACCTCCAAGTCCGGTCGCGCCTTCGCCGCGATCTTCACCTCGCCCGCCTGCGACTTGAACGACCCGCACAATTTCTTCCCATCGCACGTCGCCGCCGGCTTCCCCTTCCCGCCGTCGTGCTCGCGAATATCGATCGTCTTCGCGTTCGCCAGCCCGCTCGCGCGGAACGACACCTCCGCGGTCACGTTGCCCGGTTCCGCGCTGAATCGCGCGCCGTGTCCGCTCGTCGACGCGCGCGTGAACGCGTTGTGTTTCTTCGTCACCTGCCACAGGAAGTCATCGCTCGCGGGGACGTGGGAGATCATCGCGTTCGCGCGTTCGCGTCGCGGAGAGACGGCGCGCGGCATCGGCGCGCGGGCGACGACGCGCTGGACCCTAATCACACTCGCGCGCGGCGCCGGACCTCGCGTCGTTTCGCGAGACGCGTCGATCGACGCGACGCGACGCCCGCGACGCGACTTCCGCGCGCGACTTCCGAGCGAATTTTCGCGATGGCGATCGATAAATTGATGATGATCTCGGGCGCGGGCACGGTGCGCGACGACGCGAACGCGCGAACGCGCGAACGCGCAAATTTGCAAATTCGCGATTTCATCGCGACGGCGGTGCTGACGCGACGTCGTCCGCGACGCGCGCGACGACTGACGACGCGCGGGCGCGCGCGCGATAGCTGTCCTACGGCGTGCAGATGAAATTCATGCCCAAAGTGGCGAGTAAGATGTACTGGAAAGAGGTGCGCGCGACGGCGCGCGCGAACGCGAACGCGAACGACCGCGATCGATCGTTCGACTGACGGTTGGGCGTCGCGCCGCAGGGCGAACGAAACAACATCGACACCGTGCAGAGCGGATGGTTGGGCACCGTGCTCTTGGGCTCGGGCGCGCTGCAAGTCATGTCCGCGCTGGACGGCGAGTGCACGAAGAACCAAATGGGCGGCGCCGCGCTCGCGTGGGCGGTGACGCTTCCGGAATACGTCGCGCAGCGCGACGACTTCAAGGGACCGATGCTCTACGCGAACACGGCGATGGCCACCGCGCTGACCGCGGTGCTCGTCAAGTCGTACTTGGATAAGCGGGACAAGTGATCGCGATGACGACGTCCGCGCGCGGGTCGAGTCGTCGACGGCGCGAAATCAGACCGCGACGAACGCGTTCGATCCCAAAGCGTCTCGCGAGTCTACAATAAAAGTTTACTTTACGTTTGTCGCACCTCGACACGTCGACGCGACGCGACGCGACGCGACGCGACGCGACGCGCGGATCATGGGATGCGCGAGCAGTAAGTCGTCGTCGCTGACGCTCGCGCGCGCGCGCTACGCGAGTTTACCCGGACCGGAACAAAAAACAATCGTGGGCGCGCTCGAGCGCGCGGCGACGAGTGATGCGGACGCCGCGAGGCTGTGCGCGGCGTTGGCGAACGTCGAGTGCGAACGCGCGGTCGACGTGTTTCAGCGCAGCGCGCTGGCGCACGAGACGTCGACGTCGGGGACTTTGGAACCGGTGCGGTGCGATTGCGAGATCGTCCCGGGGAGCGACGACGCCGAGCGGTGGCGTCGACGCGGATTGGAGTGCGTGAAGCGAGGGAAGCTCGCGGTGGTGCTCCTGGCGGGAGGTCAAGGGACGAGATTAGGAAGCGCGAATCCAAAAGGGATGTACGACATCGGGCTGCCGAGCAAGAAAACGCTGTTTGAACTGCAGGGCGAACGGTTGGCCAAGCTCGGCGCGCTCGCGGGCGCGCGAGCGCCGACGTGGTACGTGATGACTTCGCCGTTTACGCACGACGCGACGGTGGCGTTTTTTAAGTCGCGCGATTACTTTGGTTTAAATGCTCGAGACGTGGTGTTCTTCAAGCAAGGCACGCTGCCGTGCTTCACCGAAGATGGGGAAATCATATTGAAATCTTTCGGCGAAGTCTCCGAGGCGCCCGACGGCAACGGCGGTATTTACGCCGCGATGGCGCGCGAAGGCGTCATCGCGGACATGCGGAAGCGGAAGATCGAACACGTGTACGCGTACTGTGTGGATAACGCCCTGGTGCAAGTCGGCGATCCAACTTTTGTGGGGTGCTGCGTCGAGCGCGAATGCGAGGCGGGCGCCAAGGTGATCGCCAAGGCGTACCCGACGGAGCCCGTGGGCGTGTTCGCGTGTCGCAAAAACGAAGCCACCGGGGCGAAGGAGTATCACGTCGTCGAATACAGCGAGATTCCCGAATCTTTGGCCACGGCGAAGGACAAGAAAACGGGCGAGCTTAAATTCAACGCCGCCAACATCGCGTTGCATTATTTCTCATTTGACTTTTTGTCGAGGTGCTGCTTGGACATCGCGCTCCCGCACCACGTCGCGCGCAAAAAGATCCCGTACTTGGACGTGAACACGGGAAAAACTATCGAACCATCGTCGCCGAACGGCATCAAGCTCGAGGCTTTCATCTTCGACACGTACAAGTACGCGAAATCCGTGTGCGTCGTCCGCGGCGACCGCGCGCTCGATTTCGCCCCCGTGAAGAACGCCGAGGGCGCGGGCAAGGATTCCCCCGACACCGCCCGCGAGGCGATATTATCCCTCCACGCGCGTTGGATTTTACAAGCCGGCGGCGTCATCGTCGACGAAAACGACGTCCCCGTCCCCACCGACCGCGCTCGGTGCGAAGTCTCTCCCGCCGTCTCCTACGCCGGCGAGTCCCTCGCGTCTCGCCTTCGCGTTCGCGTCGGCGGCGTCGTCCGATGATGACGCTCTGCCCCACCCCTCGTCGCGGTCCGTTGAATCTCTAATATTTTCGCCTTAAATTTTAGAGTTCGTTGGCGTCCCTCGCCTCTCTCCCGCTCGTCCGTCTCTCGCGCGCGTCCCGCGTCCCGCCCGCCCGCGCCCGCAGACGCAGACGCGCGGCGACCTCGAGTTCGCCGGCGATTCGTTCGGCGCGAACGAGCTGGCGTGGAGCGAGCGACGCGCGTGTGCGTCGAGTGTAGCTAATCACACACACCGCGTCGCGCCGCATCGCGCGGGGCGGTGGTCGTCGAGCGTCTCGACGACGCGCCGGGCATCGATCGACGCCGCGCCGCTCGGATTCGGATTCGAATTCGGACTCGCGTCGCGCGCTCGACGCGCGGCGCGCGACCGGCGAGCGATCGGGCATGACGTCATCGATGCCCGCGCCGCCCGAGACGCCGAGGGACTGCCCGCTGTGCTGCAACGAGATGGACGCGACGGATCGAAGGTTTCGGCCGTGCCGCTGCGGGTACCAGATCTGCGCGTGGTGCTGGCATCAATTGATGGAATTGGCGTCCAAAGACGACGCCAAGGGGCGGTGCCCGGCGTGCAGGACGGAATACGACGAGGACGCCATCTCGTTCGACGCGGTGCCGGAGGAGGAGCTGGCGGCGAACGCGCAAAGGGCGAAGAAGCGAGAGGGTAAGGCGGGCGCGGCGAACGCGAACGCGAACGGAACGAACGGAATCAAGGCGGGGAGCGGGACGGGAGCGAACGCGGCGCAGTCGCAGTCGAGGAAACACTTGCAAAACGTGCGAGTGATACAGCGTAATTTAGTCTACGTCGTGGGGTTGAGCGCGAGGTGTTGCAAGGAGGAAGTGTTGAGGAAGAATGACTTCTTCGGCAAGTACGGGAAAATCCTTAAACTGCAAGTGTCGGTGAATCGAAACGGGAGTTCGTCGTACGCGGGGAGGAACGCGGATGACACCGGGAGCGCGTACGTGACGTTTTACGAAGAAAACGACGCGATGCAGTGCATTCAACACATTGACGGGACGCCGCTCGACGGGAGGATTTTACGCGCGTGCTTCGGGACGACAAAGTATTGCAACGCGTTTCTGAAGTATCAGCCGTGCAACAATCCGGATTGCCTGTACTTGCACGACATAGGACGAGATAACGATTCATTCACCAAGGAAGAGATGCTCGCGCACTACGGCACCAAGCACCAAAGTTTTCAAGAGGCGACGAGGGTCGCGTCCGAGAGCGGGGGGTCGACGCTGGAACGCGTGTCCAGCTTGAGTTCAATTCCGGTGCCACTGCCGACTGGAGCCGCGCGCGTGCCCCAGCCGAGAGTGGCGCCGCCCGCGCCGCCGGCGGGACCTCCGCCACCGAGCGCTATCGGCGTCGGAGTACCGGTGGCGAGCGCTTGGCCGAGTTTGGGAAGCAGCAAGGCGCCGCCGCCGGCGCCACCGCCGGCGCCACCGCCGTCCGCCACCGCGAGCGCGGCGACGGCGTCCGCGGCGCCAAAGGTGGCATCTATTCCCGCGCCGCGCGTCCCCGCGCCGCGCACGGGCGGCGTGTGCCCTGTGCGTCCGATGGCGTCCGCCGCTGGGGGATGGGGACAGGCGAACCAGTCTCTCGGCGTGTTCGGCGGCCCGTCCGTGGCGTCGCAAGCGAGCGCGTCGAACCCGAGCGGTGGTGCGTCGAACTCGAACTCAACCACCGCGGCGCCGAAGACGAAGAACGGCTTCGCGTTACCGCAGCCGCGTAAAGTCGCGGGCGCGTCCTCCGGGGTGCGTGGGCCGTCGCCAAAGACGGCTTCGCAGAGCGACGGCGACGCGGGCTCGGAAGCGGCGAGACCGGCGGGCGACGGGGCGGCAGGGGACTCTTTTCCGGACGCGTTATTTACGGATGCGTTCAATTCGAGCCTAGACTTTGATCCGAGTGCGGTGCTTCGCAAGCACACAGGGGCGTCGGCGGCGCCGACGTCTCCGGCGGAGCAGCCGAGAGCGTCGAGATTTGGCTTCGCCCTCGAGGCGCAATCCCCGGGGCAGTGTCCCGTGGCGCACGGTGCGGGGAAGAATGGCGAATCTATTCTTCGTGGGATCTTGCCCCCTGGGGCGAACGTGCGCATCTCGAGCAGCACGGAATCGTTGAGTGGCGGCGAGCAGGCGCTGCCCGCGCCGAGACGCGGACCTCCGCCGGGATTTGGAGGTTCCGAGGCTTAAAGCTTATATCATGATAAGTGAGCGCGCGCTTTGATGAAAGCGCGCCAGCAAGAAGCAGAACTGTGTATTGCATTGTTGTGTTAGCCATCCATAAACAGACAGACCGTAGATACTCAGACAACGGACGACGCCTCGAGCGGCTGAGGCGTTTTTTGTAATTTCACCATCACATTCATCAAAACGGCAACGAGATCGCGAACGACGCGTGCTGGAACGAATGATCTCGATTTCACTTAGTTCACAAGTCTACTGGTTTATTGATTAACCCACGATCGCCGACGGCTTGATGAGCAGCGGCTTGGCCTGCGCCAAGTCCTCGAGCGAGGCGGCCAACTTTTGATTCGTTCTCGCGAAGAATTCACGAGCGCTCTTCGCCTTCTTTGTCTCTTCCACTCTGACCACATCCCCGTCTAAGATGACACTCATGTCACCGCAGTAAACCTCCTCACCATCCAACGCGCTCGCTCCACCCGTCCACTCCTTCACGGTGTACCCTTGTACGAACGCCTTCAAGCTCGCCTTCAGACTCTCCACGGGCGTCTCGACGAGCGCCGCGAGTTTGTCGAGCTTGATCGACGTGTACATTCGCAAGTATCCACGAAGCTTGGGAATTACGGCGTGCGTAGCGACGGAGTCCAAGAACGCCTTGAGCTGCGTCTTGTGCGCCTCGGAGTTGTCTCCGTCGCCGCTCGCGACAAACTTTGGGCACGCGTACGAAAAGAGGTCGTCGAAGACGGCGACTTCGCCGCTCGTCATCCGGTTAACCTTTTCGCTATACTTTTGGTGCAAACCCAAAGAAACGGACCCATCGAGTAAGTACTGCTGGCCCGGAACGAGCGCCATGGTGATAGCGATCAACGCGTACATTTGTTCTTGCTTCTTCAACAAGAGCGGCAGCGCGTGCGGACGTGCGGCGCCAAACCTCAGCCGTTCGACGTACTGGATGCTTTCGTTAAAGTGACGAATGGCGTCCGTGTATCGGCCGAGCATAAAGTAGGCGAACCCGACGTGATACGAAGTCGCGACGTAGGCGCCCGGAATCTTCTTGAACAACCCATCCTTGTCCAAATCCACGGCGTCGAGCGCGGCGAGCGCTCCTTCGTAATCGCCCGTCAAAACGTGCAAGCGGCAGATACCAATCTGCGCGCAGTACCCGAGCGTGGGCAAAACGTTACTCGAATCAAGCGCGTACCCTTCGTTCGCCGCAAACGAAATCTCTCCCGCGCGCTCGCGCTCGAGCACGCGCACGATGTCGCTCTTATCCACCAGCGCCTTTAAAAAATTCAACATGCTCGTGCGATCCCAAACTTGCGCGTCCAACGCCTTGATCGCCTGTAACTCCTCGCTCGTGCGCTTCGAGCTGCCTTTAAACTGTCGGAACGACTGAAACTGATACACGAACTCATCCACCATCTCGTACAACCACACGTTCGGCAACTGCATGTTGGCGTCGCCGTGCAACAACGCGCCGAAGAGTTCGCAATAGTTTTCCCACGACCCCTTCCGTTCGTTCGCGCTCGGCGTCGTCGCTTGGTGCAGGTGTCGGTAATAAAGCTCCGCGTACAGCATCTTAAACACCGGATCGTTCTCCGCGTACGTCGCGATCGCATCGGGCGTCGGCCACGCCGTCTTCTTGAAGAAGCGTTCGCCGATCGCCGGAAACGAGCGCTCGTACATCGTCAGCGTCTCGTACACTGCGCGGATCCGCCTCGCCGTCGGCGACGTCGTCAGTCATCGCGCGCATCGCGCACCGCGCGCCTCCTCGGCGACCGCGCCGTCCCGACGCCTCCTCCGCGCCCGCGCCGCGCGTTCGATCGCGCGCGCGCGCAAAACCTCTCGCGTCGCGTCGCGTCGCGTCGCGTCGCGTCGCGCGCGCACCGTTCTTCTCGCGAATGTGTCGATAAAAGTACGTCACGAACTGTTTCACCGCATCCCTCGCGCTCGCGGACGCCATCGCGCGCGTCGTCGTCGTCGTCGTCGTCGTCGTCGTCGTCGTCTGAGGGCGGCGCGCGGTCGCGTCGGCGCGCGGCGCGGCGCGAAACCGACGGTGCGAACGCGCGATCGACGGCGCGAGGTTCGATCGCGCGCGATCATCGACGGCGCGAGGGTCATCGCCGATCGCGATCTCGAATCCGCGCCCGCATCGACGTCGCGACGAAAAAGCGCACGCGCGACCGCGCGGGCCGGCGACGCGACGGACGACGACGCGCGCGACGACGGACGACGCCGACGCGCGCGATGCACCGCGTCGGGAAGACGTTCGTCAAGACGACGAAGCGCGGGCAGGCGGTGACCAAGGTGCGACGGGAGCGGTACCTGCGCGACGACGTGTACGTCGGATGCGGGGACGCCGCCGTCGAGGCGCGGTATCGAGGACGCGACGAGGCGCTGTACGTGCTTCGACCGGAGCGCCGAGGCGCGAAAAGCGAGCGAACGATCGCGCTGATCGATTCGAACGTCGCGCTGCATCAGATGGACGCGCTGGCGGACGCGAGGGTGACGGATGTGGTGATTTGCGCGACGGTGATGGAGGAGACGCGAAACAAGTCGCGGACGTCGTACGAGCGGTTACGAGGATTGTGTAAGGATAAAGAGAAGCGGTTTTACGTGTTTAGTAATGAGAATCACGCGGAGACGTACGCGGAAGACGTCGCGGGGGAGTCGGCGAACGATCGGAACGATCGAGCGATACGCAAGGCGGCGGCGTTTTATCGCCGAGCGATTCCGCGCGCGGCGTGCGAACGCGTGACGCTCGTGACGAATGATCGAGGAAACGCGAGAAAGGCGCGAGAGGAGAATATAGACGTGATGAGCGTGATTGAATGGATACAGTCGATCTCAAACGACGCGAGCTTGGTGGATTTGGTCGTCCCGGGCGGAGGGGCGGAGATTCCCGAGGACGAACGCGACGCCAAGCGAGCGAAGAGCGGCGGCGGCGCGAGCGCGAGCGTTTTCGAGGCGTATCTCGACGCGAATGACATCAAGGAAGGTTTAGCGAGTGGAAAATTGATCAAAGGCGGCGTTCGAACGTCTAGATATAACCCTTTTGAGGCGCACGTGATGAATGAAGGTACCGGAGAAGGCGTACTGCTGAGCGGACGCGCGGCGATGAATCGCGCCATCGACGGCGACTTGGTCGCCGTGGAAATCTTGCCCGAATCCCAATGGATTCGTCCGGGTGGTATGATCATCACCGGTACCGCAGAAGAAGACAAAGAGACGTCCTCCGCGGACGTCGACGCGAAGGACGACGCCGGCGGACTGGCGCCGGAGACTGCGGATGAAACGGACGTCGCTGTCGCGGCGACGAAGGCGTCGGGCGTCGTTCCCACGGGAAAAGTTGTAGGTATCATTCGGCGCAACTGGCGCGAACGCGGTTATGCGGCGTCGGTCGACATGGGAAGAGACGGCAAAGGTCCAACCGCAGCCGGTGGCGGCTTCGCATCGCGCGTCTTGTGCGTGCCGAGCGATAGACGATTTCCAAAGATTCGCATCCAGACGCGCCAACTCGAAGGCTTGCTTGACCAGCGCATCGTCGTCGTCATCGACGATTGGCCCGCGGATAGCATGTACCCCGAAGGGCACTACGTCAAGTCGCTCGGATTGATCGGTAGCGTCGATGCCGAAACACAGGCACTTCTGCTCGAAAACGACGTTGACGATCGACCGTTCGCGCCGGCGGTGTACGCGTGCGTGCCCGCCTTGCCGTGGAAAGTCACCGACGACCATCTCGCCGAACCCGGTCGCGAGGACTTGCGCGATTTATTGGTGTGCAGCGTCGATCCTCCGGGGTGTAAAGACATCGACGATGCGCTGAGCGCGCGCGATATCGACGACGAGCGCATTGAAATCGGCGTGCACATCGCTGACGTGACGTCGTTTCTGTTCCCAGACACCGCCATGGACGAAGAGGCGGCGCGTCGAGGGACGACGACGTACTTGGTGCAACGCCGTTTGGACATGCTTCCGGGAGCGCTGACGACGGACATATGCTCTTTGGTTGGAGGTCAAGAGCGCTTGGCGTTTTCGGCGTTTTGGATCGTGCAAAAGTCCACGATGCTTCCGGATGAAACCGTCAAACCACGATTTACGAAGAGCGTCATCAAGAGCGCGGCGGCGTTGACGTACGAGCAAGCGCAGACGCGAATCGACGATGCATCTTTGAACGATGATTTGACGCTCAGCTTGAGGCGACTTCGTGATGTCGCAAGACAGCTACGCAAGCGGCGCATGGCGAACGGCGCGCTGACATTGGCTTCGCCCGAGGTGCGATTCGAGATGGATCAGCAGTCGAGCGATCCGCTCGACGTGGGCATGTACGTCACGCGCGAGACGAATCAAATGGTTGAAGAAATGATGTTGTTAGCCAACGTCAGCACCGCGGAGCGTATTTTGCAAGCATATCCCGCGGCGGCGATGTTACGCCGTCACCCGATTCCCGAGCAGAAAATGTTTGAGCCCTTACTCAAGGCGGCCAAGGCGTGCGGCGTGGACATTGACACGCAATCCAACCGCACGCTCGCGGCGAGTCTAGACGCCGCCGTGCGACCGGAAGACGCGTATTTCAACACGCTATTGCGCTTACAAGCGACGCGGTGCATGTCACAGGCGGTGTACTGCAGCTCGGGCCAATACGCTGGACCAGAGCGCATGCACTACGGTCTCGCCATGCCGTTGTACACGCACTTTACGTCGCCGATTCGTCGGTACGCCGACGTAATCGTACACAGATTACTGAGTGCGGCGATCGGGCTGTGTCCTCGTCACAAGTCGTTGGAGGACTCCGATCACGTCAAATCCGTCGCAGACGTCTGCAACGTGCGTCATCGCAATTCTCAGCAAGCCGGTCGCGCGTCCGTAGAGTTACACACCTTGGTGTTTTTCCGCAAGCGCAAAATTGTCGCCGACGCGCGCGTCTTCAAAGTGCGCGCAAACGGACTCGTGGTTTTTGTCCCAAAGTTTGGCATCGAAGGACCTGTGCTCTTCGTCGAGGGCGAAAATAGCGACACCGCGACTTGTACGCTCGACGAAGACGCTATGACGGTGACGCACAAAGGAAAGACGTGGAAAGTTTTCGACCGGCTCACCGTGCGAGTGGAGGTCGAACAACTCCCTGCGCATCGGAGTCGTTTGCTCATCACCATCGTTCCTGACGACACTCCGCGCGGGGAGATCGCGAGCGCGTGAAGAGCGGTACGAAGTAGAATATTGTACAACACGATATCAGTAGGGCTGCTACGAGCGGCTATGAAAAAAACGGCGCCTTGCAAACGCACGTCCGACGATTCCCTTGGCACACTCCCTCGAAGCTAGGAAATCGCTTCGAAAAGCTCGGTTCCGGGGCGATGGCTAACAGTTTTGCCTTTTCGCACGCCAACTTCTCGTCGTCGTCCTTCAACGCGTACCAATGCCTGTATAACCGCACAGATTTCACGCAATCCCCCGCGGCGTCGTGCGTCTCCGCCACCTCCGTCGCCAACAAGCACCGCACCAAATGGTCTTGCCCGAACACGCTCCACGACTTGTACTGCGCGTTAAACACGCGCCATATCCCGCATAAATCGATTAAATCGCCGTAATCCACACCTCTGACCAATCCGAGCCACTGTTCGACGTCCTTCAGCACGCCTTGCCCGACGATGACGCACCGCGCGTCGAGCGCCTTCTTCGTCGCCGCCACCGCCTCCGCGAACGACACCCCGCGCTCGGCGAGCAACTGCTCGGTGAGTCCGGTGAGGGGGGTCAAATAACTCACCACAGGTTTCTCCTGCTTCACGTACACGTTCAACAGCGTTTGCTCCGTGCGCGCGTCGACGATTGCGATTTGCGCCACCGCTCGGTCGTTGTGCGTCGTGCCGTTGGCGACGCACTCGACGTCGATGGAGACGACGCGCGGCGACACGGCGTACGGGTCGTACGTGCGTGTTTCGTCGCGCGCGGGGGATTGCATGATGCGTGCACGGCGATGCGCGCGCTGGGCGCGATGTGCGGGCTCGGCGTCGCGGAGCGTCGGCGCAAACGTCTGCGACAATCGGGGCGCGGTTCGCTCAAATTTCCTAGATCAATTCACATTCTACTACTGCAATAAGCCTGTTAATATCATACTATGGTGTGGCGCTCACGGCACCGCGGTCTCGGCTTGAATCACTTGCGTCGCCGACTCGACGGCTGGCGTCGACGCGTCGTCTTGCGCGGCCTGGGTGGAGACGAGATACGCCGAGTCCACGCCAGTCTCGCCAGCGGCGCACGACGTGGAATCGAACGCACGGTTCGGATACGTAGGTTTCGGCGGCAATTCGACGCTTTCGGTGCCCATCAAGTCCAGGATGGAGGCGATCGCAGCGTCGAGTTGGGCGTCCTTCCCGTGAAACGTCGCCACTGGTAAGTTGGACACGAGAACGTCAGGGGTGACGCCCTTTTGCTCGATCGCCCAGTCTCCGTTGATGTACGGGCCAAAGGATGGAATGGTGAACCCCGAACCGTCCACTAGACGAAGTTCGGGGTGGCCGCTGTACCCGATGGCGCCTCCCCAAGTGCGCTCGCCGATCACCGGACCGATGCCGAGCTGTTGAATTCCGAGCGCGAACATCTCGGCGTCGCTGCTTGTTTGCTCGTCAATCAGCACGACAACTTTGCCTCTAAACGTGTATTGCATCGTCGTGTCGCCGGCACCGCTTCGTTCGGTGTCGAACATCCACGCCACGCGACGAAGACGCTCGAGCAGCCACGTGTCAATGTTTCCGCCGGCGTTGCGACGGACGTCGATGATTAAGCCCTTCTTGCGCACGTTCGGGTAAAACTGAGCGGCGAAGTCGTCGAAGGAATTACTCGAACCGCGCCCTTCTTGCTCCATGTCTTCCAAGTAAACGTATGCCACGTCGTCGTTGGTCTGGCTCTTCACGTACTCCCGCTTTTGAACGACAGCATCCGCGGCTTCTAAAACGTCGCACTCCTCAAGCATGAGCGGCATGACGATGATCATCTCCGTTGTCGGTGCGGGCTGCTCATTTTCGTCATCGCCCTTATGTTCCTTCCCGGCCAACTTCGCGTCAGCGTGCACATCACCGTTTTTCAACGGTCCGACACTGTGCCGCGGCTGACCCAGCGGAAGTCTGGGCGCCCCTGGGGTGGCGTGCTTACGAACCAGGCTCGCCATGTGCGGATCCCGAAGCGTCTTCGTCGCGGTGCTCGCGCCGCCGAGTTGAGACGACGCCATACCCATGCCACCACCCATCATCTGCTGCATCATGCGCAACTCTTTCATCTTTTGCAAATCCTCCTCGTCTTTTCGCTCCTGCTCCGACCGCGGCGATTTGATGACTTCGAGTAAGACTTGCATCCCAGCTTTGCCGCGAAGCAAATTCGACAGAGGCAACTCGGTGGAGTTGACGAGAACGCCATCAATTTTGGCGATGATGTCTCCCGCCTGCAGTTTGACGTGCGAATAAAGTGAAGAACGACTCAATGATGACTGCGGAGCCTCCAAGATCCCCGAACTTTCGTGAATGTACGCGATTTTCAAACCCAACGGTGTCATTTCGAAATTCGCGCCGAGGCACGCCGAGGGCGAACCGAGCGGAAGCACGGGATCGTCAGAATGAACGGATACGAACACGTGCAACGCGGAGAGCTCACCGAAGGCTTGGGCTAAAATGTCCCGCAACTCGCCCTTGGCAGATATTTTATATACCAATGGGCGATAGCGATCGGTGATGGATGTCCAATCGACTCCGTGCAATTTTGGGTCATAGAAGGCATCTCTCATGTTGCGCATCGCCTCCTCGTACATTTGCAGCCATTCCTCGCGAGGATTCACGATGACACCGAAAGTGTCCGGAGGGTACCAAACTTCGGCTCCACGAAGAGCGGATTCTTGATCCAATCCTGGCTGTAATACGCCCTTGGCGGACAAAAGCGCGACACCCTGTTCGGTGACGAGGGTGAAGACTTGCATGTCCCCGCTCACGACTACCGCCATAGGATCGGGATACAACGGCAAGATTTGACGCGAGTACATGCTGTACACCGCGACGATGACCTGGTCATCTTCAACCAAGGTAAGGAGCATCCCGCTTCCGTCGCCGATGATGTTGAAGCCCAAGTATTGGGCCTCTGGCAAGTCGGGGACAACTTGCGCTCGCTGCTCGATGTTTTTCGTCGAAATCATCGTCGGTAACGCCTTGCCAAACTCTGCATCGAACACGCTGCCTTCAGGATTCAACTCGTCACCGATGAAAAACGGACACGTCATGCCAATACGCAACGGAACACACATCAATCGAGACGTCTCATAAAACATCGGCTCAGCACCGCGTGCGCCGTACGGCGAACTCCCGCCCGAGGCGATTTGCTGATCGCTGAAGTAGTACAAGTACAAGCCGTCGGGTGAAAATTTTGGACTGTGCGCGTTGTAACTCGGCGTCGTGATTCGCGTACTTTCCCCAGACGTCACATTCAACACGTGAATGGATGAAAAATCGTTTTCTTCATCCTTGGCGAACGCGATGTACGAGCTATCGGGGCTCCACGCCAAGCCGTACACGCCCTCCGGACGGAAACCATTCAACATGGTGTCAATACTCGCTATGCCGTCGATATCGGCGTAAACCGACGACGCTTTGTCATCGGACTTTTCTTTCCCCAAGCCGATGCTCGCCAAGTGTAGACTCGCACGGCGCCCCGATACGCGTCTTCCGACGCGCGCGGCGCGGCGCGCGGCGCGGCGCGCGGCGGGGCTTCTGCCCAACATTGGCTTAGGGCGCTGAGGGCCCGCGGGCGATGCATCCGGCCTGCCCGGTTTACTTTGACGTTTGGCGAGCTTCGCTGAAATTGGCTCAGGTTCCGTGGTTCGATACAACGCCGTATTCACCGCCGTCTCCGTCAAGTTGACGAGCTTCAAATTCCCATCCGTGTCGGCGAGCAACAGGGCGGTATTGTCCGGAGAGATGGAGCTAAACTCCATGGCACCTTTGATCTTGCCGCCGGTCGTGATCTTCGTCTCTCTCCACGGTCCACCTTCGATTTGACGCTCGAGCAAGACGTACTCGTATTCGCCCGATGCGTCAGAAAGCGCCAAGAGTTTGGGTTGTCCGTCTGAGCTGGCGTCGTTCACAAACTGAATGTGCTTGTATCGCACCGCCCCGCTGTAGCGAGTCACCTTTTCCACGCGTGTTCCCAAGAATGGAACGAGCGCGGAGTGAAACACCTGACCACGAATCACAAACGCGGCAAAAGCGCCATCGTTTGTCAACACAAGTTCACTGATTGACGAGTAAGGGTCCTCAATCTCCGTCGGCATCGTTTTGCGGAACTCGCTCACAAGGGAGTATGTCAGCTCGACTTCCTCGCCGAGCGCGGGCGCGCGCGCCGTGTGCGCCGAAATTGCACGGCGGTACAGTGAACCACCGCGTCGATACACGAGCACATCACCATCGACGGTAAATTCTTGAACATCAAACAAACACTCATTCGTGAGCTGCATCGCGAACTCGCCATCCGTCGTCATCGACCACACGTTGGCGACGCCCGACTTGTCGCTGATGAAGAAGATGAAGTTCTCGAGGCCCTTCGCGACAGAAACACTCGGACTCCATGCTCCCCGCACGCCCCACGTTTCTTCTGGCGTGAGCGGCTTCGCCTCGGAGTCGGCACGACACCATCGCCACAAGCGCGATTGTTCGCCACCTTCGTAGCGCTTTGTCGAGCTCGTCTGTCGCAACGGAACAAAGACGTAGCATCCGCCCGATTCTTTCACGCCCTCGATCGCTCTGGCAAACGGCAACGGCGACATCGCTCTAGTGTCTGGGTTGAGAGTCACCAGCTGTGTCGACGCCGACTTGGAAAACGCCGTGGAAATGAGGAGAATCTCGTTGTCCTCGGGCCAATCGGCGATGTCTTGCGTCTTGCCCCCAAACGTGACTTGCGTCGCGACGCCTCCGTCTGTCGGAGCGACGAATACGTCGTAGCCGTCGTACGTCAAGCCGAGAAACGCGATGTGCGAGCCATCGGGGGAAAGTCTGGGCACACCTTCGCGACTGTACGTCGACGACAATCGAGAGGCGACGCCGCCGTCCGCGGAGGCGATCCAAATGTTTGTCTCGCTCACGAAGGCAATCTTACCGCTCGCCATCGTCGGTAATCTGTAGTAACCCAGCACACTTTCATCTTCGCTATCCGCATCGATCAGTCGCTCGCGCGTTCGCTCGAGCACGGTTTCAACGCCCTTGATGACGAGACGCTCGTCGCGCTCGGGCTCCGTCTCGTCCGAATACCCGTCCTGCTCGTCCCCGTACGCGTCTTCGTCGTCTTCACTCGGATACCCCGTCGTCGTCGCGTTTCGCGCGCCGGACGTCGCGTTCGACGCATCGCGTCCGAGCCGCGGCGTCCCCGACGCCGAGAACGTCCGCGCCGACGTCGGCGGCCGCGGCGCCCTTCGCAGCGCCCTGTTCTCCGCCGTCTTCGCGCGCGCCAGATCTCGTTCGTACTGCGACAACCCCAACGCCGGCGTTCCCGTCCCCGCGTCACCCAACGCCCGCGTTATCTTCATCGCCGCCTCCGCGCGCACGCTCGCCATCTCTCGCGCGTCTCTCGACCCTCTCCTGACGTCCCCAGTCGTCGCGCCCGCCGCGAACGCGCAGCACGCCAGCGCGATCGCCTTCGTCGCCACCATCCACCGCCCGCGCGTCCCCCGTCCCGCGCTCGCGTCGTCCTCGTCCGCATCGCTTCGTCCTCGTCCTCGCGCGAGCAATCCCGCGCGCTCCGCGTCCCTCGGCGCGTCCACGCCCCGCGTCCACGCATCGCCGCGTCCCGTCGTCGTCGCCCCGCGGTCGCCCTCGCGCGTCGTCGCGCGCGCCCCGAACCCGAGTCCCGCGTCGTCGCCGCGCCGCGACATTCGCGCTCGCGCCGATCGTCCCTCGCGCGTCGCGCGGTGCCCTTCGTCGACGTCGACGCGCGTCGATGTCTGACGCGATGGAGGGTGTTGGACGCGCGTCGTCCGTCGGCGTCGCGTATGTGTGTGTCGCGTAAAGTATGGGATTTATTTATTTGGCATCGCGACGACGTCGCGACCCGCGGGACGCCATCGCGCGTCGCGACGACGATGCGCGCGTCGTCGACGTCGTCGTCGTCGCGATGCGCGTCGACGTCGTCGTCGCGACGACGGGGCGCGTCGATCGCGACGCGTCGGACGACGCGCGAAGGACGCTTCGGACGACGCGCGATGGCGTCGCGACGACGGGACGCGCCGCGCGGGGACGCGCGCGCGAGCGCGCGACGCGAGCGGGGACGAGACATTCGAGTGACGACGACGACGTTCTACCGCGCCGAGAGCGCGCAGGGACGAGATTTAGGCGTGCTCGCGGCGCTGACGACGAGGCGGCGGCTGGAGGTGCTCGACGCGACGTGCGCGTCGGGCGCGCGCGCGGCGAGGTACGCCGAGGCGGGCGTGCTGAAGTCGATGCACGCGAACGACGTGAACGCGGACGTGGAAGACGTCGTGCGAGAAAATTTAGCCGACCTGCTGTCGCCCGCGAGCGAGGTGGACGTGAAGCTGACGTTCGACGACGCGCAACGCGTCTTCGCGCGCGCGTGGCTGGAGAAGACGTTTTACGACGTCGTCGACGTCGACGGCTTCGGCGCGGCGAACTTCGGCGACGCGTTGAAGTGTGTCAAGTACGGTGGGTTGTTTTACGCCACGTCAACGGACGCGCGAGCGCTGTGTGGGCAGAATCCTGAGACGTTGAGTCGGGCGTTCGGAAACGCCGTCGTCGCGCCGTCGAGACCGGGCGTGAACGAAATCGCGCTCCGCGTCTTCATAGGCGACGTCGTGCGACGGGGGGCGGCGATCGGAATATCCGCGACGCCGCTGTTTTCGTTGTTTCATCCGCACGGTCCGGTGTTTCGCGTGATGTTTCGCGTGGAAAAGGCGCGAGGCGGCGCGTACGACGCCTTCGCGTCGAATCGCGACGCCGCGATGGGCTTCGTCGGCTTTTGCGATCGATGCGGCGACACGTCCGTCGTGCGCGCGCCGTTGATCGACGTGTACGGGCACACGAAAACGATAGCGCCCGGCGACGACGACGCGACGACGCAGTGCGCGAGATGTCGCGGCGAGGGATCCGCCGAAGACACGCGAAGCGCCGCGCTCGCGATTTCGGGACCGCTTTGGTTACGATCGCTGCACGATCGCGACACCGTGCTGGCGATGATCGAGGCGGCGGACGCGCAGGGTTGGTTCGCCGCCGACGACGAATCCGACACAGGACCGGTGAAAGGACAGCTATCACTGCGCGATTTGCTCGACGCGTTTGTGGGCGAAGCCGACGCCGGGCTCGAGCGCACGCCTCACCATCTTCGCACGGATGAGCTCGGACGAAGAGGCCGAGCGAAACGCGTGCCACCGCGAGACGTGTTAATCACCGCGCTTCGCGCCGAAGGATTCGCGGCGACGCGAAGCCACATCGACCCTCGCGGCTTGAAGACGAACGCGACGATGGCGGACGTCGTCGCGTGCGCGAATCGCGTGTGCGAAGCCGTCGACGAACTCGAGGGGCGCGCGTAGAGAGTTTTAGATTTAGCGATTATTTCGTTGTTATTCAAACGGTAGCGTTACTTGTGGATCACGCCGCGGCGGAGATCTGATTCCACGCGCCGTCCAAAGATTCCTTCCACACCGTCACCGTGTTGTTCCCGTCGCTCACGGCGAGAATGTTGCCCATCGTGCTCCACGACACGCGCCACACCGGCGCGCCGAAATCGTGCAGCTCGCGCGATTGCCACGCTCCGCGCGGTTCGCTTTGAGTCCAAATGAACACCTTGCCGTCCTGCCCGCACGATGCGATGGTGTTCATGGGAAGACCCATGTTTTCGCTCCACGCGACGTCGCGCACCCAGTCGCCGTGCGCGCTCAGCGTGGCTTCGCATCCCCAAACGCGTCGCTCCTCGTCAAATCTCCAAATTTTCACCAAGTTGTCGCATCCACACGTCACTAAACGCTTGGCGTCGACGACGCTCGCGCCCCCACCCGCGCTCACCAGCGCCCCCGGCGTCGCCGCGGGCGCCCACGACACCCCCGTGCACCCGATGGCGTGCGCGTTTGGAATCTTCTCCACCGTCCAGCTCGCTTGGCCGTCGTAGGAGATCACGGAGATCGACCCATCGCTCGACGCGCACGCCAGCTTCGCCCCGTACTCATGCGGCGCCCAAGCGATGGCGTTCACGCTCCCGTCGTGCGTTCCCGTCGGCGTCTGGTACGCCAGCGAAAACGCGTTCGGTTCCGTCTCCTTGTGCACGCGCACGTGATGATCGAAGCTCGCGCTCGCGAGCAGCGTTCCAAACTTCGGATGCGCCCACCTCGCGCTCCACACCGGTCCATCGTGTCCCGTGATCGTCGCCACGTGCGTCCCTCGCGCGCGATTCGCCTCTCCCTCGGTTCCGTTCGCGTCGCCCAGTCTCCCCCCCGCGCGATCCTCCGCGTCGCGCGCGCCGAGCGCGTCGCGCGTCCCGTTCGCCGCCGTCCCATCGCTTCGCCCGCGCGCGTTCGCTTCGCGCGTCGCGTCGCTCGATCGCGCGCCTCGTTCGCACTCGACGTCAAAGATTCGAATCGTTCGGTCGCTCGAGCACGTCGCGACGCGTCGTCCGTAGTAGTCGTACGCGCAGTCGTGCATCGCGTCGGCGTGGTGCGCGTCGAACGCGCCGTGCGTTCGCGTCGTCATCGCGAATGGTCGGTATCGCGACGCGCGAGTCACGGCGCGCGTCGCGGTGCGCCGATCGCGTCCGATCGCGCATCTGGATGGATGCGCGGCGTCCGACGCGACGATGCCATCGTCGATGCATCCATCGACGCGTGAGTTCGCGGTCGTTCGCGCTCGACGGCGTCGCGTCGCGGCCGCGTCCGGATCGGTGTACGAGGCACTCGTCGACGCGCGTCGTCGTCGCCGTCGTCGTCGCCGTCGCGCGGGACGACGGACGACGACGGATGTGGACGTGGACGTGGACGCTCGGGACGCGCGAGACGTCGCGCGAGACGTCGCGCGTCGATGCGGGCGGTCGACGCGCGCGAGCGGACGACGCGGCGCGACGCGCGAGGGCGCTCGGACGCGACGACGACGACGACGACGCGGGACGCGCGGCGCGACGGCGTCGACGGCGTCGACGGCGCGCGGACGCGAGACGCGTCGTCGCGCGCGCGGCGTGCGTCGCGGCGGCGATGGCGACGCGAAGCGCGAGCGCGTTCGGACCGCGACCGCGACCGAGGCTGTACGAGAAACCGAAACTCCCGCGACGATTGCTCGAGGCGGAGTTGGCGCTCGGGGAACTCGCGCCGGGAGGACCGGCGGCGGCGGGACTGTTGGGCGACGGACGCTGGCGAGCGAGCGCGGGAGGAGACGACGAGGAAGGCGATGGGGAGGCGAGGACGCGCGCGACGAGGCGCGTGCGATTCGAAGAGTACGCGCTTCGAGGGGCGACGGGAACCGCGCGCGCGGGCGTCGAGCGCGATTCTCGACGAGACGCGTCGACGTCGGCGTCGGCGTCTCACGCGTACGCGTATACGGCGGAGATTCGTCCCGGCGGCGGCGACGCGAAGGCGCGCGTCGGCGTCGTGCCCGCGGATTCCATGGATTCGATGGCGGCGACGACGACGACGCCGGACGGCGGCGATTCCGTCGCGCGAGGACGCGACGGCGACGCGAGCGGGACGGCGGCGCGCGCGGCGGATTCGGCGATCGAGGCGCTGGTCGAGGAACTAAATTCCAAATCGCCCGCGCAGGAAATGTTTGAAATGTTACGGCGCGAGGGCGAACACTTTGTCAATCCGCGCACGGGGAAGAAGTTTGAGTGGGGGGACACGTGGATGCACGAGCGAGGCGGGGGCGTCGGCACCGGGCGACCGGAGTCTCGCCCGCGGCGACTCACGGCGGACGGCGCGGTGGAGGTGATGCCGGCCAAGGGCGACGCCGGGTACGCGCTCGTGCCGATGAGTTCGGACAAACAGGGATTGTTGGAATTTTACGATCGATGCAACGGTCCGAGATGGAGCAACACGCGAAACTGGGGCGTCGGCGAGCCGTGCGCAAACGCGTGGCACGGCGTCGTTTGCGTCGGCGGTCGAGTGACCGAGTTGTTGATGAACCTGAACAACGTCGCGTGCATGGGATCGCTCAACGTCACCGCGCTCGCGACGTACGTGCACGAGCTGCGCTACGTCGATTTGAGCGATAATTTGTTCACGGGAGATTTGCCGCGAGACTTGTTTAAGATGACGCAGCTTCAGAGCCTCGTGTTGTCTGGAAATCGCATCACGGGCGCGCTTCCCGAGGACGTCGGCGCGCTGACGAATCTGCGGCACATCGACTTGTCCGCGAACGCCATGCGCGGCGCGCTTCCCGAGTCGCTCGGCGCGTTGAGTGAGCTCAAAGTGCTGTATCTGGGCGAGTCTGGGCTCGAGAACAAAAACGACTTCGCGGGCCCGATTCCCGAGTCGTGGCGACGTTTGAAATCGCTGAAATCGTTTTCGTTAGCCGGCAACTCGAACATCGGTGGAACGTTGCCCGATTGGTTGCTCAACAATCTGGACTCGCTCGAAGAGTTGACGCTGTCGAGATGCGGTTTGACTGGGGAAATACCGCCGAACGTCGATCAAATGAAGTCGCTTCGCGTGTTGGATCTCGGCGAAAACTCATTCAGCGGCGTCGTGCCCGTGGAATCGCTGTCGAGATTGCGACGTTTGAAGCACCTGCGTTTGGCCGGAAACGCGCTCATCGGGTCGCTCGGCCCATCCGTCGCCCATTTGCGAGAGATTGAAACCTTTGACGTGAGCTCGAACCGTTTGACGGGGGATTTGCCAAAGGAACTCTTCTCGCTGCGATTGCTAGAAATTTTGGACGTTTCAAACAACGCGTTTACCGGGACGTTGGCTCCTCCCGACGGCGCGGAGACGTCGAATTTGCGCGTCGTCGACGCCGAAAGCAACCGTCTCGTCGGCGTGCTCTTAGACGGCGAGTTCTTCAAGCGCGCGCCGCATTTGAGGTATTTGAGACTGTCGAATAACAGAATTTCCGGCGCGTTCACCGACGGCGCGTTCGACGACGCGGGCGAACTGGTGGAGCTACACGCGTCGAATAACGATTTGCTCGGCCCGTTGCCGGATTCTGTCCGTCATTTGACAAAGTTGAAATCGTTGCGACTGAGCGGCAACGCGCGTCTGGGCGCCGGTCGTGGAATGCCCGACGCGCTGTCGGAGTGTTGGAATCTCAGAGTCGTCGAGCTCGCGCGCGCGGGCTTCGAGGGCGACATCGCGGACGATGCGTTCGCGCGCATGCGTCGATTATCTTCGCTGAATTTGGCCGAAAACAAGTTTTCGGGCAACGTGCCCGCGTCGTTGAAATCGGCTGAATTTCTGCGGAAATTGGAGATTCAAAACAACGCATTCGTCGGGGAAATTCCGTCGTGGCTCGTCGAGCTTCCGCACCTGGAACTCGCCGATTTCACGGGCAACAAGTTCACGGGCGCGATCCCGGATTCGTTTTACGATCCCAAGACGAACTCCGTGCCAAAGCTCGAGGAGCACAGAAACCGCCCCGCGGGCGTCGCGCGGGTCTTACGACTCGGACGTAATCCGTTGTTTTGTCCGCTTCCACCCTGGGCGCGCGCCGCCGTGGGCGCGACGTGCGTGCGAACAGAAATCACATCCATCGACCCCGCTACGGGCGCCGCGAGCGGCGGCGCCGTCGTCACGCTGCGAGGCAGCGGGATTCCCGGCGCGCGCGACGTCGGATGCTTCTTCGGCACCGAAGCGGAGCACGTGTTCGTTCGCGCGACTTCGTTCACAAAGTCGCACGTCGCGTGCGTCGCCCCGTCCGTCGCAGACTTGCCCAAGCCGCCCGAACGTAACGCCGCCGGGTACGCCGTGTCGGTGCGCGTGGGCACGAGCGCGTCGGGCGCGGCGACGGAATTTGGTGAATTATTCGTGTACACGACAAACTAGTCGCGGCGGCGCCGCCGTGGATGATGAAGAATATTGATTTGAAAGCGTTTTCCTTCTAAACGGCCATTCCGCCCATTTTGTTCGCAGCGCCGATCGCCGCCGCGTGCGCCGCTAATACTTCCGACACCCTACCGAGATCGCTAAGTTTGACGTCGAGTTGCTTTTCTTCGTCTTTGTCCGTGTAATCGGCGCGCAAATCCTTGATTCGCACCATGTCGTTTTCCCACTCTTGCGGCGCGACGAAGACGATGTATCGAGCGCCGATACGATTGGCGTAATCAAAAGTGCTCGCTACTTTCTTCTTCGGCTCGAGAAGCATATCCACATCCGAACCTCCGGCGCGAATCATCGACGCCGCCTTCATCGCCTTGCCCTGCATGCCTTCGTTGAACGCGGCGACGACGAACTCGATCGACTTGGGAAGCTCAGGGAGCAATCCTTTATCTTTGAGCAACTCCACGATGACGCAATCGCCGAAGCCGAAACCACACGCCGGCACCTCGGTCACGGCACCGTACAAAGAGAGCAACCTATCGTAGCGACCGCCACCGCAAATGGCGCGCAACTCCCCGGCGCGGTCGAAGCCCTCGAAGACGATGCCGGTGTAATAAGCTAAACCTCGCACGACGGATGCGTCGAAAATCAGCCAATCACCGTAGCCGTAATCTTCGGCGAGCTCGAAAAGCCTCTTCAACTCATCGATGCCGGTTTGATCGGCACCCTCGCCGCAGAGCGCCTCGAGGTCGCTCACCGTCTTGCACGCCAAACACTCTACGATTTTCGCAGCCGTCTCCGCGGGTAATCCTTGCGTGTCCACGAGCTCAGCCTTGACGGCATCGGCGCCGATTTTGTCCAACTTATCCATCACGATGCACACAGGCGCAAACTTTTCCGCGGTGATTCCGTATGAATCCAACACGCTCGCCATGACCTTGCGCGAGTTCACCTTGATGCCGACGTCGGCGGACGTGATCCCGATCGACTTGAAGAACTCGCACACCGCGAACAACAGCTCGGTTTCTGCGCTCACAGACTTGCACCCGATGATATCCATGTTCCACTGGTAGTGCTCGCGCTTACGACCGCGCTGCGTCGTCTCGAAACGCCAGCATTGCGGAATAGAAAACCACTTCAAAGGCAACATCATCGACTGCGCGCGACCGAGTACCATGCGCGCGAGCGTCGGCGTCATCTCGGGTCGCAACGTCACCTCCACCCCATCTTGGTCCACGAACGCGTACATTTGCTGCGTAATCTCCTCGCCGGCTTTGCGTTTATAAAGCTCCTGCCTCTCGAGCACGGGCGCGTCGTATTCCTCGAACCCGGTCGCTCGCGCAGTGGCTCGAAACTTTTCGTAAAGCCATCGCTGCAAACGAAACTCTTCGGGATACCAATCGCGCGTGCCGCTGCACGCCTCGAGCTCGACCGGCGGTGTCGTCGAGCACTGCACGCTCACGACGGCGTTTTGCCCCCGCGAGCGCTGTTCGGCGGCGGCCGCTTTGGACGCTTTCGCGGCGTCCTTCGCCGCCTTCTTGGCGGCTTTTTCGGCTTCACGCTTGAGAAGTTTCTCGCTCTTTTCACCGCTCGCCGCCGCGTCCGGGGCGACAGCGGGTTCGTCGCCTTCGGTTGTCATCGCTCGCGACTCTATTCGCGCGCCGTCGATCGAATCGCCGCGGAGTGCGGGTAAACGCGCACCGACGGATGCCATCGAACGGACAGTCTAGGGTCTAGGACTGACGGAGTCTAATCATTTCAATATCAATTCTACACTTTTTGACCGCCCTTCACCGGGACGTACTGTAGTTCTCGGCTGAGTTCGTCTACGTGCGCGACGAAAGGGTCTTCCAAAGCGTCGAATTGGCTGTCCGCCGACGCGCGAAACCCACCACAGTTCACCGCGTGTTCAGCCTCGACGCGGAAAACGTTCCAGATCGCCCGCCGGATAACTTCAACGGCGGACAATCCCGTGACGAGCACTTGCGTCGAAAGATGTCGCATCGGCAAACCCGGGACGGCGGCGAACAAGCCCGCCGAGCGAGCGAAAACATTGAAAACTATCGCGGCGACCCAAACCGCGCGAGATTTTACGAGCGAACGCCTCGACAGGAATTCAACGCGCCACTTTGACTCTGGGTTGAACGTGAAAATCGACCAATCCATGAAGAAATCCCAATAAAGCGAGTAACACACGCTCGACGCCGTCGCGATATAAGCGACGATCCATGGTGGAGAGCTGTGATTGTCGCTCTGGCTCGATCGCAAAGCCCAGAAGCGAAGCCAAATCGCGACTATGGAGCAGCCATACTTTCCGGCGTTTAGTAAGTGCGTCGACAACGCCCCGCCTCGTTTGTGCACCACAGAGTCTCTCGCCCGGCGAAAGCTCTGAATGAACCGCCAGTAGTGCGGAATCGTCGCCGCGATGACGCGAGTCGACGCCGTTTCGGATGCCAAGTGGAACGTGATCATCAAATCCGCAATCGCCGTGGACTGCGACGTGAGCTGATCGGCTATGAAGAAGTCTGGAAAAACCACATTCGTCCACGGAGTACTCATGATTCGCATCACGTGGCGTCCGATGAATCTTCGGGTCGTCATCGGGGGCTGGATAAACCAATATCGTGGATTGTCAGCCCATTCCCACGATGCCGGCACGGGCACGGCGAACGCGATGAAAAGCGCCATCGTTAGAGGTTTGACCCATTGCGTGTTCGCGTTTCCCGACGACCACAACACGGTGCTCGTCGTCAAAATGATGACGAAACAAATCCACGGCAGCACGGTAGCGATGATGGCGTACTCTGCTCGTAAACCCGTCTTACCGGCGCTCCGAAAGAAGATCAGCTCCCAGTGTACCATCAGCTTTTGCCAAACGTACACGGTGGGTCCCCACAACAGCGATTGCCCGAAAACCAGCATGGCGCCGCGAAGGGTGACAAACGCCGCCAATTCTCTCCGGCACCTATCGTCAGTGGACTGCAGACCGCACGAAACGACGAGGTACCACAGTGGAATGAGCAATGCTGGAAATGCGATACCCCAGAAGAATCCGCCGGTGAAGTAGAGAATCGGATTATCAGGCGAATCTCGGTCCAAGTTGACCTTGGTGCCGTCGTCTTTGATGCGGTTGCCCGTACTGCGAAGCTTTTCTAGTAGTTCCACGCGTTCCTTTCGGCGAAGCGTCGCGAACGATTGCGTTCGAGTATTGAAGCGCACGAGACCGGTTTTCGTAGCCTCTATGCGGCGAATCAACGCGTGGCAGGTTAGAAACGCTTCTTCGCAAAGCTTCGCCATGGTCTTGCACTGAAACGTTGACTCTTTCAAGTCTGGCCAAAACGCGAGCTCATCGCACGTGGTACAGTATATACCGCTCGTCCGCGTGCCGGCTTCTTTATCCATTTTCTTCGTAATCTTGCGAATCGCCACGGCGTTCAGCGTGCTAAAGTTCTGAATCATGCACACGGAGTAGTAAATTTCTTTAATGTCGTGCAAGAGCGCTTTCACCGTCGTCTCTCGCGACTTCGCCGTCGACGAGGACGTATTTGTATCCACCAGCGCCTGTGCCGCGCGCTTCGCCGCCGCTTCAGACGAATCCGTAATTTTATCCTTCTCTTTGTACTTTGAGAAGAGAGCATGCAAGTCCGTACCAGAAGTCGTGGAAAGGGAGCCGTGGCGCGAGTGACGCCCTCCGGCCCTCACTGGTTTGATCTCCGTCTCGCCGCCTTGATCGACTTCGGCTTCAGATTCTCTCGGGCTCACGACTGGGGTCGCCACGTTCAAAGACGCGTCGATGACCTCAACGCGCTTTAAAGCCGTCGCGAGTGCCTTCGCTTGCATTTCGACGAGCGTCTCATAAAACGAGTTGCACCTGTTCGCCTGCACGTCCAGCGCTTGGTAAAATCTCACCAGCACTTCCGCAACGCCGTTTCCGTTGTCTTGCAGCGTGCTCTTCACCGCGAGCATGGGTTCGTAATCCATCCCGAGCGCGTCCCACAGCGTTTCCAGCGCTTCGCGCTCCCCCGGCGTCTTTTCAATTTCCACGAGCTCGGTCGTCAGCGTCGGCGCGTTGGCGTATCGATTCCACTGCGTCTCGTCCACGCTGTCTCGTCCCCGATAGTCGTCGTCCGCCGACGTCGTCCCGGCCGGAGCTTCGAGCTCGCGTATGCGCTTTTGTTCCGTCACGAGCGTCTTGAGCTGCTCGTAGTCGATGTACATCGTGTGCCACTCGCCGACCCGGTAGCGGTTGAGCGTCTTACTGAAACCAACCATCGCGAGCTGTCGTTATTAATCTATCGCGTTCGCCCCCGTCTCGCGTTCGCGCGCGCCATCACCTCAGCGCGCGCGAAAATGGAGCCCCCCGTTGAGGCGGCGGCCCCCCGTTCAAAGCGGCACCGTCGATTCGAGACTCGCTCTTTCATCACGTCGCGTCGCGTCACTACGGCGATCGCGTCGCGACGCGTCGGCGCGAAACGTCGCGCGCGCGGTGCGACGGGCGCGGGACGATCATCGCGCGCGCGTCGCGCGCGTCCGTTCGCGCGCGCGTGAAGGCGCGGAAAACCAAAAGACACACCGTTCGAGCGACGACGTTGGAATATGCGGGAACGTGCGGTGCGGGCGACGCCGCGCGCGGGGCCGTCGACGTCGACGCGGCGGCTGAAATCGTCGACGCCGTCACGCGCGTCCATCGTGCGACGCGCGCGAGGGAAAGGCGACAAGGACGATGCGTCGACGCCGACGTCCTCGACGCCCGACCCAGAAGAGTTGAAACTGGCGTTGGCGCGCGCGAGGACGCGCTTGGAGCGGTCGCGAAAGGGTCTGCCGGCGTTGGTCGAAGAGAACGAGAGCGAGGGTTTCACGTCCGATGAAGTCGTCGAGGAGTCGTCGACGGCGGAAAACGGCGACTTGCGAAGAATCGTGTCGGACTGGTTTGGCGCGGTCGGAGGCGTCTTTGACTCGCTGAACTCCGACGACGAGGCGATGGACGCGAGAGACGAGAATCCCGCCATCGCGGCGCAAGATGATGCGTCGTCGTCGCGTGATGACGACGAAGACTCTTCGGCGCCCGTCGAGGCGGGCGGATGGTTTCGATGGAAGAGTCCATGGCGGGTGAGTGGAGTGGGCGAGTCCATCGCTACGGCGACGTCGTCGTGGATGCCGAACAAGAGTGTAGACGGTGATGGAAGCTTCGTAGTGAACACCGACGCAATCGGAGTCTCAACAGCGAGCGATGGAGCGTCATCGTCTTCAAGCGATCGAGGAGTCGAGCCGACGAACTTGCTCGAGCGCGTGCCGTTGCCGCCGTGGATTCGGCAACGCGTGGACGGTTCGAGTGATGGTGATTCATCCTCAGACGACGAGGAAGATGATGAAATGGCGTACGACACGACGATTTCGAACGAGAACGTCGGTAGTGCGATTCGTGATGCGAGCGAGACGGCGGTGAGCGTGACGACAGCGGCGGTGGAAAAGTTGAATTCTGCGCTTCTCGGTATTGAAACCGTGGAGAAGAGCGCGGTGAAGGATGGAAGGTTTGAAAACAACGCTTCTGCACTCAAAGCGTTGCAAGAGTCGCTACGAGATGCACGTGCTTCTGCAAAAGAAGCGCGCGAGGCGAGCCAAAGTCTCGAAGAAGCCGTGCGCGAAGTGAGTCGCGCGCAAGAAGCGCTTCGAGCAGAGGGCGATTTGAAAAAAGAAGAAGCGATCAAGGCTCTTGAGGCTGCCAAGGCGGCTGTCATCCGACAAGCGACGAGCTCGAACGCGGCCGTCGCAGATGCGCTCCGGCAGGTGTCATACGTCGCCACTCGAGTCGAGAAACTGGGCTCATGGACGCTCGAAGACGACGGCGAGGCGTCGTCACGCGCACTCGACACTAGCAAGGCGCAAAAACGCGGGGTTCGTCGAGGCCTGATGGGCGCGATCGCTAGCGCGCGTGAGAGTGCTCAAGACGCGCTCGTAGCGTCAGAACTCACGCAGACGGTCTCAAGGCTGGCTTCATTGGCCACGCAGCGCGGAGACGGCAAATCGAAGAAGTCGGAAGAGCTGAGCGAAATGGTCAAGCCCGCGCTGCAACGAGTCGTCGCGAACTCGCTCGTACCTGTCGAGAGCGACATTGAGATTGGCAGTGCGAGATTGGCGTGTTCGCTCGCGGCTTGGGTGTACTACTTACCGCAAATGCAACACGCGTTGCCTCGCAACGGTTTGAAGTTGATCACGTCATCGTTGGACGTCGAAGAAATCATTCCGTCCACTGAATTTCGCGCGGGCAAATCGCTCTTGGAGGAATCTGCGTGGCGTGCTGAACAGGCGGTTGAGGAAGCCGTAGTCGCGGCTCGAGTGGCTGCGAGTAAAGACGCCAAGCTGGAAATCGCCGCATCGAAAGCTGCAGCCGAGTCTGCCGAGCTCGCGGCGCAGGCTCTGAAGCTCGCGGCTGAATTACGCTCTCAGGACGCCCAGGACGAATCGACTAGACTCAAAGCCAGAAAGACGGCGCGAGCGGCGAAAGCGCTCGCCGTCGAGGCGCAGAAGAAGTTGGACGAAGCGAGTGCGATTGCCGAACGGAACAAGCGCAAGTTGAAAAAGTGGGCCATGCAGCGCGAGCTCGCGGATCTTCAGTCGCAAATGCAACAAACGGTGATCGAACAACAGCGGAAAGTCGAAGCCGAGCGCGTGAGACAAGAGCGAGCAGAAAATGCATCCCTCCCTGTGAACTTTTGCGTCGCCGCACAAGACGACACCGCGACGCTGTGGGTCGTCGTCGAGGGCTCTACGAACTTTGCGAGCTGGCAAGCAAACTTGACCTTTCAACCCGTGACGTTTGAAGATCCCGCTCTCGGTGTGGAAGTTCATAGAGGCGCTTACACGGCGGCGAAGACGATGTACCGTCGAATCGAGAAAGCAGTCAAAGAGCACGTCGCAAAGCACGGCGCGCGAGCGCGAGTGCGAATCACCGGACATTCGATCGGTGGATCGATCGCGATGATCATCGCGATGATGCTCCTCGTGCGAAACGGCGCACCTCGCTACGCCATAGCCGACGTCTGGGCGTTCGGCGCGCCGTACGTCATGACTGGCGGCGAAGCGCTCATGACTCGACTCGGATTACCTCGTTCGTTTATTCGAATGATCATGATGGGCGACGATGTCGTGCCGCGCTCATTCTCGTGCTATTATCCGCAGTGGGCGCGCCGAGTGTTAGACAACGCGCCTGGGCCGTTCAACGTCAACACTTCTACGGCGAATTTTTTGGACGAGCAGATGTTTTATACGCCGATGGGTGACTTGTACGTGCTGCAGGCGAACAACGGTTCTGAACACCCGCTTCTGCCGCCGGGACCCGGTCTTTACATCCTCGACGGCGACGGCGTGTACGAGATGCTAGCGACGCGCGCGCGATTGGGCGAAAACGAAGACGGCGATGATGAGTCGTGGTTGAATCGTCGCCCTTCGAGCAAGCATTGGGACGAGGCGGCGGCGTACGACGTGGACGGAGACTTCTCTTCGTCCGAGGATGAGAAAGCGAACAAACTTCGAATGCATCAGCTCGCGTGTTTGACGCAATCAGACGCCGCCCTCACGGCTTCGCTCATCATCAGTCACATCAAGCAAGACGAATTGCTCCCGAGCGAAGGCGGCATTGCGGAGGTGTTGAATCAGCGAGGGCGAGACGCCGCACAAAGAGTGTTGTTCAATAGCCCGCATCCTCTGAGTATTCTCAGCAAACCCGACGCGTACGGCGACGCGGGCATCATAAGTCGCCATCACAATCCGTTTCAATACGCGAAGAGTCTTTCTCTGTCGCGAAAACGGAAGCCTGGCGTCGCCGATCTGATTTCTAGCCTACCGAAAAAAAGCATCGACGGCGCGCCAGCGAGTGGCGGTCCGAGATGAGCGGTGAAGCCTGTGGAGTAGAATTGCGAGTAATAGGAAATGTAGCGATGAATGCGAAACGATACGGCGCACGCGCGAGAGTATATGTGCATGAAACGAAGCGCGCGACGCCTCGTCGCGCCGGGACGCGAGCGTCACAGTGCCGTTTCTCGAGCGTTTTTTAGGCGTTTTCTCGTTTGCGCGATGTGACATTCGCGGGCGAGCGCGTGAAGATACACATGCGCGAACCACACGGGGATCGCGAATGAACGATCGCGGGCTAAAAATAGAAGAAACAGGAATGCAAAAAGATTCACCCACGTCGCCGTCGACGTCCCGCGTCGTCTCCCAGCGCGTCGCCCCTCGAACGCGCCTCCCTGAAACTAGGGTTAGAAACTAGGGCTGAAAACTAGGGTTAGCAGTGTCTCTGGAACATGACGCTTTCGGCGCCCTGAAAGTTGCGCGAGTAAAGGAGTCACCAAAACCACTACACTGGCGGTCGACGACGCTGGAATTTTGCGTACACGCATGAAACACGCATTTGCATCTGTGTACGCGCGCGTTTCGCGGCTTTTTTAGGGTTTAGGTTTAGGGTTTAGGGTTTAGGGTTTAGGGTTTAGGGTTTAGGGTTTAGGGTTTAGGGTTTAGGGTTTAGGGTTTAGGGTTTAGGGTTTAGGGTTTAGGGTTTAGGGTTTAGGGTTTAGGGTTTAGGGTTTAGGG